ATCATTACAAACACCCAAGTCATCCAGCGAGTCGCTGGCGCATGAAAGTTTGAGAGGAGTATCTCAAGAACACCAAACACTGAAAAGCAACAATCTGCCCGCCCACCAAGGCTGAGGCAACCTCGATGAGCTCATCAATCGAAATTCGAAATAAAAAATTTAAATTAAGAACGGATGAAGTTACTGTTATGCCTTTGGAAAACGAGGTTCCAAACAGCGGCGGTCAAAAATATTGTAGGCGGAAATGAGCTAGACCCTATTCCTTGAAGCGGAAAACGGCTAGAGACAGAAAGGGTGGGCAGTGAAAAGATTCTATCTTCCTAACTGGGGTCTACTCGTAGTGGTGTGGAGGAACATATTGCTCCTGAGCCATTTCTAATGATTTCGGGATCGAACACGGCTTTTGATTTACGAGGTATTGTATATAATTGGATGACCGTTAAACGGCTGGTGGTCTGTACATGTAGGGAAGAGATAACATGCAAGAGCGTAGAACTTACAGGATCTTGTACACAAGTTGCAAAGTGACCTTGCAAATATATTTTTAGGATACATCCTAAAATCTATGTAGTTTTACTCGGGATAATGGAATGCCGGTAAGCTTAATTCCCATATATTTTGGCACGAGGAAAATTGTTAAGGTGGGAAGGAATCGCGCATGCAAAGACTTTGAATTTTGTTGATCATGAGACGTTTGAAGTGATGTGAACAATGAAGCCTTGGAATAGCCTCACAGTCCGGTTTCCTTGAGTCTATTACTATTTGAATACCAACCATAAAGAATAGCTCCTTTAAGAATAGAACATCAAAACTACGCCCCCTCGGGTTTAAGGTAGGTGGAGAGAATATTCCGCCGATCGAACAATCCAATATCGCAAACAATGCACCATAGCCTACACCAGTACAACTTTTCCTCTTGTTCCTCTTGAGGGTTCAGAATTTGACCCGTTGCTCTCGAGGCTTTCAAGCAGGAATAGGTTGTCAAATCAAACATTCGAAGCCGAAACGGTGTGCTACCTGGTGTGACACGAAATTCAGCCCGAGAGACCGACTTCCGGCAATCCCAAGCCAACCGTAAATGGCAAAGTCTGTGAACTAGCTGTGCATGAACAATCCAACATTTCGTCAAATTTTCTTAGAAAAGCGGCATAAGCGCAGCCCGGAGACCAGAGCGCTGATGTGCACCCGGCCCCTGGGCCCTGAGGTTCCAGGACCGGCCTAAATTTCCACCGGTATTAATGATCGTGCATCGTGTGATATAGGTCTCTCGCGGCGCACACGCCATCCAGCCTCGCATTTCTTGGTCGGTTAGCGCATAACCCACCCGGATATATTCGTATTCATGATCCACTTGCCACTCAAGCCGTGAGGATTTCATTCGTTACCAAAAAGTTTTCCGACACTTAGCGCCACCCCTGAGCTGAGGTATTAAGTCTGCAGCTTGAGAGCTCAATAAAATTCCCTTGGCCATGTGCTGGTCTATTCTGGGAGGATGGAGATGCTATTCTGATATTCCAGGTGGGATACTTTGGCCATATGGCCATGGGTAGCTGAGAGCAATTTCAGGATTGATTCCTTTACCCCATTCCAAGAGCAAGCCATGTCACGTCACCCTCACGAATCCACGTATTTCTCGAGAACTTGAATCCTCGACGGAGACAACAACACAGAAAAAATACCACATCCTTTAATTTCTCTTTGAGTTCCTCAAACATATTTTGGCGGCGGGCCTGTACCGTATACGTAGACCTAGTGCTAACGAAACCAGTTTATACATATCCTAAAAGAACTCTTAGGGCCGAGCTTACGTCCTACAGAAAGATCTATGTCCGAATCGTTTCTGAGGGTATAGTTTGTACAATTGTGCTAATAATCTTGAAAATGAATAGTAGTTCCCCCCCGAGTACTTTCTTGCATCTCGATCGGACGAAACTCGGCCAGAAACGCATACATTAGATACATCGATATATCCCGAGCCTAGTAAATTTAAACTTTGTACTTGTCGAGAACAGCTCCTTAAAACCACAGTAGAATGAGAAAAACTATTTTAATTGCAAAAGTATCGATCAACTCGGCTTCACAATACAAAGTTGGATTCCCACTTCGGTACGAATGCTGATAGCAGGAGGTAGAAACTTAAATTTTTATTTAAATCGACCACGACGTATGTGATTCGTATATGCGACTTAACTAGCGCTTGTAGTCCCCAGATACATTCCACAATTAATCTAGACTTCAGATCTAGACCTCAGATCCAAACCTCTCGCCTTCGAACAGCTTCCGTCATAGATTAACAGTAGATCCGCGCTCAATTTACTCAAAGAAAACCCGATCCGCAAGAATCCGGGCGCCGACAAAGTTCTCGGGTGCTTTCCACTCACATACCGAGCCTCTCAAACCATCCCCCCTTGCCGTATCTATGTACGAACGATCAATCCCTATCCCGGCGGTATGTAGATTACCGAAGAAGGGCCCATCCCGGAATAGGTGGTTTAAGGCTCTCGGCTTGATGCGTCTTTATGATGTGACTGGAAGGTAATATCCGGAAAATATTATAGCTCAGTCACAAACACAGGCATATGCCTATGATCATATGAGGGACTGAGCTTGACATTCCAGATATAGCATAAAATATATATATTTGGGTTAGTATTGTAGTGGCGTCAAAAATAATAAAGTTGATGGTAATACATAGTCACTAGGACATATTTTCACGTCAGTCCAGAGCTTTTCTATCGCAATGTTGCTACCTCTAGGTGTCAAAATACTGATGTAAACTAGTCAAAAAATACTATAAAAGACGAAGTGCGTGCACTCGAATATAGCTACCATAGCTCCTAGGACCTGAAATAGGTTCGTAAGTGTGAGATCTGGGGGGTGGGGCCGGAGGGTGGTTAGCCCCACTTCGAAGCTCATCCGTCTCGAAGCCTTGGAAATTTAAATTTATCCCGATCGACCAACTTCGTATTTCAAGCTCAACCACAAGGCTCGGAGTCGTATTAAGCCCCCTCAACCTTTAATCCCGGCCCGGTGCTAAATTAATCTAGAAGAGAATAAAAAAGCAAAGACTAAATAATAATAAAAAGCCAAAAAGTAGTATACCAAGTTTTTCGTCCGGTCGCAGGCCCTGTTGTCTATCTTGCGAAATATGGATGAGGGGGGCCTCGAAAATAGACCTGCTCGAAACACCTCCTAGCGTCGACGCCTTTTCGGTTCTTTTAGTTCCTTCAAACTAGCGCCGGGCATATGTAGCCGAGCTTCGTCCTCAAGCCCAGATCTTGACCCCTACCAACCCCCAGCTGCGGGTTACTGTAATCAATTTTCGCGCCGGGCAACCGTTTTTTTCTGCTTATTTTTTACACATGTTTTCATTCTGCAACAAGGCGGAAGCAAGAAAATGAAACGTAACTTCTTCCACAACTTCAATATAATATTATGTCTCGAGGACAAGATCGTTAGTGGGGTGTGAGAGCCCCTCCTGTAGTCCTGGCTAGCGACCCCGAACACCCCCAAAGCTAGCTGAATGGTTAAATCCTCTAAGACGCCGCTTCCTATCTCTGGGGAGTTTTTGCTGTAGGATCATGTACGGGTGATCCGAGACGCATGATGTATAATCGGCAACTCCGTATCAACCCAAATGAGATCCCAGAAAGCGAGTGTCTAGCTAGCGACGAACGCCTAATGCCAGCCGTTCTCCTCCCCTTGCTCGATGGAAAATTCCAGCTAAATGATATATACCAATCAAATGTTAAAATAAACGGTACAAACGTCCAAAAAAGTGGTGTCGCTATGCAGCTAGGCATATACTAAACGTCTACATCCTTGTACACAGGACAGGTGTCAGATGATATATCGATTGTCACAGTAAGAAAACGATTGAACCAGGATCAACACCATCCATCTGGAAATATCATTCCCTGAGCTCTCTGTAGGTAAAAGTGATTGCATGAACAGAGGGCAATCAAGAAAAAATAATTAATGCTCATATCCAATCATCCAATTTTGCGCTAGGTAGGGTGTACTTACTTACTGACTTAACCCTTCTATTGAGCCCATATCAACATCCTTCGACAAGGTCCTTCATGAACAATCCATCCTCGTCCGGCTGTAACGCTTGCGGCGTTTATGGGTTGTTTGTGCTCCACTGCAGTTACATGCATGCAGTAGACCAGAAAGGCACCGCTTCAAACTTCCTAGATTGCATTTCAACGTCATTGATCCTTGGTAACATCTTTGACATTACAGGAGCTGATCTTTAGTAACGGTTAGTGAGCTGTCATTAAAAGACCTCACTTATAGCTGTGCCAGGTTTGAGCGTTGCATAAGGTTTGTATCTTTGAATGCATAGGCACGGGTCTATTTGTGTGGGGTAACACCGCTCGCGCCCTGCCCTGCCCAGTTGCAGTATATTGCAGTAGGCTGCATATTGTTTTTCATGCTAGTTTTCGGATCCGCCCTCTCCGCCAGAGGTAGAGCAAACAAAATAATAAAGCGAAACAAAACGATGAAAGGCTACAGATTACGGGGCCTTGGTGTAGGAGTGAGCCAAAGAATGGGTACAACGGCATCTAACCATTTTATAGCGTATTTCCATTGTCATCATATCTACTTTCGAAGTTTCCGTTTCCTGTATCAAAAGACCAAAAGAAAAGAGACGAGAACTTCTTCCATTTCAATAGTTTAAGAGTAAGTTTCCCGGAAAACAAAAGTAAAAAAAGTGTACTAAAAAGGGACAAGGGAGCAATCGGCCAGATTCTCCGTATACAGGATTGGAAGAGAGGTATCTTCAGGAATAGAAAAGTGTCATAATCGGAGAACCGGCGTGGGTAATAGGATACATCTAGCCACTGAATTGAAAACGAGATCGCTAGTCTTGTTAAAAGCGCTGAAAATAGAAGGAAGAGGACACAGTCCAAGTATTCCTCAGTCGCCCTTTCGAGATCTGTCAAAAAAAAAGCCATTAGCGTCTAATCATCCGTGTCGACTTTAATGAAAGATTCTTACATGCTGATCCTTCTGGCGATCTTGTTTAGTTGCGGGTCCTTATCGGCGCTCTGGACTGCTTTCTGGATCGCTTCCTTTCTCGATTCCTCCTCCTTGGTGTTAACTTCCTCGGCAGTAGGTGGCAACCTTTCATTTTGCAAGTCGACCTTTCTGGCATCCTCAAATCCGTGAATCGCATTCTTGATACCTTCAGCACCCAACATTAATGTACCAGCCGGTAGCTTGCCACCGGCGGCGGTTTTAAGCTCTGTGATACTTTCTGATTCCTCACGGAGGACCTGGAAAACACGCGAAAGACGACCAATGGCCAAAATTTTGTTCTTGATGGCGCGGCGTTTGGCTTCGAGATTTTCTGGATCCCCACCCGATTCGCTAATTGGAGGCGAGGAAGGTTCAGCAGAGAGCGGTGTTTCGGTTTCGAGTTCGTCCTTAGAGCAGGTGTTGAGAATAGCGATAAGCATGTCGGTGACTAGAGGATTGTCAGAGTGTATATCGGGTAGCTCAGGAACAGACTGAATACTAACTCTTCTCGCCGACGAAGGGGAGTGACCAGGTAAAGACATCCATGAAGTTAGGTAGCCAGTACGGATGGGGTGTACAATCTAGGGCCAATTAGCAATTCATAATCCTGGACCATGTTTCTTAAACATTCCACTCACTAAATTGCCTGATATTCATAACATTATTTTCGTATTTCAGTACGGCAGCCTTGTTGTTGTAGACATCTAGATAATTTGGTGCAGAGAAGATAGTCATAACGCTGGGGAAGCCGGTCGTTTTTGTTTTCCGATACATACGGTATCCAGCATCTTGCGCTTCGTGGGCTCGGATAACCGAGAGAAGGTTGTTCTTTTCGAGGAAATTGCAGGCAGCAGGATACGAGAAGAAGTAAGAGCACCCGCGGACATGGTTGTGTGTGAAAAAGTCGTTCGTCTTCTCTTGGCCGAACTCTTCCAATGGATCGGACCACAAGATGTCGCACATGAGGCCCTGAGTGGGTGGCTCACGGAATCGGTCGATCTACCACATGGAGTTAGAAAGCGCAGTTGTAGCAGATCTCAAAGAACTATCTTACAGCTCGGATGTCGTCGAGGGTATGTAATTCCGGACTAAGACCACCGTGGATGCAAAGGAACTGCTTGTTCATAACGGCAGCCAACGGCAAGGAACAGAACGATTCTGTGCATGCATCGTAAACTCTCTCGGTATACTTGTGTTTGCCTTTTCACCAAAGCTTCATCAGTTGTATATCCTCTAAAAATCATTTTTTGATGACGTCATACACTCAAGTTTGAAAGTAAAATAGTCTGTGAGATGCCTGCACTCATGGTTTCCGCGAAGTAGCCAAAGGGTATCTGGGTAATGAATTTTGAGAGCCCAGAGATATAGGACACACTGTTTCATTTGTTAGGTACTCCAATCTAACATTCAATGGAGCAGGGAGATCATCGAACTTACCTCAATACTGAAGTAGCCTCTGTCGACATAATCTCCCAAGAATAAATATCTGGTTTCTTCAGGATTGCCACCAACTTCGAAGAGTTTCATCAAATCGTAGTATTGGCCATGGACATCACCGCATACTGTGATAGGGGCATCCATCTCCAACAGATTCGGCTCCTTCCGAAGAATTTCGGTTCCCCTTTGGATGATGAAGAGGGCCTGCTCTTCCGTCAAACGGCCTTCCCGGTAGAAGTGCTGCTTCAGGAATGTGAGATTAGGTTTGGTGGCATCTGTCGGGTCGTAGAACTGCTCATCCGTCGGTTTTTGGGTAGCAGGGGCTTGGACATCTATCACCCCATCTATCAGTTAGGCTCCGTAGATAGTAGCGGCGAAGGCCGATGGGCAATGAGGAGGAACTGGTCGATATCATAATATCATGAATATCTTGAGGTTGTATGTACCTTTGATGACTCTCTCTTGTGTGCTGACCGTGGTCCCATCTTCCATAGTATGCAGGGTAAAATCGATCTCAGGAACGGGTTTCTTCTCCTGAACCGCTTTGATGGCCGCCTCGATTTTCGCGGTGTTCTCTTTCGCCAAAGCTGCTGCGTCCGCCATGATGAATGTCGTAGGTATGAGCTAAGTTCCCAATTCAAAAGTGCTTAAGTAGTTTAGTTGTAATGAAGCTTCCGATACTTTCGTGGGGTGGCTGTGGTCGGTGTGTAAGTAGTCGAAGTTGAGAAGAGTGGAGCTACGGCTGACTTTAGAATAGGAGGCTGCTGAAAGATGTGCTTAACAAACGGATCCTGACACGCAACTACCCCAGAAAGATGTCCTTGGATGTCAAAGAATGAAGTTGATACGAGGGAAAGAGTAGAGTCGCCGACACTCAAGTGGAGATTGTTTGAGTAAGTCTTGTGCAGGTTGAGCAGGGGGGCAAATCGGAGCGGCAAATAATCTTAATCCTAATGCTTAGGAGTGCTTGAAGCTCTCAAGTGGCAGCTGCAAAATTACCAAATCGTTGAACCTAACATGGTAACCAACTCGGTATAAGCGACAAAGCTTCGTCACGGCAAGCTTAGGGTAAAGGGATATAATCCTCACAGTTCCTAATCGACGTCAACAGCCGCCAGATCCTGATAGAAACCGCCGTTTCGCTAGACAAGATGGAATTCGAGTTTGCCGATGGGACTTTTTTTGACTTTGACGATTGGGGGGTTTGTTCGCTGGCACGCACGAGGGTTCCAGTATTAGCGTGTGCTTGAATTTCCTGCAGAAGGAGGGGTAACCCGCCACAGAAGGCCTTAACGTCAGCCAATATAAGCACGTTTAGACTTCCCCGATTCGTCAGAAAGTGGCGGTGGATGGTTGTGAACGGAGCTCTTGCGCCACAGGTTCTGGTGAAGCCTAAATGGATGCACCTGATTGGTGGACAGAAGCCGGAAAGAAACTTAGATGGTGCACATGGTGGTCAGTACTTAGTGTTTGGATCTCGACATGTAAAGTATGAAGCCTGAGTATACCCTGCCAGTTTTGGGGCTGACTGGCGATGGTGATGGATTGGATTGGGTTCGGGTGAATAGATCAGAGATTACATTTAATTATTACGATAGCTTTCTTTCGACACGTAAAAGCGACAGCTACAGATGGTCGTCGCGCGTGTTGTCCCAGCGGTCTTGAAGCCGAGAGATCTGTGACACCAACACAAAAATTACCACAAAACGAGTTACAAGACTGGCCAGCAGGACATGATGAGTGTAGAACACCCTTGATGTACCATAGCTTAGATAACACTCTAGAGTAATTCTTTCACCCGATACCTCATACCATAAAGTCACTTTTACTGGAATATCATTTTCTAATCAAGCCAGTCTATCCGGGACTTTTATGAATACCCTGGACATTGCTCCAATTATCGGAAGGTAATGCCTCATACGTATATCCGAACATATCTCATCGGCACTCACCCACTAGCCACCATATTCACACTGAGAGTGCCATGATCTTCCCATACTGTATGCAGACTTATGGAAGCCTCGTCCTCGTCTATATGCTCGTAAGGCTATAGGAGTGCAGTTCTATTGTATTTTATCACATGGTTACGAATCTGGTGAATATCCTGCACGTGAAGTTGGCGAATAATTAGAGACGTACCTCGCGGATCGATATCTTGCATAAGATTATGACGACTTGGGGCATTGCAGGGAGTATTTGCTACTATAGTTCCACCTACCGACGGAATTTCGAGATTCCAGGAACTTTAATTTTAAATTATCGGTCAAGGGGCTTTTCATTTGTGCAGTATACCCGGATATGTGCATAGCGCTGCTGCAGTTATCATGACGATGCACGGGCCGTAGGCTAGTTGCATCTTTTCGCATTCGCCTTTAAACTAGGCATAAACTTGTGAGGATAGAGAAATACAAGCAAGGGATTGAGTGGAAGTATTAGAGGTATTCATATGGGTTTCGAATTCGTGATAAATCCTTTATAGTCATATATACATAATTTTGTTGGGCTACAAATATCATAGCGGCTCCTTTCCTTCCGTAAACTCGTCCAGGTAACCCTGTTAACCTCATTATTGCCGCATATCCAAATCAATACCAAACAGTAACTCCGTATAAAAAGAATTCCAGGCGCGAAAACCAAAAAGAAATTTAAGTAAAATATACAGGTATAATTTGAAATAAAGTTGGGTATATGATTTTTTTTTCGTTTTTTTTTTGTATACGTCGATATACACAGCCGAAAATGAACGAAAGCTCGGCACCGTATTCGAGGCGTGTTTTTTTGAAGAAAGACTCGTGATCACAAAAACTCCTTTTCACGTGGAGAATCTTGAGCCAGAGAACTCCCTGGCCCCCCATTTCCATGCGACCCATACGCAGGTTCACTTGTAACTGTGATCTCAGTACTCTTGTATACCAAAAACCCCCCAAATGTCGGTGGTGGCACTGCAATTTCTTCAAAGTCATCCCCAGCACCTAGTGTGGATTGCAAAGTCGCACTTCTAGACCTTCCGATCTGTGAATTAAAATCGAAATCCTTTTCATCGGTTATTGATTTATTCGACCTATGTCCACCTCCAGCCAGTTTCAGACGCTGTAGAAGCGATGGGCTATGTTTGAGCATGCCGTTTCCGTGAGCCCCTGAGCCGCTACCACTTCGGTCGATCGCTGATATTGTGGTAATAGTCGTGTTATCGTCGAAGTAGCGGCCATTCGAAGTCGCTAGAGGGTTTGCCGTCAATTTCAAATCCGGATTGGAGAATAGTGTGCTTTCGACTTGATCATGAGCTGTGAAGAGGGGAACTTGGCGGAATAGCATAATAAACGATAGTCTAATTCCGGGCAGGCTCGCAATTATGATACCGATATGGACTTCGAGACTAACCCAAAGCCAGAGTTCATAGCCATACCCTGTGTCATTAATTATTAGCCCACGATGTCTCAAAAAAGCCTCAAGGGATAAAGGACATACAAGTATGATCGCCTTCAAATGTTTTGTGCAAAGCCTTTAGTCTCAGACCTGCGAATATACAGACACTAGACCCATTAGTTTTGTTCCCATAATAACGAGTTAACCAGACGAAATGGAAACATACAGTAAACCGAGAGAAAACAGCCCGATCAATGCCGCCCTTTCCTTCATTGGCCTTTTCATTGCTATAACTGTTGTTAATGGCAAGAAAAATAGAATTATGTCGCTCATCAAGTTCAGCCCTCCCTGTGCCATATTCAAGTGTTTGAAGGACTCGTAAGGAATACAAGATCTTTTCGAAATACCTTGCCCTAACAGCTGCCATGTTGATTGCACTGGTTGGCACTGAAAGATCATCGGAATCGCTAGGCCTAAACTCCATGCTAAGAAAAAAGCCAGGACGATGTAGATAGCCCACCTAAATCCTTTCTCGCTTGCGACACGCAGGTAAAAGCAGAGAATCGAGACTTTGGTGAACATGACACTGAATGAGAACGCCCAACCATTAACCCACTGCCAGAATAGAATATCCTGCGCATTCCGCCAGTCGATGTCCCACATGTGCCTTCCCCAACCATATTTGAGAGTTTTGAAGTGGGAGAGCGAGTCGGCAATTGCGAAACCCTATATACACACGCATTGTATTAGTATTTTACATCTCATTCTCATGGAGCCCACTTTATATTACCCAAGCCGGAATGATAATTATATCATCAATACCCAAGCTTCTTGTCACAACCCCCCTCGTTACCACTCGTAATATCACCGCTGTCGACGATAAAGCCAATAGAAGGCCTTCTACAGGAGGTAGGTAGGTTCCATATACTTCTGGGTTGACATAATTCGCCTTCGGCCACTGCGCTACTTCGGAGAGGGTATATGCTCTATCCATGGCGCTGTTGAACACCTCTCTCCCCTTCCTTCCTTCCCTTCCCTTCCTCTAAGACCTTGTCGGGGGCACACGTCGAATCTATATAGTTGGTATAGATGTTGGGTCCTTCACTAACTACCTCGACATGATACTAGTATAGTCGAAGCAACAATGTTGGTGGCGACGAAAAGGAAACACGAGGAAACTTCCGTCAAATGTGAGCTGCAAAGCCAGTGCAAAGGAAGATAGGCTTGATCGAATTAAACGCCTCTAAAGGAATAAAGAGACAATAAGCCAACGGCCTATAATTTGGGACCGAAAATCCAGGCAAGAAACGACTAAAAGAATGTGTGTATACAAAGCGTCGAAAGAAAGAAAGAAGAATAATAAGCCGGACCAGCAATTCCAACCCGTTGGGAATGATAATCACGCAAGTTTTGTTCAAAGACGTGAATAATCAAAAGAAAAGAGCGCAGACTACTTTTAAGTCGGAAGCTGTCAAAAAAGATGGTTAGAAGGCTCGCCAGTTGTCTGGAGGTGTGTCTGTGGTAGTTTCGCTTGGAGCTGTTCCAAAGGATGGACCCTTCCCAAAACATCTACAATGGGGATCGCAAGCGCATGAAGTTAGGGAACGAATGACGGCATTGACTACCTTTGCTTAGCTTCGTACCACCCTTTGTCTAATCTTTTTTGATAACCGTGATAGAGTGATAAAATAAAAGGAAAATGCGGTTGGGGAGGATAAAATAAATTTGTTTCTCAGAATAGATAGGCTGCCGAATTCTCACTTGATCTGCTTAAAAACGCAAAATATCGACACTCTGCGAGAAATTATCGATTTTAACAAAGAGAAATCGTCGAAAGCGATTGCGACAAAATAGAAAGAGATTCCCATTCGTTCCCATTTTCGTTCTTGTGAAACCACGAGCCGACGACAGGCACTTTCCCAGTACGCCGTTTCTGCGCCCGTCGGAGGGGTTGATTTCCAAAGGTGGCATGTCGCTGGTGATTGGGTCACTGTTCGACGTTTTGGTCGATCCCTGGGTCTTATTTCCCAGCTAGTGACTGGGTTCTTGGTTTTCCGGCCTGGCCTATGGGGTTTCTTTGCCTTAACACCATGGAGCTTAAAACAGCTGTGTCTAGGCTGCCCTACCCCGATCTTGTTTCTGGGCCTGCGGTTCCGTCGAATCGTGGCATGAGGAAAGTGGTGGGGAACGGCAGATACCGTCGTTGATTTGGTCAAATTTGAACGAGATCGTGGCGGCGCCCCATCCTCTCGCTCGCTGGCATCTCACTGTTCTTCGATTCGCGTTGGCTGGCATGGAGAACTTGAATAAGACAATGCGATATGCAATGCATCTGTGAGGAGAAATGAATCTATTCAAAATCTCATTTCTGGGAAATTGGATGAAGTGGCATGTACGGCGCGGCAGATAGCTACTGGAACTAACAATACGCATCGGTACGAGTTGTCGACGGTTATTGTATATATTGCATGTGTCCCAAATAGTCACTTGCGGACTTTGCAAGTGTTTGGCAATATGTATTGAATCAAGGGCGGGCTGGTTTCAGATTTTCGGTATTTTACTGAAGCCCTCCTCGCCTACCCGAACCTGCACTCCACGGGCTAGAATCCGTCTAAAATCGGAGGGGACGTCTTCTCATACTTAGGATCGAGAGGTCGAGAACCCCCAACTTGTAGTAAGCAGGAACAGGTCGTTTCAGCCGCGTCGAAGATTGACAGGAGGCTTCCCGTTGGTGATCAGACAGCTGGTGATTGAGATTGCTCGAATAAGCAGCTGACAATTTTTCATATCTGTCAGTTCCAAAAATGGCCTCGTCGTACTATACGTATTGTGTAGATAGTGTCAAGGATATATTGGTTTCTCTTTTACAAGTCTTGTACTGAATCAAAGAGAGAGAAAAACCATCAAGGATGAATGGAGAAAGATATGTGGCCGTTGAAGCGAAGGGACAAGTCCAACCCTGGCCAAGAAAACATCTACGCAACACTGTTCTGGTGGTGAGACGACCTGTGTCCCAAACTTATGCCGACTTCCGTAGACTTTTATATCTTCGCATGTGACTTTCTGTAGAAATTCTGTAGCATTAGGGCTTATGGGTCTAGAAGCTCATACATTCCGTCCCATTCCCTAGGTCCATTATAGGCCTGTATTATAATATCCTTGGTTATAAACGTTATTATCGATTATCATGATATATATCTACCCTGTAATCAGACTTGTCACTGAACTGTCTTAGGTACTCCGTATGTTCTGCAGCATTAAAAACACCAAGCGAGAATATTTTTAAAATTAAAGTTATGACAAGGTTATATCTGATAACATTTCTTGATTTTGTCTACTATGTATGTGCTACTATACTGTCAATACATAATATCTACTATGTATATATGGACTTTGAGTTCTATCTTATCGTGAAATCTATTTCCATATGATGCAAACCACGTGAACTGCCCTTTGTTTGACCACACAGGCCGTGTGCCCAAGACGCAGATTCAGGAACAGGCCTTGGCGAGATTAAGGGTCGCCGCTTAAGTTCGATGTGGGTCCAAGCGTTTTTGAATCTATCCCCGTCTTAGACCTCGCGGAATCGTGTCGCGACTGTCTTTCATTGTCAAAATGGGATTCTCAACTATCTATTCACAATATCCATAGGCAGAAGCACTGGGATTCGGCATCTCAACGTCTTATCGTACTGTTGCGTCGGTTGTCGTGCAAATTACAACATCGCGGAGCGGATTTTAACATTTGTCCCGCAGCGGCAGGAGAATTGCACTTTTGGATGTCAAAAGTGCCTTAGGAAAGCGGTAAGGCAGTCGACGAGTCTTTCCCCTGAAATCGATAACCGATATTTCGGCATCATGGAGCGAGCATGACTAACTATGACTCCTCGAAGGCCTTCACGAATTATATCTTATATACCTAGACCTGCCACTCGAGTAGTCCGATAGATTCGATACGTGCGGTCGACCCAATTGTCCCGAATCCGAGTTCAAAATACCAGCAGCCTATAATATCCGAACCAGCAACTTCAAATTCGGCTAGGAAACTACCAAGATGGGCAACAGCGACGATGGAACGAGTGCGTCCGATATTATCACCTACATCGGTGTTCCGCTCGCTGTATTGGGTGTTATGCCTGTCCTTTATACATTTCTTGTCGCTATAATCACTCAGCATCACATCCGCCGAGAACTCCGTCGTAATTACCTCAAGGCTGTTACGCGTACTTCTCTAATGTCTGGCACCGTCGAAGTCGAACACCCTCGATATTCGATACAGCCTTTACAAAGAGATGACATCGAATACTGGAAAAAATCGGACGAAAGATCTGGAATCCGCGGGGGTAGCTGGACAATTTTCCATTGGCATAAAATAGTTACGGGAAGGGTTCATTATCATCTGCGACTTAGGGAAAGGATGGTACAACCACAGGCAGAAATTGATTTTGAAAAATTGGTGACATTTTTGCTGGACCGAGGGGCAGTACCAGACGCGGAGGGCGTCAGAATGCTGAAGACAATGGGTTTACAAACACCTCGGATGACGAGGCTGTTAACTACCTCTGGCTCGGCGAAGAGAAGTGTCCTTGTTGTCAGCAATCCTGAGGAGGCAGAAGGACACCTAAGTCTCAGTCTCTTCTGGGCCGATGAACTTGGTTCAAGGAACGAAGGTAGCTTACCTCCTTACTGGGCAAGACTTCAGGGCAGCGAATTACTGCTCGAAAAGGCCGCGGAGCCAGCCGTAGAAGAGGAGCCAGCAGAGATTCCGGACACAGCTGGTGAATCTAGCGAAAAATCTGGCGATATCAAGGCCGATCCTCCAGCCGCCGAGAAAGAAGCCCCGCCACCTCCTTTCCCTGCGATTAATACACCAGCCCACTGGGGTGCTGAGGACTCGAAGTCCCGGCTCCCAGTTCGACTATTCCTTGGATCTACCGGGCTCGAGGATGCAAAAATCGAGACACTAGACGGATCAGACGTCTACGGTTCGTTCCGCATAGAGCATCTTAAATTTCAATATCCAGGAGCCACCTGCAATATGAACGTCTGGTTCGCCGCTGGTGCTGTGACAACCTTGGGGGAATACCACAAAGGTCTGTGGAAGTATTCGATTCCGATGGATGTTATGAGGTTCGCGCAAAAAGATACAATGCCGCACGGTACCCTTGTCTGGCTCGGACTTTTGGAGGAAGAAGACACCCCAATGATGGTCGCTCGAAGGGAAGCTAAAGTCAAAGCATTCCACGAACAGAGGCATAAAGAATTTTTAGACGGGATGAGACAGCGCGAGTTGGAGAAAAACATGCCAGAGGCGATGCGTCAACAAGCACAACGTTCACGGCAGATGGCAAGTGCGCAGGCAATGCTACAAAAGCAACGGGATGAACAAAGAGAGCGACAGGAAGAGGAGTTCAGGAAGAAAGAACTCGCATTAACGAGTCATCGAGTCACGCAGGCTATTGTATCCGGTGCCTGTTTGGAATATCTCAAGAAGGAAGGCTATGTGCCAACGTCGGTTAACGTGCAGCAGATATGCGAGGGCATTCTTTATAAAATGCTCTTCGAAGAGGAGTTCGCAAGCAGAATGTGCAAGGTATTAGACGGGTGGATGGGGTGGGGGGAAGTTGGTGTCATGAACGACAGACATCTCGATGAGCTGAAGGAAGACGTTGCGGCATTTTGCTTTGCCGGTGTGATGTTGGGGGTTATTGGGGAGAGAGCGAAAAGCGCTGAGACTTGGGCAGGTAGTGACCTCGCAGAATGCCAAAGAGTCTTCAGAAGCGTTTACTTAGGGTGAAGGTCCTTCGCAATATCCTTGCTGTGATTTATGCTGGCGTTTCTACAATTGTGGGTGGCATGTCTTCGGGGTCCAAAAGTGTAAACTACGTTATTCTGTACATTCTCAAAATTAAAAATATTATTACGTGTATTGTATATCTAATTTATTAGCTAATATCTTCATGTCTGTAGTGTCACTGGGGAAGCTAAGTTAATTAAGGACAGTTACGATTATAGAATACGAGCCCGGGGCAGTTCGGTGTATTGGGGATAACAAAATACTTCCACCAAGGGGACTCAATCCCTCATCCAGGGAGGGGAGCGGCCGCAATATTTCAAACCGGCGGGTTGTAAACCCAAGCTAGGGAAAGACTCTCAACAGGTTACTAAGTTGAACCCGATAATTAGAAACATAAAGCCCGTATGTTACAGGTTTCGGGGCAGCCACAGGGCCACGGGCATCGATCGATCTCAAAAATATGTTGCCTTCAATATCACGAATGCAATTATAACTTCAGGCTTGTGACCAAGATCGATTCCACGACTCGTCAAATTCGGAAGCTATATCTCGTGTATTTCATGATCTCCGATTCCACGAGTTCGATTCTCGTGGATCAAAACATGATGATATCAGGCCACATCATAAAGCCCCTAGGGCCCTACGCCTCCAGTCTGGCTAGCTAGCTAGCTAGTATATGTACCCTATGAAGGAGAAATTATAAGCCAGCCGTCGTGAGTTCGACGCTAGAGGCACCCCTCATGTCGGCCTACTCGGATCTTTTTTCCAAATATAAACACTTGAACGTGAATTCATGGCCACATGGCAAGGATTAATCAAGAAAAACTTTTTCAAATGGAACACGGCTGAACCCAACATATGCATGTCAAGAGTTCTTGAGCGATCCAGAAATGCTTAACTCAACAGAAGCTTTCACTCAAGCCTGCTTGGTTGTTGAGGTTCCGTTGGATTATTTAGGCGCCTTCCCAAAACGGTGCAAGTCGATGGACTTGTACAGGGTCCACGCAGGAAAAAAGTGGAGATTGATCAGATTAGTAGATTAGATCCCGGAGATATGGGAATTATCAAGGCATCAGATGTCAAAATAGTTATTTTTTTGAAGCTAAAACTGTAGAAAAAAGCTTAGCCTCAAAGCCCATCTGCAGCATGCAGCCTAGGCGGGTGGGATGTTAACGGAAAGCTAGTTATTGTCATCTTCCGAGATCGGGGAGGCAAGCGGGATGCGTAATCTTCGATGATATTTTCAAAAATTTTCATGCGAGCTCTCGAAATTTAAATTTCGTCGATGGAAATATTTACAGCTGTCTTATCAGGCCTAATCATGCTGATTAGATCGCATCTGATTCGATTAAATTGTATCGTTCCATGGAGCTAAGTGACTTAGACTTCGGATTCCCGTTTATATCATCTGTAAAGGGTAGGTGAAATAGACGATCATGTTCCGATTCTTCGATTGTAGAGTACTCGGGTGGGGTCACTTTCGAGTGCGGGATATGGTGGGCGCGAGAACACGGGTATCCAGGCTGCAGATTGGATCCCTCTATGCAGCTGCCCACATGCGCATGCGCATATTCTGTCGAAACCAATCCGGCTAACAGCTGCAGCAGTTAACAGGAAACGTTCAAAATTGTACAGAAATGGTAGATCAGCGGAAATCTTATCATATCATGCCGAGGAGATAATCAGCACACAAGATCTCAAGAGGATCTAATCTTGATATGATATGATATGATTTTATCCTGATCATCAGCCGGAGAATGGTGTACTAGTTAGCTTTGGGGAGGTAGCACTGTCAATAATGCATGGAACATAACATCACTTTAAGGCGTCGTCAAATGCGCGCAGCATGCGCATGCGGGATCATGATGTTCTAACTTCTTTATCTTGATCCAGTGGGGTCTTAGGATCTAATCATATCATATCTTGCCTTTCTGTCTCCAATCTTACAGGGGTATACGTATATTCTCGAGTTTACATGGTCTGGGTATTTTTTATTATTTTTTTTTTTTTCCGAAAAAGCTCTAAAGTTGAGAACTTGACAGAGTATCGGATGAAGGACAACCGGGAGGGAAATAACCTTGTCAAAGCGGGTGACATAATCACATGTGGCTCTCATTCCCTCCAAACATTCGAACATTGTTAATGTTCCGCGGGTCGAAGATTCTAGCTGCATTTCAGTAGTTCATGCGGAGTTTTCGAAATCGAGCAATCAACGAGAATCTCGACATTCGGACAGCCAAGTCAACGTCAAGAGGTTTCATGCAGGTGCAACCGCCAATAATATAATATGCAACATCACCGAGTGTAGGTCAGAACCCCTCTGTGACGTCTTTTGCCAGTCCATGTACATGAAACAATGACAAGCATTTCATCCAGTTTTATAGAAAATAAATGTTTCCATATTTTCATGGATTGTCAAAGAAAAGTGGATGCAAGATAGATTGGAGTTTTAAAGTGTGGCACGCTTTACTGTGGAACCCTGCGGTAAGGAGGCGAGGAGGAGGAGGCTAAAAAAGCAAAGGCCTGCAAGTCGGAAAGTTCAACCGTCGAACCGAGGCACCGAAAAGCCGCCTCTCCAATTACAAGGCATAGACTGGTAGACGACAGATAGCCTCATCCGTCGACAGGACAAGACGGGTTCTTCTTTCTGGTGGTGTCACTGGATTATGGCATGCTTATGGAATGCTTACATTTGGATTGTCAGTATTTTGTTGATTACCTCGCTGGCACTGGCTAGTATAGTATGCTGTTCGTCCTATTGAAACCCGCAAGGCGAACTGCCTTTCTTGAGCTTCTCAGAAGAAACGGCGCTGTGGCTGTCGAGGGTAACCTAGCGCAAATTTAACCTGCCAGCTCCGACTTGCTCTGTGACTTTGGGCTATAATAGTTTTTCCCCGAGAACACGGCCCAAGGTCCCACCTATGCAGCGCATTCGGTAGGCATTCGCATATTCTCACCTACAGGACGAATTCCTCGCTACGCAAAAGCCTGCTTCCATATGGAATAACTATCCCCCCACTGACAGGGTAGGCTGCAGCTGTTGGATTTGGAAGGTTGGTATCCGACAAGCGACTGTTGGAGATACTATCCAACACATTTACCCAAAGATGGTAGCTTCAAATAGATGATGCCATTTTACAAGAACATTTCATGGCCATGAGTGCTGAAATTTAACGGGACGGGTGTCGTTCTCCCGGTGTTGAAGATAAAATAGCTCTGGACCCTCATACCTCAGGTAGAGTGATGCTAAGCTGCGGGCCCAGAAAATGCCAATGTACTCCACCGGGCTTATTACTTCTCGGAGCCATAGTTTTCCGGGAAGAGTGCCTGGTTGTCTAAGTTGACTGCTTGCCTGATCGGACTGGTCGGGCTTTCGAAATCGAAAGCTCCTCGCGGGATATCGATACCTAAGAAACGTCAAACGGCCGACTTCAAAGATCATTAATCTTTTGTCTTTTTATTCATGTATTTTTTTTATTTTTTTTTCCCCACCTTTTGCGAATATAGGCCATGGGGCGGCAGGCCGGAGTCAGCGAGTCAATTCGCTCTTTAGCACAGGGTCACTAGATTGGCTACTTTTTTCCATATTTTATATACAGTCGAACCTTGAAAGAAGATCTCATGAGCATAACAGTTATGCAGACAGTCTGCGTCATCCTTAGTGTCAAATAAAAAAATAAAAAAATCGGTCCCATTGCATTGTTGAATATCTGCTCTTGCAGCGCCCTATCCGTGCAAGAAACTTGTATTTTGCTCACGAGGCGATTGTTTTCCGATGACCGGGAACCCTGGGGCCGGTTTGCAGCTGTCATAAATCAGAGCCGGTCCGTAATAAATAAAAAACTTTTCAGGGACGACCATCTGGAACGGTCCAGAATGACGAAGGTATTCAAGGGCAAATTTGCCGAGGTATGTAACCTAACTTTCATTATTAAAATAATAGAAATGCGAATCATTCGAACTTTTCAGTGGTTCTATGATAGCTAACTGCCTCTCTTAAATTTGCCAGTATTATATAGGGCGCTGGGGCAAACATTAAACAGTGCAGTGGAACCATGCATAGCGGACTAGGGCTGTTCAAACGGGGCCAAATGGAAGCTTCTTTTGATCAAGGGAATCAAATAGACTTTTATTTCAGTTAACCAGATCCGTACACGTATGAATTTCCCCGTGGCCCAACGGCTGCCTCCCCGCGATATATATTGCAATACTTTGCAGGCACGGAGATTATCTAAGAACTTGGTAATGCTATATATCCAACACATTCTAATATTCAAAAAGAAATTAACTTCCGCCCAACCTCTTCATGCAGAAAAGATAAGCACTGCAGCATTGTCTTGCCATTGATACACGCAAGTTATGTACCTGGTATTCCGTCTTGGTAAATTCGCGATTGGGTCGTTTTATACGCTGAAAATAGCTACCTCCATCTGTTCTGATGTAAGTTTCTTTATTTCCCCAGAGATTAGTGTAGCATTCATACACAAAACTTAAAACAACCTTTTCTTTCAAAAAAAAAAAAAAAAATTGAAATTCTTCTACTTAAGAGCGGATTCAAGCTAGTCGGCCCCGGAGGGCCGTACCTGGGTAGCCTGGATGACCCCCATATTATTTAGAGGTTGTAAGTATCCGCGGCGACACAATGCCCATGGGCGCCCAGAAGGGGTATCCACAGGGAACCCCCCTCTTGTCAAAAACTTAAGGTGCCTAGATCTAACCATGGAATATTTTCTTTTTATCATGGAGATACTAGTGGCAAGTTCCAGCCTGTAACCCGACTCCGCAGAGTGCTTCCGCCCGTTCACGTCTTCAAGCACCGGAATGATATTGCGACTACCTCCTACCCTTGCTTGTGCCTATGACCAAATGCACAAGGCACAGGAAATAAAGAAAATATATGCGAGGGAGAAAGAGTATGAGATCCCATATTGGGATCTTATCAATCTACACCCATGCAGAGCTTGGGTTGATTAAGACAGCTTGGAAAGTGTACCAGTTGCCGCGGTGAATGGGAATTATAAAGACTTGACGTCCCAACCTGTCGTTTGAGCGGATATCTATAGCTGCTCAGCAATATTGCATATTTCATCAACAAGTTGGCCCAAGGTCATAGATATATCCAAGACTTTTTCACTTGGTATATCATATTATCACAATGGCTTCAACGATTCAACAACTTTGGGCTCGTGCCGATGCTGGCTCTGGTGGGCACTCCGCAGGCGGCCATGGAGGCAACTCTACAGGTGGCAGCAGTACTGGCCAAATGTCTCAAGAAGAGCTTCGTGCATTCCGCCACTGGATGTCACTCGTGAATGGCGAAATGGCGAAATGGTACGGATTGGGCCTGGGTGCCATAATCTTTTTATTCATCTTCTTTCACGTTTCGAGAACATTTATGCACCTTCAAGGCCGTCGAGGAATTATGGGAAGAATGCTTGCATCACCGTTCCGGTATGTAATTCCAATAATCGATTGGTCTTTAATGTTACTGACATCGGGATGGCTGATTTTTGATTTCTTACAGAGGATTTCGAAAAATCGCTTTGCGAAAAATGCCCAGATTCACTTCAAACGGGCATTTTGGTTTAATAGCTGTGTATACTGGTCTCAACGTCTTTTTCGCTGTTTATAGAATGGGATGGGGAGGCAAGTACGGGACTGGTTTCATCTCAAAAAGATGTGGATGGTAAGATTTAACCCAATATCAATCCATAGTATCTTCGAAGGGAGTGATTTGTGTTAACATTTTGTTGTACTGTTGTCTTAAGGCTCTCTCTTGTCAATTTGGCTTTGGTGTTTCTTTTGGCCATGAAGAACAATCCCTTTACCTTCATCACAGGGTACTCTCATGAAAGACTAAACGTCCTCCATAGGTGGGCGGGGCGATTCTGTTGGATCCAAGGCACTATCCATGTCACGTAAGTTGGAAAACCTAGAATTCTAGAAGGATAAACATTCTAACTAACATCGAAAACAGCCTTTACATATATAGCTGGACGAAGAGTGGAAGCTTCTTATCCCGTCTCAGTCAAGAAGATTGGTCATATCGGGCAGGTCTGATAGCTTGGATCTTCTTCACCATACTCTTCTTATCCTCCTTTGCATTCATCCGCAGACGAGCATATGAGTGGTTCTATATCGTCCACATCATCTGCGCTCTTGGTGCTGTTGCCTCGCTAGGTTTCCACGAGCCAACGACATATGGCGCAGCCTTGTACCTGGCATCCGCTATGTGGATTTTTGATCGCCTGGTTCGATTATTCCGTGGATTTCACTACAGCAAAGGAACCAAAGCTACCATCTACCCGCTTCCCGGAGACTGCGTCAAGGTTGTTCTCAATAAAACTGCGACTTTCCAGCCTGCATCTCATGGATTTATCAACATCCCATCAATCAAGCTCTTCCAAAGTCACCCTTTTACTATTTCTTCGGCCGACTCCCTCGAGTTCATCATCCGTGCTCAGAGAGGGTTCACTCGCAAGCTATATGACAGAGCCGTTCTGAATCCTGGTGAATCCCTTGGGTGTTATTTCGATGGCCCATATGGCAATATTCCGGACTACCGAAGGATGAACCGTCTTGTCCTGTTTGCTGGAGGTAGCGGTGGATCATTTTCATTCGCTATTGCTACGGACATCGCCCGCAATCTAAAGCGGTGCTCTGTCGAAAGCATCGAGTTTGTTTGGGTTATTCGCGAAAGATGTAAGTTGCAATCGATCCCAACCAACTAATGTGCTAAACCAAATTAATATTAAGACTAACAAATACACTTTACTAGCCCATACAAAATGGTTCGAAAAGGAACTTGAGGAACTACAGAACTGTCCTATCGTAAACCTGCGTATCTTCGTCACTCGCCAGCCTTCGGATCTCATCAATACACACCCAGAGTCTCCAACAAATGCAACAGCAGAAGACCTCCAAGGATCTCTTCCCGTCCAGGATAGTACAGACTCCGGTTTAACCTTCGACGAGAAACCTGGTGGCCCTTCGCATGCAAACTCAACCGATCTTCTTTCTATCCCAGAGAAGGCTTTGGAACTTGTCATTGATACTAAGGTTAGACAAGTCAACAGGATTGGCTCTGACGGAAGCCTCAGAGGAGATATCTTTGAGTATGGCCGGCCGGAGATGGACATGATCGTACAAGATGCTATCCGAAATGCCACCCAGAACGACCTTGTTGCGGTCGGAGCCTGTGGTCCCACCGAGCTTATGAGATGCGCTAGAAATGCAACGGCTTCTGCTATCACGGTTAATGGACCAAGCATCTCTCTTCACTGTGAGCAGTTCGGATGGGGCTAATTCCCTCGTTCTTTCTTCCCTTCCTTCCTTTTTCCTTCTTTCTTTCTCTCTTTCTTTCTTTCTTTCTTTTCTTTTTTTTTGGTAAAACTGAGGAGGACCACGAGACAACAAAGATACCCCGATGATTTTTTTTTCTTTTCTTTCTTTTTTAATGAGTCTCGATGATGTGCGTCAATTAGATATACCTGTTCCGTTTATATTAGTTCTGCATCGGGTCTGGTCGTTTATGGAGTTCGATGTTTTTTGTTTTGGAGTTCACCATTTGTATTTAATATTATAATTCTTATAGTTAAAATACGAATGACTGAACGAGTATATATACATTCGTTATCTTAACAATAAAAATATTTAACCAAAATAACGATCTCTGAGCGGACTTCAAGGCTTCTTGGTAAGTTGAAGTCTCGCAGAATAAAGTAATTTTTGTCCCACCTGGTGTCTCGCATTCGATCACTAAAACCTTAAAGCGATATTCGTCCTGAAACTGCGGAGTACATATTACCCATAACTGCCTATCCAAAAGCTAGATTCTCTTTATATGCCAAACAAGCTCCCCAACTTTCTAATGTGAGTATAAAAAACATCTTCCCCGCTGCCTGCTCCGGTGTGCCAAATCGAAGCAGTTTCCAAACCATGTAAATCTATCCCATATATTCACCCACACCAGATTAGATCTAGCCCAACAAGGGTCAAAAGTACCAGGCTTGTGATCTAATGCCGGATTAGCCGGGTTATATAACCCCGAAGCCTTGGAAGTACATCACACACAAGGGTGTTACATAGTATATATTGCAACAACCTGTTAGGCGGCGTCGAAATCCGAATAATATACGCTGGTAGTATACCGTGACGTAGGAAAATCTCTAGAGCTCTCACGCCACCCCCTTCCCCACCGAAAAAAAAAGACCAAGAGCGTAATATGCAAATCGTTTTTTGTGATCTGCCAGTTCATCATAAGCATTGCGTAAACTAACCCACTAACACACCTTACTAAGGGATGATAAAAGCGCTATACGCTGTATGTGGGAGAAGGATACCCATGTATTCAAGCACGCCGAGGGTCAGGGCCACTAGCAAGCCGAGACCCGTCGATAGCTGTCAACTTAAGGTGCGGGTGTTTCAAGCCACAGACCTTTTTTTTTTGCGGATTGCGCAACATACGCCCGTTTCGTAGTTGTAGATATTCTCCGCCCGGAAATTTGTTCCGACAAGGACAAGCTAGTTATGTAACTACATGCTACAGGCAGCAAGAAGTTGAAGCATGCGAGCAGCCCCCTGAAGGACCACACCTTTGGAGATGCAGAGACGTTTGCCGTAGGAACCGAATCCCGGTCTTTCATCTTTGGATCTTTCTGCCTTGTACCGTGTGACTACCAATTCTTGAGGTCATCTGCAATGACGGCCTGGGTTCGTCTCGTACCCAGGCCTCAGGTGGAGAAAAGCTTGTTTTTGTCGGATGCAGTATATGATTGGCTAATATGTAAAGTGCTGACACGGTTAGCTGTATGATATCCCTTTCTACAACCCGAATGACAGGTAGATAGCTGAGTAAATAACAGATGTTATCATTATATTATGATATTATTATAGAATCCAGTTATAGGACAGCCAGCCTCCCAACTTTGACACTGCTACCCGGCACAATATACAGACGAAGAGTATAACTTCTACTCGGATAAGTCCACCATCCCCTTGTCTTTCTTGATTAGGTCATTAACTCATCAGGGTCCAACTATTCACTCGAATTCTTTTCTTATCTCCGCGTGTCGGAGAAGCAAAGAGAAAATTCGGGGTTTGTCTCGTAAACCAAACAGTGTTTCTACACTCAAACCTTCATTGGAGGCTCCCATGTATTACCTTTATTCTTATGGAACTCCAGAATCCAATCTCTAACAACCTCGATTTCTCGGAAATGCACATCCTGAATCCTCAACGGCTCCTTTGAGATATCCCCTAAACCATTTTCATCATTATGATGCCATGCCTCTTGAATCAAAATACTAAGCCGATCGCTTCTATCCTTTTGCGGAGAATTTATACTATGGGGCGTGGCGTAGAGCCAGGGATCGTGGGTTCCGTCGATATACATCAGTCTTGGAGCAGTAAGGTTGAAGCCACCGTATCTTAGAACCTTGGATGTATCTATGACAAAATCCGGGGCTAAAAGTTGTTAGTAAGGAAATATCAAGAACTCCAAACCTACGGAGCCAAGGTAAAACTTACGCAATTTAAAAGAATTTTGACATATTCGGCGAAGATACTTGAGATCTACAATTCGCGGCACTAAGGTCGGGAAACCAGTAGGTGCTCCTGGAATAAGATATCCCCACTATATTAAGATTGTTCTCATCAGTATTACGATCGAAGCATCTTAGTAGAAGGGATATTTACCTCTGTGCAGACTTGCCATGTCCATAGCTTCCAACTCTCGCTCAAAGATTCGCCTTCGTATCCCCCCAAATCCCACGTTCCTACGCACTTCACAAGGTCTTCATCACCGCAACTGCTCCCCAATGACGCCCTCGTCCACCTTGCAAAGTTATGAATACCTTCTTCCAGATCAAAATCAGGTCTGCTCCTCAAAACCTTTTCTGGGAAACCTGGTTTGCTGTAGTCTTCATCCACACCCTCGGTAATATTCGCACAAAATCTATCCCAATCCTTCGCACCCCTTTGATTCTTATCCCAGTTCCCGAGCTGCCAGATTCCAAGGATACCAAATATAAAATTTGCAGCATCACGATCCTCCAGCCTTTTCACTCCAAAAAGTCCCTTGAAATCCGTCCATATGGGTCCTCCCACCTTGCTGTATGTATCTATTCTCCTGGAGGTCTCTTCTAAGATCGCAATACAAATGGGATCTCCAACCTTCCTCACCGGTTCGTTATACTCCCAAAAGTTCTCCCCGGCCCAAGTCACCGCACTCGATGCCAAAGACCCATAGTATATCTCCGGATACTCGATTTGTAAAAACGCCGACTTAGCTCCGGCATAAGACCCACCATAACTGATAAACGGCGCGTTATCAGGCCGTATGTGAGATAAATTCGCAGGAAGCTCTTTCCACAGATTTTCCGCGAAATATGCATTATCCTTCAAGCTTTGTGCCGTGTTCAACCATTTCAAATTCTCAACTGTTAGATTTGGAGTTACGTAACTCTTGCCGTAGTATCTGTGTTCGAGAACTATTCCAATGCCTCCAAGGTATTCGGTGATATATCGCCCAATACCCGTTTGCATGTACTCGACGCGACCTGCACCACTTGTTTCTCCGCCATCGAGAACAAAAATGGGTCCACCGGGCTTGTAAAAATGAGTAGATATCCAATATCGTTGCTGGAATGTGTTGTTGTTGGAAGGGTCGAAGTGATCGACCTTTTGGGGAAACCAAAGCTCGGTGTATGGTATGGCATTAGGATTCGAAGCACTATCTAAAGCCCGTCTATTGGTGAATGAAATATATGAAGTTAGATATTATATATACAATTTATTGATGTATAGGATTCGCGCTTTGAATCTTCTCCCTACTTTTCGAGCTCAACTTTCAAGATTTCTTCATATCGTTTGCGTAATCCCGGTGGCTGGAAGGATGGTTGGTATCGTGGAAACCCCTCCTCACCTAGCACCAGTGACACTGAAGCGAGTACTGCGACCGCAGTAGCAACGAAACCTCGTCGCATCTTGATTCTGTCTATAGTAACAAAGAGTGTGAAGAAAGACAATAGGCTAGAATACTTTCCAGATATAAGGGTGGAACAGTGGTACAGAGTATATATATCGTCCTGCATTGACCCTTATATGCCGTGGCTCGTTACCTGCCTATGCAAGACCCATCCCGCTTGTCTGAACAGGGAAAGAGGACCTGCATATCTCGTCACACAACCGGAAACTCCACATCTAATATCGATCGTGGGTTGATATCATGTGTTAGTGAAGATCCTCAGGGGTGTAGACGTTCAGGGACATGGAATGGAGAGACACTGGCACTAACTGCTCATTAAGCACTAGCGCCTAGCCAGCCCTAAGACTGAGAATGTATCAAAAATTCACGAGATTGATGGTTATATAAATACTGGTAATTGCGCAACATAGTAACGTAATTAACGAAGGTGCCTAACAGGCTCTGACATTTTTTTTTCGAGAATGCTATGAATTCTTATATTATATCCCGAAATTTCTGATTAAATTTACCATTAGATATCTAGATATTATACCCTGCGCGAAGTTTCGAACAAATCAGATGATAATATTAATAACAACAAGTCTACCTTTTAAAATGCTCGTGGATGAAAGCAACGAGTCATGAGTAGAAACTGCCGCCTAGCTAGAGCCATAGGTTCAAACAGGGCAGGTATCGATATAGGGAGGGGCAGGAAGTCGCGAATTCGTATAGGTATATGAATTTGCAACCTTGTAAACACCATCAGATCTAACTTGCCCACCATTCACCGCATAACTGTCGGCCCAAGTCCAAGTGTAAAGGGTACAAGTCAGCCCTTGCGCCTTGCCGTCCTTCAACACGACATATGCGTCAAAGAAGTTCTATAGCACATAATGTATTAGCATTCAAAGTTCATAAAGTAGAATCGTAGAATATAGTAAGATACTTACGCAGGCTTTATATTGACAGGGAGTGCTGGCATGGTGCCTTGAATTGTATGCAGTCTGTGCATCACAAGCAGCTGCACAAACAGCGGGTTCAAAGTAGTCGACATTAACATCTGCATTTGGATAACTCTTGACGCCCAAATAAGTGTTATCTCCATTCAGAAGAGGAGCATTGATAGATCCATAGAGATCTTGTCCGTAGCTCGTAAAGTTGGCAAGATTGCTGGCAGCGTACGGCTTGACATATCCAACAGATGCTGCAATGACGACTTTGAATTGTCTTCGAGTTTGGCCGATGTTATCGGCCGCACCGGCAAGGAAGGGGAAAGACCAAAGGGTACACTTGTAGTTTGTGATGATAGAGGGATTAGGGCACAAATCGCCAGGGTCAAGGGACGGGTCTCGTTCAACGTAGAAGTTGAAACCAAGACACTGAGCCTTCTTATCGCAGAGAGTCTTGCAGGCATTTATATCGTAGGCGTGGATGGTCGTGAGCCCACGGTAGCCAATTTGGCTGACGCTACCTCTTAGGCCGTCGAAGACCTTTTTATAGGGGCCAAGAGTCGAGGGATTGGTAGGTGGGTAGGCGGCTTCAACGGCCTCTTGCCAAGGGACAGGTTCGAGGTTGATGAATTGCGGGCCATTGTTGATAGGCTGAGGAGCACAGTCTCCAGGTACACGCTTCAAAATGGCCTTGACATCGCGACGAAGTTTCCTGATAGGAGTGGCCGGGTCGTCCTTGATGTCTTCAACGATGTCGCTGGTTGCAGGCTTGGACAAAGGGATAGACTCTTTGGTTGTGCCAAAGTCTGGACCAGTAGATAAATCATCCGACGAGAAGTCAAGACCAGAGAAGTCAACATCTTGTGGGCGTGGTGCTGGTGCCGGTGCACTCAAAGCAGTAGCAGCGAGGGCCGCAAGGATAATTGATGTCTTCATCTTGATATATATAACGTGCTAAATGAGAGGAGTTATATTTAACTAGAGGGACCGGTCGATATATAACCAGTTAAGGAATATAAAGCAGGATTTGAACGATAGTCCTCCACTCGTTATCCAATAAGCGAATGTGGATCTTGCAATGACAATTAATTAAAGGTCGAGGAGGCCTTTCTATAGAGTCTGGATGAAAGCCGTAGTGATCTTCGTGCTACCCGTGTGGGGCGGAACGACATATTTATATTTCCTCCAGGGTAAACAGGCACCCTCGTGTATCTACAATCCGGGTTCCGGTACATATGTGGCATAGAATCCTTAACTCTGTATATTATAACAGCGGGATGTGATCTAATTTTGTCGTTTCTCTATCAGCAGGGCTGGATATTGATGTTGGGACCCCCCATTATGGCCTAGAAAACAGGTGGATAGCCAGGTTGATACTTCGCACGTACATACATGTATGATAAGGAGGCGAGCTCCAGCTCGAGCGCACAGAAATGCCTCTGCATGTTTCCACCTATATTTGTGGTGTAGTTATCGCGGCCCCGATGTTTCTTAGGTCTTGGTCTCCAAAAGGAGTGCCATTTCGGCGAAACGACCCTGGTGGAAAGGCATGTAGTGGTGGCATAAGATTGGATTGAACGTCAACGACCAGGATTACCCATCTAGATTTCATGCCGCTGACTCAAAGTGGCGAGAAAATCCGGCTTGCTTTCCGCAGCGCGCAGCCAATCGGTTACTGCAAGGGCGACGTAGGTGCCGAACGTAGGTACCTGTCGATCTAGAAGATGGCCCCATATGGCCAACGTGCCTTTAACTGATTCAACCGTCATCATTTTTTCCCCCGCGTATGGTATCACTTAGTAATAAGCCGATATAAATTTACGGCCACTTGAAATAATAGTATCATAGATCAACAATTCCGTCAGTCAAATACCAAACTAGACCTACAGGTCTCTCGGTTTAGCTTAGCAGCCAGCGCTAGCGGATACCGGAATCGAAATATATGCACGTCTACCCCCACTCTGAAAATAAAACGATTCTATGAGGTCAACTTGCCATTTTGGCGCTGAGCGAAGTCATAATTTCAGAGCTTTCAGCTTATGCAAGTTGACCTGAAAACTGCCTGCATCTGCATGGGCTTCATGAATTTTTTTCCCTTTATGGTTCTAATTTTCCTTTCCTTTCCTTGCGCGCGCACCCACGAGCTGCCTTCGTCTTGTTTTTATCTCGGATCATACCGGATTTACGACGGGCAGGATACGTCGCATGAATCCACATATGCCAACAAAGCGTCTTATCTTTCGGCAGGTTCTCCGAATATTACACCAACCCCACCGGCTATAAACCCTTGGATTGTATTCAGGGCTGAAGTCATTCGAGGAAAGAAAATCCCCAATTAATTAAAATTTTCAGGTCGTGCAAGCGTGGTAGGTTTTGCTTGGTTCAATGTATTGCAAGAACCGGGGAAACAATCATTGTAGGACCAGATTTGTGTGATCTCGAATGACATGATTATCTGGCTCTCTCGAAGAATTCAGTTATGCTCGATTGAACAGGTCCGAATTGGCTGAGGTGGTATCGCCTTGCATCATGCAGCCTGCAGCACGGGAGGCTTCGACTGAGCGGCCTCGGATTCGCGCTTCGATAACCAATTGCGATAGTGGCGTTTTCGCTCTTTATCTTCCCTAAATTCGAAATCGATGATCATGAAGTGTTTGCCATCGTTTTTACGATCATTGATACCCTTGGCCTGCCCAGCCGGCAAAATGCCTCGTGTTCGAATTCTGCTTGGGTTAAAATGAGACCGACATGGTTTTCTGTTCTGTCCACTGCGGCTGAGATTAAAAGACACCGAATAGTTATAAGCCAGGGGTAGACATTCATAGTGCAAAGTAGAGATATTGAAACCCCGCCTGTGATTGTATACATGTAACGAGTAGAATTAAGGCTGGAATCGAAAATCGATCTGGTCATTCTTGTCAGCCTTGAGCTTGGTACCCAAGCTGGGTGATTAAAGACGCAGTGCCGAGACTGAGACCAACGCTTGTCGCAACCGGCAACACAAAGAATGTAACAGCTGCATTTCCTTCAAATCGTTCTCACAAGACCGAGACTAGAACCGGCCCATATGCGCATATGCACGGCTACTTCTATTTAACAACATTCGATATCACAGTACAAATCTCACTCTATGATAAGTTGTTTGCAATGCCTAGAACCTTAGGTTTCATTGGACACATGAAGTTAATTATAACTACAAGTAAGTATGTGCTGTTGCGATTGTGTATGCAATTCGACTAGTTGGCCGGCCCCCATGCATTCAAAAAAAAAAAAAAAACCCTTTCTGCTGCAGCGAAGCCTGTGATACGACAACATTCGCAATTATTAACAAAGGAAATTTTATAGTGAGTGACAAGATTCAGAATTGATTCCAGCAATTCTGTTGAGTATCAAAATGAATGAACACCAAACGCGCCTGATATGTAAGTCAAACTGGAAGAAGAAAACAAGCAGACACCCTAACTCCAATATTCTATGAACCCTACTCAACAGAAAGAGTAGACAGGTAAGGTGCCCAGTAAAACCACACCATTCAAACACCATTAACACCTATTAAGCTGTTGATCTGACTCAAGAGAAAGTTTTTTTTTTTTTTCATGAAAATGTAGCTCCCATCATTGCATAACTCCACCTCCACTTGCCGCTGCTCCTTCCCAGTTTAGAAATTCTTGAGATCCTTGAGAATCTTGATGAGGGTCTAGGCGGTGGTGCTGGATTTTCTTCATGTTTCTTATCTTTATTCTTTTTCATGGTCTCTTGTGCGCCCTCGGCCTTCTTTGCTTTCCTCTTCTCTTCTGACTTCTTTCTCATGGCTCCACTTTCATGAACACCTGAGAGTGGACGTGACTTCACACTTAGGCATCTAGCCAAAAACCTTTTTACCTTGGAAAACCCACTTTCGACATCCTCTGTGTCGTCATAGTCTTCAAAGAACGACCTAGAGCCTTGACACTCCGGCGCAGCGGGAGCGGTGTTTGGTCGTTGTTGATGAGGCTCTTCTTCGATAACACGGAGTTTGCCATTATTTCCTCCGTCGCCGTTCCTAAACATTGACGGGGTTGGGGTTAGGCTTCTCCGGCCCAACATCTTATGACAAGGTGGATGGAGACTTTGGGCTCCTAACCCTTCACTGTTGTTGATGTGAGATGCTGTTGTTTCTGGGCTTAGTGCTCGACTAATTTCTACAGAGGGAACCGGCGGCACGAGCGGCACGGTCTGGTCTGAAACGGATTTGAGGTTGCTGCATGAGTTGGAACTCAACCGGGATTCAGAGATGAACAATTGTACAGAATCAGGCCTCTCAGAAGCAAGAATATGAGATGCACTGGCAGTCTTCCTTGGGGCGTGGTGTTCGATAGACGTAGGAGGAAGACCAAAATTGATATGAGGTGTCGCTGCCGAAGCGATGATATCATACGATGACCTCGGTGTTATAGGCCGGAAAGCTTGAACAGAAGACTCAGGTGCCGCTGATGTGGGTCTATTACTTTCATAGGGTAAAGGAAGAACTTGTGTGGTATCCACTTCAATCGTAGTTGCTCTAGATGAATGCTTCTCGCTCTGGGTGGGTTGCTTTGATGCAGCTGAAAGCCTCTGTGGGACTGGAGTGAAGCAACCATCGTCACCAGCAGACATCTCAGACGAAGGATACGAGCTGGCACTCACAAAGGACGAAGCACAGGTATAGTTTTCGTTGATGTCTTCCTCTTCGTCGGCTTCATAGTCCTCACAGTCGGTCACCTGACTCTCATGATCATGATCGTATTTATGGTTATGACCAGTACCACCAAAGGTTGAGAAAGTCATCTGAGACCTCGACGACGAAGTCGACGGTTTCTTTTGATGTTCACATGCACCCCCCTGGGAGTTGTGTGGTGGGAAGTGAGTATAAGATGGAGGTTGGCGGTTCAGAGAAACCCTCTTTTGCTGAAGAATAGACGACGACCGTTGAAGATCCATCGATAGCCGGGTTGGGTAATAAACATATCGTCTTTCCTCGACACCGTCTTGATTATACACGGTCTCCTCCCTGCCGACGCATCTTGACCCAGCTTGCTCTCTCATCTTTTCCATCTCAGTGACTTCATCTTCCGGAGGGTGTGATGCAGTTGGAGACCCAGATGCCGCGCTTTCAGGAAGATCAAGCCGCAACTTCATTGGTAGGCAGCCGAACCTCTTCGCTTTGATAGGGAGATCGGTCTCGAGGTTTTCATCCACTGCTCCTTTCACATTGAAGGGAGAAATAGGCTCTTCAGCTGGCGCTCTATCAACACTGGCACCCGGAACAAAACTAAAGTCAAATAATGATAACCCATCATCATCATCATGGTTGTCCCCAGAGACATGCCTATTCGATAGTTGCTTTTGATTGATCGCAGGAATTGGGGGTGGATAAGCCTCAAAACCGATCGTAACAACTTCTGCATCCGCCATCCCAGGTGTTATCGCCTCAATTTTTGGAGATTGCTCTTGAGTATATTTTGGCGGCATCTTGATAGGGGTGGGTCCGGTATTCGGTTGAATACCCGCAAGCTCTATTTGCTGTTGTAGCTGTCGACGCTTCATATTCTCTCTTTTCCTTCTGAAACTAAGACTGACCTGCAGCCCCTCTCCTTCATTCTTCTTGATCCTCAGTGGTAATGGTGGAAGAGGCCGATTCTTATCGTAGTTTAACTTCTGTGTAGCTAAACGCTTCTTCGGCCACAGACCTGGGGACACGACCATGGAACCACGAGCCTTAGATTCCGACATGGCCCGTGCACGAGAATGCGATTGGATTGCAATACTTTTTCTCGACCCAAGCTCCCTATGGGAAGCCCTCATCGATAGCGACATACTCTTTCCATGTGGGGGAGCCAGACTCCTCCCGTGCGGGGGGATTTCAATCGTAGGGCGAACGGGACGACTCTTACGTGTAATCTCCATAGTCGGATGAACCGAATGTCCCTGTTGTAACGGACAAAACTCCCATTCATGAATGGGATGTTTGTAACCTTTAGGCCATGTCGTGGATACCTTAGGTTGGAGGTCGAACTTGTAAAAGTTCTCGCAGAATGAAGTGTCTCTGACTGAACTTGGAGAGGCTCGGGTTAATGTTGATTTAACAGTGGTAGCCGCCGCCATGGTCATATCGGTAGCTGGTGAAGTCTTCTCTCGACTGTCCTCTAACATGAATGCTAACTGGATGCCGAAGGCTTCGCTCATGGTACTATAGAGCGGATCCTGTCGTTATATGTTTATGGCATATAATGGGCAAGGTAAGCTAGATCTCAATAGAGATTGGTATAGGAATAAACGGAAGGGGCATAGGCAATATATATATATATATATGGATTAGATCCGAAATATATATCTTTATGCAAATTGTTGTAGGAAACTAGAAATCGACGAAGTTTCAAAACGAAAGAAGATCCACAGCATGCAAAATAGTTAAAACAGTCAAGACAAAGAAATGAGAAAGAAAAAATGTGTCAACATACCCTCGCCGCTTAGTCTAATTCCTCTGTTCATATATATACACATGCCCTCGTAGTCATCTAAATATTACACCAAATTCACCAGGCCGCCCGCACCACAGGAGCTCACAATTATAGCAAATGTACAACAAACCCGCTCCGCAAGAAACCGATCGATATCACTGTCGCCGCAAACTCTAAGTCTCACAATTTGCTACATCCTACCCAGCCTTGTTTTGGAAACGGCCAACTATAGACCCTGTAGATCTAAACAGTTAAGTATCAAGGGTCTCTCCACTTGCCGCGGTCCAACAACCCGTTAGCAAGTTGGAATCTCACTTCTCATCGATAACATATATTAAAATACTACGGTTAGCATGATACGTACGTGATGCATGATATGATGCACAGCGAGAAACTGTTGGTAGGCATGCACCACCACATCATGCGTGCTGTTCGCAAGAATCGGAAATCGAACATGGAGGAGAAAACGAATTGGCCTACAGAGCGGCCGGAAGAACGTCTTTACGCCACTTTTTCGTACCATGGTACCAATTGCGCTAGCAGGGCATGTTACTAATATATGTTAGTCGTTATGGTAAGTCCCCAGTACTTGTCCACATGTTATCGAGTTACCTCGACAAACTCCTAGCTTCCAATCTCACACTAGTTCCCTACAAAAATACATGCTAACAGTAACTGTTTCTCTAGCCGGCTTCTAGAAATACCGCCCTTTGGTAGCACTTTTAGAACTATGCAAAGACGTATGCAAGTTATATGGTTCGAGGTTTGAAATTCGATCGAGGCTAGAACATGTATATATTTACGTACAAGATACTAATAGAACAGAACCACATATGCATACCTCCGAACCCGCCCCCCGTTGGAGAAAATAGCATGCATGCCGTGAGTCAGGAAATCAAGTTTGATTCCTATGCGATCCAGAAGCATGAGATTCTTTCGAAACCCCAATCAAGTTAAGGAGTTGTGTGTCATGTTGGAATACCTCGTCTCCTGCACCCACGTGCCCTATCCACAATGTGAATAAAACGGCTTGTAGGGTTTCTTGCAATAGTGCATGCTGATCAGGGTATGGTACCGTAACACCTTACTCGAACATGACTTTAGAAGCACTAGCGGCAGGGCCCGGTCTGAATGCCAACTGCTGTGCAGGTGGACAGAATTAATTACTATCCTGGTTTTCTTAAACCTCGGAAATAATTGTGTTTTCCTTAGGCATGCAATTTAGATATAGGCATCCAAATACAGATAGCCTATTTTCTTGCCTAGCTGGGTATGGAATGGTCGATGGTGGCAATACTTTGTGGCACACCTCCGGTGTGAAGAGTGATAGGCAATATATACGATCCGTTTACACTCTAGCACATGATAAAAACGAAGCTATTGTAAGTTCGATCCATAAGATTGGGATTGAATAGGAATTACGTGATTGCATATAAATTCGTCTCGGGGCATGATTACGCAAAAACAATCGTGGCTGCCTTCAGAAACATACTGGGTGGCGATTTTCCTGTGGGGGCTTGTCATTTCGGCGAAGATAGAGGATTGATGGACCCATGGATGTGCAATTACCGGACATCGGGTATTTGAGTAGCTAGAGCACGAAAGCGAATAAATTTGAAATTACTCATTCTAGTCAAGAATACAACTATTGATCGTCAATTCCATGATAAAGATGCCGTCTAGACCTGCCTGTCATTTGCAATAGCTAACACTAGAACTCCACTACTGCATGCAGTGATGGGATTGAAAATCAGGCCTATAGGCCACATACCTCCGTTCTGAACAATATATCCATTCGAATTATCTCTCTACAGAAAAGAAAAGAAAATAAAATAGTAGACATCGACAATTGCAACGGTCATTCTGTAACTACAACGTTGGGTATAATCCAATATCTGTAGTTCTATTTCTGAAAAAGAGAGAGAGAAAGAAAACAGTTACGTTTGAGAATCGAAGGCATGAAACCAATCTGTGGCAGCACAGCGAAATGGTTGAGATGGCACAAACATAGTAGGACAACATTGAAGTTGTTCTAATGCAAGCCTCTCAAAAATAGAGAGGGAAATCCTTAGGATATATTTTCGGGTGTTATGGCGGTGGGCTTGGAGTTATGAATGTTGGTATGTTGGATCCATAATGGACCTGGCCTGGCCGGAAACACAGAACATCTACTCTTCTTTCGACGCAAGGACCCTCCTCTAGTGGCATGATGTTGGATATCAATCAAAAAGATGCGATATCGGTGTGGGTATACAATCGTAATTCTTAATTTTGATATCATAACTAATCTAATCCAAGTATAGTCTATTTTATGAGTGAGATAAATTATAGATTTGCGCCAGCGAATCCTCGATGCATGATATCAAGCCATAAAAGTCCAGACTAATTATAAAAGTCAAACTGCATAAGACAAAAAGAGGTAAAGAACTGTCAAACGAAGTCTTCCAATCTATGCCATTTCAGGATGCACTATAACATCTTCCTGTACAGGCTTCTCACCTGATCAAAGGTCAGTTCTTACGGGCCTAGTCCAATTTATCATCGCGGATTTTCTCAGGAATGACGACGTTGAATCAATTAAATTCATAATAGTAAGTAACATGTTTCCTTTGCACGTAACATTCCCACGAGATGACCAACAGTAAAGCAGAATTTCATTAAACCACAGTATCTCTGATATCCTCATACGCCATCATCAGAAAGACGCCTTTTCTTCAGAACCAGACCGTAATTTAAAACCCATAAAGTTGTAGAGAAATTTACTATTTTCCAACGAAAACCCTCTAACAGAAAAGACAAGAGAAAAAAGACATAAGAAGATTCAAAGGACGTCTCTGCCATGGGGGGTTTTGATCCCTTAATGTTGACAGCTAAGAAGCATCCCGTTAGAAAACAACTGTTTAAGAAACAGCCTTCTTCTTGCCAGTAGCACCAACATGTTGTCCAGTAGCGTTCTTCTGCAAAACGGCGGTGTAGAGAACGAACCCGATTGCAATAACAGATAGAACGAAGATATTTGCTAGAAGTTTTGTTAAGAATCACACATTAGCTTTCTCTTCTGTGAAGTTAATATGACGTAAATGAGGCTGTTTTTTTTATTGTACTCACACAACAGGAAGTTCAAGAAACTCTTGGCCAGGTCAAATACACCGACAACAGCGGACTGGAAGAGTGCAAGGATCGATGTGAAAACGGCAAAGATTGAGTCGATGACGTTGCGAAAGATGCCAAAGATGGCAGAGACGAAGTTTTCGACAGAGGATGTGAGAGAGGCCATGTTGACTTATTATTTTTCCCTCTCTATTTTATTTTGGGCTTTCGTAGTCGGTTCCTCTAACGTCTGAGTTATTTGGCAAATGTCGTAGTGCTAAGCTAAGCTTGCTAGTGCTATAGTGAATTGACGTTTTAATTTAGTCGGGTATCTTGAGATCTAGATTCGCGAATCGTGGATGATATTTTTGTTTTAAAAAGCGATGAGCAATGATTTAATTTCGAAAACAGATTAAATTATTTATCTTCTGAATTAACACAACAGCGATTTATAAATTCAATCAACCTGAATCAAATGAAACTCAACTGCGCTGTATTTATAATTCCGCTTCTTTAGAGTGCGACGGTTTTTTGGGCGGTGATGCACCGATGACGTCACAATTCGATAGCTGCGACGGCAAAAGGAATCTTAAAATTGATTACATCGATCCCTTTGAGCTGATAATTATAAAATCCCACGAGACCACCACGTGAAAGCGGTAAGAAAGACATCATCGCTTGATCAAGGAACCGATTAACCAGATATGGGAGAGATATATCATGGATAATAATAAGAAAGAGAAGAAGGACGAGAAGAAGAGGAAGAAGAAGAAGAAAAGGTATACTGGTACACTACAGTAAGTTCACTATCAATATCAATATCCACAGAGCATACAGACAGGAAATCATATTGAATAATACACAAAGAATCCCCAAACAGAATACCCAATAATCCAATTGCAAAAAGCTCGTACAATCCGTGATTATTCCCAGCTCCCATCCCGCCTTGATATAAAACAGTATACAATATATATGCTTTTTGAGCCCGGATAATTTTTAGTTTTTTTTTGGTTCCAATACAAAGCAGATCCCAAAGATGCAGTTGAAAAGAAAGATAAGGATGAAAGAAAGAAAGAATAATAATAACAATATCAAGAACATGCAAAGGAGATGAATGGGGAAAAGGTCCCAAGAAAAGAGGGAGGGGGGATGAAAGGAGAAGGGGGGGAGGGAGAGAGGGGGGGATACTAGAACATCATCGATCTTTCCTGGCTTCCTCTCCTACGCCGTCCAGTTCCATATCAACGTCCCACCCGACCTTACCATAGTCACCGTCCTCTGGCCGCTTCCTCCCCAGTCTTTCGCACCATTCTTCTGCTCTTTCGAGTGTCAATTGTACAATTGCCGAAACCTGGTGCAGCATTTCAAGTCCTTCCCTCGCTAGAACAAGTACTCTCTTCCCTGCTTCTTCCCTTCTGACTACCACTGCCATATTATTCCCTGAAGCATTTGCGCTAGCGTTGTCGTCTTTGGCAGCCAATGCCCATCTCCTAGGTAGATTCGTGATGCATGCTTTGACCACTACCCTTGCATTCTCGGGTAGAGCTCCACCAGCGTAGGTGCTGACGACGTCCACCACTCTCTTTAAAGTCCCAATAACATCTTTCCTCAAAGTTTCGATTTTATTTTGTAACTGTGCGCTTCGCTCATCGTCTCCTTCGTCGGTACCTCCATCTTTCCCGCTGGTACCATTTGCGCGGGATTTATCCGAATCGTACTCGCTTATTACCCCACGAAGGGCCATGATAACTTTGTCGAGATGATCATTGGCCCATCGAAGCCATGCGAGACAGTACTTTAAACTTTTGAGTGATTCTTCGCTAAGTGCGACTCCGACTCCGGCAGTCGAAAGCATTAACCTCCTCTGCCAGTTCAGCGATACAACATCGGTGGCAGGTTTATGCGTCAACTCATTGTCTCTACCGTCTCTTTCTCCCATGGAAGAACTTGTAGAATCGACTTCCATCGCTGCACCTGAACCGGTATGCCCTTCTTCGAATGCTGTTTTCCGACGCTTGGTGACGTGTGAACCTGTCAATGATGATGGTTGTGAGTGTGAAGGAGATGACTGTGATGATGTGCCAGAGGATGATAGACGACGGGCTTCGAGGTTGCGACGTAGAACTGATTCTACCCCGGTTGTTCGGGCGGCATAAGAGACGACCGAGGTCATTGGTGCGGCGGCGCGCTCAACCTGTCAATCACATGTGTTAGCGGATAGTAAATTTTGATTTTTGTCATGCATGCATGCATAAAATAATATATTGGCGAGGCATGGAAGGAATGGAAGGAATGTGATTAAACTCAATCACAAAAGAAGAATGATATATAAAGCGATGTGAAGGGAACGAAAGGGAACATACTATTTCGGCGCCGTACTTAAACCGCGGACTATATCGTTTCCCGCCTTTATAAACACTTCTTCCTGCCCTGACTGCTGTTCCTAAAAATGTATTTTGTCCCTGGATCATCTCCATCATAGTTTCCTGTCGTCTTTCTTCCCTCTTCTCATTCTTCTGCGGTGGACTGTTCGGTACACTTTTGGGACTTGATACAAAATCTGCACGTAAATCACCAAGCGCCTCTGCGGCCATACGAACATCTGGATCGTCAATATCTACACTGAGATCCCCATCAACTGAAGCCGAGTCCTCGGTGTTGCGCGTGGTGGTATGCGAAATTATAGACGACGCATCGTCGTCCGCTATAGTTGCTGAAGAATTTGTTGAAACGAGGGATTGGATGGACATGCTGCGGGCGGTTGATATAGGAATTCCAGCAGAGTTGTTAGATAGAGCGGAATGGTGAGAATAGTAGTCGACGAGAGGAAGAGGGACGGAGGAATACATCGGAACAACGGATGCGGCGACGGGTGAGGCGTGCGAGGGGTCTTGTGCTTGTGCTTGTGTCTGTTGTGTCTGTGCTTGTGCGACCTCTGGCGAAGACTCGTGAGGAAGGATGGCGGGTAAAGGGTCGCGCACTGCTGCGGGGGCAGAGGCGAACATTGTGGTATTGAAAACCACTGTAGATGAAGCCAAAGACGACGAATTCGAAGTCGGTTGAGATGTTGTACTCGAGGAGAGCGGAAGAACCTTGTCAGGGGAGGGGGGTTTGGGGGTGGTGGATTGTGAACGAAGGCGTGTCGCCATTACTCAAACAGACGACATGCAATGACAAGGCGTTAATGCTGAAATAAAAACGGGTTTAATTTTCTTTTAAATCTTTAACTCCTGAGATGATTTTAAATTGGCAGATCCAGTTTAAAATGTAGAGAATCGATCGAGTCGAGTCGAGCCGAGCTGTATAATATTAATCGAATCGAAAACGGGAAGAAAAAGGGTAGTATAACAGTAAAGAGACCAAAGTCTCGAGCGGTAGCACAGATAAGTGCGGTGGGACGGTTCTGATCAGGCGGATTGGATTAGCTTGTGACAAACGAGGCTCCCGCCCGAATCACAAGATTCAATAGCAACTAAGATATGGTTATAAGATACACAACGGACAAGGGCAAGCGAAAGAGTATAAATAAATTCGTTGGGAACGGAGAAAAACTATATAAAAAGAGGAAGCTGCTTCTCGGAGTTCGACCAAGGACTGACAAAGTTCGGATTTCTGGCTCGGGAACCCCGCTACCGACCGAACAAATCCTCTGATTTGGATCGACTCTTTGTATACGAGTACTAGTTCGAGGAATGTGAATGCCGATGTCATCTCCCTCTGCGATCGAGAAAAAATATAAAAAAAAGAATAAAAAAGAATAATGTGTGTGAGAGAAGTACGAACTGGAAACGCCCGTGCATACGCTCGTAATGCGGTTCATCTGGGGAAAGCCCGTGCGAGAAGAATCCTTTCAGATTGATTTGACATCCCCGTCCGATTATTCCCCACCAATGTAGCTAATATCCAACCTTTCTCCGCACGGTTTTTTCTTATTAAATGAAAAAATCGGTAAGAACTAATGATAATTTGGGATCTACGAGAGTAAGGACACATAACTATGAAACGTCCCCAACCGTCTACGAAAGAACACCAGATCTTTTACCTTCATTCATGGAGCTCGGTTTCTCCGCTCATCCACAGCTTCCCTATTCAAACATGCCACCGACATGTGCATACATTATCAATAGGCCCATCTCCACTATCATGCTATAATACCACTACCAGACTAAGCCTGCTAGGGTATCGTTCGCTACGGCGCTCTTCCCATGCAGCCGCCCTTCCTCACAGGAAAGACAAGGCATGGGGGGAACGAAGGGAAAATTTTGACTTTGGCATGTGATCCCTCCATGTTGACAGGCTTGTGATTGAAGAAATGTAATGCCAAGATGGAAAGTTTTCCCGGCAACGCAGAAATAGTATGTGGTATTTTGGGGATGGACGAATGCGGTAATTCAACCTGATTGTGTTAAGCGTGTATGTCCTAGACGGACGCTACTCGGCTTCCCGAGATTGTAGAAGACACTTTTGTATGGTACCCGCGGTATCAGTACCGAGACTAGTAATGGTACCAGTAGGCCGGATACACTAGTTCCCGAAAATCAAAAAAGCATATTGTCGTCAGATTTAGGCTCTTTTTTCTACAACGTACTGCCTAAATACAACATTATCGACGGCACATGTCTATGAGCATTATATGCGTGACATGATAATCTTAAGACGCGACGACTACGTGACAGAACGACTTCACTAGGTATACATGTATGATAAAATTTGAGAGCTCGAGCACATTCTTCCGCTCAAATAAGCCTAATATAAACCTCGAGTTCAACGTCGCCACGTGCTCACCCCGCATATACTTTCCCTTTATCTGTATCCTTGTCCCTTCCTCGAGCCCTCGCAACCGTGACGCCGGTTCTACCGTCTTTATACCCAGTCACAAATCCCAATGCGACCTATAAACGTCGATCCGTGCGTATGGCGGCATATCGCTAACCACCCAGCTTACGGGGTTTCTATCAGAAGCTTAAGCTTTGGCCATCGAATGTTCTCGATTGAGATTGATGCACGGCGTATTTCTTAGGATTACTTCTTTTGTCAGCTTCATTGATTGATTTCCGTTCTTATCTTGCGGGATCTACTTTAATTCAGCCGCAGTGTATCGTGATATCACGGACTTCGATTGATTGCTAGCGTAAATACAAGTTGTCATTGCATAGCTAGCTGCCCCAACATTTTATACGTAATTAGAGTCATATCATATGAACCAATTGAGATAACATGTGTGTTCTAGGACAATTACTCAAGCTTGGTTGATGATATCGTAGCTTGATGGTTATCCTAGATCTATATGATAGCCAACTACCCTTCGCTGGCCGCTGTTCAAGGAATGGGATCAATATCCGATAATATCCCATCATAAATAGTTTGCAGGTCCCACATATATCGTCCAACTTAGCTTCACCACAAAAGTTATTATCAGCCACAGGGCAGGCAATGGTTCAAAAAGAGGGGTTCCCAGAACGGCCGGCTGAACCCGGGGCATACGTGGACCCCGGTATCGCCGAAGTCACATGCAAGATAACCGATCACTATACGCAATAATAGCTTCACGAGATCAATTGACATCAAGGATTACTAAAGAAAAATTGACTCCGCAATTATGCAGCCTGCTTATCACTCCCTTCGATTCGACAATTTACCACTGCCATGGTAATTGAGCTCGCTAAGTTAACTTAATCCAGCCCGCCGACCCGCAATTGATTGTTTCACCCGCTAGCTATACCTTGTCTCAGACCCTCATTTTCGAATGACGGCTCAAAATTCAATGGGGGGGAGTACTTGTGAATAGGTTGATTGATAGATTTCAGCCGTCCCGCACATACGCATTAAACGTTAAACATTATATTACCTTACATAAACAAGTATTTCCAAAGTACGAGACACCTTTTTACATACTAATTACGTACCCAGCTAGGTAGCAGACCCAAACGGTTGAACCCAAAAGCCATGCAACTAAAACCCATACGGCCTCAACTTATGCCCAGCCCGTACCAATCCGTCTTCAACTTCGTGAGCCTAAGTGCAAGTCCAGTCAGTAAAACACCAATAACCTTAATCCTAAATATTCTAACAAAACCTACCTGACCATTGATATCCATGATCAATCTATTCTGTTCATCGACCTTTTGGTTAATATCACCAGCAAGACCCCTCAACCTCTTCGACGCTCCAGCCAACAAGTCCAAGTTTGTATCAATATCCCTTTCCAGCTGTTCATCTTCTTCATCCGCTTCGAATTGATACATCGACTTCTGTCTATCCCTCGCAGCTCTCTCCTCTTTCGATATAGGCTTCGGAGCCCCCACCGGTGCCAACCCCATCTTCCTCATTTTTTCCTCATGCGTGAGCTTCGCGCCACCTTGCTCGGTACGTCGCCTTCTCTCTCTCTCGAGCGAAACCTGTTCATCAATAACTTTCTCTTGGCCCGATGAAAATGGATTTTTAACATGCGGCATGAATAACGGTCTATTCGCCACTTTCAAATCCTTTGCCTGGTGTGCTGCGATATCGCCGTGGGTTTTTGCGATTTTAAGGTTTAACTGGGTATTATAAAGCGATTCACCCTGTTGTTCCAAACTCAACAGGGTGGATTGTCCGGCTTGTTCGGCGCGAGCGGCAGCGTGTAAGGCGTTTACAGTGGAGGAATTAGAAGCGTATTTGGTGTATTTTATTTCTTGTTTGATGAGTTCTGGATCTTGCTCGTCTTCCGCGAGAGCAGTGGTTTGGTAGGAATATGAATCTTGATAACTGTTACTGCCGTAGTGGTAGTCTCCTCGACCGGCTGCGGCTGAGGAGTAGTTATAGTTGTTGTCCGGAACAGGGTTATTACTTGACTGAGGCTTTTGATTGCCATACTGATTCTGCGCTGGTGCACTGCCGTATGGATTACCGGAAGCTACGTTACTCGATCGGTTGTTATTACCGTAAGTTGAGGTACCATACGGATTACTGGAGTTTAGATTACTCGGATAGTTGTTATTGGCATAGACTGAGGCTCCGTATGGTGCTGGCTCTGGTGTCTTACTACCGCCATATCCTGACCCGGATCCGCCGTAGTTAGCTACACTAGTCTGCTCGCCGGTAGACCTTTGGCTATAGATGGATCCACCGTATGTCGTAGGTTCGTTGTTTTGACGACCGTATGAAATCGGCTCCTTGTATGCCGGCTGAGATACGTAACTCGGAGGGGGGGGTGAGTAAGCGTATGGATTCTGCGTGGACTGTGTATGAGTAACTGTTGTATTTGGTGCTCCCGACGCTGTGCTTGTGCGGGCCGTCTTGTCCTTCTTCTTGAATAAGCCCATAGTGAACGGACACAGGTTAGTTAAGATGTGATACAGTCTAGAAACCGTGAATATATATTGACTAATTCCAGCGGGAACGGTGTTTAATTGTAAATTAGAGCAAAGGCAAGTTGACGAGACTAGTCAGTGTGACTCGACTCAAACAAAGGGGATGATGCATCTTATATACTTAGTATGTATAAAGTATTATCTACGGCTGACAAGTGCAACAAAAATCCCGTAATATCGTGCCATACCATACAATACCATACTAATGCACAGGATGTCAAATCAACGTTACGACGGCTTAAGGGCGGTGCCCAGCCCGCACGAGGATCCAGGATTTCGTTACCAAAAATGGCAGCCGAAACTCTTATTTTCTGCCGCACCCGCGCCACCATGCACCATAAGGTGCCATGACCACAATATATAGTCTACAGCTCGCCGCCTTGCAAGCCGCAAAATGAGTAATTAGAGCAAGCAAGTAAGAACTTACCTAAGTATCCAACAAGTCGATTGTCGAGCTCGTCAAGGCTGAAATATAAATTATAATACCATAACTTATAAACTCTCCGCCGTTCAACGGAGGGAACCAAAAGTGTGTTGTGTCATGTCGCACAGGATCCTTGTTCTGGAAGTGGATTGCCGTCTAATTCGGGCATCGATGTTTCCATGACCTTCGAATTCGCAGTCACGTCGTCCCTCTTTAACTTGGTCATCTCGACGTCCTACATATATCGCCTACTATCCACCACCATACCACCACCATCATCACATCCACCTCCAGCTTCAGCATTCCAGGGTAGCTTGAATACAACTACATATCTAGATACATAAAAGATAGGAAAGAGAGAAAAATGTCCGCCGACCCTGCAAATCTAGCAGCCAAGGGTGCCGCCGCCCTCTCCTCACAAGACTACCCCGCCGCCATCTCCTACTACTCCCAAGCAATCGAACGCATCCCCACCTCCGTAGACTACTACATCAAACGATCCACGGCCTACCAACGTGCTTCATCCTACTCAGATGCTCTCTCAGACGCCGAAATAGCTGTAGTCCTAGCTCAACGTAAGGGTAACCGGGATCAGCTGTCTACATCCCAGCTGCGAAGGGGTATTGCCTTACTTTTAATGCAGCAGTATGGTGATGCTGGTGCATGTTTCGCATGGGCTGAGAAGTATAATGAGAAGGATAAGAGTATTCCGTTTTGGCAGAAGAAGTTGGAAGTAGACCTTTCCAAGCTTTTGGATGATGATGATAGGAGGGAGGTTACGGTCACGGAAATCCCAAATAGGGAAATCCCTAAACCTTCAAAACCTACTTCTTCGACTTCCGCGTCTAAATCAGCAGGAGACAGCGGTAGAGTCGAAGAACTTCCCGATGACTACGAAGAATCAAAGAAGACCCAGAAAGTCGAATCAACTCCCGCTGCCGTCGAACCACCAAAACCTACCGTCCCAGCCGGTGTCAGCACTCCAGCAGACAAAATCCGCCACGAATGGTACCAAACAGCAAACTCCGTCACCATCTCCCTTTTCGTCAAGGGTGTCCCCAAGGAATCCACAACCGTCGAGCTTGAGAGTAACTCTTTATCGATAACCTTCCCACTACCTTCCGGCGCCGATTTTAGTTTCACCCTAGACCCTCTATTCGCTACAATCAATCCTTCAACATCATACTACAAAATCCTCGGTACAAAAGTAGAATTCACCCTTCAAAAGGTCGAAACGAATAAAAAATGGGCTAGTCTAGAATCAACCACAGAACCGGCCTCGGGAACCTCCACATCGACCTCTACTGCAAAGAAAGAGGATAAACCGCCAGTTTATCCAACTTCTTCTAAAACGGGTCCCAAGAATTGGGATAAAGTCGTCGATGACCTTGCTCAATCTTCGAAAAAGTCAAAGACGGCCAGCGGAGAGAAGGAAAATCAGGATGACGATAATATCGACTACGCAGATCTTAACGAAGATGAATTCTCAGCTGACCCCGTTAACGGTTTCTTCAAGAAGCTTTACAAAGACGCCGATCCAGATACTCGCCGTGCAATGATGAAGAGCTATGTGGAAAGTAACGGAACGGCATTGAGCACTAACTGGGGAGAAGTTGGGCGTGGAAAAGTAGAGACGAGTCCTCCAGATGGAATGGAGGCGAAGAAATGGTAACCTGCGGGTAAACAAAGAAGAAAACCTATCAACCTCTATATTTAGAGAAAATGAATGAAGAAGGAAACGAAGGAGCATTGATCTCTTGTCAATAGGGCGGCGTTTTTATTTTAGTTTTTATATTTTACGTACCTAGCCATGGCGCTACGGCTCATATCTTGTTTATACCTCCTCCTCCCGCTTCCAGCTTCCCGTCATAATAAACAATCCTCCACCAATAAACCCCCTATCAGCACCGTTGCATTGACCAAGGCGTCTTACAGTGAATATAGATCGCCTTGCCCTTCCCCTCAAACAAAACAGTCCTTAAGTCCCGTGAGTGGTTACCATAGATATCTACCACTACTTCTTTACGACCTTTTGATCTCACATCAAGTACCGAGCACTGAAGTTCATCAAGCATATATTATATATCAAAAAAATCAAAACCAAATTTGAAATTGTTTTTTTCTCTTCCCTCAAAAGGGAGAAGATAACGCCATATTAATTCTCCATATGAAAAAAATACCCACAAGTATTCCACTGAAAAATATTTTTGAAAAAAGGCGAGGGTAGTGAACAAAAAAAAAACTTATTGTGGTATATACGCCATTAGATCGGAATAGAATAAAAGAAAATAAAAGAAAAGCGAATGTCATCAAATGAAAATCCAAAATCCCCCCAAGAAAGCAAGAATAGAAAAGAGACACCTTTTGTGTGGTATAAAGAAGGCTAAATTTGGAAGAGGGAATAAAAAGAGAACGATGGTATACGAGTGTTTTGTATTTGTACAGGGTAAAAAAAAGGAAAAAGGAAAAAAGATGAAAGAGATATCAACAGAGAGGCTAGTAGAATTATATATAAAACGAAAGGAAGAAAACCAAAATGACTCTCGGGTATTAAAAAGCAGTTTCTTGCTGCTGTCGCTGCCAATGCTGTTGATCGCAATGGGAAAAAAAAGAGAAAGAAAGAGAAGAAAGAGAAGAAAGAGAAGAAAAGAAAGAGATCGTGAGGGTCCTTGAAAAAAAATTGCCCTTTCGAATGTGACGTCGTAGCCACTGTTGTTCCTGTCCCGCTAGGTTGAAGAAGAATGAAAGAGAGAAAAGAAGACTATATACAATGGATTCCATGCTGGCGATGGAGGCAATGATGGTCGTGGTCGGTGAAACGATAATTTTGTAATTGGTATGAAGAACGATCGTGTCATAGTACTCGTAGGTGATGCTGCTCGGGAAGAAGAGCAGACGTAAAACTCGTGTGAAAACATAGAATCGAGGAACAGGGGAAAGCGAAGGCCGCATGAATTGCGTATTTAGGACGGTAGTTTCAGATGTCGAAAAATGAGAGATTTGGAATGTCGCTGTCAACGGAATTACGCGAGGAATGCGGTCAGGTTCTGGAGAATGGGAAGGAACCCCTCCGACGCTCGTTTCTTCGTAAACAAAAAGAAAGGGAAATTATGAGTCGATTAGGGAAAGAAGAATCACAGATTCTAGCTGGCCCTCTGTTCGGTAATATCGTAAAGCCCCACAGTTTACTGATCCGGATTCGCAACGAACAAGCGGACACGCCCCATAGTGGTCGTCCTGCTATCGTCGATACTACCTTTCCGTCTCAGATCCGCAGGTTCTCTTGAACTGATTGCCCTCGTAACGGCAGCTGGTCGCGGACGAGCGGCCCCCTCCGAAAATCCAAGCGGGTATCCCTCGCTCGAATAACCCTGTTGATGTGATTGGAGCATAGCATCAGATTGATTTGGGCTCGGGTGTTGCCTGTTAACGCTACTAGATTTCCTATGCGCGGGAAGGTATTCGTGTCGGAGGCCACCACTGTTCCCACTATTGTTTCTCCTGATGTCTGTCATAGCACTGGAGTTCTCTACCGGCTCTGGCACCTCAGGGAGTGCTGTATCTATGATGCTCGACGTCCGAGAGTATGTCGATGGGCTTGAAGAGTGGGTTGCGTTATAGCTAGGGTAGCTTTGTAAATCGTGAACCCTAAGTTGTAGCTGTGGCGTTCCCGGCCCGCTGGTTCTATCACCACCTGACGACGTAGTCGTAGTTGTGAACCGTCTCTGGCCTGTGGAGTTTATCGAGCTCCGCCCAGAGTTTGTTCGTCGTGCGGCACCGCCATATACGCTGCCGTTACCGCTACCGGGCTGTTCATCACCTGAGGTATCGTCGTCAATGTCGAGCCTAGCAGGTACGCCGGCAACCAAACTTCTGTTCGTGCTGAACTCGTGATCTACGCTGCTGCTCTTCCGGCCACCACGGTGGTGACTTATCTTCCCACGGTGCATGGAGCTGCCGCTCTCACTCGTTCTATGATGGCTTTGTTGGGCTGCTGCACGAGCAACTTCGAGAGCTGCCTTTGCCTTCGCAGCCTTCTGAGCGGCGAGGAAACGGGAATCTTCTCGCTGAGCACGGTCACACCATACAGTTGCCTTTTGTTTGCGTAAAGTGGTAACGTAGGCATTTGAGCTGCCGGAGGAACCATTAGATGTAGAGCGATGTAGGGAAGAAGAGCCGGTGGAGTTTGTTCGGCGGTTTGACGGAGTGTACCCTGTCGATGCAGATCTTGATTGTGCCGACGGCGAAGGAATTGGTGGAGGGAGGTAAGGTGTTGGAAGTCCGCGAGGTATAGCACTGCTCAGGTTTAGAGGCTGAGGATGGTGCTTTATCATGGCGTGAGGATGATGGTGATGTGGATGTCGAGCGGGGAAGTCGTAGGCCGAAGGGGCAGTATAATGATAATCGACGACTGTCGTCATCTCATCGAATTGAGCAAAAGATGATTGATGGTAGTGCTCTTTGACTGAAGCGGTCGGAGAAATCTAAACGGTCGGGAATGAAGATGGGAGACTAGGCAAATGGTCGTTGGTAGATGAAGCAATTCGCACTCCGAAATTAGTCGGTCGGATACGTAGATTGACCAGCGGGATCAGAAGAAGGATGTCGAAGAGGGCGAAGATGTTTATTTAGAGGATCTCTGCCTCTGTTTATTTATTTTTTTTTGTATATTTTCTTTGCGGGGTGGGTGTCGAAGAAGTCGGAGAAAGCGAAGAAATCGAAGAAATGAGACTTCGAACGGCCGCACGGCGTGATAAGGTACTTAAAGGCACAACAGACCACGGGCTGGACTTTTAGTGGCAGTAGTAGTGGTACTTGTACTCAGGCAGGAGTACTTAGTTCCGCCAGCTCGGATCGATGACGAAAAGTGCCCTTCTAGCCCAGTGTTTTTGTACCAGGAAGCGGTGGTCAGAGAAGAGAACGGTGGTATCCAACCTCCTTCTTCTAAGTTCGCTTGGAGCAGTAAGTATCAGATCATATCAGGTCATATCATGCCCGGACAGGCATAGTGGGAGCACCCCGGCCACTTACCAATCACAGCTCGAATGCAAGTCCGGCCCAGGAAGGCGATCGAAGATCGAAGTTGAGTTACAAGCAACAGCAGCAGGAGCCACGCCTGGCGGAGCTAGCTAGCCAGCTAGGGAATATCTGAGCTGTCCTGGTAAAATAAAATATCTCTCTCGAACTACTCCGAATGTAGGTGATTCTGAGAGCTGTCAGGGACGAGCTGCGCTTAGATGATGCTGACACCGACACTGACACCTATCCTTTCTATGGAAGCGAAGGTCAGGGAGATATCAGGAGATATCCAGAAGGCTCGAGGAAGTTCGTATTTGGTCGGACAATTGTGCATGCAGGCAGTAGTCGATTAACGGAGTCAGTCAGTCAGTCAATCAACCAGTGTCTACCAAAGCACGTATGTAATCAGCCAGCCGGCACAATGCTGCAGTATATACTACAGTAAGGAATGCAAATGGTGGGAGGACCAGTCATGCAAGGCTTTCGTAGACGGGGTGTTCGACGTCCAGCTTTCGCTTTCGCTTTCGAGGACGTTATGGTATTTGTATTTCAAGAGGACTAGCCGAAAGGGCTGAGAAGGCTGAGCTTCCTGATCCCGGTATCTTCTGCAGATGTACTACGTGTGTACTCTCTGGCCTGTCCTGTAAGTATGCGTGTATGGATTGTATGCCTGGTATACGGTAGCCGTAGCCGTAGCTACTTCTTGACTAGGTGTGCGTACGTCCGTGTATGTAAGTACCATGTACTGTACTCCAGCGGGAGCTCGAGATGGCAGACGGAGACGTCGACGATGCTGCCAATATTGCAATGCCAATGCCGGTGCCAATGCAGCACAGCATGTAAAACCCGCAGCGTGCACTGATCGTTAGTCTCTTGGACCGGATCTCAATTGATTCAAATCAATTCGATCCAATTGATGACAATTTCACTGAGGGAAAATTATATCAATCGCCAGGAAGATTCCGGGTAGATTGAACGAAGTTACTGATCCAAAAGCAATGGACTAGATGCAAGCGAGACCAGGTCGGGGGCCGGCGTGGGAGGAGCCCTTTGAGTCCTCTCTCTCTCTTTCTTTTTTTTTCTCCGTTTAATGTCTTAGCGAGACAGATAGACAGATGTCGATAAGGAAGAGAAGAAGAGAGAGGCTGAATTAACAGAATTGACAAAGCTTCAAAGCTAGCTAGGCTAGAAGTATAGTAGGTAGATGGTTCGTGGAATGGTTGAAAGTTAACCTTCTTACGATCATGCGAAAGTTAAGTGCGGTTCCGTTGGATACTTCTGCTGTCTACGGCGTAGTCTCGAGGGATACTTATTATCCTCTTCTCTTCTCTTCTCTCTTCTGTCTTCTCTACATACTTCCTTACTTACATTACTCTACACATGTCAAGTGTCTACTATTTACCTACTTACTGACTTACTGACGTTGGAATTCTGTAATCCCCATTGAAGACCACCACCCATGGAGATAGAAATTACAACAAACCAAGGCCGAAACGACCAGAAGCGCCCAACGAGGGATATGCCTGCTCGACAATCTTTATGTAAGAACGTTCGAGCTGATGGGGGTGGTGGTGGTAATTATCCACTTTTCGCCTCAGAACCTGACATCTCCAGCTTCCTTTTCCATGGCCAAACTCGCCAGGCTATTCTTCCTGTCTTCGGCAAGAACCCACGGCTCAAGCTTTACAAGACCTGACCCATGATGATAACGATGATGAATGATGGGATGAAAGCGGGGGGGCAAAAATTAAAACCAACTGGGTCCTGTCATCCATCCACCGACTGCCGTTGCTTCCCCAATCAAATCCACCTATTCTCTACCGTGTCAACCGGCTGGGTAAGTGCTTCACCTACCTTTGCACCAAGAAGATTACGTTCTGAACATTTGGGAGCCTAAAAGGCCTAAATTCGAGCAAGTTTGCAAATTTAATATATCCATTAACTAGCGAGGGTCAGTCAATCGGAGCTATCGAATGCAAGCAAAAACCTATGTGAAAATGTGCCACTGCATTTGCATGAAAAAGTATAGCATAGGTCGAAATTCTAGCCTTTTCGTGCTTCTGCAGGAGAGCCCATCTGTTTTTGATTTCTTGAAAGCTTCTAATGTCCGCGGAAGATTCTCTCGTTATTTTGCACACGTGGAAAGCGCCAATTAATCTTTCCACCTCGTCGAACTGCCAAATGCAGCTCTCCCTCTTGCAGCTAAGCTAGCTAGACCAGATCCCATCCCGGTGCCTTTTCATTGGAATACCTGAGTACTTATTGCATTGTTCTACAACAGAATCACATCGATATGTACTGGGATATCAACGCCATGTTATACGGCAGAGCATCGATGGATTGCATATTCGACTATCTCCACCAACCTCAGGGCCAGAATCTATTCCGTTGACAGCTGGCACAACAGAGCTTGGTCAAGAAGGAAAAAAATGTACCGTGTATTAAGCACGCAAAGCGCCACCTTGTGCGATCGTGCACAATAACTCTACTAGATTAGGCAATCGCATTCGCAAGGACCGCATGAAACGAAATGTCGGTTGTGTGGGGAGGAGCGACAGATATATTATCTGTGCTCTTAATTTAATTTCTGTGAAAAGAAACAGGAAAAAAGAGAGGCCGGCCTGCCTTTCGATCCACAAATTGATAAGGTACCCCGTGTTCGTTATGATAAGCTTAACGCTGACCAAGCCCGCTCGTGAGTAAACTTTTGGAAGTACGCACGTATCTTATCTTGTTTCGTATAGATCATATGGGGAGGTCGGCGTTATCCTAAACGAGGACCTTTCACGATTTGGGGTTTATGTAAACATCCCATTCCGTCGAAGACCTGCATGAACCGTCGAAGCCCGAAGCTAATGTCCCAAGCTACTGCTAGCCGTTCAAAAGTCCGGCCGTCATCAACCACCTGCAAGTCTGCCGGAAAGAAAGGTGAAAAAAAAAGCTGGATCACGATTTTCTGTCCTATTCAAATTTACACCTTATCCAACCAGAGGCTTGCGGTTTTATTCTCATTGAGTAATCGTAAATTCCAAGCACAAAAGCTTGGGAGACCGGGAGAGAATGAAAAGTTTTCCCAGGGATCGCAATTGCAGATACGAATATTGACCAAGAGCTCTCGCGCACTGCAAAGAGAACTAATTAACTGCAGCAACCGCACATTCGTCTACAACACATCCAATTCGTGTTCCCAAAATATGCACCTTCGACAGCAACTGCTTCCCATTCGGCGAACCGGAAAGATTGGAAGTCTGCCCCCCATGCAAGTCGACCAGGCTCCCCTTGCTTCTTTCCCACGGACCCAACAGAACCTTTTTTTTCCCCTTCCATGACTTGTCCAGGTCTACTTTGGACAAAAGGCCAAAAACCTTCTCGAGCAAAATGCAAATGCATGAGGCAGGTCAACCACAATCGCTTCTCATATTTCTGCACGGGAAAAAGAGAAGGGGAAAAAAGTTTCTCACCCCTCGCTTCAGAGGAGTGAACTAGCAATCGAGATAGTTTAGCACAAAAAGTCATGATGTCATCACTTTACATGATTCTAGACTTTTGGAAGCTGTTCCTCGTATGATCTTTTTTCCCCTTCCCGATGAAATCGAGCGAATGAATTCTCTTTCCCCAACGTGATTCTAGGTCGGTGTAACTCTGGGGGAAAAAGGATTTGGGCGGTAACCGCTCATACGGAATTCCTTGACATGCATGGGCGGCAACATCTGCATCCTCTTCCTCTTCAGCCCCAATTGACTCTTCGGATGAATTTTTTTTTTTGTTTTAAGAACAAGAGAAAAAACAAATTTATGTTTTGACTATGTTGCCACTATCAGTTAGAAACAAAGCTACAGCATATTTTTTTATTTTTATTTTTATTTTTATTTTTTTAAAGCTAAGCCGGCAATTTTCAGGCCGAGGGTTTTCTTACTCAAACAAGTAAACAGAATTCATATGCAGAAAGAATAAAAACTAGCAGAAGAAACCCGGACGGCAAGAAAATCCACCTAAGCTATCCCATCCGGGTCTCCGTTTCCGGTTATCATCGTAATTCAGTTTTAGGCAATCAGAAAGAACAAGAACAGGGCCTCGGCAAACGGATTTGTATCCGAAGCAGCGAGGGCCAAGTTTTGATATTCACAAGTTCAATTAAAGGTCAAGTGAACGAGTTGTGTAAGGTACCCACTTTTTGTTCCTTCCCGGCTCTTAACGTTGGTGATCTTCAAAGGCGGGTGCCTTCTCACAGAAGAAGGAGTACCCTTCGTCAGTGACAGCAGCGAAGATGGTACTTGAGGATCTGACGCTTTCGCGGTTATCGAACAAAAAGGGACTTACATATTAAAATACAAACTCGGGTGATCCATGCATAAGAGGGTATCAACAGGGTAGATACTTTTTTATGACCATGCTCCAAAGCGGTTGATCAGCTCAAGCTTCGGAACTCGGAACCCATAGCTATAGTGTTTCTTTTTCTTTCTTCTTTTTCGTCGTTTCGGAACTTTTTAGGGAAATGAGGGACAATGTAAGGTGATGTACTCATGACGAAATTATCTTTCAATGGAGGGGTAAGCATTTTACATTTTCTATCACGAGAGAATTGGAATGGAGAAAGGAGGTGGGTGCTTAATTATAATGAGTTCGTGATATTGGTCTCAATATCTTGCAAGATATGCAAATCAGTATGTTCCAGAAGAGAGAAGGAAAAGGTTGAAGCTGCAACTGGCATGCATATGACAGCGGAAAACTTGAAATCGTTTCAGAGGCGTTATAAGAATAATATTAGTGGCAGTGATAACTTATCCTCGCCGAAAGCCATGACCTCTTAACGCGCGTCGACGTCTTTTTGAGCGAGAATTTTGAAATCTAAGTATCAATCCCTGACGTCATCTCGAATATGACATAATGCTCCCCATTGAACTTTAGAAACAACAAACTCCTCCCTCGAAGCCTCAAATGAAGAGTGTCATAATCCAGAAAAATAATATATCATTGCTGAGGGGGGGTTCATCATCATCAGAAGCCTTAGTATAAAATAACAAAATTTTAATAAGAACCGCACATATTACCAAAAAAAATCCCCTCCACGATAGCCGCCCTGCTTGATATCTGCCGCACCCCGCGCATTTCCCAGTTCCTTGGATTAAATATTACAGGTGGGTATTCTTCATGCGGGTCTCCGTCATGACAATCCGATGGGCCCCATGGAGCCATGCGTCGCTTAAGCTAAAGTGGCACGTTGTAACGTTGCCGCACATAAGCTAGGGTACCATCGATTTTCGCAGCGATTTTTTTTTTCTTTCTTTCTTTCTTTCTTTCTTTCTTTTTTTTCCGTTCTGGCTCGTGACGGTAACGTTAGTTGGTGTCAGCTAATTGATTAGCTTGTCGATTCTTATGGTTTCATTGGCTGCGCTGCTACTAAGAACGTGACATGCATGAAATTCTGGTTTGGGGTAGACATGTAGATGTCAGTAGATACTTAGTTATAATAGCTGTGTCGAAAATGTCATATGAAGATTCTTTGGCTATCAAAAATCTACTAGTATTTATCAAATTAAAATCTCAGACTTGTATCTTAAAATTTGATTTAACAGTGGTTCCAATGATCTACGTGAATATAAAACTTGAATACGATGTATCATTCGCTCTATTGAATTAATTGGTTTAATTAACTGCTCGGAATATATAAGAACTAGGAGCATATTTAATTGCAGCACTTTCAGTTGAGTAGGATGCGATGCGATCGAAGTTGTCGGATCAATATAAGCTTAAAAGATACAACGTAGTTCAACGCAATAGATTTATGGAGAACTATGCATATTTTCAGTGCAGTCTTGTATTAAAACGCTTCGGCAAGCTGAGTTTTCAGTGTATATGTTAGCATGTTGCCTAGCTAAACTTATGAAACCGCTCGCATACAAATATATTCTACAGGGTGGCAGGATCCTGATCCGACAGGACTGATATCAATACGAACCTAAAAAGGGATCAACTGCTCACCAGAGACCCGGTAGTCTCGAGCCCAGTGGGTTTATATAAAAACAATCGACATAATATATAACTCACTCCAGCTACGTAACATCCCATATATATTGATTGCCCCTGGATCTCATAGTATCCCAACTATACATTAACGTTATAACGTAAGCTTACTCAAATGCTATTCGCTTTCGTATTCTTTAAACCCGGATGCTACATATAAATCCCCCCTTGGATAGCCACGCGCGCGTCTTCACGAATACCGACTGTATTACATTTTCTTTGCAAAAAGAATTTAGCTAAGCTGAAAAAATATTATTATAGGTATTTTATACAATATTAATATGTAATGGATCAGATATATCAGCTATTAACACATGATACTGATATGAATCAAGGTGGTAGTTGACAGCTGATACCAAGAGAATGTCCTATCAAAAATTAATAAACAGGTGAGTGGTAAACCAGAGGTGCAGTGGGGGGGTTGACCGATACAGCGTATCTAATTTGCATAGAATATCTAAAATACGGGCACCAGGGTGTTGTATATACAAATGATAAATGGATATAAACATAAATTTTCGTTTGATTATGTTAACGGATAGGGAACACACTGCTGAGTCTTACGGGGAACCCGGCTCGTTGGAACGTTAAGTATTTTATCGATATCATAATGGGCGGTAAGTCTTTGAGACAAACTTGTGATTGCGCACTAGCTCTAGTGTGAGGATATGTTGCAATACTACAACCATAGGAAGTTAATGTCCTGCCGTCAACTGTTTTCGATCTTTTGAAGGCCTATCAAACATACATCCGTCCCGCTCCCCATGCTAAGAGTTATTGAACGATTTTCTGGTAAAAAATGCACTAAATGGCTTAGTTCATCGTTGAGAAACCTTTAAAACAGTAGGAACCGACAATGTCTCGAAGAATGAGTGTCGAGACGATAACTATGAGGAATGTACCTATACTTTTTCACTTAGACCAGGTACAGTAACTTCATATCTAGTACTTAAGGCTCTTACAAATATCTAAATGTCTCTGCGAGATATATCCCATCAAAAATGCCCAAAGTTTGTATTATAAAATACTTCCATTCAGCCCTAAAGCCCCGCACTTAGGCTGATTTAGGCTTGGGAGCCTCGCTCAGTAAGACATCACCGCTACATGGTATATAAGTTTTGCGCCTCGGACATAATGAGCAAACCGTTTCGTCAGCTCAGCCGCACGAACTCTAGACTGCATGCGGTCTTATCGAGAAAAAAAAAAAAAAGACCTGCAAAACCCGTCTCGAGGCTACAAAGCCCCTTGACACTTCCAAATGGTAATATGCCATAATACACAGCCACATCATTAGTTTGATATGTACTTGCTAGGTTCCTGTTGTGGCTGCTAAGTTGTGGCTGCCAAACTGCATTCCTCATCCTTTTTATCACCAAATCATTTTCTTGTCGCCTTTTCTACGCGTATGTCGCCATTCCCTAATAAATTGATCCCTGCGGCGGTATTGTAATCGGTTAATCGTTTTCTTTTCACCAATAGCACCAAGTCCAATGAGCCCTAGTGCTTCCTGAATACCCACAGGGCGATATGAAAGAATGAGCCACATGTTTTCTAATGCGCATATGCGGGGCGTGGCTTCTAAGGGTCTGAACACATGCCGCATCGCCAATGCTCAAATACCACAATTTCAACGCTGAAATATCGGTATTAGGAATAGATTCCATCCCTTCGAGCCGAGCATTTTAAATCCTGGTAAAATATAACCAGCAATGAAACACCATTGATCTTCGCATACCGTTATATATTTTCATTGTGTTATTTGAAACGTAGCCGACATGTTTTTTCCTTCTCGAAATGCAGCGTAAACACGTTGCCTAGATGAAGAGGCCATATGCTCGCATGTGCCCGCACTGTGCCTTCATAATATGTTGTTACCACACACCGGCACGATGGAATATTCCAATCTAAAATACCGATACATTCTAATAGTCCCTAGAATTTATTCACCATGGCAAATAATATTATATTTTGTATACTTGGCTGTTGGTCCCGCAATATAGTCTTCAATGTGCCCGATAGTTCTAACCTGTTTACTATCAGTTATTTTCCTATTTCTCTTTCATGACATGAATAACATCGTCCTCTCATTAATGCAACATTGTGATCTTGTTCCTCCTTTTTCTGTCTTTTCGATTCAGTTTCTGTATTAAAAATCTTCGATATCGCCAGCTTGAATAGTTTATGGTATTCCGGCAGCGCTGTTCACGGTAAACCCAGTGACAATTCTACTGTCGACTTTACAGCCGATATTGTCAATTTTCTCGGGGTCAGTCTGCGAACGGTTTACTCCAAGATCGATTCGACTCTAATTGGTCCATGGGTCCCAGTCTCTGATTCTCTTGTCCTATATCCGACTTTACGGCTTTACGGCTTATAATAGTCACTCGATTATTCAATGAATAGACCACAGAGAAGAGATGTTAGGGATAGGCTGCCTAAAGTTGTCGAGAAGAGGGCGCCGATCCAAACCATCACCGTCGATTCGGAAGAGTTTGACAGGATTACTAGAAATTGGGTCGGTTTGGAAAACCTTGCTGGTAAGTTAGGCTTGATACAATCCAAGATATTGCCCCCCCAACAAAGTTGAATATAGTGGTCAACTAACATTTTACTCATAGGTATTACCAATACCATAGGACATGCAACTACTCTATCAACAATCCCTCGTGCAAAGTCCTCTAGCTCACCACAAAGCCTAGTAGAGACTACACCCACACTAACCGTAAAGACGCCTGAGAGCAAACCAGCTCTTCCAATTGCAGAGCCAGTAACCAGAACTGTAGTTACAATTGGTTTTACACAGCCCATTACTTCCCCTCATCCATATTCGACATCAAAACCGGCGGCACGTCAAGACACAGCTACAACTTCTGTCGCTCACCAAACCCAATCATCTGCACACTCGAAACCAGATGATCAGCACCATGATCATGTAGCAGGTATTGTGGTGGGGCTCGTAGCTGCTGGTATAACCTCAGCAATCGTTCTACTTGTTGGCTTTTTCTTCTTCTGTAGGTATAGAAGAAGGAGGGAGCTAGCAAAGGGCGAAGAAGGGGAAGTTGGTAGGAAATCTGGGAGTTTCGGGCGGGGAGCTAAGAGAAGCGCATCCCAGAACAGTGCCGAAAGCAAGAGAAAACTGTTGGCTCGGACTACAACTAGGGAACAGAATGATGGAGGAAGCGAAGATGTAAGTTCACCATTAATCCGTGACAAATTATTTCTACTTATCTAACTTATGCCATCGCGTCCAGGAACATTGGAAGCCGGACGAAAAGGTCCACTACCCGCCATACCAGCACATCCCAAGGAACCTAGGGAGTGATCTTGCTGCTAATTCAGATCATTGTGACCACACATCAAGGGCTGTCAGCCCAAGCTCCGCGGATACTCCACTTCCAGAACTTCCTATCCGGCCTCCAACTGAAATTAGGAACACAGCTCCGAGGCATCGGCCTAGTCTTCCTATTGAGCTTCGTCCATTCAGTACGTCTACTAGGCCTGTCGCGGGGCTCACTCGCCCTCAAACCGCCTATGGCAATAATGGTCCAGGAAGATATATTATGTCTCCCAAAGCCCAAAGCGGCTGTGCTGTACGAAGGAGCAGCACTAAGACACATAAAAAGAAACCGCAGGCGCCTAGTGGGAGCCCTCGAGGGAGAGCCTATACATTAAATACAGTCGAAAGCCCAGAAAGACTTGCCCCCCTCGCTCGAAATACTGACATGTTCCCTTTTCCGTCACGATCGCATTCTCACTCACCGACCCCTGGTCTAAACCGGCGAGCATCAACATCATCTCAAAGGTACTCTATATTTCCTAAGGGGGAGAGGAAAGCATCCCTTGACGGATCTGTGGCCGGTAGCTCCACGAATGGAAAGGTAGCGGGCCTCAATATCCCTGGACATAGTGGTGCAAATACCCCTCGGGGTATTTCACGGGTCGCAAGTTCCAACAGTCTCCGTGAAGATGCCTCCGGAATTCCAACTGTTTGGATGAATGGTGCTGAAAGCCCCAAAGCAAGCCCTACACGTGTTCGAGTAGATGGTGCAAGTGGGCCGCCACCTGACTTCCAAGTCCCCCCAGTCTTTCCTATTTCAAGGAGGTCTGGGAAGCTGCAGATAGCAATTCCAGAATCTCCAATTGATGGTACCATCAAGAGTATCTCCTCAACAAATAGCTCTATTTTTGATACGTTCAAACGTAGTTCTGGACCATTGCCTATACCCGAGAAGTCACCTCTGAGACCTATCTCTCCGGGGTATTCAATAAAATCGAATTCTTCATCATTGGCACGATCTCCTTCTCCTTGCCTGACTGATGATTCTACAGAACCTGGGACACCAGGTAGAGTGCGCCGCCGAAATACCGGCTACAGGTCTCCTCGTCGACCTTCCGGTTCACCTCCACCAGCCCTTCCAACTCCCACGATTGCTCTCCCACAGGGCGACCTACGAGATGATAACAGCGTTACCGAAACTATCACGGATGAATCGCGTTCCCACAATACCATGTCTCTAGGAACTTGGAGCCAAATCACTTCGACAGCCAACACAAGGCCACATTCCTACAGTACAAATACCACAATGTCAAGACTATCCCTGGGAATGAAGGAGAAGGTAAATACGAGGTTTTCCGCCTCCCCGATCTATGAAAGTTACGATTCAGGTGAAATAGCTGCTTCGAGTAGGGATAGTTTCCTGCCAACATCCGATTCGCATGCTAAGCACCAGAGCTGTGCCGATCAAGCTGTAGACTCTTTCTTTCACGCCAACCGAAGCGGGACCAATATAAACCGTCTATCATTGGAAGATATTGAGTATATCGAACCAGAACTGGCTCGTTGTATCAGTATAACTTCAACCTCTGGATCGTGCAGGACAACTATTGAGTTTAAACCCAGTACCGAAAGCCTACATTCGAGAATGCTATCTAGAAGCACAATCCGCACAAACGACATGCGTCTCGAGGATATCGATTTGGAAACCTGCACAGATATTGAGGATGTTACCGCAACTTTCACCCGTAGCAACTCCATCGCGTCAGGATACACCTCTCGTTATGGACGACCAAGCCAACTAGGAGATACAATCGACAGCATAGACGTTGATATAAACAACTCCGTAATATCAAGTACCTACTCTCCAACTTTGTCAATGTATAACTTCTATTCATCAGGCTCCGCTAGATATTCAACATCAGTTGCTCCCCCGTCGAGTCGCTCACCTATCGCAGCTCGTAGAAATAGCATTGTTCCAAACATCAGTATCCCTCAGCCTCAGCTATATTCTCACCCGAGCGCCCAACTCGAAATTGACGATGTCGAAGAACTGGCACTTACCTCAGGATCTACGAACCCCGCGGGGGGTTCTTTGACATCTGCTACAAGCCCCCTAAGCTTCACTACTGCCAACAGCAGCGAAGTTTCATATTCCCCTCCACTGGATGCCGACATCGGGGCACCAATTCCGTTAAACGCGGCTGTTCCTATCCCAACCCCACAGATCTATTCTTCAAGCCAGGAAGATTTATCGCAGATGCACATAAATCCAACATTCAAGCGAAGAGGTAGCTACATGAGCTTCCACCCAGATCAAAGCTACTGCGATCTCAACTCCGCACTAAGCCATGCAACTGGGCCTGTACTGCTTGGGAAGCCATCTCAAAATAGCCTTGCTGTTAACAGTTTGTTTGGAGGCAGGTTTGACACACATGGGCTTAGTAGGAATATGAGTGCGGGAACTCTATCTACCCTTGATATGTCCAGCTTCCGCGATCTAGATACTGATAGAAGCATATCGAGTGGTCTACTAGAAAGCTCCTCGGATGAAAGTGGTAATAATGTTAGGAACAGTATGGCAAGTGATTCTAGCGAATCTGATACTAGTTCTATAGGTGAAAAGAGGAGAAGTAGGAGCCTCGGTGCCCTTACCACGCTGAAAAGGAAGAGGTCGACTGTTGTCAAGGATGTGAGAGGGAGATCAAGAGAGAGACGACTTGTCTAAATGTATGAGGACAGTTTCTATAGAGCGCAAGGCATTTGAGTAAGTGGAGATGAGGACGAAATGCTCCGGGTTATACACACTCAGTGCGCGGGAATAACAATTAATGTCGGGCCTTTCCAAATTTTCTTTTTAACAATCTTACAGTCTTTGGTTATCTCCTTTGTTTTTGATTTGTCTTGATACCTACTACAATCTCCTTTACCCATAACAGCGCTAGTTCGCCACCAAACGGTTTTCTTTCACACCCATATTATGCCTCGACGGCCTTGGTATATCACCTTTCAGGTTAATATTTAAAGTCTAATTCTGTACTAAATACTTGCAATACCTGCTTCCTGTTGTTGTTTTATTAATGATATCCGGTGCGAAAATCTTCAATTCGCAAAGCTTTGGAGGGTTTTAAACGAATGTACATAATAACCATTTCTTCTGTTGTTTCATAGTTGAACATACAAGTTTAAAATATAATAACATACACAGATCAACTAATTCCATAGATGTCTCGTGATACTTTGAGACTTCGGTAGTACATGTGCACAACCACGTCACAGACAACCCCAGAATCGAATACAGAATGCCTTGTAATAACATTGTTTCCATATGTCAATTACATCAATTGAAGAGGGTAAAAAAAAGATAAGAGGGCGGAATAGGGGGTCATGAAAAAAGAAGAAGTAAAATAAGATTCAGGAAGGAGAGAATAGAGCGATTTCGTGAACCAGCCTCCCCATATCCACAAAAAAAAGTTCGGATTTTCATACACTGCAGCACAAAAAGAAATCGTCGGGTTGTGCCTAAACCACTTATTAGACCAACTGCGAACAAAGAAAAAAACTTCATAAGCATCCCATAGCGCCATATTAAAAAGAACGGGTTCGTGCCCTGATATGAAATATATGTCATAAGAAAAAGGGAAGAAATAGAAAGAATCCATGAGCTCCTACGGCAAAGTGAAGCCCGGAACATTCGTCACTTTGATTTACCTCCACCTCTTTGGATTAATCCGAAGGCTCTCTCCGGTGAAAGTGGTGACGATGACGGTGCTTGTGTTCTTCACCATCCCCATCTTCTTCATGTTCGTACCGATCTTGGTACATCTCCTTGCTCTTCTCCCTTGCTTCTTCTCTTGCCCTTTCTCTGTATTCTTCCCATTTTTCGACGCCTCGAGTTTCAATCAGTTTATCCGCTTGTGCGGCAGCGAACGCTGCTAGGAGTTCTTTGGCTAAAGCATGGGATACCGGACGTCCTTGCTCGCGCTGGTGTTTCTGAAACTCTCGGAAAGCGGCAAATGCCGCTGCACCCGCAAGAAGTTCGTGACTACAATAAACCCGGGAATCGTTAGCAACAATAGTTTCGACTGTATTATCAGCCCTTAGAAAATAAAATCTAAGTTTAGACTATTCGTATTTGCAAATATTTACTCAATTATCCCATATGCGCACGGACACGTACCTGAGTCTGGCGTCGTGCTGGTGGTGGCCACTTCCCGTTGACTCGTTATCTGAGTCTTCTATAGAATAAGTTAGCCAACTGTCAATATGTAATTAAATAGAGCTATTAAAATCCCTACCTCCACTGTGATGATGCCCCATTGTTGATTTGGACTATATTTTCGAGATTCAGCTTGAGATGATTTCTCTGAAACTGGTTTTTTTTATTGGTAATTCAGCTTTACAGCTTTGTCGATATTTTGGATAGATGTTTGAGTAGCTGATATTTAGACCGAGTGTCACGTATAGATTTTAGACAATGGTAAATTTCGATACTCAAGAGGGTATTTCGATAGAGTAAATTTATTGGTTAGAGGATTGTATCTTTTTTTCGAGATTTAACTTAATTTCGTGTTGTATGTGTGGTGGATACTGCAGGGAGCGGCTGCGGGTCGGCCTGTTTTATAGGAAATTTACCGACTCGGGCCGACATATTATCATACCACCCCAGCCCTATATTTCAAAGCGACGTCGAAGTATTCTAGAGCCTATGACCAAATTCATCGGCATTCTACCTCCCGTGCGAAGCCCTGTGAGCTCGACCAAGTGCACAGCAGTGGCGTGACGCGCGATCGAGCTTACCTAGACGGGCGTAAAGCAGGAAGAGAGAGGGAAGAACTCCGAGAACTAATGGTCAGCGGTTATAGGCTTGAAACCATAGAGCTCTGTTACGCAGCCGAATTTACTTGAACTCAGGCCACTTTTCCTACCGACAAGGCCCAACCGATCCAACTTTTCATCAGGTTTCTGTTCCCTGCGTTTCCCCGGGTTTCGAGGACGACTCGACTCCGCAAGTGGGCCAAAATTTCCGAAAAAGCTTTTCTGAAAAGCCACTCGCGAATGAAATCCCTACATTAAAGATTTTCTCGGGTTCCACAAGGCTCTTAGCGTGCCCAGCCAACAGTTCTGACCCCAGAGTTCTCGACTTGGTGATTATCAAGTTAGAAATTGTGGCAATGTCCTTAAGCAGGTCTCGTGCTCGAAAATTTTATCAATTTTCATGAGTAAAGTGTTTACGGTTGAATATTAGAGGCGGATGTAGGCTCACACTTATCACATATAACGAGAGATGAACATGACAATGACTTGTAGCCTAAGCTATCAGGGAGTAACCTAGCGCTAAAAAAATATTGATTGGTCCCACCCAAGCTAATCCTAACAAATGATAACTGATATCTAGGTAGCTGGTTTATTCTAGATATAAGATACAAGGTCCATGTATAATTGACTAGATATGAAAGCCCGGGCTCCCTATTAGCCCGTGACCACGCTCCTGTCGTGATCATTTACCATCCCCCATGGTGGTGACGGTGATGGTGTTCAACATTTTCGTTGGGTGGATAATTTGGATCGTACTGAGGTTGGTTGCCATACTGCTGGTCGTAAAGATTTTTGGCGTTTTCTTCGGCTTGCTCCTTTAGTTTGTGCTTGTCCCATGCATCCAAACCTTTAGTCTCGAACAGCTTCTCGACTTCTGCGGCAGCGATGCCTCCGATAATTTCCTTCGCGACGCCATGTTTCACGGGCTCGCCAGATTCTCTTTGTCTCTTTTCCCATTCGTGGATTGCACCAAAGCTGGCAGCGCCGGCGAGAAGTTCATGACTGAGTTTTCCTTCGTGGTGCACCTGTTTATAGCTATCGTAGGCGTCGTCTATAACACAAAAAATTTTAAAATTAGCTAGGGTCCCCAAATAGGTGTATTTACACCTCAATTGATCCAGTTGACGCTACGGATATACTAGTGCAATAAAAAAAAACCAAAGTACGTACCGTAGTTAGACATATTGGATGAAAGTTGAGAGTTTGAGGGAATATATATGATCAAATCAGGAAATATCCGAAATCGGGTAAGATGTGTTGGTTACACAGGATTTTGTGAGATCTACTTGATTATGTGGATGGAATGGAAAGTGATGATCTGTTTTCTGTTCAATTGATCAGTTGATTCCCTAGGCTTTTATATTACTGCTCGAAGCCATTATCGGTACACCCCGCACCAGCTCAGCTTCGAAGAAAGCGTAGTATTGCCGCCCTCAGCTCGTACGGACATAACAGAGCGAGGCAGTATACGTACATGTCGCTTTCAGGTAAAGTGATACATTTCGTCATAGCACCCTGTCCAATGCAAACTCTCGTACGTTCACAGCGTTGTTCGGCCGGAGTTGCTGAGTAGGACTAAACCAGCAAGCGGGACAGTACATTTGCATCTCAGCTACAAGGGAGAACAACATCGAGGGAATAATATCGGGACGCGCGTTCAGCGACTTTTTCCAACCCTAGTTCTATAATTGAATCTACTGTCTTACTAAATAAAGGAAGCAGCCGAAGAGGGGTTTTCAGCTCCTTGTTAGTTGTTATTGGGTGGAGGTTTCCTGTGAGGGTCCTCGAGCAGGGGTCCATCTGCAGAGCTAAGCTTTCGTATCCAAGAAAAACTTGCGTGGGCCAAGGCGGGTCCGGGAGGGGTCGGATTTTACCCTAGTAACTAAACTAGGATTTCAACCAAGTTCGTTCAATTGATCGAAGTGGAAGTTGCCTGATATTTTTACCTTCTACCACCTTCATCAATGTTGTGTCCAAAATATGGGCCGGCTAGATCGGCAAGCAGTGCCACTGAGAAAGATTCCGAATTTAGTAAGAAGCTATAAGTAAAATATCCTAAATGTACCCTCGAGGAAGATGCAGATATTGCGCTATGCGTAGCACGGTGCTCCATGCAGCCTTGAGTACTATGACCGATAGCTAGTGGTCCGTCTATATAGGTGAGGAGTAATCAATTGAGGTCAATTACTCCTATTATAACCCGTGCCACAACGGTAGGGTGTGTATAAATGTTACTGGAGAAAAACCCGGGGTATCAAAGCTAAGAATGCACATTCTTGTACTAGTTGGAAAGGGTTAACTAGCATATGCATATCATGATCGTATTTTTGATTGGTAGTGATATACAGTTAATGCATTTTAGGGTGTGTGTAAATGCAGATGATCAGCTTCGAATGAGGGAGTATGTAAGCACATCGGCATCGAGTTACACTACAGTATCCCAGCTGCAGGGTTAAATCTCCAAAAATTGTCCTAATGTATATCGTATTTAAGCTATAGCCAGTCAATTGGATTCACGTCATTATTTTTAACATTTTTAAGTAATCATGTTGACAATGCGTCGGTGTTACTCTTAATAGCATTGATTATCGAACAATCTCACTCTTGAATGTAGAGATGAACACTATCGGTGTAAATGTCTCATTAAGGCTTGCATCTCCCCTCTTTTTATTCCATATTTTATAATTATATATATGATTTTTCAGTTCTCGTATCGAGATTCCATTCTTTAGCCGAATCCTATTGGTTGAGAGAATGTTAATATGTCTATAATTTATAAATAAATCATATCGCTACTTACAGTAAATGAATATCAATACCCACGTTTCTCTATTCTCGCCGTGGATTAACGTATGTATTACAGGAACAGTGTTCACGGCAAGAAAGGTATGATTTGAGCAAGTCAAAAGAGATCCGTTACTTAACTATTTTCGAAGACTTTGCCCACTGTAAATCGGGAAAAAACAACAAAAAACAATCAGGTATAAGCCTTCCATCATGCCTTGCTTGGACTTAAGGTATTCATATGAAAATGATCATCAATCGATTAATTAGCATTGGTACTTACATTCGAATATTCGGCCCGCATAAAATAATGGTCGCTTAATATGTAGAGTACTTCGGGTATCGCAGGGCTCCCTTGCGAGTGGAAGGCCATATTAAGCCCACCTATTAAAGTTCATAAGACTAAGCCTAGGGTCTTACAATAGGTATATAGCACTTTATGCCATCTATGTGAGTACATGTGAGTATATTTTTGTTGACACTGAACTCACTACGATAAACCGTGGACACGCTAGAACCTTCGAGCCTTCAAAGGTGCCGTGTTGTGGAAGATCTGAAATCAGACCCTGCAACCGCATAAATCTGAAACCGCATCTTCGCCAAAACGGAACAGGTCGATGGAGGCTGGATTTTCGAAGGGGCACTCGGATCCCACTTGGAGAAAGTCCTGCAGACTCTCAAACAACAAGATCAACAGATATGGAAGGAATCATTGTTGAATTGTCACGCCATGCCCTACCTCAAACATTCGATTGGCCAATCGTCAATTGCAAGGCCTCTCACTTATGATGGGGACTTGTCGACACTTGCAATGGGTTCACGACAATACCCGTGAAATCTCCAATTATGCGAGGTATCCACACGCATGGGCTAGTTTGGATATAACTAGGTAAAAATTTGGGACAACCATGGTATCTATGCGTAGGATATTGCTGCAAAGGCAAATCGGTGTCCCCTCGCCGCAGCGCTTTCCTATCTCTATCGGCCAATTAATTGGTTTACAAAAGCTTCCACCACAGATATGCAAAAATCCCACAGTGGCAAACCCCCCACTAGGCTCCTATGCCGTCAGAGGCGCCAACGTGCTACCTGGTGCATTGTGACCTACGTATACAATCGATATCGGGCAAAGATCTGAAAAGTGCTAAGATCTCGGATGGTTGGCGACTTTATATGACCGTGGATCCAATAGGCTTGGGCAACATGACTTGGTTTATGTAAGTACAACGAACAGGATTTTCGCCGGCAAAGCGATATGCGGAGCCGCCAATATCATAAAAAGGTATACCCCTGAAAGTATGGCCTATATACATGTAGGAATCGAAGATAGAGAGACTATTGGTACTCCATACAGTGTGGCAGATATCAGTCTCCAGTCGACGGTCCTCTTGGTGCTTCTCAAACTTCGAGCGTTTTTAGATCCATGGACCGTACCGCTGTCCGATCCGTCGACCAAACCAACTGCAAGCTCGCTGAACAGTTAACGTATAACGGCTCCACTTTGTATCCATCTAAGGCGGAAAAGATCCCGTCATGACAAGCCCAAGTTTCCACCGCTACATCTCGTGCATCACGAAGCCTGGAGTTGGTCAACCTCCAAACGAAAATTCCCAGCTTTTGCAAACGGAAGAAATCTTTGGTCCCTGGTTTCGTTGGGGTCTGTTGCCGAGATGGAACAACAGGGGCGGACCTGTCAACGAGATGCAAGACATCAACGCCTCCTTCTTTTAGGCGAGGCTGTATCATGCAGAACCCTTAACCGCTCCAGGCCCAGATTCAGGTATCCTCCTACTCGTAACTCTGCCCTAAAACGGCGCGGACTCGAAGAAGGACTTTTTTTTTTCTGTTCCTGTCACAGATAACCTTGCTTTAGGTGTCGGTCGAGTTTTGAGGTGTGCATGAAGTACGCATATCAGCTATCTTTTTGGGATTGTTGCGGCCTGAGCAAACTATTAGGTCGTAGCATCATGCAGTTGGTAGTTTCCAGTGCAGCTCATAAAAGAAACTGTGGATTCGTCAGCATGAATATTTCTTTTGCTACCAAGCTCGTACTACGCTTATTTGCATGCTCCTCGGTCTCAGCGCTTGAGCGCAAGGACTTTGCCGATTCATAAAGGATATTGCATTCCCTCCACCCTGCGTAGCGGGAAATATTTGGATACAAGGACTGTGTATTATTATTTCCTATACTCTTTACTATATTCTCCCTGGTAAAATTTTAAAGGACAAAAGAGACCTGAATAACATCGAGGGGAAAATAAGAGTAAAGTCTAATACTCACCAGATTCATTACCCTCTGGTACAAATTCTCTCCGAGTTTCGAAGCAAGACTTTTTCCCTGGTGTCCAATCCTCGAAGCAGACTAACTCTAAACCAATCGACGGAACAACGTATGCACATTGGCAATGCAGCATGCCGTCCACTAAAATTTCATTGGAATAGTCTCGGTTTGGAGTAGATCTAATATATACCTGCCCTGAAACTTAGGATCTCGGTTCCTGGGTTTTCGGAACCATACTTTCAATTTAATTACTCGCCAGCGTTATACACATTGGACATCCGACGTCGACATTTGCTTACAATTCCAACAACTCAACCTTGAACTTTGTCTCAACAGCAGAAATTAGTGCAGGAAATTTCGGCTTCAAATTCTTATTTCTATTGCACAGGTCGACCCAGACCTTTATTAAACCGAATTTTGATAGACTCAGCCATTATTGCGTTCTTCGACATGCATTGATTTATTATGTTCCTGCGATATCAAACTGGAAGGGGAGAGGAAGGGAGAAATATACAACAAAACCAACACGATGGAGAAATATTGAGGGGGACGGGTCTGAATCTATCCCATACACGACTAGAACCCCGACAAGAAGTAGCCTCGACGAGCATAAGTTCCTCGGGCGGTGGCACCAGTTTTCTAGTTCCAGATTCTGTTATAATGGAGTCGTCAACTACATATACGAACCCGGGGTTCATTATTGTACCCCAGTTAACCACCCTCACTGAATCCGGGTCTGTCATCGTCAAGAGCCAGATTACAGTTGCGAATATCCCTGCGGAACAAAGCATTAGACCTTCCCCTGATGATAATGGCATAAACCTTACAGCCCTTCTGACGGATACTGCACCAACTCCTTCACCGCGACCCACAATGTCATCAATGACAACTACATACAGAACAACATCGTCCGTGGCGACAAGATCACCAACTAGTACATCTAGTCCAGGGAAAAGTGAATCGGACGAAGGGGTCAGCCCGATTCTTATTTTCGTCGTAGTGCTGGTCATTGCTATTGGAGTTATCCTCTCCACAGTTAGTATTATTTTATATCGACGATCTAAGAAGCGTCATCAAAAGATACTAGAAGAACGCAAGTTGGAGAAGGCTGCTACTACACTTCGTCCATTCGTTATGACTCCGTCCGGAGGAAGACATGAATCATTGCCTGCCCTACCTCCACAGTCTCCACCCTCTCCACCATCTCAACCATCACTACCATCACTACCATCTCAACCGTCTCCTCCAGTAGTGGAAAGAAAGGAATCTGGCAGGATGCGGAAACCCAGTTCGCTACTTCCATCACCGCTTCATGAATTCCCCCATGCAGACTTCCCTGTTCCACCAATGATACCAAGAAAAAACCCGTCAAGACCACGAATACCTATTGTACCAATACCAGTTGAGTACGACACAACAATACCAGTAACACCACCTTTAAACTTTAAGCCTCGAGGTCTTCCTGAGACACCGTCAGCATCGAGTAGCCAAGGCTCTCAATTACGAATAGACCCCATAACACGGGTCCCCAAATTATCGATAGAGACATCACGACAACGACTACCATCATCATCCTCACTTTCTATACCCTCGCCAGGCTCTCGGAACAAGAGCCTCGTAAGCCTGGAGTCGGCGATTGACCCCGACCTTAGTTTTACTGTGCATGGCACTTCGAGATTATCTACACAAGTCGGCGAAGGATCGCACGAGAATCACTATAACAGTTTTACATACTGGGGCGATTATGATTTCTCAAGAAGACCATTCAGCCGGAGGAGAAGTACACATGCCTCACCAACGGTGACAAGCCCACGTCTTAGCCCCTTAGGGGAGAATTCTGTCTGGGAAGACGCGTTGATGGATGTTGATTATGACTCCAGAACCCCGACAGAAACTGGAGGGAGTCCTAGACGTTAACTTCAACGAACAATATCTCGTATCTTCCGAAAGATACATGTCAAGATCTACAAATATACCTGAATGTACGAACGGCGTTTTGGATTGGTATGGGTCTGATACAGGCTACTCACAGAGAAGTTCATTCTGCCTCGATCATACGCATACTTTTTTTTTTTTACAAAAAATATTTTACACGTCTATTTCTCAGTTTTCTAGTCATGTTCGGAAATTTTACCTTGAACCAACATACACCATTTCCTTTGTTTGAGATACCACGAGGGGGCATTGTTAGCATTTCCGAGGGGCGTTCAATTACTTCTTCATCTTGTTTCTATACCATCCCTTGCATGTTTCTCAAGTTTCGCTTTTGATATTCCAATAATGTCCACCATTCCAAAAAGGCGTGGCTAAGCGTCTCGATTTGCCTGACTGTACCGGTTTGAGCTGAGTAGAGTCTTCTGTACATAATTACTTAGCTACCGCAGTTTCGATCAACAGATCGAACTCAAAGTATAATGAATATACTGTATATATAACCAGGAATTTTACATATATGCCTTGTCATCACAGTTGCCGAAGTCTTGGAGCCTCTGAACCATGGTATACAGAGTTACATAGCATTATATTACTTGCACTGGGACGAGCCGCACCGACAGTACCAAGGCCGCCCATGGCCACCAATCGGCGTAAACGGCAGCCATCCGCCAGAAAAAAAGTTTTGTTTCCGATTTACGTGTGCATTCCCTGGTCGCAGTTATCTATCTGCTGCAAAGCGAAAGCGGCCGCTCGTGGCAAAAGGAGAGAACGAGGGAGAAATGTTTTTTTTCCCCTTCTCATTCCCCACGAAGCAAACCTCGTATTGGTGTGTCTTACTTTTCTTCTTCTTTTCGCTGCCAATATAAAGGAAGGAAGATGGAATATAGTGTGGCAAAACATAAATCGTTGGATTCCGCCAGTTCCAGCACATATAGCTCGGACGTTTATCGTATGACAGTTGTATAGTGGGGACCATTCTGCTAGAGCTCGCCGGGTGTTGGCTCTTTTTCTTCTGTGGCTTCCACACTTTTAAATCTTAAGAATTTTTTCTAATCACCCTCTCAGAGATTGACAGTAGGATATAGGATCTTTTCAATTATTCGTGTCCCTTTCCCGCGAAAGCAAGGTGCACCGGTATGGTTCTTCGCAAAGGAGCGATCAAATAGCGTGAAGAGCTGTCGACAAAGACGGGGGGAACTCGGGAGAGTGTGTAAATAGAAATGAAGGCCCTTACGAGAATTAGCTCCGGGTCTCTGTGGCTTGTTAATGGCTTTCAACTTGACTTGTAACAGGTTGAATACTAATACCCATGCGAAGACCAATGGTAACGTTATCCTAAAATGGCCTTTTGGGATGGTGCGGATTTTGACAGGGGAGAACCAGACTTCCCGTGTGTTTGTATATACATGTACCTAGGTACATAAGTGAGTGTGACTATAGCTCGAAGCTTTCTTTTCTGATACAGAGGATATAAGGGTCAGATCCGTAGCAAGGGCATTATATTACTCTGCTTATTCCGCCTGCTGACAGGGTTAGTTGACACTATTGATCACTCTGACAGTGTAGCTACATGCAGAGTATTATTACGGGAGAAAACAATAATTCTATACGGATTGGAGGTGAAGATATAGGGTCCTATGAGGCAGACTAGTTGCGGGATACGTATCTAGAAACAAGAACCCTTAGGAACCCCTCCGGCCTCTGCGGTGAGACGACGAGCTGGGTGACGGATAGGATGTAGGAGTATACGATTTTATACGAGTACCTAACAGGGGCAAAATACCGCGTGCTACATGCATAGTGTATGAGTATTCTGCAGGCCATCTCCGAACTCGCGACAAGGCACCCGCAAAGCTGGCCATCTTTGGTCTGACCGTTGAATGTACAGCTCGAGGTTTCGGTCGATTTTATTAACTACGTTAGTCCTAGTTGAAACTGTCTAGGGCCATTGCAATTGATAATTGAGGTGGAGCAATTACACACTGATATAAGCCTATGTAATTTTCGAACTGCTCAAACGATGAGTTTTCTTTGATAACGTAAAAAAACAAAACAGAAGGAACAAAGTCGGAGGGTTCACAAGCAGAAATAAGGGGTTCTGCCCTGGAGAATAACATGGGCATAGTTATCACTATCATGGGCAAAGTACCCACAACCTTGTCAGATATGCAGGTACCGCTCACATTCCCGTGTTGGACTTCGGTTAAATTCCACCCGGCAGGCTGTGATGCTTCCACAAGGGAAATCGAGTGAACAGGTGGGCCGCGATTAATATTAATCTCGCCAGAAAGGTAATCGGGAAACCCCCCAATTTTGAAAATATGAAGAGGAAAGAGAAATCTTTGATCTCCACAACTTGCTCTCCACTTCAGAACATTATTGTTTCGGGCACGAGCGTGCTATATCGATATATGCCAGTACTCCATAGTTTTAAGGGAAATTGCAAAAACTTGTTACTCAGAACATAGTTGTAGAGTGGGAGGCGGAAGCATATTGCATTATTCGGCAATTTGAAAGAAGCTTTGGCCATTCACAGGAACCGAAGAACCGAATCTTATAATATCACGGATCATAAATGTATAAGATCGCTGGTGGGAGAGGGAAAACGGCGACCGAGGCTACAAGTTGCGTTTGGCTGTTCCTGAGAGGGGTTAATCTTCAATGAGGAAAGCGGGCGGATGAGAGATATTGCAGCCGGCGGCCTGGTAGTTTCCAGTACAAAGCATCAAAACTGAGAATATCTGTAAAAAGACCATGGCCCATAATGAAAATTTCATTCTAGTGTATATTGGTAATTTGATCATTGGGGCGGCTGGAGCTTTTCTATTCGAGACATTTAATAGGCGGTACCAATTCCATGGGAAGTGCCTTTTGGTGGAAGAAGATCAACGGCAATCGACTGAGGCGGCAGAACATTTCGGTAAATTCGTCAGCTGAAGGCGGGTGGCATGGAATATCTCCTTGAGGATGTTGACCACTAACTCCCCGAGCATCAATGACGACGATAGCGGGGTTGAATTCTGACTACTACTCACCGGGTCTCTATTTGTGCGCACATGGAATGGAAAGATGTATGGCGGGAACTTCCGTAGGTGTATTTGGAGCAATTGAGCCTCTTTAGCCGGCCCATTCCACGGAAGCGTTTGACGATTGATTCGCTGAGAATGTGTGCATATTCAGAAGGTGGTTTTGTATTAAAAGTGAACCTCTAGGCTATTGGAATTAGTTTTGGGGGGTTTTTCCCCTTCCCCTCCATTCGGCCTTCTGGAAAAATGGAAAATTCTGGACTTTCTGTCAAATTCCGGCATCGCCGCGAAACATGAAGGGATGATCTTGTCGTTACGGAGTAATGGGTCCCAAGTCTAGTATCCCGGAACTCTGTTTTCCGCTGGGGAAAGTAATAAACATACAGTTATCAAGACGGTTGGCGGTTTGGTCATATTAAGACTTTGGGAAGCATTATGCGCTTGGTCCTCTACCGGATCGAGGGCCGAAATGAAAGATCTCTCATCCGATCCTCAAGAAGGAGTGATTCTAGGATGCAAATAAGGTGCGGCAAAGGAGCGTATTCAAGGAGGATGGCAATTAACAAGCAGCGGATATGTACGCAAACCTCGAACCTTTCTCCACTCTGTAAAAGCGATCGACACCTCTAGGCTGAGGAGGTAGTGACATTCCTTAAACAGCTGTGACGCAAGCACAAGGCGGATAACATGAGATAGTAGGGCAGATCATATTCAAGTATGGTTAGATAGTCTGCGGGTGTTTCGTTTCTGCTAGGCCTATCGAAATGTCGATGTTGAGATTCAAACTTCTATGAATCGATTCTAGCCATGCATTGCATAGTGTTCTCATATGCTCATGTTGCCGATTGCAATGGATATTTAATATTTCCACGTGATGCATCGATGCATAATAGGACCAAGAGTTACCAAGTTAAACACCCGTTTCAGGAACTGCCTTAGGCAAACCTGGCTGAGGTGTGGACAGACCGCTTTGAATTCTGCGGCATATCGTCGACTTTGCGGGGTCTCGTCTATCGTCACTGTCTGTGTACATGCATACTGCTTAGGTAGTTATGACTGGGGAGTTGATAGTTCGTTTTTGTTCAAGGTCATGCATCGCAGGACGGGCTGCCCACAAGCCAAGTAAGCAAGATATGTACTTTGTGCTATTGCTTGCGGGCTATGGAACAACCAGAACGATCGAGGATAAGGTCCGTAAGAAAAGGAGAACGGCATACACATCTCCTGGAGACTTACTCTGTAAATCAAACCGCAACTTGTCGGGATCCCTGGACCCTGTTCCTGGGAGTGGGTTGATGATGGCCTAAACTCACATTTGACATATCGTCTCGAGGTGCGGAGGGTATTGCGATATTGGGAGTGCCCTGAAGAAAGAAAGAAAGAAAGAAGAAAAGAAAGGCTTGGGAGATGTGTTATCGACAAAAAAAAAAATTTGGACTTCATTAGTCCCTTCTCCAGCTTAAGCCATCGCTTCAGCAATGTGACCGACGCTTCCTTTTTCCGGACTCAGGCTGGATTTACGAGGGGAGATGGGGCGCCCCTATTCCCTCTCGAGCATAGCCAATGTCCCTCTTCCTCCGATGGTTTAATGGTACCAAAGCACTGGATTTGCGAGGCCCAGCATGGTGTCCACAAGTAATGTAAAAGATGCACCAATGGAATGGGTTGTTATAACCGTGACCGTGACTCCGGGACGGGAAGGGGGAGTGACGGTTCAATATGATGAAAACCCTTCAACCTTTGCTTTCCGGGTTTGAGTTTTGCTTTCAAACAAATCCACACTATGATGCTTGCTTGTCACAGAAAATGTCATTTTCATATGCCTTGACTATTTGTTTGGCAATGTGACTAAGCTGCGGTACCGAAATATCTGCAGGTGTCGTTTGGGGCTTTTGAGCATTCAAGATAATGGCTCGCATTTTCGTATCTGAGCGAGAATGAATCAAATTGCCTTCCGCTAGAGGGGCGATTGCCTACTGGGTCCTTTGAGAACCCCTGTATTGTAAATTTTCTCTTCCCGATAGTAGACCAGGAGTATTCCATTCACAAGGAAGCTTTCCTTGCCCCTAACTCGATCAACTTGATAGTCCCTTTTTTGCCAAGCTTCGATGCATCAAATAGGGAACGACAGAAATTTTCAGAGGAAGTCGTGGATAGTGGCGACCCGTTTTTTTTTTGAACCCACTTCCCAAGCACAAAAGTGGAGACCGATGGGGGCCACCGGAACCTTGCACCAGCTCTGCAGCAAGCCTTCGTTGCTCGCCAAGTCGCGCCCACACCTACGATTAAGTGTTTGCTTGGGCCGTCACACACAAAATGACCCTCTTGTTTGTTCACATCCGATTGAGCGTCCCCGCTCATTCCAGCGATCTGGATCTAGAAGGGTTTGATGGATATGTTATGTTAGGGTTCGAGGTTTGATAGATTAGCTTAGTATTTACCATTGCTGCAATTGATTGACAGTATAAACCCACAAAGACCGAGGTCCCGCTCGATATATTTTGCACGGGTGCTAGCTGTTGGGAACCTGGATACTCAAGCTAGTCAGTTAGCGGCCGTGGCACCCAGTAGGTGCAAGCCATGTAACCGAGCCATTCGGGCGCCCTGGAACAAACTGTCTGATCCCTCAAATTGAAATGCCAGCCAGCGATGTACCGCATATGAAGAGGACCTGGACTCACTGCCACCACCGGGATCGTGCCCAGGAGCCGGTGCGACGGCTAGATCGGTACTAAACTGAATACAGACCAGAACAAAAGGAGGCTGCTTTGCTCTGGGCCTCGCTATCGATTGCACAACTAGCGGGCTAACGAACAAAAAAGCTCTCGAGCCCTCAATTTTCGGTTCCTGCCCTTTGGCTCTACATCCACTTCTTCTGCGACCTGGTGAGTGGCCCGAAATTTGTTTCTTCATTTGTTTATTTTGTGTTCAGGTCATTCTCTTCTCCCCTTTGTCTGTTTTTTATTCTTCAAGACAGGCGATTACATACAATCGCATATCTTTTTCGACTTTGGGCAACAATCAAATCAATCTTGAAACGAATCTATCACCGGCTCCAACAAACCGAAGTGCAGACGTCAGTATATCTTGTGACCTTCGGTGTGCATTTTGGCTCCAACGACTGTCGAAGGCATCAGCAAAGTGTCCGCTATACTTGCACACTCCAACGTTCCTGAAAATTGCGGCGGATCCAAACAGTCTTTCAGCGACATTTCCAGTGCTGTTTCGATATAAAGCCCCTTCCGAACCCACCAAAGTACTTCAGAGAGTACGTTGTGTATTCGGGTAAGTTCCATCGGTCAGATGATTTTTTGGGTGATTCCTCTGGCACCGGTTTGGGAATTGCATATGCTGTTTCTCCTGTCGGCTTCTCCTTTTATACACCTTTCTTCTATGCATTCCACCTGCGGGCGTTGCTTTTGCAGGCTAGGAAAACTGGTCGCCTGCATTGCTTCTTTGTGGCCAATTGGCTGGCTGTTTCGAATTTGAGACCGCAGCAGACACTGGTATCAGACATTTCCCTAGCTTGGAATTCCTGAAGCATAGATGCCATGAAGCTATCGATGCAACTTCGAAGCCACTATTCCCAAGCATTCACAGCTGCCATTTATGACAGCGCTTTTTAGCTGCGTGAATGTGGAGCAAAGCAGAGTGGAGCGGCCGTGGTATGCCAGCCATGGAGGAGTGGAGTGGAGTGTGGTCGTTAGTGGTTAGTGGTGGTGGTGTGTGTGGGTGGATGGTTGAATGTTGGACGACAACAGGTCAACGCTTCTTTTCTTTTCCTCTTCACCGCCATAATCTCAAGCCGCTCCACATATACCTTTTATTTGACTGACATATCCATCCATCCTCCCATCAACAACCAACCATCCCCTTTCCAAGCATAACTCCTTTCTAAACTGCCCGTTCGCATTCAAATCCACTTTCAATCAATTGTTAGCTGTAAGCTGCCCCTTTCCTGGCTTGCAATTTCTGTCTGTCTCTCTTTATCCTGTGCATGCGTAATTGCACTTGTCGACGTCGATGGGTCTCGATCGATCCTGATACCAAACATCCAAGGCGTTATCGGACCTTGAGCCTGGCACTTTCCCAGACAACCTAACTTGATCGAAGACTCAGTTCCTCCAAACTCCACTGAATCATCCGAGCCATTTCGGGTTTAAGACCGTTCGCACATTTATTCTTTACCCTTGCTAGCTCGTCGAGGTCTGTGCGACGTCGACAAAGCTGAATCCCCTTTCACCTGCTTGGGGAATTCATAATATAAACTCTTCGTTAGACGGTTGCAACTTTTGTATACCATCTTCACGACGTCAGCCCTCTAGGCAGGCAGAAGAGATGGCCCTTTCCCCTTGAGTCTTAATATTGCTCTTCCCGAAATTTCAAATTCAGGGTTCTCCTGTTGTGCGATTCAGTTATACTTACTAGATCTTTATCTAGCTGCAGGGCTAAGCCTTTGCAACAGGAACAAACAGAACCCCCAAGTTGGCTTCTTGATTCAAGCCAGGCATCCAAGTCTGCTTAGGCGAGGGACCACTACCACGCGACCCGGTTTTCCACTTTCCTAACTAGAAAGTTGGGCGATTGCTCGATATCAGTTCACCTTCCTCTCGCTTTAACGTCCCAACTTGGAACAACAGTGGAATAGATACAAAAGGTCAGGCACAGACCGATATCAGATTTTATATATCATTTCGAAGATACAAATTTAGCAGACAACACGACGTCTAGATATCGTAAAGCGAGCTCCAGGAACGCAAATCGGCTTGGAACTTGAAACCGGCCAAGTTGAGCCGACACTAAAGAAGTCTGTCATTCGAGAGCCTCAGCTCTAAATCCTACTTCCAAAATGGGTCTTTTCAGTAAAAGAAGCAGTTCGAAATCGAACTCCCTTTCCTCGCCTGATGTTAATAAAAAAGGCTCTTCAACATCCGTTAATTCTTCCGTGAGATCCCCAACAACACCTGGGTCGAAGATGGGGTTTGCCAACGGCAATGGCGCCTTGGATACAATTCCAGCATCTATGTCACTACCCCCACCGCCAAACCCACACGGAGACCCAGTCGCCTACCTGCGAAGTCTATATGCTGTTCGAGACCGGACAAAGTGCATAATGGATGCAGCTCTTAAACAACAATTGACAAATTTCACTTTCGATAAGACGAAGTGGGAGGAGACTGTCAGTTACGTAGTATCGATCATCAAGGTACGCGATCTCTTAACACCCTGGCCGTAACGCAAGTTTTCGAATACGAACCTACTCGTCATTACCTATAATGTCGAAGAAGTTAGGCTTTTGCTTGTGTTTTTTATTTTTCGTGGAATTGAATATTGACGATTTGATTGGTGGTTGTAGAGAGACTATGCGCCAGACTACCACACGATTCCACCACATGGACGATGGCAACATTTTGAAGTCGGTGGGAGGAAACGTGTCGACTTGCTAATTACAACATTTGGTCCCGATGTAGAAGCTATTGAAAAGACAAAGCGTCTGATAGATTTATTCTTGATTTCAGTACTGCTCGACGCCGGTGCTGGGACGAAATGGGTCTACAAGTCGAAGGACAATGGAAGATTCTATCGGAGAAGCGAAGGATTAGCTGTTGCTAGTATGGACATGTTTAAGGATGGCTTGTTCTCGAGTGAACCACATAATCCATTCAGAGTAGACGGATCGGCGCTGAAGCTTCTAATGCCGGATTCGCTGGCGAGAGGGCTACAAATAACTGCCACAAACCCAATCGATGGTCTTCACGGAAGGGCGGGATTGCTCAGAAAGCTAGGCCAGGCCTTGGATAACAAAGAATATTTCGGCACCGATAACAGGCCTGGGAATATGCTTGGTAAGAATACTGAACTGTGGGGTAGATTAGCATAACTTTTAAACTGACTCTTGATTTAGATTACCTTTTGAATCACTCGACTACCAAGGTTATTGACGGGAAGCCCTACGTTTTAGTCACCACGCTCTGGACGGTGCTCTGCGAAGGTCTCACCCCAATCTGGCCGCAGTCTCGAACACAACTCGACGGTTGTTCGCTCGGTGACGCCTGGCAATGCAGCACGATGCCTCCCGGGCAATACTGGGAACGAATAGTCCCTTTTCATAAAATTACCCAATGGCTCACTTATTCTCTAATGGTCCCAATGACGAAATTGATGGGCATCCAGTGGATTGGCGAGCATCTTCTTACGGGGCTTCCAGAGTATAGGAATGGTGGCTTGTTTATCGATACCGGCCTAATTACATTGAAACCACAACATACAAAGCGTGGCCTTGACGCTTATCACGCCAATAGCAAGAAGGAAGGGCAACCTAGCGTGGAAGTTGTTCCCATGTTTTCGGCTGAAGACGACGTCATTGTCGAATGGAGGGCTCTTACGGTTCAGCTGCTTGATAGGCTGCTGCCGGAAGTCAACGAGATGCTAGGACTACAAGGACATGACGCTTTAACCCTAGCGCAGATGCTCGAGGGAGGAACTTGGAAGGTGAGATCAAGAGATAAAATATTCTGTTCCAAGCAAAGCCATCTAACATTTATTTCAGGGAGGACGAGAACTTGCAGAAGTATCCCGGCCGAACACCAGGGAACCGCCAATAATGATACTATCCGACGGTACAGTCTTCTAATACAGACTTTTTATTACATACAGCCTTGTAATATCTCATCTCGACTCTTTTTTTTACTATTGTGTTTAATCTGCTCTTATTCTTCCTTTCCTTGATACTGCACAAACTACCTAGGCGAGAACCTGGAGTTCTGTTTTTTCAGCGTTACGGCTTTCGATTCATGGCTTGCCCCTCAGTTTCACACAGGCAAAATTATTCTATGTCACTTTCTATTCATGCAAAGATCCATTACACTTACGAGAGCGAGAGGGGTTTCTGGAGAGATGGTGATTGTACTTTACAGCGCTTCTTGTTCCTGTTCTTTTTTCTTCTCCCTTTTTTCTTTCTCTTTCTCTTTCTCTTTCCGTTTCTTTTATTTCTCTTTCTTCCTTCTAGTTTCCTTCTTTTATTTTTTTTATGTCGGTATCGGTCCGTTTGTCTCGTCTCTGCTTTTATGGGAAAGGAGCAAGGAGCAAAGCCTTTGTTTTCTAAAAAAGATTGCATGGCGGACTAGAAAAAACAAAAATAGTTTCAACAAATACAAGCCGGATGGGATGGAATTGATCAAAAGTTAATGCGCGGGAGATCTGGAGGCAAGGTTTTGTGCTTAATGGGATGGCATTCCTTTCGATCTTCTACTACACGTATACCACTATAAAAATATAACAAATCAATGGGAGAGAATATACCTGTTTACCGTGTACCAGCAGAGCCCCTTAGACTTAAAATATTCTGAATCGGACGAGGGTCTGGTTTGAGACAAGGCCAGACTAGGATATAGTCGATATCGATCAATATTTCAACTCTTGTTAAATTAGGGACCGAGCGATGACAATTGCAATATTGATTGGCTGGCTTGGTACAAGTATACTATACTGCGCGGACGATATATATCGTGACCCAAGGCTGCACAGGTATCTAAGGTATTGTGCTTGTGGCATGATCATTTATGAATCTAGACAGTCAGCAAATCTGTTATTCCCAACATTCCGTGCCAAATCACATCATTGAGACTCGAATCCTTTCGGGAACTCCGATATTATAATACAATTTACTTCAAACGAGAAACACCCGGATCCGCCTCTAGGCCTCTCCGGTGGTGAGAACAGATTGCGGTTGGCTGGGGTGTACGGAGTAAATGTTCCAAATACTAGCAGCAGGTGTACCCCCACTGGGCCGGCCTGTCATCCAAGCATATTCCCCGAAAGATGCATGACAGCTGTGCGTCTTGAATGGACTCTGAAATGCGGGGAATCCTTGCCCTCTGGTGCGGTTTGGAACGAAGAAGCCAGGTCGGGTTGCATAATGCGTTAAGTGCATACAGGTTTGCGACTAAGACCGAATCGGACGGGCTCTCTTCGTACGGAATCCGGTTCTTGTTTTACCCCAGATTTCTGGTGGATGGATGTCACCGCATGATGACTCGCTAAAATGTGGTTTGCCATCGCGAAGGGAGAAAAATTTTTTCATACCCCTTGAAATTTAGCTGTGAGAAAATGATTTTTTTTTTTTTTTCCTTGGGACATGAATTAGCATGCTACTCTAGCGTTGTTTTTGAGTCTTGGTATAGTAGTTTTATACTATCTCCGGTCGAGGGTTTGCGTCAAAGGTCGGCGATTTGAAAATTTGGCGCGCGAACGGAGTTCAAATTTTTTTCTCTTTTTTTTCTTTCCCTTTTCTGTGGCAATTGACCAGCATCGAGGATCCACTGTAATGCTTTGACCGCAAACTTTAAGGCTCTTTTATGTGCACAAACCGCCAATTTCGAAGATTCTTTCGGGGTACAGCTGGATCCATATCGTCTTTAGTTATACGAGTCTTTAAATTTCGAAGGAGAGAGATATTAACTATCAGTATCCTCTAAAGCTTTAAGAATTTAATACCGCAGCGGTGGTGGTTCGATTGGCTCGAAGGTAACAAACGACGTCATATCAGCCTCTTCAAGTTGCAATTGGTTTTCAATTCCGGAAGAAGAAACAGCAGGGCATCATACCGATTCGATAGCCAGGAACGGATTTCACCTGTTAAGCGCAAGTTCGGGGACTTTTTTTCTTTCTCTCCCTTCGTAGACTCGACTCGTCTGCATTGTACAGTTGTTCTTCGATTCAAAGGGCTCTTATCGACAGAGCCACGTGGGTTTTAAACATTTTAATTGCAAATATCTATTGTTTTTCTTAGCCATTCTTCAGAAAGAGAGCACCAGGCGCCATCATCAGAGACTCAAATTGGGGATTAACTCGGCTTGTCAGCTTGTTCAAAGGAATATATCTTGAAGGAACCAGATTCGGCCTCGGGAGTCTCTTGAACTACATCTAGATCTCCCGGAGTGAGCATTCATAGTCGGCACAATGTTCATGCCAAATAACCACTTCGACACACCTCCGGCCGGGGACGGTTACACATCGGCCACATATCCTCCCTCGCAAAGCATTTCATTAAGCATCGAAGCAATCAGCGGGATTACAGGGTAGGAAAACACAAATAGCGAACCATTTACCCAACTTGTTCCTCTGCTGCGAATATAATATTAATATATGAAAGCCCTGGATCATAAAATGTCAAATATAACATTTTCCGGCTGGGATTAACACGTACATGGATTTGGAATTATAAACTTCTTTTCGGGAGGATCTTTGTTGGCTGACGGGAAGGATTCGATTGTGCTGCGGAATAGATCGGTATCGATTGCCTGTTGGCTTGTGGTCTTTACACCGCAGATTGTCGAGAATGTAAGTTTCCATTTGGAGAATATTAATATATTTCATGCCAAATTTTTGATTGTTTCCTTTGATTAACTGATGAATTTTGTTTTGCATAGTTCAAGCGAGGTTCTGCAGAGGGTCTATCGTTAACATTCCTGATATTATGGCTTCTTGGAGATATCTTCAATGTCCTGGGCGGGATATTGCAAGGCGTTATACCAACAATGGTGTGGAACCCACCCTCGTTAACTGTTGGAGTGCCAACTTAATTAATTTTAAGACTTATTGACTGAGCGATTTCTAGCTTATCCTGGCGATATACTACACATTCGCTGATATTGTTCTTCTAATCCAATGCTTCTATTATCGCGCATACGCCCAGAAACCCCTGCAAGAGTCGCCTGTCACCAATGGGCACCATCACGAACCCGCTCGTCCCGGTACGGCAGGTTCCGAACATGATCCAACAGAAGAATCCCCTCTTCTCTCTCGCACGATATCCGACTTCTACGGTGAAGAGCGTCGCGGCAGCCTCTCCATCCTGGCGGATCAAGCTCATCACTTATCACCCGCAAACCCTTTGCACAGCCTTCCACCATCCCGTCCGGAGAGTATACATAAGATTTATACCAACGGCGAGTATCCAATTGGTGGGAGCTCGACGGGGGACCTTGATGGCACAGGCGCTTCTCGTGGACAACAAGCTCGGAATGGTAATAAGTTTTGGAAGAGCGTACTTCGTGACGCCATTGCTGTTTCGCTTGTTATCTTCGCCGGAATAGCTGGGTACTATCTCACTCCTTCAAACGGAAATACGAAAGATCCTCATATCCCCGAACACAAGCCTCTCGAGTTCTCTTTCTACGGGCAGATTTTCGGATATTTGTGCGCAGTACTATATCTCGGGTCTCGAATTCCACAGATAGTCTTGAACTACCAGCGAAAATCGTGTGAAGGCGTTGCATTTCTGTTCTTCTTGTTCGCATGTCTGGGGAATGTGACATATGTGATCAGCATTTTGGCCTACAAGCCTGGAAGGGTGGAAGACGGAGAAGGGTATTGGAGGTATGTCGCCGTGAACGCGAGTTGGCTCCTAGGAAGTCTGGGGACTTTGGGACTAGATTTTGTGGTAAGTCAATGCCCTCAAACGTTACGTTTGCAATGCAGCGAGAACTAATAGCTATGAACTAGATCTTTGTCCAATTTTTCATGTACCGGGCCGATGAGTATGGTGATGATAGCGCCATCATGAGCGATTCTGATGAGGAGAGACCTATCGATGACGACGAAGCTACTATTCGACCCTCGTCGTAACCAAGGAATTTGTGTGATAACGAAAGACCTTTGGGGGATCCCGAGACCGGTGGTATTAACGGCTAGACTGTAGAAACTTGAGGATACTCCGCTGAAAATATTATAGCGTTGATAATGAATTTGGATAGGCTTGATGCCTAGGCTAGGGACGGCATTAAAAAAAAGCATTCGGGCGGTATTTTGTGTATGATAGTTTTGTTTCATTATCGGCTGTACGATCACTAGCATATTTTATCCGTGTATTGGCATTTTTTCTTCTCGGACTCGAGTACTCTGGGCTGCGAAATGTATAGTAACCGGTGCTTATTGAATTTCATCACAGAGAATGGCTAGTTTCCAACGTTCCCGTTCAAATAGAGAGCTCAGGCTTCAATTGTAGATTTAGAACTCGAGTTCTTCGCTCGGATTTAGTCCCTCAGATGCATATGGTCATAAACCTGTGGATTAGTAAACAACACGGGTTCGCGTTGGATTTTTGTAGGAACTCTCTGCGCGCATGTCAAAGCAGCCGGCTGGTCTGCCTCCCCATTCACTTCAACGATCCATTTTTGCAAAGCGTTTTTTTGGGGGAACTCTTTTTCTTTCTTTTCTTTTCTTCCTTTTCGATCCCAAGACTATGCCTTTCTGCTATTGCTTTTGTATTTTTTGCGTTAACGCAACCTCTCGCTTGTCGACGAACCTCGTAGAATCTATTCGAATTTCTGTGCCGATTCGGTGTTTCATGATCATGCGCCCCCCTTCGACTATAGCTATTGCGACCCGAACGAGAAAAAAATTACGGGAGAAAAAAAAGTTGAAAGTTGTTTATTTGGTTGTTTGTTTATTGTTTTTGTGATATCGCTTCTCTGTAAACAAACACTGGGTAGTCGGGTCCAAGAGCCTATTATATCGGTGCAGCGATCTGTGTATTTATAACTGAGGAAGGGGTGAGTTGTCGATTCGAAGTATTTGAAAAAAGGTGCGTCGGCGATTGTTAGAAGATATGCAGTAAAGACGGGATCGGAAGGATTGTCGGAGTGCTGCTTTGGGCATGTAGGAGAGGAGAGCTCTTGAGATGCATAATTAAGGTGGTGTCGTCGGCCGTCTCTGTCGATTTTATTCGAATGTTTGGTGTTCATGTGGATTTGTCGACATGGCTTCACCCTCCGCAAGCATCTTTCCCCCCGCTTTTCACAAGAGCTTCCTCGAGTTAAAATTCAAATACCATGGATAGAAGCACTTTGGAATGCTGGTTAGAAAATATCACCTAAATTCGAATATTCCTCTTTTTTTTGGTTGCAGACCTCAGCTTCGGGGTCAAGACAACAACTGTTTAAAAGCCAATATTTTGCAGGAATCGCAGGTGCTTAAATGGAAATCTTCCAGCCTTGCGACCATAGCAAAAGTCTGACTCATTACCCATGGCCACCCATCCATATATGCATATGCGTAAGAATTAAACCTGACCTGAATTTTGTTCTGCTGTTTTTTCATACTTCGGCTACCATTATAGTTCTTTTTTTGCGGTCGATGGGCCGGTTCGGACCTTAAAAGGTTGGATTTTTTGGTCTGGGGGGACGGTCTCTGGGTTTATATATTCCAAAGAACTTACGTTTTTGGCAGTCGACCCTCCATTAAATATCAAATTTATCCCAGTAGGAAGGACTCTCCTGCAGGAAATACTTGGTGGCGGTTTCATAAGACGAGATTCTGCGTCGGCGACCTAGGTGGTTGGACGAGGCCTTGTCGACGTCGGTGCTCCTCCTCGAGGCCGCCTCTTCGAAGCTTCCTCTTCCTCCCCTCTTCTTCCTTTATAGTCAGCATCACGTCAACCAGTAGACCGGACACGTCAGTTATGCATTGCTTACGTGGCATGACACGTCATCACGGGAGAGTATAAATAATTAAAATGGTGAATTTCCTACAGTTAATTGCCTTGCTATATGTCTAGCAGGCCTGAGGTTGTCCCCAATGGCAATACTATATAAAGTGTGGCAAACCGTCTGAGACCTATTAGCTGGTCTCTTCTCTTCTCATTCTATCTTTCAAAACTCCTTCCACCTCTGACAAGCAGACGTCTACTATAGATCTGTTGTCCAAAAACTTCATCGTTTTGACAATCGATATCGATAACATTAATTATATTATATATATATTACGTTACCAAAAAATAATAATTAAGTCCTAAATCTACCTATGTGCCTTACCAAGAATATTAAACTTTTCAATCCTCTTAGTACTAGTACTACTACCGTCTCGAGATGTCGCCTCCACAGGTACAACGAGACCATTTTAAACTGTCGATGTTTATCATCCTTGCAGTTTGCATATTGTGTATCGGTAGCGTTATCGTCTGTTTCGGACTTAGCGTTTACTATGACACCCAAAAGGCTGCCGCATCTTGTCAATCGATGATTATTGCACCTGCACCGCGGGATCAAGATTATGCCCAAGTAGCAGCAGCAGCATATATCCCAGATCCAAACCCGACTCAATTTATTACAACCAGCAACATTGTTACGATCACAACGACAGTAACCCATTCGGCAGCATTTTACATGAATGCAACAAGCAACAGTAACACCACATTTACATCTACATCCACATCCACATCCTCTACAACAGGATTCACCTGGACCCAAACATTCAAAAATATCCTCAAAATCCCCTCCGGTTTCTGCCGCTGGAGCCATCGTCTCCTCTCAAGGACCCTCAATTACATAATCTCAATCCCCACAAAGCTAAAAGTATTTATGAACATAGAATTCAAAATCCTTCCACTACGAAGTGATCAAGAAGAAGTCTATGTCATAACACATCTCAGGGAATACGATTATAGGCTTGACATCCATCCTGTCCGCGCCTGTATTTCGGTCCTTGAGTGGCTTGAGTGGGAAACTCCGGCGAGGTTACTTCGTTGGTATTTTAGGATCCGGGGGGGACGTGATAGAGATGCTCTGGCTTTGGTCAGGAGGGTGTAGTAAATGACTACCTTTTGGTAGTGCTTGAAGAGGGAAAAGTATGAGACTTCTATATATATCATAACTTGGGGATGAGGGGGGTACATTAATGCCTCACTTCGTGAATATTAATATTTTATATACTTATTTACACCAAATGCCAGAGAGTGCTGATGCCTGGTGTTCCTGGCGTAGAAAAATTATACGAAAACGGGTCGCAAAAGAGCGAAATATAAGAAAAGAAAAAGAAAGCAAAGAAAGAATGGAAAAAAAGAAAAGAAGAAAGAACGATATATCTGAAAAGAAATATACAAACTTCAAACTTCAAACTTCAAAATGGTTGAAGAAATTCAAAAAAGAAAGAGAGAAAGAAACATTATATTAATCATGAGAATAAAAGTTTTCAGACGTTGTAAGAGCAGGGATGTAAAATGGGGCACAAGTTTTCATTTGTATTCATGCGTATCATTTTAAGTATTGTCTTCTTGCAAACCAGATTTCCTATTTTTTCTATCTGTTTTCACACTTCTTATTGCATTATTTGATATATATTCCATTGCTTTACTCTTTCCGCATTGCTTTATTTCTACTCGAATCGTCATGCGTTACTTCAATTCAGTCAGTTTTCATAACAAAGCTTAAGATCTTAGTGCACATAGTTTTCAGTCTCATGCTATCTTGGTCCCCATTACATACAGCTGCCCGGTTTTGATGGGAGACAGGGGCCCCATATATTTCATGGTCATTGAAGGTAATAATGTGTCGTCTATCCTAACCAATCAACCATTCACAGTGTTCCCAAAAGGGTTTGTCTCTTCCACCACTACCCAACCTATCATTAGCGGCAAGAGTCCGGCGCACGAGAGAAAACGAAGGGTGAACCCCCCGGAGCTCTCCAAGCAGCCTTCACTACCGAATGACTTTGATATTTCCGAGGAAATCCCCGGGATTCCGACCCTAGCTGGAGACAAAAGCCATATGACCATCCCAGCTCATCGAGGCAACAAAATCTCACAATAAAAGTCTAAAAACCACCCTAGTCAGACCTAGCCATATCGATATCCAAGGCTCCAAAGGTACCGATATGAGGATCTGATAAAATGACGTCATTATGCATGTGCTCATAAAACCAAAAAAGTCTCAGAGCTTGAAAGCTGCCAGCCAAGCTTAAGCTACCAGGTTAATTCGGACCTATAAGCTTCAGTGACCTAACTACAAGCTAACGTTATAAGTACCTTTTCTATCATTATCCTGCCCTCCAATTGCGAAAGAAGTGGAAAGGGGGGCTGAATAATCCGTTAGGCTTAATACGATACCCGTTATCCGAGCACCGGTTTTTTAACATCTTTTCTTTCTATGTAGAAGATCCTTCGAAAGCTTCTGACGTCCTTCTAGCGTCGGGTTTTCAAAAACTGCCGGTTCCTGTATTAAGTAGGTGAATAGGTACTTTACCTATAATGCTCTAGTCTGATCATGATATCAATCATCAACAAAAAAAACTGCCTTGTCGACTAAACCGTTCTGGGGGTTATAGATACCCAAGTAGGTCAAGAAAAGATAAGCTCCGAATGCCGAGTGATGACAAAATCGACCAGCAGACCTAAGGATTACTAAAAAATGCTTAAGAGGTATCTCCTTGACTTCTTGTCGGTACTAGTTTAGGCTTATTTTTGGGGGTTTTACTACCGGAATATTCGGAGAATGTTCGATTTGAATTGAACCGAGCTCCTGTTTTTCTTTGGTCCCTTTTTCTTTCTTTTTTCTTCCATTTTGATGTCTAGAGGGGGTATGAGATCATGTAATCCGGGGCTTAACGCCCTTTTTTTTGCTTTGTAAATTTGGATTCGAAATGGATAAAATTAGATTATTGGAAGATCTTAAGGAAAGCGAGTAGGGAGTCATAGAGATAAAGTAACTACTTAGATCATATTAGATAAGAAACCTTTTACTAGGTAATAGATGGGGTGGTATATAAAGAGGAATGAAGTCGACTGTGTAGTATAATATTCTATTTTCTCGATATCATCATTTTCGGAATACAACAGAGGAAACACATTGCGTTTACACTAAATCTCGTTCCAAGAACTCCTTTTATATCATATCGATACTACGATCAGATATACCGTCGAATACAACATAGAAAGAGATATATATATATATATATATTGAAAAGAAACAACTTTTGCTCGAAGTCGAAGAATCACTACATCCATATCTACACTTCGGCTTATATACTTATACATAATCCAATCATAAACCATGGGCCATCATAAAGAAGGTATATATACATCTCCAATCCTAAAGCAAATCTATCGACCAAAATATTAACAAATACCGTTTTGAATCAGATTCCACCCACCGCCACGAACACAAAGGCAACCGTTCCCACGAACTCCTCGCCGGTGCTGCCGCCTTCGCCGCCTTCCACGCCTTCGAAGCCCACCAAAAGGCACAAGGAAAACCCGTCTCTCACGCTCTCGCAAAGGAACTCCTAGCCGCCTTCGCAGCCGCCGAGGTCGAGAAGCTCATTGAAACTAAAGGACGAGAAAAGTGGGACGAATACAGGTCAAGATCGAAGACTAGAGATGAAGTAAGGGAAAGGAGTAAGGAGCTATATAAACAGAGCTATGAGGGTGTAATTGATGAAGATGAAATTGAAGTTGGGAGGCATAGACATCGTCATAGAGAGATTGAGGAGCCGAGGAGGAGTCATGATCATAGTACTAGTCGTGAGAGGAGGAGGAGAAAAGAGGAGACAGCGTATTATTACTAGAGATGACTTATATACCCTTCTTTTATGATGTTTCGTTTTTGAAATAGTTATTATGACCGATACCTCTTTTTTCTCTTTTTCTCTTTTTCTTTCTTCTTCTTCTTCTTCCTATTCTTCTTCTTCCTATTCTTCTTCTTCTTCTGTTCTTGTTTTCTTAGAAGCGTTATGCCTGTATTATAATCGAATCGAATTTGAGTCGCTGTTAATATAAATGTGTTGTGTTGTTTGTGCGGCGAAATATAAAAAAAATTCTGTGCGACAAAGCTTGAAAACCTTCAATTCGACATTCTCTCATCAAACTAAGATAATCAAGCACACGAAGCTTCAAACTTCACAAAATCGATACTTTAAGAAGTAAGAAGTAAGAAGTACCTATACTCGATCTCCCAGTCTATCGACCCTCGCTCGATAAATAAAGATCCGACCATCCAAGATTTCTTCAAAAAAAAAAAGTAGCCTCCAACCATGGCTCCAACATCCGGCCCCGCCAAACCAACTATCAACCCCCCACCCCCCACTCTGGACGAAGACACAATCGATGACCTTCTCTACTTCAGCCGTGAAGGCGAACTATCCGACCTTAAAGAAACCATCTCCGAACTCTCCAAATCTCTAAACCGGTATTCTCTCGAAATACCGGCTTCGGCAGTCGACCCTTACAGCGGGAACACATGTCTACACATGGCAGCAGCGAATAACCATGTCGAGGTTGTGGAGTACATATTATCACTAGAATCACCACCGTTGGCTACACCGGTTGTGCATCCTGAAGTTTCGTCTTCTGCTACTTCTACTACTACTGCTACAAATAATACTACTACTACATCGACATCGTTATCGAATATAACATCGGACGGAACAACTATTACACTACTGTCGTCATATTTACACACACTGTTAAACTTCCCGAACGAAAGTGGGAATACACCGCTGCACTGGGCTTGTTTGAATGGAAACATCGAGGCTGTGAAGGTGCTGGTGAAAGCCGGAGCGGATCCTGGAGTTCTAAATACTGCTGGACATGATTGTGTGTACGAGGCTGAGGTTAATGATAAGAGTAATGTGGTAGAATGGGTGTTGAACTTTGCAGAGGGATTGGAGAGTGGAGTCGGAGTGGTAGGGGATGAAGATGGCGACGAGAAGGAACAGAAGGACAATGCAGATGTTCTGAGGGATGAGGGGAGCCATCATCAAGAGAAGAATGAGGAGGGAGATGAGAAGGATGGACAGGCTGGAGTTACAATTGAGAAGCTTGATATCTCTGAAAAGGAGCCTACTATACGATGAATAATTGGGTGCAAGAGAATAAAATAACAGATAGATAGAACTCAATTTCAAAAATTTTTGAAAACTGAACTATCGATATCTTCATCTATCAAGTGCTGACTGACGTCTTGTCTGATTGAGGAGGAGAGTCTCGGAGGATTATATGATCTTCTATTCGACGACTTACAAAACCATCAAAGCACCTATTCTTCAACAATGCAATCAGTGATCTGCCGTGAATCTCGTAGCGGGAACATAATAAAGAAAAAGAAGAATGCCTTTGTGTTAGCTAAGACTATAGCTATGGTGGCAGGTCAGCGTAGTCAAGGCTAAATTATAAATACTTACGAGCTTCTCTAGTTTCTTGATTTACCTCCGTTTAATTAATCGAATTCAAAGAAATCCAGACGGGGGGCCTACAAATTAAATGGAATCGAGCGTATAAGAATACAACTTACGGTTTTACCTGGTCTAGTTCCCAGCCGTCACAAAGGGCATCACTTTGTTTGGGTTTTACCTGACTCCTTGATATCAATCATCTTCAATATATATATTCACAGTTATATTAATATAGATCGATACAAACGAATAATTAAAAGGACAACCTAGGCAAGTAATAATTCTCGATAACGTTTTTGCAGAATATCTGTAGGATACTGGTTTTTATAAATCACGTGGCTACTCTAATGAAATGATGGTGATAACGATTGATGATGATAGAATGACCAAATAGGCACATGATCATATGATCATGAATGTATCGAATTACATGTATAAGTGTCTAAGTACCTGCTAGGAGACATTAAAAGGCTACTATAAAGACTTACTTAAGTAATCGGCAAGTACCGACTTGAGCTTGAATATTCATTCCTAAGCTAGCTAGGTGTACTAACTTCCACACTGAGTCGGCTTGCAAGTAACACAATATATAAGTACTTAGGAAGATGGAAGAATCCAAGGAGTATAGATCTATCCAGTACACCACCTGACAGACACGAGAATATAGTTTGCTATCAGCTGATATCAACAGGTGACAGAACTGCAGAGAGATAGATCCAAGGAGAACCGAGCTGAGGTTGCACAGGAACTCAATGTTCACTTCAACGTCATCTTCAACACAACTTTGTGTTATATTCAATTCAATTTGATTCAACGGTCTCGGTGAGTCTCCGGTGAGGCTCTGATTGTATCTATACGGATTGTATACTTCTCAATAGTAGTATTTAAGTAGGTATATACTTACCGACTCAAGTAGTTACTTAGGTACTTGGGCACTACTCTTTTTATTTTTATTTTTTTTATAGGGGAGAAAGAAGAGGAGAAAGAAGGTTGTCCAATTGGCCAACCAGAATTCTGCACCAGCCCATGCAACTGCAACCTCGCTTACCTCGTGCATGTTCTAGTTCTTTGGATTGAATCGGAATACAATACTGCACTGTCGTTGAAATCGAATTCTAACTTACAAGTATCGAATACTGCGGTATGCCGTCCAACAAAGCATGATATCGGTCTGTGGCACTGAACGGCCAAAGCTGTCGAAGCGAACCAATTGGAACACCCGATCAACCTTTCCTTTGCATGTGCCGGATTTCTTGTGTAGCCCACGTCCGGCCACCTGTTTGCTGCAACTGAAACTTTTTTTCAGGGGAATTTAAATTTTCCTGCACCAGATTTTTAATTTTTTTTTTTTTCTTCTTCTTCTGTTGAATGTTTCTCAAAAAAACGGCGGCTCCGTGTGCTATGCATTTAATTGAATTTCGGATTCTAAATTCTGAAGCGTGGCTTTTCGGCCAGCTGGACTTTGTGATATCTTGACTAAGAATTTACGTATTCTGTTTATGGCATTAGCTAAGACTTAGTTCGATGGTAATGCTGCGGTAATCGAATCGGAGTTCCACCTGCATCCAACTGGGGTTAACCATCCATCCTTCTTCGTCTGGCTGGCCTGGCCTGGTCTGCTGCAGCTGCAGACGGCGCAGTGGCGTTGGCGTCATTATCGGTGCCGGGGTCCAGTTAAGTCAAGTTAAGTTGATTGAAAGGCAGCTCTTGAAGAAGGACGAGACAGAAAAAAAAACAGCGACCGGTTCTTCTTCTTCTTCTTCTTCTTCTCTTCTTAATTCTCCATCGTCTTGCCACGGACAGGCTACTTACTACTCTTTATAAACTTGAATTAATTAATATAATTGCCGACATAGAACTGTCGGTATTAACCTGTTTACATTTGCATACCAATAAAACGGTGAAGCCGATGATATAACCTAGATTCCAGCCACCAGGTCGCCGTCAGGGGTGCGTCTTGTGGGTAATCCATCCTCACTTCGGCAATGAAGTTCGCAAAGTAAGCTCTTCGCCTAGAAAACTACCAAGTCCTTCTTTCTTGTCGTCGTCGTCGTCGTCGTCATCGCTAGCAAACTAATTCCAATCTTTTACACACAAACACAGGCAATTGGAAAATAATCTTGTGCCGGAGTGGCGCATAAAGTATCTCGACTACAAGGTACCAAACCATCCCTTCGACCTGTGTATCCTCTACTACCCGTACATTAATTACTGACAAACTCCGGTGGGATAACAAAAAAAGGGCGCCAAAAAGAAACTCAAGGCTGTACGACGCGCTATTCGAAATGCCGAAGCCGCTAGTGCATCGACCCTCGGGCATCCATCGCCTCGTATCGCCGCCGGTATAACCCAAAGGTTTCGCTCCGGTTCGACCTCGCATGATGCAGCCTCGTCGTTGAAACAACATTTACCATCGCCGATAAATGATACGAATGGAAGCTACGCACCGAATAGAAAGCCGGGCGCCAGTCCGGTCACACCAGTGCAAAATGGACTTGCGCATTCTCCTGTTGTCGGTAACTCGACTCCCGGGCAGAGGAAACACGTTCAGCAGTCGGTATTGAGTATTCAGGAGGATGAAGGGGAAGACGAATACGATGAACGAGGTCCTAATTCTCGGAAAGGTGTGACTACACCCGACGATACAAATTGGAAGGCTGCCAAGAACGAGGTGGGCGATGAGAACGAGCGAAGACACCTCAATCCTTTGTCGGAGGCTGGTCAGCGTGTTCCTGGAAGTGGTGGATATGGTAGCATATCACCTGGACCCGTGGGCGTACGTCCAGCAAGCGTTGCCGGCGACTCTGGTAAACCATCATTACCGCCTGCCCTAGATCTCCCGGAGCCTGCACGACCTTTGGAAGACCGAACGTCCGTCTCCATACGACGGGCACGTACCTATGATTCTTCGCTTTCGTCGCTCGGTACGGGCCCACCGAAGGGTGAACGGACACCGCGATTCGTAGTCCATGATATCCACGATGGAGATGTAGAACCTCATACGGTCCTCCCAACAGACGATTATGGATTGAAACCTTCTACCCCTCAACGTCCTTCTAATTCCCGTAGCGAGAGCTACCCGATATTCAAGAATGTTTTCGATACCTTCCGTCAACGGGTCACTTCCGGCGGCCACCGACGTCCAGCGTCCCTACCGAACATTCGCAATGCTCAAATCTATCTCGAGATGACAGAGGACGCCCAAAAGGAATTTTTCAACTACTTGGCAGAGCAATTACACAAGATCAATGATTTTTACATAGAAAAGGAAACAGAAGCCAAAGATCGTCTTGCACGTATAGAACACCAAGTTTCCATAATGACCCGAAACCGTATCTTAGAAAAGGAACGAGAGCGACGCGCAGAAGCCGAACTCAATTCTACCCCTAATTTCGACTGGAAACACCCTAAGGGCCTTGTTTCCTCTGTGAAGAAACGAATGTCCATGGATACTAAAGGGAACCTTTTCAAATCAGGTACCGTTTCACCTGAGGATGATACTACTAGCTGTCCAACAATCGCAAAGCTAGCCTCTTCTGCCCTCAAAGATGCAGCTGGTCCAGCCCAGCCAGCCCATCGCGCCACGACCGATACTTCACTGGATGATTACACTCGACGCACTCAGACCCAACACGTTCGCTATAAGACTGCGAAACGAAAGTTGAAGGCTGCGTTAATCGAGTATTATCATTCACTCGAACTCCTCAAATCATACTCCGTATTAAACCGAGAAGCCTTCCGCAAAATTATCAAGAAGTTCGACAAGACGGCGCATACACACATCGCCAGCAAATACTTGGAAGAAAAAGTACATCCCACGAGTTTTGCCAGTTCAGAAGAGATCGAGAAGTTAATCGCTCGAACGGAGGATATCTTTGCTACGCATTATGAAAAGGGGAGAAGAAAACATGCTGTTGAACGTTTGAGAACTCGAGAACAGAGGTTCCCCGCTTCAGGGGCTGTTTTCAGAGCGGGGTTGTACCTAGGCATGTCAATTACGCTCCTAGTACAAGCATTATACCAAGCCTTCTACAGACTGGAAGACGGATATGGCATGCGGCATGATGAGCAAGTTAGTTATTTGCTACAGATATGGGCTGGCTTTGCGTTTCCGACGATATTTATGTTACTGTTCAGTGTATGTTGTAGAGCATGGGTGAGAGCTCGGATCAACTATGTTTTCATCTTCGAGTTTGATACTAGGAATAAGCTCGACTGGAGAGAGTTATTAGAGGTAAGATTTTTCTTAGTACCCCGGTTTCATGTGTGATGAAGCTCACTAATGATTATGGGAATGCTAGCTCCCGGCCATGTTCGCCTTCGTACAAGTGTTACTGATGTGGTTCTGTTTTTCGACTTTTTGGGGCGATGGATTCGATAGAATATGGTTTCCAGTAATATACGTTGGACTCGTCTTAGTCGTATTGTTTAATCCGTTCAAGTTTGGTTACTTCCACACCCGAAAGTGGCTGCTATACACATTGGTAAGCCCCTTTCAGAGCACTTTTGTAATCCTACCGCTTGCTAACGTGAAAACACTAGTATCGTCTCTTCTGGGCCGGCTATTATCCAGTCGAATTCCGTGACTTCTGGTCCGGCGATATCTTCTGCAGCTTGACCTATACGATGGGAAACATCCCTCTCTTCTTCTGTCTTTGGACCGTCAACTGGGATACACCCGGACAATGCAACTCTTCCCACTCTAGACTACTAGGATTCTTCACCGCGCTTCCATCGATCTGGCGTCTTCTACAGTGCTTTCGTCGTTACCATGATACTCGAAATGCATTCCCCCATTTAGCCAACGCGGCGAAGTACGGATGCGGTATATTGTATTATATGACGTTGAGTATGTGGCGAATAGATAAAGGGAATGAAAGTATTAAAGCGGCGTTTATAATATTTGCAGGGGTGAATGCGTTTTATACTTGTAAGTGTTCACCTTTTTGATCCAATCTTCGACCCCCAATAATCAGAATAATACTAACGCTTCTACCTCTTTTTTTCCCACTCCAGCGACATGGGACCTCCTAATGGATTGGTCGCTTCTGAATTGGTACGCACCGAACAGGCTGTTACGAACAGAGCTAGCCTTCCGAAGACCGATAGCCTATTACCTCGCCATGATCGTAGATCCGATCATCAGATTCAGTTGGATATTCTACGTAATATTTGCGAATCAGGTGCAGCATTCGGCGTTATTGAGTTTCATGGTTAGTTTGGCAGAAGTCGGCAGACGGTTTATCTGGTGTTTCTTCAGGATGGAGAATGAACATTGTGCCAAGTATGTATAACCAATTCTTTCATCATTCCCCCCCCCCCCCTTCCAAGGGTTTTCTATCGATGGGAAGTACTAACCGCTAACACCTCTCCTTTTTCTTCTTCTTTCTAGCGTCAACAAATTCCGAGCCTACAAAGATGACGTCCCACTACCTTACAACGTCCCACTCCCTTCAATGCTATCACAAACCCGACGAACCTCATCAGGCGCAGGCAGAACCCCCAGAATGACAGCCGCACACGCCAGAGTAACAGACGCAGAAGCCCGCGTAGAACAAGAGATCGCTGCCGTAAGCGGAGGATTAACCCCCTTGCAAGTCGGCCGAAGACCCAGTACCAGTAGAACCTCGGGAGCAGGAGTCGGAATCGGAATCGGGTTGGGTCCCGGTGCTATGGAAGCGGGTGGTGTACCTCAAAATGTGGACTTGTTGCCTGATCGAACGCCATTGTTGAGGGCTTATACGTTGATGACTACGGCACATGCACAAGATTTTGAGAGGAAGAGACCGCCGACTGGGTCCGCGGGTGTTGTTGGCGGTATTGGTGGTGATACGACATTGGGTGGTGGAGGTGGTGGTGGAGGTGGGGGTGCTGGGAATACGGGGAGGTTTAGAGGGTATCTTACGAATAATGGGTATGAAGATGATGACGACGACGACGACGATTATAGCGAAAGTGAGGAAGGAGATGTGAAGGGCAAAGGGGATGAATATGGTAGTGAAGGGTATGCTAGTAGTTTGGCGGAGGAAGCGGTGGAAGGGATGGCTGGGTTGAGTTTGAGGAGGACGAGGACCGGTGGGAGGGGTAGTATGGAGGTGGAGAGGGACGGTAGTAGTAGCAGTGGGGCTACTGCTAGTGCTACGGGGTATAGAGGGACCGGAGCGGTATTGAGTCCTACGAGTTTACCGAGACATGGGGGTTCTAATTCGCAACCTAGTCCGGGAATTGGACCGTCGAATAGGGCGACCTATGCGGCGAGGGATTATGAAAGGAGTGGGAAGGGGAAGTAAAAAAAAAAAAAAAAATTTTCGAACGGTATTATACACAGACTCTTTTAATCTCGTAAGATCTTTTTGCAGATTGAAAGAAGTCTTTTTTTCTTCTTCTTTTTTTTCCCGCTTTATGTCGATTATATAGTGTAAGTGGTTTAGACCGATCCATTTTGGAGTCAGTTTGTTTATTGCATAGCACTATAGCGCGTCTAGGGTGGCCGTCGGCAAGGGCGAATGTATCAACTATATACCATATTATATATCCTATGCTATTTTGAATAGATCAATCAATCGGTTTTTAGATTTGAAAGATATCAAACAAGACAGTAGAGTCTGTCCCATATTTTCGTATACGGTTCTTGCAATTCTATAAGGCTATGTAGCCTTAAACCTAGGCGCTCGAAGTGGAAACAAAGCTCTGAGTATGCAACATCTTCGGCCATTCATGCATGCCCAGAAACCTTTTGGCAGCGGTAGCATCTATCTATATCTGCGAACAGGGTATTTCCTTTACTAGAGCACCCTCTGTGATAAGCCCTTCAGTCCATCATGCAAACGCTAAGGAGGAAACAATGCTTCGTCTTCGGTACAGTCTGAAGAGGTCATAAAAGTAACGACCGTTCGTCTTTATTCTTCAGGAAAGGGATTCGTAACAGCGGTAAACGTGAGACAAGAGGATGCAACTATGGTGAAAAAGTAAACACGAAATACAATACCCATCTTCATAGAGCGTAAACCGAGCCAGAGACGGGTGTCTACAAATAAAAAAAATATGGAACGACAGGAAACACATTAACTAGAAAGGGTTATCAGAAAACTTAAAAAGGAATTGAAACCTGAACGCCGGTGTATCATGCAATGCCTGCTTTTTTAGTCAATAATAGCATAAGGGATTCGTAGGAGGAATGTAGGGTGTCCTTTTCGCTGCTTTCTCTTGTATCGGTGGGAGAGTCGGATGTTTATGGGTATATTACTAGTGTAAATAGCGAGGACAATACCAAATCGTCGAATGTAGTTCGGGACAACAGCTTCATGATTCTTGCGAGGGCCCCGTCTGGTTTGTATCAGGAGCTATAGGCTGCCCGGGCCGGATGTCGCTGCAGACTTTCGGATCAATTTCCCAGTATGAATATTCTAAAATAAGGAAATTCATTTAGCATGATTGGTTATCCCAGTGCCTGGTCATGAATACACATTCTCACCGTTCTTTCTAAACACACAGTACCATCGCTTTTCAAGATTCTCTCCACACAGGCGATTGCAGTAGCTGTTCATGAAGCTTTTGAGCATAGATTTTGTTGACTGGTTGAACCTGCGGGCAAAGAAGTTTCTTTTGATTAGAAAACAGATTCTCCTTGAGGTCAAACTAGAATCAAAGCTGAAAAAAAGCTGAAACTTCTTTCTTCCCAAATTCTTGTAACTTACATCTTTTTAAGCGCCTCGAGCATTCCTACTCTGGTTGCATCGTTTCCTACTATGAAATTACGACACTCTTCCAGTAAAGCATAGTCGGAAAACCCACAATAATCGAGATTGTGGTAGATGGAAAAAAATATCTGATGCTCGGGAGGGGGAATTCCCATTTTCCGCGCATACTCCGGGTCTGCCAGGGAAAGAAGGGTAACGGGACCTGCATCTTCCTGATGCTTAGACAATGCAGCTCTCGCCGTTAGGTCTTGTATACCTTGGATATACGGTGTTCCATCCGAAAAGCGTGTTGCAAAGGAAGATCTATCAAATTGGTTTCCGTTCCAACAATGCCCAAGACCATTCCTGGAGACTACGGACGGGTTTCGAGGCGGAGGTGGAATATTCTGTCCATATCGAGGAGCAACCGGCCCACCCAACGTCGAGACTGCTTGCCCGCTTGGATTCTGTGATACCGACATTGCAGGTTGCAGCGCTGGACCAAGAGTCGAGGATGTAGCATGATGCGATTGTTGCGAAGCCGCAGTCCACCAGGTGCTCACTGGTGCCTTGCCTTTTTCTTTCTCAGGCACTGCTTGTGCCACTTTGGATTGAGGTGTCAACTTTCGTTTCTCCGGGGTCCAGTATTTCACGGAAAAGGGGTCAATAGGTGTCGTTCCACCCTCTTCATAAAAATTAGGTTCCTTGTATATCAAAAAGGCCAGGATTGCGAGAAACAAACTTACCAACCAAGACTCCGATCCTATAGTGCACCAATTCATCGGATCGGGGGCATTCATCTTCCCACATTAGCCCTGACGCAGCAGGAATTAAAGGTCCAGCAAGGTTTGTCTTCTTTTTTACGATTTCCTCTTCATCATCAAGAAAATCCTCCATTTCATCGGCGCTACCGGTTTCCATGGGATCTTCGTCTTCTTCACTCATAATATCTTCACCGTCGTCGTCAGGTTCATGGACCCATTCCGCCTCTGAATCATAGCCATACTCAACGCCAGGCAAGCTCTTTTGAAACGGGTTTCGACCTTTGCGAAGGCCGGAAGTGATAGGCACTCTGGTATATGTACCCCGGTAGGCAGGACGAACGTCCTCAGCGTATTTCAAGGTCTTCCGAGAAAGTTTCCGAAGTTCTGTGACGTAATCTGTATTGTCAGTCTTCCTCGTGCTAAACATATCTGGTATGGGTGATGAATTAAGTCCAGCCAGTATCTGTTTCGTCGAAAACGTCGAGATGCCCCCTTTCTTCCATTTGGAAGGTTGGAAGCCAAATATGACCTTGAATTCGGACGGCGTAGGCTTTTCTGGGATAGTAGAATCCACGATGATCCGGTTGCTGGGATCGTCGATGTCCATTTCGTCGGAAGAAGCAGTGATAGACTTAAAAAGAACCTTGTCCATTGCCTGGCAGCCGCTCTCAACCCCACGATCCATTTGCAGAGGTGCGAGTTTTACTCCAGGTCTAACGAAGAATGGCTGAAATGTTTTTGTGTAATCATTTTTTTTATCACGATTAACAGAGCTGTCAAGCATGTCAACATCAACGGCGACGGTGGTATTGCCCGGGCTTAGTCGCAAGGTGGGATTATCAGTAGCCTTTGCGGGAGCAGCTGTAGGCAGTGCAGCTGTCGAAATCGAGGCTGCCACTGGAACCGCAGGAGCTTTGCGCCTGAAGAAGCTATCCATACGTAGTTGTGCCTGGCCATTTCAGGTAGTTAGTGCTATGACTTTCCTCTGGTACTTAACCCCATTACTCTTGAAAGGAATGCCACAGCTTACCCTCTCTTTCTTCAGTTTTTCCTCTTCCTTCTTAGCTTTTTCCTCGTCCTTCTTTGCCTTTTCAACTTCCTTTTTAGCCTTCTCTTCATCGCGCTTGGCCTTCTCTTCATCGCGCTTGGCCTTTTCGACCGCTTTTTCTAGGTCTTTCTTCGCCTTCTCTTCATCCTTTAGCCGTTTCTGTTCATCTTTCTCTGCTTTCTATAACAAGGAGGTTAGCTGCCTGTAACTAAACCCAACCCAAAGCTCACTACCTACAATTTTAGCTTTCTCTTTTTCCTTCTCTTCTTTATCTCGCTTCCTCTCCTCTTTTTCCTTTTCCTTCTCCACCTTCTGGGCAGGTGTTAGCTTCGCCCGCTTCTTAGCTGGTGGATCATTCTTCCCATCTAGCTCGAGATTAGATAGCTTTTTGGTGGCCTCGGTATCAGGCAGAGAGGTTATTGGAGCCGGCGAGACAGACCGCTTCCTAGGAGGAGAGGGCAAAGGCGAAGGAGGGCAAGAGGAAAGAGGACTACTCGGTTCTAGAGTGTAACGAATCGACGCCATCGTATCACCTTGGCCCGGCTCGGACGTCATTTTTCAAAAGGATAGGTGGTCTTGAAAGGATGGTCTGACAGCTGCCGCTGCTACCACGGAATGCACAAAGAGATCGCTTGTCGTTGCTTCTGCGCACGTGGGGAGTTAGGAGCCGCTCTCTTGAGGAATTTTTATGTTGGGAGCTACCTACAGCTACGATTATCAAGGACAGGACGACAACGACCCAATTCGAGTCATAAAAACAGGTCTTAGATGAGGGGTCGTAGAAGATGATGCGGAGGGGTGATTTGGCGATAGCGGCTTCGAGTGGTTGATAAAATTGTATTTGTTTGGGAGTGTCGAAGGTGCTTGCAACGACAGGAAGACGCGCTGGTGGGCTTAAGCTGTCCCTGCCAAGCCAAGACCTTCAATTTACGCGTCTCCCAAAAGGGAAATGCGCAACGCAAATTTTCCAACGCAGCGCAACGCAAGCGTAAACACTTGTCTCGTCAGATGGTAAACGCTGCAAGGCTTTACCACCACTCAATCCGAGGAGCCAGCCCTTTCTCGAAAGCTGCAGAGATCCAGCCTTATTACTCAAAGACTGGGTATATATAGATGAAGCACCTTATTTATAAAGTATTTCTATTTAGTCTCGTATCCGAAACTCCTTTGGCGAGGCACCCCGTCTTGGTATGAAACTAATTTCTACTGAAGCATTAAAAATTAAAATTTTAACTTAACTTCTTCTTAGTTAACTTAACTGTGCCAATTCTATACTATAAAATGATACAAAAGACATTAATTCCTTCATCATGAATTCAACACTCAATTGAGCTCGAGTATCAATATGCAAATAGAATCCGCATACGGTTTGTGAAGTCTCGAAACGACGCATGTAGGTATACCGGATCTGGCATGAAAATATAGGGTTTTATTCTCCCTAGGCCAAAATCTTTCATGTATATAGCGCCTGAAACTCACAGTTTTAATCTTAGTCCTGCATATAGCTGACTTGTACTTACTACAGTCAAAGGATTGGAGGATCTAAATCCAGAGAACTTCAGGATAGGGTCGATATGGTCTCGTTCCCAGACGTCACAAAGGGTATTATTTTGTTTGATGAGACCAAGTCGGGGATATTTGTTTCCAACAGGTGTTTAAGAACGAGATTATAGTCTTAAATTCATTCCAGAATTGCGATCCCGGCTGGTCTCGTATCCCAGCCCGTAGGCGATAAGGGAAAGCTTGCTGCTCAGTTAATTCCGAACGGACCCAATAGTAAGCACGATAGAAGGATAAATTACACAATGATACTATTATTAATCGGATAATCCTTACCGCTAGAAGCCTAAGGACAGAGTCGTGATTCCTAGGCGTGAGGAATTGTTTCGCCTAGAGACTATCGCCTAGAGCCTTTTCATAAATTGATGCCATGACATTAGCTTGAATTAACCTCTCAGCTAGGCGCCTGTCGATCTTGTACATAACTTAGCATGCATTCCTCCCTAAAATTCTATATACATGTCCATACCACTATACCCCATACCGCCCTACCTAATGAGACCAGCCCTACTCAATAATTAGTCATCCTAGATACTCATCATCTCTTACTCATTCTGATTCCTGCAGGTCCCAGGCTATAGTCCATTTGCTTATTACTTGCTTATTACTTGCTTATTTACATCACCAAGCTTTGCATATCTACTACTTCCTATCTAGATATCTCTAGATTATATGCGCGTATGCGTCGTGCGATTAGTTAAGAAGGGTAGTTGAGTTCCCTAGCATCTCAGTTCAAATTTTACAATGAGCCACAGCATTCAAGCCCAATACACATGTACATGGGAAAGAATTTATATATATATAATTTATATTATGTATGCATTAGGATAGAAACGGGGTCTTAGTATACCCGATATTTTAATATATGTACATGGTAATTAATGTCAGTATTCCGCTGATTGCATTAATCAAAAATCCGCCTTTTTCTTCAAGAGCATGCCCAAACGCCTATTTCCAACACCGACTCGAAACAATCCCTTATATTACAACATCGTCTTCATGCATGCTGCGATGATATTAATGCTATATGTTTGATGTAGCCCTTTTGTACCTTAGGAGACTGTTAGCACCAAGCGGTTGAAGCGAATCGTTGGACCTGTAAACTTACTGTAAAATGCAATAAACAAACCAACCCTTCAATCGCCCGAATTTAAATTGAAGGGCTCGTGGTCTTCTTCAGGCAGCTCTCTGTAGAAGGGAGAAGAGAAGAGGGTTCTGTAGGCTAGAGCTGCCTGAGCGACTGCGCGGCGGCTCGATAGGACTCGAAACCGGGGTAGGGCAAGTGTGGATGGAGGAGATTATGCTATTCGAGATAGCGACTTGGTATCGAAACGATGCAATCGCAGTGACGTCCGGAGCAGATCCGGACGAAATAGACCATCTTCGACGAAGAACCATTTTGTCAAATAATTCTGAATGCGGCTAAAGATCTATGAAGCTTTGGATTAGTAAAGTCTTTCTTATGAGCTCAATATGAAAATAATAGTTCGCCCGCTTGCTTACTTTGGTTGGGATAATGGCTAGGGTCTTCGCAAACGACCGTTAAGACTAAACCAGGTCCGGTTTTGAGGTATGGTATTTAGATGGTAAAGCGTAGAAAGTGATTGGACAAGTGTATGTGGTGATTAATCCCCAGTTTTTAGGTGGCATGTGTTACAACTTATATTTTCTGGAGGAAGGGAGGGCGGAATCGGATGGCGGATATGGGGTATGGGGAAGACAGATCCGGCTTAGAATTTTGGCTTGTAACAAGTTACTCCAGATTAATCCGGGCTTGCGTGAAGGAAATCATCCGCCACCATACTTCTCCGACGGCTCCCCAGCCCGGCTGAAGGAAATCCATGAAATTACAGGGTTTAATAAAAATTTGCAAATACAATGGGTTGAGCCTTAGCCAAAATCCTGCTGCCAAGGTCTTCCCTGGAGCAGGATGTGGATTTCACGGGACTAGAAGCACCGCACGGATCAAGCATAGTCCTGAATGTGAAAAAAAATGTTCTATTGCGGGTCCACCTGGTATTCCATAATCTCTCCGGCACAGTGGTGGGGCGGAGGCGCCATTAGATTTTTACAGAGTATTGCTTTTAACAGGGATAAGTCGACATTGTTCAAACAATTTGCATAAATGTGATACCTCTTGTGTCAAAGGCTAAGTACTGTGTCGTTATTTGGCGCGGTTGTAACTTAGGCGAGATTTCCACATGCACAGGCTATCCATATGATAGCATGATTTTATAATACGCCTTTGGAATATTTGGCGTAATAAACACTCTTCGGTTATATTTTTATCTCTACGATATACACCCTAGGTGAAAATTCTTCCCCTAATTGTCGAAGGTCCCTTGGAACCTTTTGATGCATAGCTTAGACCTGTTTTTTTTTTTTAAATTGAATCTTCGGATTCGATTCGCCACCACAACGTTCCAGTCCACGTTATGGTCACCTGCTTTTGGGATAACGCTCAGGCCTTGGCCAAAGCTTCTCCACATGGTTTGTCTGTTCGCGGTCGATTTTGGAAGTCGTATGCATTGCCCAGCACAGCACAGACAGCAAGTGTTGTACCGGCATAAAATCTTGTATCATGATCAAGTTTAGCTCCGAATTTACAAGTTCCATCGTGGTTGTCGGGATTTGTTCCGTCACAATGTCAAAGCGCGAAAGCGTGGCGTAGAGGCCTCATTTCGAATATTTCCACGTTAACAACGCATCATCATCACCATGTTTTCTAAATTGAGGCATTGATGCATCGATTTCATCGCGTAATGTTACTTTGATGAGCTGTAGCGTTCGCAGATGTCCGTCGAGGAAGTAGATCGAAGGCGAGTTTCGAGTGATTCAAAACTTCAATGGATCAGGGGGGAATCTCAGGAGTGGAGTTCTATAAGTCTGTCCCCACTTGTGGTTTTAAACCAAATCTCCACTTGGTTCCTCCTCGAGAGCCCGCATTTGTGATGGGCTGCATCAGGTGCTCTATAATCCCAACTAATCAGTTTCGTTGCGTATATTCTGGGTCTTCACCCATAGGGGCTATCTTACGCCTGTTGCTTCTATATCCTTGCTATACTGTTTTCCCTCGAATTCGCGAAACCCGCTGTGGGTTTACAAAGAGGATCGACAGGTATCCTCCATCGAAGCGAGAGTGCGGGGTAGTTCTAAGGCGAAAATCTTTCCTATGAAGACCTGAGCTAGCGGGTAATCTCCACACTAGAGAAGGAGTACGACTGCGGGGTCCGTAAGCTAGGAGACATTGGCTACCGTGTATGTATGTACTCAAACGCTCCATTGTAAATCTTTTCCCCAAAGGTTTAAACGTGCATGGTTGATGTTCATCTGACCCGCCCTCAGACTTTGAATGAGGTTTGAAGTCCGATTGATTCGCTCAGTGAGTGCTGTATAGCGAAATATTAAATCACCTACGCAGCGCAGGTGGAGGCAAAAATGATTAGAATATGTAAGCCTATACCTTTTTTACCGCAAGTTGGGGATGAGACTCGGACTTAGACATCGGAAAAAATATAGTCCACCTCCTGGTCACTCTTTGACAGATGGTGGAATATTATATCTAATAATCTCGTTCTGGTTGATTGAGTGCGAGTGTCAACCAGATTTCATTTGGTTTTGATACTCGCTTCGGTATTGAAACTCAGCATACTAGATAGCATGTCAATATAGAGCTGAATATCTCGATATTTAGATGGGGATGACGAGATCAGGGGGCAGAATGTACATGTATGTTGTTCAGTAGAGTAGTACAATTGATCAAGCACTGCCAGGAAATCGGTTATGCCTAGTTCCGGTCCACCATCATAAGTGGCTCTCTAATCTGTAGTATAAATTCTCCTAAATTGAATAGCATGGTCGCTATGATTGACTTGAAAGCCATCGTATCCACATTCCCACTTGGCAAACTTTTGACTCCATTTTACAAACAGGATTTCACAAGCTCTTACCTAAGTATATTCTAATATTTCGTCAGAGAACTCGATATGAAGCCGTTACCCGTAATACAATTTTGTAACAGTACTGAGCATCGGGGTGATGTATCGATATCAGGAGAGTTTTGATTTCAACCGCATCTAGCTAGCGTTATAGCATAGCCATGGCGCCAGTTCAATCAATTCTTCAATAAGCTTTCCACATTCTACTCATGCTCAAAGTTGACATCAAAGCGTCGACATCCCCTTTAATGAATCCAGGAATAATAAACGAAGCTTCAAAACCCTAGAAGTTTAAAATGCTAGCTGTCCAAACAATCGGGATACTCGGAGCGAGGATGGTGGTAATGCGGAATCATGATATGCACACGTACACCGCACTGCCTGCTCTATAAAATATCCTAGGATGTTGGGATACAACAAAATCCCGCCAGCCATAGCCCCGGCGATAGGGAAAATTGGATGCACCCAACTTCTGCGACCTAAGTCATTTGTAACTATGGCTATGGTGATCCGAGCTTTCAAGTACGATCTAACTGGATAACTTAGATGCTACATGCATGCATATGCATGGCAAGCTTGGACTTCGTCCGTACCTATATTGGGAAGCGTACAAGAGGTATTGCCAAAATGAGTTATTTCTCTCCCTTGAATTTAGGCGAGAGACATTTTGATATGCACCCGTTACATGTATGGAAGTTCCAGGTGACGGCAGACCCTGAGGATGCATGCATATCCTGTGTATCAACTGCACCAAGATCGCAGACCAAGAAGTTTCTGACCAGCATCCGATAGCGGCCGGCAACCCTTTCCGTGAATAGAGCGCTTAGACTTTCTCTCAATGCCTTGCTCTGAAATCTGAAAATGGCAACGCAATTAAATCGATTGTCAGGCTTCCCTGAACCAGCACAGAACTTGAACAGGTTTTTGAGGGGTTTAGTGAGTTTTAATTTCAGCCCCTACCACGTCTACCAAGGTATGAAACATTTAAACAACATAGCCAAAATGCCATCGATGCATGCATACGTCTAGGCTCTAATCCGGTTTATGGATTTACTGCGCTTGGGTGTTTAGCGAGTCTGACCTAGAAATGCAAATTTGCAAACTATGGATTTACAGGCTACTTGCCCCCAGGAACAGCAAAACTCAGGCACATTTGTATTGTCTTCTAGACACGGGAACTCCCAATCTCGCCAGGCTTATTCTGTAAATGCAATATGGTTGCCCCTTGCAGGAGGCTTTTTTGGATTCGTCTTTTCGTCGATATATTCGCACTTAACGAGAGGGGAAGAGAGAATCTGTACCCTCCAAGAGCAAATTTTGCCGAAGCCGCTACACTTGAGTGCAGGAATTAATGACATTTTGATATACACCACAATTGTCAAAGTTTCTATTTGATGAGATGTCAGACGGCTCAGCTCAAATGGAAGATTATGTACAGGCAGCGCTGCTTCTATGAAAATCCCCGAGAGAAGTGCTGTTATCAGTGTGTTCAAAGCACAGGCCATACTTTAACATACCCCGGCAGTTGAATACGACTCATGGTAAAATACGAGTACACAGTTGGCCTTGACAAATTTGCAAACTGGTGTTGTCGCATCGGTAGCCCTCAAATTTTTCTCGGATGGAGTAGACCCGATGAGATGCCGAGTGGTTTAATTTAGGTTGAGAGGATTCCAAAATGTTTTTCCACAGAGAATTCGAAAAAAAAAATGAAACAGCTAAGACCCCGATATCTAGACCGAACCGAAAGTTTATGGCCAGTAAGTAGCTATACGCAGTATGTTCGTATAATCTTGCCGAAAGTTGAGAAATTGAAACTCGCCTATCTCGAAGGGTGCTGTCTGCCCGCGATGAACTAGGGTTTTCTGATAACTCGCGACACAGCGGAGAAGTCGCCAATGCATTAATGACCTGATTTGCCGATGACAATTGATGTTGCTTGTAGCATGAATATCAACTGATCGGAATTAAAAATACGAGGATCAAGGTTTGAAGAGAAATCGTTCCTGCTTTTGTATCAATCTATGTATACAAATTTAAGACCATAACTTCGTTCACGCCACATCCAGTCGCCAACCCCGTGCTCAGAATATATACAAGTGAATATTAAAATTATGTCATGAAAAGAGCCAATGGCACGGCTCATTAGCTTTCAGAGAGGAATCATAAAAGAAAAAAAAGGAAGCAAAAATTGAAATACGTGAAAGAAACCCAGGCCGTATAGCTCCCAAATGTCCCAAATTCAAATCCGTGGACCCAAAAACAAATGTGAGAAGGAAATCGCCCGAGGGTAAGAATTTAGAACTACACGCGGTCAAGTATACAGGTTTCGCAAATCAGTCCTGCATCCGAGAATATTCCTCCCCTTTGTAATTCGTGATAGGGCTCCAGACCTTAACATTTGGCTCTGGCTTCTCAGTGTTGGAGTTTCTTGGATAGTCTCCAAGCTCAGAGGCATTGGTGTTTCCCTCCTCTTCGCTAACAATGCTTGGTTTTCCGTGTCCCTTATAGCTGGATGAACCCTTGGAGCCCTTGCTGACATCGGTACCTTCGGAAGTACGCGAAATAATTCTTGGGACGTGCTTAACAACAAGTGCGCGGAGAGCAGGAACACATGCGCAGATGAGGGCGAGATTCATTTCAACACTGGAACGGATTGTTAGTAAATTGTTTGAAGGTGACGCTCAGAACGAAAGTGGGTGCACTTACACAGCCCAAGCATTAATGGGGTCACGAGAGTCGTTTCCGTCTTCGTTTCCGTAGTACAAGAATCGACGGATTGCAACAAGTCTCATAACAGAGCCAACGCATGCAACCAAACCAACACCGAATGTGCAGACAGCAAGGACGCGCTCTCGAGTGTTCAACTGGAGCTGCCAGACCATAGGGATTGGAATCAACCAGATGACGACGTCAGTGAAAATACCAACTCCACCCACGGCCATAAGAACGGTCATTTGGTCGAGTGGACAGCTCATGTTGTTAGAAAGATCGACCATATGATCCCAGAGATTAGGAGTGGTGCATTGGTAAACCCAGAGGAAGACACCGCACATGGCGTTAGCGAAGCAAATGAATCCGGTGACATAGACGCTGATGCGGAGTGGCCTCCAGGCAGAGAGTTGGTGATAGAACAGGAGCAATGAAACTTTGATGGTGAGAACTGCAATCGGATAGGTGAATGTCAAGATACCCCAGGCCCTTTCATAAGCATGTGCCTGTTCGAAAGTTTGGTCACAGTAAAATCCCCAGCCGCCAACTATATAAGTTTTTAAGTTAAAATCTATGACATATTGATTGTAGTTATAGATAGGTAGCGATTACTTACCAGCAGTACTCTCATGTACGGCGAGTCCGCCCCACGCGACAATCACCATGTAAGCGAATAGGGTCGCCCAATCGAATGCTTGCAACTTTCCGGCGATCGAAATACGGGACCAAATTCTGAGAGCAAGAACAATCGTGGAAATCGCGGTGAAGGCAGCGAATACAGGAATGATGAAGGTGCGGACCTTTGGGTGTGGGGCCAAGGTTAGGATATCAGCATAGACCGGTGCGATATCGCTAATGTTACCCATCATGGCTTCGAATGTCATATAGAAATCTTCACTCCAGCCTGTTTCTGCGAGAATGTCTGCCGGGCTTGGGGTGTCGGTTGTGAGGTAGTACTTCGACAACCATTCTAGAATGCCGCTGGACGGAATACTCTGCCATTTGGCAGCAGCGTTTCCTGCAAAGTACATACATAGAGAACCAGTTGTTGAGATATCTACCGCAGTAGGGACGTAGGGTTCGTCAGCAGACATTTTGCTGTAAGTAGAGAGCTTTGTTGAAACTATGTGTATTTGGAGGCCTGAGGCTACAATTATCAATTCTCCCTGAAACTTGAAATATGTAGTCGCTAAGGAACAAGAGGAGCTTGAGGAAAAGATAATTTGCTAAACTCGAGCGGCTAGCTATATAAATATGGGTGAGTGCCGGTATCCCGTTGAGGGCAAGTATTGTGGATGGCGCGATATAATGGGGCAGATATAATGTTTAGGCCCTTGGCGAAATCCTGGCGACCTGACTGGCTCCTGAATCGTATCTAAAACCTTTTATACATGCTCAAGCATGCATAATTGCACAGGCTTTATTACCAATAACTGCTGCGATGGTACTTTGAATTACAGGGCCAAGGACTTTTTTCGTTCTTGGTATCGATACTCAGGAACAAAAATTTGAAGGCGATAAGACAATCCTGGACTGACATATCTACGGCACAGCAATAACTGAAACGCAGGCTTAATGAAGCTTCTCTTTGCGCAGCCTTGATCGAGCGCATTTCCCTCGTCTCGAAGGTGAACGTAATATTTTTTGTTTGCTATTGTGCCAGCCATTTACTTTTACAGAAAAGCACCCGCATAAGTTAAGAGACGGGACAAGATTTTTTACCTTTCCCCTATCGAGATCAAAGTCTCCACCAGATGGCGACTGTCCATTAACTTTTTCATAAGTACCCCAGAAAATAAGAAGCTAGAAGTATGGAACATGGTGATCGCTAAACTGGTTTTGATACATCCGCGGTATGCTTGTTTGAACAAGACCATAATCACCAGAACAGAAAAGGCGGGGTACAAGTCTAGTTCCCAGAAGGCTAGCTTATTCTCGATGCCCGCCTTGACCGCCGCTCCACAAAAGCACTGAGGACTGGGTTTCTCCGGAATTCCTTCTGGAAGCTTTTGAGCGACAGGTTTGAGAATCTGATTGGTTGACATCAGCCGAAAATCCCGCATGACCGGCGCCGGATAAATAGCGGGGTAGCAGGGGTCTGAATGACCCGCCAAGCGACGAGATGACAAGGGGCCAAGATGGGAGAACAAGCCGTCTTTCCGCCTGACCAAAGCATTTTTCCCGGTCAAGTCACAATCCATGCGCCAAGATCTGCAGTCGCCAGGGAACCATGCCCTGTTAAAGCACCACTCTTGTCACAAAAAGTTTTTTTTGGTTTTTGACTTTTGCCAGGAGAGCGCTGTGACCACCAGCAAGAAGGATGCCTTTGCTTGAAACGAAACTACTGGGACATGAAGATGGTCCTTGCATACGAGCACAGACTTCGCCTGAGCGCAAGTCCTTTTTTTCACCATTGTTTTCTCTTGTGGACGGAAGAAGGGCACGGCTTATTGGTGTGCCTCTCTATGACAAAAATGGTCAGCGGAATACGAAGATCTAACGTTGTTCTCCAGAGTTTCAATCATTGCGACGAGGCTTTGCGGAGGATAGAAAAAAAAAACAGACGCCTTTTGCTGGTTGAGCCTGATAATTTCATGGAGGGGAATACCAGCTATTTGAAGTCCGAATGTCTTGACATCAAGAATTCCTCCTCCAGCGTACTACAGTGTAGATGCCCAGCGTCTCGACACCTTTTTCAGAATGTTGGACTCAGTGTGGTTTGAGCAAGGGTATCTCTCACAGGTGTGGATGTAATAGGGAACCCACTATATAGGAGTGATCTCGATGAGCGCCTCAAAAGTGGGTATCCTCGAAATCCTCTACGCTGGGAAAAATTTTCCCGAATTTCAGCCATCAGGCTTCAAAGTCCAGATTTGCCTTCCTCAGCAGTAGATTAATCACGCGGTCCAGGGCCATCTACTAGCAGCTTCTTCACACTGTCGGCAAAAATAACAGCTCACGCATATGGTGTAGGTTTGGTGGCCACCACTTGGTCTGATTAGGTTGACCGTGTTGATTTAGGCTTTAGGTCCAACAGGCTTTTGTCCCTTCCCATTCAGGATTTAAGCTCAAACGTCTGGTCTTTGCGCGGCCACGTTCGAGCCTAGCAATTCTTGTGATGATAACGGCTCGCCCAGCTGAACGGAAAGGAGATAATCTGACGAAGAAGAAAATCTCGACAAGCGCCACACACATAAAACGCTCAGGGCATAGGCGTGGTCAGGGTCAAATTTCTTGTTCCTGCTTTTTGTGCAGAATGCCGATTTCCCGTTTTGCTTGATCGCTTGTTCAGCTTGACGAAATTATCGTTAGCATGTATGGATATTGTAATTTTGCCATGCAGCCGTCTAAAGGGTATCACAACGTGAATGCACTTGTAACGTGCTGAAGTCGGTACCAGCTCGCTACCTTGATGGTGGTTCCATTCATCTCAAGTTTAATCTCTTCAATCGATTTATGTTCGCACCCAAACCGCCACAAGCTTGCAAGGCCAAGGGTGTGTGAGCATTTCATAACCCATAGAGTGGACTGCCAGCCGTCGCGTCACAGCTGAATTATTGTGCAGTCGCACATAAGTTAGTATGTAAGTGTGTATGTAGAGAGGAGATCGTTTGATGGTCATTATACGATACATCCATACTTTCATCCACGTTTGTGCCGTCAACGTCAATGCCAAATCATCCTTAGCCAGCGAAGAAACCTGTTAGATCCACCAGAATCTTGCCAAGAGACTAATTCTGCAACCCCAAACAGTTACTCCGGACTCACAGTCGGACCGTCTCCACAAGTGAGGAAAAAAGAACGTAAGCAAATATTCAGCCACTAAGAGCACGGGATCTGGGATCTTGACCTGGGGAAGCCAAAAGAAAAAAAAAGAAAGTGTAACAAAAATTAAAATTTTAGCACCGAGATGGTGGGTGGGTCTGGTGCTGTGATACCCAACATAACTCAATGTAAAATGTGCAGGGCTCCGTAGACTGAAGCAGGCCCATTTCTGGAAAAATACTAGGCACTTTTGCGTAAAGTAGGGACGGCTAGGGCCCCTTGAACACCGATAGACAGTGCGCCAACACTGGTGAGCATTCTCGCCCGGAAACAGATTCCTGATATGCGGGCTGATGAAATACGCAGCGAGTGGTTCATAATTAATTTAGAATCGACAGGATGAACACCGAGAAGGACTACAAGGCAAAATGTCTCTTCACACCTTCTCCGGAACTTCTGCGTGGTTTATTGTCATTTCCCCGCAGAAAACAGGGGCAAGGGACGAAAGATAATTCTGCAGAAAACTTAGTTCATCCTGAGGAGCGGCTCCATATCATCAATGTATATAAGACACAGAGACCTCCCTGAGCCGAGAAAAAAGAGAGTCCAGGGGCCCTAATAGGTACAGGATCAGCTCTCTTGACCATTTCATCTCATCTTCGGATTCTGCAGACTTGGTCAAATCTTGAACTTCAACTCTCACTTAACTTTACGTCCAGACGTCCATCGAGCGCGAGGAGAAGTCGTTCGCACCATATCCTCAAGATGCTTCACAGCAAAATGTTCGCGGTGGCCGCAGCCGCTTTGTTGGTTTGTGTAGAGACCGTTACTGCTGGTCTACCTCTCTGTGTCGCCAATAGATGTCCTAAGAAGAGAGCATTATTTGGTGATATCGGAAAGAACGACCTTTTGCCTAGACAAGCCGACCCATATGCAACTATCTACCCTTTGACACCAATTCCTTTCTGGGCAGCTTTACCATTCTCCTCCTGTGGTGGAACTACAACAGTAGGAGGAATAGCAACAAAAACCATCTGTCCTCTTGAGTTCTACTGTCACTGCCATAGCGGTGGTAGCAGCCTCTGCCTTCCAACATCGACCGTCGGGCCTGCATCGATTACCACTTGTTCACCATATTCTGGAGTGACAACTTGCTCACAATGTGAATTCTACTGGCAAACCACACTCACCAACATGGCCACGGCTTACCAACAGTGTGGTGGTTATTCAGACGGTATTATCACACAAGGTTCGTAGTTTACCTCATCATACAATTATATAACTTATTTGGCAACAGACGATGCTGATAAAAAAATAATCTTTAGCCTGGGACGTGCAAACGCTCTGCCCCGTCAACTACAGATGTAACCCACTCAACTTTTGGTACAGCCAATGTACTCCAGTCACTGCATCGCAGACTCCTATCAGTCCAAGGCAGTACTGGGCCTGTGCATCCCAAAGCTACTCTTATGCCACTGCTCAAGGGTATGTACCAAACATTCAGTTGCATTAAATAATAGATGCTAATTTATAATGGTTAAAATAGCGACCGATGTGGTGGTCATTGCTTTAAGGCCAATGGTAAAGTCGATGGTATCTGTCCAAATGGCATGAAATGTTGGACAAAGACATATACAAACCCTGGATATGACGCGTACTGCTATTCCACGACGCCAACACCAACCAGCCTTTGGCGTACCAATCTTTGTTACCCAATTCCCTATGATTTCGTTGCAACCTCAGCTCCAGTTTGCACACCCCAAACCGGTGCCACTCAAACCCCATATGGTCAATGTTATGGTGCTACTGTCAACGCAGCCGGCAGCTCTATCAGTTGGAGCGGTCCCTCAAATTGCCCATGCGGATACCAGTGCACTACCTACAATCCTTCTTATGGTATCTGTAACAATATCCCCAATCTCCCAACTAGCGCCTGCAATACAGTCGGAGCTGGTACTCAAACATTGGTATGTCAAATTCATGGCTCTAATAATTATAACAGGCGAACGAATACTAATATCTCAAATAGTATGGTCGTTGCGGTGGCAGCACATATGTCAATGGAAGCGTTTCCTCGTGGAACTCGCCTACACTCTGCCCAGCCGGTGCAAGCTGCGTTACTGACGATGGTGGTTGGTATGCTCAGTGCAGACCCGTTGCTAAGAACCGCAGAAGGTCCCCTAGCCCAGCCGCTGCACCAGCCCCCCTCCCAGTTGCCAATGCTGCTGCGCTCCCTACTGCGGCTGCTGAATTTGCTGAAAAGTATGAGGGTGCTCGACCAGCCTCGAAACCCAGATATCTCTAATTAATCTATTGACGGAGAGTGGCGAATTTTTTCGTATAATGCGAATTTTTTATATTTTTTTCACCTTTACTTTTTATCATATTATCGAACATTCCAACATTAGCGGCGCATAAAATGGGTTTTTCTTCTACTTCTCACAATAGTGCGCATTTGTAAAATATTATTCCATCTCCTGGGGGGACTCATTCCGTTGGCGTTCTGCAACCACACTCCCCAATTGCTTTTGTCAGCTCAGACTAGTGGGAGCTCGGAGAAAGACCACAGGGGACACCTCCAGTATATAATTTTATCATGTTTATATCATATTTATGTATATTTAGATACCCGAATTCAGAATTCAATGCATCCACGAATCATACACAGAGTGTTCCCCCCTTTTACGTGTCGCTATTTGTAGGAAATTCGAAACCTTAAATATAGATTTTAGTCTACATTGAGGTCCAAAGCCATTATGGGGCTCACTATCCGATGGTTCGTGTTTCACCTAAAATACTGTTATTTTTGACGTAGATTTCAATAGATGGGATACAATCCACACATTCGGGTCCACCAGTTACATTCTTTGCAAGCTTTGCACGAGGAATTTTTAATGTATCGCTCTAATCATCACATCAAAAAAAAAAAAAAATCAAAAAAAAAGCTTTTCATTTACATTCTGGTACGGGCCTCGCACCGTCGATCAGACCTTGGAACTCTTATTTTATATCACAGAATGTTCGAGGGTAGGGATTCGGGGTCATGGTGTTGCATTTTTAATCGAACTCGGTACCGCGAGCACGGGACAAAACCCTCAGGTTCGCTGTTACATACTTCAGAATCGTCACACATCTGTGCGCAATCTAGATCCGCTTGTTTCCAACGAAGCGAAATTGGACAGGAAGACGACTACAGTAGAACCTTCCTCAGCTTCGTTTCTGCTGTTGAGCTTGCACTTCACGCTCCACGCATGACGTTTCAGCTAGCATTTTAATGCGTATACGATTTTTATGCTGAAGCCTGGCCTCAGTTAACATCCAACCACTCTACGGAAGACAAGTTCATCAGGCCGAGCCGCGGCATCTATTTTCCCGTGCACGGACTTGTGCTCTCCTAAACGGTCCTTGGGGTCCCTTCGGCCTTCCCACGTGGGAGCTTCATCCCGGCGGGAATCGAGCTTGGGCTTCTTTGTTCGCAATGACGAAGCTGAGCACTGACTTCAAAAATCACTGAAAAAACTTGTTTCGAGTTTTTTGATTAGTTTGCGGAGGTTCATATTCCGTTCGTACTTGATTTTTGAACACTTTTTCCGCTGATGATAAGTCGAAAAAATTCCTGTAACATTTTACAGCATCACGCGCCATCCCTCATGAGGAACAATTCTGCACGGCGTTCGGTCTTGGGCCTGCTAAGAGAATCACACCGGTCACACGCAACCAGGGGGATTTCATCCGAACACCGCAATTAACTTTTTCCAGCTCCAACCCGGCCTGAGCATGGATCAGGGGAGACGTAATTCGACAAAAAAGCAACCCATTCAAGTCAGGGACTGGGGTTGTTCCAGCCTGCAGCTTGCAGGAGAGTCCCCAACAACACAGATTTAGCCTGAAGCACGGTGTATTCTGCAGCATGGGCCAAAGGCAACTTCTACTGGCGGACATGTGAGCAAACGAGGTGTCTGGCACCGCCGATCTCAATATAGCCCAGGCATCGCCCGTCTCAATGCTGGGTAAAGCCAAAGGACAGTCAAAAGTGGAGACGATAATATGGATCCCCTTGTCCAGCAGAGAGTGTCCAGATCTTCTCCAGGTCCATAATTTGGGCAAAAACGGGGTATAGATGGATCCGTACGAAGAAAATTTGCCTTAAAAATATATTAATCGCTCCTGGGTTTATCCAGGTTTTGGCAAGCGAGGCTAACTCTTCACCCACTAGAACAATCGGAGAATCATGATGGGGTCGGCAGCTGACTGTCTTTCTCCCCGCTTTGGATTTCCTGTGTAAGACAGGTTCCCCGTCTTCTCCAATAGAATGGAGGTGAGAGTAACTGGGGAAGGGAGAGGTTTTCTGCACCTCCATTACGATGCGAAATTAAGCACCTATACGAACTGAAAGTGTTGCTTGTATATCGTGATGCTCTCACCAGGCATCCTATATCACCGTTGATAATGGTTCAAAAAATCCGTCAATGTGTGCCAAACATGGACGGCACCGGGCTCACTGATCTTGGTGTGTGTATCTAGTCGCTAATCTTATGCTGTTGTGTGACACCGTTAAAATTGCGCCTTGGAAAAAATCCATATATATTAGTTGCAATTAATTGCGACAGAAGTTCATGTGCGGACGTGTGTCTGAGTCCAGTTTCCCCTCATGATTCTAGCTGCAATATAAGGTAACTTATGAGGTTTATTACATCTGAACGAGCCGAAGATATGAGAGGAACGGTAGAATGGTGTGGCATCCATCACAATTGAAACGAAACAGCCCGTATCGCTATAGACATGGAAATATAACACCTTGAGCGAAGGTTGAGATCTCTCTCAACTCCCATATTTGGTGGCTTGATACTCGCATGTCAAGGTCTTGGTATATGCAGCCATTCTCACGGGATGTCTTCCAAGATATCAAATTTATGGTACACATATTAACATATACAGCTATAATCACTAGCTCACTTGATCATCGGATCCCGAGTGCAGCCACACTGTTTTACAAGCCATATATGCATGAACACGACCATAGCAGAGCGGGTGCGAGGCTTTGGGTGTTTCGGCCGTGAAAGCTTCTCCACAAGCTTGGAAGTATACTAGTACATAGTAGAGCGTTCTGGAGCTATAGCATATTAGGAAACGTCGGGCAGAGACGGGATACTAGTGGCGGAAAACTTTGGCCAGTGCCGGTCAGACCCGCACGGTCACGACTAATACATGTGGGAACGGTCACAAATGATATCAATGGGCCAACCTTTATTTCGTAGCCCTAGCTCGAGAAGTTATCTTTTGGTTCGGCTTAATTCGTAGGAGCTAAAGCGCCGTTGGCTTGGCCTTCGTCCGCCTCGAATCCAGTCTCATAACCAAGAATCCGACTTTGGTTCCGAAATTCTAGAGACAACGCCACTTTGAGATGCATGAATATTGAATGTTATCACAACCAAGCGCCACAATATCCAGCCCGTCACAATCTGCATCCAAGCCGGACGAACAAACGGCTAATCTTTTGCTGTTCTTGAAAATTGTTCAATCCCTTCGGACACTCGCCTCACCAAAATCTACTATCAAAAGCTGGGTTTCTTGGAAAATAATAAATTCTTGCTTATCTGCCGGACTTTGGAGACATGTCGGAGAGGTGGGTGGGGAAAACTAGTTTCAGGAAATGCAACCGTTGAATCCACTGCGGGACAACGATTCGCAACAAGGAGCGCAATTTAGGCGTAGTATCGACACCATGGTCCACTGTGGATTCAAAAACTCTGGGGTTAATATATCGTGGCGCCTGTTGGTGTAGACTTACTGATTATTAGGTTAAGACCACAGTTGAAGAGTCTGGCGACGAGACAAGGTTAAGACTAATGTGTCTAGACCGAAGTCATTAAATCATTTAAAGCTTAAGATGCATCGATACATTGCCTCACCCAAAATAGTGACTAGCAGTCTGGAGACGACAAGCAGGAGCTCAGGAGTGCACTGGATTTTCTCTTCCCAACAAGGGCTATTCAAGTAATCCACGGCTGAGACCTTCAATTAACATGGATAACGGCGGAGGCCTGCCTCCGAAGCATAACTGAGTCAGACATCAAGAACCTGCGCCCAACATGTTGACAGCCTGAAATTGTAGACCAAATAAAAAAAAACATCCATTTGGACAGCATCACAAACTGTAGAGACCAATTAAATATGGATTTGCGTCAGAAGGCGGGCTCCTAGGATTTTGGTTTACGAGATAACCTAAGATCTATAATATTCTTTGGGTCCCAGAATAGTTAATTTTAGTTCCTCGGATCAGTATTGACTCTGAGGGCGGACATGTACATCGACCCGATCCGTTGGAATCGATCCATGGTTTAAACTTTGAAGGATGTACAGAATCGTTCGCAACCGGACCCAGATATGACCTCTCCGGTATCAAAGACATTTTGCGGAAATTTAATGATCCGTTCCGTTCAGGCTACAAGTGACTTGGGGCGAGCGTGAGCCGTTGGTTAACCTTAGCTGTGGAGTAGCAACGCTGAGATAAGCTAAGCCGACTAAGTGCCAAGATCGATTTGATTGTTGACAAACCAAATTTGGTAGATGCTCGAACCTATTTTGGAAATGCAACAGCCTTCATGTTACACAGATATTGGAACAACATAATCGATTTCTCCACGATATCGATTTGCATATATATGTGAGCTGCGCAGCAGAGTGTTAATGAATCTTACTTTAACCTCATTAAAACTGCTGCAAAATATTGGTTTTTATTTGCCAAATTCGAGAAATTTGCAAACTGGATGGGTCTTCGCACGCGTACTCTAGCTGTGCGGTTCAAAACGTGAACCACAAACATTTCTGATAGCCGAGCGAACGCGAACTAGCAGGCGTATATTATAATTACTAGTATATATTATATCAACGTGCAATAAGTAATCTAGGATCGATTGAAGTTCGATATCGACTGCCATTGTTAAACGTTAGGCTGGTCTGGAGGCATTAAGTCCCAGGAGGCTAAAACTTAGATTGCTTACCTTCACCCCTCCGCCACTTGCCTCGTTGCCAGACTCCTCGACTGTGTCCGCCACCATCCACCATTAATCACTCCACTCTCAAAGTAAGGCCACACACAACTATGCTATAACGCTATAGTGCTATGGCATTATGGCCTCGACCTTAGTAGAACATGCTGCTCCCTTAGCTTATACTACCTTCAGGGTTTTTCTTTCCACCATCGATGCATCTAAAATTAGATAGCCATTCTAGCCTCAGGTTACTCTCCCTAAGTTATATCGTCGGTAGCGTTTAGGATAAGTGCTAGCTCGAAATGGTTGTTTGTCGGCTTTCTCTAAGACACGAACCTCAACGGTTAGTATCACCATTTCTACCCATCTCCACCTCCACTTCCACTTCCACCTCTACCATCACCATCGCCTCCACCTCCACCCGGCACCATTGCCTTCACATCTTCTTTCTCCTCCGCCTCATCAACCTCATCAACCTCATCACCTCATCACTGCCACCTCTATTATAGCCGCTGCTCATTCGTCCAACCCTTCGCTCGTTCCAAGTTCCTGAGCTGGTGAGTAGTTATATCTTCGCCAGGTGGTCCCAGGCCTCTTGATGGAATTTGCACTCGAAGTATCTGTCGTCCATTTTCGATGACTTTTTACTAGTCAACATTATGAGCTGCATTGAGACGTATCCGACACTCCAGGGCCTATACTGAATTCGTAATACCGTGTCTACAACCACACCTAACCTTTTTTGCCATTAATCGCTGATATATTATATACTATTCTAACAAAGAAGCTAACTTACCAGTTCTAAACAGAACCACTATTCCGGTGCCGAAGAAGACTATGCAGACGCCATTTGAGATGGCGCCCACGGTATTGGCCTGCTCCATTTGGTGTTTGGTACAGCCATTTCTGCATCCCATGCAGCCTCCCGGATTGAGCGGCCCTCCGTGGGCCTGCTCTTTGTTCAAGCATTTTGCATGGCCGATTGGCCATCGCATTTTAGTGTTTCGAGTGATCCTAGGGAGGTTGAGGGAAAAGCGGCGGGGTTGGAAGGAGGAAGAGGAAGAGGGGGCCAGTCGGCCCACCTCGGTATCTTCACGCGTACGCCCTAGGGCTCCTTACCCCGCCCGTGAAGTCGTAGTCTCCTCGCTCCAGGAAGCATGGCGGGAAGCTTCCGCCTGCTTCAGGGCTCTCGGCCCACAAATATTTTCTGTGCCTGTAAGTTTTTAAGAGCTGCCTTTCCTTTCATCATCACCACCACCACCACCACCACCACCACCACCACCATCACCATCACTTGTCGTTGACCTTCTCACTTCCTCACCTCCACCACCTCATCATCTCATAATCCATCCCACCTCCTCCCTAGTCATCACCCCTCCTACTACCTTTTCTTGTGTCTGTCATCTACCTTCTGCTAGCATCTTTAGCTGCTTCTGGCTACCTGACACTCTCCTACTTGCCTTCTCTTGTGGGTTTAACGAACGCTACTAACAAAACACGCGATGGAACAGCAGCATCGGCAAGAGGCTGCTGGCCGTCGTGGCGAAAGGGAGTTAAATCCCTTTCGCCACGTACAGCCGAAGCCTCCGGCCAATGTAGGCACAGAGGAGTTCCGGCGAGAAATGCTGCAGATGGAGCAGCGTTTCGCACCTCGAGTCTCTGACTCGAGAACTCGCGCTCTCGAGCTAGAGCGCGAGTTAAACTCGGGGACACCAACTGGTGTCCCTGAGCCAGAGGGGTCCTCCCCAAGGACACCTCACCCAAAGCCAACACCAGGCCCACAGTTCCCTGGCTTAAGAACTGTGATTCTTCCTGGGCCAGCTGCTGGACCAGGACCAAAGCAACGTTCGGGCCTCCTGGCATCCGATCCTTTGGATCGGGTTGACAGGAGGTTACTCTCTCCAGAGCCAGCTTCAATCGCGTTGCCAATGTCCCCAACCAGTGCTGACGCTTCGAGGTTCTTGGTGTTATATTCACCAGTCGGTGAGGTCACCACCCCTCACCCAGTATGGGCTGGCCCTGCCACTACGCCCGGTTTGTCATCTGGACAAATCACACCGCCGCCTCGTCCTACTCCTCCTCCAACAGCACCTCGCCGAAGCACTAGACGGGCTCCTCAAGAGTTCTCACGAACTCCAGCTCCTGTCCGAACTGGTATCGAGGCAAGGGGGATTGGTCTTCCACGCACTGCTCCACCAAAAAGACCGGTCTCTTATCCTCATACGGATCAGTCGAGTGGTCAGCGTGTCGAGCAAGCTGGATCTTCCACCACCCAACAACAAGGGAGCCGCCGAATCACTCCAATGTATGTTTCTCCTCCCATCGGCGGGACGACCTCTTCTCCATTCGCGGTGGATATTCAGTCGGCTGGTGGATCTTCCACACAACCAGTTCCGCGTCCTACGACCCAGTCGGTCTTTGAAAGTCTGAGTACGTCTTCTTTGACTCAAAAGAGCGGAATGTCAACGGCACTGGCTACTCCACGTGGTTTTCAATCTCCTGGGCGTCCAGAACCGCCCACAGCGATGCCACTCTCATTTCTGCCCCCAGAACATGTGACATCTTTCCCTGGTCTGAGAGCTGGCCATAACGTTCGGGATACTTTAAGGAAAGTTTCGGCTGAAACACCAAAAGGTGATTCCGAAGGAGGCACTCCAGCAGATTCCACCATAATCAGGAAAAATCCTATTACTTCAAGACCAGGACAACTTCAACAAGAGGAAGCTTCTGGGAGCAAGCTTGGGTTACCTACTAGGTTGAGTGGTCTTTACAGGGACCTTCGAGACCTTCAGGACGATTCGCCGCTTGTTGGAAAGAGCATTAAGGCAGCCTCAGCTAAAGAAAAGACGAAGGCCATAGCTTCAAAGAGCCTCACACTCACGACAAAAGCTGGTACGAGTTCTCAAGAATTACATCCACTTGATTCATCTCCAAAAGCCCCTGAATCGGTAAGTGCTTAATATTCAATATAATTGGAATTAAATTATCGTAAGTATATGCTAACCACATATGTAGACTGCCAACCCACAAGCCCTTCACCCGGGGAACATGAATTCTGCTCGAGATCCGCGTGGCTATACCTCTGCCGGAGGCACACTTGACGAAACTCTTGATTCCCTTGAGAGTCTTTGTGGCACTATCAAGCGTATCGAATCTACAATGAAGGACTACCGAAAAAATCTCGAGGTCGACGCACAAGAACTTAAGCGTGATCAGAAGTTCTTGCCGCATCTCCAAGATCGAAATACCCAGGACGGGTCAGCCAGGTCTCAACATTACCATTCTGACCGGGTTGGGTCACTACTTCAAGATTTCCGAAAGAAAGAAAGCCGCTATCACAAAAGCCTCGAAAGCCTTAATCGTCTGGACGAAGATCCACTTCTCGATCCTTCTGTTAGTATTCCTATCATGGATGGAGAAAATGAAACCAAGCAACGGATCGTCTTTCGAGGTCGACTACATATCCGCGACGTCCTGAAGAAGTTTGGATACCGCGGAGGACCGGCTCGATCTTTCTTAGAGCAGCTGGACAAAGGCATCTGGAAACTAGAGCTCTCAAAAGCAATTATCGCTACGGATCCCGGGATTTCAGAAGGTATTCAGATCTTGAACGAACTAGGACATCGGCCGAAGCAAGGTAGCGAAATCGACTTTAATGGAATTGACCTGAACGATCTTTCTTCTTTGCCATGGGGTAATTTTAGACTCAAGAGGCTAGGAGACACTATCATAAGAGATAAGACAGGTGAAATTGACCATCTTCGCCGCAAAGACAAGGGGAAAGGTAAAGCAACCATCCAGGACGAAAAGGAAACTGCGACTCCGGAAGCAAGCGCGGCTCAACCTTCTGGACGAACGCCAACTCCTACTATCCCAGATTCAGATAGTGAAGCAGAAGCTGACTACGAAAAAACCTTCATGACTGATCCTGGGATGACTCCTCGCTTGAAGAGTAGGCTTAGCCTGTTAGAGCAACGAGAAAAATCCGAAAAATCGAGCAAAGATAGCTCCCGTCCATTTCATCGCAAGTAACCACATCTCATATCTAGTTGAGGATCACGGAGGATTATAATAGCATTACCTGCGAATACAACTTTCCTGTAGGGCTATCCTCACGACCTCTGCTTCGTTTCTCCTTCCGTTTTATTTCTTAAGTGGTTTATGATCTGTATTTTTAATTCGCAGTCTGCTGGTCCAGAAAGTCTTGTTTAGCTAAAGTTGTGTTCGGATATACGCATCTGTTGGCGTCTGGGCGGGTCGTTTACTACATTTTAGCTAGCTTTTCTTGCAGGGATGAGATATCGAATGCTAAACATTATTCTTCTTTACACTATTGTTCCAAGGCCTCGTAATACCGATGGAATATCGGATGTTGATTAAAAAGTGTCGCTGAAATCGTTGGGGAATAAAATATATATACATGATCGAAAGCTAGGTAAGTATAGCTAGGTATTATACTAGGGCTGAAGGGATATTAAATTTAAAAGACCTTCCAAAAACCTCGTGGTAAACTTATTAAACGCCGATAGTCAAAACACGCTGTAAAATAAAGTTATGCTCCGGGTGCCTTGGGTGGAACCGGTGGCGTTGGGAGCTGTCGGTCTGGAAGCTCGGCGAATGGTACTTCGGCGAATGGTACTTCGGCGGGGAGCTCAACAGGATGCATCGGATCTTTAGCAGGAAGCTCCATAACATGCTGGCTGTCTAGATCTCCAGCAGGCAGTTCCATAGGGTTGACGGAATCTCCTCCCAACTCTTGCCGCGTGATAACATTGCCTGCGTTATCTTTATATATCTTCTTTTGCTGGTTGTATCCAAGCTCATTTGAAAGACCTGGTAGTTCGGATTTTCCGTTGAGGTTGTTCGGGCCGTCGCCTTCCAAGTTCTGGGCCTTTTTGTTCCTTCTCCATCTCCACAGGAAGAACAGTCCTCCAATGGCGACGAGTACGACAGCAACTGCAATTCCAGCAATAGCCCCTGTAGATATCCCACCCCCGCCGGAACCAGATGTTGGGGCTGGAGGATCCCCGGACCCTGTTGGCGTTGAGCTGGGGGAGCCGGTACTGATGGGCACCCTGAGAATTTCCGATAGCGTAGGGTCTGCGAAGCCGTCTACAGGTTGTCCCATAGTCGCACCACCAGTAGGACCGCCGCCAATAACTGCTCGGACTCTCTCGGGTACTGTATAGTCCGCTTGCCGACCGTCATAGGTTTCTAGCCATGTGGCATTGTTTAAATCCATGACAAATCCTGCACCTGCATTGACGTCGCAATTTAGAGGCCCTGTGATGGCTTGCACCTCTCTGACTTTGGATCCTCCAAAAACCATCAATTTGTTCCCTTTGATCAAGTGACAAGATGAACCGAATCGTCCACCAGGAATATGTGGGGTATTGCCAGATGTCGCGGAGTTATCCAAGAGAACCCAAGTAAACGTGGGTATATTCAATGCCCATAGCTCTGAGAAAGGTGATGTGCCTTCGTCGTCAGAGATGCCACCAAACACAAGCATTTGGTAGCTAGAGCCGTCTGGGGCCGCTACCACAGTTGTACACGAACCCCGGCGAGGCGATGGTATTCTTCCTTGAAACCCGGTTAAAGGTTGGTCGTACCACGCATTGGATTGTGAATCAAATATCCGAGCTATGTCAAGATCGGAATTCACACCGTTAACTTCACCTCCGGTATATACGTGAATGGTGCGATTGTTGACTTTAAAAGTTCCCATAGCTCCGTCTCCAGCTGTGGTGCCCCATGGCAAGGTATTGTTTCGCCATGCGGGCGAGCCGGGACTATAAGTGAGAAAGGAAGCAGTGGGTGTATTGTTTACCATTCCACCCACAACATACCCGAAGCCTAACTCATTATCGAAATAGCTGTTCCTGGAGGCATAAAATCTCGTATTGTCTGAGAAGGGAGAGTCGATATCAAACGCGCCGCTCGGTGGATTAAAATCTCCAAAATTCGCTTCATCCGTGAGATTACCAGCCAAGGACCAGTAAATGGAATTTCCACGGCCTGCTTCGCTAATATTGCCAACCGGGAGGCCCAGAGTGGATATAATAATTCCTCTATTCCCGCCATCCGAAAATGCTGGGGTTGTAATATCCCAAAGCAACGGATTCTTCCGTTGTGGGAGGTCTCTACTGGATATACGTGAAGGAACGATAGATATTTGGTTTCCAAAGTCGGTAATGGAAAACGAATCATCGAGGGAGATATAACGTAACCAAGGGTCTATCAGAATTAAGGACCGACGCCGGGGCATTCGTTAGCTGTGCTTTCTTTAATTTGTCGTAAGGGTTCGACATACTATGTCCTTGTTGGAGGACGACATCAGAACTTGAGGCCGCCTGACCGACCCTGTAAGCTGCATCGCCCTGGGCTATATAAAGTTGATTCCTATAGACAAGTGCTACTCCGTGAGATTATCAATATAGTTAGCATATGTCCAGAAAAGATAAAATACTCATGCTTCCGTCGATAGGCTCGCGATCATGCATGCGCGCGCGTAGTAACATCTATTCGAACGCTGTGCATATGGAGTGACACTGATATACGAATTTGAACTCGCATATTCCCGAATGTTAATTTTGGCGCTATAGCGCCGTTCAAATATACTGGTTGGACTTACCGGCATGGTTCCAAACAGAACAGAAATCAGTTCGCGGGTCGAGCGCACTGATATTCATATTGGTTTTAATCTCTTAATGTTATCAGATTTGTTATTTTGTGTTATTTTGCATTCCTCTCCAGATCCGGGGTATAGCTAGAGCTTCGGGTTGATATCGATATCTCAAGAATTAGAGAATTAAACGACGAAATTATTAGGTCGACGAAAGAAGGTAAACAGTGTAAAGAAGGATACCAGAGCCCAACCCCAAGAAATTGGCCGGACAAGCTTCCCATTTTGAGGATTTTCTCTGAAACAGGTTTTTTTAAAATTTGAGGCTCACCAATAAATTGAAATCCATCCCTTGGACTGCATGCCGTGTCAGATCCGTGTCACGGATTCGACCAGTATCATAATTCTTGGCGACATTCCAAGTGCTAGGCTGACCAATTGACAGCCGTTATTTTGCCAGCATTTCCCTGATCAGGCTAGCGCTATAGCGGAGGGCACACCCTAGCCGCTATCATCGCAAATAAGAGCAGGACAATTTGGAAGGTGAGCGCGCCTGCATATGCTAGCATGCTGCTAATATTAATGCTCCGTTAAAAGCCTCTGATCTGCTCGCAATCACGGTGTGGCGTTCGTATTCTGGATATCGATATCGTGGATCGAGTCGTTTCCATGGTTCGAAATTTCGAAGTTTCGAAAATGTTGAATTTATTATCGGTTAGAGTTAAGTTGATTTCGAAGTTATATTCTTGATATGATATGATATCATGAGCATTCCAATTTTAGATACGCAACTGCGAACTAAGCTAGTTTATATATATATATACATGTAAATATTATGTACTTACTTACCCAACGCCCGCTAGAAAAAACATAACTCAAAGACAATATCACGTGCCCAGTGTCAATGCAAGACATGCAATGATGGTAAGGTACGTATGCTTGTGCAGTTCAAATCGAAAATAAAAAAATTTTAAAAATCATTATAACGAAAATCAAAAAACTGAAATCGTTCTGCAAATATGTAGGAATATTACTGCGCATCATGGTTGATTTCGGTATTCGGGAGCTGGGACACCCGGGGGGGTCGGTGGCAGAGGCAATTCGTGATCTGGTGACTGGGTAGAAGTCGGATTTTCGGCACCATGATCCTGCAGCGGCATAGGCTCCGGCGCATTTACACCCGTGTTTGAATAACCATAAGCTGTCGGAAGCTCATAAATATATACTCCTTGAGTCGTCGGGGCGCCGAGAACGGTACTCTGGTAGAAGCCCGAATACTCCGCCCTTGGGTCTTTGAAGGCTGTCAAGTTCTGATCGTAACTTCCTCCTTCAGAATCGACCGGTAGCTCGGTTCTGCCGCCTACAGGAATGTCGTTATGTGCCCCCATAATTTTGCTGTTTCTATTCTTCCTTCTAATAAAGATAAACGCTAGAACGGCAAGGGTGACTAGTAAAATGGCGCCTACGACCCCCCCAACGATTGCACCTATTGGTACCGAAGTGGTCTCCGTATTATTATTGTTCCGAGATATTGATTCGGTACCTGACGGCTCTGCGGGTGGGTTAGGATTAACCACTCGCGTTCCATTTATAGAGAATAGTGTCGCTAAAACTTCGCTGTTGAACCCATCTGGCGGTGCTATAATTTTTGCTCCACCATCTTTGTTTCCTCCTATTATTTCGTATACCGGACTGGGGACGCAATACTCTAGCTTAGTATTATTCCCTTCGTATGTTTCGAGCCACTTCAAAGTATTCAAGTCCATGAAATATGCGGCATTCCCATTGATCTCACAATCTGCCGCCTGCCCTGCTGTGATTGACTTTTTCCCAGCATAAACCATAAGGATATGATTCTGCAAAATGTTGCATGAAGAGGAAGACCGTGCGCCGGGGGCAAAATCTCCCCTCGAGTCGTCCAAGAGTACCCATGTGAAAGAAGGAATATTCAGAACCCACAATTCACCTAAATATCGCGCCGTTTTGCTGTTACTCTCGGAACCACCAAACATATACATCTGATAACTCGATTTGTCAGGAGCAGCCACAATCGCTGTACAAGCATCGCCACGAGGGATTGGTGGCTCCCCAAAGATCTCTTGGTTATACCAATCCTGTGTTTCCGAATCGTAAATCCGTGCTGTGTTCATAGGTATAAAGACTCCATTGACTTCACCGCCAACATGGATATGTACCAGACGGTCATTTATTCGGAAAGACCCCATGACGCCATTCCCAGAGGATCTCCCCCAGGGAAGCGAGGAGTTGGTCCAAACGTTTGTATCGTAATCCCAAATGAGAAAACTGTCGGTTGGATTCGTGATGGCGTCTACCCAGCCTCCTACAATGTATCCCTTCCGCAAAGAGTCGTCCCAGTACGTATTTCGTGATGCGACCATCCCAGTCGGGTCTTCTAAGCCAGAAGCGGAGGCTTCCCACTTCCTGAAAACATTTGCTTTAGGGCCAAAAACTGGGTTATCGGCGAAGACAGTACTACCCCGCCATATTTCCCTAGGGCTCCCTGGGTTATATAGATCCTCATTTTGGAGAATGAGACCTTGAAAATTCACAGTACCACCCATTACCATATACAGAGAGAACGCGTTGGCCTGAAACCAGAACGCCGGGCTTACTGTCTGCGGGACGTTTTCTGGGTATTGGGTTCTGTTGGAGACATAGATAAACTGTCCACTTCGGGCGACTGGTATCCTTTGATTGATATTCATATAGCGTAGGTTGGGATCTGCCATTCCGAAGGCTTATCAGTCGACGCTCTAACTCACTAGTACTGCTCGATCGATATATTCAGCACTCAGTGAACTTACTACCAGCGCCTTTTCTTTTGCCATCTCTGATATATTGTGCATATCCCTGTACGATATAGAGCTGATCCCCAACTACGGCGGCTAGCGGTGGTATCTTGTTAGTTCTATACCTAGTGCAATCAACTAGAAAGAGAGAAAGAAACGAGAATTGGGCTTACTTGAGTGGAGATAAAGCGAACAGAATTCCGTTACAGGATCGTAAAGTCTGTATTTATAATCATCCGGTAGATCGATGGTAACATTCGTCGACATAGCTGCAAGGGAAGTTCGATCGGCCAAATTATAAATTAAACTGATACCACCGTGATCTTTCCAATATATCCAAGAAGAAAAAGTTTAGATATCTAGAGGCTGAAATTTATGTAGCGGTGAAAATAATTTATATTAAAAAAAAAAAAACGCCAACAGCGAAATCTTTACTATAGACTCGCGGGTATAAAAGCCAAACGTCCCACAGGAAGGAAATTTTACAAGCGGCGGTGGTACTCGAGAAGAGTCCCCTTGACTCGACTCGATGTCGGGGCACAATATGTTTATACTTACCGACCTATTATTAAAGGTCACAGGTTCTGCAGCAACAATAGCTGAGGTGCATACCCCTGCCAACTTCCCGTCCCATTGTTCTGATTTGAATTTTCCCTGGCCCGCCGTATGCACAATTCGCATTGTCACAGCAATTGCACTTGCTTTCGCTTCTTGGAAATCTCGTATTGGGTCTTAGTAAACCTAAATTTGGTAGAAGAGGGACGAAAGCCAGCTGTGCCTCGCGCCTGCGTCTGGGCCCCACTTTCCCTAAAAGCCCTAGTGAGTATTTTAGCCTCCCCCCCAGCCCAATCATGGTTTTTGATAAAGGCTGCAATGACAACGGGAGAGCTTGTTGCCATAGCCGCTGATAGTAAGCATGGGTTATGCTGCTCGCAAGATAATTGGTTGATAACCTGTGGTCCGAGCAGGAAAGAACCCGCATACCTTGGCGAGTATTGGTGTGCTCCTTTTCAATTTATCATTTTTTTTTTTCTCTTTCTCATCCAGCCGCAATTGTACCGGCTGCATTTTGGAGTCTGGGGGTTGGGAATAATTGTATGTACGTGCAATAGTGGTGAATCGAACAACAGGCAGGTTCTCACGTCAGACTCGCCAGTTTTGCGGTTCTGGCCAGCGTATGTTAGCGATCTATAGATATCTTACCGAACCCCACCGCTATTATCGGGGTTTGAAACGCGAGTATGTACGCTGGCAGAAGCTAGAAAAGGGTTGCTTCCCGGTCCTCTGTAGAATATATATACCTGTCAATAGTCTTACAGGATTTGACGCTGTGGCTTCCCGAGCCGGTTCTCACAATTCCGAGAAAGCTAGTTCACTTGGCAAATCGAGAATAGTACTGGTTCCAAGTTTATTGATTTCGAAGCTTTCATTTATCCAGTTCCTGTGAACTAAATCTGCGACTAGAGGGCACAGTTAAAGAACAGCAGCGGGACCGAGTCGTATCATATCCCGAGTACGAATTCGAAGGTCTCGCCTTAATTCTGGTTGCTTGACTGCCCTAATTCATGCAGCTGTAGCACGCTACCTTGGAACATGCTAACTCGTTAGTCGCGCAATCAGTCAGGGAGCTCTGAAGATCGTCGATTGTCACCACCCAACTCTAACATGCGTTAAAATTTTCGGTTTACTCAGTAATATGCAGTAGGATCAGGCCAGGGTGGGGTCGGCTGCGGACAGTGGCGCCTTTTCCAATGCCGGGTTCGTGTGCGCCTTGCGAATGTTCGCATGATTTCGGTATTGGACGCCGGCATAAATACATCCCCCATCGGGTGCGGCGATGCAATATGGGATCGTTAAATGTTTGTAACAGGTATAATAGGCTCAGGGTGCTCTCTGCTACGCAGCTCGCATGATCTTTGTTTCTCAGCCCGATCGTGATAGACTGAATTAGTCATTAATAATTCTATACGCCAAAAAGAGTCCTTAGTTTGTATACAGTGCTAATTACTCCAGATGCCCAACAAGGGACGCCGAACCCCCAGTTAAAAGGAATCCATCCGAGGAAAAGGTCTACCAAAGCTTTTCGTCGCCATACTTCGCCGCATACATCCCTAAAGCCTTGATCGGAAACGCGAACTTGTAGTTAGGATATGTAATCATGCTATACGAGATAATGTTAGCATATCACCACTGATAGAAATACCCCAGAAAATACATACCAGCTTCTGTTAAACACACCCTCAATACCTTCCTGTAGCCACTCCCCATTTTTTTGCTGCCGGCTCTTCAATAGATCAACACCCCTCTTGATAACCTCCTTTCCTGGGTATCCAGCTTGAAGTAAAGCGATCAAAGCCCAACTAGTATTCACGACCTGACTCTTCTCATGGTCGATCCACTGGCCCTTTACACAGCTCATGTAACTTTCACCCCACCCTCCGTCAGGCATCTGCTTGTCCACCAAAAACTGGCAGGCCAGACGAACTCGTTCCGAGGATTCATAGGTATATCCAACTAGACGGAGAGATTCAAGAGCAAACATCATAGCGTAAGAGAAGCAGATACCCCAGGAGCCCTCCCAGCTTCCATCTTTCCTTTGAGCAGATATAATCCAATCAACAGCGTTCTTGATAGTCTGCTTGATTTCCTCAGCGCGATAGACTTTATCTACTTTTTGGAAATAGACCAATGCTGTTACTACGGCTGTTGTGCATTCGGGGTATTCATACTCAATCATAATTCTCCCGAAAACCTCCGCAGCATTGAACCATTCTAATTGTTTGATGCCTCTGATAACTTCGTAACTGGCGAACCCTCCACTTGGGTTCCTCAATGCCAACATGACGTCGACGGCGTCTCTCATTCTTTGGTTTGAGACAAGCTCTGGAAATCCTGGTGTCATTTGGATCTGTATAACAGCCTTCAGTGCTTCTGCTGTGCAATCTGAGACTGTATAACCCTGATCACGAGTCGAGAAAGCCCAAGCACCCTTGCGTTGTTGTCGGTAGCATTTCTGCTTTTCATCACTAATCTCTAGAGAGATTTGCTGGTCTTCCAAAAATTGATGGGCCGAGTTGAGCATGTCTTTCCATTCGGGTTGAGTCGAGAAACCGCATTCAACAACGGATTGAACAGCAAACGAAGTATCCCAAACCTGGACACCGTTGGTACCATTAAGCAGCATGCCTTCTTCGTTGACCCAGAGATAGTCCTGGAGACGATCCATATGGCCGAGGACCGCGGGACTATCAGGACCTTCTGCAATATAGCGACACAACATCTGGAGTGGGTTGTTGACGGGGCCGAGGTTTACGTAGAGTGTATTTTCGTCCTCTCGGACAACCAGAGAATATACATAGTCTTCTGCCCATTTTTTTAACCAATTGGGGAGTAAATATTTACTCCAAAATGTGCAGGCAGTATTGAAAAGGTCGAGAACGAGGGTATGTGGGTGATATATGTCTTCAGCGCGGATGGTGTTACGGTGAGCAGCGAAGTTTATGGATGAATAAGGCTGAATGAAGAGTTCCGCACGGAGAGCACGGGTTAGATCATTCAAAGGTCGAGAGTGACGTTTCGACCAGATATAAGACATCGGGAGGTAGACAGCGCGAGTGTGAATCCACCACCGATAAGGGTGCAGAGGAATCCAGTCAGGAAGTAGCCTATCAGACCAGTGTTAACACTATTCATGTTATAGTGGGAGAAACAAGTAATTTTACCAGAGTTCTGGCGGGATAGGGTTCATTCCTTCCCACTCAAAGCAACCTATCATTGCAAGCCAGGCCTTACCCCAATGGGGAACACCCAATGCTCCTCCCATCTCGTGGAGCTTCTGTCTCGCCTTCACTGCGACAGGATGATCCGCTGGCATCCCTAGGAGCCTAAGGGTTGTGTAATTGATTGTGGTACCAAACACGGAGCTTTCGCCTTCGGTATGCAAACCCCAACCACCGTCTTCGGGGTGTGCACGATTGCATAGGTACCGAATGATCTCAATAGCCCAATCTTCTGGGAACGGGATTCCAGTCGAATACCAGCACATTACCATCCCCGCAAGTTGGAACATGGGACCAGAGTAGTCGCATGCCCAGTTACCACCGGGCAATTGCAGTTTTGAAAAGAAGGTCAACCCATTACGGGCGACATCCAACGGGGTTCTCGGGGGCGCTAGTTCGGGTTGTTCCTATCATTAGATTTCAAGGGTGAGACAATTGGCTTGCACAATATAACACGAAAGCGTATACATACGGTATTTAAGCCAAGAAAGTACTTGTCTGCAGTTGACTGCTTCCATTTCTTTGCTTCAGCCTCAGAGAGGTAATGCCATGTCTGACGACCATGGTCGTCCTTTAGACGCCATCGAGAGTAGTCCGTAAATGGGGTTTTATAGTCCGAGGTTGGAATCTTTCCGATTCCCACGGGTTTCGACGGGAGACCCATCTTGACAGAAGTTGGCCGATTTGCGTAAGAACTTAGTCTCGAGGCCGCGTCGTAGTCTGGTGAGAGAGCGGGATCGTGTAGCCTGCCAGCGATAGTCTCGAGCGAGTTGTGTCGCTGATGTGTTGTGGCGAGGTTGGAACTTCAAATATCCTTCGAGGCGCGACGTTCCTTATAAGTATTTCTCCAGGACTTCCTCCTCAAAGCCTAGAATTGTCGAAACATGTGAAGCTCCAAGCCGACTCTCCGGACTTCACCACCAGGAAGGTTGCACAGATACTGGAGCTTTCAGAGCCCCTGGCTAATTCTAACCGAACTTTTTTTGGTTCGCATTCTCGGTATTTCCCTCTCCGAGGTTTCAATTGATTGGCTGATGTCTGCCTTGGCAAGAATGGAGCTGCCTTATTGGCTATTTTCCTAGTCGGCGCTGCAGGAGCCCTTGATTGGCAAGGCTGGAAATCGGAGATCTCAGACTCCGACATTTGGGTTACACACACCCTTAAGCTCAAAGACAGCACTCGCACTAGCCAGCACTAGTACTAGGCTGCGCTAGGCATGACGGAGACCCAATTACATTTATAAATTTTCTATTTCTAGAAGGCTGTTCGTTACGTATTTCTTTATGTACGTATGTCGTTCCATTGGGTATAGATACTCTACACCTGTTTATTCATTAGAGCGCTTCACCTAGTGCGGTATCGAATCTAGACCTTTGGGTATTTACCGGGCGGATGATCAATGATAAGTCAAAGTTAAGTAGCTGGTGGCCATCTAGTATTCGGTTGATATGCATATGTATCAGAATGAAATTTGAATTTTCAGTGACATTTCTGAGTTCTTTTAAACCACAGGATTCACCATGACTAACTCCAGTAGCTCAATTGTACTTAGTACCCATCTTCTTCCGTCGATTCTTCAACTTCTTCTGTCGATTTGCCCCCAGGATTCCCAGCATCTTCTTTTTCGCTCTCAGCTGGCTTTGGCTCTACGTCCTTGGTCTCCTTTGGCTCTGGTGCTTCGGTAACGATGACCTCGGTATCCGTAGGCTTTGGATCTTCCTTTGTCCTTGGTGTTGGCGTTGGTTTTTCAACATCATCTTCCTTTGAGTCGCTTTCAGTAATAACTATATTTGGCCCTTCTTTTGTCTCATTCGTTGGCAGCGCCTTCGTTAACGGCGTAACTGGAGTCTCCCTGCACCCCGGATTCCAGTAACGGCGTGGCGGCGACGGGCAGCATGATGGACACGGAAGCGTATAGGTTGATACTATTCCCTTCCTAGTACTGCATCTGCAGTCCCATTCTTCTGCCCTGATATCATATGCTATGCAGGGTTCCGGTCGGCTAACTGCACATTTTATAGCAGGGCAATTCTTGGCTGTCGCTGTGATGATTTTAGGAGGACAATTAAAGTCATCGTTGGTTGGCGTGGGCTCTGTTGGCGTGGGCTTGTCGGTGGGCTTAGAAGGTTTTGGCCTAGGACCGATCTGATCGCCATTCGGGTGGGTGCAACTCCAACCATTCTCTGAAACAAAGACCTTGAATGTATCTAAGATACAGCCTTTGGTTTTAACCGGTGATCTAACGGTAACGGTGGTTCGGTAGCTAACCACAGTTTTGGTAACGGTAGGATACTTGACTGTGCGGGCTAACCCTGAGTCGGCGAAACTACATGCATTGAATCATTAGCATCATTGATCGAATTCTGTACAATGCGGTGCTTTTACAGTCTTAACAGCAAGTTATACATACCTGAGGAGCAGGAGAGCCGGGATAGCGAATGTGAGCTGCATTTTCGCGATTTGAGCAGTTCAGGGGCTTTCTCCTATCAGCTTTATATATCTTATTTCGAAATTGCAATCAATGAGCAAGGCTGAAATAATAAAGCTTCGGTAAAAACTTGGTTTACGAGACTAGTAAAGACTGGAAGGCTTAGAAGTTCAAAACTGTTCTAAATATTCTTCGAGGAAAAAGAACTTAAGGAGTGTTATCGAAGATCACAAGGACGCAAAGACTGATGGTGGAGGAGGATATTTGAGACTCGTGAGGATTCCAGGCCTCCTTTTATAGTCTCTAGAGGCTCTCGTTTCTCTACAAATTCAAACTTTAGCAGGACACCCTAGAGGTTAGAGGATCCGCTACATAACATCAGATTGGATATTCTAGTCGAACTTGGATCGATCGCGAGTTAGTTCAGCAGTTTTAGGCTAGTTTTGCGTTGTGTCTGTGGTAAGCTTTCTTGTCGCCCTCTAAAATGCAACAATTGCATGGATAGATCTTGTTGACGTTACATATTTCCAAGCCCCGATATTTTTCATTTATGGAAAGTCGTTTCTCTTCGAGGCTCTTTTTCAACTTTGCTAAGGACTGACGGATGGGTAATCTCTAAAATTCCAATGTTTCCCCGATGGAGGTTTTAAGATTGTTATACTATAGCGCGTACCTTCGGCAAACATAACCTTCGGGCCAGTCCTTCCGATATATTGTTAAATAAAAACATAGACATCAGATGATATTAAGCTTTATGCAATCCTTTTAAGCTTATCAGCCGAGGGAAACAATAAAATTCTTTTGATCTATTGGTAGGCCTTCGAGAATAGTCGGTTTATCTTGAGCAATTTATAAGCGGACTGAAATTGGCTAAACCCGGTCTAGAGGTTGGCGACATGTCGACACTAGCCACCCGATATTAGCTGTCTGATGCTTGTGTAGTAGTATAACACGGGAAGCGGAAAATCGTTCTCTCAGGCTCCCTAATATTAATTATAATTATAGCTGATCGTTCACATACATTTTTGTAGTTCCTTGGTTTCCGCGATTTGGTCGACGAAATTTTAAGCCTAGAGCATTCAAAATTTCGATTTCGATCTGCAGTTCACTATATAAGATACTAGTCTGAAGGATTATACTTGCAAATACCCGTCTATCGTTTGCAAACTTAGATTAAATCTTAATAAATTTAGCGGAAAAAACGTAGTGAGTTCTAGTATTATCGATAACCAGCCTTTGCGCTGTAAATAAAACCAATCCTAAATTTTATCTTGAAATATGTACATTTCTTGAAAACGGCTGATATTCCCCAGTTGCCGGTTATATATATGTCTTTATACCACTAAATATCTAGATCATTCTTGACCATGAACCCTGACAAATTTGACCGCTGAAATCAAGCCTTGGTAGTGATGGGTGGCATACATCTCTTCTCAAGAGCGGCGACCGGAACAGTAATTCTTGGCGGCGCAGTGGTGCTAGCACAATACGAAGAACAAAACGTAGATGTATAAAGCCCAGTAGCACATGGGATTGGCCCCACCACCGTCGTACAAGTAGAAGTAGTAGTCCTACAGCCCGTCGTATAAGGTGTAGGAATGCATCTCTTTACAAGAGCTTCAGCTGGAACGGTGATTCTGGGAGGTGCAGCAGTTGCGCAGTAAGTTGAGCAAAATGTTGAGGTTAGAATGGAGGTCGCACAAGGTGCGGGGACGGTGATAGTGGTACAGGTAGAGACTGATGAAGTGCAGCCTGTTGCGGTTGTAGTTTTGGTGGGTGGAGGAGGAGTGGTGGTGAGATCCGGAGCGGGGATGCATTGTCCGTAGTAAGGGTTGTAGACTGTGCATGTAGCGCCGTCAGGGCACTCTATTGGGCCTTTGTAGGTGATACCAGAGCACTAAAGTTTAGGAATAAGTCAATATCTAACTACTAGTATCTAACTGGGTAAGTGGGCCATATGCATGTGGCATCGAATGCTTACTTGACCCCATAGTGTTTGAGTTTGTGCATATGCAATTGGCAGGACTGCCACGGCCATGAGCTTAACAGAAACCATTGTTGTAGAGTTCCAAACTCAATAAATGGTGGTGTATTTTTGGTCTATTTGTCGGGGCCCAGTTACAATTATGCTGATACTACCGTAATCTAGGTATAGAAGATATATAAAGTATCTAGGATGAACTGAATATATCAGACAAAACCCATTCAATTTATACTTTTATGCCTCTAGACCCCTTCGTCAAATAAACCAGGTACTACGTATCCTACAAAAATACTCTACCACGGTCACCACTATCTCCTGATACAATATATCCCTCCTGACGTCCCCTTGATTTCAACTTGCTGAACTGAGTCGATACCGCGCAGACATGCGCTGTGACACAAAGAATTAATTATCCAATATACAGAAACGAAAGCCTGCCAGGATCAAGAGTTACGATAATAGAAATATTAGACGAAGCCAAGACTTTGTCAGCCTTCAGCTATCCTTGCCCAAAATTCTCGCTTTCGCTGGCGCTTTCGGACTGGAATATCCGCCGGGCCGATCGATACACTGAAAATTTATAAATGGTGTTAGTCAGTAGTGCTCTATTATATCGAGTCGGCACTGGGCAGTTCTATCAGTGTATTTGAGCTCAGTATAAAAAGTTCGGTGAAGTATTCGCGCAAAACGAACGAGATATCATGAAAAACTTCAAACTTGCGGCTCGTTGTGCAACGCTTAACTGCCGTATATATAACTATGCATTTACTGGATTTTATATTCCCCCACCTCTGACTTTAAGCTTTTAACTTTTTAAATTTATTATCTATCTATCCGGATCCCGGGTCCCCGTTTGATCATAATCTACACCTAATGAAAGACGGAGAATTCCATGTCCACGTGCATTTATGTGACCTTAGGCTAAACTACGCTATACTGTGCATGACTATTATACGAGAGTTGAAAGTCTGCGCCGAAAAAAAGATTGATCATTTCGAATACATAAATCCGCGTCTCGCCTGATGTATGCAAGCCTTCATGCAGAGCGATATTGCACTGTTTGCCTATATTGTATCTGTCGATATTGAAACAAGAGAGCTTAGTCACACTCCGTTTGTTGAAACGGACGTTATCACGCAGACAATTGCGTGTTATATTAGGGAAATCAGGAATGAGGACCGCCGCTCCGTTAAGCGGTCTGCCAGCTGAAAGTTACCAATTTGCGGATTTATGAGTTTATAATTAGCGGTAGAAATCTCGAAGAAGAAACTCATGCATATCGAATAGTGTATGGAAGTATACTCCCGGAGCTGGTGACGCTGGTGTTGGGTATGTGAAAAATGCAAAGCAATCAAATATCGAGTTGCACAGTAACAATATTATAGGGGCCAGAGGGAATCGTCTTAAAGAGTTCAATTATACCGTTATATGCTTTTATACAAAAAAATACTCTATCGCCGTAAATATAATACATGTAGAAGTGTAAACCGCCTACCTTAAGGGAGAGTAAATATATAGCCCCCTTCTATCGCCTTTCTTCCGTTAATCGAGTTATTGTTCTAGCAGCTGACAATATCCGTTCTTCCATGATAATTCTCGCGGCATCTCCACCTTTCTGAAGTGCCACTGCACCAAGAATGGCCATAATCGTATCCTCTGCCACCTTTATAACACCGGAATCGGTTAAGTTTGCAGGCTGTTTGTCAAAAATAGTTAACTTCCCTGACCAAACTAAATCATTTTACTGAAAAAAGGCTTACATTTCTGGGCTTCCATCTCAGACAAGGGACCATGCCCGATGCCTGAGCGATGCCGTAAAGATTTGTTGAGCTCAGGTGATTCTGTACCGACATATAGCTAACTCTGTTTACGGGGTTTCTTCTGGCAATAACGGGTAACTTGAGTGTTGGATCGTTCGATATTTCTGGTTCTCCACTTCCAGCGATTATGGCGTTGGGTTGTGGTGTGGGAGCGACGGGCTGATGGATCATGGAAAGTGTAGTATGAAGGTAAGCTATTCTACGACCTGTATGCAGCACCCAATCAGTATTTCTAAGTCCATATGATATTCCTTTTTCTCGTATTAGATACGAACCGTAGAAGGCAAGCTTGGTGTTATAAGGCTGCAATCCGTGATCGAAACTCTTGTGTGTTACACACTGCCATTTTATGTCATCTGTAAGAGCATTCGCACCACCTTCCCCGAGAAGCTTGTTGTACATATCGTTGAGGACATCCAATGAAGTATTAACGGCGAACGGAACTCGCATGTGGGTCGCGACTGGAACGAATGGACGTGTGATCTTGTTCATACGATATCCGGCAGGTGGGGTATTGATCTGAGGGGGTACAGGTTGTTGTTGGACCTGTTGGAGAGGTCTACTGATAGCTGGCGATGCAGAAGCATGGAATTGACGGTTTGATAAGCTAGTTGAGGGAGATGACCGCTGATGATTGGTGGGGAGGGTATGTGGACGTGGGGTTGAGGAGCATTGAGCGCAGATTGTACGAGATTGGCGAGAGGAAGAAAGAACCGGACGAAGGCAGGACCGTGAAGAGGCCATTGCGATGGTGGAGAGCCTTCCCGGGCGAACTGGAGAGATTTGGAGGTGCTGTTAAAAGATATAAAAAGAATGTTAATGTTTTGGTGAAGGTGAAGTTGAAGCTTTGAAGTTGTGGAATTTTGCGAGTTGAAAGAGTTTTGGCGGAGATTAGATTAGATTAGATCAAGCCGAGAGATGGATCTGATAAGATCTGATAGAATCACGCTAGCAAGGCTACCAGAACAGGCAAAATGGTTCCAACAACAGGCAACCAAGATTTCGATCTGACTGTGATGACCATGAAAACTACACGTTCTGTTTAAATCTTACTGACGACAGTTCCTCGAGATGCCCTGCTCTGCTTTCCCATCACCGGTCCCAATCGCGGATGCTAAGTTTGGCACCAGCTATGCCCGCCTCTGGGGACAACATGTCCGTACTGAACGGCGTATGGAGATCCGGGCAGAAATAGACCGGCTGTATCGTAGTTTGGCTTCCGCTCCCCGCCGCCCAGAATATACCATGCCTTCAATACTAGATAAAATACACTGGGTCAATGGCGAGTATGTTCCCTCCGGGGACTCCGAGCAGTGGTGGGAGAAGGTGAACAAACGGATGGTACGATTGAAGAGAATGGGCCGAGCATTATGGTGAATCCATTTACCCGGCTTATGCCATACGAGTATCTATTCTCCATCTATCAATATCCTTTCTTTACTCAGTCTGCGGGATTGATTCTTCTGTCTATCTCTGCTGGTCGTTCTTATATTTGGGGTTCGGACGGTCTTGATTTCAGTTTTCTTTTTTTAATATGATTTGTGTTGTGTGTATGCAGCGACAACACACCGATCAACACATTTGTATCGCCATCTCCTGAACTTGTCAACTGCGACCAGACCTAAGCTTCGGTCATAGCCTTATCATCATCCCATCAAGATAATTCATTTCGTATCCTTCCTCCATATTCAATGGCATCCATCCAAGCTTCGATCTCAGCGATAGCACCTGTTGCTGAATCCCCACAGGCAGCTCCCTCTCACCAACCTTCAGCTCTCGCGTCCGTTCTCTCAGGCTTCCTCTCCTCAGATTTCAGTATCCACCATATCTCCCACCCTCCAACTCGATGCGACCCGCTGTATTCTGCTCCTCGAGGCCAGAAACCACTAACCACGAGACTCACTCGTCATTTTCTCGCCGTATCCTCCGTTTCCACTTCTATTATCGTATACGCGATCGAAGTCCATATCTACACGACCCGGTCTTCGACTACCATTTTTGTCTCGAAAGCTGATAGCACAGGGTTTCTCCCAAAGCCGACTAACCCTGTGCCAAAGGGCTCGGCATCTCCAATTCGTGCTACCACAACCGCTTTCCTCGAATACCTCATCACTGAGTACAACCGTCCTGGGATTCCAACTCATTTGACACTCTTTGCTCGAGCTCAGGACCAATACCTCTTCCCTAACTCCATCAATAACAAATCTAAACATGTTCTTTCCGATATTCAATTGATCCGTTGGTGGGCACGAGTGTTTGATCCACTCATAAGCTCTATTTCAAACCTTGGCCATCTCTCGGAGCCACCAAAAAGTTATCTCCTTGTTCCTGGTCTCGAAGCAACCGACCTTAGAAACGTTATTCCGTCTAAGGAGTGGATTCATGGACACCCTTATTCACACCCTTTAAAACCTGTCAGGGAATGCATTCCTCAATTTGAGGACGACCCTAAAGCCCGGTTTTTGAATGAACTTGAGGAGGAAGGATGGAAAGGCTGCAGGAACATGAAGGACTTCTGGGAGTTGATGTCCTTTCGACAAGAGTGTAGTCTGGGGAAAAGTGTGGGTTTCCTAAGTCTGATTTTTGAATATTCGAAGAACAGTGAAGGAAAGGGGATAGATGTTTTGAACGGCAGTCAAAGTAGCAAAGAGAGCAAGAAATCTACAAAATCCCCGAGCCCGTCCGTCTCGAAGAAACGAAAATCTCCCAATCCAGATTCAAAAGACAATACCCCAAAGAAGAGGAAGATCAAATTACCAGACGATATCAGGTCTGCATCCACATATACTATCGCGTCGATATTAAGAAACCCGACAACTAGAGAGTTTATCTTAAGACGGTCTAGCAGGCTGAACAGCCGCTCCAGCAGTTTCTCTAGCACCAATGCTACTTCCAATGATACTGGGAGAAAAGGCAAAGTTATGAGCCAAAAGGACTATGACCGATTGATGCACAGTTTACTAGATAGCGATTTCCAAGGGAATAAGTGCGCTAGGGAAAGCTCGGAGTTGTGGATTCAAATGGCAGGGAAGGAACAGCTGCCTGATGCCATAAAGAAAGATAGTGAATCGACACCCGTGAATGAGAACGAACCGAAGGTCAACGTATTGACAGTGAGGAAGAGAAAGAGTGAGGAAGAATTAGGCAACGGCACAGCCAACATATTGATACCAAGAAAGAAATCTAAGGGCGAAGATATGCCGGTTCATATTCTGCAGCCTCGAAAGAAATCGGAGAGCACTAGCGCTAGCGATGCTTTGACGGTGAATGTACTACAACCCAGGCGAAAAACGGACGAAGTCGCAAATGCAACACCGACGGTCAATATTCTTCAACCACGAAAAAAGGTTAAAGAGCCCGAAAAAGAGCCGGAACCGGTAGTTAATGTTTTGCAGCCTAGAAAGAAGCCGAAGGCGGGTGAAAACGGAGGGGTTAGCGATAGACATAATGTCACCCAAAACAAAGCCCCATCTTAGAGGTAGAGGTTATGAAATCCTGTTTTACGATTGTTATTGTATCTTAAATGCAGCATAGCGGAGGCGTTAAGGTTGTTTTATCGAGAATTTAAATTCCCGCGGGCATAAGACTTATGATTACTTCGATTCAAAATCAAATATGTGGTATAATTTGTTTAGCAGGGCTAGCGTCCTGGAATTCAATTCTATCGCGGACTCATCTCGTGAACCAAATGACACGGGAATCATTAGTAGACCAAGATTGCAATATTAGAGCAAATTTAAACTTAAAGGCAGTAAATTGAATTATATATATGAAATGTCTAGTAATTAGAAATCGTAGCTAAATCGAATGTCATAACGAAAACCCTGCGCATTGTGTCAAAACGGGCATATGCTTAATGGCATAGGTTTGATTAAACCTTAGGGTATTTCTTTGCAGAACCACTTTTGGTATTAAATCCACCAGCAGGTCTGTGGACCTTATTCTCATCCCTATAAACCTCAAACTGGGCCATCTGAATCTCCTTACGGTTGCGAGACAGAACAGATGGAATACCGAAGTAGGTCGTCTTAACCTTCTCATGAGAGATATCAAGTTCCATATAACCGCGATGGTGCTGGTCAGTCCATTGCAAGCTAGGATTGGTCTTAATGAATAAATCCGACTTTTCTTGTGTTTCTTCCCGCTTTGGATCCCACCCGCCAATACCTGGGGATGCAACCGATGTGGAAGCGAATTCAACACCGATGGAGCCACGTCCGGTTCTTGGATCGTAGTCTGGATGGTCCTCTGGCCTTGGATCTGGGTCGGTAGAGTTCAACCAGACGAGATCGGAAACCCAGCTGGCATGTGAGTCGCCGGCGAGGACGATGTTGTTGGGGATGTTGTTGCTATATAGATGGTGGAGAGTGCGGTTACGGGAAGCGGTATAACCTTGCCATGCGTCCAATCTGAAACTAGGCTCATCTGGTTCACTTGGGTCTCCAAGGTTCAAATATGAAAATACTATAGAATAATTGTTAATACTACTACGTAAAAAAAGGCGTATTTTTTTTGATAGAAGGGGCAAATCTTACCTGTTTGCGAGCCGACGAGTCTCCAGGTAGTTCCACGCTTATGAGACTCGGAAAGTTGACGGAAGAACCAGCTTTCCTGACGAGGACCCATTTGGGATCTATTTGGTTCACCAGAAATCTTTGAGATGTAGTCATCGTTATACCAGAGGGTAGTGATAGAGCGGTCGTAATGGCGGGTATCCAACATGACTAAATCGACAAGATCTCCAAAGGCAGTTGATCTCCAGATTCGAAGGTTGTCTAAAGTTTATCATTAGTCTTCAACACTCGGAACTGATAATAACGTGGGGGAAATTAGCGAGTGAAATCTTACCATCCATATCAACTTGTCGAATAGGCATCCATTCGAAATAAGCACGAACAGCATTCATTTTCCTCTGACCAACGCTAACCGGGTCATCCTCGATGAAGGTGTTCTCAGTATTGTTCATCTTGAAGTGACCGTCACGCCATGCGTTATTTGCGACCTCTAAAGGTTTATAGTTAATATGATATTTCTCGTTAAAGCTTGGGGGTATATGGGATTTTAATATTTACCATGATCGTCCCATGTTGCGATCCATGGGAACATTCGATGGGACAAAAGGAGATCCTCATCAGTTCTATGGGTCGCAAATCTCTCACGATAGTCGTAGAGGGTGAAGAGTTCGTGTTCAGGTTGGGGGACACGGTCGATGTCAGGACCTTCACCGGTGTAACCATATCGTGCGTATTCGTAGATATAGTCACCCAAATGGAGAACATAGTCAACTGAGTCTTTTCTAGCAGATTGGCCATAGGCGTTGAAGTAACCATAAGCTATAAGAAACATTGGTTAGCATATTAAGATACCCCAAAATCTTGGTATATATTCTGATGTTAGGCATCAGATGGAGTGGGTATCTCACCATAGAAAGCACAGGAGTACACAGCAAAGCGAGCTCTTGCAAGGTGATCGTTTTCTCCTGGTGCAGTCTTTGTTCGTCCGATAGGGCTCTTAATATTCGAGTTACAGATATTGAATTGGTAGTAGTAGTTGGTGAATGGTTTCAAATGCTTGGCTTCGACCTTGACTGTGAAGTCGATATCAGAGCTAGTATATGCCTTCCCATTGCAAACTGTCTGCTTCATTGCCTTATCCTTGGCAACTTTCCACTCCACACATACCGGGGCTGTCGAAGTAACCTCAGGCCCATGCCAGAACATTGGCGATAGTCCAGTGACAGCACCGTCGTCGTTAACTGAGTGCATCATTGGCGCAGCTCGGGTCCAGAGGATAACAGACGAAGCATGCGGGTCACCACTTGCAACTCCATGTGTGAAGTTAAGCTGCTGAGGGGTGTATTCTGTACCCGGGACATTTCGCTTTGCCACACGACGGATAGAAATTCCGAGAGAAGGGTGGTGCATAGAAGGAGAAAGGTAATTGATATTCCCGGCCCAAGAGGCAAAACTGCCGGCGGGGAGTAGCGAGAGAATAGCGAGAACTGGAGCGGACTTCATCTTGACGTTGATATTCGAGAAGCTTTACAGATTTCTCCAGAAGGCTCCTAGACCAGAGATGATGATTCTGTGGAGTATTCTATTCTTTCCAAGTATCATGTGTACGGGTCCCATCCTTATATAGCGAAAGAACTGCCCCAGATCTTCGCAGAGTAGGATGTGAAATTCGGAACGCTCGCCGCCATCCGAACTGGCCTTGTTCTTCGCTAACCCCAACTTAGCATAAGATTCGTAATGACGCTCGACAATTCTCATGCTGATGGGAGTATAATTGCCATGCTAAACTGTATACTGGTGGATATAAGCATTTCGAGAAATTCAAAGGTGAAAGAGCGAATCTAGAATCGGAATGGTGTCGCACGACCAATTTCCTATTTCGCCAATTGTGTTGTCCCTGTTGCATCACCTTCTCCCCTTCGGAACCAGGCTTCTGAACAAGGCAGTTGGCTAAACCTACGGAACGAACCCTAGATGCCCGCCCTGAGACCAATTGCGACGGTGACTTGGTAAGAATTGAGTATAGCCCTTGCTTCCTGCCCATGTTTATTCGAAAGCGGAGGGGTAATCATGGCTTCAATTGCGGGTTAGTGGTCTTTCGCATGCAATTTCGCACTGGTACTTCGAATGCGCTCGATGACGGCCTGCCCTGGAGGGTCAAGTCTGGGTGTATGAAACTCCTTCCACCTTCTCTCGAGGAGTTCGGGACCCCTCTGCAGATGTTTATACATCAGTTCTCGGTACCAGACTTCATCCTTGCGGAGCCGTAGGCCTAAAGGGACGGGTAGCCACGGGGAACAGGCACTGCAGGGCATGGTTGCAACGTTGGTTACGTGTATCCGGCGGATGTTGCGAATTAATTGTTCGTTCGCAAAGCAAGGGAGCTCATAATAAGTATATCCACATGTACAACCTGCAGCGTACTTAATTAATCTTGCTCGTAGCTATCAGGACTAGTGATGATTTGTGATTTTTGACGGTGAGATAAGAAGGTGAATGGGCTACTTGGCTTTTCGTCCAGCCTTAACCTAGACGTCTACACGTCTCACCCTGAAACGGACACGGCGGGTTACCGGTTTCTTCCGGAATATTGTTGAGAAAGACAGTTAGGTAGTCGCCTATTGGGTTCTTTCAAATTCAAAATTTTTTAGTTGAGGAAACGGTTATCAGCGAAACCTATTATATTGTCGGTCCTTCGAAGCTTACAGACAATACGGCAGAAGTTCTCATGTCTAGGAAGAATTGATATAGTTGGTGCCAATACCTGGGCAGATAACCGGTACGTCGTAAAAGGAAGAGCTCAAGAACTAACGAAGACTGCAGCGGGCGTACATACAAAACATCATGATTCTTTGTAAACTTGCGCTCTATAAATATGCGTAATCAATCAATCAATTAATTAAGCAATGGTTTGACAAATGTCCCGTGACGCCTTCTAATTCCCAAATGAAAAGAAGTAAGAAAAAAAGAGTTCAGCGCTTCCACCTTGCCTCCATAACTACGAGATCTGCGTATCTAAACCTCTTTGCGAACTAGCTGGTGTTAAAAAAATCGTTCTCTTGAAATCATTCGACTTTAAGCTCCTTCGCCTGTGTTGTCATAACCAGCTTGGAAGCTTTATCGGATCAGGAAGCTACTATCAACGCCGGTGTATGAATGAAGGAGTGCAGCAAATATATTATGAAGGTATATGGGAGCGTAAATTCCGGTACGATTGTTCAGCGGGTGAAGAGGGAAAGGGTATCGGCCTCGACTTAGAAGTCATTAAATAAAATAGGAATATGGGGTACTGTAGTATATTCCTCCTGAGGAATAGGTGCGCCGACTGTGGCAATATAATAAAGGGGGCCGCATATCGAATGCCTGGGCGCGGGTATAACGATTATATGTAGAAAATTTCGAAATTTCCACGATTTAGAGGCCTACAGTCGTTGAACTGCGCGCGATGACCTTGGATATATCCCGGTTGATGCTTCTGATCCGATCGAGTAGCCCGTCGCCAACTTGGCCGATATGCCACCCTGATCCTCCCCAGCCCCAGACGAGGCTCCGAAGCTTCGCCTTCATAACCCCGTACTGCCAAGTAAATTCCCATCTTCTAACCTCGTCTTGGACTGAAACTGCAGTTCGATTCGCCGCTGGCGGTGGGTGAGATTTGCAAGGCATTGTCTAGACGTCTAATGCTTTAGGTCTCGATGAGTAGGTAGCTAAATTGGGGCAGAAAGTTGCGATAGTAGCAGCAGGAGCAGTGGTAGTAGTAGTAGTAGTGACGGCGAGCGTTAGGACGGGGGAAGACGAGGATTTTGGAGTAAGCTATGGCGACTGTGCTCAGAATTTAAAGTCTCCCCCATTGAAGGTCTTAGCGTTTATCTCCTAATCCGGCCCGGAAATGTCACCTTGTCCGCTGGGAGAGGTGCATGCCAGCGGTTCCACTACTGCTCAAGCTGCCAGTAGAAACTCATTAGTCTGCTCCAAATGTCTGACATGGCGGTCAATCGGATGCAGCTTCACAGAGAATCCTCACTGGCCAAAATGTTCGGCATGGCCTCGTGTCGCACTTTCCCAGGGGTAGTTGGAATATCCAGGGTCCAGCTGATCTGGAGGTACAGCTGGGACAGCTGTCAACGGTGGGGGGCTCTTGTACAGGACATTTGTACAGTGCGTTGCATTGGGTGCTAGCAGGCGGCGCCGAACACCGCCATTAATCCGAGGAAGTGGCAAAAGGCCAGAAGTTCGATGATCCTTAGTGCGGAGCGGGAAAAAAAAAAAAAAAAAAAATTCGATCCCGTGATATTCGGGGAAAGGGTTGCACGTTTGAAGAGAGGGAGATCAAGAGGCCGTTTTGGCGCAAGATATCTCAAATCCGACCTTTCGCTTGCCTGATCTTGTCTATTAAAGAGCTATTTGCCTCTTTAGCGTTACGAGATTCTGTATCCGTGGCTCGCCAAGGCGGTCCCTCGACGCGCTGATAAGGTTGTGTCGAATGCGTCCATCTGAATTCCCATAATCTCATTTGCGTGTGCACATCAAAGGCGAGGAAGTCTGCGGCTGAATCTAGAGCGGGGTAAGGCGGCGGGTGAGCTTTGCACGGCATCTTCACGATCCTCTGGATAGTTAAGTTGCAGAGGCGAAGCAAAGTCAAGGTCGTGTGTTCGAAATTCGAAATTAAGAGCATCAAAAGGTGAACTGGTGGAAAAACAGATACTGCAAAGGAGAAGTAACAATAGGCTGTAGCGGCCTGCTGAACGAAGCAACTGGTTGCGAATTGTTCGAAGGAAAACACGCGTACCAAGGATGTCGAGACGAAAAGGAAACTTTACAGGGAATCGGAACAGTCGACAGGAGCTAGTTACTACTTTGGTAGCGTATCGGGAAAAACATGTTGATCTGGGTCTTGATAATTTAATATCATCGATGGACCCCGAGGGCTTTAAATATATCTCTTTAGCCGGCACCTGATATACCGATAAAATTCAAATATTAAATTAAATGTCAAAATCTAGTATCATGCATGTAAAGCAGCTGGAGGCTAGACTGCGATGGATTTTTTTGAACCGACTCTATCGAGTGCTCTAGGCTGCTTGTAAATCTTGTAATGCTGAGATTCCTAAGACGTGATTAAAACTATCGACCAAAGCCGTGAAACTTCAATGTTGTACTGCGCTTGTAGGAGGGGTAACTCGGGCTAGTTTAATTACCATGCAATGCAATGGCCACGTTTGATACTTGAAATTAAGACGATATCGGCTGTACAGCCGACGACCTAACAAACATCATGCATGCGCATTCCACATGCATGTATTATAAATGCCTATCATGATATCATAAACGTCTGGTCCCGACCTAGAAGCCATACAACAGTATCCTGTGGTGATATCGTGATCCAATTGCGAGCTGATCAAGATACCACAAGGCCAACGCATGCATGTATCCCACAGGTGTAAAAACTAGCATCTAGACTTGGGACATTATATAGCTACTAGATCTATATCATCAAATATTTACTTAGTTATATAAGGAATCGGTTTGGATCTCCAGTCTAAAACTTCAGACCAGGATTGTTAATGTTGGGTAGCCACCCTGTAGCCTGCTCTGATGACACTAAGGGTCCTAGGAATAACTCGTCAAACTCCCAAATTGATGTCAAGATGTGATCTGTGAATATAAAATTAATATACTGTCTCATCATGCAGAAATTAAATATTATTCCGAAGAGTTTATCCAGTCTATAATTTACAATGCTCTCCATTACATAATTACATAGTTAGCTAATAGAATCATACGCAGTATATGTCTAACAACATGCAACAATAACATCTAAACGGACTAAGATACGATTTTTGAAAGCTACGCTATGAACGACGATAAAGATTTAACACACTCACCGTCTGTTTCCATTAGCTTGTTAGGTGTTGGGTTTAAATCTAGGCTTGGTGATCGCCGAACAGCCAGCTTTGCGAACTGACTTTGAATCGAGAATACATGCCTGGAAACAACCACTCTAGCGCGTGCACATTTTTTTAATAAGCCTAGAAACAAGTTTCTTGTCAGATCATTCGGCTGCCTTGCTCAATTTTTTGTTTGTCTAGTTGATAAAGAGAAAATCTCACCCTGAAGGAATTCCGGTTTCGAAATGTCTAGAATGTTGAAGGAATGTGATGGACGGATTTGAACTAGGAGCTAGCTATGCCGGTCCAGCCCGTTTCTCATGAAAGCAACCAGTCGTTGAAAATTTATAGACCATGGTAAGATAGTAGCCTCGAGACCTAGTAAGACAGGGCCTTAAGACAAGTCACAACATGCATGCAGGGGCAACCCTACATTAGATGTTAGGATCGATACTGAGCCTATCACGCGAGGCCCCCGAATCAACTATCCCCTGTTGGTTGCGGGGTAAGCCGCTACCGACGCGAAGGCTCGAAATAATTTAATCGAGTGGCTTCCCGGTGTTAAATTGCTGGAACCGAATCGGCACAAAATTAAAACTATAATTGATTGAACAAAGAAGCTAGCATCATGAACATCGAATACTAAAGCTAATTGGTATTCCTGAACTTGATTTTTTGAAACGTCTTAGTGTAAATTATTAATACTGAGCTGACGGGACGCATATGCTTTCGGCATCGGTGTCAAATGAAATGGGAATGAGGCTGAAAGCGAACCCTGCAGCTCTGTCCTTGATATGGAACCTTAGCATTTCAAATCCAGTGGGCATTCCAAGCAGGAGAAACAACAGAAACAAAATGCAACATCTCTCCTCTTCGTGATGTTGCGGAACCAACAACACTATACCACCCTGTCCCTGGAACTAAACTATCACATAGCTTCAAAGATTCAGGACTTTTTTTGTATGGAGCTAAGCCTAGTTCCGTACGGGGAACGACTTCCCCCCGCCCTTCTCTCTGGAATCTTGACGTGACATGACTAGACTGTGTATTCTTGTACCCTGGATATCGGCGACGGGAGTAACCTTCTCGAGGGTCATTCGTGTGACTTGATGTGGTATGGCGTTGACGGATCTAGCACACGGAAGTGTGCCTGTGTTCAAGCCGGATATGGCTGCAATTGCGAATAGGAGTTTATATAATTGTTGATGATTCCTCCCATGATCAAGCACATGCACCATTTCCTTAATCTTGTGCGGAACTTCAACATATACCTAACACCAATCACGTCAACTAAGTCTCGTAACAACCACATTCCATCAACAGAAGTTTAAGAAACTCCTTTGCGAATTTGCTCGACGATCCTACGGCTAGACCGATCAAATAATCCTGCTGACACGAGTGCATCTCCTATACTCCAGGTTAGTTTTATCCCCCACATTTGCCGTATATCCGCTTTTATCTGATATCTGATATGATATGAAATTCCATAGGCCTCAATATCCATATCAAACCCACCACCAAACACCTCGCCACAACCACAACCACAACCACAACCACAACCACAACCACAACCACAACCACAACGATGCCTTGTAGAGCACACGCCTGGCCCCTCGAAGAGACCGAACGGTGTCTCGAGTACATCGACCGTACTCACGAAGTAACTCTCGGCACGGAAGTCGCTTTCTCAAGATGTGCAACGGAGTCTAGATGGTGCCGTCGAATCTCAGAACACCGAGAGACCGAAGCTCGCAGAGACATATTTAAAAGCTGGAATTACAAATTGGCTACCGGAACTCCTATTATCAAAAAGATTAGAGAAAATACAGCTGTGGAGATCACAGTCTCTGCACAATAAAACATACGGAATGTACTTTGTGGCTGATCTGGTTGGTTGGCTAGGTGGCGGGTTGGTTTTTGGTGGCGGCAGGCCTATCCTTTCGAAAATTCCGTCTTCAGAATATATTAGAAATCTGGATTTCTAAGAAGGCGAATAATATCATTAAGAAAAAAGTTTTGAAGCGGTTTCTTTTTTTTCTTCCTATTTCTTCCTTGTTAGTTGCTGCACCAACATAGGATTTAGGTGGGATGGTGTTCTAATAGACAGAGGTGTGGACGAGATCTCCATAATGTAAGTCCAGTCTCCAAACTATTTCGAATTAGAATGAAATGGAACTAATAATAATTCCGTAACTAGAGGATGCAACCATAGCTTTGATAGGCTTCTTCTTCAATATCAAAGATAACGTACACCACCGTTGTTCGTATAAGCAATCAGATTCGAGGGCTCCTCCAACAGTCTAGTACTATAGTCCATTCTTTTCTACTTAGGATCGAAATATGTATTCTTGGAGGTTCAAGACTCCCTTCATGTATCTACTGTGACAATGGTTCTGCAGGCGGTGAAAAATACATCAATAAGAATGCTAGAAACCCGGTACGAAGTTAGATACATTGCTTGTAGACGTAGCAAATTCGAGGCGTAATTCCACAGATGAAGGAAATACCTTGGTAGAAGATAGTAAGATTCTATAACAACTAGTGTATGTATGCCAGAAAAATAATTCAAACCAAAATTAAGCACTCATCTAGTCTCTATAATTTTGTAAAAATAGTATATATATGTATGTCATGACCCTTCCAACTTTTAGGATCTATAGATATCCTCACATAGATTGCCATAGCTGGCGTTTAATTTCGCCGCCTGATTTTCTGTATTAAAGAATCAGGCACATCCCGAGCAGACGACTGAGTTTGTGATATTTCTAACTTGTTTTTTGCTTCGATTTCTGCCCTTTCGATCCAGCGCTCTCGAAGTACAAGGAATTCAACTTGGATCATACGGCTAATTGAGTGTCGATAGTATGAGAGGTCGTAGAATCGTAGGTAGTCGACTGAATAGGCTTTGCATGGCATTTTATATGTGGTATAGTGGTTTTATAACGTGTACGATGTAATTGAAATCTGTCGTGTAGATATTTTGAAGATCAAATCGAGCGACGGTGTTTAATTCATAGGAGCCCGACGGGTTATATTTATTTATATATGTTGGTTCCAGGATCGAAGAAAAGCCAGGTTAAGCCCGATTTTCGTGAAAGTCTGACTGCCCCCAGGCGAGTTGTCCGAGTAGACCCGAACGAAAATACAAGAAGTTGGTATAACCACATGTACAATTGACCGATTTGTGGGTTGGTTGATATCAAAAATTTGCGGTTTTCCAAAAAAAATGTCGGGCACTAATGCTGGCGAAACTGCATTGTGGAATTCCTGAATTTGAATGAGTGTATATATATGTAGTGAGAGGGGTTCGAAATTCGGTCGGGATTGGAGGAGATCTCGTTGAACCAGAGCTGCAAGGCCAGGCTCCAGTCGAGCACCAGAGTACTATACAGAATCCAATGTTAAATTGCGTGTTCCACTGTCGGCGTGCTACCGTATACGTAAGTATGAGTAGAGAATTGATTGACTCAGAGCTTAGGCTCCGATGCCCTGCGTAATCTCTGAATCAGTGGTTCTGGTTCACAATTCTCGCTTGGATTTCGTAGCGTTGCAGGTTCCCTCGCCTCCATCTGATATATCTGAGCGACTCTCAAGATAGCGTATTCCTCATTGATCATTTCCTTCAATCTTGCCCACCAAAATGTTGGAGAAGGCTGGAATTGCGGGTATCCTAGGATACTATCTTCGTAAAGGTCAAAAAACGGATATGCGGTCGTCGTGCAAGGCATTCTCGCGGGTTAACAGTATTAATATGGGCTCAAGGACGTCGGGTCTGAAATTCAAGATACAAGCACTGCGAAGGAACTAGCCGCTAATATACCAGTCGCCCAGGAAAAATAAAGGCTGAAGGGAAAGATAGGCTGTTATCAACGGCATTTTCTATCATAATTCCCATTGGAATGAAGAAGCCACCTGAAACTTTGGTCCCACTACGCGTGCTCCATTCGTTGGCCAACCTGGCTTCCTGTGATTCTGGCCACTTGTCTTGCTTTTCAAGGTGCTATTTTGAGATTGTCGAGCAGGTATCTATACGGTCGGGCCCAGGTACAATTGCAGCTGATGGTTCTCCAAAGCGGTTGTATACCGGAACCGAACCCCAAACCGGTCCGCATATAACGAATAGAAAATCCTCGCGACATAAAGATAAGTTGATTGCGAACGGTACTCAGAATTTGAGTAATTCAAGTCCTTCTCGAGCTTGGTTGGATATCCAAATAGCAGCCGATTGAAGGCCGCTTTCAGACCAGGATCTATTTAACATGTTAACTGTTGCGCCATGAGTAGAAATGGTTTGGTTGTGATTGGGCGTTTGGGACCAGGCAGGAGTCAACTCGGAAAAATTGGCAGCCGGGTAACACTACCGCAGTATACATTAGGCCCAAATGGGCTTTGGCTTCCTTGGAAAAGGCCCGTGCATGGAGCGTGCATTTTGAAACCCGACTGTCAATGTCTGTGCTCAGATATAATTGTCGACGTTATGGTTTATATACAGGTTTTTGATTCCACCCAACCATCATTCTGCTGGATCTGTGCACACATGCGTCTCGTATCCTTTCGAGGATTGATTATATAGGTTAAGGTGGCCCTAGTCAATTAGGTACTGCCATGAACAAAAGCTGCACGTACCTCCCTCAAGATATCCCAGCTGTGAGCTATTCTTTTACCCAGTCTGCATCAAAACGTTGGCAAAACCAACGCAGCGGTGATCAATGGCCAAACCGATACTCTCCGCGCATAAAACGTCCTTATGGTTGGAAGGTACCTAGGCCCAGTCGAATTATGGCTTAAGAAGCTTGTGATGTACGGCGCGGACCGGATCCTCTCAATCGCATTAATTGGGTGTCGACGTGTCCGGATGTCGTTGAGCATATGAGGTATCTTTAACTAGTTGATTGCGATCGCGCGACTACCTAAAGCTGTGTTAGTTTTTTGGGCACACCATTCTTTTCGTAACATTTATAACTTTAATAGAGTCTAGTCAAACGTCAAGCTCACTGTGGATGTCATATATGTAGGGCATGAGCTTGGTATCACGAGACAGGGATTAATTGCTCTAAATCTAGTCGCACCGTACCTATCCGATTTGATTCGATTCTCAAGTAACAAAATTTTTGAAATCTGAGATTATTTAGAGGAGGTAAGGCGAGGAATTGGGAAGTTAGACACCCGCAATTGATCATTAAAGCCCCGCTGATAAGTACTTAATTTTCGCGCGTTCGTGAGTTAACAAGAGCTTCGAAAATGCAGTCCTAGCAGCCTTTGGCTGGCGAAACTGCATGTTGTCAGCACCAATCCGGATATCCCTTGCACTGAACAAAGTGCTAATTCAGACCCGCCTGAGGCCAACTCAAGCACCAAAGAAACAAGAGGTAAAAGATTGGGGTTAAGACGCTCAATGACCTAGGCACATGAGCCTCATGGGTTTTCAATGAAGTGAAACGTATAATTATGTAACACATAAAACTAATAGCTACTATATATAGTATTCGAAGATGTTATGATGTGTGAATGCTGTTTGAATATTATCATTTATCGAGCCCTTAGGAAGTTAAACGTTTTGATGTCCAAGCCCTGAATGGCTCTATCAATGCCTACTTCCTTTTCCTCTTAAGGTTGGTAGATGGAGCTTGGTCTTTTGATGCTCGGATTCTTTGAAGCATAGATTTTTAAATGAGCAGACTTTCGAGAATCTCCAAAACTGGATCAAAATGTAAGTTCTCAAACCCGATCGAGGACTACAAGGTCCCGCGCGTTGAGTGAGGCATATGGGCCCCGAGTTTCGCGGAGGTGGGACAAAGGGTCGCAAGGCATGATCAGACGGAATGATGTTAACGTAATTAACCAGATCTGGTGGGTACTTGAGTACAAATGTTAATACGATATATACAGTCTTATCGAGGGTCCTCCGCTGTATTTTATATTGGACTCGAACTATTCCAAGGATATACTAGGTGATCATTGAATAACTCTCTTTAACTGGAGCTTACAAACTGAACGAACTTATAGGATTGGTTCGACGGAACAAATATAAAACTGAAGGACTATGCTAAGTTCTCTCTTTATAAGATAGAACCAATTCGACAGCTGCTTAGTATCAGCGGATGACACCCCAGTATTCAGTTTTGTTGGTTATGGGCTCCCGTTCCGGGTACCAATCCGTCGCAATAAACTCATTGTCTCGGTAGTACTGTGTCCAGCCCACGGAGGTCTACGCGCATGAGTCCTCTTTCGTTCTTCCAGCTGGAATCGAGAGACTCTATCCGTCAGGCCTTTGCTTGGGGGAACGTAGTCCACATAATCCGCAGGAGTAATCCAGATTTTGCAAGGCATCTTGTACCCTATAGTGCAGTGCTTACTACCCTTGGAGTTTAAAGGATGGGTACTTCGGCAGTTGAGGTGTATAACGTGGAATATGAATGGTTGATGTGGTTCAGTTAGTACCACATGGAGGCCGCTTGGTATGTCCGGTTGCTAGCCGATCACCACAACACAATTATAAGATATAGTTTCCAACAAAAACAACACAGCAGTAGCTGGTGTCAGGCTTTTGGGGCAGCAGTTCCTTTTGCTAGTTAACGATGTGTCTGGCTTTATTCGTTAGCCTAAAAGCATTTAATTTGGTGGTTTGCGAAATAAATTATAGCCGCTTCCTTGTCTTTTTGTTCGATGCCGGTGTATACAGAATTTGGAGCCCACGTATATGTTTCCGGGTTCTGATTGCCGTTTCGAAAATTTTAAACTTTAGGCTGCCAGGCCATGTCAGAAAAAAGAGTCAGAAACTGTTAACTACGGGCGCGGATAATATAATATCTTTGTTCGAGAGTGCTGTGTGGTTATATCCGGCTTAGTGAGCATAATAGTCAAGGCGAGATTCAAATTCTATGCTATTTTTGTTCTAATATCCATAGTGTCAGTTGATTAAAACCGGGACCGTCTAATTCGTCCGACCAGGTTAGCACAAATGCAAAGTAAATGATTGGTATGATATCTCATTGCTTCTATACCTTTCAAATAAGGCCATAATAAAAATTATATTTATATCCTTTTCGGTCGGTACATAATGCATAGACGGAATTGGGGCAAAAGCTTGACTACCTCCCGTAAAAGAAGCCACTTCCCGACGATCCGGCTTACCGAATGCACCCCGCAAGTGTTTCATTTTATGGCTCCATAGGCTAAAGAGAAACTCCAATTTTGCCGGCGAAATAGATCATCTGAACATTTGTCGATTTCAAAAAAATCATCCTATTCTTTTATCCTGAGGCCAATGAGCACGTATACGCGTACACAGATGCAACCAACCATCTGCATCTTAGCTAAGGCAGACTCGATCTGTAATACACACGCCAGATGCTCCTTAATTACTTCCCTCTCCAGAATTGACTCTCGACGGAGACCAGTTGAAAATATGCCTAAATAGACCCTGGAAATCGATATTAATCCTTTTCGCCCCTTCTCGACGTTCTAAAGAATGACGTATGATTCGATAATAATGTCTTCCTTTCCCCCGGTTTCATCGAACTAGAGCTTAGAGGTTCAGGCTAAAAGGCTTCCAAGAACGCCATCCTGCATCGGCTCCAAATTCTATAAAGCTTGACCTACTTGGCGAGCTTGGCCTACCTTCTGGGCATTATATCGACAAGCTTCTATTTCCTATACTACTGATTATAGCCACCATGGTTGCACTCTCTACCCTTGCCTTTGGGCTTTCGAGCGTTGCGTTCGCTCTTGCCATCCCTACCTCTAGCGAGAATACTCTCGAAAAAAGAGGCGATTTTAACTTTTTGTTCGGGCCAGACCACCCACTAGCTATTGCTCGTCGCAATGAGACGCTAGCTCGCCGTTCTAATACGAACTATAACCAAGACTATACCACTGGTGGGACAGTCCAATTTTCGCCCCGAACAAACGGGTTTTCGGTGAATTGGAATACCCAGAATGACTTCGTCGTCGGAGTCGGTTGGAATCCTGGTAGCACTGCGTACGAATTCCATTTCATTCTCCCCGATTATTCTAACAATGGTAGCATCATACAGACTTCTGACAAATCAATTTAATAGTGCGATTACATATTCTGGCACTTTCTCCGTCTCCAGTGGACTAGGCAGCCTCGGTGTCTATGGCTGGACTACCAACCCGCTCATCGAGTATTACGTTATGGAAACAAACGTCGGAATCAGTGGTCTCGGAACCGTCAGGGGCTCTGTGAGTAGCGACGGCGGCACGTATACCATCTACACGAACACCCGTGTCAACCAACCTTCTATTCAAGGCACATCAACCTTCACCCAATTCATTTCCGTCAGGAATGGAGCACGCAGCAGCGGTACTGTGACGCTCCAGAACCACTTCCAGGCCTGGGCGGGTTTGGGGATGCAACTTGGAACTATGAATTTCCAAGTTATTGCTGTTGAGAGTTGGAGTGGCAGCGGGTCGGCTTCACAATCTATCAGCAATACCGGTGGGGGTGGAACCGGAACCGGAACTGGAACTGGAAATAACCCAACCACCACGCCAAACAACAACAACGGAGGCACCTGCTCTGCACTTTGGGGACAATGTGGAGGGATTGGCTGGACTGGCCCTAAATGCTGCTCAACGGGAAGTTGTAAATCTTCAAATGCCTACTACTCTCAGTGTCTCAACTAGAATACAGGGAGCAAGTTAGTCCATGTGACAATATATGAAGAGACTTACTGAAGATCAAGTTTTGGCTATGCGTTCGATCCATTAACAATATTGGCGCAAGCCGGTCGGTGGGTCCGGGATATGAACTGGTTGCTACTTCTCTTTGCAATTCCTAACTTTCTTTCGATGCTGGACAAAATTTATCCTGTAAATCTTAACGTCCTTGAGGCGCGCATTGTATATAAATCAAACTTCAAAAATATCACATAGGTATTTCTGCTGGCAGTTCATTTGCAATTCCGGAACAATTAACGGATGATCATATGAGCCCACAGGCCGGTGATCTACGTATACGTAGATAAAATGATGATCCATGCATAGCTAATAGATGCTCTAGGTTTAACATGCGATTAAACTTCGTAGTGCATCATTGTAATTAAGATAGTACCATCTTATTATCCATAGCTCCAGGTTCAATAACAGAGCAACTTGGTTACGCCAGGCACTAAACCCAATCATCTTTCTACCCCTTGGCCCCATATGAAGGGCGTAATACCGCTTTCAAGTACTGCATATATTGTATACAATTTAATGGCCGCTGCTAATCCGATCTGATTGATAGCGTACTACCAATTGCCAACTGTAAGTCCCCCTTATCTTTGTTTAAGCCATTCTGCATCCTCCTTAGCCCCCTCAACATCCTCTCGTAGGACCTTCCCTTCGATATTTATTTCCTCCGATGATTGAAGTACAAACAGCATTCTGGCCCACCCGTTATCTGGTGTTACGTTACGCCAGGCTATCCAAGTCAGTTCCCATTTCGTCAAGTAATGATATCATCGATATTTCCACTCACCATGATTTGTACCCCTCTGTATCGCCACATCCCCGCGTTTCAAAACTCTCTTCTCACTCTCTCCTCCGTCCAAGCCCAATTCAATCTCCCCTTCTATGACAACACGAAAATCAAGACTCTGCGTTCGATGCATAACCGGCTCCACTCCCGGTCCAAAATCTACAATACGACAGACAGTTCCTCTCTGCATTGTAAGACCTGGTCCCCCATTTTGCATCAATTTATGGTAAGATTCAATATCAGCAGTGGTTGAAAGTTGAGGAGTAGCTGTATTGGTGTATACGACATTGAAGGCCATTTTGTCATTCAAGAGGGGAATCCATGTTGCCGGGGTGGAGGAGTGGATGACTGCTTTCCCCTCTTTGTTATTTGCTGTTATGTGGTGTGTAAGCCCGGGTAAGGGGGGTGATATTTGCGTCTCGTTTGCGACACGGGTTTCCATTGTGCCTGTTCAGTGTCGGAGTAGGTATGTAAGCTCTTATTGATCCCCTGTTAGTAGCATGGTAACAAGATTATTTTATCATTTATCATAACAATTTAATGGGTTGATTTCGCATTGAATTTATATTTCAGATCCGTAGATCGAACCCGCATCCCGCAAGGAATCAAACTCAATTGATTAATAAAGCTTTTGTGTGGGTAACTCTTATGCAATGATATTTACCTGGAAGCCCGAAGGCAATGTTTTAAATAGGAAAAATAATAATTACCAGGACTGAGTTCAGATTATAGTTTGACTAAAACTGAATATACTAGATAATTCGTATATGCATATACTAAAGCAGGAGTTACCGATATATCGATATGGCGAAGGAACATTCAAATTGCTTAAGTGATCGAGCTGTCAAGTTAGAAAGCAAAGGAAACAGCAGCAAGCAGCTTCTGAAGAATACGAAGAACTTTAACACAATTTATAGGCATTTGTAATGAGAGAAATCCAGATCCATTCTTCGTGTTATCAATGGAATGTTACACCTATCCTCCCCGATAGCGTATAACGCTCTCGATTGTACCCTCGAGGTATGGAGAATCGATGCACCAATTCCGAAGCAAATTGTATACCTGAAAGACTACGTATGGTATCACACAAAGCAAGCTAGGCTGTAAAGGCTCCATAATTTTCGTGTCTCTGTAAACTGAGAAGCTATGGTTATACGTTAGACATGTATTTTAAATTTTATTCCAAGAAAGTTGCGCTGCCGATCAGAAAGCCTTGGGTTCCTTCTGGGCGAGGTTGTGCTTGTCATGGCAATGCAAAACTAGGCATCCTCCTGCGCAAAGTTCTAGCCTCGTTCAATGCAAAGGCTGCATTGCATCACTGCAGCAGGTGAAAGGGCCAGGATAAAGACGAATACAAACCGGTGGAATTAATTGCAATTAATTGTGTCGCTCCCCACAAAAATAATTTTCATATACTAGTGCTTCGGGAACAATATGAATTTAAAATTCAATCAACTCAAGCGCTATCGTGGCTCATTAGAACATATGTGCATGGGCCGCATCGTGAGGCTGCACCATTGGTACCTTGACGTCCACTGCCACAAAATTAACAGGGGGTCGCAAGTGTTTTGAACCTCGAAAAGTAAGCGCGTGACTGTGAAGGTTCAAAAGGACATAACCATTCAACTCCGAAACATTGATCAAAACCCGACGCTTATGCTATCATGTATCCGTTTCGAATAGCATCCCGACAGAATTGAGAGACTTTGCACCGTCGAAGGTGGGTTGTCAGGCTAGGGCGCTCAATTTGAGTTCAGACAAAACGCGAAGTTTTCCGCTTCTCCTTTGCGATCCCCGGATTTTGTCAACCTCGAAATACAACATGCAACACATATGTGAGTAAATCTTTATCGCAGATTTGCTAGGAACCATTATGCACCAAGATCGAGACTTATCTGAAAGTTTTATGCCCTTAGGCCGTTCGCGATCGATTCTTCTCCTTCTGTTAGTGCCCTGTGTATCTGCACTGGACTGGGAGGAGTTCACAAATAATTTCGCCACAGACTTGGTATATCCACCAGCTTAACACTCTTATACTCTAAATCGACAGAACTATACTAACACTGAATTGAAATCGATCAAAAAAATAGGCACCGTTAATAACCCTCTTCGGTGAACAAGTATCAAAGCAATTCCTGAGCGAATCATTAAGCATATGGGACAATGTAATATTCGCAATGGCCCCATTGGGTCTGCTTACCGCCGTCGTATCGGCAATTCGGGTATGCGGCACTCCATCCATGCGCGCATTCATAGGCAGGGCCCAAGAAAGTCCCGGTACAGCCGAAGTAGAGCTGTTATCATGCACTTCAGAGACTACAGCGGAGCTATTCAACGAGGGTGGTATAGCCCGTGTTTTCGGAGAACCTCGAATCCTCGAGGTCATGGTAAAGGCTAGGGATGATAGCCCGGGAGCGTTAACGGTTGGATTGTTTTCGGACGTCCGTGGACCGTTTTGGAAAGAAATCGGAATTTCTAGTAGAGATCTGCTTTTGCGGTTAAGAGACGGGGTTGGACATACGGATCTTGAAAAGAAGCTGAAGTCAAGATATCATCGGCCGAATCTTTCTCTCAATGTGGGGATCACGCAGTTGCCAAAATTGGTAACGTATAGTGCTGCCGTTGTTGGTGTGGTTTTACAAGCTGGTATCTATAAATCCATAGACCTGAGTTCTTAGTACTGGCTAACCCGAAGAAATTAGGGATGCTAGTATTTGCAGCGCTCACAGTGTATACCTACCCCGACAAGTTCCTAACTGCTGCGGAAAAACCAGCAGAACCATATGCTTTCCCCATGACACTCTCCGGTACGGTTCTAGTCTGCTTCGGCATGTTTCTCTGCGCATTTATTATCGAACGCAGCACCGACGAGGTCCACTACAAGCAGCGTGACCCCGACCCTAAAAACAAGTGCAAGATATACTGGGTCCAACCCGGTGGCCAGAACATTGGAGACCAAGTCTTCGGATCTTTCATCGGGTACTCCGAGAAGTTACATTATATCCGATCCACAAAAGCCGATCAAGGAGGCGGAGATGTCATTATGCTATGGATTGCGGTTATTACTTCCGTGCTTGGGTTCATACTCCAATTCGTGGGACTGAGAGCTCTACACGCCAGTGTGATATTGTTCCAAGTCGGCTCTACTATATTGATGGCGATCATACGAGCGATGTTGCGAACCCAACGGCTAGATAGCATAAAAAATGTCTTGGGCTCTTATGATAGTCGAAATGGAGGAAAACACCCGTTTTCGCAAAACCCAAGGCTTCTACATGGTCATGAGTTGGACCTACTTGCTTTGCATTTGTTCAAAGCCGATACTATGACTATTAGTGTCGACAAAGGTGCCCAATTGGAATGTATGCCCCTAATATTAAGTCGCATAATATCGATTTAGAGTATTTAACTAAAACGGTGTTTATCGATAGTTGTCCCAAGACCGATGCGAAAGTCATCGGGCGTGCGGAGCAATAGCTTGGAACTAAATTTCGATATCGGTCGAGGCTCACCAGAGAATGTCACACAAGCTTTAGAAGCTCGTGAACAACTGACAGACATGACTAGTTGCGTCAAAGGCCCTACATGGGATGATTTAGAGGTCAGAGTCGCTGCTAAGCAGCTCGCAGCGACTGTAGAAGGTGTGATGGAAGTTCTAGCTACACTTAAGGGGTCTACCGCTTCACCTGGTGAGATTCTCAAGTGGAAAGTCGCTGTGAATACTACTATGATTTCGAGCCTAAGCCGACCGACAATTCTTTCAAATCCGCCTGAAGGGGCACCGGTTAGAGCTAGTACTCGACAGGTTAGCGAGATCTTCCCGCTCTCCAGTTTGTCATCAAGGCGCCATGCCCAAGAAATCCCCGGAGGTGTCCCAATATCTGACACATTCGCCTTATTCATTGAGAAAGGCGACGGTCTGTCGTGGAAAGCCAGACTATCACAGTTAGAGGCTCTAATCGGACTCTGGGCTCTATCAATAACCGTATACGATATACGAGACGAAAAGGAAGACGAGATCATTCCTAACCATCGAATAATTTCTACCAGGGACTTTGCCAAAACAAATACTTGGTATCACGTCTGGGTTCAAAGAAGGCTGTCAGGAACATGTGGACCGATTCGCCGAGACTTAATCCACAAAAACCGCAATTACACCGTCGATAAACACCTTTTTGGAAGGTTAAGCCCATTCCCAGCCGATGAGGTAGAACCCGAGGTTTTCGCCGTTAAAACGCAAAACTCTACTATCACAATGTGTGCTCAGGATGTTTTCATGTTCTTCTTATCGGCCGCTCTGCAAGACATCGACGACATTCAGGGGACCACTGAAACCCGAGACCAGGCGGGAAGACACTCCATTGCCATGGCCCTTCAAAATAGTACTGTCGAGTCACTAGCAGATCGATTTGAAACAAGTGGTCTGGGATCTAGAGAAGATGCCTATATGTGCATCTTCCCAGTTCTCCAGCACCTCAACATGATGCCGAACGTAGGCGATGTACTCAACGCCGTCCTCACACAATGTGAGACCTACAAACGCCATGGCAAGTGGCTAGATGCAGAGGGTCTTTTGCAATGGCTATCAAATACTTCGGTTGTAGCCGGGGCCCATACTGCCCTTGAAGCACTTGCAGAGTTGTACTATGCTGCAATGCGAGAACTTGATACAACGATATCCAACCTAGGTTTTAGCGGGATATCTAAAATGTTGAAGGAAAACAAGGACCCAGATGTTTTACCAAAGGTTCGGGAATATGCCTGGATTGGGCTCCGGATCGCAGAAGAAAGAGGTCTCGACGACCAAAAGAAACAGTTATTGGCAAGTGGAGCAAGGGACGATCTAGTCCCTGGGTATAGCTATACACCTGAAGTCAGCTTGAATCCAATCGATTGGGCAAAGCGGAACAACATCGTCATGATGAAATACCTTACCGGCCGGAAAAATGTTAACCTAAATGCTCGCGACGATCTGGACGGTCTTTCTGCGATATTCTGGGCCATAATCCACGAAAATACAGAAATGGCAATGCTACTTCTCCAACATGGCGTCGAAACTAACATATCAGATAAGGACGGCAAAATTTTGTTATCGTACGCAGCTGAACATGGGCTACTGGGTGTTTTGGAAATCTTGCTGAAGAACAATACCCTAAACATTAACACACCAGACAACTTGACGAATATGGCACCATTGATGTTTGCAGCAAAGCAAGGGTTTATCGAATGCGTTCGACTCTTGCTAAATGAACCTTATGTTGCCATCGACCGTCGGGACCAGAATGGGTATACGGCACTACACCTTGCAACCATGGAGGGCCATTTCGAGATTGTACAGTTGCTGTTATCCCATGGCGCCGATATATCCGCCGAAGAACCGTCCAAGAAATTGACCACGCTTCACATGTCCGCAAACCGTGGAGACGAGAGGATTGTGCAATACTTTCTCGATAAGGGAGTAGATACCGAACAACAGGACTCAACCGGTCGAACTCCATTAGACCTAGCTGCTGGATCTGGCCATGTGGGTGTGGTTACTATCCTTTTAACGAAGGGTGCACAAGTCTTCGTAACTCCTTGGACACTCCGTGACCGCCTACACGGACGAACAGCAGTACGTCCAGCAGCGAAACATGGGCATTTACAGGTCTTGAAACTTCTTTTTGAACATAAAGGCAACGAATCTTCAACCGAGAAATCTGAAGGGTGGGATGATAACAAAGGGATATGCCTTTACGAAGGCATAATCGGTCGACATGAAGGAGTTGTCAATTATATAATAGATCCAACCGCAGAAGAGCGTCTGGAGCAGATATACGCAAAGAGTACGGTCGCGCAAGTAGCGATCAGAACGGGAAATTTAAGCATGGTGCAACTAATACTGAAGAAACGGACGACCATTGATGGTACCAAGAAGACTTGGGAACTTCACTCCGCGCTAGGAAAAGGGAATCTGGACATCTTGAAGTTGGTCCTAAATAGTGGTGCCGACATAAACGCAAGGAGTGAGAAGGGAGAGGCCACCCTTCATATTGCGACGAAGAGGGGGGATAACCATATCGTCGAATATTTGTTGAAGCATGGGGCGGTTGTCGGTGTAGTCGCTTTGAACGGTCACACAGCCCTCCATGAAGCGGCAATTCACAATCGATTTGAGATTGCTCGGATGCTATTAGATCGTGGGGCAGACATCCACGCGCTGGATACTTTAGGGAAAACGCCGCTCTATTGTGCAGCAGAATATGGGAGATCGGAAGTCTTGAAAGTTTTGGTCGAGGCCGGCGCAGATGGAGATGCAATCATTGCATCTGGAGAGACAGCACTCTATGTAGCATCGTCTAAAGGCTACGAGAGTATCGTTCAGACACTACTGCAACATGGCGGACGAGCTAGTGTTAATAAATACGAAACTAGAAGTCTGCGAACGCCATTAATCGCAGCTGTGGATAATATTTCATCATTAGATGGCATCGTCAAGCTGCTCTTTGATGCCGGAGCTTCTCCCAATTCCAAAGATGCGAATGGCGAAACAGCGATATTCAAGGCTACCAGAAGGGGCCACTACGATATCATATTACTGTTATTAAAAGCAGGGACTGATCTTGGTAGCCTCGACCACACTGGGAAAAGCGTATTATTTTGTGCGGTGGAAATGGGGCAGTACGCCATTGCGAAGCAATTAATTGATGCGGGAGCTTCCGTTAACGCGAAAGATAATATGGGACAGACGCCCCTGTTTTTCTGTCTAAAGGGTGAAGAGAAGTTTTATAAGATGGCCGAGTTATTGTTAGAGAATGGAGCCATTGTTGATGGACAGGACGGGCTTGGGCGAACGGTGCTTCGTCTTGCCATAGCAGGTGGCCTTTGGGATCTCGAGAAATTGCTGCGACGTGAACTTGGAATACAAGAACGGAACACTAGCGCTTCCTAGTTCGCAAGCTGTAGCTGTAGATTCCAGTTGACGACTTAATAATCATATAGAAAAATGTTCCACTAGTTTTCCAAACAGTATTCCAGAACAATATTGGTTTAATTTCGAAGTCTTGATCGTAGGGGTCATTGATTATATCAATGACAGTCGATATCAATGATGATTTCAGATGATCATCGCCGAGGCCTAGGAGGGCCGAATGACAGGTTGCTGTTGTTCCACCGCCACTGCGACATACTTTGCAGGTAGAGACTTCTGCAAATATCCGTCTGCAATCTCAAGCTGTCTATTTGAAGATTCAATATCCAGGAGAGCTTCCTCTTTTCTTGAACCATTATATCCCAAACCGTTCGAGGTGTGTTGTCTTGGATTTTAAAATCAAGGGGTACCGTAGAAGCTTTGCAGGGCATGACGTAGAGACTTTAAATCCCGTCGGATACTTCTTGATTTTTGCGGCTATGGTCTCATAACCGTATGAGCGGCCGTACAGATGATGGGGAATGAGTGGGAATATTGTTTTGCGGAGGCTGATACCGCAGTATATATATATATATTTGAGGACTGAATGCGTGGTAATGCAATGTCCTTAGCTTAATCTAAGGCGAGTTGTATTGCTTGGGAGGTTTCTTTCGGCTGCCTGCGCACATGTTTGATTCGGCTTTGCTGTATCGTTGCAGCAAGCAGCCCTGGTTGCATGCAAACCTAGGTACTGACGTATACGACATAAACTCCACAATAAAGGGTCTAGAGACCATTTGTTTCCCGAGGCTCGATAAGGCGGGCAGAAGTAATCTTGATGAGTCTACTGTATTAATACTAAAGGGAATATTTACAAGGCAGGAAGCTTCGACCCCGAGAGTACCACGATGTGTGCTGGTAAGCTATATACTTGAACCATGGTACTGCGTTATTGTCATCTAGACCATGGTTTGAAGTAAGCAAGTATGCAAACGGGTCTAGTATAATTTCCTCCTTGGGCTCAATTTAGCATTGGAATAATAATAATGGGAAAAAGAAAAAGGTGAATATTAGAGTTGTGCTGCATCCTGTAGCTGCATTTGCAAGAGCCGTAACCTCCTTGACCGATAATTGTACTGTGCGATTTCTGATTGAATTCGTCTCCGTATTTGAAGCGGGCTTAGTATGATTGCCCCGGCCTCTGACTTCCGCGTGATTCGACGCATTCTTTTTGTTATTTGGTCCCACAGGGCTTTTGGTAGGTCTGTTTGAATTTCGAACGGCGCGCATAATGACTTGCAGGGCATTTCTTTGTTCTAAGCTAAGACCTGATATTAATATGACTAAGAGAACAACTTTATGGAAAGGTATAACCTGTGTACTCACGAAGGATAGAGGTAAGTAAAAAGTTTGAGAGAGATTAAAAATAAAGGTTGTCGAAGTAAAGGAAGTTCTCCGAATGGTTTGTCTCGGGTCAGAAATGATTAGCTTTAGCTATAGTGCAGCGTGCAGGCTGACCGCGTGCATCCGGTCAAAGCAGAATTTTGTATAACTCACTTTTCAACGACGTCGTTCTAACAAATTAGCCAATTTTCGCTCCTGCCAGGCAATGATCAATGCTCGCTTTTCCGCCTCAGTCTTTGGCTTCGAATTCTTAGACGTGTTATATAAAAACCCGATCTCGGAGCTCAACAGACTGTAGCCCATGTAGATTCTCTCGCGTTGCCAGTGATTCTCGAAGATGCGACGGCGATGGAATACGAGGGACCAGTCAGCCTTCGTGAAAGACTTACCGACCATCGTCGGAGTGCTGGTACCTTTACACGGCATTGTTTGATGTGATTGGTGGGTATTTTATTTGATGAAGGTTTAAATTTGCTGTTGATGGGTGATGAGGTTGGTGATAGCAAGCAGGGCACTCTCTAGTAGATATTATACCAGTCCATTATATAGCCTTATTAAGAGACCATGTGTCCGCATATGCGTAACATATACGCATACTTCTTATATGGCTCCGTATTTAGGTTTTGGCCGACGTCTTTTTGGGATGTGCGACAGACTGGGCATCTCAGCTGCCTTTGAAGTTGGTTACAACACGGTTCAACACAAATGGATGAAGTCAAGTATGCTTCTGGCGGTCCTGGCTAGCGCTCCGGACCAATTTCAAGCCTTAGCTTTTAGTATGGGTATAATAATAGTGTATGATTGGAGGTCCAATAGTGATGGGAGCCGGAGCCCCCTATACATAGAAATATATCAACAATGTGCATGTTCGTGAATAAAATTACAGGACCATGATCTATAATTATTCATCAAACTAGATCAATAATTATAATCTATGGACTTAAATGGAAGCTTCGAAGACTTCAAATAAATATGGACAGTATAATAAAAAATTCTCAATGTCAAAGTCTAGATATCGAAATCTACGTTGAAAATCCCACTGACGGCATTCTAGCTTCAATTGATGCAGTATTTACGACCCCGGGAATCATAACCGCATCTACTTCCCTTCGCGGGTTGCGGCTTTCCATAAGGCTTTGGAGTTGGCGAAGCTTTCTTTGTACAAGGTTTTGTGGTCTTTTTCGTAGTCGTCTTTTTCGTAGTCGTCTTTTTGGTAGTTGTCTTCTTAGTCGTCACCTTTTTGATAGTAGTCGTGCATTTTTTCGGCGTGGGTTTTGGAACAGATTTGGTAGTTGTCTTCTTAGATGTTGTTGAAGATTTCTTCGTAGTTGATGACGTCTTACATGTAGTAGTTGACCTTGCTGTCGGCGTGGTAGTAGTGGTAGTTACGAACGTAGTCGTCCTGGAAGTACATGGCGGAGGTGTGAAAGTTGGAATAGATTGGCCGATACAACTTGGAATGCAAGTCCCCCACAGAGATCCGCAATTATCAATGAAGTCGAGACAAATTGTTGGACATTCAGTTGATGTACTCGTAGTCGTAATATCGGTCGTGGTTGTCACCGCAGGGGTTGTAGTGGATTCAGATGTTGTCGTGACCGCAGTAGTAGTGGTTGCAGTAGTCGTAGTAGATGCAGTAGTAGACGCAGTAGTAGACGCAGTAGTAGACTCAGTAGTAGACTCAGTAGTAGTGATTGCAGTAGTAGTGATTGCAGTAGTAGTAATTGCAGTAGTAGTGATTGAAGTAGTAGTAATTACAGTAGTAGACGCAGTCGTCGAAGTCGTCGTAGAAGTCGTCGTAGAACTTGCCCCCGGGATGGGCAAGTCATTTACTCCCGCATCGCTACAGAGGACAATAGCCGCATCAACGGTTTGTTGATACTCCGCTGCAGTGCATGCGACTGTTACACATTCCGTGACTGTGGCCAGAAAGGCTTTCGCGCTACAAATGCAGTTGAAATCTGTCTGGGAACAGCCTGTGATACCGATACTAGAAATTCCGCAGGAAAGCTGTCCATAATCTTCAAGTCAGTAAGTTTATTTGAATGTAATATGCCTAACTAATTAGACTAGGTAAGATGTCTTCTTACAGCGCAAGTGGGGAGCAGGCTTAGTTGAGCGAAAGCGAAAGTCGGGATCAATCCGGCCGTGACCGCGATTGATAACAAAGATATTCGAACCATCTTTCTCTTGATATAGTCCTCGTACACTCAATTGATCAAGTTGAATTTTTTTTTAAAAAAAGGCGAGTACTTGCATCAAAGTCGCAAATTTAAATATTAAAAGACATATAGAACTATTAAAGTTGAAAGACTAAATATCAAATGTCTAGATACTTCAATCTAGGCACAAACGAATGTCGCGAAGCTGGCTTAATCGAATTAATTTTAGAATTCGAGGTTAAAATAGAAGCAGGTTGGGCCCTGAAATATATACAAACAACATATTCTCCCCTTTAATGAATTCTCAGGGTTCAATCCATGTGCCTTTCGTGTTTTGCGTGCGGCTGAAGGTATCCCGAAGTGCGAAGCCAATGAATATAAGACGAAAACGCCGGCAGCAATCTTAAAAGGCCGCCAAGCCGCCGCCACCAAGCTAGTTTATGCCCATATAGACGCTTGCTGCGCGTACCTGTACCGCGAGCTCGAGGCATCATTTTTTTCCTTTCCCCGCCGAAGGGTAACCCAAATAACATGCTTCGATCCCGCCTTTCATGGTGTTTTTTATATTTGTATCCGAGGTGAAGTGGGAATATTAACTGTGTTAATGTTGTTTATAAATTCGACGAGATGCAGCAGGGACTCGCTGGTCTAGATCTCGAGTGGGTCTGCCTGTCTTGAGACTTGCAAGGTTGAGGCCGAATAAGGACCGGATAAACTGAATTAAGCATCGTACGATCGTGGGCCCAAAAGCTTAGATAGCATCGCATTCAGAATGCTAGTCGTGGCGATTCTGTTCCTGAATTCTATGGAGGAGGCATGGCCTGGGATTAGTTGACCTGTGATAGTGCGCCAACAGGTCAACCAGCATTTCGTACTTGAATGCCTCCAATACCCGATACGATTCCATGAGATTATCATAGTCTCTCGAAACGACCTGGACGCCGTTTTTAATCCGGAGAGGGAATTGGTTCACAAGTGGTGGGGAGATAGAACAAGGCATGGCCAGTACTGTACAGCGGGGTTGTCGTTCGATTCGAATAATATTGACATAGATGTCAGGGGGTTGAAGTTACCAGAAGTGCCCTGGCTTGAGGTTTTGAAAAGGGCACGGTCTCATGCGGCGGGCCTGAACTTAACAAACCAAACATGAATTTGCATCTGGTTGCAATGCCATGCATGTGGAAGAAGATCTTGAGTGTCTCCGGGCCTAATTATAACGGAGAATTAATTGAAATGATTATCTTCCAGGGCCGGTATTTATTTGGTGGATCCTCAAGATCAACGGCATTCCTCGAGAATTTAGTTCCAGTATTCTTTTCGATTGTCTGCGTCGATTCTCCTTTCGCCGTTGGGAGTTTTTAATATTCTCGGTGTTGTAGTAGAAGATATAAGAAAGTGTAACAGGAGATTGGGGGCTGATGATCGCGAAAATGGTGGCCTCCCCGATGTGAAAGGGGTGCTCGAGACCTATGCAAGGCATTCCGACCGATCAATTAACTGCCACTCAGTGCAGCAGTCCCTGGATGTGCTACGCGGCCTCGATAGTAATTGAATTCATGAATTCATGAAGCGATCTTAGATTCCAAAGCGGGGAAGTTGTTTGTTTGGTCAAAGTCGTCAATCCAAAATTAAAAGCGAGCTCGTCACCAAAAAAAGGTACAGCAAGCGGCTTGAAATTCTGTAGTTTCGAAATTTCAAGCCCCTCGAGTCGGCTTTGACATAACTATGTATACGTAACCAAGTATGTAAGTATCTACCTATAATATACGCGACGAAGGATACCTATGGCATAATTTACCCAAGAAATCGTCGAGCCCCGGCGATATATCAGAGTAGGACACGGAGAACGTTAATTCTCCCTGGGCTCTCGTTTTTCTTTCTGCATTTTGATGTTTCAACTCCACGAAGGACGGGTGTGTTAGTGCCCCTGTGCATTTTCTGGAACGAGATACGCATTTGGGGAAGTTCATTTCCCCCTTGTCTCAACATGAGGCAAGAGTTCGCGAAGAAAAATCCAACAGCTGAAAACCTGGGTAGACGCCCGCCTACGCTTGGCGGGAACCCGGGATTCGGTTGGAAGCATATTTAATAACCTGATTCCGACCTTGCGTCCTTCGAAGGGAAGGTTGCATGACATCAGGAAGCGTGGTGGCGGAAGTTGACATGGCCTCCTGGTGTCGAACCGTGGTTTCGGAATTTCGAAGACACCCGTTCACCCCAGGCGTTTAAGCGTTGCTATTCCCTTCGGAGAATGTCGAACCGCGATAGAAGTTCGTAGATCATGCTAATTTCAAGAATGCGACAGAGATCGCGGCTATGCAAGTTAACTTGCAAGCAAGGGACTATCGAAGATCGAAAATATAAAATCCCCCCTCGGTGCCCATTGCATAGACCCACTCTACTATCGCCAACCAACAAACTCCTCACAGGGCAATTTGATCACAACTACATTCATTCAGCTTCGCAGGCTTGCCAGCAAGCTCTTTTAAAAATCAGACACTCTCTACAGTTCTTTTTTTCATTTTCCTGTCGTTATCCACTCTTTTTTCCGGCCGTTTAAGGATTTCAATACCAATTGGCTCTATACGCTGTCCCTGCCGGCCAGGTTTTATCTTTACAGTACACTCCCTTACAAGAACATATAAGACTTTACATACCCAAACTTAAAACGTCTACACACGTATATCTAAAAATCAGAAAAGATGAAGGTTTCCGTGATCATCTCAGCCCTCGCTGCCGGTACTGCAATTCTTGCGGCACCAGTAGAACCCCAAGTAGAAAAGCCTTCATCAGAAGAAATACAAGTTGGCCAACCAGTCGAAATCAAACCAACCTCATTCCAATTCGCGGATTCACCAGATGACATTACAAAGAGGTCTGCTCCACCCGGAAACTATTATCAACAACCATACAACCCCGTCAGCTACAGACCACCAACAGACACCTCCAGCTTCCTTCCCGAATCCCAATACCGGGATGCGATGCTCAGGGTCCATAACAACTGCCGTGAAGCACACGGCGTCCCCGCGCTAAAGTGGTCCAAGGATCTAGTCAATTACGCCCAGTCTAACACCCCTACCTGTGCCTTTGCACATAGCCGCAGCCTGGGACGAGATTCAATCGGTGAAAATATCCTCTATGGACCTGGAAGCCCTGAGAGCATGGTTCAGACCATGTGGTATGAGAATGAACTCAGGCTTTATAACTTTGGTCGCCAGGGCTTTGCAATGTCTACTGGTCATATGACTCAGATGGTCTGGAAGGCTACAACTGAGGTCGGTTGCGCGGTTAAGAAGTGTCCTCAGGGTACATATGTTAAGTGCAACTACCGCCGCCCAGTAAGTAAAATATCTATACTATATAAATCCCAAAAATACTATTTGGATAGACTCACTAACACTATACTATAGGGTAATGTCATGGGACAATTCGAAGGCAATGTTCCTCCACCAAGAAGCGCCGTGAAGAATGTTCCCTCGCAAAACTATAACAACTACAATGCCCCGGCTCCAAAGAATACTCCAGCTCCTAAGCCCAAGAACACTCCAGCTCCCAGACCTAAGAGCACTCCAGCCCCTAAGAACAACTACAATTACAATGCTCCTGCTCCAAAGAACAACTACAACAGCCCAGCCCCAAAGAACAATGGATACTACCAGACCAATAACAACGGCTACTACCAGGCAAATAACAATAACAACGGTTACTACACTCCCCACAACAATGGAAATGCAAGGCCAAACAACAGCAATAACCAAAACCGCAGACCTACTTACACTTACACTTACACTTACCGACCATCAAGCAACTCAAACAACCAGAAGCCTAAGCCCAATACTGTCAACGGCCAAAACCGTTACACGGGCAATGGCGGCAACCGAGCCCAAAATAAGCCTGCTCCTCAGTCCTATGGCTCTTATTATGGAAAGCGATCCTCCGCTGACTCTAGGCAGGAAGAGGCTTAGGGGTCTACCAGAGCTGTTTGATATTACCATGTTATCATTGTATAGATTTCCTATGTATAACTAGATTCAATTGAATATATATCGCATCATATTTTAAGCTCTTATACACAACGTGAACGGAAAATTTATAAAACTAACTATATATTTATCATAAACTGAGATATTAAGAAAGCTAATTATGCATTGCATTCGCTCTGGGATCAAAACAGAGGGTGTTGCAATTTTGGTGTTGGGCTTGCCCGAGATAACTCCGAACATACTTATGCACATACTAAGTATGTAAAGCAGATCTGCAGAGGGGGTACCACAGGAAGATTTCGAACGTTTCTGGCCTCGAGACTAGGAGTTCTTCAACCTTTAATATAACCCCATAAATGCACTAAACCGGCCATCATAAATCATTGAAACTACCCCCCATCCCCGTAGGTTCGGTATCTTAACAAAAGAGATCAATACCAAGTTAGCTACAGAGCACTACGAATCAAAACCCGGAATATGCCGCCGAAGTACCCTGGATTGCCAAATCCCCAAGCCGTATCTGATGGTCCTCTCTTGATCGAGAGGGTGCTTGGCTTTTCCAACCTTTATAACCTGCCGTTCAAAAAGAAGGGTTTTCTCGAGAAATCTAGAGAGGTCTTTTGGGTCTTCGATGGAATCGAGGTAAGGGAAGAAAGCTCTCGAGGTGGATTTACAGGGCATCGTATTGGGGTGTGTGTAAGTATTTGGTTGTCGGTGGTTATGTGTCTTCCGGCGCGGTGAGGGTCCGATTAATTATTGATCGTTGGATGGCATTTCTTCAGCCGCGACTTGGCCAAAGTGCAATCTGAACTTTACAAGTTCAGCAACATATTCAGCTTCCTCATCGACCTGCATTTCGGGGGGAGGGGGGAGATTTGAAGACACAGTCAAATGAGACTATGTCTATTAAAAATTAAATAAATTAATTCTGAATTCCGGGTTTGCGATCCTCGGTATTTATACTAGAGAGCGTAGCCGCGGGATGGATTTGAATATAGTAATATCGAGATGTCCTCTACTGTTCGGATTCTTCGTCCGTGGATTCAGTGACTGAGCCTCCATCCCAATCAGGCTCCGGAGTATGAGGGAAAGGCAAGTGGCTTAGAACAGCCGCTCTTAACCTTTCTAGTCGTTCCGGTGTGAGACCATACTCGAAGAGGATCTGTGTGTTTGGAACCGGTGAATTGGCAGTTGGGATGTGGTATATGCCTTTGCACGGCATCGTTCTGGGCGTATATACGTATATGTATATGGTGGAGTAGACTATTAGTTAATGTGAATTGAGTGAATCCACCTAGGTCTAGATTTCGCGTTCAAAGAGCTCGACACATTCTGCTATGGTAATACGGTAAAACGTGTACTTCGGGTCTGTAAGCAAGCAATATCCGACTAGTCGACTTGGAAGAGAGAATCCGAGGTTACCTCAATGCAATGTCCAGTTTCGAGCTTCCCGCAAAGAGCTAGATCAGGGCAGCTTACAAACCAAATGTTGTAATTGGCTTCCCCGCATCGTTTCGTCGGTGATAACCGAGTTGCTTTTCTCAAGAGCTGTTCAGCAGTTTCCTCATTCGGCCGATTAAAAATGGTTTGTGCAACATTGCGCTTTGTCGACGTCACTCGCGCGCGTGCTAACCTCGAGGAAAACTTAACGTTATAACGTTGACTATAATGCTTTGCCCATGGCCATGCAGAGTGTAGAGCCTGTTTGTGTTTGTCTTTCTGTCTTCTAATAGAATTCACTCCAATCTTAATTATTAAGCACTCTGTGCTTTCGTTCGCGTTCTCGTCAACTTACGTTCTAAGTTTGAATCTCGAGATTTCGTATTCTAATCGGCCGAACATTAATTGGAGTTACCTGATTCGCCATTCATATTTCGAGATATATAAATGAGGCTGATGGGTGGGGTCCTGATTATAATTTACCAAGTAACTTAACGTTAGCCTTATTATCTACTGGCCTGGAGATTATTGATCATTTTGGTCTCGACCAAACGGCTGCCCGGGAATTTATGCTATATTCGGTATTTAAATCGACATCGCATTACGTATCAGGTATACAACTGCGAGGGTATTAATCAGCACTTCGAAGGGATTCATAACGTGTCTGACTGATTATATATATATCGACTCTTAAGCAATTCTATCGTTTCAAAATTGCAATTAGTATTGATATATTAATTAATTGATTAATACATCTTACACTAATCAAAAAATGGCTTCATCATCCCCATCAAAGATTGCACTGACAGGGTCGCCAGATTCTGGGGCCGCCGTTCGCACACCTACCGATGGAAGCACAAAGAAAGCGAATGAATTACTACAACAAAACCACGATAACTTCCATATCTTCTGGGACTTCGAAGATCGTCTACATAACCACGTGGCCCACCATCTTCTCTCGGTCTATGCCCTCGGAGCCACAGCCGAAGAACTCCAATTCGCATACGACACCAATGTCAAAACTCAGATCCCTATCGGGGACAAAAAGCCTCCAGTGCTTCGAGATATCTCCAACTCGGACGACTGGGGGAAATACCTAGCAGACGCCGAAAATTATGCCACTTTTCTCCAATACTTCCAGGATTCTATCGAAAAGATTGGATGGCAGGAGACGATCAAGAAGTATATCTTTTCTGAAAAGGCGGTAGCGGATGGAATGCCTGAGCGGCTTGTCGCCGGTTTTCTTCATCCTTGGATTCATGTTGGTTATGGAGTCGAATTCGAGCAGCCTGCGATTATTGCCGAGGGACTTGCACAGACAGCTGTGCACGATGACTGGCCAGGGAAGTACTTGAAGGCATGCATGGCAGCGGCAACTGCAGCTTCATCTAAGAACGTAGAGTATGGAAACGGTACAACGATAACTTCGCTCTTCAATGAGGCGCATGGATCCGAGAAGCTCAGAAAATCCACAAAATGGTCTGACCCGCAGAAGAATAAGGCCGTCTATGCCAACGCCCTTGAAGAAATGGTCGCACTTGCCTCAAAGTGGTACATTCCACCAACTGCTAGCGACGAAGCCATCGCTAGAGCATCGGCGGAACTGGCGTCTGCGGCTGCATTTATTTGTTCGGCCACTCCTAGGTTGGATAAAAAGGTCAAATTCGACTTCTTCCTTATGCATACCGTTACCAGTAGTGTATTCTTGGACGTTTGGGTCCGACAGAAATGGCTTGGCAACGCCGAGAAATCGGTCTTAATCAACTACTTTGGCTGGATGGTGGTTAATATGTATGTCTCGAGGGGATGCGCGGATATCAATTTTGATCAAGTAAAGAATTACAAACCGAGGAAGAGGGACAGCCAATGGGCTGATGTGGCCGCTAGGGCTACTCGTTTGAAGGACGACGGACATGTTAGCAAGACGGTGCGTGCTCTGGTAAACGCGGAGAAAGTTTCCCAACAGTACGACAAAACTCAGGGATTTGAAGTTGGAACGGGCTTATACTTGAAAATTGCAGAGATGGCACTTGATGCGGCAGAGGAACAGGAGCAAAGCAATGGGGAGGAGCCACTTTGGGTGAGGAGCACTGGACATCCTGAAGCGTGGGCCAAGGTTGGGCCCAGAGTCGAGTATACTGCCGAGTCTTCGAAGGAGTAAATTATATTGTTTCAGGATCATAAGGAGAGGACTCGAGGCTAGGTGACATTGTCAAACTATTGACACCAACGTATGTACAGTTTTCAATAATAATAACGCGGCTTTGCAAATTATGCTTTACTTTAAAGTCTTTGAAATTCATTAGAATCCAATACTTTCGATGCTGTATAAGCCATGTCAATTATAACATTCATCAATATGTTGCTAAATTGAGGCGAAGTTTCGAAAATGTTGAATGAGATGGAGAGGATACATAGTACAGGGTTGGATCCACGGAGGCGAGATTGAGCGAAATTAAAAAGATATACCATGGTTCTAGGATCGCGAAATATCCCGAAGTCTCGTGGAGTATTAGTATGTAATATAGCTTCGTGATAGTGGGACCCGGCGATCACATGTGTACTGTGTATGTGCCTTGAATACGAAATTATATATCGATTGGCTGTTTTCTGGCGGCTACTATAAACTTTTTTTTGCAAAAGGAAGCTCAATTGAAGTTGGGATTTCTATCTGGAACTTACGATAAGTCCGAATCAAAATGCGAATACCAACATAAAGGCTGCCAGCCAATTGATCCATAGCTACAAGCTATGTACTCTGTATATCGAACATCGAACAAACTCGGAATGTGGCACAAGGCGCCTGACGGTTTGCCCTTAGAGATAGATCATTTAAGACCCACACCACCAAGTTTGACCCCTAGCTCTGACAGGACCACCCGACCGCCACCCTGCAAGGGGACGGCGAGCCAGCCACCATTCCACCGATTGGCACCTTCACTGGTCCTTCGTCATCCTCATTTTGGGCTTCGAAATGAGAGAAATAGCCGGGTTCCGCGCTGATCACTCCCTTCTCTACGCCTAAATCCAGGGCAACCATTGATACATAGTGTATAGGTTTGTGGCGGGAAGGCGCCAGGGTGCGAAACCGATTCGCAGTGCTCCCACAAACCCACTCGCACAGCAGGTACCGCGTACCGAATAGTTATAGAGAGAATAGCTGTCAATCCTTTGATCTGTGGAGGCGGTAGTATTAACTAACGCCGTGCAGCTGTGCAGTTTCATGAAACAGCTGTTAGCCTAAGTTCAGAGGGGTCGATATGGTTCGAACGTTATCTTAACGCTCTGTAGACTCGGCGCCGGACATTCATGGTGTGCACATGTTGCTATGCATCAAGGTGGTCGGTGGTACAGCATTCGTGAAACTTGTACGTCGACACGATGGCAACCTGGAAGACATCAACCTCCCAATGGAATTTCCTGCCACATAAAGGATTTTGTGAACATACCCTCCACTTGGTTGGATTTGTTAAGATATCTCAGCGGATCCCAATTTAAACTGTGGGGAAAGGGATATCTCATAAGATTGGATCCATGTCTTATGGAATGTGTAGTGATGATCGCCTCCAACGCGGTCCTGACGTTGGAACATGCGGCCGTAAAACGATTGCGCAGAATTCGAATCCACAGCTTATTCTAATTTCCTCTCCACAAGCTGGCCCTTGGTATAATATATTAATAGTTTCCTGGCTTTTAATCCATGGTGCACAGCCTTTTTTTAGGTTGGGGTTGTCGCTGGACTTCTTGGTTTCCTGGCCTCTCACTATTCGAAACACACATATTCCGAGATCAGAGTGGCTTTCATTCCAGCCGATTTTTCACCATGATATTTATAAATTCTCGTGGTCGCCCCAGGATAATCGAATACTACAGTTGTACTATCACTCACTCACCTCAGGAAGGTTGCCATATATTATAATCTTAATAATTTCCCTAATTAGCCATGTTCTACAAGAACATTCTTCTAGTCGTATCTGCGACTCTTGTTACCTTCTCACAAGCATTACCAGCACCGGCAGACTCAAGTCCGTCAGATCTAGAATCCAAATATGCTAAATTGAGAGCGGAGAATCCGTTCCCTGCGAAAGAGCCATACATCCACGTCGACGGTGGGGAGGCCTCCAGTTCTGCCGTTGAGGCCCGTGGGTTCTTCGATTCCATCTTTTCTTTCTTCGGAGGGGGTCCGAAGGACGAAGATCATGATGCTGGAAACCCATCATGCGGCAACGATGTCGAATGTCAGACCAATGAAGCAATTTTCTCGACCGATATGAAGGGCTTCATCGAAGATCATCGGAACAAGGGTTTAAACTCTCCTCCTTTGATCTACGACGCAGATGGTTGCTCAGTCCCTGCAAAAGTTGCCGACTTTTTCAAGATCGATAAGGACTTCCCATACGGATACGAATTCTTATATTCTTGTTATCGCCATGATTTCGGATATAGGAATTATAAGCAACAGAATCGCTTTACTGAACCGAACCGAAAGCTTCTCGACGATAATTTCGAAAAAGATTTGATGGACCAGTGTAAATCACAGTTCCCAAAGGCGGATGTCTTTCATTTGAAACAGCTTTTCGAAAGGAAGTGGTGTAAAACTGTTGCAAAGGTTTATTACGAGTTTGTGAGACTTTGCGGCGGTGGCGGCTGTAAGGTCGAGACTGTGAAGAATATGTTCAAGGGAATTGAACACTGAAAATCGGATGCAATAACATTCTTAAGTGGGCCTTAGGATTTGCTTTGCGTCAGTTGGTTTGGTTTTTTTCTTGTATAAATTTTTGTTTGGAAGTACTCGGAGTTCTGGATGAATATGCTTGCTGTATCTCTCTTTTTGGCGTTCGTTATTCTTTGACTTCTTTTTTTCGCTCCTTTGTTCCTCTCGCTAGCTCTCTCTCTTTTGTCATCTTTCTTTTCCTCCCTTTTCCATTCTTCTCTAGAGCTCTCTTCTAGTTCTTCCTTTTTCTCCCGTCTCCCTTCCTTTTTTTCTATTGAATGTTGATGTTTTTGTAATTGCATAGTATAACTGGGGTATACATTGCGAGGGAGGTTCGTCTCGAGGGATCCAAAACTAGTTGAATTAAATTGAACGGAAAATAAAATAAAATAAACTCGTCCTTAACCCCGTGCAACGTTCCACAAACACCCCGTGCCCGTCGGCCAACCTCGAACTTCATCTTCCGGACGGTCTTGTCGGACCGATGATTCCCGTTCTGCTGGATTAAAATTATGTAAATTTGTGACGAAGAGGCTAGCGCCCTTGATACATATCGGCCTCAGACCGGGGAAGCCCCACCAAAGTCAGCCGATTGAGGGGTTGGGGATACCTCTTCGCGCTTCGGAAACGCAAAACTTGCTCAGAAACCGCACAACTCGCACACAGATCGTTTTGATAACGCTCCGCTGTCGGCCTTATCAGATGGAACATCATGGTGTAGCAGGTCGGGTACGGTATACCCTCGATTACTAAATGTGAAAATCCTTTTGTCTAGTTAGCTCAGTTTTATAGGCCTAGATTGATCAATATTGATATTTCGAATCGGTCCAGAAATGCACCGATGCGTTTATGGTTGCACAATTAACTAGCTACAACATTGTTGCATTCCAAGCCGTGTTCGGTTGCGCCGGAAGTGACTAAGGTTTCTCGGTGCCGATATCTCGAGATTTCGATGGTGAACATATGAGACCAGTCTGGATTCGCGACCAGGAGGACTCCGTGTGTTTGCATATAAAGCATCCGAAGGAACCTCAGGTTGAAGATTATAGATATCCCATCCCAGACTCGAAGCGACTGGTGACGTTTTGACACTTTCGCTTATCAATACAGGCTGCAGCTACATCGATGCGGCCTTAGATGCACCCAAATTACGTTAACGTTGGTCGTTGTATGTTTTGTACGTTCCGTGTGTGGAGCAGTCAAGTTTAGTTCGAACGTTCCCTGCTAAGCTTCGATCGTGAGCTTTAACAGAAGAGCAGCTGAACTACTGCAGCTAGGTTAGTCCGGAAAAAAAGTATTTAGATCGTTGATTCTGACCTTCGAAAATCCGGGGTAATTATCTTTCCAGCCATCAAACAGCTCAGCGGAGTTCTTAGCAACGAATTCGAAGCCATTTTTCAATCACAGTTCTTCAAGTGCAAGCGGGTTTACTTCCCCAAACGCAGCTACCAAACCAACGTTAACATACTCCCAATATTGCCAGCCTACAAAATCAACTCCACAATGTCTGAGCCAAATCATCCTCTCGCCAGCCGATTTGCTGCTGCTGATGTTTATGAAAAATTGACCGGCGGCTGGCCTGCCCGTGTCGCTAAAAATCTCATTGCGAACCTTCCCGTTCCAATCACTCCGAAATCCAAGATTTTTGATAACTGTTGCGGATCTGGCGCAGTTACTACGGCCATAATCAACTCTACCCATCAAAAAGGATTTATTCCTAAGATCAATGCCACCGACCTCTCACCTGGCATGGTTGACCATGTCTCAAAGCTCTTCAATGACTTCCCCGAAATTGAAACCAAGATCATGGACGCTCAAAAGCTTGAGTTCGCTGAAAACTCCTTTTCTCACATTATCTGTGCTTTCGGTGTTTTCTTTTGTCCAGACTATGAAGCCGGGTACCGTGAAATGTACCGTGTCGCGGCACCAGGATCCGTGACTGTTATCACCTCCTGGAAGGTAGTCGGGTGGCTACCACTGGTTAATTACGTCATCAAGAAGGTCAGGCCAGATCAAGAGGACTGGACCTTCCCGGCTCCTCCAGGGTTCAAGGAAAACGAATGGGTCAAGGAAAGGATGCTGGAGGCGGGATGGAAGGATGTGGAAGTTCGGGAGGTTGAGGATTATACTTCTACGACATCGGAAACCGGTGATGCTTTGATTTCTATTGTGAAAGATGCATTTGAAGGTTGGACTGACGAAGAGAAGGCAAGGTGGGGTCCTCTTTTCGTGGAAGCTGCGAAAGTTTATGGGATTCCAGAAACGTCGGAAGGTGGTTGGAAGTTAAGGATGGTTGCTTTGGCTGCAACCGGGAGAAAGTAAGGCTCTGGCATAGTGTAAACTACTTTGAACTCTGGCTATGAAATAGGACCTGGTTTCTCTTAATTCAATTTGGCACTGTATACCGATTTATTTGTCATGAAGTCAATGCAACCGATAGCCAATTGGCTCCGAGAATGATGTTCCAAGCTGATAAACCCGTGGAAATAAATCATAAGTTTTCGTAGCGTATACGCGTAATGCGAGCTTTGTCTATCTTAATTCCTATAATCTAGTCTCCTGGGCACCGAGGAAACGTCCGAATTGATCTTAAGGGTAAGATACAGCCATATGCTATAAAATTGGCAACAATCCTGATGGTCTAAATCCTCTTCTTCTTGCAAACGCTCCAAAGTAATTATATAACCAACCGCTATCATCGTATTAAGCTTAAAAAGATAGTACCATTAACTAATCGCTTTCATCGCGAATCCCTCGATGTTTCCGCTGAGACTCTTCCGCTCCTTCGTCAGTTGGCCACATGTCTTTAGTAATCCCATTCCAAATGACGTTTGGGCCCTTTTGGTGTCGTGGGTATGACCATTCCTCCATTTGCTGAACTGGGTTTTTGACTCCCCGACTAAGGAGGGTTGCTAGAAGGCCAGCGGCTAGAGGAACAGCTGCACAGAGAATTCCGGGGTATTTTAGCACTACCACTCTATAAAACATTCTCATGATATGGGTACTCCTGCGTAGGGTATACATTCTCATAGAGTATACCACAATACTTTTGATGCATATGATCATAGGAGAAAGCGTCTTAAGACAGTATAGTTGAATACGAGCGTTCGAGCGTTATTTTGGCCAAGGGGAATACTGGGAACTTACCAAAAGAAGTACCACCCATAATTGCAAGACCCCTCGCTGGAGTCATGTACCTCAAGCCTGTGCCAGGTGCAAATAGCTTTACATAATCTGCCGTTTGATAGCTGTTCAATCCAGTTGTAGTGTCGATACCTCCTACGACTACCAAATGCGTGAGTGGGAGCTGGGCGGTAGGATTGGCCTTCAATATGGCGGGATAGTGTACGATAGGATTGTCCTATAATAATTTGGCACCGCAGACAGCTTAGCGCTATAGGCCCATAGACCTTACATATACACTATAGTAGTGGTGCGCCTACCGGTTCCCCGTTCCCTGCCGGGACGACAAAATAACCTTTCAACTCTGGCGCTTCCAAGGCTTGGAGTATTTCCTTGTAAAGCTCCTCCCTCCCGTCACTGAGTGAGTAAATAGCATAACTATAATTGATCACAAAACCTGGCCAAGAGTCCTTTTTCTTTAGATATTGTTCGTACATATGATCGTATACTTTAAGCAATGCATCGATTTCGGCGAATGCGGGTGTTGTGTTACGACCATTCTGTACTTTTACAGGTACCAAAGAAGCGCTTGGTGCAGTTCCCTTATTTTTTCCAACAATAGAGGCTGCAACCATGGTGCCATGGTATCCGGGGTGAAATGTATTACCACCCTCGAAGTGTCCATAAGCCTTAGGGTTTGAGGGCCCATCGTCGTCTGACCTCTCGTCGCTTGGAAAGGGCCCGCTGAATAACCAGTCAACAGAAGATGCATCTATGTGCGAGAAATACTGGCAGGGTACGTTATAATGTGTAGATGATGTTAGCTACGTTAGAAACCTAAAGCATCTTTCAAATTTCGATTGCACACGCCATTCACTTACACGAGAGTTTAAGTCGCAGCCCGAATCTAGAACGTAAGTTAGGACACCCTTTCCTGGGTTATGATATGTATAGTATTGTCCCCTCATTTTTGAAAACTGAACACCGCTGGGTTGTGCTATCATGACTAGCTCTTGAGGAGCAGGATCTAGAACTAAGACTGACCCATCAAAGTATAGATCTCTAGGTTTTAGATACCCCCCAACCGAAGTATTTGAAGATGCAGACCTTGTACCAAAACCCCGATTGATAGATCTAGATTTGAGTCTTGATTTTGCCCGGGTACGGTACTCTTCTTGATCATAATCCGATGCCACATCATCCGCGGGAGGCTGGTCTTGCTCTCTTTCCATGACTCTGACGGGTCCTAGAGCCTTATCGGTTACCCCAGGAGTGCATTTGTGATGGTATATCTAGTTTGCAGGACCCTCGGATCTCAGATATCAGCATTCTGACGTTTTTTTTATTCTTTTTTTCCTAATGGGGCATAGGCTACGCTTACAATTGCGCTATACTTTTCAATAATTTCTAAATACTCTAGATATATTGCATATCTAGGTATAACATCGATCAAAAGAACCCAGGTTCCACGACCGGTGCCCGGAAGGTGCCGGCTGCGAACATTGTAAATACTGTGACGCTGGGGCGGCAGTGCTATGCTCGTGAGTTCTTTGCGAAGATTTCCAAGGTTAATGCTGGGGTCGGAGTATCTAGCTGGATATGCATTCTCCTGTCGGTAGTTTTGTCCAAGAACAATAACGCAAAGATACGAATATTGTTCATAAGTACCGATTTTTGGGAGGATTATCTCTGGGGGCTCGGCCTCTGGGGGCTCATCGGTTGATCCTCCTTTGGGACCAGCATTATCTTGAACAGTTGGGATGGCCAGAAGCAACAGAGAGAATATCAAAACTGGTATTATCCTAAGGCTTAGAGCTGATAGGCCCATAGCGTTGGTTCAATTGTGAGCTACCCAAAGTTAGCTGCATGAAAATAAGTTAGCTGCATGAAAATAAATTAGCTGCATGAAAATAGTTGATAAAATGATCTAAAACTACAGCTACAAGTTTGGTAGTGTACTTTGAAATCGGGATGTGGATTTGGAGAGCCTAAGTATCCGGACTTCTCTTAGCGATATCATACCATCATGCGCATATGCAAATAAAGTGAGTTCGTGAAATGAATTTCTGAAAATGTTTAAACATTGCCATAGATATATGTACTATATATAGACACCAAATCAACATTACCACGCATCTTTTTTGCATGGCAGGCTGGCTATGGGATAGAGGTAATGCAAACATGGGCACAATACGCTATTGATTCGATTCAACGCCGCAACGTTAGTATTATAGTTCTCAAAATCCTTCGCCACGAATAACATGCCGTATACCGACCTCAGTAAATACCTAGATAGTTTATATATATCTGGATGTTTGCAAATACATGTAACACTTAAACTAATAATGGGAGCGCGCAGGTACCGACACTATTATATGCCGTATTCTAACCTCAAATTTTCTCGATAATTATATAAACTCTAGGTATACGAGCGCTGCCTTAGAGGGTGTTTCATAACAATGATTCGCTAAAACCAAACTCGGGGCCCAGTACAGTATTACAATATTACAATTGCCCTGGGATTCTTTTTAACAGATAAGAAATTTTCCTAGAAATTAAGGGCGGGAGTATTCGTTTCATTTCGTGTTTTAACAAGCATAAAGAACGAATAGCTGGACTAAGAAGTAGGAGAATAGTAGGCAGTAATAGTATAGTAATGGAAACAATAGTAATAGCAACCGTATTAGTAGTTACTTTAACTGTGCTAGTAATCCTATTCTGTTTTATCTAACGAGCTGTCAACATGTTGCATGTTGTAAGCTGCCAGCTTTTATTTAGTGGGTCTACCGATTCTACCAATTTGCGCAATGCTAAATAAATTTATTGTTTCTAATGGCTATTTTCTCTCTCTCTTGGAAGAGACATACATAAATCGATCAAACAATGGTCTCCCCCAAGTGGTCTTGTAAATTAGTGTAGTCTCTGAGAACCTACAGGTGTTCGAACTAAAAAGGTTTTTTTTTAGCTTCGATTTCTTCTTTTAAGCATTGGCACATGTATGTATCGTATGTGCCCAAGTATATTATATTGGTGTACAGTGGCAGAGGAGTTCTTCTAGATCCGGCTAGACCTCACGAACACTCAAGGAACATTGAACTACTGGTTAGAGTATGACGTGGTACCATATATATTGTTCTTCTTTAATTGTAGGCTCTATGGCCAACAATACTATAGCCGACATCGATATTCCACCTTAGATGTATTGATGCAATGTTCGTTAAATCCTTTTCTTTTCTTTCTTCTTTCGTTCTTTCCTTTCCTTTTTTTTAAACATGCATGCACGCCCGAGTCATGGGGACTAGGATTCAGGTCTTTCCTTTTATTCAAGATAATTAGGTAAAAGAGTATTAGGTAAAGGGGACTTCCGGTCGTATGATACATGTAGGTACATGCATCTGTCTGAGTACTTTTTTTTGCGGGTTTAAACTGAGAGACTCGGAGTTGATTGTATTGTTTCGTACCTGGTACAAAGACAAAAAACTCTCCGACATATGTTGGCGGTTGGTGTTGCAATGATGCAGTGTTTCGTTTGAGATGTTTTTTCTTTCGAACTCGACACTCAGAGGTAGCCTAGGAATCTAGTCGTCCTGAGCCTACAATTTCGTCCGGGGCTAGTCCTAAAGTTTCATAAGATTCCTCGCCTTGAGGCCGTCTATCATCGCGGTGATAGAATGAGCTCATGAGCTAAACTCAGTACCGCTTGCCAACACATATCTTCTATCAAATTGCAACGTCAGCAGAACAAGTGTGAGCATCCTTAGTTATCATATTTGAGGTATGTTCTTGTACCAGCTTTGGCCAATTTATACATCTATGCTCTAACGGCTAAACTCAAGACTAAGCAAAGTGATATCATAAATTACTGACTAAGTATCTTGAATAGCTATCCCACCCGAAATGCCCCTCCTTGAAGCCGATTCGGAAAAGACCTCTTGATAACTGACACCATTGATACTCACCCCACCAATCTAAGCCAGGTTACCAGAAGTCAGTCTTACAAATTCTCACAACCCTCCACTCTAGCCGCTCGCCAGGAAGTGGGGTCCCCCATGGCAAATCTGCACGCCAAGGCTACTAGACGGGATGGCTCGCATGAACTTGAAGTCACATGATCAGATGTGTGGATGTATTTCCCCTCTTTTGCTGCAGCAAAAACGGGAAGATAACGGCCGATATCTTTTAAACAGAGATAACTGATTGGAGCTCGGGTTTCTGGCAAAGATTTCTACCGCATCTACTCGAGAGATCCTCGTAATTTTGAAGATTCTGGCCTTAAAGATGCTTTTCATACCTAGGATCGAGTGTTCTCGCGCGGGAACAGCGGCCAAATCTCATGGGTAGCCGTCGGTTCGGGTGGGCCTGTGGTCCTTATTTCCACCTTCTGTGCCAGGAGAAACAAGAATAGAATCTTGAACAGCCAACCACGATGCAAAGCTCTTATGATTGGCTCTGGCGAAGTTTTCTTCCCAGCGATTCGTTCAGGTTAGTTCGGTGGGCTCTTCCAGCTTTTGGGCTCAAGGAGACGGTTCGCTTGAGGGGCCAATCAAGCAGTGACAACTCATCGCTGCACCCACCCTTGACTCCCTCGACCACCCTCCCAAAATTTTCCTTCAACGACCTGCCCTGGCTGTCAGGGATCTTTACGGAGTACCGAGAAATCATAGGTCTACTCCCCCGCCACTGATGCTGGCTGTACCAGCGCATGGCAAGATGAGAGGAAGTTCTTGCGAAACCTAACAGTACCCTTTTTATTGGGAAAAGATATGGCTGCATATAGAAGCCCTTGGTGTGCATTATTGCAAGATTGTGCATGTCGCTGCAGTACTTTCTTCATGCAAGCTTTTTCACATCTCACCAAAGTCACTATCTGGATGCAAGCTTGCCATTTAGTCCCAAATCCGCTGTCGCAGTGAGGTCGTCGTCAGTCGCGGAAAGAGAGAAAGGCTACCTACTTACTAACCTCGTCGAAGCTAGGAGCCCCTCGGAACTTTCAGGCTGGGTTGATATATTCGATTTGGGGCACGGCGAGGATCTTCAAAATCCACAAAGCGGACATCTTTCAGCTATAACGGGGTCGTCGCCTCCTCCTTCTTCAGGATCTTTCACATTCTGCTGAGTTGTCCACGCTTCAGTATTACTATCCTAGTCTATCCTCAGGTAGACAGACGCGAAAAGCAAAAGCTTAGGACATTTAGCCCCCAATCTGCAAAATTTGCCCCCAGTGACAACAAAACAATTTATTGCCCGAACTACGACACGGTACTCCGTCTAATATTTTTCTTTTCTTTATGAGAGTTAGTTATCAAAACTAGCTGAAGGGGAAAGAAATCGAAAGAAAAATCTACAAAATCTGCGAAAGGTAGTGGGATATCTCTGTTTTGCCCCACGAACAACTCACCGAACCAATCCCGATTCTACACGAGATATTGATACTCTAAAGGAGCTACCGTTTCCGCTCGATTCTCGTAGTCGCACATATTTCCGCAGGCCCTTCGACCGTATATAGCCAGCCAACAATATTGGTTCTTTGAGATCTACCCCCATATTTATCGTCGAATAGGATAATTACGGTCACGACCTCCAAAAAGGCTGAAGACCTCTCTGACCAACAAGAAGAGCAGGAATTTTCTGTAGCCAGGGTCTAGCTCCGAATATAATCGAGAAACATCACAAGAAGGCAGGCCATCGTCATCCCGAGATTTCTTTACAAAAAAGAAATACAAAAAGCCTCAAAATCGATTTCGTACATACGTTGGCGATTCCATACCATTGGGCCCCCTCTGATTTACCCCAGAGGCGATTTCTCCAGTTTCTCGAAATCATCTAGGCACATACGTATACGCTTTCCCTCGCAGATTTTCCCTTGTCGCAATTCGATGCTGTTTCCCGCATTTGAACTATAGCGGCTCCATCGATATTATATCGTCCTGCGCTTCTTGCGCCAATATTGCGAAAGCTGAACACTGAAGTATTTTTCGCTCTTTGCCAAATTCGGGATTATTTGATATCTTGACGGTTGTTACAAAAAAAATCAAGCGCGTTGAAAAGTAGTTAGCGGGGACGGCCGTTGGCTATTGCTCGTTTCTATTTACGGGGTGTCCAACCTCCCGGAAGAACTATCGTGAGAACGAATTAATTCGACAAGGTCGCCATACTGGATAATCCAAAGAAATCATCACGGACAGGTGGGCCGGATCCAACTATCCGTCAGAAACCCGATGGATCGATGAAAACGATATCGACAACATCATTAACATCTCCCTTGTCATCTCGTAAGTCCACAACCCCGTGATGATTGCTGCTTCTGCTCCTGCATCTCCTAGCTCTGCTGCTCTTCCCTCTTCCTCTGCTGCTGTTGCTCTTGCATCTCTCCCTCCACTGTCCCACTGACGAGGAAAGCGAGATTACCTCTTCTTAATGCATGCTGAGTGGCGATTCGTTCGCTTTTCAATTTTTTGAATTGGAAATCTTGATTTTCTTTTCTTTTCTTTCCTGGACTTCATGCACGGTTTTTTTTCTCTTCTCGCTCTCTTGGGGTCCCTTATGCTGGCTGGTCTTATATGTCACAGCACGAGGGCGCTATCTCTGACAGCGGAGTATTCTTTTCGGTGTTCTCTGCCTTGAAGGTGGACCCGAGTCAGGAATAGTCAGGAATAGCCAGCAGGCTGCATGCTGCTTTGCTGGCCGAGGGACTTTCCTCACTGGCCAACCACCGCTGCATGATGTGTTGTCCACCGTCAACCGACAGCATGCTGCAGACACCTCACATATCATCCACCCATACACATGCTGCACAGGACATACTTCTGACTTCCTACATGCTTCTTTCTCCCACACTATCGTCTGATCTTGTTTCTTTCCCTCCCTCCCTCTCTTTTTCCCTCCCTCTCTTTTTCCCTCCCTCTTTCTCACTCCCAATCTTTGTTTTCTCGCTCTTCCTCCGAATTTGCTTTCCTTTGATACCCGAACTATACTAGTTCTGCGTGGTGTTTCTAGCTGTTCCGTTCGCATTGAATTTGTCCAGCAAGCAGTAGCTCAAATCAAGTCCTGTCCGGCCTGGTTTGATATTACTATACCACTGCTCCTCCCCCAGTCACCTGCCCGCCATTCCCTTTCCTCTACATTGGAATCTTCCCTTGAGATTTCCCATATCTTCTTCTGGTCTGGGGCATTTTCTTCATCATATTTTACCTCTCTCGATCACTCGCATTTTTATTCTTTTTTTATTTATTTTGGCATTTACACATACATACATATACCCCCATACATTACATACATACATACATACGTACATATCACCTGCATAGTCCGGCCTTACTGTAGTTTGCAAAGCTTCAATCAATGCGCTAACTAACTGCTTCTGTTTCTCGGTCTTGACTTCTTGGAAGTAGACCCTCGTTCGACATCTAATACAGCCCCCTCACCCCCTTCCACAACTTCTCAACCTTCTTCTCGAACTTCTTCTCCTTCTTCTTCTCATCTGCGACGTTCGTCATCTGCTACCTCTCTATCTTTGAACGTCCCTAGCCCGGTCCCGCCTGTTAAGCCAGTTGATACAGTATCACAACCAACTGCCAAGATGGGTGTAGCACAGGATGAGTATAGCCACAAGCCAGAGGCTAAGTCCAGGGCAAAGTCTCGCACAAGACTAGCGAGGTCCAAGTCGAGAAGTGCTCTCGCTCGTCATAATACTGGTAATAGCGAACCGAAGGAGACCAAACTATCGCGGCATCAAACTGGAAATAGCGAGCCAAAGGAAAGCCGGATACGAAAACATGACACTGGTAATAGCGACAGCAAGCTACAATTGCAAAAACAGAACACTGGTGGAAGCGACAGCCAAACGGCAATTATTGCCCGCGCGGCAACCTACACTAAACCATTGATTAGTTCAGCGACTTATCATCTCCCCCCTCCGCCGTCTGGGACCTTTGGAGGCAACACTACTTCTCTGGCGGAGCTTGCACACCTTGTTAGGCTTCAGTCTTATCAACAACTCAAACACACACAATCCAGGATACGGTTGCACCGCCAATTAATATCTACTGGTATTTCGGCACGCCTGGAAAGATGTGGTGCTTTAGCTAGGACCCATATGGTCGATTACTTTAAGGACGACAAGAAGAGGGAATTTGCCGTGTTATACAATGCCGTTCACGACCTCAAGGACTCTTGCGAGCGATTGGCCATGCTTCAGCCTGAACTGGATGTCACCAAAATATCTTACGGAGATTCAGAGTCGGAACGCCCTAAATCCTTGCATACTTTTCTCCAAGATATTCCTCCACAGACGAGAGACACAATCCTCTCCTTCATTGCCACACTGCGGTCAAATCCAAAGTTCCTTGCGGATAGACTGTGCAAACTTTCTCCTAGTGATCTCGACACAATTGCAAAGTCGAATCAAATCACACAAACCCAGGAATCAGTGCTCCCTACAAATAGAAAAAACGTCACTCCTAACCCAATAGCTCCAGTTCCCACTCTTGCCGTTGATAAGCTACTAGCTTTTCATAGACTTGACCCTCTCCATACCCTTATCCACACTATCTTCGCAAATTCCAGCGGACCGGACTCCGAGGAGGATCGTCGAAGAACTGATGTTTGGTCAACTGTTTGTGCTCGACTTCTCAATGAGAAGCGAGGTGAAAAGTTTTTGTATGCTGTTATGGACTCATGGTCTTCCATGAGAGAATGGCCTGCTAGGAACAACATTGAGGTCTGCCTCATGAAAATGCTTCAGGATGGCGCCGCGGTGTTGCAACTGGACCGACAAGAGGATACCTCTAACGACAAAGTCCGACAAGATCTTATCCGTAAACAAGAAGAGGAGTTTTACGTCAATGCATCTAGGTCATTGTTCCAGACTTTGGATGACGAGCCATGCGCTGGTGGTATTCCTGAGGGTATCCTGGAACTAGGACATGCCATCTTGGAGAAGATCGAGGATCCTAAGAGGAAGAAGCTCGCCGAGGTCTTTATTGTCGCCAAGTGGTTCTTTGGTAGATACCTCAATACTGCCATCCAATATCCTGAAGTATGTTGTCACGCATTTCGCCTTCAGTATTAATTTTTGCTAATAATGAATTTAGTATCATGGCATCATGGTGGGTCATTACATTAGTGAGTACGCTCGTCAAGCGATTCTGCGTCGGGTAATCCAGAGGATGTGCACCGACGTCTTCAGCATTTGCTTTGTTGAATTGTAAGTTGTTTCAATCTTCGGGTACAAATAATCCACCATATCTCACAATCATCGCTATAGGAAATCGAGTCGACCCATTGACCCTATCGTTCGCAACCATGTTGAAAGCATCATGGGCCGATTCCGCAATCCTCGTCCAAAGGATAGCAACCCAATTCTTCTTCCAGTCAAAGCTGTCACATCTCCTCGTGAAACTATCGAAGTCCAACCTTATCTGGTTCTGTGCCCGACCGATGTTGTTACCGTTTTCCACGCCCTCTTCCCCCAAGCTTCGCAGAGGCCTGCTACTTCCTCATCTGAGAAGGACTTTGGCTCCAAGAAGTTTAGTCGCTCAATCAATACCGGTCGCTCAGCCGTATCGCGCCCTCCAAGCATCTTCGAAAATGCTAGTGCATCTTTCAAGAGTAGCTCCTCTATTACCAGCGACAACGGACTTTCTACCATGAATGCCCCGTTGCTCGAGAATCAATATGGAAGCATGGACGAAAAATACGCTAACTCCCTAGTTGGCTCTCCAAACTCTTTCACCATTGCTCCAAATATCAAGTCCTCCCAGGCTTCTATCTATTCAATCCAGTCTATTACCTCCGAGCCAGATGATGAACTTGAAGTCTTCATGATGGACGTCAAGATGGCAATCACTGAGATGACTCGCAAACTCGGCGCGGAGGCAACCTCCGGAAGAACACACCCATGTGCTGAGAAATGGGCCGTCTTGTTTGTCTCCGCTGATGGCAAAGCTCTTTCCGGTCGCATGAAAACCGATTGGGAAGATGAGGATGATGATGACAGCGATAGCAGTAGCGATAATGATAGTGACGACGATTCTCCGGGTGAGGTGTCCAGAGACTATAATCAAGTCAAGCAAGCTATTATGAAGTTGATAGAAGAGTATGAGGTGCCAGAGGAACTTATCGAAGAAGATGAGAACCAATCCAAGAAGTTCAGCAATAGAACATCGGTTGCGACTAACCGGAAGCACGCTGCTCCGGTTGCCTCTACTGTTACCAGCTATATCCAAGACCAGAATCCGTACTTTCAAGCCACTGGTGGCTTGAGCGCTCTATTCAATGGCAGCCCTGATCGAGAACGTCAGCGACTTGATCTCCCACGCGACAGCAATGACCGCCTCCGACAATCTAGTAAGGAGGGCAACGCTGATGTTCTCTTGACTATGTTGTCCGCCGCTCAATCTCAATGCATGGCTCGTGGAGCTTATGTCGACGGTCAAATCTTTCACCGCGCTGTTACCATCCTCCTTCGCAAACTTGAACCTTCTCTCACTCGCAATGGGTTTGCACCACTTCTTCATATCCTCTCCCGCGGCTTCCGTGTTTCTATCGAGAAGTCTGCAGCCTGCATCGAGCACCTTGAGGCCTGGTTTGTGTGGTTGACTATGGCGCAAGAGAGACACGACTCTGCGACCAACGACATGCTTGCACTTACTAAGGCGCTTCGCGTGAAGATGTGGTACGTCACAGATGTTCGCAACTCTGCCGCCTATGATGATGCTCGCAATGTTGCCATGGCTCTTAAGAAGATGGCTATTCCACCAAAGACAAAGGATGGTCGTCCTATCCCTCAACAACGTGCTAAGACTGGTCTCACCCATCGCATGTCAACCAGCAGCTTCTCTCTTCTCAAAGGTGACAGCTTGATTGATACACTCGCCGCTCCCGTTGATAACGGCGGCCCGAACAAGCTTAGCGACGAGCAAGCCGAGATCACTAGTGCCTGGCTCAAGCGCTACTCCGTCACAAACTTCTGCACTGGAGAGGAAAGAATCCATCGTTTCTGTTGCGAGATTGACAAGTGTGTCAACAAGCTTGTGGGCAAAGAGATCCTTACAGGTCCTGTTCTTTGGTCTAGCGAGTTGTTTGCAAGAGACGAGAGAGAACTTGCCAATGTCCGTAAGAAGGGAGAGTTCCACCTCGCTGGTGTTGGCGGGTTAAATATGACCATGGACAACGTTGATGCCGACGGCGACAAGCTCAACAAGCTTAGACCAAAGGCTAGCGCAAGTGATCTCTTCGGTCTAGGTATTGGGCGCCCGAGATCTCAAAGCATCGTCAGCACCTTCTCCGCTCTCTCAACCACACCAAACAATCGCCCACGTGCTAGTCGAGGCAGTGCTTCAGAATCGTTCATGGATAAGAACGACCTTTTCAACACCCCAACTCCTCAGTTGTCCATGGAATCTACCCCAACTTCTGCTTTCTGGAGTCCATTTGGAAGTGTGACACCACTGGCAGGATCTCCTCGTGGCAAGGCTAACACTGCCCTTCCAACCTTGAGCACTTCAAGGTCCATGGAAGGTGAAAACCAAGAGAAGAAAGCTTTCCTCTCCTCCCTCAAAACCTCACTCATCGGACTTCTTTTGAGCGACCTCGGTCTTGACGTTTGGAGCCAGGGCAGTGAAACCGATGCTTGGTTCTCGGGTGGCCTTGCCGATGAGTGCATGCAACGTCGCGAGGACCAAGAACGTGCTCTGCAAGAGCGAAACGCCTCTTCGAAGAGTTTGAATACCGTTGCGTCTAAGAAATTGCTGAATCGCAAGAAGAGCAACAAAAGCTTGAGGAGATCCGTTTCTCACGCCAATGGAATCTTGGAAGCGCTTGGCCGTGGTGAGAAGGGTGAACTAGCTGCCCCTGTAGCTACCTATGAGACTGTTGGTCACGAGCCTCATTCCGGTGAAGACAACTCCTCCAGCAGCGATGCTACTGCCCGGTCTGCGACTACTGCCACTGGTGCATCATCAAACAACAAGAAGGGTTCCTACCAAAGCTTCCCATATGCCGTTGCCTTCCGCCGCCTTCTCACAAAGTTCTCTACTCACCCAAATCCCTTCGACAAGCTCAATGCTCTCTATGAACTCGAAATCCTCATTGTTGCTTCTCTCACAACAACCACCGGCAAGACATTTACTCGCCGTGGAACATTCCCCACCACTCCATCTGCTGACTTTGAGCCTGTTGCTCGTGAGTTGAGCGCTCGTATGAGCAACCTCATAACTCAGCCCGCTAATCTCGACGAAAGCCTTGCACATGCGGACGAGCGCCGGCACGCTGGTCTCTCTGGATCTCCCTTCATGACACCAACTGGTTCTCGTACCCCAGTGGTAACCAATCTTCCTTCCACAGAAATCATTGTCGAAGTCTGGCAGGAGCTCTTCCGTCAGGCTGATATTCGACCACGCACTCTCTTCCGGGATCTTCAATTCGTCGCTTCTTTCATCCCCTCCTACCAACTAGACCTCACTGTCCAAGGCAAGGCTTTTTGGGATATGGCTAATGCTGCTCTCCGCCTTAAGGTTGACGTTGTCAAGACAATGGTAGAGGTTGCTGATGAGGTTGTCGGCTATCATACTAAGAGACGTACCCCAGAGTCTGCTGCTGCCCAACCCGCTATTTCCAAGGAGAAGTTCGACAAGAACCCAGATCTCAAATCCAAGTCTCCACAGCCGCAAGGTTCTGAATGGATTGCCCGTTATTCCATGAAGGACGCCGCCAGCATGTGGTTGATTACAGCCAAGGAAGGAGATGCAACTGCACAACGCGAGCTTGCTATCTTTTATCTTACTAATCCGGCATTGCTACCACTGGCCACTATGCCGATGAGCAAGACTAAGGATATTTTCCGCAACGACTCAACAGTTACCCGAGGAGTTGACCCGGAGAAGTGTGATCCGTTGAGACTGTGTGTTTCCCATCACTGGATGGAGCTGTCCTCTCGTGAGGATGAGCTAGCAAAGAGATATCTCAGGCAGAGAGATGAGTGGTAAAAATCTCATTATATACCCTTTTGTTTATTTTACTTTATTTTATTTTTGACGATTTCTTTTTTCATATTTCTATGTAACTTTTTGCGCAGACATGGGACTCCGGATGACATTGGACATTGTTTTTTATTGGGTTTTTCGGCATAATTATTCGTTTTGCAGCATTTTCTCTGATTTACCGTTTGATGATATCCTTATGCCATAGCGTCATGATCATGATAGATTCATTTTACCTTTTCTTTGGAAGTTTTGTCAATATTTTATGGTCTTTTGAAAGCAAAGTTTATGGGTATATAACTACTAATTTTCATAAGTTCAATTATAGCGATATAGCCTTTTGTCAATCTAACGCTTTCTCCTGTTCACCGTCTAATTTTCAGTTGTTCAAAAAACTCAATACTTCAAAATTTAACGAATCTCATTAATGCCTTTCAATTTTTACAGTTTTTCTTTAACGTTGAAAAAAAAATCGAAATCTGCATGATGCGTTTCTTCTATCCTCTATTTTCCTATTTTATGGATCCTGGATCTTTATGGACACTCTCTGGATGGACCAGATAACTTTCTCGTGGAGGTCTCTTCCTGCGAATACGCCCTTCAATCTTGTTTCTCTGGACCTGGTAAAAGCGCCACTTCGTCCACCAATCGGCATCTAAGAATTCTCTACTACATAGTATGCAGGTATTTTTTTTCTCTTGTCGAATCTATGTTTTCTTCTTCTTACATATCATTCGGGCTTATCACACCATCATAGCGGAGCGTGCTTTGCAGTTTATTTTTATTTTTTTCAATTCTGAAATATAGCGAAACCCGCATAACCCAGTAGCATATTGGTTCATGGATTGAATAAAATGCGCTACAATTATTGTTGTCGCTTTCTTACGAATGACTCTTTCCTTGGCCACGGCTCTCCATGCATAACAGAGTCGCTCATAATGTTACGTAGTTTATTTTATTATGAAATTTATCGGCCCTCAAAGTTGACATTATACATGTATCTGGGGGGGTTTTTTTTGGCAACAGATCGCTTCAGCGCATGCCTGCAGCTTGCAGATACCTCGGCTCGGTGATATCTCACCTTAGTGACTTTGGGTTTGAAAAGTGTGATTGCGAGGTTTTTAACCCATTGAATCAGGTGTTTTGGGCGCATACGAAGCTTGGAAGTCAATGCGTCCCATTGCATAGACTCCCTTCTAAAATCAAGAAATCGGTGGCTTTGAATCGTTCTGCCTGGTCATCCACGACGGTTTGCGACGGGCCTCCCCACGCCGAATCAATTGCAGCTCAAAGCACAGGACACCGCGCCTGCAGGCACCAAGCTTCGCGTTTCCGCGTCCGGCAAGGTTGTTTTCCTTATGCCTATAACACGCGAGACCTATTTTTTGCCACGTCATAAAAAAAACGGGTTTAACATTTTTACGTTCCTCTTTGATATTCCTTTTTATGAAGGTTGGGGGGCACTTTTCTTCACCAGCCAGCCCTCTCATTTTTGTTCCCTTTTCTGCAAGCGCGGGTTAGGCTGTGTAAGCATATCTGTTAAATAGGAAAAAGGAAGGGAAAAAAGTGACCATGTAATGTCAATTCTATGCACTACAAGGGGGATGGGAGATGGAATATGCTATGATTCAGGTCAGGATTTGAGAAAGGCAGAAAAAAAAAGGACTCAATCTTCGATATCTTTCGATTCGGTTCTATTGCATGCTGCATATGTGTGTTATTAGGGTGATGGAAGCGTCTCCCTGTGAGGATGGTGTTGATGGAGGAGGAAGGGAATTGGAAGTATGGGGAGCGTCCGTCCGCATATGCACAAATGCTTTCGTATAGTGTGCATTTCGTTCAGATGTCTGGCAGGGAGGGGGGCGAGTCTAGGCAGAGTGGGTATTATCCCAATTGGTCTAAGTGTGAGCAAGCTGCATGCGAGCTAGTCTTGGTTTATGTAAGATACGGTAAGATGGTGTCTTTTGTGCTTTGAACGTAGCCTTTGTATATATAGCCTCCGGTTCCACAAAGTGCCTATCAATGATCTCGAATCTATAGTGTCCTCCCTTGGAACCTATCACAAAGTTGTTGTTACGTCTATTTTCTCTTGTTATATACTACTCTTGCTTTTCCTTTAGTCCAGAAAGAACAGAAATCAAATATCGGCTCTAGCTTCCTCTCCAACAACTGCTCGTCGAATCACTTCACGTATCTCATCTTTCTTGATCTCCCTTGGATTATAGTATGGATTGCTAGTTGCAATCTCAGCCGCTTTATCCACATCCTCCTCCTTCATGCCATAATCCCTCAATGCTCTTTTAACCCCCAGTTTATTCAAAAGCACATTCAATCCTTCCACCGCATCCCCGTTACTTTCCGGTAACGAATCCGCTAATCTTGCCAGCATATCAGCCGGGATAGCCTTTGAGTTATAAGCTATAGCATGGGGTAAGACGATCGTATGTGTCTCTGCATGAGGGAGGTTAAAACTACCGCCCAATGTGTGACAGAGCTTGTGGTGGAGCGCCATGCCGACGGTACCCAGGCAGGATGCGCATAACCATGCACCGTAGAGGGCCTGAGAACGGGCTTCAGCGTTCGACGGATCCTTGGTGATTGTTGGAAGGCTGTGGGCGAGGGATTTTATGCCCTCGAGGGCTAGGAGGCTAGTGATTGGATTCGCGGTTGAGGAGTAAAGGGCCTCAACTGTATATTATTTATGTGATATGGTTAGAATTGGTTACAAACGTTGTGAATGGGGCTTAGAGTGGGTTGCATGTTGGATTTTTCTTTTTGGCAAGACGGTATACTTCATTTTTTGTGACGTAGCACACGTATTTTCCCACTTTCCGTCAATTATATTGCGAGAAAAAGACACAAAAACCTTGGTTGGGATAAAAGAATATATATATAAAAAAAGGAAAAAATGAGAAAAGAAAAGTACACTCACCTGCATGTGCAATAGCATTCACACCGCTTGTAGCACTCAATCCGGCAGGTAACGTCATGGTCAAATCAACATCGTAGATAACAGTTCCCGGCAGAATTTTCGGATCACTCCGCGTAGTTTTTCTGCCGTCCTCGGTTTCTCCGAGAATGGGAGTCATTTCGCTCCCTGCGTAGGTCGTTGGGATGCATATATGCGGGAGACCTGTGCGGATGCTGAGGGCTTTACCCAGCCCGATTGTGGAGCCGCCGCCGATGGATATTATGCTGTCTGAATTGATAGACTGGGCGTACGACAGCGCCTTTTGCGTGATGTGGGTTGGAGTGTGCATAGTTGCTTCTGTGAAGGTGCCTGCCACTGAGGGGATCAGGGAGGCGACATGTTCTGCCTGAGAGGTCTGCTGAGGGGTGCAGAGAATCAGAGGGGCTTTGAGGCTTTGTCGAGTAAGTTCTGATGGAAGTTTTGAGAGTGTACCGCTCCCGAATATCACACGAGATGGGTTGGCTGTGTATATGAAATTCATGATATTTGAAGTTTTATAATATCGATATATCTCAACGTTACCCAATTGATATCGGGGTATTGCGGGTTGACGTGACGGTGAAAATGATAAATATAACGATGAGATTTTATGAAACCCTTATATTTGGGCCCTTCGAAATGCCTGTGGGTACTTTACTTACAAAATCTAGAAAGCAGTTGTTCAATAGCTGGCTTCCTGCATTGGTTCGCTGTTAACCGTCGAAGATATTGATTCGGAACAGCCGGATTTTGCGTTGTGTGTCGTTCTTCGGGCCGTCGTCCCCTGCCGATCCTTCGGCATCCATTTTCGGAATTTAAAATAACACAATGTATTTTGTGTTGCTAAGAGTGCAACGAAGTACGAGGACTATTTTGTCTGAAACTTAACGAATTTCAGTAGGGGAATGAGTCTAAATGTTGGACGACGTCTAACTACCTTGTTGCGTCAGGAAGTTCGAATCTTGATTTTAGAATATCTTATAATAGGCGTTTTGCTGCGTAACGGATTGCAACTACCTAATATTCATATATAACTTGAAAGTTAGAGGTAGTCGTTTCATATGGAACAACGCTGGTGCGCAAATTTATATTTAGATATATACTAGTAGCACTTGTCTCGTACCCAGCCCCACGCAAAAAAATCTTAGTAGCACGAATATTTACATCTTTGAACAAGATTCAAGACAACGGATGTACAAAAGCATAGGTATTTACAAGATATCTTTGGTTATTTAGGACAAGCATTGAGAGTACCACTCGTTGCTATATTTACAGGTTGTGCCAGATACGCAATTGGTACAGCCAGTGAAGCCAGAGCCACCGCATTGCGCGTAGACCGCTGCTGTGCAGCCACCGGGGGAACCAGTTGTGGCGGCGGTGGTCGCAGCTGTAGTGGCGGCAGTAGTTGTTCTAGTTGTTGTAGTAGTTGCGGTAGTTGTGCCGCCCGTGCTACCAGAAGGTCCTTGGAGCTCAACAGCATCGAAGATGAAGTTTGGGCTGAGGTAATCCGTGCCGTCAGATCCGGAGGCAACACCAATTGTAAGGGTGTTGGTGCCAGAAACAAAAGCAGAGGCTGGAACGGTCCAAGTATACTGTTCTCCGTAACCACGATATGCGCCACGTGTTACACCTCGAGAATCGATCTTGACGGGAGCAGCTGGGATGCTACCACTCCAACTGTTGATTGTAACACTCGGGCGAGCTCCAGCAAAAGAAAGAGTGGTACCAATACGGAGGGTCATTTGAACGAGTTGGCTCGAGGAGAGTGTGAACTTGACGATGGCGGAACCCCCGATGCTCTTAAAGACGGCCATAGGGAATGCGCTTGCGGAGGAAGAACCTACTGTGTATGTGCCACCCCAAGAAGACATTCTAGAGTCTGAAGGATGCATTCGCAAGAACTTGTCACCGTTCTTGAATTCGAACGGCTGACCATCAAATTGTCCAACCCTCCAAACAATGGATGGGTTAGCCTCAGTTGATGCGATGCTCTTGCTAGTCGTTCCTCCGGCAGTAACAGATACACTAGAACTAGCAACTTCGAGTTCACCCTTGTACAATTTCATAGTGTACGTTCCCGGCTTCATGTATGGAGAAGTGAAAGAGCCCGTGGACTTAACCCAGTACTGATTGTCGTTGTTATACCAATGAACAACGCCCTCAAACCCACTAGGAATTCCACTGGCGGTGCCAGAAACACGGCCGCGTCCGCTTTGGGCAACGTAGCCATTTACAGAAAGGGAGCTGAAGAAGGAAGTATCGATATTCGCTGAGGGGGTCGATCCGGTTGTGAAGGTCATAGCATATGGCCCCTTGAGTCCCATTCTCCATGGCTCGGTTCGAACATGGCCAGAGTTCATATACCAGTATAATTCTTGGACCGAACCGCCTTGGTTATTGATGTCTCTCATGAAGGGCCCACCAGATGATGTTTCATAGGCCTGTGGAGGGATGATTATCCAAACGCCAACACCACTGCCGGTAACTCCATGGACATTGTCTTCAACAAATCTCTCGCTCGAATAGAATTTAGATCTTGTCTGACCATTAACGAGATAAACATCACTGCCCTCAATTGCCGTTCCCCCCACGGTATCCGAAACTGGGTGTCGAACACCGGTTGGAAGTACGCTCTTCTTCAAACGTGCGATCCATCGAAGCTCACCAGGGTCAACTTCCCCGGTAATATACGTTGCAAGGTACAGTGTCGGATCGCCGCTCTTGGATACGATATATTGGGTGACAGGGAGACCACTAGATTGGATAGTAATTTTGGTGTATCCACTAACAAGTGACCCAGAGACTGTCGAGGTTCCAAGACCGGAATTGATATGTGTGTACTTGCTGCTGTCTTGGTATTCTACACCGTTGTACTTCAAACTAACAACATCTCCAGTTGATCTAAGACGTCGCTGTTAGCCGAGGCCTATGGTTTTAGACCCATAGAATCTAGCCTTATGCAAACTTACTTGCTAACTTGATAGATTAGTCCTGCTCCAGTATCAACCTCGAAGTTGTTTCCTGATGTTGTGATGCCAAAGGCTGCGAAGGTAACGCGGACGCAAAAGGCCCACACCAAGGGCTTCGAGATACGCATTTTGAGAGTATTTCGAATTCGCAGCAAACAAAAATATTCTGCTGTATATGTAAAATAATGATAAGTATTATGATACTTCTGAACTTCGATTGAGACCTAAGTATTCTGACCGGTGATATCAAGACGATATGGTACCAAGACTTAGAGAGTACATATACACTTTATATCCCTCGCTCTTGGTTGCACATGCTATAACTAGTACTACTTTATAGTAATTACCATAGTCCTTGGCGGAGGTTTCGTCCGTTAGTACCCTGGGAACTGATGTTTCGCAATCGATCGCGGACGCCAATTAACTTTTCTGGAAAAAATATTGGCATCTCCGTTGGCGCAAAGGTGCGCTTTCTGCAGCCCCGATTCCAGAGGCATTTCAATAATCCCCTTTTCGGAGCGACCATCCGTTCCATAATTCGAAAAGCGAATAGAAACTGTCTATCTTCGGCTGAAATTCTAGGAGAGTAAGAATAGACAAGGAAAGGGCAGTTGCGTCAAGGGACTCTCCGCCTTTCGGCTATTATTTTGAAAGCGAGCGAGAATCTGGATATCTTAGGGATGCAGCATCCTAGAGACCCGCGGCCTGCGCCAAGCCGGGTCGAAGAAGCGTTCTACCGTGAAACCGATCGGAACCCTTGCAACGCCAGTCTTTCTAAACTAGGGATCCTGGCAGGGAATCGTCTTCAATAGACGAGCACAGGCCAGGCCGTGTTGGGATGAAAAAAATACTCCACCATTCACATTGAGGGAGAGGAACGAAGCTGGGATTGCACATCAGATCGGATCAGATATGGCCCTTTGATCTAGCCGGTATCCGGTCATGAATCAGGTTCTAGTGTGAGTATATCTCTAGATTCCACCCAAAATTACCTATTTTCCATGGATCCCTCTCGTGGAATGAGATTCCAATAACCAATATTTAAGGTTCCATAGGTCTCGTTCTCAGACGTCACAAGGGGAGGTTCCACGGTTCGCGACAAAGTGGGCCCAGTCCAATTCTCGGACTTCAAATTTAGTTTTGCTAGGGCCTCAGTAAACTTCATTGTCTTTTGTTAGAGTTTGCTTGAAACTCATAATTGCGATATGTCGCGACATACGGTCACGCATTTGATAAGATAGTATAGTTTTGGATCCCATTGCATTGGAAAATATATTGTGTAGTTCATTAAGTGCTCCAGGCTTACGTACCCCTTTCCTCGGTGCTATTGGTCCCGATCTTTAACCCTTGGATTACCGTGGTTCGATATATAATTAAGTCACAATAAAGCTCACGTATATAACTCCGTGCCCTGACCAGCCGTAGGACCGCACCTTCGTTTCCGAAGGCGGCCTAACTATAGGTAGGCGCACGGATCATATTTTTACCTGCGCTCCTGCTTTATGGCTGTGCATGTGTAACTCTTTTCAATTCTTGCCCAATTGACTCTTAATTGTTTTGCAAAGTTGTTTTGCAATGTTATTTGCAACATGTTTTACAGTACTGGTGTTTTTTATAATCATACAGTTGCCTTCTTGCTATTTGGACGCGGTAGCTACCTAGGTACTTAGTTAAACTCAAAATTCCAAACTTGCTGTGCAGCTGTGTTGGATTCGATTCGAAGGGCTTAGCTATAGGTACAGTACGTAAATACAAACGTCATATCATGCACTTCACTTTCGCCTTAATGAAGTCTTGGATCGCAATTGGAGGCGTATTTTTAGATTTGAGCAGCTCGTAGGCACTTTATAGCTAGCTACAGCTACCTAAGTATATAGCCGCTGCCTGAGCCATCTCAACCTTGGGCGCGAGGTGCTTAGAGCAGCCTCCTCGTTCGAAACGCAACACCAACAACAAATCCCCCGTTGCCTCCCTGCAGCCATATTAGTCTCAAAGCCAGGTGCGCCGCAGCCGTGCACATAGCCGGGGTCAGATCGATCTCAAGGTCAAAGTTTAGTTGTTAACTAACATTTTGGACGGACTGAAACGAACGAGACCAACTGACGTCGAACAATTCGATTCCTCATTTTTGTGCTGTTTCGAAGCTGTTAAAGTTAAAATTTCTGGACTCTATACGGACAACTTGCTTTGCGAGCATGAGCCTTTATGGCAAGAACTTTCTTGCACAGTTTGTGGGCGAGCTGTGGTGAAAAATTGTCTCTATTTCTCGTGCTAAGACTGGGAAGAAATACTTAAGTTTGTAACTTCCGTGCCTCCCAGGTCTGGGTATGAGACTACTCTCGTGCCAATTAAACAGAAATATTAACGATAGTTGTGTACACATGTTCGCGCTGTCCCACAGGTTCCCATACACCTATTTCTAGACAAATCTCTAGAGCTCTGGTTCAGGCTTTACATAGAAGTCTACTGGGTTTCTGAGATATTTTAGACGAAATGCTCGGCTAAGCTGCGCCAGAGCAACCCTCCTCCAACAAAAAATCATCTTGAGTCTGGATCACCTGGTATACGTACATTGAACAATTATGTGGATAGTAAATAAGCCTAGTGCACCCTTCTACTAGAGACTTCTTCTTAACTTCCATTTATACCTCAGTGTTTGCTTGTATTCAAAAATCCCTTCCCTCCCCTTCCTCTGTACTATATATTTATAAGAAGAGCACATCGTCTTTCAATAACTAGGTTCAAGATCTATCATATTCTATCTCCACGCCCAAGATTTTCCAAATTTCATTTACTCGTATACTGTTACCTCTATAAATTTAGTATCTTAAAAATGTTTCCGTTCTTGTGGTTCCTCTTATTCATTTTCTTTCTGCATCCATGGGTTCCTATCCAGACTCTTGCTCGAACAATCCCGCAAGCTTGCGACGTTGATTACATCGAGCACGCTATCTTCAATCATTCAACAGGATGGCCATCTCCATCCCAGCAAGATATAAAATGTCAACCGGAACATGGAAGCGATCTGCGGAAGCGGGATACGCTTAAAAGCCTAGATTCGTCACAATACATAGAAATGGGAGACTCTTCGGACCCAGAAATCTATCAGGAATATCGAGAGCTAGCTCTGAGAGGGTATCGACTTCGATTGATGTCAATACCGAAATTTGACACTTCTCGAACCGGTTCTTTGCTCATTAGCGATGCGGCTGCTAATTACAAACTCGAAATACAATCAGTTAGAAGCGACCCGGTCAAGAATGCAAAAGACATAATTGGCGGGGCGCCGTTTCTTGACGTGTTACTGGCGCTTGGTCGAAAGCCACCGAGGTCCCTACTCTCCATATTTGTTAAAAATCCCGTAGGCAAAAGGCCTGGGCAAGAAACCCTCCCTTATGGGTTCTCCCTTTCATCCGATCTTGGCTTGTTAGTGGTTCATTCTGCGTACAAAGAAAGGGATATGGGAAACCCGAGGGAAGAACTATTTTCAGAGATAATGTTTCGCGTGTGGTATGAAGAGGTCAGAGGATCAGTTGGAAATCCCAGTACCTTACGTGCAGATGGGTTAAAAAAGCTTGGGCGCCTCAAGTATATTATCCATGAAGATGTCGAGAATACACGCACACAAAAAGTTATAAATACAGTTGCAGAGTTTCTACCGGAAAAGATACGACAAGTGCAAGGTGATGAAGAGGTTGGGACCCAATCCGGATTTTTAATAGTGCTGGATGCCGTTTCGGACAATATTATAGAGCAAGAAGCTTTCAATGCTATTTTGGGTAGTGAAAATGGACGGGGTGTAGCATATCTTTTGAACCAACATTCACATGCTTTTGGTCGTAAAACGGTAGTTCAGATAAGGATATTCTTCTATGGGACTGGTGGAGATAACCCATGTATACTTTTCAGAGTTGCACGCCTGAGGCTACCACAGGATGATTGGAAACCTCCTCAGCTTCCATATGACCCGACTTGGCCCAGCCTACGTCCACATGTTGTAAGAGATTAAATTCGAATTGATTTATTTGGAAAGTATTGTTATCTAGTAGCTCTTTGCTAATTATTATCTTCATGTTTTCTCTAGCTGGATTCAGCTTGGGACTCTAGGAAGAATGAAAGGGGCGGAGATGGTGGATTCGGAACTGTAGAGAACAACTGGACACCTGAAAATATACATTCGAACTGGAACAGTAGCAAAGTTTTAGCTCACTCAAACGGACCTAAACGTACACGTAGTGACCTTTTGACGGGGCAGAATACACAACGTAGCGCCCCATTTCAACGGCTTCATAAAAGAGGGCCCGCAGGCGATGATATAAGACCCAATCCTCCCAAGGACATAAGATCTGGTGACTTAGCTGCCTACAATCTCGCCGCTAACTTAGGGGAGGACCTTCTCCGAATCGTTAGTCGACCGGATATATCGGAAAGAGGTTCAACAATCATCACAAAAGCGAACAATAACTACGAAATTAATTATAAGGACACAGAGCCCACTACACTTGATCGGAGGGGGCCTATTAGTTTTATGCTGGAATTTTATGTGACAGAAAGTCAAGACAGAGACCCGATGCTGCCTAGAATTTTTGATATAATATCGGTAGACAACATAAGGCCGACAGCGACACAACGGAGGCCGGGCGAGCATTTATATAACTTTGAAGTTTCAATTGAATCTCATATACTAATCATAAAAGCTATAAATCGCCAGGGCGATATGGGTTCACCAATTGAGAGCTCTATGAGTGAAATATGTTATCGAATATGGGTTGGAGCTCACGAGATATTCGAATGGGATTTGCGTCTGGCGGATATCGAAGACCCCTCGGTACCGATTTCGTTTGAACAAGCAGAGGATTTGAGACTTCTGTCTGTTGTCATCATCGAAAACCCACAAGACGCGAGTACTTTATCAGTTATCAACTCAGTTATCTCTACTTTCGCACAAGTTGAGAGTGGCACAGAGTCGACTATGCTTTGGATCGAGGATTTCTCTGCGGCGAGCCAAGAGTGGGCGCCGATGATTGATTTTACTGGCCGTGGCATGCAATTAAAGCCGTGGTCCGATTCTGAGCCTGAAGATAGGAGAGTTACTAAAGCATTTAATGCCCTTGTCGGATGTGAAAGCGGCAAGATAGTTGCCCAAATGCTTCAGGATCATTCCGAAGCCTTCGGCACAATACGAATTGAAGAAGTCGTATTGCTTTCCAGTATGGGTCCTGATGGAACTCTAGCCCATCACCTTCTGTACAAACTTGGAACTCTTGAACCTGTACAACGGGAAGATTATATACAGGGCCCCCAAAGAGACCACGATACGTACGGAGAACGTGTGGAGGCCGGAAGAAAGATGCGGACTGACACGAAGCCAAGCCGCCAGGAGGACCTTTCTAGTGCCGGTTCGGATTTAATCATGAGCAAAAAAAACGGGTATGAGCTGGAATATGAATTTGAAAGATGGTCGTTGAACCCGCAGGAAACGAGTTTCATCCCTTATTATCTCTTAACAGATAAGTCTCCTACGGTGGAGCGAAAAACGTGTGTTAAGTCTTTGGATGAAGGTACTCGTCCACTATGTGCGTATACTCTGACATATTCTCGTTTAGATGGGCTCCTAGTCATCAAAATGGCTTTTAAATCGTTTGATCGAGCCTACCCTAAAGAACAGAGATTTTCAGAGATACTATATCGTGTATGGTTCAATGAAGCCCACCGGCAACCCAGGGATCCGAAAGTCACAGTAACCAGCCTCAAATATATCGGAGCGGATACTATTATAAACTTGGAGTTCCTAGCAGTTGCTAGGTATATCTTCAAACTCCATGAAGGCTCTATACAGACTAAATTTATTCACGGGTCATACGGTTATGAATATATAATTCTCGAAGAGTCATCAGATGATGCTCAGATGCAGGCATCCTTTGATGCTTTACGAGCAACTGTTTTCGGACGAGCAATTTCCCGAATGTTATACGATCATTCAAACGCGCTAGGGGGGAAAAGAATTACTCAAGTCCTTGTTGCTCAGGTTAAGGGAAGTCCGGAGGATTGGGACGAAATAATGGGAGACAGCGAAGAGTTTTATCCCGTCGGTATGCCACCATTTTACGTCTTATTCAAGGTGGAGGCGCCCCGGACTGTTAGTGGACCAACTAAGGGCCGGGATAAAAGATCCGACAGCGGTGGCCGAGAGGCTATCCCACGGCGGGCGACATCGATAGGAAATGTTAACACAATAGGTGAGGTAGGAAACATCAAGAAAAGAGGTGTCTTCAAGGAGACTGGTGGCTGGTTTACTTTATATTCAGAATTTTTCGACATTTTCAATTTATATATAAAGACCACAGTACGTAGTCTTGTAGCCAAACTATGCAAGCTTTGGTTACTATAGCTATAGGTTTGTCTCGTACCCAGACCTGGAAGTATAGGTCTAGATACATCGAGTCGAGTCTACCCATAGTAGTATCGATACGTATGATATCTGTTCTGCAGGCCAACACAAAAATATAATTCAATTTGTGGTAAATTTGCATGGCTGATTTGCTCTATTTTTGTGTTCCAAGTCTGGTCGCGCTATCAAAATCGCTTGCATGCATAGATCTAGAAAGCATCGATGCGCATCGATATCCAGCCTCCACGAACATAAACATATATTTATGTATATAAGTATTCTGGTAGCAGGACTGTACTCGATTCCACCGTATGTATACCTGATGCTTGATATATGAAGAAACAATTGCTCCTCGACAGTACTTAAAAGCTTCAACATGTCTACTCAACCATCTCCAATCCTCCGAACAATTCTTACCGCGCTAAGGCGCCTATATCCTGAGCATCTTGCGGACAAAGCCTGGGACAATACCGGACTACTGCTCTCTCCGCCACCACTCACGCTATCCTCTTCAACTCTCAGGGCCCCGAGAATTTTGCTTACTGTCGATCTGACCACAGCGGTAGCTACCGAAGCCATCAGTCTTAATGCGGCGATGGTGGTCACATACCATCCCATAATCTTTCGCCCTTTAAAGTCTTTGACTACCGATAACACTCAACAAACAACTCTACTACGATTAGTACAAGCCGGGATTAGTGTGTACAGTCCGCATACTGCTGTTGATGCGGTTAGAGGAGGGGTAAATGATTGGCTGGCCAGTGGGATCTCGGGGGGTGAAGAGTACGAAGCTTCGAGAACGGCAATACAACCTTGTGCCTCTGCTCAAGGAACAGAACACGAAGGTGCTGGGTACGGTCGATTAGTGACACTAAAGGAGCCTACGGATATCAGAAGCATCGTTGAACGGGTCAAGAGTTTCCTGGGGATGAGTTATCTACAGGTTGCTCTGGCTAAGCGTCATACGGCTACACCGACGGAACGGGATATAAGAACAATTGGGATATGTGCTGGATCTGGGGGAAGCGTTTTCCGAGATGTTAAAGCCGACTTGCTTTTCACCGGTGAGATGAGCCACCATGAAGCACTTGCTGCTAAGGAAAGTGGAACTAGTATCGTTGCTTGTTTCCATTCGAATACCGAGAGGGGCTATCTTCCATTTATGAGACAGAAGCTTCTAGAAACATTGCCTAGAGCTTGGGAAGAAACAGTGGAGGAGGAAGGTAGTGACGAAATGCTGGATGTCGAAGGGTGGGAAGTTCACATAAGTGGAGTTGACCGTGATCCCTATGATATCGTCTAGAGATCTAAATATGCCTCATACTCAGACCTTGGTGGGCATAAACGCCTTGAGAAGCTTCGAAGGAAAAGCTCATTGAAGCTGAAGCTTAACCAGTTTAGTGTCGAGACCGTATTGAAGCTTGAATGAACATCACTATTAATTAATTTCACCAAGGTTGCAACTCAGACTCTTCTATTCATCAACCCCTGTTCTTCTATTCATCACCTCCTACTCTTCATCTCGTCAACTCATACCCTTCTATACAACTCAGGCCCTTCTATTCATCAACTCATACGTATACTCTTCCATCCAACTCAAGCCCTTCTATTCATCAACTCATCTTCTTCGAATTCTATTCAACCCAGAGTTCTACTAAACCTAATCTTCATATGCATTATCATAACTCTAACCAAATTAAAATAATCCTAATATATTAAGTATCTATTGATTCCGCACCCTTCACTCCTTTCTATAAAGGTCTTGAGGTTCTTCTCCTTTCCTTCCTTCCTACAAATCCTTGCTCATCTAAGTATACATTATTTGATTCCTACTTCTTGCTCCATATTTTCAAACACCGGAAAAAGTCTCGAAAACTTCTAGAACATAGCTTAAGATCTCGAGATTTCACGATGGCAACAGTCAACGTCAACCTCGAGGGTGTCGTATACACGAACCTCGAGACTCCAACGCCTCTGATCCCGAATTACGCCTACCCTCAATTCAAACAAGAGGCTAAACCAGAAAACACCGCTAAGAATGTCGTGGGTACGTTAGTCGGAAGACAACAAGGCCAAGGAGCTGAAATTAAGTTCCCGAACGAGGCGATCGAGAATAACAGTGAGACTCCAACCTCGACAACCTCGACGCACACATTTAGCATTGTCACCAGAGGTTTCGTTGTTGCTACTTTCACGGCTGTCGGAACTGTCGTCAGTCCTCCACGTGGTGTTCCACAACCTTCTCATATCCTGCCTCCATGGGAAATCATCTTGATCTTCCTTTCGTCAGCTTTCGTTTGCTTCATACTTTTCCGGGCTTTATATCATAGCCGACGCTTGGAGATGATGATTCAAAAGGAGGACGATGCAAATGGAATTGTTCATCCCATTATTGGCAATGACGAAACTAGCAACGGCCAGTACGAAAATACAGTAGAAATGAAGAATGTCTCGGTCGATATTCCTTCCACGGATAAAACTAGGACACATTCTGTGGCTCCAAAACTGACAACAAAATACATCCCAAAGGACACCAAGGCTGAAAGTGACAAAGGTGATGTAAAGCTCCTAAAGAGTCACAAAAATTGAACCGTCTGTCGATATCAGCCTAGAGCTTCATTGCTACTTATACGAAAATAATCGAATGGTGAGTTCCTTTCTCGTTATTTAATACCCTTGGGGATATATATTGACGGATATATAGAAACTTGTTATGCACCAAAAATTCCGACCAAACTTTATGGAAACTACAAACCCTTTCCGATAGGTAAATCCCCGTTGAGTTTTCATATTTTTAATGCAGAATCTAATACGATATTTGTCTTGAAGCAGTATCCTCTTTTTTCTTCGACTAATAACTCCTATAATCTTGACCCAGTAGTCATAACTGTGTCCCTCCTGTTCCTACCATCCAATACAAAACTCACTATAGGACCCCCACTCCAGGTGCTTTGACTTCCCTCGTCTCCACCTGCCCTAGAAATTCCATTAACTTCGTATCCATTATCAAAGTTTCTCCCTTGTAGTTCCGCAAGTCTTGCCAAAGCTCTTTTCCTTCTCCTTCTATTCCGAACTTTGTGTATTGTTATAGTCGTAATACATATAACTGCTGAAATTCCACCAATAGTACCCCCAATAATTGCCGCCGCCGGTTTTCGTTCGCTCGGGAAGGGTGGCACGGTTCCTGTATTTGTTGCAGGGAGTGTTGTGCTCACAGCGGTAGCAGCGGCGCCATGATTTGCAGTGGCTGTGGTTGTAGCCATCGAACTTGCAACTGAAACGGTGCTACTTAGTAGCCTTGATGATGATACCGTGTTTACTAGTTGTACTAGTGACGTTGGGGTGTCCACTTGATTTATAGTCATTCCGGAATTGGACTTCGAGCAATAGGAGTCCCCGAAGAATGGATTATCCCTATCTGTCCCCTGAAACCCCTTAGGACAGCTTTTATCGACACAATCATTGAGTATTTTCAAGTTAGTAGAGTTGTTGCAATAGCAGGTTTCTGCCTCGCAACCTGTTAAAATTCGTACGTCGGAGGAAGACAAGCATCTTAAGGCACAAGTGGCTAGACTTCCTGATTGCGGCGTCGGCATACATGAACTTATTAGAAGGCTTATTAGGAAGGTAGTCTTAAGGGATATAAGACCCAGGAGGAATTTGGTGCCATTCATAATAAAAGGTAGTGCCAGAGACGTGATTATCTTATAACTTGAAAGGCTAAAGGCGGTTGGGAGGTATATTCAGAATTACTCTTATCGAAAGGGATCAGCTCCCGCCATATATCCCACGAGGCTGCGACGCGCGAGCACGTTCAAAGTGTACTCCAAATGTACGATAGGAAGGGGTGAAATCGGTTTAACTGTAACGATAAGTGTATAAATAGTATATAAGAGCTATAGCGCTACTAGTTATGATATATTTTTCCAAGGAGCTCCCCCGAATTCGCGAAGGTCTCGAACCCTTCTCCACAGTTCCAAAGCTCGTAGTACGCATACGACGAAACCTTCATAGTGCAATACCGTACAGCGATTATAGTACGTGCCATCCTAACAAAGCATGTGAAGCTTGTTTCTACTTCCTGCAATGCAATGCAAATCATATGGTTCTCACGGCCGCCCGTCTAAAACTAGACTAGGTTCTCATTATTTATGGAATGCTGTCCTTTCCATGGCCCAGTTATTAATACAGTACAAACTATGTGTGACCATTCATGGGAGTTTACTAGTAGCCCCACCCACAACTGCAGCTTGAATTCAAGGTACACGAAGATATTCAGTACAAATAGAGACTCTATGCCTATATTATAGTTTCATAGATACCTTTAATGGCAAAGGTACTCCATGCATGAAGGGTCGTTGCCCTTTAAAGTTCTGAGATACTATGTAACTACCCTGCAATCAGCTTATAATATATCGGTGGCCAAATATTCACACGCTTTGAGTTATATTCTGTATTTCGGGTTGCACAGATACAAAGTTTTATGATATCATTCGATAATCGTCGTAAAATTGTACGAGGTTGTATCCATGGTGCTTTGGAGGCTATCAAAACGCCATGTACCTTGGTATCGCTCCCAGATTTATAAATTTACCCGTTGTTCCGACCAGCTAGAAGATTTGGCCCCAAAGCAGCTGCACCGGACTTTTGATTCCTTAAAAAGTGCTATATTCAGTTTCATATAGAATGGAGAAAAAACATATCGAAATCCAGGACTGCAAAAAATTACTCAATTACTTAATCCTGGTTAGCTACCATGGTATATGGAGGCTTATATTCCGCTAATATCACTATTTTGGCGGTATATACTTATCCAACGAGCGAATTTACCCAAAGAAGTGATTTTAATCGCGTAGAAGGCAAATATTCCAAAGCTACATTTTAATTTTGTTCAACCTGATTTCTGAAATCCAAGAAAAAGTTAAGTAACGTTACAACAGAAAAACTCCAAAGGATGCCTAGCCCATAAAGAAACGTACAATTCAAAATAAGAGCGCAATACTGAGAAAATAGATTCGGATAAGGTTATCACAAATCTAAAAACTTGTTTCAATCGTGGACACGTAAATTCAATATTCGTCAGCAAACCGTTCTAACCCTCTATAATCCCTTTCCCAATCACAATTGCTATTTTTCAAGTTTCCTCGAAAGAAATGCAGTGTTTACAAGATAAGGGCCCCAACGGCTATGAGAAGGGCAGAGACGGCAAAGCCAGCCTGGAAACTTTTCACTGCGGCGGAATTCGTGGCACCCTCTGGCTTAGCTTCGGTACCTTTACTACTCTCCGACGTAGACTTTTCGCTTGTTGCCTTGTTATCAGTCTCAGCCTTCTCGGCTCCCGCGGTTGATTCGGCAACTGTGACCTTTTCTTCTCTCTTGGGGAATTTGCTAGTATCAATCTTTGGGCAGGCGTCTTTGAGAGTGATCATCTCAATCTTTGGATCTTCACCAGCCTTGAGTCCCTTCTTATCATCGAGCTTTCTGATATACTTTTTAGGTGCGGAAAGGTAAGCGAATTGTGCACCGCAGGTTTGGTCCTTGCAGAAATCATCTGGATCTGAAGTAGCGAATAGATCCGGAAGATGGTTATTCTCTGCAGCGATGATTGCTTCCCATTGAAGGACACACCACTTGCTACCGCCGTTTTGTGGCTTGCCACTGATAGTACAAACTTTTTGTTAGTGACTCTTCCAGAAATGCTAAAAGAAATAGCCGTCACAGATAATCTTACAGATCCGTAAGACACTTGTCCCAATAAACCTCATTGATGAAGAATTGCTGTAAATCAGCGGTCTTGTATCCAGCATCTGTCGTTGTGCTATTCGACAGCTTGAGGAATTTCAAGAACTTCTCCGGTCCACAGTCGCTGGTACCACGAATCCATTTTCTCAAGCTGTCAAGGCAAGTGCTTGTGCAGACTTCTTTGAGTTGATCTTCAGTAGGTACTTCGTTCGGGTCACCTAGTGTGATCAAGTGCATAATTTCTGGGACACATTCGACGTGGCGCTCCTTGTAGGCCTTGATACAGGCTTCCTCTTTGGAGCCGCTTGGCATCTTAGGGACCAACTTTCCAGGATTCAGGTCCATAGTAAAGCCAGGAGCCTCGTCGGCAATAGCAAGTAACGGCAGAAGCGCCAAAAGAGCAGAAGCCTTAATAGCGACCATTGTGAATGAACGTGTTGGTTTTGTTGTAAAATGAGTGTGATGCAGAGAGTGGATTTGGGAAGCTTTCAAAGCCTCAACCAACTGGCAAATTGCAAGACCAAGCGTAGAGAAGTGATTGAAGGAACGAATGAATGAAAGTCGAAAAAATAAAAACAGAGAGAAATTGCCAATGGGGAAAAATCTTACGATATAAACCCTTTAGTTTTTCTTTTCTTCTCCATGATCTCAAGAGGGATAGCGGTGGCTGTTATATACATTTTTGCTTTGAAATGTTTGACACCTCCACAGTTTCGTCTGAACCTAACCAAGTTGGTTGTAACGGGAGGAACACCCCACATTTGGCACCTGGAGACGTTGAAGCTACCAGAGCCGTTGATGTTCTTGGATAGCTGACTGCAAAAGTGGGTATTATGTCGTATTCAGATAACAAGACTTCGCTCCGAAGTGTCTTGAGCGGTTGCACATGGCATTTAGACTTAAGCGCGGGAACACTTCGTTTAACGAGAAAGACCGTAAGGTGACAATGGTTTTTTAAACTAGCGGTCGCATATTCCCGCAAGTTTGCGGCCTGTAGACTCTATTCGAAAGCTTGATTTAAGTACCAGCTGGATGCTAAGATCCTTGAGTAAATTTAGGCTTGCATTAAGCGAAATGCATGGATCGTTATGACCACAGATGGAACTTTGCAGTACTAGTTTCGGCATTACAGTGATATGATTCCTCTCATATTGGGAAACCAACGGTTTTAGTATTTTTCTATATTATCCAAGTCAAGATATTCACCTATCCGCTAGTCCACATGTCTTGGCCATCTTGGCAAGGTTCACCGACAAGTCGGGAGTGTTCCCGAGCGAGGATCATTCTTACCGATTTTCCAGTCGTCGATGTTACGTAGACCTCTTTACGACTTCTTCAAATTTCAGGCCGAAGCGAAACACGACTATTTGGTGTTTATATCGGCACCCCAGCTCCGAGCCATGCTCCTATGTATCTTCAAGAAATCTTCATTTGGGATTTAGTTAGGATCGTTGTGGCAGCTAGCGCTAGGAAAGTCATAGCCTCTTTAAGCTTTGGCTAGCGAAAGCTTGATTTCTGTAGCTAAGGAACAGATTATGATTCTATAGCATTCAACCAGCTATTCAATAGGTCTATGGCCGATAAACGAGACTAGCTGACCAGACTAATCGCGATCCCAAAAAATTAAAGAGCTCAAGGATAGATTTTTAAAATTCACGGACTCACGGTAGGGCTTATTGATATCAGCATACCTTCTAGGCCTCTTTGCATTGCCCACAATCATAAGCCATTAGCTCCTCCACTTTCGAATTCTTAAGAAAATCCATAAGCCATGGGTGTGTGCGGTATACGGGAGGCAGTTATAGAAATATCAAGATGGACTTTATAAGCTTTAATTTAACTGTCAGGTTTTTGTAAACTATTCGAGCTAAAATAGCTTGGAATGTTGCATTTTAGCCCGCGCAACGCGGCTTTAGCACGTGGGAGCGATTCGTCGGGATCTCCTATACATAGAAATCTTCCACTATTGTGACTCTATCTGTAAGTTAAAATCGCAATCATCGCCACTATCATTCCCGAATATAGGCTGAAACGTTACAAGCCTAATTTAATTACTTTCTCTTCAGCCGGCCGACCAATCTTTAAAGGGCGCATCACTTAGGTTAACGATCCCAATATACATGTATCCTCCTCAAATACAAATCTTGCAAAGAAGTTCCTTAATCAAGACTCGACATCACTCAGATTCGATGAATTCGAACAACCACAATATCTCTACCCTTAAAAAAACGTAGCACGTTATCAAATCAGTCTTTAATTCAGCACTTCAGATGTTTGCGCCCCATACATCGCATCATTGGGGCGGTGGGCTCAACTCCAACGGACGTAACCCTAATGACTTAGCGTTGACTCTCCGTCGAGCCAACCACTGGAATAGGTACCGCCAAGGATTTCGAAATAACTTTGGAGTTGATGGTATCGGAGAAGATTCTTCGATTTTGGGCCCCATAAACGGAGATCTAGATGGCACGATAGATGTGCCGGGTGTCGGTGATATCGAACCCCCATGGGAAGACGAAGATGTTTTCCGTTCCGAGTTTCTGGACAACCTCAAAGCACGCTACGCTGCCTCTCGTCAGGGACTCTTTGATTCTTGGGAGTCAGCTTCAGGAAATATTGGCACTAGCGATGGGCCTTGGGATGTACCAGGTTGGGATCTCCCTCAGCCTCCTCGGAGATACACCGGACGTTGTCAGTTCAATGCTGGGAATAGTCGCTGTTTTGATAATGTTCGTAATGAGTTCTCTCCATACTGCGACTTCCACTACTTCACAGTATCCGGGGATGGAATTTTTAGCGCTACTCCGCCTCCTCGACCCCGAACTCGATTCAATCCAAGGCTAAATACTCGAAACTATACTCCTTCGCCTGACTTTTTACTATGGGCAACAGATCGCGAGCTACGCTCCTCCGCCTACCGTGCTGCTGTTGAGGATCTCCGAAATATCCGCCAAATACAGAATTCTTGGGAAAGCCTAAATGGAAGACCTTCAACTTTCAACAATTCGTCGCTCTTACCACACGATCCAATAATTGGAGCAGGGCCAGACGGACCCGGGCTCACTAGTCGGCAAGCAGCAGAAATTTACATTCGCGAAATCGATGTCGATAATAAACCTTTCTTCTTGAAATGCAGCGTATGTCTGCAACTTTACAACGACCCCGTCTACTTTTGGCATTTAGAAACAAATCAACTATGCATATGCTGTCGCGGGTGTGTACCATCCTATACCCCACCAGCTTATCCCGGTTCTGTTGCTCCGCCACAATGGCGAGCAAGTTTATTCCCCCGACGTTTCCCAAGGCCGCGTCAAACTGCATCTGGGAGCTCAACTCTATACCCTGCGACCAAAATCAACGTGCTGCGTTCATTATTCGAGAGACACTACTACGCCATGATGACAACTGAAGCACCCCATCAGATCTGTCACTTCTGTAAAAATCCCATGGTTAATCCAGTAGTCACCTGCAAAGACGTGCCGCCGATGTACTGGATTCTGACGCATGGTTCTACCCCAGCATTCCCACCTGTGAAACACGCCTTTTGTGCTGGGTGTTTGGATAACTATAGGTTTAAGGGAGGGGCTCACTTTGCAAGATGCCCATTCACGGATGCGTGCTGGGGTGCAGCGGAGAACTTTCTTGTTGATGAGGGTTATATTAGAGAGGCACAGACCATAGCGGGGAGAGCGTGGGAGAAGACATTACAGATGGCTTCGTAATAGTCAATACGAACGAGGCTATTGAGTGAGTCGAACTATTACTATCTGGTGCCAATTAAAGCATACAGGATTAAAGTTGTGGAATAGGCATTCGAGTTGTCTTGTTTCGGTTGTTTAAATTCGCCTGACTTCGAATTCAGTTTTCTAGAGTAGTGGTTTCTGGACGCCCTGTTAGATCCGAGGCTATCATGATACAATGCACGGCATCATCCTTTTAGGAAAAACTGTAGACTATACGTATATAAAAGCATGCACCATTCGTTCATCACCGATCTAAATCCCGAAAGCTCGTAACCCAAATCATACGCGAGCTTTAGTCTATAGCCACACACCAAAAAAAGCTTATGTATCAAATAAATACGGTTTTATTGACCTTTTTATTCATATTTCGTCACTTCCCAGATATATCTCTGGCTTCTCGTCAATTTGATGGATGCCATGTAAAACGACAATAATATACACCCCAGTCTAGTAAAACATAACTCCAAAAATGCTTCGCACATGATTTCTTACATCCCGGCCCCCCAACCTCTCTCGGTTAGGTTCTTCCTTCTATTATCACCTCGCACTCTATTACTCTCCCGCTCATCTACCTTCGCTACTGCCTGTTTGAAAGCGTCAGTCTCCAAATCACGAGATTTCTAGCCTCGAGCTTTTTTAACCGCGTCGCTCTTCAATTTCCTCATAAACTTATTCTGTTGGCCGGGTGGAACCTTCATCCTCCTATTCGCACTAGCGTTTTGCTCCATATACGCCATAGTATCGCCACCCGAAAGGCCAGAGAGTTTAGCATTGTTTCGCTTGACCAACGGGCCAGACCGCTTATAGTCTCCACGCGTACGATCGAAGAAACCGCCATCAGTCTCTTTTTCTATAGAATTGACATCCGCGTTCTGGCTGTTTTCCAAGAGTACGGATTGAAGCAACTCCCTTCTTTCCGCCGGTGTGGCATACGCCAGGCCTGGGAGATTTTCTATTCCCTGAAGGTGCGTAATAACCTTGAATGCATACCCTTGGTCGACCAAAAATGCCTGTCGTTTCGATGAATAGTACATTTCAGCGGTATCCTTGCTCACTAAAGAGTAGAAGAATGCATTGAATCCTTCATCGTTTCTTCTCTTAGCTCTCAAAATTCTACCAAGGCGCTGTGCTTCCTGTCTTCGAGAACCGTAGTGAGATGAAACTTGAATCAAACACGTCGCTTCGGGGAGATCGAGACTGGTGTCTCCAATTTTCGAAAGGAAAACTGTGTTGATGAGTTCGTTACGCTGGAAGTTTTGAAGAATCTTGAGACGTTCTTGCTGTGGGGTCCCGCCGTAAATATAGGGTTTATTGAGTTTGCGGGCATAAGCCGCAAGAGCAAAAACGTTGTCGGAAAAGACGATGACCTTATCTCCACGTTTTTCATGATAGTCGATAAGGAATTGACAAGCCTGAAATCTAAACCTTCGTTAGTACGGAATGCAAAGGGCATAGGATAAATGGGAAGCATACTTCCTAGGGTTCATGATGTAGAAGAGGGCACGTTTTCTCGGGGTTTCGTTGAGGTATTCTTGATAAAACTCCGTCGTCATTGGGCACCAAACCTCGGCGCACTGAACCCTTGCAATATGTCCCTGTTCCGAGAGTTCCATCCAATTGGCTTCGTAGAGTTTTGGCCCAATCAAAAAGTTTAGATCCTGGATCTTGTCGTCTTCACGGAGTAAAGTGGCTGTAAGTCCGAGTTTTGCATGAGTTGCGATAGAATGGATGACTTTTCGGAAAATGTTGGCGGGGACGACATGCACCTCATCGAGAAGGAGGAGACCCCATTCTCTGCCCATCAGGAAATCCATCATCTTCTGAGAGTCATGAGAGCGTGTCCGAGAGTTCGTCACCATGGAGTATGTGGTGACAATAATACCAGCATCTCCTCGGAACCGTTCTTTGTTTTCAGCCGTGAAAATGGCGATCTGATCAGGGTTGATTGTGCTCCATTTCAAAAATTCATTTCTCCACTGGACGACAGACATACTAGATGATTGTTAGCCTTTGATATGCTGGCGGTATGGATAAGTGAGGTCTTACGAGGATGTGCATAAAACCACCACACTCTTCTTAATCGTACATGCCGCCGTAATCCCCACCAACGTCTTACCCGCGCCGCAAGGCAAAACAATGATGCCGCTCTTCGCTCTTCCGTTACCAAACATTTTACTCAGACTCTTCTCCTGATAGTGTCTAATTTGAGCTTGCGGCCTTAAATCCATATCAAGGTTTGCATTTCGGGAGTCATTTCTGAAATCATATTCTTCGAGTAGAGGGTACCCGAGTGTCAGACATTGCTTTTGTACCTTTTCAACACCTTCGGCACAAACTTCGAACGAATGAACCGCCTCGGCTTCCTCATCGTCGTCGTCGTCTTCCTCGCCCTCCTTAAGAGCAGTGACGGAAGCAAAAAGTTCTTCAGCAGTCTCGGGCTTTTGTTCCTCGTTCTCTCCTCCATTGGGCTGCACAACTTGTTGTCCTTGTGCAACTCCGGCTGCGATCTTGGTACCTGGAATTACGAGTGCCCCCATTTTCGGAGCACTTTCTTTCGTTATACCATCGCCGTCGCCAACATCAGTGAATACTCTTTGTTCACTGATGACTTGGTCCCTTAATAGAATCTGAAGCATCTTCATGTCTGATGATTCCAGAAAGTACCGATTATGCTTTAGGACAAGCTTAACCTTTCCATATGACCCGGTACAGCCATTGATGAATTGGACGATTTCATCGGGAATAGGGATTTTGGAGAAACGATCAAGGACGGCAACTATATCCTTAGGGTCAAGCCCAACAGAGACCTAGGGACAAAACATCAGAACAAATTTAGGTCACAACCAGCTATAGGCTAGCTTACAGCAGCATAGAGCGAGTGTGGCGTAATTCGATATTCGTGAAGATACGTGGGGCGCGAAAGCGGTTCAGCGATGGCGGTCAGAAAATCCTGGGCAGCGGGAGCCAACGGCGAGAAGCTCTCAAGGATAATCTTTCCGTTTCGTGGATTGATCCACATCGGTCGGCTCTCATGGTCCGGTTTCATCTTTAAGAAGCTCAATTCATCACGTTTAAAGAGGCGTGATACCGTATCACTCGTCGGCACCTCTGACCGTTCGCGAGCGCCAGTGAAGGAGAACTTGTCCAGGACACCTATATAGGACATAAACCATCAGGCCTATCCTTTCAACTTGAAAATATCGCGTATCGCGTAAAAGACTGCATACGAGAGATAGCTCCCTGTTCTTCCTCATCTGGAACTTCCTCTTCGAGGTCATCGTCATCCTCGTCGCTCGAGACATCAGGCTTCGCTCGTTTTGGCCCCGGCGCGGGTTTCGCGAGTTCGGCTAGATAGCAAGTCACATCGCTTCGTTAGCTCCAAGATGTCCTGAGGAAAGGAGGAAGAAGCTTCGGGTCATGGTAGACGCGTACTGATTGAGCCTTTACGCTTAGTCGCCATCGTTGCTTACAAACTCTTGAGGTTCTTAGGACAGGCCGATGGCGATGGTGAAAGTGGGTAGAAGCTTTAGCCGTTGCTGGGAGGATCCGTTGCTTAACTACAGAGCGTGGCGGTAATTAGTCAGGATCCGCACAGCCACAAATGCGCGTTGTGTGGCTTGTGCGATAGCTGTGGTGGCCTGACATCACTGCGCTGCTTTTCCGTGAATTAAATTCCAGCCCGGTTCAACGGGCCAACTCCGATAGTGTTCCACACTCTTGTAAAAATGTACATTTCGTGATACAATCGACACTCTCTTCAAAATGAATACAGTAAGTTCCATCCAGCGTGCTCCTAATATAAGTATCATGTTAACTTTTGGTTAGGTAAAATCTTTCTGGTACGCCTGTTCAGGTTCAGATGCAAATCCGGATCACCGGCTTCGATTGAATACTAACAAGCCTTACCCATATCTAGGGTTGGCTGGGGCTCATTAATAGTTGGTATGAACGTGCCTGATAACTCCCTAAATTTAAAATGATCATACTGATATTTCTATGTAGGTGGCGGAGCGGCCTACTATTTTGCCAAACAGTCCATTGACGCCGACAGACGAGAGAAGCACATGCAACGTATCATGCTCAAGAAACGTCAGTACCTTCTAAAGGCAGTTTATATTTCTCCTACCATACTCTGACCATCAGGAATCATGCTTATAGGCAACGAAGAACTCGAAAATTCTGGGCATCCGATTCCCACACAAAGCGAAAGCCCTCGCGATCATCTCGCAGCCCAGTTATCGGAATTACAAGAACCGGCACCGACAAGACATACGCCAGATAATGAAGAAGAAAGGGTGACATCGAAAAGTAAATTCGAGGCCACCCAGCCATACAAAGCAAGAAGAGGTGACAGATTTAGCTGAGTTGGCCTCCGACAATCCGAATCGCGGTTCGGAATTGTTTAGGAACTGAGATGAAATATGATAATGGGAGTAGTTTGGATTCAGGGACTTTATTTGCTTTACAATAGACTTAGTGGCAGCACAAAATTGTACATTTACGAGAACTGACGCTACTCGACCTTATACAGTCATCAAACTTTGTTCTTCGACAAAGAACACATTAAATATATATAACTTAGACCGTTCTTATTATACAAAAAACCTCACGCCATGAACGCCAATAGACAGACCGAAGACCACAGGGACTGACGAAAATAAAACAAAAAAATCGTGTGAACCCGAGCACCCCAACCAACGAGACAGGATGCGAAGAATTGAAACGCCTGTCGGTCACGGCCATATGAACTTCTCCAAATTTGCTTCCGACGCTCGAGATCTACCTCGAACAGCAGTGCCCGGCAAAGTCACCCAAAGTGCTTCCCGATTCTGGTGCATCGCTCCTTCCTGCAACAGCAGGAGCCACAAATGGTACAGTCAACCCACCCAGAAGGTAACCGTACATTATGATCGTGGAAGTAGATAGTCTTGCAACTGGTCGATAGCCATGTGTGGCATATTGTGAGAATTGGCGAACAAAATGTGCGGCAACCATTTTGGATTTCGTTAGGGGTTGGTTTCTAGTGAACTAGCACTGAAAATTCGACGGAAATTCGAAGTATATAGACAGAGGATTGTAAGGGGAGAGTATGGAATTTATGCCGGTAAGGAAGAAGTTTTCGTCTAGAGGAAAATCTAGGACTTTTTTGAAGACGGTGACAATATCGATTGTTTTTAAGAGCTGATATTCTTGATACCGGAGTCTGCGCAAGCGCACGTATCGATTTTGGGAGAGAAGGATAGGGTATATATAGTTTCTGAAATTTCGAAGGACGGAGTGGAGATATTCTCGGGGTTTAGTCAGAGCCTTTGGGTATTTACAACCGGCGAAAGTGGAGATTCCAAAAATCTACAAATAAAACTGAGGAGAGCTGATGGCTCCGTAAAAAGGGCAGTTCTCGACGTTTTATATATTCAGCTATCGCTTTCGCAAGCTCATATGCACGCCATGCATGCTTAAATTGGGACCCTTGTATCTAACGCTAGACCACTCAGGCCATTAACGAATGACTGTGAGTGACCACTTCTCGAGAAAATATCGCTCTTCTCGGCGGACGGTTGGTCTGTAAGACAGAAGACCAGCTGGGGTTCGGTTTAGCTCGCATCCCCAATTGATAACCAAAGTTTTTCTATCGAATTCGAAAGTAACCTTTTGCAATCCATTGCCATTTGTAATAATTATAAACGACACGGTACGGTACATCGTAGCTTCGGATACCCCTGTCACCCGAGTCCACCCAATCGATCACATAATATTGGACCCATTTGGCGAGCTTTCATTCAAATAGATTTCTCAGCGATTTAGCTGTCAAAACCTGGGGTTCGGATATTTAGTAGTCAACGGTGGCTTTTTCTTTCTCCCTTCCAAGCCATGCCTGGATAATAGCCTGTGGTTCAACAGAGAAGGATCAGGCCACAATCAGGAATAACTTTGCGTGTTGGAAAGGATCCATGGCATGGTGGGAACACCTGCCAAAGCAAGTCACTGCCCTGTGATTGTGCTCAAACATGCAAATCCAACATGATCTTGACATGTTAAAATTGCATTATCAGTCGAAGGTCTCAAATCTTAGGCTTGAGTCAGAGCTAGGGTAGCTTCGATAACCAAATAGCTGACAAACTGCTGCTTCCTGATTGGTTCGAGATGGCTCTCAGCTTCGAAGCAATTGACAACTGATCATAGCTGGAGATATCCCATTCGTCGGATCGGATTCGGAAAGGCTCGAGACTAAGGCCCTCGTGTCAAATGCAATATGGCACAGATATGCATACCCGAATGCGATGCGTTCCTGCAAATCTATTTATCTAGGCACCGGCTGAACTTCGCTTCAAGCAGCTGCAGCCACTTCAGCTACCAAAGAAACCTTATCGTTGCCACAGGCAGTGGCGGTGCGAAAGCTCAATAGTTGTTGGAATGTATATAGGTCGTTTTAGTCAAAACCTCAAAATCAATTGCAATTTGATATGCACAACAGCGTCACTATTGATTGCTAGCACACTATGTTAGTCAGGTCGATTCGATGGATTCGTCGTGTATCTTGCCGCTATACGTACACATTTTGCCCAGTCTTGCCCAGGTTTTCCACCGCAAGTATTTACTCGAATATCAATCCAAACCCGAGAAAGGCTTCTCTTTATAGCTGCCCGAGCCGCCAGTTAAGGACGGCACAAAACCCGAGATAACTCTTTCCTCCTCGCAAGATTTTTTTGCTGCAATCGCATCGGATGGCCACAATTGCGTCTTAATATTTGTTCTTTTAAGATGCAACAATGTCAACACTAACCTGACAGCTCTATCACATATGCGCGCATAAAAGACTAGTCAGTCCATTATGGTTCTTATTCATGGTAACAGTCGGAGAAGTCCTATGCAATCGTAATGAAAAGCACTAAATTGGATTAAATTAGCTATGGCTCCCGTGCACAGCCCCCCGTCAACGTGGTTCCTCTTCTGTAGAAATAGTTTTGCTTTGTCCAAAAAGCTCGTTGATATATAAGACAATCCACCTTTTGCCGAGTCTCTTTTTGAATCTGGTAGCTCTTTTATCCTGGTTGCGTATCTTTTCTGGATCCTGGATTGCGTGGCCGTCCGCGTTCGCCCTACAGCGTTGCTCCTAACCTTCGTCACTCCTTTGTATCATATTGATTAATATTTTCAACGTCAAACCCGGACGGGATTGAGTGCCGATCCTTTTCAGTAGCTTACAGACGTCATTTCGCGTACCAAGATGCAATTACTAGTAACATTAACAAGTGCCATCGGCTTGGCCAGGTTAGCCAATCCCACTAGCTTCAGCTATCATCACCCGAAATCCGAGAAGATGCATATATATATACCATTAGTTCACTATTGATCATTTAACGCAGGATATTACTGACTCTCCATGCTCTTCAAGTACCGCATTAGCTTTATCTATCCCTGGTGCCGACATTCCGGACGTCCCTGGTTCCCTCGCCAGACGAGCTGTTGCGAATTGCCAATTCACATACACGGTTACAGAGACCTACGCTAAGTCTGGCGCTGCAGCTACTAAAACAGTTTTCAAGCACGTGGAATCTAAGCCAACTGCGGTGAACTGCGGTGCACAGTCTACCTGCAGTGTTGTAGTCAAGACGTCAACACGAGGGACTGTAAGTAAAGTTATTTCTGTTTTCAAAATCTTCTATCATCGTGGCGCAGAACGGCTATATATATTACAATCAATGTAAACTTGGAATACGCAGAAATTGGCTAACTACTAATGATTCTACAACCTTAAACAGCCCGTCAGAGTGGTTTATGGAAAGACCACAACGGTGGACCTACCATATTGCTCTCAACCCCCGGCTGCGCCAGAGGAAGAAGAGGAGGAGGAGGAGGAGGAGGAGGAGGAGGAAGAGGATGAATGATAGCACCTGTTAATCATCATTTTCAAGAGATTCTGTAAAATAGAACGGCGCATTAAAGTCAATTCTGATGCGAGAATGAAAGTCTAAGGGATAGGCCAGTACCATTGTTCTCCGTTGTAGTCGTAGTACTAAATAAATTGATCCTCCTAGAACTCTACACCCTACACCCCTTTTCCACTGTAGACTTTTGATCCCAATCATCCAAAAAAGCGGCACTATTTACCAGCTTATCAGCTTAAACAACCCCCATGCTATTTATCGTGACGAATAACTCCTCTTCTAAAACTTTTACGGAGATTAATTATTTGTGACGATTAAGTTTAATTGAATTCAAGATATCTGAATATTGATACCTTTCTAGATTCCACTAGTGAGGAGGTGGTACCTACACTACAAAGACTAAACTAGATAGGTAAGATAGTGACAATCACGAAATTAGGTAAGGGAAATTATAGGAGGGGTCTCGGGCTCCTCATCAGGCTCCGTCGTAGTTGATTGAGGCGCTGGTGTGGTGGTAGTTGACCCTTCGGATTCTATTGTAGAAGATGGCGGCACCGTTGTAGGAGATTCAGGCTCTTCACTTGCGGTAGATGATGGCACCGTTGAAGTAGGTTCAGGCTCTTCACTTGCGGTAGATGATGGCACCGTTGAAGTAGGTTCAGGCTCTTCACTTGCGGTAGATGATGGCACCGTTGTAGTAGGTTCAGGCTCTTCACTTGCGGTAGATGGTGACACCGTTGAAGTAGGTTCAGGCTCTTCACTTGTGGTAGATGATGGCGCCGTTGTGGTGGTCTCGGACTCCTCGGGCTCTGTTGTAGAGGATGGGGGCGCCGCTGTAGTAGTACTAGTATCAGACTCAGACTCTGTGGTAGCAGTAGTAGTCTCTGACAGAGATGTAGTTGTAGCTGTTGGTCCACTCGATGTCGTCGTCGTATTACTCGGAAGGTTGGTAACGTCAATATTGTTCAACAGTGCTCCGGCGATGTTGATTCCAGCTTCAATGAATTCTGCCAATGCCTCTGCGTTCGGGAGGATGCCAAACTTAGGTGTCTCGTCTGCTCGCCTTTGAAGTTTACGTCTCATTCGACGGGTACCACCTCCAAGAATAGCCCATACAGGGTAATCTCCCGTTGGAATGCTACATTTAAGTTCAGAGGTTCCAGTGCGTGCACACTTCATTGGCGCCTTTCCCGCTATAGATTCTTGTTGACTATCGAAGAAGGCGCAAGTAAACGCCACCGGAGTACCAGCCATATCACAGTGAATTATTTTTCCAGTGGCAACATCGGCAAGTTTTCCGTCAGCAACCACCTTGAATTGCACCGCTTCCCCGGAATCTGAGGTGAAGATGGCATCCTGGGCTCCAAATTCGCCTGATTCTTCTGCTTGCATGGACAAGTATTGGCTGATACCATTTCCATCCACAAAGGATATCTTAAATGGAGGTGCATTGGTGGCGAGGGCTGTGGCAGTAGCTGGGATAGTCGACCAACTAGTAGCTGTTACAGTGACTGTCGGGATGGTTACTGTGATTCCAATGCGAGATGAAGACCGTATAAGACAAGAACAGGCACTCCAGTAACGAGCTGTAACGCTCCCCACGCATTTATCTGGTGCGTAGCCCGGCAGCTGTACATTCCGACGGTTGAAATTGACGAAATCCCGCTTGTTATTATTCCCCGTCCCTCCGGCCCCGGGAGTAATGGTTGTGGCCACTTCGGTGGTTGTAGAGGTTACAGTCTCAGTACTAGCCTCATCGTTAGAACTCCTTTCAAGTCTTTTGTCAAGATACCAATGCTGAGCATATGCATGAACTCACACAGGATTCTCGTTTAGGATTGCCGACGAGAAGGAAATACACTCTTGGAAGGCACCAGTACGCTGGGCGTTTTTGAGGGCTGTTTTTTGAATTAGAATTCAGGTTGTAATGTATTGGACCAGGAAGTTCAACATTACCTCAAAGACAATTATCGTCATTACAGCCTATAATTCGTGCTGTTTCGACTTGGGCCGTTACGGATGTGACGAGGCCTAGGCCCATAGCCAGGATAATCGAAGAGTACCTCATTTTGAAATCTTATGATGATATTATACCAAGATATATTAGTATTAATATTATGATATGGGGCAGGTTATATAAACTATAATCCACTGCAGATGAGTAGATATTAGTAAATTTGCCTGATGAGATAGTGAGTCGATCTGATCTGATCTGACTGACTGGAGAAGCTGGCGATGTATTTATACATATTTTTCACCTCTACTGCCTCACGCTGAAGCAATATATATTAATATAAGCCTAGCTATTAATTCAGTCTTTCTGTCCGTTATCGATCGCATTTCTGTATCTGCTCCATGGTTTGCCAGTATTGCCTCAATCGTCGCCGCTATTTCCATGACTACCCTTATTTGGGGAAGGTATCGACGGATTACTATTTGTGCATGATGATTCCAACATTAGAGGTATGGTGCGTACGTATGTTGTATCGTATGATTGATCATCAATTAAGTGCTTTAACTTTATAAGTGGAGACTGAAGGTTGTGCATGCATGCGGGTCGCACCATAATATTATGGCTTAGCTCACGGATAAGAGATACCCGGGTCTTCTCAACGGTTTCCCACTGGTTAATTAAAGGACAATAACCTCGAGATATACCGGCCACTTTCACAGACAGAATATGTCAATTGTGGTATTTTAAAAGCAACAACCCCTCAGCTTAATCCCAATATACTGCATGCGCATGGGTGGTTTCACAGAACAAAATGACGAAACCTGCGAAAGGCCGCTAAGCAAAATTTGCAAAAGCCACCCAGCCATATCGATGCGGGACATAATTGATGCATCAAGCCAAAGCGCCAGCTTTCCGCGGCTTAGAATGAGAATACTCGGACGTGATGTTTGGGAACTCCTCTTTGGTCAAGGCCAAGTACTTGTTCCTCACACAAAATTTGTTGTTTGACCGTTAGAATATGGAAGCAGCTATACCCAATACGGTTTCCTCCATGAAAATCACCCTCAAACTACTAAATGCATACTTTGCCCATTCCTTTTCGCTAGCCCCGACCTTTTCGCCTCGAATCGATTACCGACATACATGCAGATGATACCGTTCCCCCCCCATTTTCTCCCTTTCTCTTGTGGCTTTGGAAACTAGCTACGGCCCGGAACTATCGTAGGTACGAGACAAACATTAAAAGCTAGTGACGATATCGAATTTTAAAATCGTCTCAGACACTACATGTATACAGCAAGACAATTCCATACAGACGGTCATTGTTTGAGTGAATTTCGAATATTTCTAAAGGAAGTATTTATTATGATTACGGTCAAGTATTGATGGAAAAAGCTTGTCTCAAACCAGACTTCGAAAAAAAAAAGTGCATATAGACGCACTGAAGTAAATGTATAGCCCAAGCCACTATAAGGATTAACGCCATCCTATATATATACAGATGGGGCTCAATGATCCCAAAATATCGCGGGGCCAAACTCATTGCATTAAGGTTAATGGGTCAGAAAAGGCTTAGTATTATGGTATGATATTATTTCCTTGAAAAAGGTATACGTAAGAACCGATATGATGACCCACAAAGCTGCAGAGCTATGGATATCAGAAACGGGAAGATTTGGCGGAAGGTTATAAGCTTAAATTACCGAAACGTCCTAGATACTCAAGGCTTGCGGTTTGTGATACCATCCGGCTCGACCCTACTCGAGCTCTCTCCGCGATTAAGGTGTCTTACTCTGTGCAATCAATACCAAACTGAGCGCCCCCATGGGCCCAGCGGACCAAAAACGACTTTGAACACATGGTACGCTCAGTATTATCTATGCTACTACCTGGCTTGAATGTCTCACTTCATCAAACGAAACAGGAAATGATATGTCAGCCTGAATCGAAGTCTAGCAAATTGACTTGTAGTCATTAAGCGATAGACTTCGATACGCCGAAATCCAAATTCTAAGCTTGATGGACTTTCATTTTTTCATTTAGGGATACTTATGCCTACCGAAGAAACTGGTTAACATTAGACGCGAGTAGGAAATCTAGAGACTGAAAGCTAACCGTCAAGTTAAATTTATTTGAGCTCTAGGCTGCGTGGACGCTATTTGGATAACACGATGGGAAACGTGTATGCATACATATCTATACATACGCTAGTCATGGCAAAATTTTGGCGAACGAGCATCGTGTAACGCAGCCTCCCGGGTAAAACGGCAGCACGAGAAATCAGAAAACCTTTGAAGGGATAGACCGCTGGCCTGTGGGGGTGCATACGGGTTCAAAAGGTTCCGTTGTATCAAGGACAGCAATGGATTATGAAAGCAACGAGTTTGCCATATGCATATATGCATATTCCAACTGGAAACATGCGTCAAAACTGGAGGCTGGTAGCTACTAGTCTCGAGGTTTGACTGCTCAGATGTAAAGTTGATTTCGAATTTGTAATAAAAGAAAATACATCTGGTTGGCCAATTAGGAGAAACGTACTAGATCAAATACTACTACTGGCCAGTACTTGCACAACTATTGGTGGGCGGACCTTTCATGAATTCAAGGAATATTTAAAGGGCTGAAACCCAAGTCTAATTATTTCTTTCGGCATTCGAAAGATTAACTAAGAGAACTAGTTTGGGCTCAAGAAACTACAGGTTTTCAAAACTTTACACAACTGCTTTGAGAGTGACAAACTGATAAGATCCCCAGACTGAACCTGCATTAGCAGCAATTGACAATCGCAAGTCCCACGCCACAAAAAGGCTGTTTCCTGACCCTGTACATTGTATTTGGCGCGCGGCGTCAATTGAACAAACACATATGCCGCCGTCATAATTACGAGCATATACCCAACCCCACGTGATGCCAACTTGACAATCTAAGACATCTCCAGCAACGCTCCTGATTGTAGTGCCATCAAGGTACCAAAGCGGCGTTTCAGCTTTAGTATCTGCGAATCCAGTATATATAACGGGATTACTAGAAGGAAATCGCACGAAAGGCTTGAGGTACTTGACTGAATTGTCAGGAAACTTGACTTCAATCTGGAATGGTTTAATAGTCTGTATTGCCACACCGCCAACAGTATTTGTAACAACGTTTACATTTGTTTGGGTTTTGGTAGAAACTGTAGTGTAGATGGTCGAAGTCTCGATGCTAGTTTGAATAGTGGAGAACGATAACGTAGTCGAGATTGTGATTGTCGTTGATGGGGTCACTGTGGGTGATACAATTCCAATGCATTGGCAAGCACTAGAAAACCTAACAGCGCCAGAACATGGTGAAGCATACGCGGGTATAGTTTGGACTTCGTCTCGCTTTCTCAGAGGTGCTTGGACTGTAAGAGTTGTGGTAGGGGCTATGTTGAGAGTAGTTGTAGTGGCTGTATCCACTGATGTTGTGGCTGTAAGCTCGATAGTAGTCGTTTTGGTGATGAAGGTCGTGGAGAAAGAAGTTTCAGAGAAACTCAGTGTATCCGTGTAGGTTCTACACTCATGTAAGTATTATGTTAGTATGTCGATATCCGTTGCGTCATTCATTCTCGGCCCACCATAGTACCGGCGCTGGCGTCGCAATCTAGACTTACACAGTAGGGATAGCAAAGAAAGAAGCACAATCCACACTTGCAGAGGCAAGCCGCGAAGTCGCACGGATGGCTAATCATTGACACAAACATAATACGTTAGTCAGATATTTTTGGAGATAGTCCGGGTGATAGAGAAATCCCAATAGGAGTGCTTATACCTCGCAAGCAGTTGTCAGCATTGCATCCAGCGGATACAAGAGCGACGAAGCTCGATCCGACAATAAAAGACTTCAAAAGCATGTCGGTCAAATCTTTTGGAGTTTTGCTACTCGATCGTTTCGTTCCTGTACGTCTTTGGCAGTCGATCGTCGTGGAAATCTAGGTCCTTGCAGGAACGTTCCAATGGACTGGTGCACATTCTTCTAGCTATATAGTACCTGTACCTTAGCCCCGAATCCAGGCTACCTGTACCTGTACTTGCTTTACCCCTATCCAGGCCTTCGGATACTTGTGCATGCTCTAGATTCTAGGGCTGAGTTTGCGCGCTGGTTTCTAGTCCAGCTAGTCAAACTTCCTTCCCAGCACCCATTTGAATTAATTTGGTTGAATACCAGCGGCTACCTTTATTACACCTATCATTGCGCTGTTAGCTGGCCATGTGAACTAGGCCCTGCCGGGCTTATGAAGGTTTGCCCGCCACTAGCTGTGACCCAACATTCGTGCATACAACATGTACCATACATGAATATTCGAACATACATAGTCCCGAAAACAGAGTTTGACAGCCAAGCAGCTGAGTGGCTTTCTAGTTGATGAAATTGTGCATATTGATTTCGATTCTGGTTGCCAGATCCGTACCCGGTTTAGATTGGCGTCCAATTTGAGGTTACCTGGCACTTGGCTAACGGGTTGTGCGGCTGACAGGTATTCATACCTGCATGAAAGTTAAAATTTGGCTGCTGTTCAAGTACCTCATTGGTGTTCGCTGGCTCTAAAATGCAAGTTCCAACAAAGCTGAAGCGCCACCAACTCACGATACATCAGATTTACATAGTAGTGATTACCAGTTCGCGATTTCGGAGCCCTTGGTGGAGCCAGTCGTATATACTCCATACACCGCGCTGATCTTGAGCTAGCGCCGCGGCGCCGACCAGCTTAGCTTAGCTAGATGAATGTCTGAGCGCATGATGAAAATTTTGCGTTGTGTATAGCACCACCTTAGTGTGATGCATGCGCCATGACGGTGATGTCTAGAAACGAGACCGGCCATGACCGAATGTGCTAATTAGCGCTTCGCCTTAAGGCCGCCCCGAGGATACTGCAGCTGATGTGTTTCGTTTTGAGTCTCCAACACTGCGCATTCGGTTCTCGTTGATATTCTTCGACAACTCTATGTGTTGTTAACTGTTGTATTTTCTGTTTAGGAAAAGTGGCTTGTGTGGCTTGTGTGGCCCGAGTGTGGCTGATGAACCTCGACACACGACCGCCAACGCGGCTTCCGTTCTGTGCTTTGCTTCGAATCTGCTACCACATCTGAAGTTCAACTTCACTATACGTCAATCTCGACGAACAAAAGCGTGCGTGCGCCGTCGCTTTCGAAGACCGTAATATCCTCGAGGTCTCGATTACTTTCTCCAGCATGTGGTTTTTATTAGCTGTTTAACCCGCAGTAGTTGAAGACCCCGCCCCCACTTGACGTCGCCGAGTCGTACTGGCCTACTAGAACCATGGGCTCCCTAGACACGCTACTTCCATTAATAACTCTGACATCTATAATACTAACCGCCGCCATATTATGCCTTCCTTCACGAAATACACATTCGCATACGCAAGGGAAAGAAAAGAAGGGTCGGGTTGCTGTTTTGGTTCTTGGTGATATCGGCCGAAGCCCTCGCATGCAGTACCATGCCTTATCACTTGCTGCCAACGGCTGGGCTGTGGATCTAATCGGATACGACGGTAAGTTCAATTCTAACTGCTTAGGATTTTTAGTTATTTCAGTTGGTACTGATAACTCGATATACAGAGTCTACGCCTCGTCCAGAAATTCTATCGTCTCCCAACATCAGAATAATCCCCCTCCCGCCTCCGCCCCCTGTACTCGGGGTCTCCTCGAAAGCTCTATTCCCGATAATCGCTCCGTTTAAGGTTCTTTTCCAGCTTTCGGCTTTGTTTTATCTTCTTTTCTACATCATTCGCCCACCTTCCTACATATTGGTCCAAAACCCGCCTTCGATACCGACGCTTATCGTAGCTCGTATCACTGCTTTTGTCCGAAATTCGCGGTTAGTAATTGACTGGCACAACTTTGGATATTCAATTCTGGCGTTGAAATTGGGGGACGACCATCCACTCGTCAAGATATCGAAATGGTACGAAACAAAATTCGGAAATTCGGCATACGCCAATTTTACGGTTACAGACCAAATGAGAAAAGTGCTACGGCAAGACTGGGGTATCACGTATGTAGCAATATCCAAAAAAAAATCGTCTTGTAGACATTCTTAGCATGGCTCTTACAATTGTGTATCGGGTAGCACACCGATTCTCGCACTCCATGATCGCCCCCCGACCATCTTCCAGCCACTCGATCACAAGCAGCGCGACGCTTTTCTCTCTACTCACCGTCTAACGGCGCAAAATGTGCCATTCGACAATACAAAATTACTTATTTCGTCCACTTCTTGGACACCAGATGAGGATTTTTCTATTCTCTTTGCCGCTCTCCAATACTACACAACCACTGCAAAAAAATCACCATCATCAGCAAAACTGCCTAACATCCTTGCAGTCATCACGGGGAAGGGCCCTCTATTAAAACACTACGAACCATTAATAAACGAGTTGAACGAGTCAAAATCATGCGTTACCATCCGGACGGCGTTTCTACCAGCAGAGGAGTACCCAAAACTCCTTGCAAGTGCAGATTTAGGCGTATGCCTACATACGTCGTCCTCCGGTGTAGACCTACCCATGAAGGTTGTGGATATGTTTGGTGTAGGCATACCGGTTGCCGCCGTTAAGTTCGAGGCTATAGGCGAGTTAGTCAAGGATGGTATTAATGGTGTTGTCTTTGAGGCTGGAGTAAACCCAGGACAAACAAAAGGAGAGGAGCTCGGAGAGACCCTTGTGAGGTTATTTGGGGATAGTAATGAATTAGAAGTTTTGAAAGAGGGAGCGATGAAAGAGGTTGAAAGGCGCTGGGAGGGCGAGTGGGATGAGATTGCAAAGGGAGTATTCGAAGGCAAGGCGAAATCGCAATGAGGGTTCCAAGGACATTTACTTTAGTATATTCCTATTTGTGCTTCGAGCGGGGCTTATGAATAATCATTGGGAAATGATACATCCGCACCGATTTATAAGATTCGGAAATTCAAATTCCATATCTCAGTCTCGGCTACAAGTGAAGGGCGTATGTTTGGAAGAATAGCACGGTAAGATAGATATTTAACAAATTTTTCGAACATTCATCATCAACATTAACATGCTGCCAGGCACCCTTTTTAAGTTCATAAGCCTTGGGAGGATATCCTATTTATTCCTGTGCCCGGACAGGGAGGATCAGCTTCAGCTGCGGCATAGGACTAAGTACCAGAATTTTCTTGAGAACCCTTTACGGCCAAGAGCCAGGGATAGCCCAACCCATATGCATCCATAATTGAGACCTTGAAGGGCTTCAGTCGTCTGTGTCCGGTTTTTATATTCTCGTAAACAGAAGACAGACAGGCATGCGCCTCAATAATATCTTTCTCTTGCTCTCTAAGCGCACGTTCCTCTGATCCTGTTAAAGCATCAAGTGCAACTATTTCAGCTGGTCGGAGAAGCCTCTGGCTTTTCAAACAGCTCATTAATTTCAAAAGAGCTGCAACTGTCTCTTTATGTGCTTCCCCAAATCTTTCTTCTTTCAATTTAACCACATCGAACTGCAGCTCTGCAGCTTCAGCCCAGCTGCCCTTTTCCATTTGGATCGTTGCAAGCTTGTCGAGCGCATCGGCCTTGTGTTCAGCAGCTACCCGATGGCCCAGATAAGCAGCAGCCACTTGTTCTTGCCCCGACTCTGCCTTCGCAATATCTCCCCGCTTCCTACTACAGTCTGCGAGACATTCCAATATATCCAGTCTATTTGGGGCGCGCGGACCGTAGAACTCTTCGCATACTGAAGCAAGACGATTATATAACTCCTCGGCTTTGTCGAGATCACCGGCGGCGCGGAAACTCGAGGCGAGAATTTTATTTAGCTGAATTGATATAGGATGATCCTCGCCGAAATGCGCATTAGCAGCATGGGCTATGGGGCTATAGGCCGCTTGCACGTCCTCTAGCTTCTCAGTTGCCAGGTAATGATCAACGTGTTGGATGAATTCAATCTTGCCATCCAATTTCTTGAACATAAACATGTCGGCTTGTTTATCCTCGCGGATGAGTCCGATCTCGTGGTTCAGACTTCCCCTTGACTTTCCAGATTTTGTGAGGTAGGACGTGACCTGCTCTGCATCAGGGGCAGTGCCAAAGCCCATTTCGTAGCAAAATGCAAGTTGATATGCGGCCTTGGAGTGGTCTGCCTGTTGAACACGCTCGTCGGAAGTCCTTCTCTTCAGAGTCTCGAATATGTGTTTCCAGATACGGTAGTCTCCATAGACTAGCTGTCTGAAACTTCTGTAGATCTATATAGCATTGCACATGAATAAAGATTTATGAAGTTTTTGGGAAGAAAGTGATGGGGAAACATCGAAGGGATGAGCTTCCTTGCAAGCCACGTACCAAGAAATGAGACCCTTTAGTCTTAGTTATGTCAGGATACAAGTCCGGGTTCGTATAATACCCCCTTGAAAGAGGGCTGGTATAAATGTTCACGGGGTGATATGGGTTCCAATAGTTGTAAGGATTTTGGAAAGCAGCCCGGTGGCCCTGGTAGGCCTCACGGACCGCATTAGGATCAAAGTTTTTATGATTCACATCCGGTACAATCAATGAAGCATGCTGCTGATAAATGACCCATCGGTCGTAGTCGCTGTATCCACCGTTTTCGAATTGTGCGGGACTAAAGAAGATCTTTTAGAAACTCAAAAGTTATTCGAGGGACTCCAGAAACTTCCTTACGCCAGAGTTGTGAATTTTTTTACGAGTTCTTTCCAGTCAACAGACCTCGTGGCTGGGTTTTCTGCCAATGTCAACTTAAAAAATTCCTTGATATTGTTGACTTCATGTGGCTCGAGCCCATCCTGCTTGTCTACCACTGTCGAGGTAATTTCTTGTAATCGTTCATCGCGCTTCCACTCCGGATCAGCAACCGGTCTCCCCACATCAACTCCGAGTTCAAGGAGTCGATCGTTAAATAGGAGCCATAGGCCCACCAGGCTAAGGGAGTATACGTCTGTAAGCTTTGCTTCCTGAAGGGGAAATGTCGATGAAAATTCTGTCACTTCAGGGGCGTTCCATGGCCTTGAAATAGGAACTCGGATGCCATCTTTTGTTTCTTCATTGACCTGCTTTTCGTGCAAGCTCGAATATCCAAAATCTCCTATTTTTGCAATATATTTAACAGCACTAGAATCGTTCTCTTCCGATTCCCGTTCGAAGATCAAAACATTCATCGGCTTGATGTCACCATGCACGACGTCTATTTCGTGCAAGGCAGTGATACCAACTGCAATGTCGTCAAAAAGCTTCATTCTCGCCTTGAAATCGATGGATGCTCCCGCTTCAGTTTTCATAAACTGTTTCAGATCCCCATGATCTGACTTCTGGAAAACCAGGCTTGGCCAGATAGGTTCCAGGGATGATATAACGTCCCAAGAGATGCCCGCCAACTTGACGATATTAGGATGGCCGCGGATGTCATCGTGCCCCAGGATCGAAATCTCGGAGACCAAGGCTTTATAAGCATACTGTTCATCAACTCCTCGATAGATTCGCTTGAAGACATAGCTCAGCTTTTTATCGAAGAGAGATTGCTGTATATTAGCTGTACCTCCTGCACCAACTCTGCCCAGGTCTGGCTGCCAAGTCGTAGGCAAAATATCAACTTCGTTTACTTGGACCATTGCGAGGAACGAAAGTAAGTCGTGATCGGTTTCACCGGCAACGGAAGAAGTCCTCGAACCGAGTGAACCGGAGCTTGCATTTGTGTCACCAAAAAGTCCTCGACGGTCAAAGAAGCTGGTCGCCCCACCGGTACCGGGCGTGCCAGTATAATTGTACATGGAATACATGCCATTCATTGTTGGCAGTTTTAGCTATTGAATATCTTTGTTCTAGCAGGTATAGTTACCATCAAGAAATGTTAGTCCGATGCAAAGTAATTTTCTAGCCAAAAACATTCAAAGGTACTAGCATGTTTGGCGATTAACGGATCGATCGATTGAACGTAACTCGAGCCATGCATGTATCGATATCGACCATTTTGTACAGGTGATTAAATCAAATCAGGTATGCCATCTGCCTCCAAAAAGCCAATAAAACTAAGCGCCCAAAAAGAAGAAGCAAAGATGGGACATTGTATTCTCACAGTTAGGACAAAAGACTTACGTTGAATACAGTTGCGATTCAATTCGCTCCAGATGTCTTGAAAAGGTATTTCTCGCTTTTTCCACGGTTGATCAACGCAATTGAGGAGTCTAGTCTGGCGATGGGAAAAGATGACGATCTAGCTCTAGTAACGAGACTAGGTAGATCTACCTAATATATAGTGTACCCGTACTAGCTTATTAGTATTGCAACCGATATATCGATATCCGGGCAAGCCTTTATATGGTTACGTTCGAGTTAGAATATTTTATCTACACACCAAATACAAATAGTACCAATACGTAATAATACCTACTAGCTAAAATTCATAATCCAAGAAAAGGAGAAGAAGGGCCAGCCGAAAGACTAGCTATTCAATATTCACAATGTCCTACAATATTAGCTGGCAATTAATATTAATGTAATGCAATGCTGCGTGTTGATTTTTGAGGGATCCTGCTTCGCTGATTCGATTTGCTAATATCTAGATCTAATGAGGGGCTCGAAGTCTTAAACCACAGCTTTAGTACACCTCATCACTCATCCCATTCTGGCCTGGATATGGTTGGCAAACCGCCCCACGGCTTGCCTGCAGATATGGGGCGCCGGGCGAACCGCTGATCTGCCGTTGTCTCGAGCAAATGTTGCAGATTCGAGTCACCAACACATTTTAACCTTCCTTGGAGTCTCGGCCTTTTCTTTGAATCCTTAGCAGTAGTACGTATGTGCGTACATGTACCTTCTCTAGGATTTAAATATTTAGGACACGTTAATAAGAATGCTGCTATTATATGCTTGAAAGCCCATATTATAGCCTTACTTAAGTAATTTTAGGAAGAAATCTCCCCTCCTTTTTCCTGTTATCCCTGAGCATAGGCTGAGTTCCGAGCAGTGGACACAACTCAAGGATAACTTGAGGATCCTCGGTATCAACTTTCTGAGGGTTTGTGCATATTTATGCATGTATGCATGACGATATCTACATCACCCGAAGGATCCAGCTATTCAGAAACAAACTACTGACCTGATATGCACAGTTTTTCAGCAAGCCCGAGGATAAGTTGAACCCTTGTCAAAGTTGCGGAATACTTGTGCATGATTCCCTATTTTTTATTTTTATTTTTTATTTTTTTATTTCTTGTTCAAATGGGGAATTGCCGCCCCGTTTGAATCGTCGAGGCAGCTGTGCGGGGATGAGATGAGCGGATTCGATGGCGGGGGCTGTGTTGGCTGCTACGTCTTCCTCCAACAGCAATACGCCTTTGTAGGCTTTCTTGATTAGTCAGGGAAATATATCCTTGGATCCTAACGGTGTTAAGAACTGGCTATAAATCATCCAACATCTAATCCAAGAACTTTTTTATTCTTCACTATCAAATCACTATCATACTACGATTTAACTCGACTTACCTATTTCCTACATTCCGAACCTTTCCATCATAATTTTGTTCACATTTTCGACTTAAAGCTCATACAGAAGCCACAACCGTATCTTATTTTTCTTAACGCTCCCAAGATACTTATAAGATATACACATATATATACATATATCTCAAGAATTAAATCATCAACATGGGCGGTTATTATCCAGGGCTTGATCCTTATGGATATGGATATGGGTATGGGTATGGGTATGGGTATCCAGTGACATCCCCACCGTCGCCCCCGAGCTCCAAGACAGACGGCAAGAAGAATACAAATTCTGGTAGCAAGAAAAGCTCTACTAGTACAACTCCCAAAGACCATAAGAAATCTAGTACAAAAACCTCTAGTGGGGGCGGATCTGGACATGGATCCAGCAGCGGCCACAAAAGCCACGGATCTAGCCACGGCCATAAAAGCCATGGGTCTAGCCATGGACACAAAAGCCATGGATCTAGTCATGGACATAGTAGCCATGGGTCTAGTCACGGGCATAGTAGCCACGGATCCAGTCATGGCCATAGCCATAGCCACAGTCACGGCCATAGCCATGGACATCACGGCCATAGTTCGGGATCAAGTTCCAGTTATACACCAGCCAGAACTAGCGGTGGTGGCGGCTCCGGAAACCTATGCGGCAATCCCCAATGCGGTGCTAGCTTTATTTGCACGGCAGACTACAATCGTCGAGTTCAACCAATGGGCTATCCAGGTGTAACTTCACAGCCTCCTCAGACTGGAGGATGGGGTTACGGATATGGTGGTTGCTAAAAAACAATCTTCGAATTTATTTTTGTCAGGAAACACTGTTAAGAATACATTTTATTTACAGTCATTCATTTGTATTTTCTTGCTACGTATCCGTCTTCTCCGTTCTGGAATATCGATCGCTTATTTGGGTCTTCAATTATGTACAATGAGAAGGGTGGTTTTTTCGAGTATTTTGTTGCTTTTTTCTCTCTCTCTCTTTTTTTTTTCTGATAAATTCATGTTCCTCTCAGTTATAATTGTTCTTGTAAACTGCCATAGTTTTAAGATTATTGTCGCATTAGAGCTAAACTATTTATGCCTACCAAAGCAAATTCGATTCATATATATTGACAGCGAGGAATTTTATATTTCACAAGTCAATTTCTGGTCATAAAAACTCACAATATCTAGGAAATAAATAATATAAGTGACGTAAAATCAATAATTATAAATATTCCCTAGGAAAGTTTGAAGTCCCCATGACGTGCCAACATAAGTGTATTTGCTAGTGAGGATACTCAATCCCTAGGATATTTACCAGCCAGATTTTTTAAGTGCAAAATATTACCAACGTACGTTGCAACGACCACCATTCATACGTTTTTAGGGGCTCTCGCTCTTATCAATAACAATATAGTTACTTACCTGTAGGCTCGAATTGAACGCATATTATGTAGTATCTTAAAAAGAATTTGGGGGTTCGGATATTTGCCCATGGCGACGCCAAGCCATGTGGCGGTTTCCAATCCACACGATGTCAACAGCCTCAGTTCAGCTCTGTTTGGCTGAATTAAATTCAAAAACACACCATGGTGAATCGATGTCGCGATGACCTCTCTAACCGTAAACCACACTAAGTGAGGTGAGTGTTTCTAAGGGGCCGACCATTTTTCGAGTAAAAATCAAGTCTAGAAGTCTCGGCTACCCAGAACGTCTCGGGATGTCCCTCCAGCTCCTCGTTGCATTCGGAGTTCTCATTGCCAGCCGATCCAACCTTTCAGCCGCTCAAACGATAGATCCCGACTCTGTTTCGCCAATAATCCGCGATGGATGGTGCACCAGCCAACAAAACGTCTGCGAGACGCTATGCGGGAATTTCGATAACGTAAGGCTTAATACTTGCATCCTTACAAATTTCTTAGTGCAATGCCAGTGCGACGAAACATTTCTGCAGCCAGACACTCAGCTCTATAAGGGCTCACTAGCGTATTTCATATGCTTGGAATATATCAGGCAGTGCGTTGCAGGTAAGTTTAAATTTACTATCTGTCGAAACTTGGGGGCCCTTCTTTTTTCGTCCAGAGCATGCCCTCCATGATATTATTTATAGCTGTTAGTGTTCCGATATATCGGTCTAGTAGTCTTAGAGGATTGCGAAGATCGGATCAAAAGTCGTGTATTACTATAGCGATTAGCTTACGTCCTTGTGGCATATTAATATTCGACCAAGCATACCTTTCATGAAATATTAGTAGAAAGTAACCCGGAACATATATACAGGAAATTCGAGCAGTCCAGAGAACCAAGCAGAGTGCAGATCCGCATATGCGTGCCCTAGCCTCGATGTTTCAGCTGCAGGGCAAACATCGAACGACCCCGAAGTTTCCCAAACTCCGAATCCCCCTCCGTCACCTGTCCCTTCGCCAACTTCGCCCCTAACTTCGTCCATAACTTCGGAACCGCAGACTACAGGGACCGGGGAAACTTCAGGGCCGAGCGGTTCGTCGACGATCACCGAACAAAACTCGTCAGCTCGTACCACCACGCCTAGGCCTACAAGCCGAAGCACCGATACTACTTTACCGACCGATAAGATTGATGGGCCGCCGAATACGGAGGGCAGTACGCCAACGAAGAGCTCAGATTCTCCGCTAGATTCTAACTCTCCTACACCCGGAAGTGAAAGTAAAGGTTTAGGAACCCCAGCAATAGTTGGCATAGCTGTGGGCATTGGAGTCTCCGTATTATTGTTGGCTGTGTTTGTTGCTTACCGACTGGGGAGTAGAAGAAACTATCCCCCTGTTCCCGTAGTGCCTCACTCTGCATTTGACAAGGAATATGGTGGGAACGAATATCCTGGCGGTGGAAATGACCCGGGTATCGGGTTTGGGAATGAAGTCGGGGGCATTTCCCGGAACAACGATACGACAACTAGAACATAGAACCTTAATCAATAGAAGCTTTATCAAGCAAGTATTATCTTTGCACCACCGATCTAGTTAAAATACAATCTAGTTTCGGTGCGCTAGTGCATGCTTCGTTTAGTTCATGTATGCACCAGGCCTGGATTTGTCTCGCCAACCCTCGCCCAGTACATATATATACTGTCGTAAAATACCACACGAGGTTTGCGTTGTCACAGTCGGGCCCGTGTTAGTCCCAGGTTAACACATTCATGTTGTTATCCGTTGTTGCAGTTATAGCGTTAGAGTCACGTAAGGGCGCCGCAGCTGCGGTGTGCCCCACATTCAAAGGAGTCGAGTCACGTCTGGTTCCTATCAATATTAATGTTATCTAAACCAAAACTCCCATCTTTCAAAACTAAGCCGGCGCCGGCTATACGAAAATAACTACAATAATGGAACGGTTTCCGCAAGAGATATTTCAGCAGGTTATCAATGAAGTAGTCAAAAAAGAAGGACTTTGGAGTTCCCTTATCCTAAGGCGGGTAAGCCGAAGTTGGGATAGAACCGTACTCCGGGCGATTTGTATTGAAGGAGCTCTAGACCCTCTTTCAAACTATGGCCGTAGTGATGGGAGTCTCCAACGTCCTCTAGAAAATTCATACCATCGATGCTTTCCTCACATGCTCCAAAGGCCTCCGCATTGGCATATCGTCCCAATCCTAGAGACATTAGCTTTGTCGTCGACGCGATATGTCTTAAACGCTGCTTCACTTGCTATTCGACGGGCAGTTGATTGGATTGAGCAGAACTTTCAGGAGGAGTTTCCCAACCGTTCTTTCAATACTAGAATGCTCTCCGAGATTATCGTGATTATAGACAAAGACCTATGGCTGTGGAGTTTGTTCGAGCGAGCGGGATATAAGCCCATAGAAATGTGCGAGAAGGATGGAGAAATGGTCCTTCGCCGGTCCGCTGACCTCGTAATGGGTCTCGCAGTGTATACAGGTGATATCCAATTGTACCGCAGCGTACGGGAGCGTATTCCGAACTGCCAGGATGCCATTGTAGCTACTACAATGGTCGCCGCATATCGTGGGAATGAAGACATATTGAAAGAAATGCTGGACATCGCGAAACGGACGAAAACCAAATTCCCCCATCTGGGGAAGACCTCAACTGGGTACTTGCGTGCCCCGCACTGGTGTGAAATTTTCGAAACCTCGATCACATATAACGTTAATTCGATACACGGCGGAATTGCTATTATTCGACAGTTGGCAATCGCCGGGCACGCTGAAATTTTACGCCAGGCTATTGGGGATCAACCGTGGTGGAAGCATTTGACTTTCGCAGTCCAAGAAGCAATGTGTCTTACACAGGATTTGGATACTTTGAAGGTTCTCTGGGACGCTCTTAGTGAAATACCCGACGATCGTCTCATAAAACTGGCCGCAATGCAAAGGGCTGCATTGGTCGCGGTGGTTTTTGGTAACACTGAAATTGTTGCGTATTTGCTTTCACAAGGTCTCAAACCTGAGGAGCCTATCGATCACGCTGTTGATACACTGACAGGAGGAGTGATGCGATCGCCGGCAAAGGAGTCAATCATGATGACGGCAGTAAAGTATGGGAGAAAGGACGTCGTCAAACTTCTACTCGATCATGGCGTTCACCCAGACACCTCGGCAAGGTCGATCAGTCAAACTTCAGAGAGTGCAGTGGCACTCGCTGTCACGGCGGGGCGAACAGATATTCAAGAACTCTTCTCGCAATACGGCCACTGTTTACACCCTGCTTAATGGACTTTTGTCCACCTCGTTTGGAAGTGGTGCTCGTGGCCCTGTATCTTACTTCAACCCAATGCTCTTCAATCGCGATTTACAAGAACCCGATCCCGCTTCATCAGGCTACATGTACAGATAAGCCAACTCCAATAGAGCTACCGAAATCATAATTCAACGGCATAGTCTCAAACATTGCCAATTTTTCGCCAATGGGGTGATCAATTGAAGCTGTCTTTTGAAAGTCTACAACTCAAGACGGGGTCTGGAACGTGGAAACGACATGACACCCTTGTTCCATCCCACCTCCCATTAAATAGACTAGTTTTGCGGCATATCGCAACCCTTCGCACTGAGGAATCTGAGTCACAAATTATCAAACTTTCCAACCTACTGTCTGTCTAACCAAGTGAGGCAATTTCATCACCGATCCGCAGGTCTCTTCAGGTGTGCGCATGTCAGGGGTAAATCCTTCCATCGATACGATAACTGGTACTAGCCCCAAAATCTACCTGCCTGGATGAAAGTCTCCTGCGTCGGGGTAGTTTTCTTATCATCAAAACCCTCCAAAATTCTTGCCAAGGGGATATTGGTACCTGGAGGGATTATAGAATTCTATTTTCGGGTGCAGAAGAAATATTCATGACGCTACGGAACTGTGTAGGCATGAACCGTGCCACGAGCAAACTACGGGTACGGAAAGCGGGAGGAAATGAATGCTGGGGTCGATGTATTCCATTATCCCGGCATCTCAACCATGACCAGTAGTTAGGCATTTTTCCGCAGCCATCGGAGGCGAAATTACTGAGAGACAAGAAGAAATGAAAGTGTTCCTGACTAGCGTGGTCACCGAGACATCGCCTTATGAGCTTCGCGAAACAAATATTTCTTGGCGGAAACATGATATTTCGAGGGATGAGAGAGTGGATTCTCAATATTCGGCTTTTCTTTCAAGCATTCTCGAGCTTCGTTCCCAAAGAAAGCATGTCTCGCCAAAACCAGTTCTTTGGGTGGGCAGGAAAGTGGCGGCTAAAAGGCAAGGATCAGAGGAAGTTTGAGGTCAAGCCCCTGACCGCGACCGTGGACTTGGGCTTAATCTTACTCGATCGCCGGGACCGTTCGGGCTTGTATCCGTGGGCAGGGATCACAAGCCCTGTGTGCGAATAGTATTCTGAATCTTTGGATGAGCAGTCCAGCTCCCAAACAAAGAAAACTTTTGAACAGAAACGAATCTATCAGATGCCTCAAAATTTCAGGAATGTTATGTTTGAACCTCGTCACTAGTATTTTTTTACCGACTAAACGGCTCTGAATGTTTGGGGATACCCATGAGCTCAGTAATCGAATACAATTGGAAGTCTGCAACAGTTCGCCCCACCTTTTCCATAATTATTTCTAGAAAACTTTTCCTACTAGGATGAGGGGCTATAGCTCGATTTATCCCACTGGTCCTCCATACGGCGGAGATTTCGAGGGGTGGTGGCATGGTGGTGGCATGCAACCGTTATGTGAAGATGTCTGACTTCAATCTATATATAAAGTCAACGTCCAGCGTCTCCTAGCTCCTAGACCTAGATTAGTTTGTATTCATAATATGCTCTTGGGCTGCAAAGTATATATCATTACCAAATATTTAATCTTTGATTACCTTCACTCCCTTTCATACGGTCTTTACATTCTCCTCGTTAACTTTGGTTTTCAATCTAACCTCCTTGGTTAAATTTAAGCCTTTTTATCGAAGGGCAGAAACCCCGGCAGCGGCTTACACTTACATTCCAAAGGCCTACAATAAGCTTCTAAGATAAAAAAAAAACTAGGCTTACTATACTGAGGTCTATCTTTTGAGGTTTTCTGCTGTATTTAATTATTCGATATGGCACCAGTTGAGGTTACAAGAATAGATCCTCCGTCCCCTCCTCGCCCGCCCAACCCACCTCCACCTAGTCCTGAGACCAAGAAATATACTTCTCTCTCGACGGTCCAGTCCCGAAGCCGACAAGATCCGCCATCTCCACCTCGTGCGCCACCACCGAGTCCCACAAAAGCCATGATTAGTAGACCTACGACCCCGACTTCGCAATCGAGTTCCGAATCGTCTGATTCTTTTCCAAGGCTTGTCGAGTTGACAATGACTCTGGGCGATGTTCTCGACCTTACCCCGATCCAAACAAGTAGACGGGACAGTTATTTATATTGCGAAGATGATATGTCTGTCCCTGGGTCACCACCACCCCTTGAATTTTCGACGCCAAAACCGAAACCAAACTGTAAAAGGCGAGCGGAGGACCCGAAAGACTACGAAATTTTTGGTCCTTGCTTAACTGAAACCTCTGCATCAGACTACAAACGGCGTAAAGCGATGTAAGTCTACTCACTAGCCAAAAAATCATCTTAATCTCAGTATACAAGGGTATGAACTAACATTCTTCAAAATAGCGACCTTGGCGACAATATTATTTTCCTACCGTCAGATCCTCCTAACAGTCGAACCCAGAATAAAGATTTCTTTAGTTCCCTCTTCTCAAGTGGCCAGCTACACGATACAGGATTGCTACATGAACATATCCACGGTGTTCAGAGCTGTGCATAGTATAACCCAACGAGACCAGTAAAACCTCACTCACGGTTCACTACCCACGGTCAGCGACCCTCGCTCGATCAGCCGGCTTCCACCTAGTTTTTCGCACCCTGTAGATCCTCGGCGCCAGCGGCTAAAATTTTTCTCGGTATAATTTCTGCTGAATGGATTTTCCTTCTTTTGGTCATTTTACGCAACTTTTATAGACGTCCCTAGCTCGTTTCCATATATTTCCTATTTAGCAAGCGTTGTTGTCTGGGCATGTTGTTTCTTTATACCCTCCTTTCCTCGTCGCCGGCGTCCTGCAACTTTTCGGTCAAATATTTCATGATCATATGATCAATAATTTAGATGATACAAGATACCCTATGGACACGGTGCTGCTCTGTAGCAATGTAATATGTGGAAGCAATGGGTGGTTTGTTTTTATCCTTTTAAATGTATATCTTGAGCCAAAGTTCCTATATTTATTTTAAATCTAATACTTTTTAAATTTCGAATTAATTATCGTGCTCAATATAGCCCGGGTATATCTGCGTCCAATTAATTATGCATGGTTGGTAGTCGGTTTCAGGTAGAGTTAAGTTATGGTTAGTTCGGATTCTTGCCGGGGACTCTATATATGTTCTTACATCGGTCCGTTTTTGCATATTTGATAGTATTCTAGGGTCGATGCTACGCGGCCTACCTTCATAAAGTCAATTTACTGTGCTCTTAAAATATTTTCCTTCGATTGAATCAAAAGTTCTAGTACTAGTTAAATTTGCCTCAGCTGTATACATATACCTTAATTTGTATTAATTTCAAGGTTTGATGTATCGATATCTAAATTGAAGATTAAACATTTCTCAGGGTTAAAACGGATCCGTACGGAGCTGTTTCCACGGCCATGTCAAAACCGCTGTCGTCGATAAGCCGAAATTTTTTTCAAAAACGAGGGACTTTAGCATGCCCTTATAATCAAGTATAATATATGATTCGAGCATGTATGCAGGGTGTACCCGGTATACGGTATGCTTGTGTTCGATTCGGTCGACGCTGTAAGTTAACAATGCTTCGTCGACGTCGAACTTGATCAAAAGATCAAAAGATCAGACAAGATATACTGCATTGGTAGCACAACGTTGCACAGCATGGATACCCATAAAGATGATAACACTCCAACACAAAAACAAGCACTTTGCAAGCTGATCAGATACGATCAAGGCAGAGGTGAGCGTCCCCAGACTAGATGCCTGACAGAAAAACTTCAGCTATTATTGGAATATTTATAAGTTGCAAGGGCCACCCCATTAGAGTTCAAGCTTATGAGCTTAGCTCCGGGCGGACCGTCACTAGACCGCGACTTCTCGCTATGAATCGGCCCACTCTAAGCTAAGCAGCTATAACAACGCTAAACCGGACGTGGGCCTCCTGGTGCATATAATTGGCCATACTGAGTTTGGCTATTTGGTTAGATAAGTGGGGGCGATCACAACGAAGATTTTAAGTCGTGGGAAGTTAGCGGTGGGGAGTCGCAGTTATGCCCCTCGTTCCTTCTGCCCCTCGGTACGAAAAAATTATATTCTCCGATGTTATGTATTTGCATATGAGCGATTTCAGCTTCCAAGGGCTTGGAATATTTAACTTGTGTCGACATTCGTCTTTCCAAGCCTGCGAATGTGGATTCTCAAGCTTAACGCCTTGAAAGGTTTCGGTTCAAATCAAAAATCAAGGTATGTATACTGAATAAAAACCTAGCCAAGAGGTGAAACTAATTCAAACTCAGTGACCGATAATTATCTGTCAAAATGGCTCCGGTTTGTAACCCTGTAGGCGAAGAAGAAGAAGAAGAAGCTGGCAAGCGGGTCCCAACACTCTCTGCGAAATACTCTATTTTGGAACGACTCGTACGGGCGTTAATCTCAGAAAAACTTGTGGATCTATCGCAATTCGCAAAAGCCGGCATAGCTTTATCGATACAAACAAGTTTGTGCGGAAGAGTGACAGTTTCACATCCAATATATGCGCATTCCGGAAACCCCGCAGAGATTAAGCAAATCTGCGACCCTCTTGAGTTCCTAGACGAACTCGAAAGAGCCGGTATAGTGCGCAACGACACTAGCTGGACACTCGCACGGAACGAAATTGAAAATAGTTTAAATAGTTTAATCCAAGCACTCGAAGCCGAACAATCCCGTTCAGAAAATCTGCGCTCTTCTTCCCTTCACAAATTTGACCCCCAAACCCCGTTTTCATCCCTCGTCACCGCCCTAACTGAGACCGGTTATGGGAAACATGCGTTGGCGGGCTTTGAACAACTCGTGGTCGATGGCCACCCGCTCACACCAGCCGGGAAAGTTCGAACCGGAATGTCATCTGCTGATGCTGCTCGGTATGGACCAGAATTCGGTTCCAAGTTTGGTCTCAGATTCATTGCTGTCGCAAAAGATTCCGTTGAAGCTGAAGACGGAACCTGTAACGAAATTTCGAGATGTTCGAGGATAAACCCAATACAGGGTACTGGAATCGATGCCTTTAATCGAGCTCTCAACAGCTGTTACCAGGATACTGTTGAATGTTTACGAATGGAACTTATCCAGATGGGGAGGCGTCCAGAGGACTTTGTGGTGGTACCTGTTCATCCGCATCAACTCGACAATGCGATTCCAAAGTTGCATGCCGAGGCTCTGGTTCGCAAGACCATCATTCCTTTGCAAAGTTCTCTGCCTGCGCATCCATTGATGTCATACAGAACCTTTGCCGTCAAGGGTCGAGAAAATAAAGGACTGCACATAAAAACTGCCCTTGAGGTCCAATTAACGGGTGCCATTCGAGGTATTTCATCTGCATCGGCTCGAAACGCTCCTCGAATGTCACGTTTACTAGCTCGGATTATCGCGGGCGATACCGACCTTCAACGAACAGATTCCAGAGGCCGTGAGCTTTTTATCCCTGAGCGTGCTCTAGCTGCTGTCGCTTTTAAAGAAAGCAAGCGAAGTTTAGCAGCAATCCTACGGGACGATATTGAGAATGATATGGCCGAAGATGAGGTTGCTTTGCCAGTCGCATCACTATTCGCTCGCTCTCCTCTTACCGGAAATTCTATTCTTCTTGACTTAGTCACAGAGTTGGGAACTACCGCTTCTGCATGGCTACGTGCAATGACTGAGGTATGCATACCACCATGCCTTATATTCTTATCGCGTTACGGAATTTCTCTGGAACCGCACCCCCAGAATACGGTAATCATACTCCGAAAAGGCTGGCCGAGCCGTATGCACGTCAGAGACTTCGGTGGTGCCCGTATTCTACCTTCTCGCCTTGCGAAACATGGACTCTCGATTGAGCTGGACGCTGCTACTGGGCTTGTGATTACATCATCTTCAGAGGTCGAAGGCACTGACATCCTTCGGGCCAAATTATTCTATCCACTTTTTGGCAACAATCTCGCTGAAGTGATTTCTACTTTAGCGAAAGAGAACAGAGCTCTTGAAGAAGAACTCTGGGGGGTTGTGCGCGCCGTAGTTCGGCGAACAGGGTTATATTTGGGGACGAAGGAGGCCCTGGAGGATGTTAGAGCCTTACTTGAGAATCCATGGCGTCGGAAATGTTTACTTTCCATGCGTCTTGCTGGTGCTGTCACCGATCAACGCTACGTAGATGGTCCAAACCCACTCCGGGCATCCCCAATCAGTCCTCCTAGCCCGTCAACCTTCTGGAACCCTGCGGAACAGAAGATGTTTCAATATCTATCCGAAAACGAGCCCGAACTATGCCTACTATGGCAACAGCAACTCACCGGAGCCCGTCGGTCAATAGAGGAGGATTATCAAGCCTCATTGGCACGTGAAGGGATTCAAGATAGCGTGGAAACTATCCAGGGTGTTAAAGCAGAATGGGAGCAGTTGAGACTTGAGCTAGAAGACTCAGCAACAAATCTCGCACTCTCCAGGGTTCTTGTGAACCTACGTGGGCAACAGTTTAGTGAACGCGCTGGCGCCACCAACCGAGACTTTCTTTCAGTTCTTCTTGACTTATATTCCCCCAGCGATATTACCCTAGAGCTCGACGATTTCGATGCGGAAGGTCATCCGACCCACCCCTGCCGGAGAACCAGACTTCGATTCTCGCCAGCAGACTCACTCGCATTTGCTCCGGATTCAGGGGCCATAGTCTCAGGAAAGATTGTGGCAGTACGACGTGATCAGTTAGTTCTGTCAGAACCAAGTTTCTCAGATGTCTTGCGAAGAAATTATCCATTTATCAATGATGCCGCCTCCGCAGCCTTGTCCCGCCGCGGAAAGAAGCCCGATGAGTTCGAATTAGTACTCGTACATCCTTTCCAATTCGAAACGGTACTCCCACGGATTTACAAAAGCGAGATTAATTTCGGCATCATAGTACCCATTCCCGAGGTAACAATCGCTTGCCGGGCAACATCGTCTACACGAACCCTCGTGTCTACTGCACCCGGGATTCAAGGCAAACGACTATCTTTCAAAACAGCGATAGATGTTCAAATCACATCTACTTGCCGCACGATCTCACATGAGAGTGTTCGAAACGGGCCTTACGTCTCAGCATTACTCACTCGCCTTCTTTCGAGCGAACCGAGAATATCTTGTATTGCAGAGCGAGCAAGTGTCGCTTTTTCGCCTGAAGCGAACTGTACGGCTTCGCGCCAACGGGGATTGTCAATGCTCTTGAGGGATGATGTGGCAGACTATATTAAACCTGGCGAAATCATTATCGGGTGTGCTGGTTTAATTACGAAGTCTCCGATGAGTGGCAAGCCTCTTGTCGTAGAAGTTGTTAATAGTCTAGCTCAGAGTGATAATCATGAATTGACCACCCGCAAGTTTATTGACAAATATGCCGATTTGCTTCTATCTGCAGCGCTTCCACTTCTGTGGAGACATGGTATCGCACTCGAGGCGCATCTACAAAACACCCTGCTTGTCCTCGACGCTTCTCGAAACCCAGTGCGGCTTCTCCTCCGCGACTTCGCTGGCCTTCGGGTAAATCTTGACAAACTAAAGGAGAGCGGTGAAGATATAACTAAGATCCCATGCCCAGAGTCAAGGACCATGTCAGCAGATGACGAGGACATCCACTGCAAGTTTACACATTCAGTTATTTTCACAAATCTGTGTCCCGTGGCCGATGCACTCTCCGAAATCGTTTCTCCTTCACTTCTCTGGGAGGTAATTCGAGCACGAGTTACGAAGGTATATGAAGTGTTTACTAAAGACTTGCCGAAAACTGACACAAGCGTGGAAAACTTTGCCAATGAACATTTCTATCGGTTAACATCGACTCCAGTACTGCCGCAGAAGGCCCTTCTCACGATGAGGGTGTTGGCAAAAACTTCGGGTGGAATGGACTATTACACAATGCAGAGCAACCCACTATATTACGAACCGAAATGAGGTCTTAACGAATTACGAATTCACGAAATGTCCATACAATCGATAGTATACAACCCTTTCATGTTTTGCGATACATTGAATTGTTTCTTGCATTTTTAGCACTGGTTTTCCGGTTTGTATCTAGTTACAATCTGCGTTGCTTTTAAAATCCAACATCCGCTTTGAGCGGCAGCTAAACCAACCTCAACTTTTCCCGACGCTTGCACTTGCTCCGGCTAGTTCTCATCATGCACATCGCATCGTAGGACCGAATCCGCAATGGGGACCTCGAACTACCCCCTTCCCCTTCCTTCCGTCTTGCACTACTCATCCCTGCACTTATTATACCCTCGACCACCGTAGCAATGGGTTTCCTTGAACTGGGTAAACGTTCTAAGCATACTCGTCGTCCGAGGCTGGCTGTCGTCTCTAAAAAACCATCTTCAACTGTGATGTCGTCTCGATCACAATCCCTCGATCTTACGCCTACCGCAACTTTTAGGACCACTCTATTCGAGCGTCTTCCTGTGGAACTACTTCAACGAATATTCTTGTTCTCGTACAATCCGGAACTTCCATTTACGAACCATTTTTTTCTATCGATACTTTCCTCTCCATATCTGATACAGACTTTTGCATCTTCTGCTGTGCTCGATGATGCACTTTCGAAGCGGGATTACAAGATAGTGATATCGAATATTCTCACTCGACGGTTCTTCAATCTTCAATTTCTCGAGAATTTGGAAACTACTCTGTGGAACAAATGTTTCAAGGCGGAATTCGAGGCACATGTGCCGACCACGTCTCAGGGGTATCGATTAGAGAAGGTAGAAGAAAGTCAGAACATGGGGCATCTGGAGTATACTTTTATGGAAAGCACCGAAGACGATGTAGATTCTGGCCAGAGGGAGGTCGAGAAAGTCGGAGTTTATGTTCCTGTCCTTGACTACAGAATGATACTTGGAAAATTTGACCTGCGGACCATTGCATTTCCCAAAACCCGACTTCTTCACCCGCCATTCACACTGGAGAAAATCAAGTTGATTTCAGCGTTAGCCATCAGGATGCCGTCCTTCTGGGTTGATCTTATTGCTGGCGACGAAGGGAAATGGTGGGGCAACAAATTGCTAGAAATGGCGGTCAGGAAGCGATGTGCGACTATGGTGGACTTTCTGGCCAACTTTTGTTACGTTCGGGTTGAACCTGTGCATCTGAGAGCAGCTGTCATGCCGTGGGATCATGGGAATACTGAATGGTTGGAGCCTGAATTTTCCAGGGGAGGGAGAGGACCTGTGGCACGAGAGGAGGATGTTGAAATGATGAAATCGCTGCGTGGTTTAGACAAGAAATCTGGACCCATGGAGGAGGGAAGCAACTCTGGTGTCGTCGGTTTTGTTAGAGGAATGGAGGCTTGGAAGAAAGGGAAAGGAGGCTTGATTAAGTCAGGTTGGGGACAACATGAGCCCGAGATTGAGGACTCGTTGAGAATCCTGTGGGTCCTAGATCAAGTTGTTGAAAGGAAGGGAAGGTACAGAATCCATGGATCTACAGATTTCGCGAATGTTGACCACTTCGAGGAAGAAACGACTCCATGGCTGCTGGGTGAGAACAGGTATTTTCCAACAGGCATTGCGGAATCTCCGTTGATGGCAGACGAGAAAGTATGGGAGGCTGCGAGACAAGAGAAGGGTATATACTGGAGATGGCTGTTGAAGGTTGGGACACCTCCAGCCGGGTTCTTAGGAAGCGTATAAGGGTATCTTCAAGATAGTCACCCAGAACCAAACAAACCTTCGAACGAATGTCTACAAAGAAGCATACTTCAGTTTACGGGATAAGCCTTGAGGGTTTGATTGTCTGGACATCATAATACTATGTGCACACCAGCCAAGCACTTGCAAAATCAATCTTTTGAGCTCGAGGCTTCTTCTCTCTTATAGTTCTCGTAAGCATCTTTGATTACAGCCTATTGTTGTGTTTATCCATCCAGATCCAAATATACTCAGTGCCCGCCGTCGGGATGCTACATTTCATTCTATTGTATATAAAAGGCCCAAAGAATAACGAAAGAGCATCCCGGATGGCAGATTCAATACGGCATAGTAGCTTGTCACGCCGAAAGTAGTCGAGGTCTTAAATATGCTGTCGGAGTCGGTATCGATATCCTCGAGTGTATCCCGATCCCGCCTACGCGTCCATCATCCCACCTAAAGAGCACCTGTGAGCCAGCGGCCACTCATCCAGGCAATACCATTGACCCATGATATCCAAAGCCATCGCAAAAAGTAAAAGAATGTCGGATTCCTCTGACACTTCTCCGGGCACCGAGGTAAAAGCCCAGACAAGTTCTTATGGAGCCCCAATCGTAAACCCACAGATCTAAACCTGATAGAAAACCAGATGAAAGCGACCCGAAGTTACATGTTTCTTCTCAGCGTCGAGTAATCGCGTAAGCAGCAACGGAAGTTCTAATAAAAGAGTCGACTGATTCGCACTGTCTAATAATGACGCTTGGTGAGAAGAGAAGAGAAGAAGAAAAAGAATAAGAAGCGAAGAAAATTTGGGTTGGTTTTAAATTGCTGCGATGCCAAGAAATGCGGCTCAAAATGGACACAACCGCAGCTACACCAAAGCTACCTTCCATTACGAGCTCCCTTGCCAGTGCACCACCTCTCGCTCTCCCCACGCCACGACGACTTCACTACCGCGAGCCTTGCAGGGACCACGGTTTATAACATCCAGCTATGGCATCGGCAATCTTCTTTCTCGACCTGAAGGGCAAGGTTTGTCCTCTCCCAGCCGAATTGGTGGATACAGGACGTCGTGGTATGCTAACTATTCGTTCTCCCAGACCCTCCTTGCGCGAAACTACCGAGGCGACATTCCCATGTCCGCCGTCGAAAAGTTCCCGGTTCTTCTCCTTGAGGCTGAAGAAGAAAGCTCTGCCGTCCCTCCATGCTTCTCTCACGAAGGAATCAATGTGCGAAAGCTCTTTTTGTGGCTGTCATATGTCTTATATATCTCGTTTAGCAGGCCACGTTAACTAACGAAACCCTGGTCTTTGTCGATATCAGTACCTCTATATCAGGCATAACAACCTATATCTCCTCGCCCTTACCAAACGTAACAGCAATGCTACCGAAATACTACTATTCCTGCATAAAGTTGTGGCCGTCTTTACCGAGTATTTCAAGGAACTCGAAGAAGAGAGTATACGTGACAACTTTGTCATCATATATGAGTTGTTGGACGAGATGATGGACTTTGGATACCCCCAAACGACAGAGACAAAGATTTTACAGGAGTATGATTTCTTCATTCCTTCTCATATCTAGAATAGATGTTTATATACTAACCGAATCCGATGTAGATACATTACCCAAGAATCCCACAAACTCGAGGTTCAAGCCAGACCCCCAATCGCTCTCACAAATGCCGTATCCTGGCGTTCCGAAGGTATCAGATACCGCAAGAACGAAGTCTTCCTAGATGTTATCGAATCCGTGAACCTACTCGTGAACTCCAACGGCAACGTTCTCCGATCCGAAATCCTAGGTGCCATCAAGATGAAATGTTATCTCTCCGGTATGCCGGAACTACGATTAGGATTAAACGACAAAGTTATGTTTGAAAGTACGGGAAGAACCAGCAGAGGAAAACAGATTGAGATGGAAGATGTCAAGTTTCATCAGTGTGTCAGGCTGTCTAGATTTGAAAACGATAGAACGATTAGTTTCATTCCTCCGGATGGAGAGTTTGAACTTATGAGCTATCGGTTGAATACGGCAGTTAAACCTTTGATTTGGGTCGAGTGTGTTGTGGAGAACCACTCGAATACCAGGATTGAATATATGCTTAAGGTAATTCAGTCTTTCCATAGGATTTATTCTAAGCTTGGCTTTAACCACATCAATTCAGGCGAAAGCACAATTCAAACGCCGGTCTACAGCCAATAACGTCGAAATTATTGTTCCCGTTCCTGAAGATGCCGACACCCCTCGTTTCCGAACCAATACAGGCTCAGTCCATTACGCCCCTGAAAAGTGTGCTATAGTTTGGAAAATCAAACAATTCGGAGGAGGCAAGGAATTTTTGATGAGAGCGGAACTGGGTCTGCCCAGCGTTAAGGAACAAGAACCAGAGAGGAAGAAGAGGCCTATTAGCGTCAAATTCGAGATCCCTTACTTTACAGTCAGCGGTATTCAAGTCAGATACTTGAAAATCATCGAGCCAAAGTTGCAATACCCAAGTTTACCCTGGTAAGATCCCACACTCTTGATGATCGGCGTGTTTGTAGATATTAACTTTTTGGTACAGGGTACGTTATATCACACAGACAGGCGAGTACGAAGTCAGGTTACCCGAGCCGACTCAAACATAGCATGTAGAGGACTTAGGGGGACCTGGTTATTACGACAGCCCCATTTAAGGTTGGGATTTTGCGGTTGGGTTCTTGTATAAGCGTGTTTGATACACCCTTCCATTATCTCCGGTGTAACTATCGAATATATTGCCATCGACTTAATGATCACCATATCTATCTCCAGTTTCAAGGGAATCTTTAGGTTCCTTATCGAGTCTAATGCCTTATGATTTCATGAGTATCCCGTCCTCCTAGCTTCTTCCCACCTACCCCATCCACCCAGCGGCTTCAACTCCTCTTTTTTCTTCCCGCAGACTTCATAGCTTGAATAGCCCGCTAGATCCGTCCACTCCGTCAACCTACTAAGCACATCCTTCCCAAAATCTCGATTCGCCTTCTGGAAAATAGTTTCATAAGGATGTAAATTATCGCCAAAATAAGCACCTTCCAACAGTATATCTCCATGTTTACATTCATCTGCATAGTTTTCTTGACTTGCAAAAGAAGTCATCATCGCTGAGACTGTATAACCTGCGTTGATGATTGCACGAGTACTATTGGATTCACCGTATACTGCGGAAAGCCAGTTCGGAAAACAGGTACTCATTACTGATAGAAGGGTGTTGATTCCGATACGGTCCGTGGCAAATATCATGGATTGTAGATGACGAACACCATATATTGGTTCACAGTTGAAGGTCATGCCGACGAGCTATGATTTAATCGTATTAGGATCGCAAGCTCCAAACTAGAGAAGGATGTAGGCAGATATGATACCTTATTTCTATCAGTAACCTTAGCTAGGTACGCATCACTCCAGCATTCCCTACTCCAAGTAGGTAAAAAGGGACCACGGATACTCCCATTCAGCAAGATGAACTTATTATATTTGTTTATCAATTCACTGTTATTAGAAGTTAGTACTTCGCCATAGGCCCCGAGGTCATAACAGGTATTTGTCCGTTGGATTATTCGAATGTTAGGGGCGGAAGGTATTAGTAATGTGAGATTTGTGTGGCCGTTTAGGATGAATATGAAATCTGCGGCTGAGTGTAGGCCGTGGTGTATGAAGAAAATTGCATTTTGACGGGCATTGGGACTCTCGTGGTAGGCGTACAGGATTAGAGGACGGTCGGCGCCGTCGTCTTTTGATGTTGTAGGCGTAGAAAGGGCAACGGTTTCCGCGGATAGGTTTTCCCCCTTGTCTCCCTAGTCGAGATTCAAGGTTAATTCAAGGCACTTTCGGGCCACTACCTCAATTATATCGCGGCTGAAGCGTCTAGCGACGACGTAGGATTGGAAATACCTCTATTTGAAAATTAAGGTCCGTATATCCAAAACCATTATACACTGCGGTTCCAATGATGAGAGTAAGAATGCCAACGATGGTGATTGCGCTCCAAATGGCGCAGGACTTTCGCGATCCCGTTGTAGTTGAAAAATACGACCTAGATATTCGCTTCAGGAAGGTCTCCGAAACAGGTATATAATGCTCGTCTCCAGAATTCACTTCTCCATGATCACCAGGTTGAAGCCTTAGATACTCGGCCGGCATTTTGGCCGTTGTCCCCAGAGCGGGAATATTTGTCGTAGAGCTTGGTGGAATGAGATTCCTGAGCGTTAGCTAGTATAAAACTAACATGACCAGACCAGGCATGGGGAACAGCCGCGACAAAGGTTCGAAATGTCGACCGAATCTAAAGGAGATCTAGAAATGTTAGCGTTGACTAGTCTCGGAGCCTTTTGTGGGAATCTCGGAGGACAGATCGCATTGGCTTACAACTTGGTAATTTCCTGAAAACGGACGATTGTCCGGATTTGAATTACAAAAGTCCTCCTTGTCATACACAGCTCAAGGAAGGGGAGCAATTGTTCTCGTGCGACTTTCGATGGAGCGGTTTGTGGTATTTTTCACAAAATCTTGCGTTGGCATGCACAATCGGCATTGTGCGCGACATTGCACAACTGACAATTTAAAATACACTACTGTATACTAGTCAATAGGAGGTTAACATGCAGTATACTATCGTAATGAGTTCGTGAATGTAACTTTATAGATAGGGGTAATATCTATTCTAGGAGAAGATCTAAGTTGTCCATTTCCATCCTCCCTTCTCGTTGGAATCTCTCAAAAAGCCTATCATCCTCTGCCAGGCATCTTCGCATTTCACCGGGTCGGATACAATTCCAGGTACTAATATTAATCTTAGAATCATTTCTGTGAACTAAAAAAAACCGGCCTGCAGCTGTGTTTAGAGATTCACTTACGTTCCGGAAACCCATGCATTTCGCCTTCATAAAATGCAGCTTCAATCCTTCGATCGCTTCCTTGCGTCTCCTTCTTCAGTCTTTCAACCATCTTCGTCTCCTCATGTAGTAGGATATCCACTTCTGGGATAATAAATAGTATATCTTGAGGCAATTTATCGGTTGGTGCCAAGATTACATTCAATCGTGGATCGTCCACATGCTTCGGCCTCAGTGGTCCAGCGTATGAGTCAAATACAGGCTCCAGAAATGCTATCGGATTCGAAGTCGGGAACCCAGGCGGCTTTGGCTTCTCCCATGGGCCTATTCTAACATCGACAAGACCGCAAAATGACACCGCCGCTTTAATACCACCAGTATGGTTCATCGATGCCGATAAAGAAAGATTAACACCAGCCGAAAGTCCAGAGACAGTCACATTATTCAAATCCAGATTAAACTGCTCAACAGCTTTAGGTGACAAAAAATATGCCAAAGCATCGTCAACGTCGTCGTGAGCAGCCGGATATACGAATCTCGGGGCTCCTCGATACTGAACCGATACGGTTACTGCGCCAGTACTTTTGCATACTCTATCTGCGAGTTCTGCGTTTTGCTCTGCGATGCCCGGCATAAACGCGCCCCCGTGGACGGTGAAATGAAGAGGACGAGGTTTTGACTTCGCTGGTGAAGAAGAACCATACACTGGCTCAAAGACTATGACGCGGATGTCGGGACCCCCATGTGTCGACGGAATGTAATAACTCCGATATGCTGATGAGAATATCCATGGAAGATATTTCATGCTATTAATCAACCAAAAGCCGGGAGTGAATGCGAAATATCGCCATCGATAGGTGAATGCCACCGGCCGGGTCGTGAACAGTGTAAAGAAAGGCTGGAGATTGGCGCTGATCAACGCCCCCATGTTGACCTTTGGTGATGAATTCTGATGTGACTATCAAATTGTCCAGAGATAAATTGGCCACCAGCCTAAAAAACCAGCATAGCGAGAGTCGACCAAAGTATCGATATTGCGATATTGTAGCTCTTATAGGTCATACAAGATGCAACTCCGGACTCCACGGGGTACCGGATATTCACTTCTTAGCTCCTCCCAAGCTGCAGGCGGCGGGTAACAACGCAAAGAAACATGTGTACAGCCATTGCTGGAAATAACGTTATCTATCCGCGGCGCATGCCTCACTCCGATCCAAGAAGGAATTGGGTTCTGGTTTCAATGCAACGAAAAGTCCAAGCTATATATGCTGGTCTCGTCCGCAGAAATCACGAAGAGAGTAGTCATTTTGCAGAGGGGTCTGTCATTACTCATAAAAAAATATATATCATGGATTGATGAAGATTTGTCTCTGAAAAATATACTAGTATCTATTGTATAGATATACAAATGTCAACTTCAAGACGAAAATATGCAATGAATTTCGAGGAAGCGCCCAGAATTAAAATATTAAAGGACGGAAGGTGAGGCTTCAAGCTGACTATATGTACAGCTAGACATACGAGAAAATCCCATGATTAGCAATTTTAGAGAAGTCATTGGCAAGTGCATTCGGAAAACTCGAAGAGAGTAAGGATCGTTTTCAAGCGAGAAAGACCTAGTTCAGGTCCTAGAGTGCCCTCCGTGACATAGTATAAATGACAGATCCGTAGGGAGGACCGCAAGCAATTTTTGCCAGTGGCTAGTATATACGATGGCCTAGTTTATATTAGATCCTGTTCGGCTGTCTCACGAGGCGATAGGTCGCTACCAAAACTTGCAAAGGGCTGTCGGCTAGTCTAGACGTCTGGACACGATATCCAATTGACTCTTGACTGCTCAAACTAAACCATGTGCAAATGCTCGAAGACCTAATTGGCCAAAATCCAATTATTCGAGTGGTCTTGTGTACATATTCAGATTGTGTGCTTGATAAAAACGATTTTGCGTTGACTGAGTGGGTGAAAGTCGGCATGGCCTTTGAGGTATATAACAAAGATGTTAGCTTGGGGGGAATCCGCAGACAGGATACCTGAGTCTCGAGACCCCTCGTAAAAAATACGGTTTCCGCGACTGTAAAAATACTTATGCGAAGAAAAAAACAGGAATAAAATGGGTTTCAGTTCGTTCAAAAAAATAAGTATCTTTCTCCCTACATGTTCTACTCAAGTCGTTCAGAACAAACAAATTCTGCGGTAGAAGTTTGCAATGCAATGCAATGCAATGCAAAGTGGGCGTCCCACGTGAAACTTATCAGGATGAAACAACCTACCAATCCGTTTTTTTTTTCTTTCTATACCCTAGTTGGATCATACTAGTTTGAATCTATTCCAGAGACAAAGGTACTAGTACGTACTTATCTGGATGCGAATCGAATGACGACATGCTTTGTTGCAAACAACACGGGTCGTATGGGTTGATTGTATATAAACGTAGATTGTCAGCCGCGCGCAGCCAGAATTCGCAGTTCTATACATTTATCGTTAGAAATATACGTCGATATCCCATTTGCTGAAAGAGACTAAAGGTCGAACTCGTTCATGGACACTAGCTTAGGGACAACCTTGGTGCCGCTTTTAGCTAGCCTTCTGCATTAACTCATCTAGTGGTGGGAGGAACTAAACGGCAATATATGCAATATTGTACATGTATACACAACCTCTATATGGCGGATTGGAATACTTGCAATTTGTCGGCCCGTTGGGCTAGTTTAAGGAATCTAGGTTTGTGGGACCAGACAGAAGAATATCTCTAAGAAGATATCAGCGTGCAAATGTATGTTCTAATAGATTTATGTAATGCTTACTAGATAAAATATTTTGTTAGCTCGGGATTCAAAGCGGTTCAACCTTTGTCTCATATGATCGTGCACTCAGCCGTTTCCAGAGCTTTGTGCTGGACCTATATGCCTCTTCGCGATTCATGAGGGCCGTAGCCTTAAACGTAGCAGCTGTATTCCTGCTTCTTCCCTTCGTAATTCTAGCCCCGTTTAATACTGGATTGATGGTATATATAAAGCCGAAAAGCTGCCCTTGGCCTCCTCTTCAGTCAGGTTAGATAGTCGCTAAATATCTCAGATCCTATTCTTATTCCCGGAACTATAGTATCAGCTTCCCCATATAACATTTTTCAAGATTATAATAAAATCCCCATAACTCGAATCTTCACGGGCAAAATGTCTGATACAGGAGACGAAAAATTTGTCCTAGGAATCCTACGCTTCTTTGAATTTGCATTCGGTGCATCTCTCGTCGGCGTGTGCGCGTGGCTTCACGATCGACTAGCCGATGCTCGCTATTACAATCTCTACAGAATCGATGTAACGCTCGGCTTCTCAGTCGCTGCTACTTTTATTTCAGCCTTGGCTGCTCTTACGTATATATTTCACTCAGCAGGCACACAATCCGTCATGGGGATTTTCGACGTGGTTTTGTTCGCGGGGTATATCGCTTCAGCGGTAGTCTTTAGCGGCTTCAGCGCGAAATGCAGCTCCAATAGGTTTGTTGTAGTTATTCAAACCGTTGGATCCACCAGTTGCGGCACAGTTAGGCTGGCTGCGGCGGGAATTATCATTCAAATGTACCTACCCTAGGGCCCTGATCTTTCTTTCACCCCTACAGATTAGATTACCGTACTAACATTTATTCGTAGTCTCTTATTTCTGTGTACTGCGATCCTGTCGTTTCACCTGGCAGAACGCCTTCACCGCCGCCGCGCTGCCGAAGTTGTACCAAGCTCGCAGGCCCATGAACAGAAACGGTGGTATGGGCGCAAGAGAAGCAATCCGGACGACGTCAGAGCCGAGGCTCCAGCCGAAGCCCCAGCAGTCTAGTCACATATTAGCGGCATTGCACCAAAGGAAGGATTGTTGCGCAAAGGTTAAATTGAATATCTAGCTGATATTGACTGTTGGATTTAATTGGTTATTGCCAATACAGAATGTGAATGACCTGTAATATTTAATTTATGGAGCCGCTTCTCAAAAGGGAGTACTCGTCCAAACCTAGAAGTTCTAGTATGGACAGAGGGGTACTGTGGATAGTCGAAATGGCAGTGGCCTAAACAATAAAACAGATACTAGCCCGAATAAGTTCCTGACCTGCTGAACTGCCGGAAAATGCAGCATAACTAAACTATACTCCTCATAATTATTGCTGAAAAGAGGGTTTCCAAAAGGAAGCAGACTATCACTGACAGACCAACGGGGCTATTTCCCTTCGTGTTGTTTTTGTGGTTTCTCTCGCATGTCTTTTCGACTCTAAGACTAGTCTGGATCACGATTTTGGCTACGAGTACGTACGCTGGGTTTATAATTATAACATTTACAATTATATTCGTTGCATTGATAATTGATACTATATTATTGACCTTGAAGCATGTTCATTTAAATGCCCCCCCCAATATTATTTGTTAATTTATCTTTGAATATATTAATACATATCTACCAGTATCAGTATCCCAGCCAAGGCCAGGCTTATGAAATAGTTTGAATTGGGCCCTTTGTTTGTCGATTCCAAATGATCATCCGGCATCTGTGGTTTGACCTGCCTAAATAACATGCATACATAATACAAGTAACGGCTCTCCTTCCCTCGGAACTGCTTCATGAATTCATGACTATACTTGCCACAATATGCGCTCGGGGCAATCAATTGAGCTATAGGTATGTAAGTACGTATACTGCACAGAAGACGATCGCCTTCAATGGTAACACCACCTTCGCTAACCCATCATAATACGAGCTGACAAGCTGACGAGTTTCAAAGCTCGGGGTCATGCACTTACGACACGACCTCCTGTGCAGCCAGCCACGCCAAGGATATAGCCAAAATTCCGATGAATGTCAAGCTAATTCAACAGTTACGCTACTTTAGCTTTAAGGCCTAGGCAAGCACTGAGAACGTATAGGTCGATGGTATATGGTATATGGGGCATTTTTCCCGCAATTTATGATATAATATAATAAAAAGAGCCCACCGTGCCCCTCAAAAGCCACGCGTCCGTTTGGGAGAGCTCGAGAGTACTCGAGTATTATAATATTAATTCGAGGTCCACTGAATTCTACACTTTGATTTAATTCGGGCACGGAGGCCGGTATAACGGTACCTGCACGCCGCAACCGAGCAGCTGCGTCATCAAAAACCACAACGGACTGGGCGCGCGCCGATACATGTAACCTTCTTGCTGCAGGTGCATCGCATCGACGATGATACGAAGAGGCCAGCATCAAAGTTAACAGGGGTTGTTACCTAACTTGATGACTGATTGCTTAAGTCTAAATTCCTGGCCTTGTAACCAGATTGCCAAATTTTGGTAAGTGGTATGAGGTCCTGAATCAACAGACAATCTGACCAGAAAGTACCGACGCGAAATCGCCCCGTCATTCGGATTGCATTAAAAACCTGGGGCATCTACGCACCAAGTCACTGCCAACTTTCATTTGCCTCGGGTATCTTTACAAAATCAATAAATAGCGCCAGGTTCTTCTGAATCTCGAATAACCTGCTTTTCGGAAATTTTAAAAAATGACGAAGAACTATTTCCCCATTCCTTCGGTAGTTTCTAATAGCACAATCGAGAGAAATACGAACCCAAATATGGCAGCAACCCATCAAGAATCCGCGAGGTCTCCAGCTTCTATTTTAACCACTTCAGAAATTCTCCAGTCCCATGAGGAAGCTGTAGCTGAACGTAAGAGGCCTCAAGATGGAGGATTCCATTTACCGTCTTTTCTCACAACAATCGAGGCAATCGGGTCTTCTGGCAGCATTCGAGCCCAGAAGCTCGCTGCTAACCTCGCCAGCCTGGAGGCGGGTGTCAGCAACACAAAGAATGCAACAAACAACACCATTCTCGCCTCTGATAGCAAGACTTTAGAAACGTTATCTGCAATCCCTTCCACCCAGCCCCGGTCAAATGCAAATGGCGGATCTCAGAAAGTTGGCCATTCAGAACCGGGGATATTGTCGTATTCTAAAGCCGCGTTTGATGCTACTTCTAGCTCCTCTCATAAGCCAAAACACCCAGGTAGCGTTGTGTCATCTATCATTTCCCATGGAGATGCAAAGTTCGATGACCTCAATACTCAAATAATTGCTTCCATACGGCAAGCACATCCCGGGGGGCGCTTAATCCCACTCGACACTGAAAATCTCGATGTCTACGGGTTTTGCTTCACTGGTCATGCTGAACTTCAGATGCTTACATCCGTAGTCGACGGGACAGGTATCTCGAATTACTTCTTTGCGCCACCACCCAAACGCGCGGCATCTGGGGAAGTAAGTGGTAGAATGGGCCAAAAACCACAATACGAGGCTGGAGTCATCACATATAAGAAAATCAAATGGACGATATACTTTGCAACATGGTCGAAGGGTTTTAATATTTACCAACGAGGTTACGTTGTGCACGATTTGGGTACTAAAGGGGATGACATCGTAGAACAATTTGTTCTAGAGTGCGGTACATGGACCTCCACACCTAAGGAGCAGATCTGGGTATTCGACCAGGGCTTCTGGCAACTCGATGGGGCACTATATAAGTCAATAATGAAGGCAAATTGGGCAGATATCATTCTCCCCGAGGATTTGAAAGAAGACGTTTTGAATGATGTCCTTGGTTTCTATGCTGCTGAAGAAACGTACCGAGGACTAAGAATTCCCTGGAAGAGAGGAGTCGTATTTTATGGTCCTCCAGGAAATGGGAAAACAATCACGTAAGAGATCACCCAGCCCTTCGGTATACATATGTGCGACCAAATTCTAACAAACTAAACGTCTATAGTCTCAAAGCCATCATGAAGGCGCTTTACACTCCCACGGAATCGATCCCTCCTCTCCCTATTCCATCTCTCTATGTGAAGACACTCGCTGGATGGGGACCACCCGAATTCTCTATCCGATCCATTTTTGAGAAAGCCCGTGAACAGTCACCATGCTTCCTCATCTGGGAAGACTTAGATAGCATCATCGACGACTCAAACCGTAGTTTTTTCTTGAACGAGCTTGATGGGTTGGAAGATAACAATGGTATCCTTGTTATCGGAACAACTAATCATCTCGATAGATTGGACCCTGGTATCATCAAACGCCCGAGCAGATTCGATAGGAAATACCTATTTGATAATCCTTCTGATGATGAGAGGGTTAAATACGTTGAGTACTGGCGGTAAGAAATATTTCGCCCCTCTTGTTACGTGGCATTACTAACAATTTTCACAGCCACAAGCTTGGGGACACTCCAATTGATTTCACGGACGATCTAGTCAAGGAGCTTGCTGGTTTGATGAAGGATTTCTCATTTGCTTACATGAAGGAAGCTTTCGTAAGCACTCTTTTAATCCTGGCTGGGCGTAGAAACAATAAGGACGGAGGCGACGAGTGGGCCGCGAAATTTCCAGAAGCAATCAAAAAGCAAATCAAACAGTTGAGAGAACAATTGGAGGCTGAATAAAGGAATACACAGAACAGTATTCCCGAAGTTGCATTTCCTTCTTGTTATTCAGTAACCTAGCAACTAGACTATTCAGTAACATAAAATCAATCCCATTCTTTAATTTCACGTGTCTTCCATCTAACTAGAACCTGGTTTTAAAAACCATAGCTGTTTAATTTGGCCATGGAGGCCAGGCAAGCCAAGCTGCAACACCCTCAAAAGTAGTTCCACATTTTGAGCAATCAAAAGCATGAGCAGGGTTTTGGCCGTGTGGACCATTGAACAAGACATCAACCATAAATTCCTTGCTATGAATTCCAATCGCATGCGCGGAGTGGACCAAGTCATCGACGCCACTGCGCTTTCCGCAGGACGTGCAGGTCATCCTTTCCCTAGTCATATTGTGGGCTGTCATTTTGGCGGCATCGGCTTCTGTAAGAATTTAGGGTTGTGACGTTAGTTCCGAAAGAGAATGATACCGAAATTATATGCAGACAATATGACATTATTTCAGAGAATCTAAGAGCTTCTTACCGTCAATATCGAGAATCTTGGCAACGCTATCGCGCTCGCTGTCCGTCATAATCCAACGGGAGCCGGGTTCGTGTCCCTCCGCGACCACTGGGACTTCATCGACCGTCATATGTGAAGACATCATGACAGTGAATAAAAGGTTATAAATAGAAGGTATATTGAGTAAAGGTTCAGGATTTGAAAATCTTTGGTAGCAGATGATAATGAGGTTTGAACTGGTCAGATTGCTGATGATTTTATGAGAATATATCGAGGGAAATGACCGGGTTTATATAAACTTTCAATCGGATAACTAGAGCACTAATCGAAGCATAAGAGCTGAGCTGAAATAGCTTGCAATAGCTAGCTGAGCAAGACTTTGTTCAGGGCTTGAGAAATTACCCCGCACCTTTCAAGATCTATCGATATCTACGCAGGAAGGGAATTGTACGATAGTACACAAGACACAAAGTATTCGGAAACGAGACTCCGATTGCAAGTCCGACTAGCTATGCGAGCCTGCATATGCAACACCAATCGCGATCACGAAGAATGCGCAGGCGCAGTGAAACCCGAAGAATGCTCGCTAGGCCCTATCAGAACGGGAAATCTAAACTATTCTTGTCCTTGGTTTGGTGATTTCGCCAAATGGAGCAACTATTGAACCCCTCTATTGATAAATCCCGCGGGCCGTCCCATTTTGTATACATGTACGACCTACAGTACCACTCAGATCACGGAAGCTGTACCACATTCCATGTTCTTCGACTACTCTTCATTCCAGGCTTTTTGTGGATTTAATCAATTGGCCCCGAGCTAGCTTGTCAGAGTTTCTGTAAATATTGTTTACTAGTTAGGATTAAATGTGAGATATCCACTCAGTACTCTGAGGTCACGATCGTTCTTGAATACGATGATCTAGACATCTTGTTTTTATGTAGAGGAACTAGTACTAGTGATGATCAGTCAATTGAGGTCGGTCTGATGTTTTTCATTCTTAGACATTTCGATCGAGTTCAACCATTGCAACATGATCAGTTCACTATGTCCGTAGATGCGGGGTCGACCATTAATTAGATTTTGGTCCAACTTGGATCTGCAAATATTTGAGAGGTCCCTGACGTATTCCGTATGACGAAAACCTAAAAGCAGGAGGCTGGAATCAAAATTTTTTATATATATCTCCGATTAGGAAACGTTCTGCAGAATTTTCGGGTTATAACATTTCTTCGATTACGATCGTAACTATCCAGAATAGAAAGGTTTTGTTGGTGTAGTATATCTTTTAAATTTTAAGTTTTTCCTATTTTGTGTGATGCAGAGTCGAGAGTGGGGGTAACACACGAGATGTCGAGACAAATGCGTTATATAATATAATTGTCTGATAGCATATGCATATATGGTGTAGTAGGTCTATTGTAGATATATCTTTAAACTCGACCAACTCTAATTGCAATGTGGTTTAATTGATTAATACTCCGGAATTAAGTCACGTATACACTCTCATCGATATATCTAAAATAGAATGAGACGTCAGAGATATATGCCGCGGGTGTATGCAGCGTTAGCGGTTGAATGCAGCTCGGTGCTACTTGATGTAAGATAACTGAGTCTTGGTGTATACGTATATACGTATATACGTATTCAGCTAGTACGCAGTAGATCACATGCACGCCAAAGATGTTTTCACCGTACTTACGAGGGATCAAGCCCCTATCTTAGTGTTTAATTAAAGGTTTCGTAAGTCTAGTGTGAACATTTACATTTACGTTAGCATAGAGGGCATGTCGGCAAAGTAGGTTAAGTGCCCCCACAGCTTTCTATTACGTTTATTGCGGGCAACTGTCGTAGATTTTAGGGTCCGTTTGTAACATTTCGTCGTTTGACTATATATATGATCATGCTAGATTGGTGTAAATTTGCAAAGTCATATATATGTATATATCTATGCGTGTATTCGTATATGCGTAGATTCTAAACATGTATTTGTTTTAATTTGATCTTACCCAAAAGGATATAGATATGCTCAAAGATTTCATAGGCTAGTCGTATAAATCGTTAACTTAGTTAAGTTTAAAGCTGTATTTGGTTAATATTAATGGGCGGGTTCACAGATGTGGGAACTTTGGATTACAGAGGGAGTGCATGCTTATTGCATTCAATTGATTTGGGCGAGCTGGAATATTCGCATGCTCCTGCCGTGGTCGACAGTAGGTTATCTCGCAAACCAAGTGCCCTTTTGGTCCTTTGTCTTAGGCTAAGGCTATTTCGACAGTTGAACCTCCTAGCGTTGGAAATAATTGGCCTAAGATCTGGTAGTACAAGAAAGACGGGATCGATGAGACATCATTCATTCAGCCGCAACCGGTCCCGGTACATATACATATACATGCACACCCTCTCAATTTTTGATGAACAACGATCCAACTGCAATTCAAGGCTGGAATTTTTTTTTAAAACAAAAATAAAACAAAAAATACAAAAATTAACATAACTATGATTCGTCAGCGTTCGTAAAATTCGGAATCACCCACTGCGCTGTGGTTAAAAGCATGGCTTCTCGATCTCCTCTCATCGCAGTCGGGGTGGCTCGTGGCTGGCTCGAGCGCAATCAATTATGTTCGTCCTCCATGAGATCTGCAGGGTCACTTTGCCACATCGGGAATATATCTCGATCTCGATATAACATTAAATTCGCCTGATGCCGAGTACATCCAACATGCAACAAAAGACGGCACACAAGGAGTTAAGAATGTTGGCCGCCATGCATCATGCAGTCCCTTTCAGCCCAAGTCTCAAATATCGACGAATGGTGAGATGGTGTTATAAACGATCGAGGATCTTTCAACCACTTGGGACGAATCTCCTAAATTAACACTACGTAGATGAAATCTCAATTCTATGCGGATTCGTCGAATGTGGCGTTTCTCTCTCTCTTTCTCTCTCTTTTCTCTCTCTCTCTCTCTCTCAAAGATTGTTTCTCGAAGAACGCCCTCAATTATTTCCAACTTCAAGGAAAACCTGACCAATAGGAAGCATTGGCATCTGGCAGGTCTCTCCGTCATCATTGCACACAAACGGACGGCTCGGGTTTCGGATATCTGGGCGTCGGAACGGGGGGCGCTCTCCCTTTGAATTCATGAAGCCTTTCAACTTCAGCTTCGCAGATTTACAATGACAACATTCAAATTTATCAGGCACATCTAATCCGTTTCTCTAACAAGCCCTTAAGAACTTTTAATTTTGAGGATTGTCTACGGTAGGTATTAGTTTCATATTATTCTTTATTGATAACGGCAAGATCAGTTTGACCTCAGCCGCTTACCCGGCTGAGTTTATTATGATTATCGATAGAGGAAAAAGGCTAAACCCGTCGTGATATCATCAAACAGGCGGAAACGGGCATTGACGCGACGACGGCATGAAGCGTGAGGAGCCCACATTCCCCCCAAAATCTTTTTTTTTTTTGGTGTCTAGCCATTTTGAAAGGAAAGACACGAAATGCTATCGGCTTGGGGCCGTGCGCGTGGGGCATTATCCGACGCACTAACACCAATTGTATGGAACTCGGGGTTCCAGTTTTTTTTCGTCATGCATACCAGTGGGGACGCTATCGATGATAGAGAAGTTGCATAGACTTCTCTGCAAGGTTGGACCCTTCCATCTCATCGCTTAGACAAATGTGTCGCTTTCGTAGGCGAGCTCCAGCTGCATCATCGGAAACATATGGGGGAAAGAGGCTATGATTTGCGATACATCTGACTGACTGAGTATGGGCTCGGACGTATCACAAGATACAAATATTCGGGCTTGCATCGATAGTAATATGTAATTATTACTACCTGTTTCTAGAGGAGATATAGGTAATATGGATTTGAGGGGGCCTACACAGCTACAGGTCATAGGCAACAGATGCTGACCCCGCAATTAATAGTGTAAGAAAGTGTTTCTGAGGGTTTCTAGTTGATAACTTACTATAAGATTAGCTATAATTAGGTCTGACCTTTTTCTCGAGATAATAACACGGGAGACCATGAAAAGCGAGTGGGGGCCCAGCACCCTCGTCGTGTCGAAAATATCTGCACACTCCTTGCCATACACCTGCATTAGACGCAAACTTCATAGGCTATTGTCCACAAAGCGAAGCGAGCATGTAGGGCGGCTTGAACAATGGGAGGACAAGAAATATTTTTCCCTATCTTGCACATCGACAAGAAAAAATTTCTTTGCTTCGAACCAGGAGATTACGGGTGAGCTCATGCAGCAATTGCAAGGCGTATCCAGATGTTCGGGACCATAAACTGGCCTCCAGCATGGCCAAAATCACTCAACTCGATGGTGAGCTCTCTCTCACACTCAATCGATCAATCAATATCAATCAATCAATATGGTCGGCCAACAGCGAAATTCGATGAGAAAAAAAAAAGGCATCAAATCTTGCTTGCCACGCACAGCAATTTTAAACTTGAAAAATCCAACCTCTCCCGGTGCCCTTGGCATTGCATCCCGAGTCGGTATTGGGAGTATACCAATCTACGCAATACTATCTAAACGTTTCCCGTCACGGGCGGGATAAATCCTTTCACTCACCCGTTTGTCGACTGATCCGACTGGATGGATTTCTTTAGTGAATTTAGGACGTGATCCAGAAAGATGATTGACCACGGAATGACACGCTCTCGCGGGTTCGGATTGACTTTTAACGGCATCCAGTTGATGATAGCCTGATGGAAGCCCTCAAAATCCTTCGCAATTGGAAATCATCGTCACTTCTCTGAACCTATCAGGAAATTTAGCCCAATTCTAGTAAATTTGAGCAGCGAATGAGTGTTCTGCCTTCACCACAGGCTTCGTAAGAAAGGAAAATCGTAAAAAATCCTCTTAAGAATCAGGGGAACTTGTTAAGCCAAGCCCTGAACTGGGACCGGGAGACTTCTAACCTGAATAGGACCGGATGTTGTTCCCCGACCCACAGGATTGTTTGATAACAACGGGAAAACCTCAGAGAGGTTTCCGACCCTACCGTCGAAAGTAACGTTGGGCCATTCCGACCCGCCAATCTGGGTAGACCGAGGTCCGGTGCCAAATGGAATACTTCGAATTTTCACTAACTTGATAGGTATCCGATCGAAAAAATTTCTCTTGACGTTGTAGAGATCGGAACCGTTAGCTTCAGAGAAACACAAGATTGAAGCGTGACATTGTTGGAACTGTCCCCGACTGATCTTCGTGGCCCTACGGGCTGTGGTATGACCGGGCCTTACGAGGACAGAAATAGTTTACCTACGGAACCGGTGTCCTCTGAAGGATAGTAATCCACTCGGCCTCAGCTCGGGGGATGTACCGGTACTCTTTCAGCCTTTGATCTTCTTTGGTTTTAAATTTTGATCACGGCAGGTTGCGAGACCATGAAACTGGAAAAACGGAATTTGTATCTAGAATGAAACCAGAAGAACGCCAATATCTAAGTAATTGGTATCTTAGATTTCAACCACCGTGCCGTCGATGATGGCGAGGGGAACGGAACATTCCCAGAGAGAAGGAACCAGCACACCTCCTCAGGTTCCAAGGTACAGGAACCAGTATTTCTTGACCCGACAGTTTGGAACCCAATCAACGCTTTGTCCTACCCATGTTCATACCTAAGCTGTATGAGGAATGGTGTGTGTTTGGGGAAGCGGGAGGATATTGAACCAACTGGGATGCCAAGAGCCTTTTCGTTAACTGGAGGGCTTCCACAAAGAAGAAGTCGAAAAGCAAATATGAGTCTTCTTCGTGATTGTGGATTCCACTATCCCAAAGGTAGAGGAATGGAAACAAAAGCGGGCCTCCAACTACCATGTCAATGTTTCTTTTTTTCCCTTTTCCAAATCCTCGGGGTTGCATACGTGAGCCTTTCCCCTCTCCCTGTCCCAAGGTTTTGGAGCAGGCAGTTTTCCGGTGGCTGTAAGAAGGACCCAAGTTCCAGATTCCTTTATATCTCCAGAGCTACCCTCCTCTATTTTCTCCCTTATCAATTCTATCTTTTTAACTGTCACAGCTCAGACCCTTTGTTCGTTATGACTTTACACTATCTCGACATCATATGCAACTAGGGAATCCCAACAGCCGCTGGGATCGATTTTAGGAAATACCGACAGGGACATTTAAGGGAAATCTTCAACATCAATTATTAGCTATTCACGATGATTAGCGGAGCCGCAGCTATCAAGTAAGGAGTCCTATGGTGCAGGTCTCGGCAGTCGACCTGCTTCTACCCGAATCACAGTCACACTCAGGGTCATGATATTCTACGGAGCTTCACCTTTGCTAACGACATCTGCGATTATAGGTTCGAATGGGCCATGTTGGGATTGACCGTCCCTTTTGTGCTCCTTCGGTTGTACTCCCGCTGCTGGATTACACGCAATGCTTCAGCCAGTGACATCGTTGTCGTTCTGACATGGGTCCTGTTTGCCATTGGAACATCTCAGGACTATGCCACCTATCGACTAGGTTTTTTTCAGGATGGACAGTCATATAATCTAAGCTTGTTGGATAACTTTCTAAATAAAGAAAATCTTGTCAAGGTTCTCAAGGTGTGTAGCAAATACTGCAATGTGGAAATTTCTATATATAAATGTTCGAAACAGCCAAGCTAACTGCCTCAGATATCTTTCACAAACACGATCCCATATTATGGGACTCTGTGGGGAACCAAAGTTTCCTTGCTCCTGCTGTATTACAAGCTTATCCCTGAGTCTATTCCGATTCTTCGACTCGCGTTACACATAACATCTCTTGTTATCGGTGTATCGTTCTTTATTGTATTCTGCCTCAATATGTTCTGGTGTGTTCCTATCGCTCGGAATTGGAGCATCGACAGAGAAGATGCATGCTTCTCCTTTGCTGCTCATGTGCCATACTTCGTCACGGCGGCGCTGCATCTCCTCACCGAGTTTATGCGTAAGTCTTTTTGATCATAGACATCATTCCAATATCTACTTACTGACCTGAGATCTCTAGTCCTCATTCTTCCATTCCCACTTCTCAAAGTCCTCAATCTCACACCGAGAAAGAGGGTCGAAGTTGGCGCCCTTTTCGCCCTTGGTGGTCTCTGCATTGTCTTCACAATCATTAGAATTGTGGAAGTTGGGCTCTCCGTCAACGTCGCCACTATCGGTGTCTGGTCTACAGTCGAACAAGCCGGTGGCATAATTGTTGTCTGTGCTCCAGCCCTACGTGGCCTCGGCACGCAACCTGCACCTCAATCTCAAGTCGATCTCGAAAGTGGGCAGCAACCGTCCATCCATGGTCAAGGATGGTGGACGGCTGGACGCGCTACTCCTAAGAGACGCGATAGCGGGTCTCCGCATGAAATCATTCCAAAGGCATTCCTTAGGTTCTCGGGTACGCATCAATCCGAGAACGCATGGGAGTCTCTTCCAGACAAGCAACCTTCTTCGGACGACATTACTATCGCACATGCACAACGGGTTGTTCCAAATGATCTCTCGTCACAAGCCTCAGTAGAAGAATTGAAGATCACTAAACCGGAACAAACAGTTCAAGTACAGCCAGCATGAACGGATCATGAAAAATAATAGTGCGAATCTCATTTTACATCTACATTCAAAAAAAGTCATTCACGAGGTCACGAGTTCTATGAGTTTCCATATCATGAAACAGAATGAAACGTTCCTGTGATTTGACCTTCCGTCGAGGATGCTACTATTAGCTATTCCACCTCACTGGGCTGGTTCCACGAAGATACGGCCGCCAATAATACATCGGGCGGCGACATGGTTTCGTGTGAGCTCGGGTGGCAGACAACCACACTGTACACCTTCTCTAGCCTATTATGTCCGTTTTTCAGAGAACCCGAGCCAAAAACAAACGGCTCATTCTGAACATGCGGTAATGCATTTAGGCGATCGAGTCTAGCGCTCAGACTCTAGCATTTTGTTGGAGTTTAAAAATTTTTCCCTCTAGATCAAGGGGTTTCTACTAGTACATTATTTTCAGTAGATACTTTCACTTGTTGGTGTTTCGAAAGATGGTTTAACCAAGGATACAAGAAAAAAACCGGTTGGATAGTTTGGGAGAGGACAATGTTGGTTAGCAATCAAGCAAGATGCTCCAACTTTCAACTTTAAACAGAGGGGTCATAACGTTACAAGGTCTAGAACACTATTGTGTCATACCGTTGTACCTAAACATGTACCAATACTTAGATAGTTCTATAGCTAGCTTTTACTCTAAACAATACAAAATTCAATAAAATATCTCACACCAATTACATATTTGGATACCAACCGTCTCCGCTGAAACGATCGAGTTTTTCCGATGTAATATGCCGAACGTGCATTCCGACAAGCGAGCGATAACCACCTACCCGCCTTAAACTAGCGTCGGTTCGTCTCCCGATCGATAGTCTTACTCTCGTACGACCATCCCGGCATACCCCTGGCCTGTGGAAGCGCACATTGATAAAACTCCGATTTTTCCACCCGTCTTTTCCAACCCGTTAAGTAGGGTAGCGACGATCCTCGCTCCTGTGGCACCGAGGGGGTGCCCCAAAGCGATGGCTCCACCCATCGGATTTACCTTTTCCGGATCAATTCCCAATTCCCTGATGCAGTAGACACTCTGCGATCCGAAGGCTTCGTTAAGTTCCCAAACATCAACTTCCGATTTGTCGATACCGGTTAATCGGAGCAATTCAGGTACCGCTACTGCCAGAGCAATGCCCATGAGGCGAGGAGAGACTCCCATGACCGTACCTGAAACGTATTTTCCAATCGGCTTGATGCCTAGAGATTCTGCTTTAGCTCGAGTCATGAGGAGAACGGCAGCGGCCCCATCAGATATTTGGGAAGACTATGTAACATGTTAGTATCATTTACATTCCCGATAATCAATGCTCGATATGGTACTCACATTCCCCGCCGTTGTGGTCCCATCCTCAGTGAATGCCGGCTTCAAATTCCCAAGTTTTTCCATATTCAATCCCTTTCTCACGCCATCATCCCTCTTGACTATCTCCCAGCTTTCTTCCACAATTTCCTTCCCATCAGCGTCAACCTCGCCTTCTTTTTTAACTAATTTCCTCGCATTTACCTCGACCACCTCATCCTCAAACCACCCTTTCTCCCACGCTCCTGCAGCTTTCCTATGACTCTCCATAGCAAATCTGTCTTGCTCCTCCCTAGAAACACCCAATTCCTTCGCTACATTCTCACTTGTAATCCCCATAGGCATCAATACGTCACGCGCATCTTGTATGGGACTCTTCTTCCCCACCCCTTCTGCAACCCGCCATGGAATCCCCCTGTGTGGGAAGTAATCTAAGCTCATGCTTTCCGTGCCAGCTGCTATCGCACAGTCCGTTCCCCCATCCAATCCAGTATCGATATTCGCACGGATGGTATTCGCGAGTAATGTCATCGAATATGCAGAACTGCTACATTGCCGATTAACCGTTGCAACAGTCGTGGTACTCGGGAACCCAACATGTTTAACAGCTGCCGCTGATGCCTTCTGTCCACCTAGTGTTTGTAGAACGCAGCCGACTAGGATGTCTTTGACTTCTGAAGGGGATATCTTTGTACGGTTGAGAGTGGCGGAAAGAACGGTAGAAAGTAATTCTTCCGGGTGAGTAGCTGCGAGGCCGCCTTTGAGAGCCCTGGTGACCGGAGTTCGTAGTGCAGAGGCGATAATTATGTCTGTAGGATTTTTCGCGAGGATCGCGGGGAGACCGCGGGGGAGGGGCATGGCGCACTTCTTTTTTGCAATTGGGGGCGTATATCGCTAGAGAAGTTTATAGCTAGTAAATATGATAATTGAGTTCTACAGATGGTGGAGATATTCAATCTTCAATCGCCCGGTATCAATCGCCCGTATGAAGCTATACAATAGATCGATATCGTGGATTTAACACGGAAAATTGCCATCGTGATTACTGATATGTATGTATGGTTGTTGATAGTGCGTCTGGGGTGGAGGCTGGTTCGGGAAGTGGATTGTTTCGGCTGCAAGTTTCGGATGATGGCGCCGGAACGCTGCAGCAACACACAGGAATGGGCCACAATGATAGAAAGTTGGCATTGCATGATCATGCAAGGTATCAAGGCACGAGATCGATGATCTGGAGAAATTTAGAAAACAAGAAGAAGAAACAAGAAAAAGAAGAAAATAATTTAGATAAATATTAGAAGTAACAGAATAAAATAAAATGAGGTGTCTAGATCTAATTTATTCGCTTGCTACTGGAACGCCGTTCTCCAATTTGGCGGTGCTTCCCAATGTTTCCAACGCCTGTTTGGCAAGTCTGTTCTTCAATTCCTCGCTCTCCATATCTGTTGTAAGTACGAAGTCCCACTTTAGCAGATGGTCTCCGACTTTCATGCTATATTTTTCTGCCATTGTAGAGTCCGATAATGTTTCAATGTCAACGATTAGGCTGGATTTGACACCAAATACTGCGTCGGAAGTCTCATATGGGTCTCCCCGAGGATATAGCGCCCTGAACAAATGTGTTAGTAAGACGCGGTGGCTACACAGGTAGGATGTAGTTTCTCATGAAAGGGTATCTTACGTTACTAGTTCGTCATATCCGGCCTTCTTGAACTTGAAATGTAAATGCGCAGGGCGGTAGCAATGTCTATGGAGTGCGGATAGCATTTTACCCACGGGACCTATTTGTAATTACAATTAGCATCATTAGTTGTTTAAGGCAGGATACACCTTTCGAGATATTCTAAATCTTACCGTCGCTTGGGATTGGGTATCTGTTATATATTTAGTATCTTTATAGGAATAACTACTGCAATGGTCTGAGGGATGAGACTTACGGCACTGGCTTCACACATTTGAACCAAAAACCCTCATCGTTGCTTTCTAGGACGCCTCTGCAATCAGGTGTCGTCCGCCCAGGATATTGAGTGTCATAGTGTCCTGTATCATCAGTTTCCCATACATCTACTGTCACGCCTTCCAATGGCTTCCCAGCGGTATCCTTCACAGTACACAGCACTAGCATTGGCTCCCCCTTTCCCGGACTGCAGATATCCTCCCCGATTTCGAAATGTTGTGCATCATGTGTATGGAAGGGCCCCAAAACTGTTCCTTCGGTTGCACCGGGCGGTTTAGGGTGGTTCATCCCATCCACAAGGACCGACAATCCAAGTGTGTCCGATAGTAAAATAAATTCTTGTCTAATATCATCACATTTCTGGCCCACAGCCGTCAAAAACTGGATTGCAGCCATCCATTCTTCAGATGTGAGACGGGTTTCACGAGCAAAATCATGAAGATGGGTGACGAGGGTGGTTATGAGGTATTGTAGGCGTTTATTGGGAGATTGAGAATTTATGATGTTGACATTGGATGTTATATTGGAGTCTGTCAAGTCCATCATTGGTGGGATGGTAATTTTGGAGGGATCCATTTTGCGTAGCGGAGTTATAGAGGCACGATTTGAAAGGTTTTAGATTATAACTGAGGCTTCGAATCCGAGGAACTATTCTTGTTCTTGCTAAGTTAAATCTTCATTCAACGTATTGAAGGTAGTGCAGTTGCATCTTACTAACAACTTACCTGTGGACGAAGGTAAAATACCTTTTATAGATCTCGTGTTGGAGGCTCAAAATTGTATGCAGATATTCGCGGTCCGGAGCAAGGACTGTGGGGGAAATTAGAAAACTAATTCTAGCCTATCATAAAGAAGATATTAAAGAAAAGAAACTCGAGAATGGTTTGCTTTCTGATAGTTTCCTAGTCGTACAATGGTTACTAAGATGCGTCAGCATCACTAACACAGCTGACATGACGTCCTTCCTACAAAACTATCCGAACTACGCTGCCGAACCGAAAACGCGGGGTCATACCCCGCCAGCCACCACCACGCATTCATATAGGTAAAGTATTGGAAAGTCGGATTTTGGCTGAATTCATGAAGACCGTGGATTAATTGGTATCAGATTATCTAGGAACATATCTTGCAAGGAATTGGGTTTTAAATTTTGCGCCGTACAAAACTGTGGTCGGAGTCGAGTGATATCGTAAATTTAACCTTTACCTAAATTAAAAAAGCCGGCTAGCCGATGTTTTCTCAGAAACCAGCTTCAGGCCTACTCTGAGACTATACAGCACCTCACAAAGTATTTCAATGCATGATGCATGATTCTGCAAAAAAAAAAAATATCAAGCCTTTGCCAAGATAGAAGACTCTAGTTCTTCTTAAATTAAAATTCTTGTCGTAAACATATGTGCATGTATAGCCACAAAGTGTGGACCGCGTCTGCAATACGAGACTAGTATAGCCATATACTTATATGAATCGCAATTAGACTAGCTAGGTCGATTATAAAATGGGTTAAAACGCTCGAAGGTGACAAATTCGGCCTCAAATTTGACACGAGACTGACAATTTCTTTATTAAGAATCCATTTGAATTTATAGAAATATAATAATTTGTTCTGGAGGTGCTTCAAGAGCCATAGGGACGTATTCCTGCCTCGAACTGGGAAATGATCTTGAAGTTGACGTTATAACTCTACGAAATTTTGAGATCCCAGTGAGAGATTACCATACTCCAAGTAGATATCAATAGGCGGTAACACAATAAGCGGTAACATAGGTGTAGTTACATTGGTCTTATTCTCAGACTTACGTTGGTTTTTCTAGCATTTAACTTTGCACAGATGTCATATGCATACGAAGCCTATTCATTTTAGAAATGGGATATGATACGAACCGTATATTAGTATATTCAATTCCGAGGCTGTACTAAATATCTTTCTTGCATTGATCCTGATACTTTGCGCAAAGTGCAGGGCCATGACAATAAACGAACAATACAGGGATCCTGCCAAAGTGGGAAGTTAATTGGTGTAACAGCAATCCTACTTGAATTCAAGTGCAAACCTCGGCCTCAGGCGTGCCTGGTTTGCCAATTGGCAATGCAATGCAACTAACTACAAAATGTATATATCTACTATTCGAAATCATAATCCAGGTTGTGAATTGACCTTCAAGACCCTCCGGTCAGTAGCTGCGGCATTCGACCCTCCGGTCAGTAGCTGCGGCATTCGACCCTCCTAAAATCCAACATTGACAGTGTGTTGGCGTCTACCAACATTTTGGGGGCCTCTGCACAGCTGGTAGTAATATTTGCTGAGTGTTCTGTGTTATGCACAGAGAGGCACGTTCAAATCATTTGTCCAAAGTCAATCGTAGACAAACTGATTATCTATGCCATCAACTTCTCAGATAGACATCATCAAGAGAAACTACTTTCGAACCTTCGGACCCAGTCCAGCAGCCTCCATTCCAAACCCTTTTGTTCTCGTTTTATTTAACACCAGAACAACTAGCTACCCTCCGAACACCGATTAATTATCGATCAATCCGTATCAAAATTCGCTCCTATTGTATCACATACACCAGGAACGAACCTTCGACACGATGCCCCAATACGAGATCATACGTTACGTCGAGGATCCCGCCGGCTTCGAATCCCTCCCGGAGAAACTCATCGAAGAAATCATTTCATATCTTCCAACTTCAGCAGTCGCTGCCCTCTGTCAAGCTTATCCAAAGGTCCTTCAAATCGTCTGCGAACACAACAAAGACCGATACTTTGGATACCGCAAGCACCTTTCTGCAATCTTTATGCCTGCAATCATCTACGGTGCCTATGAACGTGTGGCCGGTGAGGGAATGGAAGAGCATTCTCGAGGAGCTAAGAATTTAGCGGATGTTATTTGCTGTGAATTGGGGAAGGGTAGATGAATTCTATTCGTGTAACATAAAATGGCCTTTGGGTAGCTGGATGGAGAGCTGGATGGATTTTGGAACGTTCCGGTTTAGAAGAGGTACGTCCTGGGCACCTGTTACGCAAAGGATTTACTGTAACACGACAGCTGATCATTTCCCTGAGCCTAGGTATAGATGTTATAAGAAGGGGCTGATGAGCCCGGTTGCTTTAACTTCGTTGATTTCATAGCCTCATAGCTCTGTAGCCTATTTTATATCAGGCTTGTTAGCTATAGAACGCGTGGTACAAATTCATGAAGTGCTGTCTGCTTAGATAACAAGGGAGAGATAAATTCAAGCCATTGCCTTCTTCAAGTCCTCCGCAATGATCTGATGGGTTCTATACGTGATATGACCACCGTCTATGTGCACTATTAGCATTGTTTCTTGTCCATAATAGATGCTTAAACTACAAGGGGCATTCTATATACTTACTGAACCAAAAGTACTTGTCAATAGGTAGACACCCATACTTAGCGTAATTCCAGATTACGTCCGGTTGCGCGTAACTTGCACAATAGCCCGTCCAATTTTCAAACCCGTATCTCGTCGGATGCTCCAGGATCTTCTTAAACTCTTTATCAACGTCATATTTGTAAGTTTCTACTTCGGGATCCTTAATGTGCCGTCTATTGAAACTATGTCGCTCTTTTTCGAGAATAGTATTCCAGATTGCCGTATTGTTCCTCAATGCCTCGTTTCTGGTGGGCACGTTCATGAATAGGAAGTTTTTATATCCTGCAGAGTACATTTTTTCAACTGAAGCATATAGATAATCGATGTCGGCCTGGTAGAAGTCGGTGAAAGTGACATTCTTCCATTTATTGCTGTCATTGACGTCGTTAATGCCTATCCAAAATGCGACTAATGTAGAAGAGCGTGGAAGTTCTAGAACAGAATCGGCGGAATTCAGGTAGTTTATCACTTGATCTTCTAGGTTGACGGTATAGTCATGGTGGGGCATTAGTCTAAGATAGAGAGGTCAGCACTCCTTATATAGGCTTTGGAGTATCTCCGAAGTCCCTTACAGAGCTGAGGTTGTATCTGCTCCGGCAAATGCGAAATTCCATAGTGGAATATCACAGTCACCGGGGCGACCGTTATAACATCCCGTCAAGTATTCGGTCTAAATCCAGTTCGATTAGCCCCGATACGTAGACTAGTATACTTTGCCAAAGTTGAACTTAGTGGATTGTAATAGTTTTTCGGTTTCATACCCAATTTGGACCTCCCGAGCTTGTCTTCAAGATTAGGCAAAAATTAACACTCAATATCAATCGAATTCTAGAAATTGTTGAATTAGAGGGCAACATAAACGCACTGAGTTAAGTTTGATCTCATTTGTCTCTAGCTCTTCCTTGGTGTAGACACTATGAAACGTATCGCCAATAAAGCTATTCCGATACGTTGAACGTTTAGCTACAATCCCTAATGTTAATTTCGAAAATTAAAACCTACCTGTAGGCGGGATGACCGTATGTCCCGTCAATATAGGTATACGAGTCTCCAAATGCTAAGCTGTATATATAAACAATGACAGCGGTAGTTAGCAGTATATCACTTTGTCGTTCGACTAATAGACCCGACTATGACTTACAAATGTGTAATCTCCTTCCCCTTGAATGTTAGGCTATTAGCTCTACGTTCGAGGGGGGCTGCGTAACTGGCAACTAGCAGGCCAAAGCTGCCGAATAGGGTTGAAATACGCATTTTTGTCGGCCTAGGTATTATAATTATTGCAGCCTGGGTGTTAGTGCAGGGATGAAGAGACAAAGCGAGACTCGTATTTTCAGAGATACTAGATCCGAAACCCTGGATACGCATAGGTGTTCAAGCATTTTATATTATACAATTCCAGGCAGAACCTGTCTTGAATGTCTTTCGAAATACCAAGGAAAGTCCGTCCACATCCCGGACAAATTCTTGATCTTTGGATGTGGTTCGGTATTAACCGTCAGGTTTACAAGGCATACATCATAGGTAATACATATGGGCCACGGAAAACCGGCTGATTCCCTGGTTTGAAATCTATAATATGTAGGTTAAGGCTTATATGCTATGGGCCCCTACGTGTACTAACAAACTTGCATGTTAAGGACGTTCACAGGCCAAGGTGTCCCGATTCCGGGTTTTGATATCCAAGGAGCTATAAATTTCGTCTCCAGTCTCCACAAATTTCTCCAGAAGCTTAACGAGTCTTATCTGCACCCATTCCCTAAATTTAGAGAATATGGGGTATGCGTTGATATGATTGGTGGAGGAAAATGGAGATCGCTATTCCTTGTTGCTTTGGTGTGGGGTTATGTCGGAAAAACCTTTAGAGTATCTAGGAATTGAGACACCGGGCTAAAGGAGCCGGTTAAAGAAGCCGGTTGATATAGACCAGCAGCTACATTGTGACCCAGTAAAAGATAGATCTATATTATGCATGGCAGCTGCCGTCAGAGTTTAGCTGCAATACGTACATGTACAGGTAGTATACACAAGACTAGTTCGTACCTAGTCTTGAAGCTGGAAATGGGTCGCTAGACCATTTCATTAACCCATCGATGAACCCAATTGATCAAATAGTTGAATCCCTAAAGTACTAGTAAAGAAACTAGCTGTCTTGAGGCTATAAGGAGTATGTGTGTGTGGAAATCATGATATCAACGATTGCGTTCCTGCCTAAGTAGAATAGCTATAGTGTTGCCCCCGGTCTGAAGAACATATTTGTATATTAAAGCACTTTGCAGCGCAATACTATATTAAAGCTACCCTCTATAATGTTCCTACGATATATTGGCCAAAGGCCTTTGATTTATGAGACATGATGGCTTCTCTCAGTGTCATGACATGTCGAACGTATAAATCTTAAGCGTTTATGTGTTGTGGTGTGTTATTCCGCATTTGGAAGTGTGTTGTGCAGCTACAAAACCCGGCGCCAAAGCTTGGCATCGTCCTTCCGCACTACAAACAACCGCATCACCAGCGCTGCTCCCTCCGCCAGACCACGTACATCCCATCGCGCTTCATCAGATATTCAAGGAGCCGCTTATACAGGCCACAGCCCATAGGCATCGCTGTTTTCTACCATCAGCATTTATTTCATTTATCTTTCATCACTTTTAGCGCCTTCTCCCCGAAACTAGAATCAATCGGTCTATCGCACGCTGGTTCTGCGACAACGACAAGCTGCCTCCACCCCACCTCGTCTCAACTATCGTTTTCACCACGCTTCCGAAACTCCTAATCTTAATACCTAATCCGATCCAAAATGGCGTCTCTCGTTTCGATAGATACAATCCGGGATAATTCAGAGTCAATGGGTGTTAGGCTCGACGATGAAGTTGCACAGGCCCTCGCCTCTGATGTGGAATACCGTCTTCGCCAAATTATGGCTGCTTCTATCGAAGTTATGAAGGAATCTGGCCGAACAACTCTATACACAAAAGATCTCGAAATGGCTGCCAAATTGTTAGATATTGATCCGCCTCTTGGGTATCAGAGTAATCTTGGTCTCCGTTGGGGCGAGGCTACACTGGGCGCTGGCCAGCCTCTCTTCTACATTGAGGACGAAGAAGTTGATTTTGAGAAGGTCATCAATGCCTCGTTGCCCAAAGTACCTAGAGAGGTCACCATGACTGGTATGTTCGATTGGATTGTCTTGTGTGGGGAAATTAGCTAATATCATTGGTAGCACACTGGACCGCCATTGAAGGGGTACAGCCTCAAGTACCGATGAACCCCTCCCCCGCCGAGGCACGTATGAATGAGTTGGTTCCCCGAGGAGCTACTACCGCCCATGCTCTTGGAGCCGCCGGTAACTCCGATAATGCGACTGTTAAACCTGCAGCCAAACATATACTGTCTGTTGAGCTCCAGATGTTTTTTGATAAAGTCATTTCATCTGTAATAGACTACGAAAAAGACGATCTCCGTTCGGCTGCTCTTTCCGCACTTCGTACTGAACCAGCGATCCACCAACTGCTCCCTTACTTCGTCTCCTACGTTACTGAGCGTGTTACCCACGACCAGAAAGTCGACATCAAGTTGATGGAGTCAATGATGGATATTTGTGACGCTATGATCGACAATGAATCTCTTTTCATGGATTTATATGTGTGTATACCCATTTTCATCTATATTTTCGGTCCTTTATACTGACAACTTCTCTTATTATAGGTTGAGAAACTTTGCCCGCCGATTCTAACGTGCGCCGTTGGCAAATACCTCGGCCCTAACACACAAGATCAAATACCCACCTTCCCTCTCCGACGCAAAGCTGTCTCTATTCTAAGAAAGCTTGCTATCAACTATGGGGAGTCCTCCCATACGCTTCGGTCCCGACTTGGCCGTAGCTTTCTCAAGCGATTCCTGGACAATAAGCAGTCCTATGGGTCTCATTACGGTTCTATTCTTGGCCTTGCAAACATGGGTGGCACCGATTCGATTAGGGTCTTGCTGCTTCCTAATGTTAAACTATTCGAAGAGTTTATCCGTGATGAAATACAGGGCGACGGGCCGAGGAAAGCAGAGGCTTTAGAATGTTTGAAGGTCTTGGTGGAAACCTTGACGACTCTGAAAAACGACAAGAAGGTTGAGGTTGAAGAAAACGGAGAAAGTGAGGAGGATTTGAGGACAGCACTGGTTGATGGTATCGGTCCTCTCGCGGCAAGCGAGATTCTCAAGATGGGAGACATGAAGCTAGTCAAGATACTGCTGAAGAGCCTTATTCCTGTCTAGGACAATAGGGGTGAGATAGAGGGAGATTAAGATACATTACTATCTATTTGCAAATTATACATTATTCCTGAGTCCTGACAAGGTCATCGTTTCATAAGAGCGGGCCAGGACGCTTCCAATGGCTGGTGGTAAGGGCTTAATACACGGAGGAAGTGGAATACTGCATAATCAGATGGGTTATGGGAGGAGAGCGCCCTTCCCTTCTGCGAAAGGAGAAACTAGAGCAATCCTAATATTACTAATCACAAAAGCAAGGACACGATTAACAAACGCCTCTTGTCTAAAGTCCGCTCTCGAACCAATACATAACTGCAATATAGTTTCGAAAACTTCTCTGCGATTGGCTGTGTACATGTGCTGGGGAAAGCAAAATAACGTATGAGCGGACTGAAAATGAATGGTTTGCGGTGATTTTGCTCAGGCAATACGTCCTGTAAATCGGATTCGTTTGAAAGACGTCGGAAGGGCTTTTATATTTAATCGGAGTTTTAAACCCACAGCTTCCAATATTCCTTCGAAGGCTAGATTTAGGCCCAAGGAAAGCAAATTTGCAAAACAACAAACTTTTTTTGGAAATTCTAGTATTTAATATTTCTTCATGGATGTTAACGGTGAGAATCCGTCCTCTGTAGGATCTAAAATATATTATATTAAATCGGAAGCATAACCACTACCTATAAAACATTTATATCTGTCAACTGACACCGATCCGTGTGGGGTTGGCCCCAGTCATCTCTTATACTGACCCTAGAGCCGAATATCTTCGTACACCCCCAATCCAAGTTTCAAGCACCTTGATTTCATTTGTATTCTTTCGTTCCCAATCGAAACACCACAAATCCCTACTGACGATTACAAAGTCGGCAAACTTTCCAGCTTCTAGACTTCCAACCTCTTTCTCCCATAGGATTTGCTTGGCTGGATAGCTGGTCACTCCTTTCAATGCATCTTCGAGACCAACTCTTTGCGCTTTACCTAGGATATTGTTACTTTTGTATACACGTCTTGAGATAGCGGTTCCAACCCATAAAAGCGGATCGGCGTCGGTGACTGGGCTATCGCTGTTGAACGAATATATAACCCCGCTGTTGACATCATCTTTGACCGGGTCGATTCTTTCTGCTCTCTCCTTCCCAAGAACCCCAAACCTAAAGGTATCACCCCAATAATGCACATGGCCCATCGTATGACTGACCGCGATACCTAGATCTTTCGCTTTCCGAACCTGCGATGTCTCGGTAACAGTAAAGTGTTCGATCCGATGAATGATACCTGATCGTTTAGGGTTATGTTTTGGATATTTTTTGAATATCTTTTCAAAGTTTCCGAGAACGATGTCGGAGGCTCGATCGCCGTTCGCGTGGATCATTAATTGGTATCCGCGGTTTAGCCATTTGAGCATTTCATCGTACATTGTTGTGTTAAATGCGGACTCTCCGACATTCGCACTATCCGGCCAGACTAAAACGCCTTTTTCCTTCCCTACGAAGTATGTTGGGAAGTGTTCTGAGAGATAGTTTTGTTTAACAGCTGCGGTAAAACCCTGGGTTGATCCGTCGGACCAGAGTTTTACGGTCTTGACTATTAGACCCTTTCGTTTGAAACCACCAGCTGGCATATTCCCCGTTCCAAGCATCTTTTCGGCATCGCCGGGTTTGAAATCCGCAACGGCGGCGCGGATTCGAATTGGCGATACCTCTGTGAGATTTGCGACAGTTTCTAGGTCTTGAGGTGTTACTGCTCCCAAACCACCGTCAAAAACGGTAGTTAGGCCTTTTGCCAACCATTGTCCTAGAATTTTTGCAAGACCTTCCTTGACCCTTCCGGTACGTCCGAGGTTTGCAAGTGTCGCTTTCGCGGAGAATTGAAGAATCGCGCCGCTTTCGACAAGGACACCTGTAAGCTCGCCGGTTTTGGGATCTTTGGCGTATTCACCGCCTTCCGGGTTAGGGGTGTTTTTTGTAATACCAACTTCTTGGAAAGCAAGAGAATTGGCATAGGCTAAATGGCCGGAGGCATTGATGACGACAATAGGGGTTGTTAAAGAAACTTCTTTGTCAAGATCTTCCTTTGAAAGATCATGCCAGTTAAGACGGGATGGATCGTAACCGTATGCGATCAACCATTCTCCTTGTTTCAACGTTTTAAGCTCATCTCTGAGCTGTTGCATGGCGGATTCAAAACTTGGAGCCCGAAGAGGACTGATGTCGAGGAAATAGCCCTTAAGTAGGGCCGAAAGCATGATATGTAAATGAGGCTCCACGAAGCCAGGTAGAATAACCTGTTTGTGTAGATTCCGGAAGATTCGTCGGTCACCAGCTTTCTTGCGTACACTTGCAAGAGAACCGACCGCGATCACCTTACCCTCATGGATGGCTAAAGCCTCGACGGGGGATAATCGATCATTTGCCATTGTGATGATTGGGCGCCGGTTCTGCTGGGAGCTGCTGTAGAATATTATAGGAACATTTTGGTCGCTGGTACGTTTCTCCGGTCGTGAAAACCGTCGGCTCACTGCTGATGTATCAAAATCGGAGGGTGTGATCTTGCCGAATATTATTTCTGCCAATTTAATATGTCCCGTGAGGCAGCTTCCAGTCTCCTCCTCGTGGTCAGGATGGGCAATTGAAGGAGAGAATAGACTGAAAATAAAGCTGGCGAGGACGAGCGGTCCCGCTGGTAGTCCGTGGAAGAACCTCATAGCTAGAACTAGCTATAGATGTTAAACTGCTGGTCGATATTTACGTACTCTTGGTCTCCCTCTAAAATCAAGTTTACGGGGAGGTAGATACCAGTAGATCCATTATATATAGATCCCGGCACCGATCGATCTCCCACATTTCCCGCATGACGTCGCGGAGCCGAAGCACTTCCCCTCCTAGATTCATCCCGAGATGTTCTTTTTTTCTAAAAAAGAAAAAGATAGATAACTTTCGCCGTCTATTTCGCAAATGTTATGTGCATGGAGTAGCATGCAATTGGTCCCCAGAATGAGACAATTCATCGAATTTCTGATTCGACGCGCACCCCGCAGATGGAGCTAGTAGCTAGCTAGCTAAGGCATTAGACTGCATATGATCCCGACAGGCGCAGTCGGGGACATTTAATTCCGCCATGCATGATCGTCTGGGTGAGTTGCGTTGAAATATCTCTCGCGGTAGTTCAATTGAGAATCGAGGCCCGGCCGTGAAAGGAAAGAATTTGGAGGTAGTTGGATGTATGCATTTAGGGAACAGTGGCATTGGATCCTGAGAAAACGAACTCGTCTGTAATCCGGACGGGTAAAACGTGTTGTTGCCATAATCAAAATACAACATGTAACAGTCCTTCGCATGTAGTCGGTGCCGGATCCGGATGTTCGAGGTAACTTTTAATTGTCTCGAATCGAATCACTATGATGGATAAAGATTGAAGGTTACAATGGAGCTGTAGCATATTCCTGAGAAGGTTGTTCGTAAATCTTCCAAAGAGTTTCAATCAGTTAATTGATTTCGTAGTATTATAATTATAGAATATTAAGACTTAACAGGACCAAATGTGTCAAAAAGGTGAGATATAGCTGTTAACGTTCTGGTATGGGTATATATTGGGCTTGCTTATCTATGCATACCTCTTGTGAGTATATGTAGTAGTTAAACTTCAACTTCGCTTTTTTAAACGAATATGGTTCTCATTGCTCGATCGAAATACCACGGATTCACGATGATGATGATGATGATGATGATGATGATGATGATGATGGAGTGCGAGTATCCGATATATTTCGTGACTATGGCACTAAATAGAGTATTAGTAGCCGGTATATATGACTACGGTTCCACGGGCACTTGGCTGCCATCTAACACCAGCCTCAAGCCCACGTTCGATCAGTTTGGGTGAATTTTGAGGGCTATGACATAGTATATAGTTTAAGATCCGTAGATAGATTCCAATGGGTATGTAAGTACTTATATAAGTATATCACTGGGATGTCTGGCTTGCGTATGTACCAAGAGAATGTCTGCCTGCATGTTACCATTCTGATTGAATTAGTTTTATACACAAAAAGGAAGAAGAAAAAACGGTCCTGCTCCACCATTACTCCTCCTTCGTAATCCACAATCCTTCTCTACGGTAGAGGATACCACTACTAATTATCCCACTTTAAGGTCGTTGTACTTAAACAACCAACAGACCCAAGGTGCTCAAAGCCGTCAATCCTAGAACGCCATATCCCGTCCTATAAACACCCCTAACTGTCAACTCCCGACCGGTATCCCAGACCAAATGTCTAATTCCGTTCCAGAAATGGAAGCTAAAGCAAGCTGCTAATGGTGCCTTGACAGCTGCTTTAACAGCGCCGTTGAATTCACCCCACTTCTTTGATGCATTTGCAACCGACATGTCAACTCCGAATGGCGAAACAAGGACGTATCCAATCGCATATAGGTAAAAGACACCGGAAAGGGCGACACCAGTAATACGAGTTGTCATGGATAAGTACCATGTCAGCTGAGGTTGATAGATTGTCAAGTGGGGGGAAACTGGTCGGACAAGTCTCTGAGCGGCAAGGATTGAATCGGCGGATGAAGCAGGAATGGATTCAGTAGTTAACATTCTGTTATATAAATGGTTAGTCTCAACCAATTGATCAATTGTCGACTTTTCCAAGCCGGTTTATTCGGAGTGTATGGCGCTTTACCGTCGAGGAGTGAAGAACGTGGTGCTCTTTGGTCGGGCAGCTGGGATACAAGATATTAGCCTTCGGTCATGTCACATGATAGTTAGTAGATAACTTGGCGATACATACACCTGAGCAGGCTCCGCGAGAGAACTCTTGTCGACAGCATTGCGGATATGTTCGATCTCGAGCGATACCCTGTCTGCGATTGAAGCGGTTGGTTGTAGTGAAGTTTTGAAGTTGAAGTTGAAGGAGCAGAGAGGAAGAATCGACTGGAATCGAATAAACTCGGGTAAGAGGCATATGATTTCATGGTTTCGCCGTTTCCTCGGCTGTTGGCCGCAGCCAATCAAACGCCGTTCATTCCAAAACAACACAATCGAAAAATTTCTTCGCTTCGTTCTGCTCTTTTCCTTCTGCTGTTCTCTTCTCTCTTCTCTCTTCTTCTTCTTCTTCTTTTTCTTCTTCATCAAGCATCCGCTCCACCCCCACCCGCGATAGGGCCGTCGGGGACAGGTTATCTGTCTCTTGGTCACATTGCATTGCTACAGAGATACAATCTATTTCAACGATATCGTTTCGACTATAGTAGACGGTGTTTCGATCGGGGGAAGGAACAGAGGTTGCGAGAAGGAAGAACTTATGGGAAAACCCGTTTAATCGCGTCTCAGCTCGATAGTGGCTGCCGGCGTTTCATACACGAGGTTACATGCATCTACGACATTTGATACCAGTATTAGTTATATAACAGACGGATGAGGGTTCAATGGACGGTGGTTCAATGGACAGGGTGGGACGGGACGGGGCACAGAGAGTTAGACTGAGAGTTAGACTGAGATTATAGTAAAGGCGTGATCGAAATGTAGAACAACATCGCATGCATACACGGGATATCTCAATCGCTAAAATAAAAGCCAATTTGCTGTAACCTAAACGCCGACCATTCGTATCTATTTTCCCATTCTTTCACATGATTTGGAGGATTCGGCCGCTCTGCTCTTTCATGTTCTTCACGTTCGCGTTATGCGACAGAGGCATGTGTGATCGGCTGCTACCTCCCCACTGCCTTATCGATCACCTCCAACTTCTCAAAATGTTTCCTACACGTTGCGATATTCATCAACGTCGTTGTGCTCTCTGCTGCATTCGCCGGCATGACTACCAAGATGTATGTATTCGGGGTCAGAATGTCTATAAAGGCGGAAAACTTATGCGCCCTCAATTCGAACGCCGTGAAATTCGATGCCATTTTCCTATCAAGAAGCCTACTCGTCAGCCATCCCCCCATTAAAGCCCATAGAATCAGTTTTAAAGCGCAACCGGTCGATCGAACGAAAGTGGCTTGGGATATATTGTATACGTACGAGCAACTCTGTTTGAATTGTTTTACGATATTACTGATCTTCTCAAACCGGTCCGGGAACGGGTTTTGCACCGCTCCTCTTGTAACGTGGGCAATAACCAGAAATGTCGTTCGTTCAAACAGGATAACCTCTTCGGCCTCCGCGATCTCTGCGAATGCCGTAAGATGTCGCTCAAGTATCGGTCCATTTGGTATCAGCGTGTACACAATCGAAGCCCATGCCTTATACAGCGTTTCGTCCCATATCGATGTCGCGAAACACGTGATTTCCATACCCAGGGACTTTTTCCGGAGGAGAGCCGATCGTTCTTGGAAGGCAGCGTCACGGTAATCAAGCTGTACCAAGTCCATTTTGTGAATCAGACAGAATATGTGAGCATTAGGACTGTTATCCCGTAGCGCCTCGACACAGTTGACATAGGTGATAAGATCGCGATCGAATTCTCGGGACTCGATATCGAAAACATAGATCAGAACCTCGACGTGCTTGAAGATATGGTCTCGCTGGCTGTTGAGATAGTTGTCGATGAAGGCATCCTGACCACCACAGTCCCACAGGTTGAGAGTTAAACCGCCAAGAAATCGGACATGATTGTGTTCGACGTCGATAGTGGCGCCTAGCCGACGGGTGTCTTTTGCGACGTAGTTCGAGAAGACGATGGAGCGCATGGAGGACTTGCCGGAGCCGGATTTGCCCTGTCGCACGACATTAGCTCGGCCGCGGCAGTATGAAGATAAGAGATTAGAATACCATCAGCAAGACCTTCTTTTTGCGGCGGGACTTGGAGTCCTCCATTTTGGCGGTCAAGTGAAGGTAAAAGCCACCTGGACGTTGATGAAGTTGAGTGGTTGATGAGGTTCGTTCGTCGGGAAAGTTGGCGTGAAAGTCCGGCGGGAAGCGAAGCTAACTGTAGTACTACAACACATTCAACGTGTGGCATTTTGACTTGGGCTCTTGATCATATGGAAACAGCTGACAGAGGTTAACTGTCTGAGCTTCATTTGCATTTGATCCTCCAAGTTACCTACTTGAGGGCATCTTCCTACTATCAATCACAATAATTGCGATCAATTCCATACTAGTTTACTTTCTTTCGACCTATGGTATATGGAGAAGGATCATTGCACTATAGGATACACTGTATACTATTCGTCAATGCAATGTTATAATTGCATGTACAAAAAGACGACTTCCGTCCAAAAGCGCAAACATAATCCGCCCCGCTCTCAAGTATAAATACGACGAAAATCCCGCTCTGGCAAAGTGGGAATCGATAATATTCAGATTTTCATCATATATTTCATAAAGAAGCAGCCTTTCCAGATATTGCGGGAAGGGAAGCTTGCAAACACGCCTTAATACATAGCTATCCTGTCAGTCACTAGCATAATGGCTGCCAGAACTTCTACAAAACTCCTCGACCTATCTGAAGATGTCCTTCGGATGATATTTCTGCACAATGTAAGCGCGGTTTAAGAAATGCATGGTCTTTAATTTCTGTGTATAATTATAAGATTAATAATTTTCGTTTAATCGGGTCGTCACTACAGGTGATCAGTTTGAAGGACTTAAAATCCCTCCGCCTGGCCCACCCCGGATTGCATGGCGCCGTCGACCCTCTCCTCTTCAAAACTATCAGCGTTCCCACCTCAAAACTCGGTGAAGTGTCATTGTCTGACTACTCACCATACAGTCCCGGAGATCGCGGGGATCCCAGCTATCCAACGTTCAAAATCTCTACATTTCAGTTATCAAGCATTCTCGAACGTCGAGTACCCCGTGTTATATTCGACAATGCGCAAAGCGTAATCTTAAACAAGTATGATGTATACGACGGCTACCCGGATGAAAATAAAATAAAACAGAATTTCCCACGGTACTCTGAAGAGGGGATTAGGGGTCTGGAGTACTTTTTGTGTAGCATGAAGAAGATGCGTAATCTAACGTAGGCAGTAATCAAAAGCTCTAATTGATGTTACCGAAAGACACTGACGGATATTGCGTTATAGATGGAGTATCGCTTATTCTAACATCACACAACTGATAGATCTCTCACCTATCGCGGGAAAAGTAGATTCTCTACAGTTAACTGGCGCTTATTATGGGAGCATACCGCCGCCAAAGCAATCGTACAAAGCATTTAAAGACTTTAGCTTCTTGACTTGCCTCGCCATTAGTTTTAATGACGGCGCAGATGTCAAAGACCTCAGCTATCTACCAAACCTGAAAACCCTCAACTTTACAGTCGAAAAAGCCTCACAAGCTAGTACTGAGCAACGGAGATTTGACTTTGTGGACTTCTTGGAAGCTCAAAGAGTTCCATTTAGCCTCCAGAAGCTCTCCATAACTGCGTGTTACGCTGCAATACCTATTCCCAAAGATCTTGCTCAGAAGTTCCTTTCGAACTTGCGTACTCTGTACTTGCGGTATCTTAATCCCGACGCCAAAAATTATCCGATAATTGATGCCCTGAAAGACAACAACATTAAGATCCAAAATTTGAATATAGATGGATGCCACGAGAGTATTCTCGATTATATCGGATCATACACTGACGGGCTTCAATCTCTCGAAGTTAATGTTGAGTGCCTCAAGGACAACGAAGGCTTCGGCGGGGCCGGGGAAGACAGTTGGGCCTACAGCATCAGCAGAAGGCGCTGGCAAGAAGATATCACGGAGAAAAAGAAAGAAACCTTCAAGTCCGAGATCTGGAAAGTATTGGCCGCTGCACACAAGAATAGTCTTCAGCACCTAGTCCTGGCTAATAACTTCGACTTTTATACCGAGGAGGCGGAGGCCCTCTCTCAGTGCAAAGCGCTGAGGACTATGGATATTAAAGGCGATGATTATGTTTTACAACGTATTATCCCCGTGGTACCAAAACTACCGTTGTTGGAAGTATTGAAGTTCGAAATGCCCTGGACACCTCGGATGCCCGATATGACCGGTTGGTGTGGGACATCACAGTATGACTGGCATATGAAACCGAAGGATATTGAAAGTAGAGTCAAGGATATGTATTGGATGGAGGAAAGTATAGATGCCGACGGGCCGGGGGTGGAAAATGTTTCCTTCAGAGTAATTGGGATATCCTCAGATTTAAAACTTGTCAAACGACGGCATGTCTTCTATCCTTGGATCTTAGTTGGGGACGGGGAAATGGGAATTGAAGGAAGGGAAGACCAAGCGATTGAGAGCGACGAAGAAGAGGAATTAGAGCCAGGGGAATTTAAAGAGTCAGATGAAGAGTAATCTTTCCCGAAATAGCCTTCTCGCGCCCTGGGTGTGGCATTAAGATACGCACATGTACGTTTAATAGGCACAAATAGGATTTAAATTTATAAAAGATTCATCAACTATATACACTTAGGACGTGTGTTCTTGAAATCTGAAACTTGATTATAAATCCGGACAATTTATGCCTTAAAGTTAAGTTGTAATCGTCGCTTCGAGTTCGAGTTCATATTATCCTGCGGATTACCTCCTTGCGCCTGGGTCTGGGTCCCGTCATCTTTTTTCAAAGTCCTTATCCTTCGACTCTCTACATCAGCATTAGTAGACTCGTAATTAGGATTAACTCCAGCAGCCAAAGCTGCCTTCCTATTCCTCCTAACCGCATTTCTATCTTGGCGTGCTTTGAACGGTTGGGTTGGCGGTGGAGCATTAGAGTCGAATGATGACCACGGAGTTCCACCGGCTGGTATCCCACGCGCTAGCGCACCCAAGGAGCCGGTAGATGTCGTATGGGCCGGGCCAGTGTCTGCCTGGGTGTTTGCTCCTCCAGTCGATGCGATATCGACACGATCAAATTGACCCAGGCTTTTGTATGCCGTATCAATGGGTGTATTGGACACAGCATTGACCTGCGGGATAGACACGGTATCCAGTGGCCAGTTAAATGCGTTCGCCTGACTACCCTGCATCATATCAAATGGCCCATTGAATGCATTCATCTGATTACTCCGCATCATATCGAACGGCCCATTGAATGCTGTGTTAAATTGACTGTTCGGGGCCGTATTTGAATTTAATGGCGCAGAAGTGGTTATTGAATCGTCTATTTCCTCTTCCATAGGTCCGGAAGGGCTATTATAGGGTTGGTAGGCGAAATCTAATGGTCCTACGTTGTGGTCTAGAATACTTGGTCCTCCAGTTAATGCCGCCGAGAACATATCCTGGAAGTCATATATGCCAGTTGTCCCATCATCATAGCCATTGTTGTCGACCTGGTTATTTTGCATTTGATCCGGGTACAGGCTGTAATACTGGTCGAGGAGGTCCTGCATGCTTTGTTCATGCTTTTGACGGCGATAATACTCTTCGGCTTTTTCTCGTTCTTTAACTTCTGCAATCATTGCACGCAATTCCGGGGTGTTGAGCCTCGGATCAGGAGGCGGGAACGGATTTTCATCAGATGGTTTCCAGTCTCTAATGTAGTCAAAAACAGCGCTCAAGTCAATGCCGTAAAAAGGGTCGTGAGCTAGATAATTGAACTCCGACGGATCTATTAATGTGATTACGACGACGGTTTGTTAGATGTAAGTTAACCATTTTAATTCCAAATGGTCGAATCGGCTTCGATGTTGCTTTAAATTTTCACATACCTTTCTTGCCCGTTGGGATTTCGAAAGCAGCTAGAGTATTATATATATACTCGGCCGCGCCTACGAGGTCATCGGAAGGAATAGAATTCCCACCAAAGATTCCGTTGCTTTCATAAGCTGCGGCTTCTATCACTTCCTGCACATGATTGTAAGATTCATCTGCACTGGGAATAATATCAGACCACATATTTAGATCCCTCTGTAGACTCTGAAGATCGGCAATCAAGTTCTCCACACTATTCGTTCTGACGAAGGGAATTGATAAATTAAGTGCCTGAGCCATAGAAAACAGAAGTGCTGTGCTAATGACAGCATAGTAGATAGTGGCACCCATGATCTAATAGCAATGATGTATATATTCTCATTAGTGTGATATTTCTCATAGCACAACGTAGGAATTTAACTATTTTGGTGATAGCTGGGTCTTCTTACTCTTCGATTTGTAGAAATTTGCCCTTAGATCTATACTTATAATTGAAGATCTTTTTATTGACTACGGTGGGTTAATATCAGTATACCTGAAATGTTGTAGCGAGTATCAATATAATATATCCCATAGACCATATATGAGCACACACCGTAGCGAGATACCCTAGCAGATTCCATGCCATCCTCGCGTTTCTGGCATCCCATACCCCCTCTTAAAAACGTGCTCAAACCCAGCAAGCTTGATTGTCTAGTTCGGGCTTCACAAGAACAGCCCAATATTCGTCAAGGCTTCTAAAATGCTCACTTTCTTGCTCAATTAATCGAGAAACCATAAGAAACACAGCCTTGAGTAGTGTGAAGCTTGTTTCATTTCTAGATTTTGGCTCAGGCTATAATTGCTAGAGCTAGCGCCGGTCCTCTATCGGTATACATTGGGTCCAGCATCAGTTTACAGAGAAGTCTGCAGTTAAACTGTCGCTGGTTATGATTGATTATAACTTCTATATCCTCTTAGCAATTATAAATTTATGGTAGGAAAGTCTCGTAAATTCATCAACATTTCTGCGCCTTAAATGACATATCTAAACCGGGGCCTATATCTCATATTTGTTAGCTATAGTTAACACAAAGTAGGGGGTGCTTGTCAAGAGGGTTTGTAACACATACGAGTCATCGCCCATCTCATTAATCTCTTCTTCAGATTTTCCTTCGATCAAATGATCTCGCTTGCCCTCATCCCTGGCTTTATTTTCTGAGATGTAGTAAGTCTAGAATTCAAATCCAATTATTATTTATATCCGTGGAAACTATCCGTAGCTGGCACTTACAAGTAATGTTCCATAAGTTATCATCCCCACGCATAGCATAGCAATGGTGACAGCATGACCCTTTATGAATCGAGGTCCATCTCTTGCAGGATATAAGTAAGCAGACATAACTCCGCTCGCATTTCCCATTGTCAATTGGAAACCACTTGCGGCTACCTTTTTTCCATAGCGCGGGATATTTACAACATTCCATGCAAGCGGGAGACCGACAGCAACCTATGTATGAATTCTGTTAGTTTGTGAATCTCTTGGTAAGGTTTTTAAGTTAGATTTTTCTCTTACATATAATCCTCCAGCTATCAAGAAACACCCAAAATATCGAACCGGTCCCCCGACTGGGGTTATCAGAAGTATATAACCAACTATACTGACTAGAGCAGCCACTAAGCTCGGAAGCCCTCTCTGCTGATGCTTGTCACTCCACCATGCCACAAATAGGTAGACAGTAGCTCCGAGGGCATAGCAAGGTATCGTCAATGCTTGCACCACTGGTGCTGGCCACGTCCCGAGTGTTCTGATAATAGTCGGAAGATATGTTGAGTAGCCATAAAGCATAGTATCCATGCCAAATAGTCCCACGGCGTATGCATAACATTTCCAATCCTTGAAACAAGCTATGACATCCTTCTTTTTCAAGTTTTCTTCCGGCCGCACATCGCTTCCATGTTGAAGTTGCATACGTTTTGCCATAAATACACGCTCTTCAGGGGTGAGGAATCGGGCGGTCGATGGTTCGTCCGAGAGAATAAATGGGGTGGCAAAGCCGAGGAGGACTGTTGGAATGCCCTCTAGAATCATAATCCATCGCCAGCCTCTCATCCCAGAGGTCCCGTCTAGGAAACCGATTGCATAGGCGAGAAGACCACCACAGGCACCTGCAATAGCTGCTGATACGAAGAGGTAGCCTATCCGCAGGGCGATTTCCTTCCTTGTATACCAAAAGGTTAAGTAAACTGTAAGGCCTGGGAAAAGACCAGCCTCAAAAATCCCGAGGAGGAGCCGACAAACAAGAAGCCCTCCATATGACTGCGTTAGTCCTGTGAACGTTGCAACTAGACCCCATGAAATCGTTATGAAGGCAACTATGTTTCAGCGAATATGTTAGTTTGCATGGGAATAAACACGTGATATATAGGGTATGAATGTTGAACATACTCCACCGACTTGCCCTAAACTTTTTTATTACAAGGTTGCTGGGGACCTCAAATAGGAGGTAAGTGACGAATAGCAATGAAACCGCCGTTTGATACTTCAAGGTACCCGTCATTCCTAGATCTTCTTCTAGCCCGTACAACTTTGCATTTCCTATATTTATGCGATCAAGAAAAGAGCATAGATATAAGAGCATCACCACAGGAATGATGTGGAAGTCTAGTTTTCTAACCAAAGCTGCTTCAAAGGCAGGGTCTCGGGCAGCCCCGTTCTCCAAGGAGGAGTGTTCGTCCCGAAATGTTGTCGACTCATTCGGTTGCTTTTGATCGTCTACCGCCGCATCAGTTGCCTTGATCGCTCCGGGCATGTTGGGAAAAGGACCAATTTCGAGGGATGTAGAAATATTTGTAGCCAGGGCTCTCTATATTTATATATAGTCTATTTGTATATCAGAGTCCCGTGTGCTCCTGTGACTCTATAGACTGATAATAAGGTGGCGATAGAGTAGTTTGGTATGTGTGAAGGATATCGATATATTGATAGTTGTGCAGACTGCCGGCCGCCGGATTTGGACCTGTGTGATGTATTGGTATAAAAATCCGATTTGAAGTTGCAATTGGCGAAACGAATCAAGAATCTAGAGTCGGATAGCTGCATCAAACGGAAGAGCAGTCAGAAAGGTCCCCTTTGGCCTAAGCTGTCAGGCGCAGACAAAACAGTGGTAGAGTAGGCAGGTACGAAGTCCGTATCTAAGTACCAATCCAGCATTAAGTTGTGGAACCTTACCAACCGGGATCCGAGGCCGCTCGTCAAGTCGACGGTTCACAACAAAAGCTTGGCCGGGATTGGCTGGATGCTTGTGTAACCAAGTCAGTGCTTCAACGGAGCGAGGTTTTAGGATTCTGCGTAGCGATTATATTCGACTCGGTCTAGGTCTAGAAACTAATTAAATAGGTTACGGTGGAAGGCAAAGGGAGTTCATGCTATCGCCGGTACCGGTAGCCTTGCTCAAACCCTCCTACAAAGGAGTCGGAATCACTGAGTAATACCACGACTGACTTGGACCGATTGGTAATGGTAATGAATGGCACTTGCCCCATCGACTGAGAAAAATTCTCGTTCGGCGGGGCCGGTAGGGTCCCACTATTAATTTAAACTTCAAGACAATAACATAATAAAGACAATTTTAGTTTAGGGACCCCTGCGGGCAAACGGCTGCGACTTTAGCCCCGTTTTTAAGAACTGGTTGTAGGGGTACATTCCATGAATTCCATCGGGCAGCACAGGGTGACGTGATTCTGCAGAATTCTTTGGAGGGAAGCTGCAAGGCACCGCCGGCTGGCTACTTTGTTGGGTTTTTGGCGGGACAACGCAGATACCAATTAGCTACGGTCTCCGAGCCTATTCGATATATTCTGATCTGTTGACGAGAACATTTGTTAACATGAAAGATAGAGAAAAAGAATACAACTAATATTCAAATTTAAGATTTTAGATTCCGTAAGTCAGTCAGATAAACTATTTGGCCATCATATAAAAAGAAACACCTAAATTGCATAAGGTGTATAGCTGCAGTGAATGATTGATACAAGACACTTTCTGGTTTTGCGCCGTGTGCGCACCCGGCCCAAAAAATGATTATGAAGAGAAGAAGTGTATTTTCTAGAGATCTTTCCTCCCAGAGACTTTGCCCAGCTCAGCGTCAGCTGTTGAAACAGATCGAGGCTCTGTATCGCCTGCCCTTTTGTATAATTCACCCATGCCACCCAATCGACTCTTCAACGCATTCAAACTCCTACCCGAACCCCTCGGAAGCCCTTCTGGACCCGAGAGCCAATAGGGTTCTTTAGTCCCGGGCACTAACTGTCTGTCGGCTGCATAGTCGCCTAAGTCGAAATCACTAAACCCCGCGTGGGATTTAGGCGGTTTCTTACCAAAATGCCAGGCCGCGCTACTATCAAGTGGAGTAGTGCGCATATTTTTGTGAATCTCGTCCGATATCCCATCCAAAAGTAGGGAGCCTGGTAAACCACCAGCATCACCACCAGTTGAGATACCATCAACCTCATCCCCCTCCCGAGTGAACACGTCAAAGCATCCACAACCTTTGATAAATTTATTAGCTCTAGAAATTTAGAAAACTTCCTCGTTCCTTGTCTCCGGATTCTATATTTAAAGCCCGGTAACCGATAAAACAATGAAGCTTCGAAGCGGTAATCAAGCATTTAACTTGATGGAAATATAGTAACATCACTTACCGTACACTTTCTCAAGCATCCTAGCAACTTCGTCAGTTTGACAATTTTCAGACGTGTGTATCGCTCGTAGCTTCCACCCCGGAGCATCACCTCCGACTAGCGCGTGCTTAGAGCAGAGACACTCATAAGCCCACCTTTGGGTGTCATATATGATTTGGTTGACCGCATCCGTTCCAATTTCAAGATCAAGTTGACGCCAGTTTCTCGCATGACGAACGGGAGCACGGGCCATGGCATCCCAAAGCTCGCGAACTCTGTTTGCTGTCGCGCATGAAACGCCTGATCTGAAAGTATAGAATCCTCCAGGGGGTGGAGCACGTTTCAGTTCATTTTTATCATTGGCTGGTGGAAAGGGAGTTGTTATTTCCGTATTTTTTTGAGACTCAGCTTCCTGAGATTGACTCGTAGGGATCTCTGCAGTAGGCTTTAATTCCGGCTCAACTGGAATAGCTCGTATAATCTGCATGCCCAACACTAGGACTAGTACTAGAACTATATTTCCAAGAGAGTTCCTTAGAGTGTGCATATTGGAAGGTAAATATCCTGTAGAACAGCTTGAACCGTGTACATCTGGGGTAACTATATTAGTAAAATACACGATCTAACTCATAATATCTATACGTACATAAAATACTAGAGGAGGGTCGTCAATAATTGTTTTGTGGGTATACAGTGCTACGTCAACCCATATAGTCAATGCAGAATTGCCGTCTAAATTTCAGCAGTATAGGATAAACTGGTTATTGAGTAGAAAGGCGATACTTCTGGTTTAGTTTAGAACAAGGTAGTGGTGAACTACGGCGGCCAGTGAGTAAACATAAAGACAGAGACAGTGTTCAAGTAGGAGTTGGGGTACTAAATATATAAGTTGTTTTTCAGGGTAACTTATCATTAAGCCCCTCCGGATCCCCAGCTAATATCCTCTTTAAAATTTTGCATTAAAATATTGGGTTTGTACCATTGCCCGCGCTTTCCGGTGCAAGGCTAGCATACGTAGGAGGTGTATTCATGTTGGAAGGTGTCTTGGAGGCTATATCATTATCACAACCTCCCAACTTAACTCCTATAACTTTCTCAACGCTAGCCCCATTCGCAAGGCTGGTTACCGATATACTAAACTACGCGAAGGACTCTGTTGGTAGTAGTGAGGTCTTATGGTTTTAAAATATCACTCTTCTTGCCGAGAAAGCTTAGATCTACATCTATATGGTTGTAGCTTTGTGTAATACACTCATATATACCGGAACAGCTTATGTTGGATCCTTAACAACTCTGTCTAACGCTAGTCTACGCGCACAGCACCGATAATATTGACAGACCTTTCAACAGAAGAGGGAAATCTGAAACCTGAGTTACCAACTAAGATACTCGTGCGAACATGTGGGACAGTCAATATATGCATCTGAATTCGGTATTTCTCGTGTAGTATCAGAGGTAAGTAACCTCAATATCTAAGTTTCGGATCTTTGAAACCATCTTGTTGTTATAGGAATGTATTAACTCTGTTGGCATATATATATGCGCATACGTAAAATTTATAAACATCTGTGACAGAACAACTTCGCCACAAACTCGCTAATGCAATACTTTAGGGTAACACAGTCAACTAAGCTATAAGTTGGCCCCGATAACAGCACAGTTGAGGAGTCCGGCGACGAGACAAAATAACAGAGGCTTATGTGATTACGCTCCTAGGGAAGACCTATGTTTGAAGGGCAGAGTTTTGCGGGGATCCTCTCCTTCGCCCAGGGCCAACTTCGAATCGCTCGTCTTCGTCAAGCCCTGCTACGTTTTGAAGATTCAATTGTGATTGGTGGGACTGCCCCGCCACCAACGGGTTGGGGTCAGAGAAAGAATCTTCCATTAAAGGAATACGCCTTCTCCGCGGATCCATACCTCGTCCCGATGATGTTGCGCCGTACGAGTAAGGACCGTCGTCAGAATAGATAGATGACTGTCGGCTTCCAATATTGTGTTGTAGACTCTCGGCTAAGACGTCTATCTCGGCTTCATTGATAAGCATTCCGGCGTTGTACTGCTGAGGCTCTTCACTAGCATCTCCTCGTAGACCAATTCCCTGTTCTTGAGCTTCGATAAAAACCTGATTATGGTTTTCAACATCTTGCTGCACAGGCACTTGATTTATATTCTCCAAAACCTGATCTATATTCTCCAAAGAATTGGTTTCTTGCCCTTGTATATCGCTACTGATACCGTCAGTTCCAGAGCCAGACTCGGTCAAGCTCTCATCGGAGCTTTCTGAGGACTCATTTTCTAGCTCTTGGTTATCATTGCTCGAGACTCTATTTCCTGGTGGATCATCGAATGGCTTCATGAGTTCTTCGAGTTCTTGTAGCTGCCGAGTGACATCCTGACCTCTCAACTCGTTCAACCGAGCCTTCGGCAAAACGTTCGTGCCAACCAAGTCCCGGACGTAGGCAATGACGCCATCGTTTTTGCGAATCTTTGGTTTTCGAGCCGGGCGCGGCGGTAATCTTCCTTCTGCTATAGCTTCATCCCTAGTATCGCCCAGAGAAAGAATATTGCTTATATATGCTTGAATCTGTTGTTCATATGACGCTATATCTGGGACGAGTTGCGATTTTTCAAACTCTTGAGGTGAAGTTTTGGATAAAATGAACCGTTCCCCGAGGTCCCTCAAGTAACCATAGAATAACCCGCCACCTTGAAACACATCTTTGAGTTTGTCAGAGGGGTCTGGAATATTGTATACGTTTCCGGGGACGTAAACCCTCTTCCTCTCAAATAGATGTTTACCGCCTTTCTTCATCCATGCATAGATTGCGGGCTTCGGATCATCTGTTGTATTGGCTAGAAGATCGTTGGGGTCTCCTTTGGGAATACTTGGGTCTAACGACACAAAGGACGCCTCGTGGAAAGCAAGATCGGATCCAAGAGCAGTGAGATTAACTAAGTGAGCACCCTCAAGTTGACTAGGGTTCAACACTACTGCTAGAATTAATCGCCCTGACAGGCTATACTTTTCCTCGGGACAAACCTGACTCCGTGAGAATGCGATAACTGATGCTGGAGGCTCGCCGGGAGGATTGTAGACCACTAAATACTCGGCCTTCGCCCCTCCGACAATTTGTTTGAATTTATAACAGACCCCAGGTAGTTTTCGTCCTAATCTGCCATTGACTTGTCTCCGGAGTTCCTCATCAAACCAATCTCCGCGACCTTCACGAAGGTATAAAGTGTAGTATGCCAGACAGGAGTGGGACAAGAGAATCCACAATATCAGAGCACAGATCTTATGTCCATATGTATATTTTGAATACGGTCTGATAGGAAGATCGAATGGCATGTCTAGCACTTGATTGGTGGTTGTGTATAATCTGTTGGCTAACGATCCGCATGCCGAAGCGAATTGAAAGTGCGGAACTTCAATAAACGGGTTTCAGGTATACACGCATCTGAATTCCCTCATTTCATCTCACCCATGAATTATTCTTCCTTGAGCTACTTTCTTCACGAATTCATGCGAAGGGTAACTTCCAGCGATTCAGTCCCTTAAGCTTGTGTTGTCGTGTGTCTTTTCTGACTTTCTCGTTTAAAATTCCTAATTTGGAAAGCAACACAACACCCCTGGGCTGGAATCTTCAGAGCTTCACGGGCTTGTATGACCCTTCGATTGCAACTAGACGTCGCGTTGGTGTCAACTGAAGTTAAGAATTCAATTCAGTCCAAGCTTCGCCATCTACTCCTACAGTCACGTTTAACGTTTTGATATCGTATACCAAATTTCAAGATGTCAACAAAGAGTACCGAAAGCTCTACCGCAGCAGGGGAGTTGTCCCAATCCGACCAGGCCTTGCTTCCCACATTAATACCGAAGACACACGCGTTCGTAAAGGACTACATGGCCCGATACGACTCTTCTCATGATTTTTCTCATGTCCTCCGAGTTCTCAATTTAGCACATCATATCGCTCAAACGGAGCAAAAATATCTACAATCGGTTGCCTTAGTGCCGCCACCAGCGACAAAGGTGGCCCCATTATACGATAGCACAATTATCACGCTTGCAGCGTTGCTGCATGACGTTGGTGATAGGAAATATATTCAGGAAGGGGAAAAGGTTGATGAGTCCCCAGTGAAGACATTTCTAGTGGAGGCGGGTGCAAGTGAAGCTTTAGGGGAGAGGGTACAAACGATCGTCAACGGCGTTAGCTATTCAAAAGAAATCAAAAACCCTCAAAGGGTACTGGATTTGATTGAATCTTACCCTGAGCTGGTTAGTAAAAGATACAGAAGTAAAGAAATTAGCCTCGAATAATTTTATATCTAACTACCATAAATCTCGGAACAAATAGGCAGTGGTCCAGGATGCAGATCGACTTGATGCTATCGGTGCCGTTGGGATCGGTAGAACCTTCACCTTCGCTGGGGCGAAGGGAAGCGGAGGAGCAGGAATGGAGAACGTGCTGAAACATTTCGAGGAGAAATTGTTAATATTGAAAACCATGATGAAAACTAAAACAGGTACAGAGATGGCAGAAAAGAGGACAAACATACTCAGAGATTTTGAACGCTTTTGGTATGTTAAAGGCCCTTCTCTAATGCTACCAAATATTTCAGAATCTATAAGAAGTTCCTAACATTAAAAAATTACATCTAGGGTCGAGGAAAAGAGTATAGCAGGTGGTGTGGAGCTTTCCTTAGACATTTAACAACTCTGCTAACCATCTCGAAGTTGATAACGCTTTGGTTGCACTGGATGTAAAATCACCCATTCTCAGGATATACATATACTATAGCCAGGATCGATATAAGCTGTCTCAAGTCTCCCTCAGAGATATAGTGAAAATCTATTCAAAATGTTGCTAATGGGTATCCATCAATATCATTACATATTTACAACAGAATCATAAAATGCTATAGTATAATGCCGCAATAAAACTCCAGAATATCCGAAATGCCCATGTCCCCTAAACAATGCTAAACCCGAACGGATCATAGAGGTGCGTTCGCACAAAAGATCCCTAAAGCTGGAAAACAAAAGCAATAGTAAAAGAAAAAACTATCCAGAGAGTGACTATATCCGCCTCTTCATCTCTCTTTCTAGTAAGCGCCTCTGTTGGGCTCTTACTCTTTGTCGTAGCCGGATTTCCTCCACATCCTCCTTTAGGTAGTTCACACTTTCACCGCTGTTATTTTTGCCTACTGCAACTCCTCCGAGGGCAAGGTTGGCCTCGGACCCCGAGTCATCAGCTGCCTCGTTCATGCTTAATTCGTAGTCTGAGCGTAGATCTGTCCAATGGGTGACCGTTGTCGCTCGTTTTCCATCATCACGTCGGAGTGGGCCGGAATAGTTTGGTAGAGATGGTTGTGGTTCATCAGTCTCATCGAGAGACACTCTACTATCCAAGAAAAATGTTTGACGACCATCCTCGTCAAATTTATTGTTGGCTTCAATAGTCGTGGTCGTGGTCGTAACATTTCCATTTGATAGAACGGCCATAGGAATATCGGAGTTGCCAGAATACTCGATTCCACCCCCTTTTGTTTCGATAACTTCTCTTACTATTTCTGTTTGGACGTTGATACCCTTGCCAAAGTCGAGATTGTCTTGAACGTTGTGTCGGAATCCAGCTAGGTCCCCAATTTCCGGGTCATTAGGGTCTTGAATGGTTCCATTGCCTATGGCAGTGCCGTTTACGGTACTATTCATCCTTTCTCCCCTCCAAACATGGTACGCCCGTTGCAAAGATGGATCCATTACGGCAATCAATGCGTAAAAGATTCCACGAGCACCATATAGAGCGTAGTAAACAGCATACAACGCATAGTCGCCTTGTGAATAGATACCCGAGAGGATACTGATGCGGATATCAGCAATGGTAATGACGAGGTTTAGAATAATCATAACGGCAGGATATAGTGAGATCCGGAGAATAATGCTGCGGAACTCCTGGTTCGAGAGAAGGGATTTCTGAGCGTTGCGTGTCGCACTTAAGTTTGTGCTTTCACGGTTGTCTGGGGATGAGGAGCGGATCGTCGAAGTCGTTACGTTCGCGTTAGGAGAGGGTTTATTTTGAGTAAGCACGTTAAGGGCGGTAAACTATTTTCAAGTTTTAGCATATACTCTCGACTAAATCAAAGAACCAAATAACACTCTTTGTCAACCTACCTTGTGCCTGTAGAGGTGAAAGACGGTTGTACAACAGCATGTGCAAGTGATAAGCACAGCTAACAATATCCAAAGAAGTTGAGTCGAAATTTGCCATTTCACTAAACAGTCAATTGAAAATTAATCGAGATTCTCTTTTTTAGACAAAAGGTTGCATATGCGCATTCAGTTACTCACATCGGTCTTCATTATTGTCCGAGGTCAACCAACAGACGCCAATAACATCGTCCCACCCAAACTTTCCTTTGATGAGTGGCGGTAACGTTGTTCCAAGATTTATAACGATCGTACCGATGACATAGTACTTTTCCATAAAGATACCATTGCACAAATGGACAAGTACTAGTTCAAGATTTAATGCGACGCAGGTAATTAGCCAGTTGGTTATACCGAGCCAAAACTGGATCATCCTAATTAACCACCAAAAAACGTTAGAATGACGCCGTACACTTTATATCGAAAGGCTCGACGAGCAGGCCATTTTAATGAGTCTTACCAAACACCAGCGACGCAGAAGAATCCGGGTTTCACTTCAACACATATTATATATCCGATGCAGTAGAAGCAGCTGGATGGATAGAGTGTCCTATTAGCAACTGGAAGAAACTTGATATTATACTCGCGAGATATCAACTTACTTTGAGATCAATGAGTAGCATATCAATCTGAACGAAACACGATCCAAACACTTTTTAGATTCGTGATTAAGATATAGCACAAGTATAAATCCGAGTAACGATAGGCAGAGGAACAGCGATATGCCGGCAAGGATGGCAGACATGTCATTCTATAAATTCAAAATGTGTAAGAAAAAGCGTACGGAAACGGGTAAGGACAGCGAATAGGGCTTAAAAGATTCTCAACATACCATCATCTTTATCCTGACAGGAGTTAGCCATGATGTCGGCGTGTCCATCGCAATATCCGCCGTCCTCGACATCAGAAACTCTGTCGCAGACGCCATGTTGTATAAACTGTGTTGCCCGGGAATCGATCCAATTATAAAATCCCCAGTCGAATCCCAAGATCCTGAAGATAAAAAAGAATGCGAAAGATAAATCCAAATAACTGGGAGTTTTCTAATCAAGATCGAAAGATTATCTCGTTGAAAAGGAGCCTGGGAATTTCCGGAGCACGTTCCAATCGAAAAAAAGAGCCAAGGAAACGCTTATTCTTGACGCCTTTCGAAGCTGGTAGTTGTCGCCATTATGTCGTTGATCCTTTTTTTGTCTATTCGCTTTTAGGCAGTCGATAGGATTGGGAAACTCGTATTTCGATACCGCGGCCCACAACTTTGGAAGGAGAACTTGCGATAGTCTCTGGAAAACAATGAAAATATATTCACTCCGCTCCGGGAATATCTAACTTTAGGTTCCACAGGCGGATCTTTAAAGCATCCCGTAGGTTTCGGCTTTCACATCTGCAGGCCGGGTCCTTCCTGTACGCATGGCAGTTAACCGTAATTCTTCCCCCAATTTCGGCCTCGCGAGGTACCATCTCAGCATGTGCAGCTGCCCAAAGCTGGATCCATGGAAAAAGTGCAGGGGCAATTCAGATTGCTATTCCCTGTTTCCCGCGTGGAGGTCCCTGAAAAAGACATGAACGAGATTCCCAATATGATTTCCAGTTCTTCCTGATGGTGTGGGAGAGGATTTCTACTTGTAAACGAGCTTGTGGCGGTATATTCCTGGAGCCTGAGGAAATCGGCGAAGACAGCCCATGCCTGTCGAATTATGCAAGTGTGGGGCCATGATGGCATACATAGTACGTACGCTGGTCGTTCAAACATAGCGTGGTTCTGTTCCGCCACAGGCCCCTACTGCAAGCCAAAATCAGCATACCTATCTCCTATGATATACATTTAATGTAAGTACTTACATGTACTCCGTATGTGTGTGTATCCATCGATATTTGGTGACGGGTAGTACAATTACCTATCTCACAAGGTGGAGTCCTTGCTAGGCCCACACTCAATAGTATAATCTGATAAGAATCGATCGAATCGAAACAAGCGTCGAAACATAATTTGCAGAAGATTGGCTGTCACAGCGCTGTTGCCTGCAGCGACTTGAACGTCGAAGTCCCAAAAGAGACACAGACACGAGGCCGAATATCCGGCTGGGGGCCATCTCAGTGTCGGAAATGTGAATTTTGCCTTCGAGATTTCGACTGAAAGTGTTTTTCTTTCTTTCTCTAGACTACATCCTGTTAGAGTAGTTCGTAGAGAGGCTGCGCAGCTCCAGCAGTGCTTATGGGAGCAACACAGGGCAGCTGTACAAGCCAGGCCGGGCATAGCATGACCTATGAGACCATCTAAAATCAAAATCTACAATTCAGCTCTTGAGCTTCATCAGTGGTTTCTCGCAGCCCTTGAACTAAGAATTTCCGAGTTACCGTACCATGCTCCGACGACCTTTCGAGGAATCGCTGCCGAAACCCTCTTGACTAGAATCATTCTCCGCCAATGCAATGGCGGACAAGTCGCAACTGGGAAGCTCAGAAATCCGGGTTACCATATCCGTGATAGCGCTATTTCACCAACCGAAGGCAACCATGCTCACTAAACCTTGTCGGCCAGGCATGCATGGGTCGGGCACTTTTACCATTGGCTCTTGCATCTCACTTATGATGATGATATCGATTTACTCTCTCTCCTCACAAGCTCTTGCCGCAGCATCGAGCTAACTTCAAATCGTCTAACACTGAGCTTATCGTCTTTCGCATGAACAAGCTAGGATGGAGAACCCCAGGTTCTACCAATAACTAGCCTAAAGTTAACAATGCGGCGCACACGACAGCTGAAATCATGGAAGGAACTATATTTGTATCCATATGGCACTATCTCTTTTATATCAGGTATGCCCACGAGGCTCATCTAATTTCGATAACGAGGGTACAACTCGGATACGCAAACCGTATCTGTTCTGCTTCAATGTCTATCCTCGCTTCTTGAATGTCTAAGAATTTGGAACATTCCCACCATTAGCGATTGATAGGATAGCGGTGCGCCCGAGGCCGAGGCTGATGCTTCTAGATCTACAGTAGTCAAGCTTTGGATTTTGCAGAGCTGGTCCTTAATGCATTTGCGACACTTACCATTGGTAACCGGGACCGAACTATCGGACCAATATCCAAATCCACGGCCAAAGCTGACGACCTTCGACTATATCCCTTTCTCCAAATCAGGGAATCCCCTGCTTCGATTGTCGACCCGCCCTTGGTTTTCGTCTCTCCGTGAATATACCTGTTAGTGTATACATGTGCTTATTAAGTAAAGATATATGCACTCGAAGACTTGTTCCACCAATTAGGCTGGCTGAAGTTAACTCCAGCTCTTGGGCTGTTTGCCCAAGACTTTTGGTGGCCACCCGAAGTAACCAACCTATCACTAATCCAAATATTGCAAATTACTCCCATTCGAGGTGAAGAAATTTACATACCTTGATAATTTTTCCCTTGAACAATTCAAATATTTGACGCATATCTTGAAAATCGCTGATCTCCTATCTTCTTTCATTCAGTATCTGTCTCAGTGCTGGAACTATCGAAACAAAAGATATTAAAGTCCACGATGTTTCCTGGTTGTGGTCCGAGCCATGTCTCAGAAGCCTAACCAATCCAAGAACCAAGCACCCCACCGTTGGGATTCTGTACCACATGGCCGCATAGAACATTCGAATGTGATTTAGAACCTGCATGGAAGGGAGGAAAAATCACGCTTCTTCGTAGGTTCTATTGGTCGGAAGCTCGTAATCCAGCCACGAGGAGAATCCAGCGCTTGTCTATCTCGTCTTGGCTTGCATCTTTTGTGGTAAAGATACACTGAGGGGTTTTGTTGAATATCGTGAATCGGACAAAACAGAGTTCATGCGGGGGCTGGCAAATTTCAAACCAGTTTCCCATTCGTTGTTTACTTCTGCATGCATGCGGCATATGCAGACCTCAAACGTTCCCCGACACGTGGTCGGTTGTTCTTGTGACACTAGAAGTCTTCCATTGAATCGAAATTATATTAATGTTTCACAAATAAGATATCCCGTTCCGAATAGACCAACCGTCGTGGCCGTGGACATACAAAGGTGCAAGATGATTAATGATAATAGGCCACAAAGTATAGCATGAGAGAGATATTGGGAGTCTTGAATGTAGCATTGATCTATAGATGTATTCAGGTAATAATATCATAGGCCAACTCCAAAGAATATAGGTATTCCGCCCACCGTAAAGTAAATTAACGGCCAATGAAGCTAGATATTAACAGAAGAGATTATCAAAGAGAAATCAAGAGGAAAACCATAAGCGCCAGTTCCCAGACTGACTCCGAGCTAGAATCCCCAGTTCATGTATATTTCGTAAGGTCATTGCTACTGCTGCATTGTGTCCGAGCCCAAGCCGACTATGCTAGTTTCAACGCGCACAAAACTTAAAAGACCTAGAGTTTATTTAGCGCCCCATAGTCCTTTAGAGGCTCCACCACCACCACTACGCATTTGTATTGGCTTGCTGAGATCTGGATCGTAGCTGTTGGATTGGATCCACTGGTCCATGACGACGTCGCCCCACTAAGTTTAGCGATATAAATGTTAGCAATGCTATTTTATCAAACAAAATGGTTATATCTAAAGGTTGATACGCACCTCGCTCCATTCGCGCCACAAGTTTTCATCTAACTTGCTGACTCCTTCACGTCGTGAGGCCTTCATGACTTCTCTGGCTACGGCAACACTAGCGTCTCGGACACGTTCAATTCTAGGGTAGATCAAACCGGCGGCAATTTCTTCTGCATTCAAACAGTTGGCCAATGCCACGGCAGATGAATAAACCATCTCGTCGGTGATTTTAGTGGCTTTAGCAAGGATAGCACCTTTACCGAGACCAGGGAAGATGTAGACATTGTTACCCTGACCTGGTTGGTAGGTAACGCCACCACCATTGGTTGGGGTATAGGATGGGAATGGGGAACCGGAAGCAAATATAACAGTGCCTTCAGTCCAGTCAACGGCCTGCTGGAATGTACACTCAGCCTTTGTTAAGGGGTTGCTAAGTGGGAAGAGAATAGGTCGACGATTCATGCCACCAGCATCAACGGACACCTTCAGTGCTCGAACAACGCTCTCAGTGAAGATACCGAATGTAGCGGCCAAACCGAGGAGGGCGGTTGGGCGAACGTATTCAATAACATCTTCAAGAGTTTTAAATTGGTGACCTGCATTATCTGTTCGGGCGAAGACCTTCTTGTGTTCAGCAAGTCGGTCGCCACGATCCATTGTGACCAAACCCTTAGTATCGACCAAGTAGAACTTGGACTTGGCTTCCATCTCAGAAAGCCCTTGGCGAGTATAGTACTCCATGACTTGTTTGGCAACACCAACACCAGCAGAACCAGCGCCCATAAATACGAGCCGTTGGTCTTGAAGAGGAACATTCGAAAGTCGGACTGCATTCATGTATCCAGAGAGAATGACGGCACCAGTTCCTTGAACGTCATCGTTGAAGGACTTGTACTCATCTCGATAACGATCAAGGTAATGGAAAGCTTTGTCGGTCTCAAAGTCCTCAAACTGGATAATCATATCTGGGAAAACCGAGGCGGCAGCAGCCATGAACTCGTCCATAAATTCGAGGGCCTCTGGCTTAGGAACACGTCTCTGACGAAGACCCAAGTAGAGAGGATCACGAAGATTCTCCTCGTTTTCAGTTCCGAGGTCGAGAACGATAGGGAGGGTCTTTTCGGGCTCAATTCCGGCTGCAGCAACATAAAGGGCGAGCTTCCCGATCGGAATACCAACACCGTTGATTCCGAGATCACCAAGACCCAAGATTCTGGATCCGTCAGTGACGACGCAAATTTCAGGGTGTGGATACGGCCAATTCTTTAGGATGGTAACCAAGCTAGCGCGCTGCTTAATCGAGATGTACAGAGCCTCCGGCTTTGTAAAGATGGTGCTATATTGCAGGCAAACGTCACCAATTGTCGGAGTATAGACGATAGGCATAAGTTCCTGGCATGTGTTAGTTAATAACTCGAATTGGATAGTGAATTTTCTCCCATACCTTTGCATTGTCCATCAAAAGTCTATAAAATAGATCGAGGTTTGTAGATTTGATGCTGGAGAGGTACAAGTACTTATCGATTCCGGTTTGTCGGCTACGAATCATTTTCATGGCACGCATACATTGAATATCCTGAGTCTCCATGACATGCGGCAGAAGCCCGGTCAAGTTCAATTCTTGGCGATCCTTCGGACTTGTCGATGTGCCTATAAAATATTTTTTTAGCTAGGGCCAGAGCAGCTCCCTTATCGTTCAAAACATACCTCTGTTGAGAATGGGTTCTCGGAGCAACTGATATCCCTTCTTATTACCCTCTAGCAGGTTTACAGCAGCGGTGAGCTGCTTAACCTCTAGGGGCTTTTCCGAAGCATACCCTGAGAGGACGTCCAGTCTAACTGACTGGAGCATCGTATCAATGATAGCCGAATCGACTGGGTTCGATAGAGTCTTCATTCTTTGTCTTGCGAGCGAAACTCTTCTAGATCTTCCAACGACACCGGTGTTTCGAGGGGGCGATGTAGGAATTGGTGGAATTGGTATTTCTGGGATATTCTGCAAGCTAGCCCCGGCAACAGATGTGGCTGGAGATGAATCCGCAGAGAAGATAGTAGCTGCGGAAGGAGTAACAAGGACGGCGGAGCCAGGGGATTCAGCGAATGTACCAGAAGAATGAGACTTGTCGAAATACGATGTGTCTACAGTCGTCGGAGCTGCCATCAGGTTGTCGCTATGGAGGACGATCGAGATGGTACTTCGGCCGGCCACTGGAGGCAGAGAGATATTTATGTTATACACGTCCTTGGTGTAGTACAGGTATGAATCAGGGTCCGTAGATATACGCACTCGAGACGCCCAACCTCCCGGCTGTAGCTACTGTCGGTTCGGTTATCTTTCCGTGTCTGGAGATTTCTTGGAGTAAATCCGTATCGACGCTATGCTATGGGACAAAACCGTAGCTTTCACCTATAAGCTTTCGATGTCGCCGGCGCTGCAAGGGTGGCTTGCATGCAGATATGGAAAGAGCTTCCAAGAAAAGATGTACGCTATGATTTAAAAGAGGGGCACCCGTTTATGAATTCCGAAAAGGTTTATCGATCAAGTAATAAAGTAATATCGATTAAGCTATAGTTGGGTAGTCTAGCTTAAAGAGAGTAAATGGAACCGATCAACGGATTCCTTCCGACTAAAAGATCGTTAAAAGAGGGTTTCGGGGCCCGTTGGCGATAGTAGCAATAACGAAGCGGTCTAGATGACGACGCGACGTAGAAAATCAGTTTGGATGAACTTAGTGGGAGGAGATGGTCCAAAGCCTACGAGGAGCGGAGTATTTCGACTTTATACCATACTGACTCGGGGCTCGATAAGGGCGAACGGACCCGACCCGTTCTTCAGCTGAATTGTCTGCGCGCAACATCTTGCCTCCACTCTGAGAGTCCCCGGACTGTTTCTCTGGCCTATGAAGCAGTTGAAACACGTGTGGGAAATGTTTCGCCCGTGAGATTCTGTGCCTTTGAAGCCCCCTCTTTCTCCTTCAAATATCCTTAATGAATCCTGGTGGAGAACAACTGGGCGGTAAACATCGTGATGTTGTTGGTCAGGGGTATGAATTGGGCGCCTTAGCGAATATACCCTGCTCGACCAAGTTTGTTTAAGTCGGAGGTGTGCCTCAGATTTGTAAGAGGATTTGGCAAGGATAGCCTGATCAAGACCTTCAACCCTAACCGATGCAATGGCTGCGACCCGAACGGCGGGCGGAACGAAACTGTCTGTGATCTATTTAACGTTAGCCGGACGGAATGTCAATAACATGCAGGTCCGGATATCTTAAAACGATATGGCTCCGGGAACTGTATTACTCGTGAGATTCTCTTTGTCATTGTAGAGCTTGGCTACTTGGCGTATAACAAAAACCGTTTAGAGAGCTAGCCTTGATGCAAGAATCGGATCCCATCGGCTGGGATACGTTGAAGATCGATTTATCCCGGGCCTGGAAGGCGGGGAAGAAGAATGAACCATAGTGATGTTGACGTTCCACGGTGTGATTGATCAATTTGAGCATCATGACGTGACATCGCGGACTAATTACTAATAAATTGACATGGCCGCCTCCATCGAAATGGAAGCTTGCCAATGAGAATCAATATTAATACTGTATCCCAAGCTTTTCTAGATTTCACAACAGAAACACAGGTTGAGGGCTCTTACCAGAAGTTCAAGTAATAAGTAGAAATATATTAATAGATTGCGATCTTAAAGTTTCGAGGTTTCTCCGATAAAATCCACCGACGATTCGATCGATTACGTTTTGACTTAATACATTGCATTGCATTGTCCCCGCCTGAAATCACACATCCAACACAAATCCAATCAACAAGTTCACAATGGACGACACCAGGCCCTATAAAATCTCTGTTCCCCAGGAAAGGATTGACTTGATTAAACAGAAACTTGACCTTGCTAATTTTCCTGATGGTGACTATTACTTGAGGATTCAAATCCTAATCAATCGATTAGGGAGCGTTCCGTCATTCTGATTCTAACTCTTACACGCGGATAGAATTGGAAAACTCAGACTGGGATTTGGGGACCCCTCTCTCAGAGATCAAACGTCTGACAAAATACTGGAAGGAAGGATTCAACTGGCGAGAAGTCGAGTCTCGTCTTAACGAAGTTCCTCAGTTTACCACACCGATCGAAGTAGACGGATTTGAACCGTTGGCGACGCATTTTGTCCATGTCAAGTGTGATGTACCAGGGGTCAAGGCTATACCGTTGCTCTTCATCCACGGATGGCCAGGAAGCTTTTTAGAGAGTTTAAAGCTGATCCCGCTCCTTACATCGGGCGCGGACGGTCCATATTTTGAGTAAGGAATCCAATCTAAGTTTGAGGTCAAGGAAATATACTAACGTCGTTTTAGCGTTGTTGCGCCTTCTCTCGCTGGTTTGTGCCTGGCGGGAGCCCCCCGGTTTCCAACGAGCCCAGAAGTCTCTGATGATTGAATACAGATTTCGGGTTCTCTGACGCCGTTAAGAGAATTGGTTTCGATCCATCAAAGGTATTTTACTTAGCCAGCGGGGCTGTCGAATTGCGATCAAGATAAACTAAGATACCTGGTTTTTGAAGCATGCAGACCTATATCATAAGTTGATGTTGAAGCTTGGGTATAATGAATACGGTATGATGACATGGCCAGGAGATGATTACATAGAAATCGTAGTATGCAAAATATTTAAAACTAACAAGATATTTTCTGATGCGCAGTCACTCAAGGTGGCGACTGGGGTAACAATACACGGAATGGTTTTTTGCACATCATCCTACGTACCTGATAACTAACCTCCCCAAGGGGCCATAATCTCCAAATTCATAGCTGTCAAGTACGGACCGACTCACTGCAGGTCGAGCCACTTCAACTTCATGTGGTGGGTCTCCGCTCCAAAGGTCACCAAAAACCCGTTCCTATGGCTCCAATACAATCTTCAACCTCATAGCGAGCTTGACAAGGAACGTTTAACACGCAGAAAGTGGTTCTACGATGAAGGATTTGGCTACAATGACCTCCAACGCTCGAAGCCGCAAACCATCGGCTATGCACTTCAAGATAGCCCCGTAGGACTGTTAGCTTGGATCTATGAAAAAATGCATGATTGGAGTGACGGGTATGACAATTCATTTAGCTTATTACACCTAAACTTTCTTAATAGAAGCTAACATATATCAATCCGATAGGTATAAATGGACGGATGATGAAAGTGAGTATTGTTTCCTGGATCTCTTATTTATTTATTTTTCCCTCGTTAAATTCGACTTACTCATATGCCCGGGGTAGTTTTAACTTGGGTTTCAATGTACGCCTACTCTAATGCTGGTCCAGCTGCTTCTGGGCGTATTTACTACATGGATCAGCACCAGCCTGCCGATCAAAGGGCTATCGTATTTAGTCCGATCGATTCCGCTGTTCCAATCGGGATTAGTGTTTTCCCACTTGATATTGTCGTCTGGCCTCTTGCATGGGGTAGGACGGCAGGAAGGGTTGTATTCGAGAAGGTGCATCCTAGTGGAGGACACTTTGCCGCCCACGAAAGACCGGAGTGGCTTGCAGAGGACTTGAAAACTATGTTTGGGAAGAAGGGGAATGCATATGGAGTGGTCACTGGGAGGAATGGGTATATTGTCGGAGCAAAGTTGTGAAGAAGAATTTGAAAAGCGATTCAGTCATGTTTATAAAACTGTATTGTGATCTGTGGATGCTCAGTCATTACACTAAGGTGAAGAACTACCGAAAGTTAAAAGAATATTTGCAAGTGAATAGTTGAGTACCAGTGCTACCGTTACTAATATTATAATAAGCATGACGCCAAATGGATGAATTAGAAAGCTTAAAGCATAAGTCATAAAAGCAAACAAAACCGAAAGGACAAGAACGAAAGAAAAGGATTGAGAGTATTTAGATTATTAGAGGCAGATATGAAGAATTGGGATGAGATTAGGTAGAGGCGAGCTACATTAAGTGCCGCCTGTACTACGTAGATACTAATCTGCTTATCTCTAGTTTTTTATTGACGATGTCGTATGAACTGATCGGGAACTTGTTACTGGGAATATTGCGCTTGTTCTCGAGTACGACTAAAGCTTTATAACCAGCAGTGTTAACCTTCCAGTGTTGTTTTTGTTGGGCAATCACATCTTTCTAGAGCTCTAACTTTGATCAAGCGCAAGCCTACCAGCAAATAAGGGTAGGGGAACGATCCGGGTCCAAGAATGGCAGTAGCTAGTAGTGTATAGGGATTTTAGGTGTTCTTTCCCCTCAGGCCTGTGATGTAATATAAATGCGCATATGTTATCCGACCTCATCACGACTTAAGTTGTTAAATCGGGCGTATAGCGCGCAGCGCTCGAAGAATAATGCACTAGATACGAATCAAGCCATTGCGGTATGTAAATGTCAGCTCTAGAACCATGACCGTTGTATAATCGATCTAATTTGCTTCTCTAGGTATGAGATCAATTGCAGCCGAACGTTTGCTAGTCAGCGCTGGGATGCACAATGCGACATCCAAGTTCGGTATTTCGAGCCCAGTCTAGGTAGCTAGGCATATGCTTGTTTAAACCCAACGCCTAGAAAGCTCCTTCCAAAGGCCGTCTAGACAGGAACGGAAAGCTCGGACTCGGACTATTAACTATGCATGTCGGGCCGCGTCAATATATTCCTCGACTAATTAATTAATTTCTCAAAGTCTTATATTCATTATGATTCAATGTTCATGTCTACTTTCCTTCTTCGGACTTAGGATAGCCTCGTAGGGTAACCGACGTCTTAAAAGTATTTTCCGAGGATACCTAGGATTCTTTTCTAAAAGAGTCTGACCGCTCCGGAATGCCGGTAGCAATGCGAAATTGAAATTCGATGTTATAATCTAGCTTTTTGATATTCTCGCATTACACGTGCTAATTGGCTGCAGTCATGCCTTGCAGATTTACAAAAGACATTTCCCTAGACCTTATTGATATATAATACGCTTATAATGCCCTTCTAGTCAATCTTCTAATCAAGGACCGAAAATTACACCGTGATATCATTTAAATATAGTATACTTCGATACTCTAAGATACTCTTTTTGTCTCAAACCATACTTCGCAAAAAAAATAAAAATCTTTAACCATGAAGATTTTCACGCTTACTGGACTCTGCGCCGCCATCTTACCCTTCACAACCGTCAGTGCAGGTGTAGTAACACCTCACTGGCCCTCCGAGCACAAAGAGCTATGGATGGGAACATACAAATACGAAAACGACCAATTCTCCGGTGAAGTCTGGGTTAGGATCATAATTACCCATGCATAATATACAACCCATACTAGAGCCATACTAACATAAACATTCCGACATCATGACTAGTCAAAACAAATGAACTGCGGTCCTGTCAGCCAACCTTTAGTCGAAGTCTTCTGGGCCAAGGGAGAAGAATGGCAGGAAACACCGTTGAATGCTAAAAGGAGTTGGTTTGATTCTCGGGGAAACGTTTGGTACACTTTCTTTGGTATGAAAACTTTTAAGAACTCTTCTCCCGGCTATTGAATTTTTATTGATAATCTTGAATATCGAATAGGACCCGCACCTGGAGCGACGCAGTTCTATGTCAAGTTGACTTGTTTGGATAGGGTACTATACGACCCGGGAAATTTTGTGAATCACCAGATCCAACGGGATTGAATTCAACCCCAGCGTGGTGTTGAAATGATTCGGGGAGTACTGTGCAGCTGTGGGAAACAAAAGTTGCCTACTTTTATCAATTCAGTTATTCGGCTGATCAGGCGAAGGATTTAAGCATATACACACTAGAACCGAGTAGTTCTAGGAAGGGTTGAAACTGCGTCTGTATACCATTTCTACAAGAAGAGGCCAGGCAGCATCGGAATTAGGTTTAGAGATTCTCCAAACTCGGCGACTTCGACTAGCAAAGCTCATTGCACACACACACACATAGAAATAGGATTTCACTCTCGGAATCCTGCACATATCGTCAATATAATGATACTATTAATACTCTAAAAATCATAAAAGTTGCTATATATATACAAGATAAATCCATCCAAACTGCTGTCAATTATAATACCGTCATGTAGATTCAGCGTAACATAACACCATACACCCTCCAGATATCGATCAATCGTCCAAAAAGATTACCACCCCAAAAAAAAAAAAGAATAGAAAGACAGACTCGGATCATTTACACGCGGACATGACCTGGTCCTGGAATATTATTAAGTTGTTCATAGCTCATCGCGACACTAGGCTGATATCCAAGTACATTCGCCGGTACCAGTAGCTGTTTCCTCGTCTCGACCTCTCTATTCTCCTGGATCAACGCGCAGCACTATCCAATTTTAATTTCAGTTAGTTAAATTCATACTCCTCAGGATGATACAATCATTCGATTTGCAATTGCAAAAGAATGAAAAGAAAAGCATTTAAACTCACCCCGCAGAAAAAGTGTCTCATACAATCACCACACCCAGATCCCTTCATGTTATACTTCCTCCTAGCTTCTCCTCTTTGCATCATCCCCATGATCCACTGTGCACCACAGATCATTAAACCGCAGAATCCCCAGCAAGGACCGTTACAACAACGGTTATAATCTGTAACCCTCTTGTTCCGCATTTTGTGGTGAACTTCGCCGTATGCAACGCATGGACAGCAGCAGCCAATACAACCTGATTACAAAAAACAAAAAAGTATTAGAATAACTTCACATTTTAGAGTATCCGATGACGGGAATGAGGCCCACATTTATCAGAATCTTCGCAACATCCGCCCATTTGGTATATCCATTCGGTTGAGGCTAAGGGTTTCTGGATGGCGATTACTTCGACATGCTGGTCAAGAGGGATTTGGTAGAAACTTGGTTGGTTGATTGAGCGGGTGGGTTCTGGAACTTCGAGCTATAGACTTAAAGTCAGAATTGCGATTCTACAGTTTCAATTGTGACAAGGTTATAAGACTAAGATTCGATTTGAAGAACGTACCTTATCCATTGTAATAGTATGTATATGTATATCGAGATCGTAAAACAGAAAAAAGAGCGTATTCAAATTAATTGTACTGCAGGAAATTTATGAACTCGTTTCGATGAAAATTGATATTGTCGTATAAAAGGCCCCAATTAATATTATCAAAAGAAGTTATTATGGCTATCGTCCAGAATTCTTTGTCGATGTTTTCAAAATTCCAAGGGTATTAAATCCGAAAGCGAAAGACGAAAAGAGGCTTCAATATCACAACGACCAGCGTCCGAGATATAAGCCTTTTTCTTCGATACCACCTCCCAAACCGTAGTTCAGGGAATGTTACCGTCCTAACCGGTTGCGCACACCGTGTCTTGGCGATAGATGATTACGTAGGCCGAAAAAGACGAAATGAAGGAAAGAACCTCTTGCTGAATTCTCTAAGCAACCGGTGGGTGCCAATTAGGGTTGTTATAATTAGTACTCCGTAGGCGGGAATGAATCGAAATTAGTTCGAGGGCAGACCCAGGGTTGTGGGTCCTTAAAAAACGTTAATTTTGAATTTTTTTTAAGAAGACGGGATGCTAGTTGCAGATTCGATATTTCGAGAGCTGGGTTTACGCGGCCTGTATTGTACTTAGTACTTATACGACGTACGAAGTAGCTAGTAGCTGGTAGAGATGTCATTGAATTTGTTATTTCATACTAACGTTACCGCCCAAAATGCATATGGTACATCTTCAACGAAGATGGTAGTTTTGAAACCGCCTTTGTTGAAACCTGCCCATGTCTGATTGTGGTATCCTTTTTTTTTTCTAGATTTCTCCCCGACGCCCACAGGACATCCAACTTGGCCCAAACCGAGCTCCTGAGACCGCCGCAAGGTCAGTCTGTTTGGCCCTGTGTTTCCAGGCACTTTCCTCTTTCTGCAGGCGTGTTTTGCCCAGCCCGAAATTGGTACCTGCGCTGCGTTTGTCAGAAAAGTCCAACAATATCAACCCATTTTATGAACCTGGTGGCGTGTGCGCACGAGGCTGTTGAATCGAAGGAACTCGTGGGCCCCCAGGCAGGCGAGACTTCTCGCTAATTCTTTTCAATAATTTAATTGCGCTATTCTATAATAGTTTTCGAGGAGGTGGCAGTGGTTTGGTAATTAAGAACAATGCTAAGTAATGACTTCATTCGTAGCTGCATTTATTATTACTACTCTCGAGCTCTCGTGATCTGATGGCATTTGAGAAATGCATGTAAGGGTAGCTAGTATGACACGAGCTAAAACATCTACTATTCGATCGTTCATCCCGAACGTCGATATTGTCCCGCAAATATATGGATATATCTCAAATTGTGGTGTATAAACAAGAAACTAGATTCAGTCCATGCATCAAAACTCCTGACAGACGCTAGAAAGTAAAATATGAACATGACGTTGTCCGGGTAGGGAAAAAAAAAGATCCCAATAAACATATTGATAACTAACCGCCAACCGGCTTTCATCTCCATGAAGGGTCAAACTTGTACCCGGTGATAATGACCCCAGTGTATCATCCCAACATACTCCCCTTCCTCCCCCCTGGTCGCATCAAACGGATCTTTCCCTCTAAATATAAACCGTTCCCCTCCTTTCTCTTCTCCATACCTGAAATACTCAAACTCAACTAATACGACTGCATCAGCCGGCTGAATCAACTTCCCGCCATTGCTATTATAGCCACCTCTCAGGAAATGCATTGGTATAGGTTGTATCGACGACGGTATGTAGAAGAATACGGGTATGGTAAGCAATGATATGGTATTATAATACATCGCCGGGATGGAAGGTTCCCGTGATCTATCGAGTACGGGACCGAAAAAGTCAGTTGAATTAGACCAATTCGTTGAAGTACTGATATCTATCGTATAAATATCCTTATCGTCGTCTAGCTTTGCAGTGGTAAAGGGGACTTTATTCATCGTCGATTCGAATATTTTCAAGAGCCTTTGGGCTTCCTTCCGTACCTTGGATCGATGGCGGTTTACAGTTGTAAAAGGAGAATTGTGGGCTATACTGGCTATTTGGTATTTGGCGAACGAGAAGATAAGGTTTATGGGAAATGTGAGTATGAAAAATGTCATCATGAGGTAATGTCTCCATGCCGCGGGCTTGGAGGCGGTAGTGTGATTTTCGGAATCCGAGCCTAACATGTATATATAACTATGACAGGTATTAATGGCGTTGCGGATAGCGGATATGGGTTTCATTATCCATTTTAGTCCTTTCGAGTTCGAGCTTATTCTCGATACCGTACTTTCGAACGAACACAGCGGCCGACTCTTTGGACTGTTCTTAGCAAACCCATGTTTTGCAATTTTCCCCCAGAATTTAGAGAGTACATCCATCGCCATCGGGGTGACTTGTGGAGGGATATCTGGTTGGCGGTCATATTTGTTGAGTTTCAGACCTGTTGTGGAGTAATATTTTAACTTTGTAGATGTTTCGATGAGACATTTCCAAGTTTTGCAGACTTGTCGGCAGGAAGTTAACACCGTAAGGGCTGCTGTTTCCAAAAGAATTGCTTCTATGATCTCGGGTGGAAGATATGGCATTATTTTGATGGAGGCCGTGGGATCAACCACGACTGAATTGGAGACCGCCATTCTTGACAGCACAGCGTCAGTTATATGAACTAAGTTGAGGAATCTGTTGGGTTTTGTCTCTCGGCCGGAACGGTGGGATGCGGAGCCGAAGCGAAGTTGGTGAGTGACCCAACCGGTATACGCGGTACCAGACCGGTACAGCGATCGAATAGGGGCGTACTTCACGAGAATTGACGACCGAAGGTATAAAAGAGACGGATCCCTGAAATATATCTTTTCAAAGCGTAAGGGGGGTTGGCTACGCTATTACAAAATTCGCCAACATCGATGGGATCGATTCCGGCTCGGATAATTATCCTGAGGTTGATGCTAAGTTGAGACCTGCTCTGTCTGAAAAGATGGCGCTTATTCGCGAAAGTGTCCCAAGTCATCCAGCCCACTTCCCCCAAGTCGGAACGGGTTGAAAGGAAAGCGACAGTAAAAATAAAAGAATCTGATGTCAGCTGGCAGTCAAAAGCCGAAAATGTGGGGTCCGGTCTGCCATTTTAAAGGTTGGTAAGTACCTCGAGATCAACTGATCATGATGGTGGATCGATCCAGAGATGCATGGCCATATGGCTATGCATAACTTTCCTTTGGGCCCGTTGATTTCGGATACAAAAGGGACTCGAGTTCAATGCAGCCATGATTTTGGGTCTTGCGGGGTACTTGGACTTGCTTTATGTAAGTCTAGTCCCCGGCTGGTCCAGATTATGCCCAGTCGGTAGTTGCAAGTACGTACAGAGTAGGGTGGTTGGGTTGCAATGTTGGTTATCGTGTGCATATGCCGGAATAGCCCATGCTCAGGCTAGATGTTCTTGTTAGTACTTGAATTGAGTTATCTGCGCGAATCCGTTCTTTGGCACCACGTTTCTTGGACCGACACTAATCAATGATTATGCAGGGAACGGATGGAGGGGTTGAATCAATAACTCGATAGTACTGTTCTTGTACTATATCACCCCACTGCGAAGATTGTGGGGTGGAAGGCCCTAATGGGGAGCTTTCTGTGCCTCTTATGTCGACATGCCGCTATCTCAATATTAAAACCGGTTGGCATGATGTAATATATATGGCCTCTCGTATACCTTGAAAGGCCTTAAAGGATACTACTAGCCGAAAGCATACCTTCAATGAGGTCATGTCGGTGCTTTTTTATTTTATTTCAAATAGGTATTTAGTCCGGCTGGCCCGCTTCGGATAGCAGGGAGTGTGGCAGGCCTTGACACATGCCCAAGAGTATCTTAATATTGTCACTCTCGAAATACCTTCTAGAATTCTAGGACCACTAGGATCAGAACAAGAGATGAGGTTCATTTTCTATTCGACACTGTTGCCAGGTTTTCTGTTTTTTCCCTTCAATATTCGAGAGAAACGAACATGAATTAATAGCAAAACAAGAGTGAAGCGAAGCGAAGGCTAGCTAGTCGCAATAGGACAAAAACCAGGGGAGTAAAAGGATTATACATAGGAAAGAATAATAATAAGCAGAGCAATTCGAATGCAAAATGCTCTCAAGCTCATAGATAGGAGACGCACAGGAGGGGAAAAAAAGAGAAGAGGATACCCCGTTTGGTCCGCCCGTCCGTCTGTACTGCTATCGTCTTCTCTTTTCCCTTTCTAAACCACTAGAATCATATTTTCGCGCGAGCAAAAGATACTGTGCTTGAGCCGGAAAGATGTACAACGGACATCACAAGGAAAAAAAAAAAAAGATAGTGCATCGAAAGTAAGGAAGAATAGTAACGTCAATGGTATCGGATTTAGTCGCTTATCTGCCGTCCGGAGCATCTTTTAGCTTGACGTCACCATCATCATCCTCATCGTCCACATCTATATCCTCAGGATGTCTATTTCATAGTTAGTAACTGGCTCATCTGGAATCGAGGTATTGTTGAGAACCTACCCGAGCAACCCCTTGACGTCTTTCATTTCATAATGTCTCTTCCTCATCTCCATGAATTCCTTATGTTTCTTGGCTTCGGACCCCTCGCCTTCTCCTTCAACCTCGCCATCTTCGTCTTCTCGATCATCTCCTCCATGTTTCCCGTCGTCCTCCAGTACTACTTGCTTTCCACTCAAGTTTTTATGTTTCAATGTATCCAAATCTTCCTCTGGCTCACCAATGTCTAACCCAGGTATCTCATCATCTTGGAAAAGCCCTCTAGGCTTCTTGCCGATGAGTTCCGGGCCAGATCCACCAGAGTGATCCTTTCCTTTAGCCTTGTCTAACTCATCAACATCAAGCTTATTGGCGTCGAGTAGCTGAACAGGGATATCATCCTCTGCTATGGCACCTTCGGCTCGTCCAGCGGCCTCTTCAGCCTCAATTCGCTTAATTTCCTCAGCGTCTTCTAGAGGGTCGTAAGTCTTGGCGTATGGAGTCTTTGGTTCAGTTATTTTCATGGTAGATGACTTTTGTTGTTCGTTGAGGTAAAGGTTTGCTTCGTCCCATTTTAACTGTGGGGAGTCGCTTGGATCGCCTGGCTCACCTGGCTCGCCGGATGTAGAGTTCGTGCGGGATTGAAGGGATTGCCGACGAGAAGAAGAAGAGTTTGAGCGACCGAGGAAGGATGAAGAACGGCGACGGCCTGCATTTTGGAGAGTGTTTTGAATGGTAAGGTCTTTGTCGGCGGTATTGGGATGATCTGGTTCTGGGAGAGTCACGGAGTGAGGGGTGGGAACCGATTCGCGAGATGGAGTGGAGAGGGGAGGGGTTTCGGAGAAGGAGGGATTCTTGAGGATTCCTGGAGTAACATATGTTAGTGTCTGATTGAGCTATGAGAAGATGAAGAGGAGAGAGAAAAGAAACCTTTGGGCCGTTTAGCCTCGGGTCCGTGAAGTGGTGGTGGGGAGTGGGACATGGCTGCTTATGGCGGGGCTGGTGTCGTTGTCAAGTAGTTGGTGTAGCTGGTACAACCGATTTCTTCACAGCCAACGAGAGCAAATGATAAAACAGACGAAGTGGTATTCAAGCGACCAGAATGCGATAGTAAAGCGTATGGATATGATACGGTCGAGATATTTAATTATTTGAAGCGGAGGTTGGTCTTTGTCAGAAGTTGGATAGTCTTTGAGGAGAGGTCGAGTCAAGGTCGATGTAGAAATGGTGGTGGTGATATTGGTGGTGATATTGTTGGTGGTGGTGGTGTGTTGGTGGTCTGCGGCGTGGTTGGTGGCCCGCAATTGCAACGGGGAATGCAGTGGAGCTGTCCGTAACTGGGCCAAAGATCAGACGAGGTACTAATACTGATCAATGACATCATGCATCATGGCCACCAGCATTGCATTCTCCCCTCAGCTCAGACTAATACTGATAAGTCCTCCGATGCTCATTGCATCGAATTCTGACTCCCCTGCTACTTACGGGAGAATCCCTTGTCACTAATATATCCTAGTCTTTTTTTTTTTTTTTTTTTGGCAAATACTATGGTTCGACTCAATTGCTCAATTGTAGAGCGGATTGTTTGTAGACGCACACGTACGTATACAAGAGCGAATTTACGTAAGCTATAGGGATCAGTGCATACATGGCTAGTGCAATGCATCTGTCGGCTTCTTAGCTCGTGTATAAACTTACTGAATACTTAGATAAGTGCTAGGTATGAAGGTATCCACCAGTTTTTATCTTAGTTGTCACAAAATCTCTAACAGGCACTATAATTGTTCCCGGCTTAGGCTGGGGTACCACTGTGAAGCATTTTCTCTCAAGTCGGTTTGCTAAATTTTACAAAGACACCACCTGCGATTGCAAAACCATAATATCATGCAGCTTATGGCCATCCCGATTGTAAGATCAACTAGTCAGAATTTCATAATCACCAAATACACCTGGGAATATGATTGGCCTTTCAATTGGCTTTTCGCTGCATCGTCGATATCTAATTGAGTGCTTCGTTTCACTGGGACTCAATATTGCACGCCACGGAGGAAGTCTAGAATCTAAGTCCATATCAAAACATCGTGCAGCTACACAGTGGCCTGCCTATAAGTATTAGTTAATATAATTTGGTTTCACGTTGTACAGCATGCACAATCTGAAAATCGATTATTCCTTAGTACGTGTAAGTAAACGGCGATTAGGAGGTATCTATGAAATAGTTTAAATTTATAAACCTGCTGGCTTTGAATACATCAGCTTGAGGTACACTGGCACGCCCATGTAAGCCAGGATCTATTTGCCCAAAAATCCCTGCTCGAATCCAGGGCTCTTGAGGCAGAGAAAATTCCATATCCATCTATGTACTCATGCCTCATGTAGTGGATTAATTCGCCTAAAGAATCCATGGATCCAATGATACGCCCAGTTATACCGTTTTTCAAGATCGAATATGGTATGCAGCACTCGAATTTTATTGGAATTAATCAAAAACTAACTCAGGGGACCTAAAGAATACTCGAGCTATTTTTTACATTTCTCAAAAATATAATTTTTGTATATAAAAAAAATTGATTTTTTTAATTATAATAAAACTTAAATATTATTACATAGTTATTATTATTAGTCGGTTCTTAATGGGTGAGTGGCACCACAAAGCTTAGAATAAGGGAACGCAAGTGTCCCTATTGAAAGTTCTTTGGGCTGTACGTGTGATTGTTTTTCCTTTTTAACTTGTCTCGTAACCATTTTTAAAAGATATATATGTTTATGTTTGTAAGATATTTTGACAGATGAAAGTTTGAGGGTTACTCGTGTGCGACCCCCTGAAAATACGTAATGCTGGATCTTTGATCTCCACCAGCCTAGAAATTGGGGAACCACAATCAAGGTACATTTCTGCGGCGAGGAATTCTTCCACGGATCCAAATTTAATATTTAGGACATATGTATATATGCTAGTCTAGTTAGTAGGCGGGTGCTGAAATATATGCTAATGTTCCGATCTCCCAGCCAATCTTCTAGCGTTTAGAATCATGGCGAATTTATGAACCCTGTTGATTACGGTAACATAGCTAGGCGCATAGCCTATGTTGCCCTCCTGCCACGTTCGGTTAGAATACTACTCAGGATGTATAAATCGCTAGTTGGCTGACCTCATTCTCCTTTCAAGCTTGGTGGCTTGTATTGTAGAGGACTGGCCGCTCGTCGTATTGGTCGTGCGGCAAAGCCATGATACTATAATAATTTGGAAAGCACCGGTGCTGCCTCAGCGATTGTTTGTTTTTTTGGCAGAACTTCGTAGCTCATTTAAATATATATCTCTGCAGCTTTCTCTGTTATATGGCTAGATTTAATAGTAAGCTGTTGCACATATATACTTTGATTAATGTACGTCTGCGAGTACGTATCATGCTTCGGCGTCTCGGGATCAATCCTGGTCAAACTCAATACAACAAATGCTGTTGTATTGTGGATTCTGACATATATGTGTACATGCGCCTGTGCGTGCAACATAATTCGAGTCTGTAAATGGATGACTACTTAAGTAGCTAGCAACTGCTCTGCCATGCATATCACATCGTCTACTTTGCACCGGTACCGCGTACGTAGCATTCTGAGTACTTGCTGAGGAGCTGCTACTGATAAACATGTTGACTTCCTAGTTCTAAGGTTGGGTGTGATAATCAGTGCACAAAGCTGGCTCCAAGCTTAGCTAAATGGTTACGTTAGAAGCACTTTACAAGATTCGAGAAGTTTATGTGCCAATGCCGATAAATACTGTACGGGTTCCTAGCAGACTTTCGATTTAGCGCAAAAGACATGAGCGGATTTGTCACGGTCTTATTTTAGTTTGAATATCAAGTCTTTCAAGCTTAATACAAGCTGTACAAGCAGTAAAACGGTTCAAAATGCAACAAAACAATTTGTTGTGTGAAGTCTTGAGATCTTGAGAAATCAACTTTTCGATCTTGGATACCTCCTAAATCGAAGTTATAATGTCAGGAATAGAATACTAGAGATATATTATTTGAGGTTGCTGTGAGCTTTGAAATAGGCATCCCCAGGTGTATTAACTGCCTAGCCCACTACTACCTACTAGCTCCTGGGAATATCAAAAACGTCACCTTAATGCTTCAACAGCTCTCGGCTCCCCACGCACGCGACCTTCATACTATCTCTCACAAACACTTATCCGCTAGTTTCTTCATCATCATCGCTACTCGTTACCCATATCTTCGTGTCAAAGCTTCTCAATCACTCCAATCTCATCGAAGTCGCGTTCAAAATGGATAAACGATCAGATTCTCCTCCTCCCCCCCCTCCGGCTTGTCCTCCCTCTCCTCCCCCTCCCCCTCCGGCTTGTCCTCCCCCTCCAGATACCGATTATGGCAACTTAGGTGAATTTAAACGCAGCCTTTTGCCTTTACCAGGTACGCCTGAGGACCGTAACGCTGCATTTCGCCAAAACAGGTACTACGGCTTTAAAGCTCTTGGCATCAGCCAGGCTCGTGGTGGCTGGGGTGCTTCGAGACCAGATGTCTGGAATGGACCTAGAGCGGATGTCCGCTGGCCAACCTGCCTTATCTCCAAGAGGCTTGAATTTGTCTCCTTTCGAGGGTTGGATAAGCCTCTTTGGGATAAGATTCTATCTTACCTCCCGCAGAGGTCCCTCATGAGGTTCAGTCTTGTCTCGCGAGCCAGCCGCTTTTTAGCAGTCAAGTCTCTCTTCGAGTTTGCCGTAATTACGCCAGTCTCAGTCCAGGGCTTCAAAAGGGAGAGTCCTCATCTCCGTCGGTTCCTTAAGTATATCCCCTTCTTTCGAATTCTAGTTTCCTCAATTCGGTGGTATTTTGCTAATTTTTTGTTTTTTAATACGTAGGCATATCAAAATTGAGTTGACTGATATGCGGTGGGCGCATCACTTCTTCTTCGAGATCAAAGAATACCCCCATGTGACTAGATTAGAGTTGCACTTTATCCTCCACCCTTGGGTCGAAGCTACCACGATCATTGGATCTCTCCGTGAGCTGTCTAGGGCCAAGTTTTTTCAATGCTTGACCCACCTCACTCTGAGATTCGAATACAAGGAAAAGACGCCATGGGGGCATCATAACTGGTACCTTAAGCTACCTAAAGATCAGCAAGACTTTTTCGGTGACCCTGTTACAACAGCGCAGGCGAGTAATTTAATCGGGCTCTCAATTCCTGCTCCTCCAGAACTCAAATTTGCTACCATCAAAGTTGATGAAGGTCTAGGCTCGGCAGGAATCTACTACAAATTCCTTTCCATGGCTCCAAAACTCAGCTATCTTGATATTGAGGAGTGGATGCCTCCATCAAAGTTTTTGAGCACGGAGCCGGCTATGTTTCCTAACGTCTCGCGACTCCGAATTGGGTTGAAAGAGTACACCGATTCTCTTCCATCCATTCTAGAAAAAGTTGTGGAGAATTTCCCAAACTTGCATCGTCTTCAAATTGATGGCTTCGGCCACTGGTGGGGTTACGCCCTTCGAGGTGATTGCGTCTACTCATCCAGTTTAGATCCCATCATAAAGTTGAAAAAATTGAGGGATCTGGTCCTACCGTGCCCTCCCGTTCTGGGACCGAATAAAGCCGACATGAAGTCTATCGATGCTATCTATCGCCTCTGCCCAAAGGAACTCAACGAGCTGATGGATAAGTGGTACAAGTCCGGTGTCAGACTGACATCAGCTATCTTCGATGGGTTTTTCATTCACCCTAGGGGAACTGTTCCAGACGTCGAATACTTCGAACTCTCCTGCTTCCTTGAAACGAAGCAGTTCGTCAAATGGACACACCAAGCTAGGCCTTCCGAAGTCGATCCCCTTACGGTCCACGGCAAAGTTCCCTGCAGCACTGGATCCGGGGTACGTTTCCCTTTGTAATAATAACCTTCATTCGGAACTCTGCGCCTTGGCTGTGGGTCGGTAGCCTGAGTCGAGGCTCAATTCATCTACTTCACATCGATATTTCTATGAGCCAAGTCCCCTTCTCGAGCTCCTATCCTAGGCTAGGAAGCTAGTGCCGTCTTGGTATCGAAGCGGGTACCGCTTAGCTCCATAAGCGTGCATGGGTAAGCTTCCCCGGATTTTCGCAATAATCCATCTGCATCACGAAGAAGTGTTAGAGATTTTGTAATTCTTTTTTTTTTTTTGTCTTTTCAAAGCTAAATTCCTGAATACGTATGTATAGAGCCCCTTGGAAGAAAACTACAAAACCCCATCCTCTGGTTCTTTCAGCAATCTTTCAATTTCTTCATTATCATCCCCTCCTGTTTCGTCATTCATTCCTCGATATTCCTACAACAAAATGTCACTCCCAACACATCTCTCAACTTTACCACCAGAGCTTTTCGAATCGATATTGTTACACCTAGACATAACCACAATCAAATATTTTTCTCAATGCTCACAGTTCTTTCACGATGTTTCTCTCCCATTTCTTTTTTATTCCTCAGTGTTATCCCGTGAAAAAGTGCAATTGTTCAAAAGAGGTGGTCTTCTCGGTCAGCGAGTCCAACATCTTCGGTATATTGTTGCATCTCATCCCTGTTGCATGTTGTCTTAGCGCTTCCCCAGATCCAATATCCTTTACATAATATTAACGTCTTTTCTCCTCTGGTCCGAAAAAAATACAATAGCCATCTTAAATTACGTCTTGAGCTACAATCTATCCAACCGGGGTTCACGGATTCCCTCGCAGAAGTTCTCACGGAACTTCACATCTTCCCAGCTGTCAACAAATTGTCGGTTACACTCATAGCCCATAGGGATGCAGAAACTACTCTGTTCCTAACGGCTTTCAAGTGGATTTCGAAATGCCCGTTCTATCATAATGTCAGATTTCTCTCCCTAGAGGCTGAAATATGTGACACCCAGATTTCGGCACAAGACCGAAAGGATTGGTATTCGAGATCCCAACAACGGGACCAACTCTTTCTCGGAGGGGTAGTTCAACCCGGAGAAGTCATCGATATCACTCCTCCTATGAGCCTACAAGAGGCGGCTGTCAGTATCTCTCCTCAGAGAATAGGAAAACAGTTACCATATTATCAATTCCTATCCCAAGCTAGCAGGCTGAACAGGATGGTAATCACCGAACCCGTTACCTTTCCAAAAGATTTCGAGGATGAAGAGGAAGGACGAAAATGGAGCTCTTGTGTGCCAAAACCGACCACAGAGCCCACGGTTCCTAATGCCATCTTTTATGGCGTTAGGTTCCTCAGCATAAAAATAACCGGTTATCCGTTTGGCGGAAAACTCAAATACCTAGCTGAATGCTTCCCAAACCTTGAAGAGCTTGATCTTGTTCTCGACCAGACAAGATATAGAACGGCGGTCATCGATCCGGATGCCTTTTTGGAAACATACGATGGACTGCTAGATATGAAGAAACTGAAATTCGTATCTATTCCTTGGCCAAAAGTAAAAAACCCAAACTGTCCTTCACCCCTTCGAAATACATTTCGCAAGACTCTTGGGAAGTGGATGGCAAGTGATCAGACTGATTCCGATATGATAATGCTCGGGATACCGGAACTCGAAAAGTGGATTTTGTATTGGCGAAAATGTCAATTGCCTTTAGAAAGGGTCCAGTTTAATGGGTGGAAACCGGTAGGACAGTGGCACAGCATGCGCAAATGGGCTACTTGTAACATTACCAAGGACAATAGGATGAATAGGGCTCATCAGTTCATATGGAAGGAATGTGACCCAGCTTATGAGGGGTAGTAGCCTTTGAGATTTGTTTGACTGTCACCTGGCTATGGCTATATGGGTGGCATTGGCCTGGCCCTAACTTCCCTTGTCCAATATTAATTATGCATAATTAATTACTTAAGAACGGGCATCTTACACACTCTAAGACATTATAGAAACAATAATAGCTGTTTAGTTAAGGGCTAAATACTTAAGTATTTATACTAGTAGATATCAATGCTCAAAATTGTAGAACACGAGAGGCAACTCTGTATTTTAGACCCCCCTCAATCGATCTTCACCAACATAAGATATATTGCAAACAATGGAACTAACAACCCGCACACATAGGCTCAGGGAATATCTGCGCAGTTTCTTACTAGAGGAGAACAAGGAAATTCTACCGCTAGGACTCTGCAATCGCATTCTCTCCTTCTCATCTATCGAAACTGTTAAAAACTTCGCGAGATGTTCAAAATGGACCAATGAGATATCCCAACCCCACCTTGCTCACACGGTTAAGTCTCGCAACAATAATCTCGCTCTATTTCTCCCCGATCAAAGGCTACGGGAGTATCGCAAATATATCCGGTAAGTTCCTACCTCTCCTACAATGAATTTCGATCTACTGTGTATAATTATAAGGCCGATCCGACCTCCGGCACCCGTTTTCCGATGCAATGCATACCCGCAAACTTCTTCCTGCGCGTACATGCATAACTGACACTCCGGCTACTTCTCAAAAATTTTATGGGGAAAAAAATAGGCATCTAGTTCTTGAGGACCAGCTCTACGAGGCTGATACAAGCGCCCTAAAAGAAAATTTATCCAGACTTCGATATTTCAAGGATGTGACACACCTTGAAATATGTCTGGATACCGCATCCAGCCTGACAGTAAATCTACTGACCGCGATACTCCTAAGGGTGTCGCAGTTTCAGTTTTATCGGCGGCTCAGAAAATTATCGATCGAATTTTCCAGCGATTATGTCAACCCAGGCTTTGCCGCCCTCAAAAATGACGACTTGTGGCATATGATTACTTGGGACGATCAAGAGTTTTTAGAATATCCGATGACTTATACCCGACTCTACGCATTGGTTGGAGGAACTATCCCTCCAGCCCCTAACCTGGAAGAGGTAAACATCAATAAAGGTTACCAGACGATTGTTGGACTCGGTACTTTGGCTAAACTCCTCTGCTTGTCACCAACGGCAAAATTGTTGACGGCAGGGCAGTTTGATTCCGGTATATGGGAAGACAGAAAACTCAACCCCAGTGCAAAACCAATTTACATGTCACCAGCACATCCACTTTGTTATACATTGACGGCATTAGAAGTGACAATGCTAAAGAATGACTTCGGAGAAGCAGTTCAAGTTATCGTTTCAGAATTCTCAGGCCTTGAGAACTTTGTTCTACGAGCATCAAAGTCGTTTTTCACTATAAAGCAGCCAAAAGCAGTGCGTAAGGCTTGGTTGTATACCCAACTCAAGAACCTAAAAAAACCAAAGAAGCTTGCAATTCCCTGGCCATGCCACTTACAATCAGCCGAATATAAAAAGTATCGAAGGGGCAGAGGCTATGCATCAGCGTTGACACGTACCAAGGAAGAAGCTTACATTGAGCAGGGAGAACAGATTTGGTACCCTCATTTGCGTAAGATTGAACAATGGGTCGAAAAACTCATGATAAAGGGAATTCCTCTTGAAGAAGTTCGTTTTAGCGCATTGAAGTTCTCGGCTACTGAGGATCGGCCGAGACCTATCATACGATCTAATATTGTGGAATTATTCTCTACGGTAGAGAGGTACCCTCACTTGCCATTGGCACGATTTGGGTCATTCGATTGGGAGGAGTATGAGATTGATTGATTGCTATGTACCGAAGCCCAGGAGGACAATTGTATATTAATTGTCAAGTGAAGGCTCGCGATAGACACGGTACTGTTCTTTATCATAAAAGAATACATGTATACAATTTGAATTCATTCATTGTCCCTATAGTGGAGTTTACGGCATTTATTCCGCACTATATGTTTATTTAATTACGATGCATGAGCTTAGTAATAAGACTTTTAGGGTGATAATTTTGATAGCTGTAAAAGTACAGAAAATATCCCTCGAGAACTCCAGATCTAACGCCATATACCATGTAGATTTCTAAGAAGCCCGAGCAAACCCCAGAGTTGTAATTCGACTACCGTATGCAGACCTTGTAAAACTTTATGTGAAATCTCCCCAATTATCCATGCCGTTAATGCGATTTAGTCATCCTTCTTGCCAGTTTCGGTAGCTTCCGCTAGTTCAGGAACGGAGACAATAACCTCGCACATCGGTACCAGCGTAGTTTTTTCCGGACGAGTGATAGTTTTTCTAGGAGATCCCGTCCACTACATTTCCATGATTCATTAGTATGCCTTTATAGCGGGTCAGTTAAAACAAAGGGGGGTAGTTGATCTTACACTGCGGTGAGTCACGGTTTCAGTTATAATCTGAAGTGGACAACCTTCTCCGCAGGGAACCCTAGTGACCTCTGGAATAATCTGCCCATAGACGACGTGAATTGGTGAAAGTTTTTTTGTGACTGTGAAAACTGCTGGTGTTTTGCATGGTGGGGGTGGGGCGGCTAGGGCAGAGCTGAATTTGTAATTATTTTCACGTTAGTTTCATAATCACTGTCTTAAGGAATCTAGAATATATCCTCCCACCCAGCGAGACCTAGAGCAACAGCAGCGATAGCAAGGAACTTCATGTTGTTGTATATAATGATTTATAAACTCGGTTCAAGATAAAAATATATATCGAAACCTTCGGCGTTTTTTATCATAAAAGAGTGTCGGTATCGTCGTCGAATGAAAGGATGACAGATCGGAAAGGAACTATAGCGGACGGCTAGGTGTGCAACGGGGAAACGAAATAAAGAAAGATGGCTGCAGAGCAGCCCGCCGAAGGAGTCTAGTTTATATACCCATATGCACATATGCAATGGAACATGATTCCATACCCTTACGCAATCTTCCAAAATTTTATGTACACTATCCGACACGAAAGATTGGAGTAGGAAAGGATAAGCAAGTTAAGGGCTGGGCGGGCATCCGACTACCAAGTTATATAATTATGTAGCGCAATAGAAGGTGGCATTGCCATGCGAAAGCAATTTGACGTGGGCTGGAGTATGTGTAAGTATTTCGACGTTTTGCGGGAAATGGAGGGTGTAGACGACACTGTGGAATATGGTTGTGAGAAGGCTGTTGGAAGCGGAGGTTGCAGGGGGTTGTTTGTGCGACTATACCGTTTCGGGGTTGTCGACGAAAAGGGAAGTCTGAAGAGGACTCGATTTTTGTTGCTAAAAGTTTGGAGAGTATATACGTATCAGGATTCGACAGAGAATCAAATCAAAACCAGTTTTTAATTTATGGAGTGGAATCCCGCTCTTCCAGATGAACATGATTTCCGATAGATAATTAATCAAATATCTAATCTCATCGCATTACATTTACACTATTGCCGTGAGATCTAGATCTCGTTCGAGGCTAGAGAGCAACAGATTCGTCGTGACAACACAAAAGAGATGTCAAAATACAACGTCTCCTGCACGTTAACCGGAATGGGCTCATAAATGCCCCAGAGTCTGGACGCGGCAAGTTCGAGGCGAGGAATGCTAGGTGTCAGAATTCAGAATTTCATCGCGCTTCAATTTTTCCCTTTCATGATTTCCATGGCGTCAGTAACGGCGTTGATCTAGTCAAACCCCGTGATTTCCGCCGTCTAGCCCTGAGATTGCCTATCATTAAAACCACGCTCATATTCTCTTCTAGTTGATTACGAAATAATCCGATCAGAACGTTGTCGTTGTCCACACGTTCTCATTGATAATTTGCTGATTGTCGCTCGATCTACACGAGTGAGGCCGACTCGGGGCCCTTCTGTACTCCCTAATAAACAGCCTCATCCGTGAGTGCGGCCGTCGCGGTTACAACGTTTTTCTGTAAATCGTAGATCTACCAAATAATCGTTCTGTATATTTAAATTTAGATACTAACGCTGGGTTCTAGACCTACCAATGACTGTACCTACTGTACCTATAAGTATCCAGCAGCAGAAAAGTAGCCAAAGTTCCGACTAAACTGTTTCTTATCACCCTTCAGCGATACAACATCTCGGCTTTCCTTATAGAACTTCAGAAACTACTACTACTACTACTTCTTCCTCTTCTTACACACACTCCACATACATCCCTTTTATAGGTCTTCTCCTATCAACCAACCATAAATAAATCATCGAAACTCTCCCCTCATCATCTCACTGATCAACTATCACAATGAGCCACCGCCTGAACGACCTCACTATAGAGGGCCAATATACCCTCCTCTCATACCTCGAAGATCCAAGTGCGATTGAACGCTTCTGTAATGTCTTCCCTCAGTACCGAAGGACCTATTATACCCTCGTCGACAGGTTTGAAAATATCAATCCCAACTGGATCCTTCAAGATTCCCGAATTTACGCCCGCGAAAGCATCTGGATTGCCTGTTACCGTGGAGTTTTGAACAGATGGGATACCCCGACAGCAGACGTTAAGGAGGCAATTGACCAATATGTTGCTTACAACGTCACAAACAGAAGGATGGAGATCGCTGAATGGCAGAGAGGGGACGACAGCTGCTACGATAGGCCAATTGATAGCATTAAAGACAAATTGACCGCTAACCACCGATACATCCTCAAAGTCTACCGAAACATAGTCGGGCACGAATTGAACAGACGCGACGCCACTGAGAATGGTGGCGCGGTTCGTCGAATCCTCTTAGCTGGAGGCCGACGCCCGGGTAAGGCCGACAGGGTTCGAATCTGGCCTACAGTTGAAGAGGAGCAACGTATCGTTCGAGCACTTTACAGACTCTGGGTTCTCGTTCTCATGAGCTGCGAGCATGAGAAGCCATTGGACCGTAATATGTGGCTAGGGTGTGTTATGAGCATCTGGAACGCCGATTTCTGGGGTTCTATGCACGTCATGTCCGTCCAGAAGATCATATACGACGCCATCGCATCCGCCATCGATGAAACTATATATAAAGATAAAGAGAAGACAATCCGTAAGGATGGTATCGATCCAGGTGAGTTTACACGGTCTCTGAATTTGCCAAAGTACGGGTAATATATATAGATAAGCTAACACGAGGATATAAATATAAAGTAATGTTCGAAACCGAATTCAAAACTGAAATCGCCTCTACGTCCCTCCTTCACGATTTTCCTACGTTGACCCCAAACTGGTTCCGAGTCGTTGAAACTCCCTTCAACCCACAAAAACGAGAAGATCATATTAGCGACATACGCGAATTTTTGAAGCGCAAAATCTGCATCGATCGCGATGTACCATCTGCCAACCTCTGCATCTTCGACACCCACTATGAATTCTACAAACAAATTCTTGTTTCCGACCGATTCATCAACCAAAACATCAGTTACCAAAGAGTATCCAAGCATGGAGCGAATCTTGAAGTCATGCCGTATACGGGAAACATGCTCTGGGTCCAAATTGGCGATATCAAAGACCCCGCGGCGTCTTCTTTGGATCTGACCGTTGCTCTCTGGGACAATTGGAGGTGCAAAACTTGGGGGTTTAAGAATCCTTCATTTAACAGGACTAATGTTTCATTGGTCCCCGCCACTTCTCACTAAAAACTCCATCTTGACTGATTGGATTTTTATTTTTATTTTTTTTGACACGTTTTTATACTGTCAGGTTTTTCTCTTTTTTCTCCTGCTTTCGACTTTGACAGGATTGCTTTTCAGGATTATTGCATTAGAATACACAAAGACATAATGATTAATTCGCTAATCATAAAGATTCTGCATGAGTGTGGACTTTAATGTCTTTGCTCATAGAGTCGGTTTTTAATGCAATAATTATTAACGATTAACGTTTTATTAACATACAATTCATCCTGCACGCTTGTTCTAATATTGTTTTTAACCCTCTATGGAACCTGTACAATAGCACTAATGGTTTAGACTAAAAAGGATAAGAAAAATTATTTCCTAATGGGGGATTTCTCCTTCTGAAAACTTGATCGTTCCAACATTCTCATCGTTCTAAGCATCATCTTGTTCAGCGGTCTCCTCGCCTTGCTCGGGTTCGGGCGCAGTCCACTTTGTTCTTTCAATCCCAGAGCAAGAAATATAATCGCAAGTGCTTGTAGCGTTGCATCCCTTCTCAGTGCAAATTTCTTTGCCCCAAGAGCTTCCAATCTCTTCTGGGAACATGCTAACATCGAGACCCCAGAATGCGCAGGAACCGTCCTCCATCAATCGGATTTCGCGCTTACGGCCGAGTTTGATAGCGCCCTCGCAGAGCTCTGTGGTGACCTGCCTAGAGGCTTCCGGAGATCCGCAGTCGCACATGCATTCGAAGCGTGGCACTGGGCCGACTTTTCCGGCCCAGGGAGAGGTGAGATCCTTATCGATGACTGGGTCGATTTTGGCGAAGGCTGGAGCGAGGAGGGGGAGGAAGGCGATGATAGTAGAGAAAAGCATTTTTATGGAGTTTTGGAGTATCTGTAGGAGACTTGTATTCGTAGAGAGAGTTTTATGTTAATGGTATAAAAGGAGTGAATTGATCAAGGAATCAAAGACTTCGATGAATTGGAAATTTCTTTGGGGTTTAAGAGAGTGGATTGAATACTACACTGTAGATGGCTGTTGAGATCGAATCGAAATCGATATCAGAAGGAATCTACACCTATATATACTTCGAGAATCATGTACACATGCAAGCTGTCGGTATCATCGGACCCGATAGGCGGGTACTTTCAAATCGCACCAGCATGATGCCCCAGGATGCTAAGCCTCTACATTCGACCCCACAGGACTCCCTAGCCCATAAGCCCCATAGACTTGGTAGATCGGACATATCGACTCTCAAGCGAAAATTCAACGCTAGCGGATACATAGAAGGCCGCCGTATTATGCAACTTAAATTTATCTATGCGCATTTTGGAGGCGACGGTTGGCGACGGCGCGGCGCTTGTTACTTAAAACATCCAGAATATTTCTTAGATTTCTAGAACGCTGGGCATTTTCGAATTAGGTCATACTATAATGATTGTGATTCGAGAGGGATCAAATGGTCTAGAAAAGAACCGACATCCCTGCTGTGTCCAAGCTTGGAGCTTGAAGCTTGAAGCTTGGGGTTTTCGGAACTTATGCTATTCAAGCTCCGGATATTGACAACTTCCTAATCAATTAGAGGAGTATGATCTCTCGCATACACAATAGAGCTTTTTTCTCGTAATTCTAAACCTTGAAGCATTGTGAATGTGTAATTCCTTGGCAGATAAAGGGTTGGCATTCGTCGGATCAAGCGATAAAAAAGAGATTCTACCACCGAATAAGGATATCCGGATGAAAGCCCCAATGCATAAAAAATTACGCATAGAAGCCTCGAAATTTTGGAATTCGAGCGCAGAAACCTATTGGGATACGGGGCGTCGGGAATTTGAATCGAATCGAATCGACGTGTCGTCGTTGAAGAGTTAATTCAGCGAAAGCTTTGTGTTTTTGTTGGAATTTGAAACTCCCCGGTCCCGGAATGTGTTACCGCGGACGGATCCATCCCCGGAAGTCACTACCCAATAGCTACACCGTATTATTACAGGCGACGTCATCTATCATGACACCAGCTCAGCTTTGACCTCGTCCTCTTCCTTCTAGCTTGATATTAGTCCCGAGAGGCTCTCCTCTACAATTGCGCATACAATGCGCCCAGCTCAGCGTTTCATCTTCCTTTCCATCTTCATATTCGTTGCTTGGTACCTATTCCTTCGATCTCCAGCCTCCAAAGTTGCTATACCTGTCGAACCACGAGATGATTTACCTCCCACGGTCGCTAAATTCGTGAAAAAGAAGCTTAATAAAGCTCGTCCGGTAACTTTCACCATCGGCGACGAATTTTCACTCGATAATCTTCACAATATACGTGAAAAACTGCTACCATGGGGTCGAGCGTCAAATTACGTTGTCCTTTGTCTGGACGAACCGTGTATGAAGATGAATGCCGGTGGAATCAAAAGGATAGACGTTAGCATGGTCCGGGGCGGTCGTGGGAGCGTTTTGGTAGGATTGTTTTTCGACTCAATTGAAGGTTTCGAAGCTCATCCCTTGCTAATAACACGCGTAGATCCTCTTTGCACTGTACCTTACCGAAAACCACTACTCTTTCCTACACGTTGACTCCGATATCTGCCTTACAGGCACCCACGACCCTTTTTCGCGTACTCTAAAGCAGAACGATGACTCCTGGGATGTTCAATTCATGGAAGAAAATGATAGGCTCGATCCAGGATTTTGGATGTCCAGGCCGTCTACTGGAACGCTCGCATACCTCCGTGCTACGGAAGCACTCCTCCAAGATCCCAAGAATAAGGGATTCAGTGCGACATACCTCTTGCGAGAAGGGATCCGTGGGTTACCACTACGATATCACCTACTAGATGTGAAAGATTTCAAGTCTTGGGCGGATTATCAAGCTTGGGAGTCCCAGAACTTTGCGACAGAACCGCAAATCGACGTTTTGATACAAGGCACGACCGCGATACACTTTACTTGCATCGATAAATCCATTCGGCCATACTTCGGAAAGCTATTTGGCGGATGGTCGGATTATAATGGGTACTATTCTAATATTAGGGGACGATATCTAGTTGTCTCTGGTATCTCGGGCACAAATGACCAAATCATCAACTTCATCGCTTTGGCAATACAACTCGCCATTGACTCCGGAAGAATCCTGATTCTGCCGTACCACGTTGAAATAATCCAGCGACGGATGAAAACGGTTGGACCGGATACGATACCGGAGTATAAGCGTATTCCAACTTTTCCCTTCTATAGGGTGGTCGACATCAATAGTCTCAATGGCCTGGTTGACTATGTTGAGGCAAGCTTTGCGCTGAATAGGGAAAAGTTCACCGGGAAGGATGTTTCTCTTGATACCTTGGTATTAGATGAGGGCATGTTGGAATTAGAGAAGGGCACGAAGTATCCGAAACTGGTGACTAGGGTTAGACAACAGTCCGGTGCTGCAGCTTTATCTATAGAGCTTCGAGGGTTCGAGATAAGGAATGCAGCCGGGTTTGAGCCTGGAGTGAAGGATTACGTCAAGAGGATTAAGGAAAAACTAAGAATTTGTCGGAATATTGATGAAAGCGAGACCACCTGCGAGAAGAGGTGTACATGAACACGATGTTCTAGGTTAAAACTATACACCGTTGATTTATTTTCAAATGTTATATTTTAGAATTCATTGGCTCGCTAATGTACAATATATGATACAGTCTTCATCTATTCATCACAGGCGTTTAATTCGACTGCTAACCGACGTATGTACAATCTGCATCCTACAACCCCTTTAGAATCTTCTGCATTGCGCCGAAACATGGAGCGTTAGGGTCAATATGCAATTGCATGATGTGATATTTCAGATTATCTTTGCGGGTAAACCCATTGACAAACCTCTTACAATCCGGTACGGGGCAGCAAAATTCTGGTTTGTTAGCCGCATGGATAGTCTTATGGTGTCTTTGTAGGTCCTTTCGAAGGCAGAAGGATTTATAACAACCAGGAACAATGCATGGAAAACGACCAGTCCGAGAGGATTCTCTCAGAGGACCTGGTTCCAGATTCTCGAGCTGACGGGCTTCAATCGTGTCCATTATCGAGGTTGGCGGTTTTCCAACTTCCACCAGTAGCGGTGTTGCTGGCCTTGGTATCTCATCAAGCATCATCCTTCCATCCTCTCCAGCCACTATAGCTTCCGGGCTCTCGCTACGTCCGCTGCTCGTAAAATCTTCTGGCAATCTTGCATCTTGAAGTCGATCCATCCACTCCCGATCAAAACCCCAATCGCCAGTCCACTCTTCCATTTTCCTCTTCTTCCACCAAAATTCGTGCGAAATATGATGAACACGATCAGACCACGTGCTAAATGTTTCGCCACAAAACCCACACCTTGAGTTCGCTGGTCCTGGAAGAACTTGGAATACACCATGCAATGGGTCTTCTTTACTCTCATGACTCGCCTCGAACGTGGTTTTTAGCCCGTCGATGTTATGAGCGTCACGGAGATGACGGGCGAAATGGTCGAATCGGATGAATGTCTTTTCTGCCACGGAATTTTCGTGGCATGTCCTGGAGTTTGGATGAGAGAAACAGTGTTGTTCAAGAGAGAAGCAAGTCATCGATGTGAATCTGTCCGGGACGTCTCTCGAAGTTTGAAGGCTATGGTTTTGGCCAAAAGAGAAGGGTACATTGGTGGTCTCCTTGTCTATATTGCAGAACCAACAAGTATTATATCCACACTCTAGGGCTTTAGTGGCATTGACACCTAGAACGTTCTTAGGTTGCATTGACACTATGATACCATGCGGAGAGCAAGTCCAAGTCTTCAACATTAAGTGGATACTCTCTTCGTGTCGTTTCCAGGTCGATTTGGTCGAAAAACTTGTGCCGCAAAAGGTACAAAAGAAGCGGTTTTCGGACTTAGATGCTCGCCGGGAGGTCTTATGGTTATTTGTCATTGTACGTTTCCGCCTTGAAGGGGCACGGGACGACGTAGATGTCGTAGAGGTGCGTATGGAACATGCATCGGATGCAAGGGACGATGATGAGCGGATGGAACATATACTCGGCGTACGATTTGGTGTCTGAGTGATAGGAAAGTCTGCATCAATTGCCAGACGGCCAAGCGCACGCAGGCAATTCGCGCGACTCATGTGGCTGACATTCGAAGTGTTCGAACATAGCGAGGACCCGTCTGTTGCATCATAATCCACCATGGGATCTGCCTCGAACCCCATGAAACGGGTTATTTCCAGTGATATCGGAGATTCGGGTCCGTTAGCGTGAGGGCTCATTCCTGTATGGTTGGAGATATGGCGCTCAATAGCAGAAAAGGGTGCCTCGGATTCGTCCTCAGATGAAGCGTTAACGTATCGCTCGAGGATAACAGATGGTTCCGGGATTTCTTGTCGAGAATTCGAAGCATGAGAAGACGGAGAATTCTCGGATACGGCAAGAGGCCCTCCTAAGTCTTCTAGTTGAAGAGGATATCCTTCCTGTGTATTAAATGGAAATGCTTCGATGAAGGACAAAAGATCACTTTGTTCCTTAGTCAGCGTGTAGTTGTCTACGCCGGCTTGGCCGAGATCGTATGCGGGCTGCAGGGTATTCGATGCATCTAGTTCCAAATCTGAGTTGAAATTGTTGGATATTGGAATATTAACCTCAGGGATTAACTCGGATTCGGGCAATGGAGCAGTAAATGTCGATAACGTTAACCATGTGTCAATATCGAAATCTTCCGGTAATAGTGGGATATGGTTCCTATTATCAAAGTCCGTCATCAGACTGTCCCCAAAGTCGCCCAGGCCCTCCATCTTTTTTTTTCTTCTTTCTTTCTTTTCTTAACTGAAATCAACTTCGCTGTTTCACTCGAGCCGATGTTGGATTGAAATTGTGCCCAATGATGGCCTGAAAAGCCGTGTTAATCGGGAAATATCCACTAAACGAGGAAAATGCGACAGGCGCATGCAGTAGTAGAAATTCAAATGAAAACCGCAAGGAATATTAATTGTGAATTAAAGATCTAGGTCTTCTCGTCTGGAAGAATCGTGTAGTAGGCTGACAGGAGGATTTCAAGATACGGTCTTTAGAGTAGATCTTGGAGCTGTGCTCCTGTTTATGACTAAGCCGGGAGCATTAGTAATTACCACTTGAGCTTATTCCTGATGCGGCAATTGTGCCCAACCGGCCTGACAAGGATCCGATTTGGAGAGAATGGTATCGAAGGATAAGTCAGCTTGTGAAAATGCGGGCATATAAATACTTTTTTCCTTGCACACGTAGTCTCGGTACAATCTTTTTTAATAGTCCTAAATCGATAGAGAATCTCGTGATAACAGATACGATCGATCACGAACGCTCAGAAGGACTCCGACAGCCGCTTGCATTGTTAACATGTTTCTCACCCACCAGAATCCGAACATACCATGCTGGCCTTCAAACTCTATCCTGCACAATGTGAGTGGCTCTTTTTCGGATTTTGGCGGCTGACTTAATCGGAAATAGGTTTTTAATATCTTACTTTGTTGAATTTGTCTCTTACTCAGACATATGCATGCCGAGTTCCTAGATCCGCCCGTGATAGAGAAAAGAGCCAATCAAGTTATGCAAAGGTGCGTGGGGTGAAAGATACTCATGCTGACCAATATGTCATCCACGCAATTGAAGTTCTGGGCTGCTATCAAGTCATGGTTGGAATATCGACAATATCTTTTCGAATTCCGGTTACACCATTTTATAGCCTACGCGAGGAGTATGCCGGTAAGATATTAGTACGGGTCAAAGGTTGACTAGTATGGTTGACATATCTCGCTGCGTTAAATATTACCTACGAACAATGTCCCTCTTGGTCCCGTACCCGGGTTCTTCTTAAGTATTTCTTAGCTCCCACGACTAAGATCCACTGCCTTCCGTAGTGCTCCGTGACTAATGAGAGTTGGAACCTGCAACTCCTAATTCTGGAAGTTTCGAATACTATAGTGCTGAAATAAATATAATATGATCAATCGAGACGAGTATCAATCGACTAAGATTCTATTATTTTAATACAAAGATCTTGGAAGCATAAAAGTACACTTCAAATAAATGATGAATAAGTATGATACATTTTTATTAATTAACTTTGTCTGTATTGCCAATGGCATCGATGTCTTTTGTAAACCTGTTTCGAACATTCGTTAGGTGTGTTGTCCTGTTGTTCCTCATCCGGCAAGTGGTCTTGAGTAACATTTGCAACCTTTGAAGTATGAAGGAGCCATTGTACCGGGTTCTGGATATCGCAGCGATGAGTAGGTTTGGTCTCGGTCAAGATCGCAAATGGAAAAGTCTGGCAGGTCGATACGGCATTCTAAAACAGTTTTCCAAAGCCCTGTGTCCCAAGGTTAAGCTTGTTTCCTACTTATTGCTTTTAGGCAAGCCATAAGTGTCGAACTGCTCTGGATGAATTAACCTGATCGATTCATTGTCGAGTGATCTTCTCCGCACGGTCATTAAAGTAATTTATCACGTTTTGGATAAAAGTATTAAGCCGCTAGAAATTGCCCCCGCAGCGCAATAACGGACTAGAAAGCTTCTTTTGAATGATTTCGGTCGACGGCACCTACGACGCGGCTCCACGGGGGCAAACGACCATAGATGTTCCATATGCTGTGGTTCATAATCTGACAAAGGGAGCTCATTGGAATGTATATGCCGACATCTGATTAGAAGGGGTGGTTACAAGACCATATGCATTGTACCATATGGTCAAGCGGAATCGATCCCAGCTGGATATCTGTAAACCTGGAATATATTATGTCAATAAACTTGAGCATGCATTCCTCGGGTACTCAATTCTTCAAATCTAGATGAAAAGGATACATTAGATGGCTGGCATATTCTACAGGAAATCCCACCGACCTCCTGAAAAGGTGACAAGCACGCGCACGGCTGGAGCCAGTTTCGTGACTGCTGCCTCACTACCCCTTTATTGGGGACTGAGTTATCCACGGTGGCTCACCGGAGTAGTTCATGATAGTCTCTCCACTTTGAACCTTGAAATATTAAAAAATTATCCTCGATCGCCTTATCCTGCCTCTGACGTGTGCTCATCGTTATAATCGTTTCAAAAGTGTCGTTTTAGATACCCAACCCGTCTCGAATTGAGCGGTGACAAGGATGCGAACACGAACGATTGGCTGACATCGTGCGACGGAGAGCCAAGAGCCCGGTTCTGCTGACCAGGGCAATAAAGTTCCGAACAAGAAGCAGCAGACGCAACCGGGTCTATTAGGGGCTTCATCCCATCTTAGTGGCCTGTGCTGGTGCACCAGAAACCGCTGGACATGGGCACCGGACAAGGGCTTTGGACGAGTGCCTGATATATTAATATACTCTCCACGAGCTATCGTGAACTTTTATATTTCAATCATGTGGAGTACGTAAATAGGGAAGTACCTAAACTTGGATCCCGCGCGTATTGTTAGCGGGTTTTTCGGTTGGCGGTAGAATACTTACCAATTATCTTGAAGAGATCAAGGAAATCAGTTACTTACAAGCCATTTAGTGATTCTGATTACATAGCTTGAGTGGCCGTGCGGACCGGATTGCACTGAGGCATCGACACCGAAACAAATAGCCAAGCTTGTTTGAAGTCTCACATTGGTCCAAAACACCACACAATGAGGAATTCGAGGGAGAATTAATTGGAGGGCGAAAGCTAAGAAACCAGCAAAAATAGCACTTTTCGGAATGCAAGCCAATCGAGCCTATGTCTCTGGTGCAAGGTACCAGCACCCATACATTACATGGATCTGGGGGAAATTTACCCTGCTCCGAAGAATTTTGGTGGCTTGCACTCGCCTTTTTTTCTATTTGAGACGACATGCATTATTACTGATGACTGCAGCGCCAGGCCTGCAGGAGCCCGGCATGCTGAGATAAGTTATAATTATATATAAAAGCTGGTGAACCCATCGTGCACAGAAACACCTGGTTTCGTCTTTGCCTTTCGTGCAGTACCCAGAGTACGCTTTTTCTCTCTCTCTTTTCTACCGTCGAGGTTCTTCTTTTCTTTTCTTTTCGTTTCATCTTGTTATCTACTGAGTAGATTGTTCTTTTACAACGTTGATCGGTTCTTTTTTGAAAACTCGGTATCTGCTTTGACAACAGATCCAATTCCATTCATTCGATTTATCGTTGTACGATCTATCAAACATTCATTTTCAAGATCTCCTAGAGAGTTCTATCGAAATTACTATCTAAACGAAATTAAAGAAGAAGAATAATATTGTGGGAAACGTCCAGGCGACAGGTTCTTAGAGTACTAGCACAGCTGCACAGTCTGCGACAACTACCTAGCTCCTCGCCGACAAGACCAGATTCAGTTCTAGGTTTTTTTTGATACAGAAACACCTCCAATATCTAAAACATATCTGCAAAAATAGGTCGAATACGTTAAACGTCATATCTTGCAATTCTGTCGCTGAGGTTGAAGTCATATTGCAACAACTACTCAATTGAGACTTCTGTGTTGTGCAGGATAGTACCGGACGTCGACACCCCATCGCTGACGTTAACTTTCTGCTGAGCTTCTCTGACATAAAATATTTTTTCTGTCTTCTCTTCCTCCTTCCCTATTTATCAAACAAAACTTCATCACAGCTACCTCAACCTCCTTGATCAAATCGATTTTCGAGGCTCGACAACTACCCAACAATAAGCTTTAACTCCCAGACACTCATCTCGCTCACTCAATATCAGGATGCATCTCCTTCGACTTCTAGGCACCTTGTGTGCCCTAGGCCAAATTGCTTCTGCTGCTCCAATTGGTCAACGGTAGGTTTTCTTCTAGCTTTTATTTCTTTCTTTCTTTTTTACGTTGCTAATATCTTGTTATAGAACTTCGTTAGCTCCTCGACAGGCTTCCCCATACTGGCTTGGCCAGGTTCAACATCAAGGACTTGCTGCCTTCAATAGCAACCCACAGTCTTATCAGGTCTTCAGAAACGTTAAAGATTTCGGTGCCAAAGGTGACGGTGTTACCGATGATTCTGATGCTATCAATGCTGCCATCCAAGCTGGTAATCGTTGTATGAAAGGATGCGATTCTTCAACCACCCAACCTGGATTGATTTATTTCCCAAGTGGTACTTATCTCGTGACAAAGCCAATCATTGCTGTTTACTACAGTCAACTAGTTGGTGATGCTGCCACACTCCCTGTTATCAAGGCTGCAGGTTCGTTCTCTGGAATCGCAGTCTTTGATAGTGACCCATACGAAAGTGACGGCTCCAACTGGTATACCAACCAGAACAAGTAAGCAATTTTCTCTTCGCAAATGTGAGTTTCTCGATATTGACTGTTCCTAGCTTCTTCCGTGCCATTCGCAACTTTGTCATCGACTTGACCGCGACACAATCCGGAACTGGTATTCATTGGCAGGTCGCCCAGGCGTCTTCCCTCATCAACATCCGCTTCGAGATGGTAAGTTAAACCACAGATGTATAAATTTTGAATATGATACTAATTCTAAAAAATCTGCAGGGCAATACCGATAGCCAGGGTATTTTTATGGACAACGGCTCTGGTGGTTTCATGTCGGATCTCGTCTTCAGAGGTGGAAAACTTGGTGCTTTCCTCGGTAACCAGCAGTTCACTACCCGAAACTTTGTCTTCGAAGGTGTCAAGACAGCAATGGTTCTCAACTGGAACTGGGGCTGGACTTTCAAGAGCCTCGATATCAAGAACTGTGGAGTCGGTATCGACATGACAGCAGGAGGTGCCGAAGCTCAAACTGTTGGATCCGTCCTTGTCCTTGACAGCAAAATTTCGAACACTCCTATCGGTATCAAGACAGTCCACTCGTCTACTAGCCAACCTATCACCGGAGGTACTTTGGTTATCGACAATCTTTCAACCAACAACGTTCCAGTTATCGTTGCCAACAATGACGGAGGTGCCATCTTAGCCGGTTCCGGAGGAGCTATCAAAGTTGAGAGTTGGGGTCAAGGGCGTGTCTATTCTCCAAATGGAGGAAGCCGTGTTCAAGCAAGCCTTACCCCAAGGCCTCAAAAGCCAGCCGCCCTTCTCGACGGCAATGGTTACATTTTCGAGAGGTCTCGCCCACAATACACCGATGTTCCAGCTGCTCAGATCGTTTCTGCCCGCTCGAATGGCGCCAAGGGGGATGGAATGACCGACGACACTGCTGCTCTTCAAGCCTTGATCAACAACAATGTCGGCAAGGTCATCTTCCTTGATCATGGTGTCTACAAGCTCACTTCTACACTTTATATCCCACCAAATACCAAGATTGTGGGTGAATGCTGGGCAACTTTGATCTCCGAAGGACCCTTCTTTGCCGACTCCAAGAATCCAAAGGTTGTCATTCAGGTTGGAAAACCAGGTGAAGTTGGATTGGTCGAACTTTCAGACCTCGTCCTGGAAACCGCTGGCCCAGCTGGTGGTGCTATTGTTCTTCAGTGGAACATGGCTGATGCCCCTGGAACCAAAGGAACCAATGGCATGTGGGACGTTCATATTCGTATTGGTGGGTCTGCTGGTACTAAGCTTCAATCCGACCAGTGCAAGAAGAATCCATCTGCCGATGGTACGCAGATTAACCACAACTGCGAGAGCGCTTTCATGCTCATGCACATTGGAAAGACTGGTTCCGTTTATATGGAAAACAACTGGATCTGGACTTCTGATCACGAACTCGACCGTAAAGACTTCAGCCAGATCACTATCTTCAGCGGACGTGGATTGTGGATTGAGACACAAGAGGGCCCAGTCTGGGGCTATGCCACCGCTTCTGAACATAACGTCATGTATCAGTACCAGCTCACGAACACCAAGAACGTCTTCCTCGGGATGATCCAAACTGAAACACCATACTATCAGAGCAACCCAACGGTCTACCTCCCCTACGACGTCAACCCAGCGTTCGAGGATCCCGTTTATGACTGCCCTGATAAGTCCCAAGGTTCCACTTGCGCCAAGTCAATCGGCCTCCGTGTGAAGGATTCCAAGGACATTTTGGTCTACGGTGCTGGACTGTACAGCTTCTTCGAGAACTATACGCAGGAATGCCTGAAGACCCAGACCTGTCAGGACGATATGGTTTCCGTCGAAGGCAATACGCAAAACTTCTTCATGTATAACTTGAACACCGTGGGCGTCAGCAACATGGTGAAAGTCAATGAGAGGAAGCTCGTACCACAGGCAGAAAACCAGAACGGATTCGCTTCAACTATCGCTCTGTTTGCTCAGCCATAGCTTGGCTGTACCTTACAAAAGCAGGGATACAAATCGAAGGTTCTAGGGAAGTCAAAATGACTCGACTATTGGTATATCTCGCGGAGAGAAAGTATTTGATTTAGGGTTTATGTTCGGGGACTTCGTTTGAATGTGATGATCGCAACGGGACATGACAGTTTCATGGTTCAGTACCCCGGGGTTTACGTGCATGGCCTGGTACTTTGATAGTAACAGGGCCTGGGTTTTTTTTTTCATTTCGAGGGCGTTTAATGTTTATTTCTCAGACTTCTTTCTCTTTTGTTTCATCTATTCGGTGTACATAAATATATCCCGTCAGTGGGAACTGTGTTTCTCTTAGCGTGCATACACATATACCCAATGACTGTTTTGTCTTCTTTTCTCTGAAATACAAATCTTGGATACCTAACTGATCATGATGATGATAATGGCCAATGTATACACCTTAATATATTGAAGTATACACTAAATGCTTTTGTATTGAAGAAAAGAAGGAGAACTAATATAATAGATCCTTTAAGAACGCCATGCTGTGCTGATACGAATCCGAACGAAAGCAAATACCACCGGATATACCATTATTATACAAAATCTTCGAATATCTACGTAGCTAGATCAATACCTCCTCTGCTTCTTAATGGCGGGGCCACCGAATGAGTCGTATTCTCTTTTGATACCACCGCCACCACCACGGCCCGGCCTCAAGGGCCTGGATTTGCCACCTTTCGAGCCTGTGTTTGGACAGTCGGACTTCCTATGTCCTGTCTCGCCACAGGCGAAGCATTCTATGTTTTCAGCGCCGCCATTTGTCGTTTTTGCTCGTCCACCGATCTGTTTTAAATTTCTTAAGGCTCTATCCGCGTCTTTCTCCTTCTTTAGGGCTTTAGCTGCACGTTTAGATTCTACACGACGGAGAACCTCGGATTCGGAGGCCGAAGTATCATCATCATCATCACCCGAGTCCGGAGCATCATCAGAGTCTGTGTCTTCAGTCGATTTCTTTTCCAAAACCGGGGCAGTACGGCCACCGAAGTACCGTCTTACAGGGGCGACTGGTACTGTTTCTTCCTCTTCTTCGTCTTCTCCGTCGTCGCCGTCGTCGCCGTCGTTATTACTGCTATTTCTATCCTGGGCATTTGTGTGTTCAGTGTTCCACAGAGTATTTCCTGTCATGTAAACTTTTACACCACCGACCATTTCCCCGCCGCCTCGGAGTTCGTTAGCACGTTCGGAAGGTGGGAGTGAAAGGGACCATCTCTCCGTAGCGCCGAAGGCTGAGGAGTTTATGGCGGCTTCACGTCTAGAAGACTCGAGGGCTTGTGCAGCGAGGATTGCGGATCTTGAGACGTTCTTGTTGTTGTGCTTGTTGGACGAAGGTTTTGAGGAATCGGATTGGGAGTGGTGTTTCGAAGGGGGTGTTTTTGATGAAGGGGAGGATCCTGAGGAGAGTGGTTTTTGCATGAACTGTTTTTTTTTTTTTTGAGAAGTTAGCGCTGTTCTTTTTTTTTAAAAAAATATATATATATATATATGGAGCTTGGGTGGAACTTACTTTCATGTTTAGTAGACGGGATGAAACCGGCTTTGAAGCCTGTGACGATGATGATTTGGAGGCCATGATGGGTGGAGTTTTTCCAGACCGCCTGACTGCCTGACTTCCTGACTGCCTAATCGACTGATTTATTGATTGATTGGTTGCCCGTAGGGTGTATATTCGGTGCTGGTGTACTGGACAGTCGGCGAAAAGTTGACAGGATTAAATTAAAGAGAATGAAGATTTGAAGAAACCTTTTCGATGAGCGCGCGTGTTGTCGCATAAATTGGTTTTCGTTTTCCGGTTTGGGGTTGGTCGGGTTTTGTGAGGATTAGTCAGCTTTATACATATATCGACTTAGGCACAGTGCAGTGTCGAATCTTAAAGATTCAAATTTCTGTAAGATTATTTTTTGTGTTTTTAGAATAGAATCGATAGGAGTTACTACTATTATAGGGATATTCATGTTTATATTTACTACTAGTATGTAAAGAATATCTTCGGTTTGTAGAAGATGTATCAATACTAAGGAAGCTCCTGCAATTCCGATGCACGTGATCATTTTGGGCTTCAAAAGGATCTACCATGGGAGCACAAGACCTGTGCGACCTGTGCGACCTGGGGGTTTTGAAGTCCAAAGTTGTCACGTGCCTGGTTACATAAGTAAGTACCTATTAGTTCTCAATACCATGTTGGCCTAGTTCTGCCACAATCGCGATGGTTTCTTCAACTAGAACATATTAATATAGCAGCTGCTAGATTTGAACAGATATCGATTGTACCGTTCCTTGTTTCTTTGAATGGGGTTGACTACTATTTTTTTTGAATATTAGTGTATGTACAATTGATGCATGACCCTCCCTATATCCTCTGACTATATCGCCCTGAAATATCCCCGCTTTCTTTTATGATGATATTATACTTTGTAAGATTACAATAGTCTTTATTATCTTCGAGAGATTAATATCTGCTTTTTCTTCTTCCGTGGACTGATGAATTGGAATATAACCTGTGACCCTGGAATCCGGCATATGTTCTCTTTATCATGATACTATATTTTAGAATGTCAGAAATGTATTGTAGTCAAGCTGATTTGTGGGGATATACAGACCTCAGGGCAATATCCCTAGAGATGCCAGATAGATATGGTTTTTTTTGTCTTACTACTCGACATTCGGGTGTGCTCGAGTTTGTCGGAAACCATACGGGTTATTGGTATTCTATTCTAATACCCTCGAGCTTTCATTTAAAAAGTTCGATATCTTTTAAGATTATATTATGTTTCCTATCAAGAATTAATATTATTACAACTTCGAAGGCGAGCTGAAAATAAGGATATCATACCGGATTCTTTCGAGTTTTGTATTGTTCATACCCTCCCCCCCCCCCCCCCCCCTCCCTCCCCTTCATAAAAGTAGAGATGGGCTTATCATACCGTTGTTAACAAGCTTAAGTGTAGATAGAATAAGAGATTAGATAGTTTGGACAAAATGTGTTGCGTGGTAGAAGACCCCCAGCCAATCAGAGTGTTGTCGTTTCCCAAAAAGCCCCAAACTGTCTGATATCACCGATTCCATTCGATTGGGAACTCCGAACTTCACTGAATTGAACCTTCAAAACCCCTCAACCTCCAGCCGACGAGGGTGGCATCCTACATACCAATCAAATCGAATCAATCGAATCAAATCAATACCTTCAGATATGATGCTCCGTCATCTCCCGCGTACCCTCCGCCTGAGGACCACGAATCCAACATCCCTCTTCCTCCTCCGTTCTTCCTCTACATCTACCACTACTACCACCACTCCTCCCACTTCGACGCCATTCCCTCCAACCGAACGGACCTCCGTAGACCCCGATACTACAGCTGCCAATGCTACGGTCGATGTACTGGAACTACAGGCGAGTCAAGCGCCGAATAGAATGTTGACTTGGGCGAAGAGTCAGATGCCTAGAGCGGAGGCTATGGTCGGACCGAGGTTTGAGCAGACGGATTTGGCGGTGCAGGTATGATTTGACTTCCTCTTATACTACTACTGTGTAGTATGATACTACATGGTTGGGAGGGAATATAAGGGGGACTAATGTGGGGGGACATTGAATAGCCGCGACCAATGGCTGCGATAGAGTTGATTCATGAGGAACCTGTGCGGTTTGTACATGAGCATGTGGTTGTTTGCGATGGTGGTATGTTTTCCTTTATATATACTTGAGTATATATACTATCGCTACATATGGGAGATGCTTGATGCTAATGATTGGTTTGTGCAGGTGGTGGGCCATTGGGTCATCCGAAGATTTATATCAACGTTGATAAGCCGGAGGTTGTACCTTGTGGATACTGTGGATTGCCGTTTGTATGTTTTTTCCCTTCTCTCTCCCCTTTCATTTCCTTTCTTAACTATCTATAACTATAATTTTTCGCAATTGAAGATGAGGAGATGTTAATGGGTTTCTATACTACAGGCGCATATACATAACAAGGCGGAGATTGTGGCGAATGGACAGGGACCTCATGGGGAGTATGTTATTTTGGATTAGACGGGGAGCGATTGTGTATAGGAAGATATGGAGATGGTGTACATATAATAGAAATACGATAATCTTCTTCTTCCATAAACTGACATTCAATTGGAAGATTCTATCAATCTAAGTACTTATATGCATATGGAGTACTGGCGATATCGATACTTCGATGCAATTTATGAATTCAATTCAATGCAATTGGACGGCTAATTGAACATGAACAGGATCTAGCGATGCGTTGCGCGTGGTGGTTGTTCCGTCCGCATCGATTAAAACCTTCGCGCGTTTCTTCAAGCTACTTTTTTTACTTTTACTTTTTTTTTTCGTTTCCTGTCGCAGATTTTTTTTTTTTTTTTTTTTTTTTTTTTTTTTCCGTTCTTACCCACCTACACAAGTACTTTCTTACAAGCAACCTTTCTTACTTTTTGAGCGCGCGAAAGGGTTTTTTTTATCTCTTCTTACCATCGAACAGAATTCACTTTTTACCATTGTGCAATAACTATAGAATAGAAAGAAAGAAAGAAAGAAAGAAAGAAAGAAAGAAAGAATGTCGGACGGATCATCACCAGCACCAGAGTTGGTGTCCATTGGCCAGAAGCCCTTCGAGGCCTTCGGTGCGCTCGGAGATCTAGAGCTCGAATTCGAGAAGGCGGAGATTGAAGTTTGTATGTCCCTTCTCTATTTCCTTCCTTCCTTCTAACCTACCTCTTACCTACCTAAGTATCTATATACTTAAAGTATCTGCATGAAAATAGTGAAAGTATGTACTAATAGAAGAGAGAGAGAGCGGAAAAACAGTAAAATACCAAATCAAAACCACAGCACCGTTATACGAACGTCGCAACCCTCTAACCAGCCAAATCCCCGGATTCTGGCCGACGGTACTGGAAGCCACACCGGATTTCGATCAACACGTAACTCCCAAGGATGTCCCCGCATTCGCGACGATTACATCGTTAAAGATTGTCAGACCCAATCCTGAGGAACCTAGAGATTTCATCATAGAGATAGGGTTTGATAAGGAAAGAAACCAATGGTTTGAGGATGAAGTTATTAGGAAACAGTTTTGGTGGAGAGGGGTGGAAGGGGTTTGGAGTGGGTTGGTTAGTGAGCCTGTGGAGATTAGGTGGAAGAATAATAAGGATTTGAGTGATGGGGAGACTGGACGGGTTTATGAGGAGTGGAAGGCGAAGAAGGAGGAGAAAGAAGGGAAGGGGAAGGGGAAGGGGAAGGAAACTACCACTTCTACTACTTCTGCTAAGAACAGTGAAGAGGAGAAGAAAAAGAAGAAGGCGAGTTTGGAGGAGAGGTTGAAGGGAGGTCAGCCGAGTTTTTTCACGTGGTTCGCGTGGGTCGGGAGGGGGACCGAATGGGGTATTGATGGGAATCCAGTGGAAGAAGTGGAGGAGGAGGAAGATGAGGATGATCAAGGGAATGATCTGTTTAATCATGGAGATGAGCTGGCTCTGACGATTGCAGATGATATTTATCCGAATGCTATCAAGTACTTTTGTGAGTTCTTTCCCCCCCCCCCCTTCTCTCCCTTTTACCATTCCCTTTAAATCAGTATTGTTGTTATAAAATACTAACGGTGGAAATAGTGGAGACTATTACTGGCCAAGGGGAATTTGACAGTGACATGTCAGATAGCGAGGAAGGGGACGAGGAGGACGACGGAGAGGAGGAAGAAGAGGAAGATGATGAAGATGATGAAGATAATGAGGATGATGGGATTGGAAGCAGTCGAACGAAGAGATTCGGTGCTACTGTTGAAAGTGACGAGGAAGACGAGGAAGATGGGGGAAACAAAAGGCGCAAGAGGGTCAAGAAATAGATATCTGATCTGATATCGTCGGATTGTAATTAAATTAGACGGTGTGTACTAATATATCAAAATACTTTTTTAATATGGTCCCCGGCCAATGGAATAAAAAATAACAAAGCGACGACGCGCGAAGAAGAAGAAGAAGGATAAGCGAGTCCCGCCCCCCTTACTAGAATTGCGCTGGACGTACGTGAGAGACAAAGTAAACATGGAAATCAAAACATGGGCAATTTAACTGTTTTGCATGTTAGCGCAGATTTCGACTTTGCCATTTAGACAAGATCGATCGGTGGGTATTAATTCCAAGATATTGAATTGCATGTGCATGTACAAAGGGGTTAGTAGAATAGAATATAATAAAAATGCACATTCTTCGAAGTCTTCTAGAATTAATTAATTAATTGCTGGGAATGCATGATGGGCACGTCCCCTTTCCCAACGGTCAGCGACTGACTTGCCTCTTACTTGCTGTCTTACTTGCTGTAAGTACACAAGCAGTCCAGAGATCGATGATGATGATGATGATGATGATGCTAGTGTCGAACTTGCGAGGAAGGGTTATTGATACATGGAAAAGTAAACAATCCCCAACTGACTCCACAAAAAAAAAAAAAAAAAAGGTGGGACAAGTGCGACCATACTTCATTTTTATACAGTTTTTCAGTGACAGCGGAAGTTACCTCGGGAGAATTTCGTAGAGAAAAAATAAAAGAAAAATAAAAGAAAAATAAAATGCATGAATAGGAGAGTTCCTGCATACTTGAGCCGGGGGGGATGGCGCACGGTGGAGGGGGGGAAGTAAGTAAGTAATGGATAAAGAAGAGCGGTTCATGCGCCAGTCCGACTGTACATACACAGTATACAATTTAATTAAAATCCTGGTAAGTACTTACTTATGTACCTACATACATACGTACATTCATTCTCACGTTCCTTTTTGAAGTCAAATATTGGTTAATGTGGAGGGTGAATAGCTAATTAATAAGAGGGGATGTCACTGTCTTGTCTTGTCTGGTCCTGTCTTTGTCTTCTTCCCATCTACATCTACCTACCTTCTCTACTCTACTCTACTTTACTCTAATTACTATTACTATTACTATTACTATTACAATACATCTACAGAACTATCAAACACTCATACCGATATCAGTATTAAGATTGAATATTGAATATTGAATATTGAATATTCATTTTAGATCGATCTGTCTATCCTTCATTCATTCAGCCACTCCATTTGACTGACAAGAAACCGACAAACCGATCCAAAGACAGCTCAGCTCCACTTTCTGACAGGACAGCGAGATCCACTTCAAACCCGACCCGACCAAAATTTAAAACCAAACCAGATCCGATCTGAACTGAACCCAGAAAAGCAAGTTTGCACTTGACTCTCTTGCCTCTGCTTCTGGGAACTGGAGCTGTGGCTGGCTGACCTGATCAATCAAAGGTTCTGGTTGGCTGGCCTGCCGAGGATGCTGCAGCCGACATGGCCTCTTATTCTTATCCTTATTCTTATTCCCTCTTCTTATCCCTCTCACCACTACTACCCCTCCCAATATCAACATCAACATCAACATCAGCATTGATATCGATATCGATATTGATATTGATATTGGTATTGATATTAATAGTAATATTGGTATCGGTGTTGGCTTTGATATTGAGATTCAATAACAACAAAAAGAAGGAAGACCTGTGGATGTCCGTCGCTGTTCGTCGGCTGTCTGCACCATCTCAGTCTCAGTCTCAGTCTTGGTACTCAATCAGAGGGAAAAGAACAAGCATAGGAATCACCTCTTTCAGAAAACATCGCCACTCCAATCATCCTACTTCACTCACATCATCATCATCACCGTCATCGTCATCATCCTTGTCGTTGTCATCATCATCATCGTCGTCGTCGTCGTCGTTTTCGGTGTCTTCTTCGACAAGTTGGTTGTCTAGACTGGTCTCAGCAACACCACATACTACAGCTACTTCAGCTTCCCCGTTTTATAAATACCACACCAAACCTTTACTATCATCATCATCCCTCCCACTCCTCTCTTCGTCTACTACAACCACCACCACCACCACCACCACCACCACTACCCCTACATCTATTAATCAACCACCATCATCACCTCTTACTCGACCATCATCACCATCGTCATCTCGTATATCTCTCCCATCTTCGTCATCTTCTCCTAGGTTTGCAGCACGTGGCTTCAGCTCCCTGACGTCCTCCACAGTTGCCACTTCTTCTCCCTCTTTATTATCTCGTTATCGCTTCCGCCGCCATAATAACCTCGGTCTTCTCTTTCTCTCTCTTCTCCTACCCACCACCACCACCATCACAGCCACAGTTTCTGCTGCAAACCTTTCTCCTCCTCTACACCCTCCTTCCGTATCTACTTCCATTCAAGTCCTAAGTCAATTCAGATCTTTTTCCACAAATATATCTGCTCTCGCTACCGCCTCTGCTCCACCCCCGTCACTCGCCACACCCACTACCGTTATCGCTACCATGGCCGACCCTGTCATCTCGAAAAAATCCATGGAACCCCATCTGATAACAGATAACCTGGAAAAGCCCCTCCTGGATAATAGGACTTATCGAGTCATCCAACTTCCAAACAAAGTCGAGGTTTTGTTAGTACACGATGACACCACCGATAAGTCTTCTGCCGCTTTGGACGTCCGGGTGGGGAGTATGTGCGATGACGAAGAATTACCCGGTCAGGCACACGCCGTAGAGCACGTCCTCTTCATGGGCACTAAAAAGGTATCTTTTCCTCTCTCTCTCTCTCTTAATCATTTTACATATCCTTAAAAGATAAATTCATCTGTATATGTATAATATAGATAACATAAGCTAATACACGATCCTTGAATTGATCTAAAAAAAAACAGTACCCCGGCGAGAACGACTACATGTCTTTCCTAGCTAACCACGCCGGTTCCTCCAACGCTTATACTTCAGCTTTATCCACCAATTATTATTTCGAAGTCTCCCACAAATACATGTACGACGCCCTGGATAGATTCTCTCAGTTCTTCATCTCTCCTCTATTCGATCCGAATGGTCTCGACCGCGAATTGAATGCTGTCGACTCCGAGCATAAGAAGAATCTCCAGCAGGACAACTATAGAAGCTACCAATTAGGAAAATATTTGAGCAACCCAAAGCATCCCTATAGTAAATTCACCACTGGAAACCTCGAAACACTCAGAGATGGTCCTAGAAGCAAAGGTGTTGACGTCCGAGACCGATTTATCAAGTTCCACGAAAGATATTACTCGGGGAACTTGATGAAACTATGCATTCTAGGGAGGGGTATGATAACTAATCCTTGATTATTTTTTTTCCCCCCCCATGGTGGGGTGAGGTGGGGTTGGGTTGGCGGAACTGTTGACTAATATACATACCTTGTTGACTAGAATCCTTGGACGAAATGGAAAAGTGGGTTGTAGAGCTTTTCTCAGATATCAAGAACAAGGACCTCCCAGCTCCAACATTCCAAGGAGCTCCGCTCTCTGAAAACGAACTTGGGGTGAATATATCTCATTTTTATCCACGTTTTGTGTCGAATCCATGCTAAATCAATGCGATTAGACCCAGTACTACATGAAACCAGTTATGGAAACACGCGCCGTAACATATACGTTCCCATACCTTGACGAGAATCCCTACTATGAGGCACAACCTTCCCGATACATCGGTCATCTCATTGGTCATGAAGGCCCCGGCTCTATTCTTTCCGTCCTCAAGGAAGCCGGCATTGCCACTTCGCTCTCGGCTGGCCACATGCGGATCTGTAACGACACGGGTATGTACGTCGTCAACATACGCCTAACCGTCAACGGATTGAAGAAAATCCCCGAAATTACCAGCCTGCTCTTTAGTTACATCCATATCCTCAACACCACCCCGCCACAAGAATGGGTCGTCAAGGAGCTCCAATCCATGGCTGAAGTCGAGTTTAGGTATAAGCAGAAGAGCACTAATGCTGCAAACTTCGTCAGCGAAATGGCCAGTACCATGCAGAATACCATGCCGCGCGAGTACCTCCTTTCCGAGCACAAGATTCGCAAGTTCGACGCGGACTTGATCAAGAAGGGATTGTCCTACCTTAAACCCGAGAACTTTAGATTGGCGATTACTACTCCAGAATTACCGGATGGTATCAAATGGGAAAGTAAGGAGCGCTGGTACGGAGTCGATTATACGCTTCAAAAAATTCCAAAGGATGTTTTGGATGTTGCCATCAAGGCATACAAGGGAGAAGCAACACCCTCGATCGGTTCTCCCGGAAACAGTCTTCACCTCCCACACCCCAATCCCTTCATCCCTACCAATTTTGACGTCGTTCGAAAAGAAGTCGAAACGCCTTCAAAGGTCCCTACTCTTCTCAGGAACACACCGGAGTCAAGGATTTGGTTCAAGAAGGATGATACATTCTGGGCACCCAAGGCAAACATCTACTTCACCCTTCGCACCCCCAAGACATACTCGACCCCTAGAGACTATGCGCTTGCTCGCTTTTTCTGCGAACTTGTCAAAGACTCTTTACACGAATACTATTACGATGCCGAGCTGGCAGGGCTCGAGTACAGCCTCTCGCCTAATATGCTAGGGTTTGATCTGGAAATTGGTGGTTACAATGATAAGATGACTGTCCTTCTTACCAAGGTTCTGGATGCTATGAGGGATCTGAAAGTAAAGGAAGGAAGATTCGAGGTTATCAAGGAGAGGCTTGTTCGCGCTTATAGGAACTGGGAGTTAGGAACTCCATACCAAATGGTCCCCGAGTTTACTAGGCACCTATTGGCAGAGAAGAAGTGGTTGAACGAGGAAGTATTGGCGGAGTTGGATGGGCTCGGCGGAGTTGAGGAGGTCCTTGCCTGGTGGAAGAGTGTCAAAGCTCTCAGTGTCGAGGGTTTGATTCATGGAAACCTTTACAAAGAGGTAATTCATATATATATATTTTTTTGCCGTTGTCATTAAAAGGATTCTTTCATGAGTTGCTAACAGAGTTTTTTTTTTTTAGGATGCGCTGAAAATGACGGACTTGATCACTAACATCTTGAAGCCACAGCCCTTGCCGGCTTCGCAGTGGTTCGTCCGCCGATGTGTGCTCTTCCAGCCAGGGACAGAGTTAATCTTCGAGAGAGATCTCAGAGACCCCAACAATGTCAACAATGCGGTTGAATACATGCTCCACCTAGGTACTATTGAGGATCGGCAGATGAAGGCCCGCCTATTGTTGTGGGCCCAGATGTCGCAGGAGTGAGTACCTCTCTTACCTTCTGCCCACCTAGAATTCAAAAACTAATCTTATTTACAGGCGAGCATTCGACACTCTCCGCACTAAAGAGCAGCTGGGTTACGTTGTTTTCTCAGGAAGCCTAATGCAGGCCACAACCATGGGATACCGCGTTCTCATCCAATCGGAACGATCATGTGCTTACCTTGAGGAACGCATCGAGGCCTTCCTTAACCAAGATTGGGAACTGGAAGAAGAAGCATTCGAAAAGCACAAGCAGTCCGTTCTCAACAGACTGCTAGAGAGCTTGAAGAACCTTAACCAGGAATCCAACCGACTTTGGTGGCACGTTGCTAGCGAAGCTTACGACTTCTTGCAAGTTGATGAGGACGTTAAAGTCGTTAGCAGACTGACACGATCTGACATGAAGCAGTTTTATGAAACTTATGTCAAGCCAGGAAGCGAAACAAGGATGAAGTTGAGCGTCCACCTAAAGAGCATCGCTAAGAAAGGTGGTGAAGATGAGGGCAAGAGAATTGGCGGGAAAAACGTTTACATTGAAAACGTCAGCGAATGGAAGAGTGGCATGGTTCTCTCTCGGGGCCCACGACCCGTCAGAGCCTTGGAAGAGATGGAGGTTCTAGGAGTGAAGCTATGAATACGTACGTCTCTAGCACACTGGATAACTACAGATGTGAATGCAGTCGTGCTTTCTTCTGAGAAGGCATGGGTCTATGATTTGATGGTCCTTTTATGGTTTATGGCTTTTTGTTGGGAGAGGTTTTTTTTTGTTAAACCATGAAAGAAAAAAAGACGATAAACGTATGTGATATGATACGATAAGATAAGATACGATGTGTTTATGATCCCCTCCCCCTTTGTTTTTTTTGGGGGGGGCTCCTTTTGTCTCATTTCTCCCCCATTGGACGGGCTTTGAGGGCTTAATGTTTCTTTGTACCGGTTACATTATTATTCTTTGGGTCTCTTTGACTTGTGGGTATCATTTTATGGCGTTAGAAATATATGTATTCATTAATTCCTTATTACTTATTTTTATACTCTCCCTTTCTTGTCAATTCTTCTTCTCCTCCTTATTCTCCTACTCCTTCTTCATGATCATTATCCGTTTCTCTCTCATTGTTTGGGTAAAAGTGGAGGATATTCCCCTGTTTTTTCTTAGTAGCTATATCTGTACCTAGGACAACTAGACTAGTACCTAGATATCAGCGTGTATATGAAGCAATTGAAGATGTGGAGGTAACTAGGACTCTTTTTGTTTTAAAGTGTATATGTTTGGGTAAAATTGTAGCCTGCCAGAATTGTTAGAATATTCGAAGGAATTCGGAAGAAGGTAAGGCAATAGTGATAATCTGCCCGACATATTGTGACTAGTTCTCTCGCTTTTTCCCCACTTATAGAGGAAGTGCAACCGATTATCAGGCGAGGTCATTTATTTCTACGCGATGTCTCTAGGATGTTTCAAAAGAGGAATTAATATAATACTCGATGCAACTGTTAAATAGATAGACTAGACTCCGTAATATATCGATAACCGTTTTTTTCTCCCTCCCTCTCGCTTTGAATTGTATAAATGGTGGGGTTAACCGACTTATTAGCAGACGAGATTTGAACATTCGTTCATGGCATAAACTTTTTTTTTCTCTTTCAATTTCAATTTCAATTTCAATTTCGAGAAATTTGGTGGAATATAAGTACCAATTAATATAACCTCGTGATTTCCAGATATATATACTATACTCTACACGTGGGTATAATTGTATAAAAGGAAATTGGGAAATAAGTCGGAACATACTACGGAACTGCCTGATGTGATTCCGGATCCTTCCTACGACTAGTTTTTAAATTGACATTATAATCACTCGGTGGACCTGGTGCAGTGACAGTCAGGACTAGCCCAAACCTGGGATATAGATTTGGGGGTGAATGATATTGACAGTTTGAAAATTCTCCTTTTTCTTGGTTATTGTCTATCTTTTGATATATAGACCCCACAAACCGTTCTAATTTAACCACGTCAGATTGATTTAATCAAGCTCAAAATCCGATTTGACTTTTTTTTTTTTTTTGTTCTCCATAATCCTTTCAGGCCCGGAGGGTTTTGAGTCGCATGTTAAGACACCTTTCCTAGTAGTTCCCCCCACTCCGGTGGAATACCCGAATGGGAGAAATCATGTGAATTCACCTTGCAGTTAATATTCAAGATTATTTGTTTTTCGAGAAAATGTACAGGGTTTATATTATGGATGTTACTGAGATTGGTGGTAATTAAGACGGGTTTGGTGTTTTTCTTTTCTATCTTTCTTCGATCAGAATTCCTATCGATAAGATGTTGTTGGCATAACATATACGTTTTTTATGGGGTGTTGTGTTGTACAAGGTGTAAACTTTTTAATACATGGTTTAGAATCATATATCACTCTCATCTTATGCATCATAATCGTAGCATATCCGTCATATCTCGATAACATATGCCAATAGAACCAAAAAAGAAAGAGATAGGAAACCCTTTCCCCCCCCCCCTCCTTTTCGTAGTTGTTCTTATTATTATATTTTTATCTCCGAAGTTTTCTCCTCCGTTTGAAGGAAGAAGAGATAGATGGATAGAGGGGTGTTGCATGTTGTATTTTTGAAGATATTGGCTCGATTGGGTAATAAGACATGATGATCGGAAGGGAGGAGACGACATTGTGTTGTGTCGGCGAACACAAAGGGCCTAAAGTTAACTTGGTTTGGTTTGGTTGGTTGGTTGAAGAAGCTGAGGTGCATCAAAAGCTGCAGTAGCATGCAGAAGGGGGGAGGGAAGGGAAAGGAAGCCACGGGGATAGAATAGAAAATATGTAGAATAGGAATAGAATCCAATCAATCGGTGATGTGATGTGATCTCATCGATCACAAGGCCAAGGGGATAGAACAGATCTTGGATACCCATACTCAAGTACGTCAAGAACCTCTAAATAAAGTTTCGTTCTCACCCAATTAAGGCCATGACCGTCTACTGAAACCCCTCGGTTACATGCGTAAGCATTCTTTTTTTCCTCTTGCTCAAATCGGAACATGCAGCTTTCGTTCGAGTTCGGGGTTCTGGGTCCTGAGTTCTGAGTTCGGAGAGGTTAAGTGGCATGCGCGGTGGTAGAGTTTTGGGTCAGATCTTCAACGCAGGGGGGGCAAGGGAAGGCCGAAATCCAGGCGCTAGCTTAAGAGACCCGAATCTAGACGACCATGCAAGTCGCAACCTTGATTGTAGACGGTACGGCCTATCTGGCCCTCCCTATCCTTTCTGTCTTTCTTATATTTTCTTTGCCTCCTTGCTTCGTTGAGAGGGGCCTCCTCACTTTCGAGCTCGCTTCGCTTCGGTTTTGACGGATTTTGTTTTTTTTTTAGTGGTTTTTTATTACGAGATATGTATGTGATTCGCAATTCCAAACCCACGAGGTTGTTGACTTGACTTGTTCCCAGGGTTGGCAGTATCAGCAGCAGCAGCATCATGCTAGGATGCTAGCAGCCTCGTATATTACTGAAAGTCCTATAAGTTCCGGTTCCTTGCGTTCCGGAGACGAGGCTCAGCTCAGATTTGAGGCTTCGCCTCAATATCACGAGATACTCTAAACAGCCAGGGGGCAGTTGATAGGATTTCTTGCCTCATCACTTACTCACTCATCACATCGCCAATGCAGGTATTGGCGGGGTCTTTTTCCTTTCTTTCTCTCTCTCGTGCATGCAGGCGTTTTTTTTTGGATGTAAGTACTTGGATTATGTATGCTATGTATTTGATACCCTAGGGTCAGTAAGCATTTCAGGGTCCCCCGTAGTGTACCTGACTATTATCAGCCTTTTTTGTTCTTTCTTTCTCTCTCTCTCTCTAGCTCTTGGTCTCTCAGGACCTGCATCTTCTCTTGGGTTTCTAGGCATCGAGAAATTCATGGTTAATGCGAATTCGTATGCAGGATATCTCGAAACATCCGTTCGTCCTCGGGGAGGAACCAGCATTAATGTGCGTGGTATTTTCCCCGAAATCTCAAATCCTGTGGTGGGTTTCCGTTTGTATGTGACCGAGTGCGAACCAAAAAGCTGCAGGGCTGGTCCCTTGTCCCGTCCGTTCCGTGCGAATTTGGGCGTGGTGTTCCTGAAGAACAGCATGCACCGACCCCCGGCTAGCTAGTTCCTGAGCTACTTGGTTACCAATTCCGAAGACTGACTGTCTGACCGTCTGTTCCTGTCTGTTTCTTAGAAGCCTTTAACTTTTAAGATTGTTTGGCTTCCCGGCCGAAAAAAAAAGATATATTGCTGTATGTAAAATGTGGGTTAAATATTTTATACAAATTGGCAACGGCGAGAAGGAAAACGGTGAAATTTAAACCAGAGAATATTTTTCTTATTTTTTCTTCTTATTTTTTTCTGCTTCTTCCTGTTCCTTTCAAGAAAAGAAATTTCTAACTCTGGTTTTTTTTTTTCCTAACCCCCTTCCTTTGTAGAGCCTCTTTGAATGATTCCTCCTCCTCGTCCAGTTATGTTTTATTTTTCCAAAGCGGCGTCCGTGGTCTATCGGGGTCACAGTTTCAAGGGCTTGGAGCTAAGAGAACTGTTCTAGTAATGTGTACCGGTACCATCGTCAACCGAACGCCATTCCGAGAGACTAATGTAGCTCTACTTGTTATATCTTAAGGAAAACCCAGGTAATTCCTAGGGTCGCTCCTCTTACTTGTGTACTATACTTACATATGTACTCTGAATAAAGAAATCTCGTAGATCGATGGGACCTGCGCTATTTGAAGCCCGCCACTGGTTCCCTCTTGTCGTTCCTGCATACTGCAAGGGAGCGTGACAGTAATAACTAGACAGCTACTTAGTTATCGAATGACTGATAGATCTCTCCTTCTCCTCTTCCTCCTGGCTTCATAGTTCTTCCTTTTTTTATTTTTTATTTTTTATTTTTTATTTTTTTTTATTATTTCCCAGTTCTTTTTTTTTTTGTTCGCTCGCTTTGAATCAATATTGACGGCGTGGACGGCCTAGTTATTATCATTTTTTTTGATTTCACTTTTTGACAACTTCTTCTTTTTCATCATCATCTTCTTTGATTTTTCTTGACCCCTTCCTTTACTAACAGTTACGTTAAGTTAAGTTACGTTACGTTACGTTACCATAAAGCCTGGAACATGGAACGTCCAATCCGCATTCTTCTGTAAATTTCCTGAATTCAGCACCTTTTTTTTGTGCCTGTTGCCCTGCGCATACCTGAGGTGCACCCAGGTGTTTGGAACATTTTAACGAACCTGAACGACACCTGACCGACTCGAAACGAAATTCCTTTTATTTTATTTATTTTATTTTATTTTATTATTTTTTACCTATTGTTTCCTTAGTGTTTTTTTTGTTCATGACTTTCACATTCAATAAGAAGAATATCAGCGGGGGAGTTTGGAATCGAGTAGCGTAACATAACTCCGAAGTTGGTCTTTGTTGGTTGTGTGCACCACACAGCAGTCAGCAACGCATTTTTCACCACAGCATCCCCACAACGTCTCTTCACGGTCTCTCTCCACCAACCGTCGACCATCATTCCAACTTCCCTCAACCAAACGTACTCATCTTCATTACAAACACAAATCAAGAAAAAAAAATCATCAGAATCTTCCTTCCCATCAACCTTCCATTCCCAATTCCATCAACCTCACCAAAAGCTTGATCTCCATTCGAATTCGCAAGCTGAGCCAGCCTCAAAGTTACATACACAACAACATACATAGTACTTATTCCTAACCGACAAAGAGGTATCAAAGCACAACAAGGACAAGAAGGGTATGCATCTCCCTTCCTCACTTCCATACCTGGCTTTTCATCTCTTCTTTCGGAAGACTGATGGGGTTGGTTGGTGGGTTGATGAATCGATGAATTGGTTGACTGATGAGACTATCTTTATGAATTATAGCTAGAGGCTAATAGATCCAGACTTCCCTGCTGCTTTGCTTGCTTAATTGATTGATTGCTTGCTTGCTAAGGACGATATTATTAAACCCTGCTCATATCTTCCCTTGTCTGAACTCAGATTCATACAGTAGCAGCAGCAGTGGGAGACATCATTCACTACTATCACCCTTCTCAACCAAACGCTCTTCCTCCCTTCCACTCTCCTCGACTTCATCTCCCAATTTTAAAAAAAAAATCCATTCCGATCCTTTCGTCTTCTCCTCTTTCTTTCTTTTTCTTTTCTTTTTTTTTGAAACATGTGCATCCCACATCTTGAGATTTTCACAGAAAAGAGAGAAGTCGAAGCGGACGTTGCTACTGGTGCTCGTGTAGCTCAGAAGAAGAACAAGAACGCTTCACCGGTTTCAAGTGTTCCCGCTACCATCGGTTCCAGAGGCTCGAAGGAGATTAAATTCCCAATCGTCGTTGTTACTCAACCCGTTAATTGTTCTCGGTCTTCCTCCTCCTCTTCTAGTTCTTCTTCTCCATCCTCCTCCTCTACTTCTTCTCCATCATCATCATCCTCCAGCGCCCGGTCCTCCACAGATTCTTCTTCGTCAAGTTCATCAGACAACAGCAAGAAGAAAGAAAGTAAAAAGGACAGAAAATACAGATACCCTTCCAAATCCTCCCGTCGGCCATCAAATCGTCTCAACGTCGGTCATTATAAGACTAATACTGACGGCCCAAAATTACGTCCGATGACCGCTAGCGATCTGTGGCAGGTTGCCGCGGGGCATAAGACTATTCATAGACTTACCCCGGCCAACGGATCTGGTGCCCCATTGGACTGTTTGAGCGATAATGGAACGGATGAAGGGTTTGTGGGTGTCTGTGGGTGTGTGAGGTGTATTGAGAGACATGTGAGGAAGAACAGTGGTAGCAAGAAGAAACATGATGATGATAAGGATAAGAAGGACAAGAAGGAGAAAAAGGACAGTAAAGACAAAAAGGAGAAAAAGGATAAGAAAGACAAGAAGGATAAAAAGGATAAGAAAGACAAGAAGGACAAGAAGGATAAGAAGGACGAGGACGGTTGGGGCAACGGATGGGATGATGACTCGAAAAAGGAAACCGGCGGAGACGCCTGGGGGGGCGATGATAAGAAGTCTAACGGGGACGGATGGGGTAATGACTCTGGTTGGGGAAACAATACAAAAGAATCAAGTGGAGGTGGATGGGGAGGCAGCAATAACGGCTGGGGAGATGAAAAGAAGAACTCTAGTGGATGGAGCGACGACAACAAAAAGAAGAAAGATGAAAAAGATGACGGGTGGGACAATGACAAAGATAAGGTGACTTGGGGCGATGAGAAAGAAGTCGTCAACAGCGATGACGGCTGGGGTAATGATGATAAAGACGACAAGAAAGGAAAAAAGGGAAAGAACCAAGGTGGGAACAAAAAAGGGAAGAAAGGAAATAAGACGGACGACGAGGCTGAAAAGAGTGGGAACGAAAAGAAGGGGAAGGGGGGTAAGGACAAGAAGGGTAATGCCCCAGGGAAACATAACGTCCACAGCAAGCATCACCATCATCACCATGAAGATGATAGCACCAGAGCCATTACGGTTCGCATCGACGGTGATTTCCCCGAAGTTATTAACGAAGAGGGATCGGAAATCACGCCCCTTGATTCGGCTCACTCCCCCGGCAGCTTTAGGGACACGATACCTCATATTACCATTGCCACCAAGTCTCCGGGCTGCGCCTGTGGCGGGTCAACTACAACGTCTAGTGTCAGTAGCACGACCACCTGCCCCAGTTGCTACATTAAACAGCAAACCCCGCGAAACTATGTCCAAGATCTTCAAGGTCATTGGTATAGATTTGCTCCCGGTATCGACGTAGATACCTATGATAAAGATGATATCTTTAGAGGCTCGGACGGCCGGGCATACAGACGTATCTCATCAAAGAAGGTCCCAGAGGAGGAGTTCTACCATAGCAGAAGAAACCATGGCGAACACTATGGAAGCCGTCATCACACTCACCATCAACCTCCACCTCCACTGGGTGCTACCAAAGGTCAAAATTACTACCCATCACATGTTCCTGCTACTGGTTTTATGAAATTTAAGAAAGTGTTCAATAAACCTCAACAAGACCCTCGAGCAGCATACCAGGCCGCTGGCGCCGTACCAGTCTATGGTATTCCAGTTCAGCCGAATGCTCACCACGGTAGAGGGTCTCGATGGCAAGGCATGTTCCGCCTTTTTACAAGTAGTAGCAATGGCCGTTCGACCAGGCACGGAAATACACACCATCACTACAAAGTCGACCCAACATCTTCGTACGATGGCAAGAGTAGAAGCCACTTCAGTGGGTACAGACCACCAGATGGGTATGTCTATCAGTTTTGCTCATACTCTATATCTATCTTTGAAACATAATACTAATCAAACCGCATAAATTATAGACAAGATGGCTACGGACGACGCGGGGACTAGGAAGTTACCGTCATTGAAGAGGATGAAGAAGAATGAGACCTTTCCAAACGGGATGATCTGAAGATTCGGTGAGGGGGAAGTTTCACGCTTTCCCTTTCTGTCTCGATTTTTCAAGTCGACTACGTTTTGGATCTGTCGACCCAACCTTCTTTGATCCTTTGTTTTGAACCGACCGACCGACCACTTTCCTTCACTTAAGAGGCTTTACTACTGCCACTATCACCCATTTGCAGAACCATTCGACTCTCATGCCTCCTATGAACTGGATCCGGCAAAATTTACTATTTTGTCTTACATTTACATTTCTTCTTTTTTCGTTTCTCGTTTTTCTTCTCCCTTTTCGTTTTTTTTACTTTTGTTCAGTACTAGTCTCCCGGCTTTTTAATGGGAACACCTGCGAACACCCTCATTTCTTTTCAAAAGTCGATACCCACTTCCAAACACTGGCTGCCAATTTTCTTATCGTTCATTTCGTCCCGTTAATCATCCCGGTATACTCTCAGCGGCGTCAAAGGACAGGACAATTTTTTTTCTTTTCTTTTCTTTTCTTTTCTTTTTCTCTCTTTTTGTCCTTCGAAAACTTTTCATTACAAAAATATGCTTTATGTAGTTTTAGCGGCGGTTTTTTCTTTTCCTCTGATACTGTATTTATATCTCAAGTTTCTATTACGACAGCCATGACCATTGCTTCTTCATTTCTTTCTTTCCTTCCTTCTCGAAACTGGAGTTCGTGTGTTTTCCTTTGTCTTTTTTACTCCCTTTCCTTCTTTTCCACTGTACTCATTCTACAGAGCCAGTCTTTTAATATAAGTATATACCTTTTGGTTTCACTTGTCCAATGTTTGGACTTTCCTTCAATTTTAAATTTTGGAGCGATATATTGCTTTAGCCCGGCTATCACTCGTAAATTGGAGTTTTAAAGTTCTTTAAATATTATCTCTCGAAATATTACGAGTGTATACTAGTATTCGGTCATAATACTGACACATTGGATCCGAGAAGAGATAAATACATTAAGATAACAACTAAATACCCAATTAAACTATAAAATAGAACAAATATTAGTAATAAATACGTAGCTTCATTAATTGCGTATAGAAAAGGTCCCGCATGTGTATGTATATATATATCATGTACCGTAGAACTCCAACATAATCTAATCCGACATCAAATTAAAAAAAACTCCCAAAGAACACGCTTTAAAAGATCACAAACATCATAATCTCAAACAAAAACATAACCATATACGTCCCCCACGAACCCTTCATGCTAACGAAGCTTGCATCCGAGGTTTTGGAATTCCTTCCTTTTCCCAAGCACTTCTTTTTACCCTTATTCTCCTTTTTAAAGCATCCCATAGCACCGTACGATATGAGACCTCCTCCTATTGCTGCCACGATTATGAAGAGGAGCATTATGATGCATAGACATTTACAGAATCTATGTCTTCGAGTTTGTGGTTCGACGTCTTGGGGTGGTTCTTCTTCTTGTTGTTCTTGTCGTTCTTGTTGCGATTCCGCGTCGCCTACGTCTGCGTAAAAGGTGCCCCATGTTTCTGCGTGTTCAAGTTTTTGAGATGAAGGGGCGGGATCTTCTTTTGTTTGGGTTTCTTTGGAATCCGAGGTTGGGGGTTGTTTTTCTGGATCTTTGGATGAGGTTTGGAGATCTAGCTCGGGTTCTGGGTGTTGGACTTTTTTGATTTCGGTGGAGGTCCGAGCTTCTGATGCCATGTTGTTGGATTTTTTGTCGGATACGTGTTGTTGTTGCAAGTCGATGTATACCAGCTATTGTTCCTGGCTGGTTTAAGCTTCGGAGCTACTTATAATTGCGACGCGATGTGGAGAGAAAAAACTATTCGCAGGAACGATACCGCGATTCCTACTGACTAAGAGAAGGCTGGCCTTTTTTCCCCCTCCTTCTCCTGGAAATCAATTACTTCTTAAATACACAATTCCCTGAGCTGTCCAGCGCTAGAGGATTCCGAGGAGCACACCCTCTCGCTCGCTCTGCTCCATTGGGTAATCACAGTTTAATCCCGCCAACTCACATATCTTTCAGCTGTGAAAGAAAAAACATAAGGGAAACGAAGAGCCTAACCATTTCAGCCTTATGCCAACCTTTTTGTCCAGCCCACTCATAGGTCCCATGGTTGTACAAAGTTTTCGGTTTAGTTTGCCCGCAAACTAAGTATCCTTAGCTGTTGGTTTGTTCCAGGGTCTTTTTTGCGGAATTGGGAGTATTTTTTTTTAAATGTTTTATTCCCATGTTTTATTCCCAAGACTTATGCTAATCCCACGACAAGCGCTTGGCGACGCCTCCCCAGCCTTGCTTGTTTTTGCGATTGAAGGACAATTTGCCGATACGTAGCTAAATGGGAGAAATGAAAGAGGGTGATTTGGTAATATGATGGCTTTGCTAGGGTTCTTTTTATCTTATGTGGCGTTCGTTTATAGTTGGTTGTTGAGCGCTGTATGTACATAGTATGTGGGCACGTGTGTGTGGCTCTTTGCGGTCTATGTAGACATCCGTGAAGCCTTGTGAGTGTCAAATTGGGACTGCGAATATGATGCGGGGTGACATCTGTTCTGCGAACGAGGGAGGCGTTCTTTATAAACTAAACTATGTTTAATACGCCATGGATGAGCCCTAACTAGTCTTGTATTAAAAGGCTTCGGCACACGGCTGGATGAGCCCCATGAATCCACAATATTTTTGCTCCCTTGCAAAAAGTGTTTAAATGGAGCCTTTCGTCAAACTTTGTACAACCTATATAAGTATTTACTTACGTAAAACCCGATAGCCGGTTCGCCTTCGTTAGTCCATGCATTCTTTAGAGAGAGAAAAGGAGAACCTCTTGATTGTGGCGCCATGTGCTGATAATATGCATATGCATCAAGTTTTCTGTGATGTAACCCTCTAGAAATAAAATTATATTGATATAAGTAACTCAAGTAAGTATTGCGACAAAGAAAAAAAAGGCAAGTTCCGGGGAAGCGAGAGGGGTATCGACGACCCGCCAGAATGGTTTATAAAAACCCCCCGGATTTTCCCCATAATACGCGTAGCGTGTTACAATTCCACAGCAGGTCTTCCAACGGATTGTGAAATCTGGTAGCCTTGTTTGATAGGTATATACGGCCGGATACTGGTTGTATATCTTGTCGACCGAACATTCGTTTCTATATTAATTTTTGACCACTCGCTTCTACTACAACTTCATCATTCGCTTAGTTCACCTCATCTCTACGTCTATAATACCCTTTGGGTCCTGACTTCACAAGATGAAATCTATTACATTCACGAACGTTCTATTGGCGGTATCGCTTCTTACCACCAGTGTCGCCGGCTGGTCGTATAACCACAAAACCGTAAAGATAATCCAACACTGCACCACAGCATACTGCGACCAAAATGTCCACCCACCACAGTCCTACACAAAGACCATCCACAAAACCACCAAATCCGTGGTCACCATTACCCCAAAACCAAGCACTTGCTATACCACGAAGAAGGATCAAACAAAGACAATTACTAAGAAATATACGAAGACTTATACCGTAACTTCCAAATGTAGCACACGAACTGTATACGAACCTTTCATTGTCACTGCTACTCGGACCATTTCCAAAACTAAAACATTAACAATTTCGATCACTGTTACAACTATTACTCCGGACTCGACGGTGGTTCCTATCCCGCCTGGATTCGTCAGCGCCGGTGATGACCCAGATAATCAATACACTCTATCATCCGAAGACGATGGCCTCGAGAAAAGACACAAGAAAACATTCTACCCGACCTCCGTGAAATGCACCAAAACGATCCAAAGAATCTACAAACACACCATCACTGCTAAAAGACCCACAACCACAATCACGAAACCAGGCAAGACCAAAACCAAAACCATCAAACAAACCAAAAAGGTCACAAAGACAATCTACCAACAAAAGAATATCAAAACCACTACGATAACCCATATCATATCCACTAGAACCACTACGAAAACCAAAACCTCCACAAAGACTGTCACAAAAAGAGTCACCGCCTTTGCCCCTAGGATAACTACCTACGGAGCCTGCGGACCACATAATCATTTCCAAGGTCCATCCGGTAGTAGTGTGGATGTTGTCGTTTTACCAGAGGATCCTATAGTACCGGCCAGAATTGCTTATGACTGCTGCGCACAGTGTCACGAGCATGTTAGCGCACAGGGTGTACATGATTGTGCTGGTAGTTATTTTAAATTTGACACGGTAAAGTTGACGTCTGTTTGTCGGTTGAGGTTGACGAATTTTTGTAGTTATGATAATCATTTGAGGTTTAAACCTTTGATTGATCCGTCGAGGGCAGGTGGACAGGCGCTTGGGAATGGGCCGTGTGGGAGGTGGAAGGTTCAGCTTTGAGGTACGAGGTGGGGAGGCTTGTATTGGGATTTTTATGTCTTACTTTGTGAAGTATGGGATTTGAAAGATATCGAGACTAGGAATTTATGAAATCGACTATGACTTAGTTACTTAGTTATGATTTGAGATTTAATCGATTGTCTCCTACAAATTGTAAGAAATAACTCAGGATAATCAAAACATGCTTGATGTGATTATTTTTTTCGACCCCCCTCTTTTGCATGTTTAATGTTTAGATACTACCACTTACGCACATATTTGCGTTGTTCTAGCTAAATACAACAAATAGGCAAAGGCAAGACTTAGAAAGGTGAGCTTTGCATTGAATTCGATCTCACATCTACATATATCATATTATGGTATGTGTACGTGCAGCTACACAGCCTAGCCTTGCACGCAGCCAGGCCGATGGCCCGGCCAGATAAGCCTCTTGTATTTTAGGATGGCTGGCTAAAAATTCGGAAATTTCGTCAACCATGCGCGCGGATATGATTTCGCTCGTGGCCCCAAGACTTTTAGTCATCAGTAAGGTATATATACATATGTACATGGCACACGATATAGATATAGATATCATCAATCGATCTTGATCCATAGGAACAATATTGGCTTTTATGCGTGCTTGGGTACATATATATATAAGTAGCCTACCCGAAGATAATGAGAGAGATTTCTCTGCATCGAAGCGAAATACATTTCAAACGGACCTACTTCTGTCTTGGATATTAACAACATCGTGTCAACCTAAGCCCCAAAATATTCAGCACCGGTACGCTTGCCGGTGTACATGTATACACCTTCAGGTGAGTCCGGAAAGCTAACAGTTTATGTACCACGGGTAAGAGTAGTACGGGGCCATGAAACTCCTAGCTCTTGTTACCGCCTCACATCACTCAAGAATTGGTTGAATGCAGTGGGAATAATTTATGGCAGGATACGGTTTTGATTTTAATGAGCAATGATCCATGGAGGCTCAGATGATTGAACTCGGGCTCCTATGGCTCAACTTCAAACTACCTAGCAAATTTGATGGCAAGCAAGCCCGGGAAACAAAATGGAGAAAGCTTATCAAATTTGCGAAGAAGAGTACCGCAAGGATCGCAATTTACTAATAGAAGATGAGCTCCAGAGATTTACCCAAAATCTTGGGTCAGGATCCTTACAAATGCAAATTCCCGGTTTCTTATGCATCATTCTCGCAATTGTGAAAGTTGGTATTGGGGGTGTGTTCTCCCTTTGGGCATCCGGCTAGCTTACTCTCCAACTATTCATTATTATAGCCACCCCGTCCGATCAAAATCCACTGTATATTACGCTTCGGAGGCTAGCCCCTCCACTATCTATTATCAACAAGTTCATAACGATAACTTACTATAGCTCTCATCATAGCCGTGTGCACGTTTGTTATCAATATTATATGCGTTCACCTGATCGGTATATGATATATAAGCCGAAAAACCCCTTCGGGGTGAGAGCAATGCCACCTCGCTCATTAATCTCCTCATGTGGAAATGAACCACGTTGCTGTATACTTCTTTACTTCTTGTGCAGTGCCTACCCTAGACTCGAGGCTCTTTGTCAATATGTATGCCGCATAATTTTCCAAAGATGGATTTCCGGGCCTAGTTTCTGAGAGCGGTCCACATCCACAGAAACGTATAGGACCCTTCTTTTTATCTTAGATCTTGATTGAAAATGTTAAATCATATTCATTAATTGACCCGCTCTTACTGAGCTCCGTACTTTCAAAATTAAAAGGGATTCCGGGGTTCCTACCATTTACACCTACTTAGCTCAAACATACCGCGAGTTGCCCAAACCGAACCTTTGTTACAGAATCACCGACGACCATTGCATTGTATTGCATCCGGATCCACACCATTTCGAATATTATATTTCATCATCCACTAACATTCTGACAACTTCTTGTTTAAGCCTCCATATAATTATCTGTAACTGTAAGTATGACCTGACTCTCTATCTTACATCCAGAAAAGAGCCCTTCTCGCTGACACCTCCTTCTAGACCCCACTCCCAGCCAACTATCCAAGGAAATAATATGTCTTTGTCTGATATCGAGATATCACGATATCTAGTTACACAAAGAGATCGACATTGGTGATCCTCGTCGGAACCTCCAACTCAACACATCGGAGATGGCACGGCGTTTTCCCCCCCGAACTCCGTCGTGGACTTCTCAAGAGAAAAAAAAACCAACTTCATTCTTACTTCCATGGCCTCGAGCAGCGGAAGCTATAATTTTCCGTTTTCCTTAAGATCACCAACTAACGCCTGAAAAAAAAAAGTGGCGTGTCTTTGTCATCAACTTGCATATGCAACCTGCTGACACCCCGGTTAAGTGAAGTCTGGTCCACTAGCTTTGTGATTAAATTTCATATGCCAAAAAAACCTTGATTGACTCCATTTGGCTTTCAAGAGTTCCAGCTGGGGTAACGTTATTGAGTGCCTCGGGGTTCGCGATCGGGACTCGGAGACTCTATCTCCGCTAAAGGCCGATGTTTATCGCTGAAGATTGACAAAGTAGAGCAGCTTCAAGTAACTTATATAATCATCGACTCTTGCAGCTCTTTAGCTAAGGTAATACATACTGTTTTGTTAGGTGTGTGACAAAGACGGCACAATCAAACTTCAACGTGGTTTTGAATTCACCCGAAGACAGCATTAATATTCTTGGCATTTTTATACCACACGACTACGACGTCATAGTATTTCTCCATTTCTCCACTCGGTCCGGACCTCGCGACACACAATCGATTGATTGATAGAATCTATATCAGTAAAGATGGTTGCGATAGATGCAATTAAATCTTCTAATGCTGCTGCTAAGGCAAAGCTACCACTAGGGCTCGTTGCACTCTTTGGTAGGTTTCAAAGGACCTTTCTAATCTATCCCTTTTTTTTCCGATCCACTTAATTAAGTAATTGTATGAATATAAACTTACCTTTGAAATGCCAAAAAGTTGGCGCAACCAGTGGTATCGGTGAACACACCCTCCGCAACTTTTACCAAACCGCCCCATCTCCACGAGTATACTTCGTAGGCCGTTCACAATCCTCTGCGGACCGTATAATCGCCGATCTAAAGCCATTGAATCCAGATGGTCACCTCGAATTCATCCAAGCCGATGCTACACTCATCAAGAATGTCGACGAAGTAACCCGGAAGTTTCTCGAGAAAGAGAAGGAGTTGAACGTACTCGTCATGTCACAAGGATATTTAACATCTGAGGGAAGAGTTGAAACCACTGAAGGATTAGATGCAAAGCTCGCATTGAACTACTTCTCCCGTGCGAGGTTGATACAAAATCTACTTCCTTCGCTGTCCGCGGCAGCTAAATCTTCTCCGTTCGGTGCTCGTGTCCTCTCGGTTCTTTCCGCGGGGAACGGAGAAGGGAAAATTAATTTCGATGATTTCGAGCTCAAGAAGACTTTCTCTCTGCGGAACGCTGGGGTAATGGCTACCACCTCAAATTCGGCTATTGTGAAGTATTTGGCAAAGGAGCACTCGAATATTGGGTTTATACATGCCTTCCCGGGTGGTGTAGAAACGAATATTATGGAAGCTGCACATTTCCATCCTATTGCAAAATGGACGGCTAGGATCTTAATGCCACTGGCGAGGCCGTGGATGTTTACTCAAGAGGAGAGCGGTCAAAGACATTTCTATTTGACGACAAATGAGAAGTTTAAGGCCGGAGGTTGGTTGACGGATAGTATGAATGAAGAATCGAGTTCGGCGCAGAAGTTTGTGGATAAAGGATTGTCTGATGAAAAAGTTGGGGAGAAAGTCTGGAAGATGACGCTCGAGGTTTTTGAGAGGCTTGAAAAGGAGAGGACTGCTTAGGGCTTAAGATTGTTTGATTTGTATCAATTTGGTAGTAGCAATGGTCGTTTGTTCCTTTCAGAAGGCGCCTTTTCATTTTTTAGGATAAGTGGGCAATATGTATTGAAGTTCGTTATAGTTTCTTAGGCGTTTAATGGTTACACAGCTTGGGAATATCAAAATATCGTCATCGAGTGAACTAGCGTCCCCGAATTAGTTATGGCTTCGACAGGGCTAGCTTAGTCTGGGGGGCTAGCTCTGATCAATAGCCCATTCGGCTGATCAGGATTGGATCCAATCCATAATATTGATAGGTTAGGAATATATATTTTAATATGTAATGCACAATTTAATAATGTACCGTATGTACATATGTATCTAGCTGCAAGGGACACCCTCTTCGGCAAGGAGAATAATAATAATAGCACACAACGACGTGTAGCAGTGGTCTATTAGTAATGAGAAATAACAAAGGATGGAAAGGGTAAAATCATAGGCCGTAAACATCATATGTGATAATGCATAGAAGAAAATAGGAAACCTCATAACTGATAGTGCGTTTGAATCATGTAAAGGAACTATAACATCACAAAGATATTTTTGGTGTTTCCGTCTGACAAATAATGAAGAGGATACCAAGAAATGTAACAAAAGAGACACCTTCGAAAACGCACCCTGCCCGCAGCAATGCCCCATGGTATCACCCAGATGCGCCTTATCCATACTTACCTGTCTTGAATCGCCTACAGCCATCTGTTGCCGGATTGTCTGCCGCCGCCGCCGCCGCCGCCACCACCACCACCACCACCGGAGCCTTGAACCCACTTGTCGACATACCCACCGCCGCCTCCACCTCCACCTCCACCTCCATTGCCGCCGCCGCCGCCGCCGCTCTTCATGTTCAACATGTCCGGTCGTCTCTTCTCCTTCTTGGAGCTGTTCAAGGCCTCGGTATACTGTCCTGGGTAATATCGATCATACCTTTCACCGTACCCTTCATCTTCTTCTTCCTCATCTTCGCTAGCTGGGCTTCCAAAATCACCGCCAAGGGTCTTTCTCATTTCCTCGAATTTGTGGCCCCGGGAACTGCTCCTGGATCCATAAATTTTCTCGTATTCTTGACGATACTTAGCATGCTGCATACGTTCTCTTTCCGCTGCATGGACCGCTTTCGCATCGGAATCGTGCGACGAGTCAGAGGTCATGCTATTGGATCGGATGGGTGGCATACCGGGATGGTAGCTGTGGCGCATGTGCGGACCACCGCTGCTGCCTCCGTGGCCGCCGCTCCCAATTCTTAACGGGAGGGGCTTATTCTTGCCACCAGCGGCACCGGCGCTGGGCCCGCCTTCGACGTTCTCCTTGCTGCTGACTGGGACGAGTGACTTGCTCATTTTTTCGTTGGGACCGCCGCCAGGTGGACCGTTACCAGTTGGTGATGGGAACTGACCGGGCATGTACATGTCACCGCCGTATTTCCTGCCTGGGACGTTGGCGTTGGCAGGGCGGGGTGGTTGTGTCTGTCTGTTAGGCTTGCCTCCCTTCTCAGACTTCTCAACCATAACGCCCTCGCCGCCGACATCGTCTTCTTCAGGTAATTCGCCAGCTTCAGCCATCCGGCGTTCCTTTTCAAACATTTCACGCTCTGTCCATACTAGATCCTGCTCTATGCGAAGCACTTCGCCTTGCGCTGCGATAAGCGCTTGTTGCGCACGGATCAAATGGCGAGCTTGATAAGCCCATTTCTGGGAAAGCATATCTTGCGGTGGGAGTCTTGGTTTGAACCCAAATGGATCATACAAAGCTGGTGGGCCACTTTCTCCCTGTGACTGGGATCGGTGGCCGTGGGAAGGTGGTGGTGTAGGCATCGGAGTTGCACTGTTGTGAGAAGAGTTTGGAGAATTTGGTGCTACAAGTGGTGGGCCTCCTAAAACTGGTGGTCCTTTTGATGGGCCTGGGTGAGAATGCTCTCGAATATGAGGGGGGTTTATCCTGTCTAAAGGTGGTCCTCCGGGTCCTCCGCCGTGGCCAGGTCCAAAGTTAAGAGTGAGAGGACGAGGAGGGCGTGGCATGTTATGAGGTAAGAAAGACAACAGCAATTAAGAATTGTAAATTGCGGGACAAAAAGCCTGTTTTATTTAGGGTGCGTTGGGACAACTTGTCTCGAATGCACCTCTGTTTTGTCTTCTGCAAGCAAAAAGTGCACAAGCTAGCTGGACAGTCAGTTTGAAAACAGCTGATGGAACAAAAAGCAAATTTGAAAATCACCCTGAGAAAACGCAGGAAAAGGCGATCGACTGGATGCCAGTTGCTGGTAAGATTGTCAAACAAATGGTCTGTTGTTCCGTTAATGGCAAGAGGCGGACTCGAGGGGACTGTCTGGGCAGAGACTGTGACTCTTCCTTGTATCGATAATAGTCGAACGGGCCGAGGGGTAAACAAAACGGGACCAAACGAAAACTGAGCTTTCTTTCTTCCTGTCCGTCCTTTAGGATTTAAAAGGAGAAGAAGAGGAAGAAAGAGAAAGGGGAAAAAAAGAAGAAGACACAGGTGAGAAAGGGAAACTGCTTTCAGCCTTCTCCAGTGATATTATCGTGTGTGTATTCTTTTTTCACAGTTCTTTTTTCTCTGCCTTGCGTGAAAAAGGCATATTTTCACTCAAAGCAAGTCATCGACGCTTGGGCGGATAACCAAATCGAACCATTGGCCAGGGTGAATCGGTCCATATGATGCATTTATATGGGTCCAACGTCGCAGCTGGGCATCGAGCTAACACTTTGGAGTGTCAGCTTTCTTGTATTCAATGCAATCCAGAAGTTCAGAGGTACTCCGACGAGGAAAAAAAAAACTCGTCAAATCACTGTAATATTGTCCTTCGAGGACCGAAGGAGGGTCTATTATTGGACATCGACACTGCAGAGGTATATTCCTCATGCCCTAAACAGCGTAGATCCTTGCAAAATGGGAGGAAGGAGCAGGGAGTGGCGGGTCAAACCGTGCAGCGGGGTAGGCCCTTGTGGAGAAAGGTAGATTGTGTTGGATTCCGAGATATCGATGGAGATGAGGAAGCATCATCTGATCAATATCATTGTATGCGCATATGCACGGTGGGTTTTCGGGTCGGCTATGCATAAATATGTCCTCGGAAACTTGATATGCTTGTATACTCGGGATTTGATCGTAGAGCAGAGACTTCAACGATAGGCTTCTCGATCCCAGCCCCGCTATTTCAGTGAGGGGTACTTCTTCCCTTCCTGATATTGCATTTGCCATAACGTACCTCCTACTAGATTCGTGTTTGATCTGGTTCGTGCCGCACTAGGGCGTGCGTACCCGGTGCTTGGAACTGTAAGCTTGTAGCTATTCATTCTATATGCATTAGTACGCCAACTTCGTGGTTTCACTCGGCGGTAGACCTTGAGTATTCGATGATCCGATCGATTTCAATGGGAAGATTTATTGGTGCAAGCTGCATAACGAGATACTGGGATGACCTGGTGTGGCGGTCCTGAAGCAAGTAGTACCGTGACTATAAGTCTATCTAGTTTGTGAAGCCTGGTCGAAGAGGTTGTAGTTGTAAGAGAGTTTTCGGTGTGGGCTGTTTGATATCAATAGGCCGATAGGGTTGCCATGGATCTGCACCAGCGGAGGACAACGGCCGTGTGCAGTAATATTCAGGTTACACAGGAAACCTCGCAGGTCACCGCCACAAATTAGCATATATAGGTTACTTCAGAACTTAAAATTGAAATTTAACTAGCTGATTAATATTAATTGACGATACAATTCACGCCCCCTTTCGTGATGGCTAATTACGAGGCCAAAGACTGTTTGTACGGGTTCCTGAATTCAGTATATCTTAAAGATTAAGTTTGTTCGGCAATTTGGTGGTACGCATTTGACCTAGGAAAGAAAATGTGTATATTATAGAAGTATATTTTGAATGATGAAATTGTATACAGGTATTAGTGCGCTCGATATAGGCTTTTGTGCTGGCCATCAACTTAACAAACAATACAAAATGCGAATAGTGACTACCTAATATGCAATTAAAGCTGACCTGTGCTGTATCTTGCAGATATTGAGACTACAACTATCACTTCGCTGGTTGGACCGATTTAAGCTCCGAAGATTAAACTGTAACAAACATACCCGGCGGCACCCCACAGTCCCAACTGGGCTGGGTAAAATACTGGTGCACCAAGGTATCTTCCCTTACCGGTCTCCTTCTTGGGGTTCTTGTATCCAATTGCATACAAGATTCTGCCAACGAGGTAAGCTGCTCCCGCACCGGCCGCGAACTTGGGGTAAACGAGGCCGGAGATGAACATTGGGACATACACTGCCAAATTTCAACATATGTCAGTCTACCAGCCCTTTAACCTCCACCACCTCGGATAGATCAAAGCGAATTCTTACAGTTCGGGAGATTCTCAAGGTAATTCTGGTGGGCACGTTGTGTGCAATTGAAGATGTATTTATCGGATCCGGTGGGGGCTTCGGATTGCAAGGCATACGCATTTGGGTCTAATTTTTTTGGAAATTATGAACTTAGTCTCTAAGACCCTCTCATCATCAATACTGCAATTGGGAGGATCAATTCATACATGGAACCTTGGCCTTCATTCTAGCACCGGTGACCACAATACCGTGCCATTGGTTGATAAATGTCGAGGCAAGGGCGACGAGAAGGACGTATCTACAAACACCATATTAGTAATAGTTGGCGACAAGTATCTCGGGTAGTATATTTGCATATATATATAGGCACATACCCGTATTCTGGAGTAAGTGTAATTTCCATTTTCGCGAGTGATATATATTATTAATTCTTGAGATTGTACTGGATGATTGACGATTGAGGCTTCTGATTCTGCAGGATTCTTTGACGCTGTTGATTCCGAGACTTCAAAACTGCATGTAGCCAGAGAACAGACCACCCTTTATAGGTTCTCCCAAGGTCGCCGGATTCCAGCCTGAACTCCTGGATCAAAACGCCTAGCCCTGGCCAGTGCAAGCTAGACCCTGCGCCTGATTAATCGCTTACGAGTTCTTGAAGAACCACCCAGAAGAAGCCGTGACACCCAGACGCCACGTTGGTCTTGTCTTTGTCGAGAATCCCTGATTCGGGGCAAGTTTGCAGTCCGTTCCGGCCTTTAGGAGCTTTTGCTCGGGAGCGTGGTTCAGTTGACTTGCGGCGCCTTTGTCTCGTTGCGGCGCCTCGGGGTTGCCCGGTTTGCGAAGGATGTGTTGTTTTATGTGTTGCGGGCTCGCTTAACCTCGACTTTTCAACAAGACGAGCTAAAAACTTTGGATCCATCTTTTTGCCAAAAAATTTGCGGTCGAGCAGAGCCGCATCTGCAACTTCTTCCAGCTTCACCATCACAGGTAGCAATCAACCATCGACTTGTCAAAACCCCTGGTGAACAATCAAATTAGCGTCGCCTGCTCTAAAAGTAACTATTACAACATAAAAAATGGCCCGCCGCCGTTCCAAACGCCGTACTCATGTCGCGGATCCGACACGACAGAATCCAACCGCCTCGTCGATGGTGACATCAAAGACGCCTTTATCCAGCACTGCTTCCAGAACTCCAAAAACAATGATTATACGTACTGGATCTTCTCCTGTCGGACCTTCAGTTTCCACTCTCGTTCATGACCTGCGTCGCGTGATGGAGCCATATACTGCCTCCCGTCTTCGTGAACGAAAATCGAACAAAGTCAAAGACTTTACAACCATGGCTGGTCCTTTGGGTGTCACACAAATCCTTATGTTCAGTCGCTCAGAAAACGGGAACGTAACATTAAGGATTTTAAGGACACCGAGAGGCCCTACATTGCATTTTAGGGTTGAGAACTATAGTCTGTGTAAGGATGTAGCAAAGGGACAAAGGCATGGTGGCGCCAAAAGTACTGGAAAGGAATATTTGAGTCCTCCTTTGGTATGTTATATTGCTCTTCCTCTATCTTTCCGTTCGCTTCTATTCTGTGGGTGGAAAATTATATATGTAATCAGTGTTGTCAAGCTTAGCAAGAGCGGAGTTCGACGGCAATTCGAAGGCTAATTCGCTATGGCGCCATCACAGCTAGTAATGAGCAACCTCGTTACACCTACAACGGGCAAACCCGCCAACCATGAAATTCTCACCCAATCAATGTTCCAATCCATGCTCCCGCCGATATCCGCGCAGACCATTTCTCTAAAATCTGTCAAGAGAGTGTTGCTGCTTAATCGCGAGTTACCGGATTTAAAGGATATAGAGAACTTAAAGGAAGATGAAGAGTATATTGTGGATTTGAGGCATTACTCAATAACTACACGGCCGACTGGAGTTCCGAGGGCCATCAGGAAGTTGAACAGAGCTACACAGCCCGCGAAAGGTGTTAGAGGGGCTATACCTGATCTAGGTGGTCTTGCGGATATCTCAGAGTATCTATTGGACCCTAGTGCGGCTGGTGGTGGCTATACGAGTGAAAGCGAAGTTGACACAGACGCCGAAGTGGAAGTTGCGGTCCCTGGGATACAGAAAGCAGGCCGGGTCAAGAAAGTGAGCGAAGATGGAGGCGGGGCAGAGAAGAAGGCCGTGAAACTACAAGAATTAGGACCAAGGATGAGGTTAAAACTTGTTAAGATTGAGGAGGGAGTAAACGATGGGAGGATTCTATGGCACTCTTTTGTTAAGAAGACTCGAGAAGAAGAGAGGCAGTTAGACAAGAAGGCAAAGGACAAGGAGAAGGTTAGAGCAGAACGCAAACGGGTACAGGAAGAGAACGTCAAGAGAAAGAAGGGTAACGATAAAAAGGAGGGAGAAGAAGACGATGAACTCGAAAAAGAGACTGGATGGAGCGGAGACGAGGATATATGGAGTGATGAGGAGATGCAAGAAGATAGCGAAGAAGACCAAGATGAAGATGAAGATATGGAGGACCAGTAGTGTCCCATGTACTATTGTGGAGGTGTACGATATGCCGTTGGAGTTTTATAGGGTATAGATACCAAAAGCATGCAATTTTCTATTTAAATCTAAATATTCGTCCATCTATCAATTGATAAAGGCTACGGTCATTTCATTTTCTATATTGATATGTCGCTTTTGCGAAGCCTGGTTTGAGACAAATATCATTTTTATATATTGTGTGTAGTTTGGTTCTACAATCGGACTCTGAGCTCAGCTCTGGTGGAGTCAAATCTCAATAAGAAGTACTTCGAAGTGAGCAGCGCTGGACCAGCTGGTTGCTCCTCCAACATTTTGTTGTGGTCGCTAAAACGCGTCTCCCAGCTTAACGTTTAAATATTAATCAAACCTTCGATGAACACTATCACGGCTACGACTGTGTCATAGTGGCAACCACCCCGGCGAAAAGTAGCTGCCGCGATGCCTCCCAGGCAGCAGCAGCTCCCATGTGGGAACCCAGTTCTACTTCAGTTTCTCCTGCAATGGGCAGATGATGCTCGAGGTACGGATCGAGAACGAACGTATCGTAAAGCAGCTGAATCGATGCGACTTTGCCCTCGGGCTTTCGACCACCCCTCTGAAGCTAAAGTTCTCATTGGCATCGGTGACAAAATCGCAGAGCGATTGACAAGGAGCTTCATCGATTATAAAGAGGATAGAGGAGAAACCCCACCACCGATGGTACCGCATCTCAAACCTCGAAAAGCGTCAAACAAACGAAGCAGTGAAGAGCTTGAAGATATCGTTGAAGAAAGAAGCAGTACACCCAATGTTGGAAGAGCACCGGCATTTTCTGTTGAGGACAGCGGATCGTTGTTCGATAGTGGGGAGCCAGTGTTAGGGCGCTGGGATCGGGCTCGACCACCAAAGAAGAAAAAGAAACCAGCTGCCCCACCAGCCGATCAGGATGATGATGGGGGCGACGCTGAAGACACTCAACCGACAAAAAGAGTCCGAAGGCCCCGAAATACGAAGCAATACATACCCCGTGCTCGTTCAGGCGGCTACGCTATATTGATGGCTTTGTCGGAGCTTGAATATGGCGAGTCGATTGGCAAAGACGAACTCTGTCGCCGTGCACAGCCATACTGTGACTCTTCTTTCGCCCTTGCTGGTAATGCGGGTGAGACGCACAAGTATACCGCATGGGCATCTATGAAGGCCATCAAGGAGCACAATTACGTTTCGCAAAGAGGGAGACCTGCGTTATTTTGCTTGACAGACTATGGATGGGATGCCGCAGATGCCATGAGGGATGTGGAAGATCAAACTGGAGGGCCACAGGCTGCTGTCAGCGCTGTGGTGACAACTGGGGGTGGAGGGAGAAGGGGGAAGGCGAAAGAGCGGGTGCATAGCGACCATACGATGGACACGTCAGTTGCAAGCGCCATTGCTGCTGGGAATGCATTTGCTAGTATGGGGAATAGACTTGGCGGTCCCTCGATGAGCCTTGAAGATGAAGAGGACGATGTTCTCGAAGCATTGCCACCCGTACCAAGGGTTCAAAAGGACCCACAATCGATTGTTCAGACGCTCCCACCCCGCTCACGAGTACGATCCGCCTCTGCCCAACCCATGAGCAACGCCCCCCCAGACGTTACAACACCCTTCACCCCTCACTACCTTAAAGCTGGCAATTTTAATATCCATCTAGTTCTCGATAACCGTGAAGTAGCCTCAAAAACCGACCGCGACTATATTCAACGCTCGTTCGAAAATGCCAATTGCCCGCCTGTGACAAGGGGGATGGAGCTTGGAGATGTAATGTGGGTTGCAAAAGGAAAGTTGTTCGAAAATGGCCAGGAAACAAATCAGGAGGTAGAGCTATCACTCGACTACGTTTGCGAACGAAAACGCCTAGATGACTTGGTATCTTCGATCAAAGATGGTAGATTTCATGAACAAAAGTTCAGACTGAAAAAATTCGTCGGGAATGTGACTTATATTATCGAATTACCCAAGGGGAAGATTGTAGCTAGCACACCACAGATGGCAGATGCGATCACCACGGCCGTGTATAGTACGCAGGTCGTAAATGGGTTCTTTGTGAAATTAAGCCCAAAGGTGGACGATACCGTAAGGTATCTAGCGAGGTTTACAAGGCTGCTAAAGCAGCTCTATGAAGGGAAAGATCTATACATGTACCCGGAGAACCTCGTGCAGGTTGAGACCTTTGCGAACCTAAAAACTCACTTGAAAGAGAAGGAACCGCATAAGGACTACTTTCTCAACTATACTAGTCTTGCAGCAATGGTGAGCAAGAGCGGGACCACTACGGTTCGGGATGTGTTTTTGAAAATGCTGATGTCTATAAGGGGAGTCAGCGGCGAGAAGGCATTCGAAATCCAAAAACACTTTAAAACACCAAGGGAGCTCCTAGAAAGATACGAAAGAGCTGGAGGGGAGGCTTTGGGGAAACCGATGATGATGAGTGTCGTGGATGTGGCAACTTGTGTGGATAGGAGGAAGATTAAGAGGGCCTTGAGTGAGAAGATTTGGGAAGTTTGGGGGAAGGAGTAATCGCCTTCTCTTTCATCTCTTCTCTTTACCTACTTTTTTGATACTAGCTTTTGAGCGGGCGTCTGGATGAATTGGAATCACAAGCTATAAAGTTAGGATTACAATACATTGATCATAAAATTCTTCCCTTGTGTACAGCTTTAAGTTTTGACAATCGTGATATCATGATAGCAGAATGCATGAGGATCCGACAGATGTTGGGGTTTGTGAGTTGCTTAGTCAGGCAGAGCTTGCTTCACAGCTTCCCTTGCTTTCCAACGCAGACGACGCCGGATTACGACGACCTCTTATCAACTGCTCCACCACCCCCATCTTCATCCCCAAATCCACCTTTCCCGCATCGATTTTAGCTTCCCAGGGAATCCAGCTACCCTGCTCACTGAACCAGCGACGCGTCTGAAAACTACCACCCCCTCCACCCACCATACAATACAATACTATCACAGCCCACCATGGCCACCCTCGAAGATCTAGAAGCTCTAGAGCAAGCCACCAATGCAGACGGCCCCAAGGATAAGGACGGTGACGCCTCGATGGGCGAAGCCGACTCTGGCGTCGATCCCGAAATCCTAACAGCCTCTACTCAAGATGTCATCAACCGTCGCCGTCTGCTTGAGAACGACCTACGCGTCATGCGGTCCGAATTCCAGCGCCTAACCCACGAAAAAGGCACTATGAACTCGCGAATCAAAGAGAACCTTGAGAAGATAGAGAACAACCGCATGTTACCATATCTCGTTGGAAACGTTGTTGAACTGTTAGATTTGGATCCTAACAGCGAGTTACCGGAAGATGGTGCAAATACCGATGTTGACGCTACACGGACGGGCAAGTCGGCAGTTATCAAGACTTCGACGAGACAGACCATCTTCCTACCGTTGATTGGTCTTGTAGATCCGGAGAAGCTGAAGCCAGGTGATTTGATTGGTGTTAATAAGGATAGCTACCTTGTCTTGGATACGTTACCTGCAGAGTATGACAGCAGAGTAAAAGCCATGGAGGTGGATGAGAAGCCTACTGAGGGGTATGGTGATATTGGTGGGTTAGATAAACAAATTATGGAGCTTGTGGAAGCTGTTGTCACACCGATGAAGGAAGCAGAGAGATTTAAGAAGATTGGTATCAAGGCGCCGAAGGGTACGTTATGCTTTTACATCTTTATCTGTTTCAATGGTCTTTACTAACTCTGTAAAACTACAGGTGCTTTGATGTATGGTCCTCCGGGAACAGGAAAGACACTTCTTGCCAGAGCCTGCGCTGCTCAATCCAACGCTACCTTCCTTAAACTCGCCGGTCCTCAGCTCGTTCAAATGTTCATTGGTGACGGTGCCAAGCTTGTTCGCGACGCATTCGCCCTCGCCAAAGAGAAGGCACCAGCAATCATCTTCATCGACGAACTTGACGCCGTTGGTACCAAACGTTTCGACTCTGAAAAATCTGGAGACAGAGAGGTGCAACGTACCATGTTGGAGCTATTGAACCAACTTGACGGTTTCGCCAGCGACGACAGAGTCAAGGTGCTTGCTGCGACAAATCGTGTCGATGTCCTTGACCCCGCTTTGTTGAGATCCGGTCGATTGGATAGAAAGATTGAGTTCCCGTTGCCGAATGAAGAGGCTAGAGCAAATATCATGCAGATCCATTCGAGAAAGATGACGGTTGATGAGGGTGTCAACTTCCAGGAGTTGGCTAGGAGTACGGATGAATTTAACGGTGCCATGTTGAAGAGCGTTTGTGTGGAGGCTGGTATGATCGCGCTGAGAGAAGGCAAGTCGAAGATTACACATGAGAACTATGTCGATGCTTTAGCAGAAGTTCAGAGCAAGAAGAAGCAAACAGTAAGCTGGCACCCTTCACCCAGTATAGGAGTAGTAGTGGTGAGTTCTCGAGCTAACCCGACGATAGGTAAACTTTTATGCATAATTGGGAGGATTTATGGTATTCTATTGCAGTGGTGGTGGATTCTGAAATATTCTAGCCCTGTATATAATATAGAATGCAGGCAGACTTGCGAAGCAGATAATCGCGGCCTTATCCAGACCAGGGCTTCTCTTTTTTCGTCGAACTAGTGGGGGTGTAGTACTATGATGTTTTAGCGCTTGGATGCCCCGCGATACCATTAGCTACAACGATTGAAATGGTTTTCCCGTAAACGTTTAAAATACAGACCCTCTAGCAAAGAAATCTGCCATCAGAGCGATTCAAGAACCATATTATAATATTAACCTCCACCCTTCAAAGTCCCACTGCGAATCCCTCGCCGATCCAAGCGTGGCCTCGAAGGGCCCTAAATATTAATCCGAACTAGTAGCCTCAGAGGTAATTCCTCAAAGATTACGGATGCCGAAAACAACCAAGTCTCCACCAGACGATATCGAGCCATATATATATGGTTGAAGGCCTTCTAAGTGCACTCAAAACATCTGCCAGTGTGGTTGTTCTATCGAATTTACATATAATCCTAGAGTCTTTTGGGTCCGTCTCCGTTTCGACCACCTCGCCCGCTTTCCTCATTATCATCGTATATATTCGAATAGATTTCAAGAACGAGACCAAATATTCTGGTAAGATGGATCCGAGGTAGCTAGATAGGTAAGTATGTATATTGGACATCGTCTATTACCTACCTACCTAAGACCCTCCCACGCCTAAGGTACTTGTCATAGAGTACCACCAATGGATAGTCATTCGAGGTTAGTAATTTAATATTTATGTCTTTGTAGAACTCCATATTGTACGTATGGATAACGTAAAACCACAAGCAGTTGCGTATCAGCCATTGATAATAGAGCCATCATCTCGTAGACTTCCACCTCAATCCCAATCCCCCAAACATATCATCAAAAAGGTCACAGCAGCTATTGCAATGGACACTTTGGATCGAGCCTTCATTACTCCCATATACTTCAGCCTCATAGCCGTCTACCTTATGCTCATCCCTCTCAAGCTATTTTTTGATACTCCATTCTGGTATCTCGCTGTCGGTTTTTTCTCCCCTCTGCTCGCCCAGATAGTGGTTTTGATCCTCGAAAGTTGATCTGAACCTCCTTCCATCATACATACTCTTTTCTTTCTTCTTCTTTTCCTTGTCCTTCTTCTCATCAAGAATCCAAATATTCCACCATCATCACGATATTCTCCTAAGAAAACCTAGAACCTTCCTCAAAGTTCGTATCTTCTTCAAAAACCTGCTTTTGGTATCGAACCAAAATGGAACCCAATCGTCAAATCCTACAAGGCCGTCCTTCAGTCCGTCCACGCAGCCATTCTGACCCATCCAGCGGTCGATCTGGGCAGCCACCAGTCTTTTCGAGCAGTGAAACTTCCACCCAGATAGTTCAACTCGGCCCGGTCGCTACTAAGTCAAACTATATGCGTGCCATGGCCGAAATGCACTCTATCACCGGTGGCTTGGAAGTTTCAGTTCAACCAGAAGCCGGGCCTATTGATGAAATCAGCAAACTGATGCAAAACTGCAGCATCACCAACAATCAACCACCAAAATTATTCAATCATACCTTCCTGGAGCATTTCAAGATCCCAATCAACGATTGGAGCCTCGGGTTAGTCACTACCGCGAGGCAGACCGGGGATTACAGTCAGCTAGCTAGGATTGTCGTTGTTCTCGAACACTTTAGCGGCACTCTAGGAACACAATAGCTAGATGATTGTGGGACCTGGAGGTTGTGTTTGGATTTAAAGGAACGTGAGGGTTTTGTTGTATCGCTTTGCAACTTCTGCAATGTCTTTCCTTTCCATGGTTGTGGTGTCATCGTCGATATCCACCTGACTTTATGGTTCTCAATGCATCCTTCTTAGACACATTGAATACTTCTCAACTGTCACCAACCTCCGTTATTTATGATAGTCAGGTCTTTTTCTTTCAACATGAATCGCACTCTTGTATTATATTCCTAGTTCTTGTACACGCAATTGTCAATATGCAACAACTGACTCTTGTTGTAATTGTGGAACGAACACAAATCTTAAGAATATAATATTTGTCTCTCAACTTCAAACTCCATGGCTTTGAGATCCTCAGTACTAAGATTCATATCTGATAAATCTGTTCCCATAATTTAAGTTTGCCTCATTCGGAGCAACCGTATTCAATACTAGTTAGAAAGGTACAAAGAAACCAAGCTAACCGTCTACATATGCATATGTTCAAGGGACCCGCGTACCTGAGACCTGACTCGTCGTCACCTCCTTTATCAAAATTCATGCCGCCATCCGAGATATATATGGTCGCATGTCTCCGAAGATGATCTGACGCTTCGACCCATGACCAGTGACTTTTTTATTGTTTGCGGGGTTTTTAGGCGTTCTGTCGGAATGGCCAAGTGATCGGCCCGACCTCTGGGCCATTCGAAACGTGGAGATCTTCGCGTACTTTGACAATAGAAGTAATTGACGAGCGCCAAAGGGTCAGATGGTACAGATATTGCTGTAGACGTGCCGGAAAGCTTGGAGGGATGCCATGCAAGGCTTGATCGGTCCCTTCAAAGCCTGGCAAAAATTAAAATATCAACGTTCAGATCAGATCTATCAGTTTACAAAGCCAAGTTTAAACGTTTAAGTGGCCCTATAATTGAATTTAATCGAGTTTGAACATAAGTACTCAACAAAATTCCTTATGTTGCATTTTGGGAGCGAATTTTGGCGTCTCCCACGTCAATATTAAATACCGAGGAGCTATACAATTCCTTTTTGAAAGAAAAATAAAAACCCTATAGTAAATCTAGCGAATATATCTCAACGATGCAAAGGCTGTCCAGGAAACTATCCGTAATCCCCTGGTTCCCAAAATGCGGGGGCGGAAAAAATACTCCGGAATACAGGCTTTTACTCGCTCGCCGGCACAATTTCTGGCTAAATGCAAGTAGTAAGAAGGAAGGTTAAATATATTTCTGGAAGCGGGTAGGATCCTCGTTTCGCATCTTGTCTGACTGTGGAGCGCCACACTTTATATAATACTGGATAGAAAAGAGCCTCTTTACATGATTGGATAGCATATCATTCATGGTATTTTAGTATTCCAGGGTTGACCGTGGGAAGACGTATATATGGTTAAAATGCATGATGACGCTGTATAAGACTCCTTAGCCGGCTTAGCTGAGCTTAGTTTCGGTGAGAAAGAGCCGAAGGAAGGGGGTGCCTGGTACTTCCATTCCAAGACTACTAGGTTTTTGATCTGATAGACATGAATTCGTTAAGAACGAGGCATCTTTTCATGAAGATCTTTATAGACCATATAGTTTCTTAAATTCTCGAGACGATGGAAGATTTTGTTTGATCTCGAGATGCGAGGCGTAAGATCTGGATGCTGTCTTCAAATACTGAACCCTAAATTTTATGTCGAAAAAAAACGAGAGTCAAGAAGTTCCAAACTTTGTATGGTAAGGCGTACCTCATCCGAAGTTGTACAGAAATTATACTTTTGAAGCGAGCGTCTACATACCCGTATTTGCAAACAACCGCAAGGCGAATAGATTAACGCCTCGTCTGTGTCCGGAATTGTCTTACAGCCGACACCCTAGAACTTGAAACAAAGCTTGACAGCGAGGACCACGCGTCTCACTTCCCCTTTCCACGATATCTTGCGCAGAACTCGGAGGATTTGGCCGTCGAATCCGCTTTCTAGATGATCTACATTTAAATATTTTCGGGGAGACATCTTAAGATCTAAAATTGTACAGATATGCAAGGATTTGGGGACAATGTGACCGTTCCTCAGGCCACTTCAACGTATCTATGGCCATTTGAACTTTGAACTCAGAAGACTTCAGGGCAAATGTCAAGAGCGAACTTGAGCGCGAATTTCTTAACCGTGACTCCGGATCGTCATCGGCCAGGAAGTCACAGACCATTTTTTCCGCCCCGCCATTCCGTAGATGCAAAATTTTTAAATCTCATATGCAGAAAAGTCTATCTGATATCCCGGATTGATATGATTCTGAATAAGGTTGCAAGTCTACCTTATGACTTATGAGACATGACCTCGAAAGTATATAAACTGTCACGTATTCCTCACAAAATTTTATTCTTTCACCATCACCAGCACAAAGCCTCATCGGGAATTAGGTATATCATTCCTCCTATATTGTTTATTTACACAGTACCTAGTTGTACTTTACCTCTTTCACAAACTACAAAGTTTTGAGAACTTTTCCCTTGTCTATCGCAGCCAAAGTCGCAAAAATGGTTTCCATATCGAAGCTCGCTTTCACTTCGACCTTCCTTTGGTCTTTGGTCGCTGCACAAAATGTCGGCACTCAGAAAGCTGAAAACCACCCTTCCATGTCCTTCGAGACTTGTGATGGATCCGGAGGTTGCTCTTCGCAGTCTGGAGAGGTTGTGATCGACTCTAACTGGCGTTGGGTTCACAATAACGGTAAGATTTCTATATACTAAATTTCCCTAGCCACGAATTGCTCGAGAATTGAGCAACGTTGCAACAGACCAGAGGAATAGGAACTAACAAAATGCCATTACGATATAGACGGGTATCAAAACTGCTACACAGGAAATTCCTGGTCTTCGGAATTTTGCCCAGATAATGTTTCCTGTGCTGAGAACTGCGCCATCGATGGTGCTGACTATGCGGCCACCTACGGAATCACTTCCAGTGGAGATGCATTAACGCTCAAGTTTGTCACTAAGAGTATGTTCTTAGCTCTCAATATTTGAACCCGCGATTCAAAGGTGCTGACAATTAGCAAAAGGCGAGGGTACCAACATTGGATCCCGTACATACCTCATGGACTCCTCATCCAGCTATAAGATGTTCGATCTCCTCGATAACGAATTCACATTTGACGTTGATGTTTCCAACCTTCCATGCGGTCTTAACGGTGCTTTGTACTTCGTATCCATGGACGCAGATGGTGGTATGTCCAAGTATCCTGGAAATAAGGCTGGTGCCAAGTACGGAACTGGGTATTGTGATGCTCAATGCCCAAGGGATCTCAAGTTTATCAACGGTGAGGTGAGTACAATCCTTCCGGGATTGCTCTTTTTGGTTTTCTACCTAATTGCTATATTAAATCCAGACAGCAAATCTAACATGATATTCATGAAATAGGCCAACGTCGAAGGTTGGGAAGCATCCTCCAATGACCAGAATGCCGGTGTTGGTGGCTACGGATCCTGCTGCCCCGAAATGGACATCTGGGAAGCCAACTCCATTTCGACCGCGTACACTCCTCACCCATGCTCTACCAACGACCAGCACCGTTGTGAGGGTGACGGCTGCGGTGGCACTTACTCCAACGATCGTTATGCCGGCACATGCGACGCTGACGGCTGCGATTTCAACTCCTACCGTCAAGGTGACACTGAATTCTATGGTCCCGGAAAGACCATTGATACTGGAAAGAAGTTTACCGTTGTCACTCAGTTCCTTACCGAGGGTGGCGAGCTCTCCGAAATCAAGCGTTTCTACGTCCAAGACGGAAACGTTGTTGAAAACTCTCAGTCCACTATCGACGGTGTATCCGGAAACTCCATTACCGACGCCTTCTGCGACGCTCAGAAGTCCGTTTTCGGCGATCACACTGGCTTCCAGGATAAGGGTGGCCTCAGGGCTATGGGCGATGCTATGAAGAACGGTATGGTCCTCGTCATGTCCCTCTGGGATGACCACCACGCAAACATGCTCTGGCTCGACTCTTCCTTCCCTGTTGATGAGGACCCTTCCAAGCCCGGTATTGCTCGTGGAACTTGCGATACTAGCTCTGGTGATCCTACCGATGTTGAGGCTTCCGTTCCAGATTCTTCGGTCACATACTCCAAGATCAGGTTCGGACCCATTGGTTCGACTTTTGACGGTCCTGCTGCTATCAAGCAGAGGATGGCCAGACGCAAGCGCGGCATGAAGAGACTGTCTTCGATGTCAGCTTAAATTGATGGCTCACATTACAGTCCTTCATTTTTGGAGGCTGGGCCTCAAGGGAGGTTAGATAGGTAAGAAGCCATTGGAAATGGAGATATCGACAAATGCCTTGACGGCTCGTCTCGACCAGATTGGAAACAAAATAGCCTTTCTTTTTATTCTATTCGCTTGTACGAAAATTATTGGTTCTCGGAATCACCACTGTTCATATTTTGATTTTGTTTTGGATTTGCGGATGTACATACATACATGCATTGCCCACGATTTTATGGTTGAACTGTATGATCTTGGGTTTGGGAATATGTGGGAAGGGGACACGGTCTTCTTTTCTAGATTTGTACATACGTCCCCTTTCGTTTTTGATAGAATAACCATACTATATATATCGACCGGATCATAGGGGTTAAACTTCGAACTGTTCTCAAGTTTGTCCCGTGAAAAAATGAGATAATCATTATCTTAATTTATTATTTAAGGGAGGAACTTTGGAGACAGTTGTAAACGCCAGTGTACTAATTTGATAAACTATTGAATAAGAGATATAGATCGATATCTAAGTTATGGGGAACACAGATGTATAATCCCTGGAATTCTTCCGAGACAAAATGAAGAAAAATTCTAACACTAATTCACGAATGTAACAAATCTCATCACACTTTTATATCATTAGATTCATGTCCTTGCACTGTTTTCATTCCATTCGTAAGTTATCGTAAAAGGATCTTGATGTGAAAGCTCGTACGTCGTCAATAGCCCACTTTTGATTGTTTATGACGGTCCACCTTGACAGACAAAACACGAATAGCTCGCTGGGATGGTGCTTGGATCATATGGCTCTACTAATCCACACCCCTTTCGAGAACCATCTGGCTTCTGTGGGTTGTTGGGTCCAAGCGCATTGGGGCAGTATAATACTGGGGCCTGTGCGGTCTCGCAGCGAATATGGCCACAGGCGTAACGAACAGCTGCGTAGTAGCACATCTTCGTCTCTTCAAGGTGGGTTTCCGGTTTGTATTTTAGGATAGTTATATTGTGTTCGTTGATATAGAGTGTGGCTTTAAACTAGCTGGAGCTTGTGGATTAACCAAGATTTTGAAACTGCAGAAGAAATAAAGTCAAGAGCAAGGGACTTTTTATAGCGCACCCAAAGAATAAATGATTTCCTTGGGTATACATATGGCGAGTGTACGAATATGAAGGTATTATTTTAAATGATAATCTGCTGTTTAGGCGTAATGAGTTTAGGTCACCGGATCTAATTGACGATATGCGAGGAAGTCTTGTTCTTTCAATTTATGATATTGACCCATAATACACATTTCTAGCATACAGAATTAACTGATCTCGAGACTGAGGTTGTTGTTAATGTTGTTGATATGTTAGATATAAAATTTGTTTGAGGGCCGAAATTGGTTTTACGACCTTGAGCCAGATAGAACATGAACCCATCGTGCTTAGAGGAAAAGTTTGAAACCTAATTTACGTAGGGCATATGATAGTTGGAGACAGAAATCATGAAGGTCGACCAATTGATAGCTTAAGAATAGCTCAAGTTCGCAATATTGTACAGTCGACTCTAAAATACTACTCATGGTTTGTCCTGTTCCCATGCAATGTTGTATCCTTTCAGCGCCATAGTAGATCTATAAAAGTTATCAAATCCAAGGCCTGAAAGATTAAATTTATAAAAGGGCAATCACTACCCTGTTTGTAGCCGACGGAGAGCAGCAAGCAACAAACAAAATACTGGGGTGTACATAAAATAAAAACCACGTCAAGCAAGCATCCGTAACTCCACTTGGGGGGTAAACCCTGGGGCAGTTAGTTCAATGGCTTCTCCTTCTGCCTTTGAAGTTCCATGCTCCCGTTCATAAGTCGAGATTGAATCTTGAAACACAAAGCCTTATAGGCACCAGTGGACTTAACAGTGATTTCATACACTAGATACTGCCCCATTAATTAATGCTGCGATTATATATTGTTCTTCTACCAACAGTCTATATTGCATAGTGTATATACCAAAGGGTGAGTTAAGAGATACAACCTAATTCGATCTCCCCATAGTTTCTTAATGTTATATCACCCCTGTCTAAAGTGGAAATTTCTTCCGGTATTGCATACTCATTTCCTAATTTTCTATGCTTGGCAATAAATACACTGTTGTTAGAAACCCCAGCGTATTAATCAGTCTTTCTAGTTATATACAGATCTAGAAACTATAGTACTAGCTTTTATGAGGTAGTTTTATGTTAGTGGAATCGGCATTGTACTAGATGCATATTATTTCTTTTGTAGTTTTAGGATCGTCTAGAAAAGTTAATGTTTGCAACATGATCAGAGGTACGCCAGAACTAACTACAGGCAGTATAGAACGGTTACCTTGATAAAGCTTGTTAATATAATGTTAGGTATCGTTGTGTAGTTGGAGCCAATTCAAAGGTTGTAAACCGGTTTATTGAGTTCGCGAATTCGATATCTCCGTCAACGTTGCTCGTTGCCCTGCACGGTGTATTAATAGAAGAGTTTTGAAGTTAATGTTGTTAATGAAGAGATGAGACAATTTAGACTGAAGAAACATGAGACGGTACAGTGGCCTTTGTCTGCAAGTCTGTGTGAAAACCAATTTGAGCTCGTGAAGTAGATACAGCGGCAATGGCAATTGAAATAATTTTTCGTGACAGCTTGCACAACTGTTCCTATAGGGCTAGCTCCTGTTACTTAGTAACAGTAATTAATATAACAACAGCCTACAGGATACTTGTACAGGAAAGCTTTGCAACCAATACGGGACCTAGCCCAGAACCAGGGTCTATTAATACTTGGGGCTCTAGTGCAGAGAAATGATGATATGAGAGGCAGGGACCAGGCTTCGTTACTGAACGGGACTATATATATCTCCTCGATCAAGGCTCACACATTAATATTAGGATATATAATTTACCCGGATTTCGGCAAGCTGCCTAATATTATAAGGAATATTCTCCAAAGTTGGTTGACTTTCAAACTCAATATCGAAACCTGCATGCGCGGTTTTCGGTCTTTGAGGCACATCATAACATCCATTGTTGTATTTTCTTCAAACTCCCAGGCCGGAGCCACGAATGATCCTTGAACCGCGCGAACGAGGCTCTGTAGCCTTCGGGCCAGCGAAGCCGATAGAAAATGAGTCCGTTTGTGCATTCCAAAATGGCTTGCATATGCATATCGAGCCGTCTGCTAATTGCGAAACTTGATTTAGAGTCGACTGCGCTCGAGATAATAGCCCGTGTGTGCAGTGAGCAAGCTCCGCCGTGGCGCCAGTTATCACTAATCAATTCACATACTAGATGGCAATCTGCAACAGTCTATAAGCAATCTTCGCAAAGACCGAAAGAATTGCTTCGGAATTTGAATCTTGATTATGATACTATCCCGATTCTCGGGAAAGATCTGCCGAAATTGAATACTCGATCCACAGCCTACAAAGATGGGACGAAAGAAAAACACCCGCACACACCCAAACAACTGAACCATCGCCAGTTCAGTGACTATGTCCGAATACAGGCAAGGATGGTACCTGTTCTGGACCCATGGCGTCGACCAATCACCAGCTGCGCCTCCACTCGACCCCAGCCAAGTCGTATCGTCCTCGGCCGATATTAATTTAAGCTTACCATCTACCGACTCCTCTTTTTCCAACCGAAGTTGAAACCGAAAGGGACTTTTAAAGCTCATAGTATCCATGTAAAACGAGAGGCTTCAGCTCTCTATCTTTAACTTCATCTGCGCATTTCCCCTCCGCATTTGTTGCCATCCTTCAAATTTCGAAAGTCGGTTGGACCCACAGCGACAAACTTCACCATGTCCGCCGCATACAACATCGCAGCGCCCCAAGCCCGCCCAGAATCTATCATCTCGGACGTTTCAGATGACGGTCCAGACACCGCCCAGCAGAAATCATCACGCGACTATGTTCCTTCGTTATCTTCCGACCAGTCATACGGATACCAGCGTCGTGCTGTGTCACCAACAGATGAGTACAGCCGTGATGCGAATCAGAAATACGTTTCACCATCGCAGGCAAGTGAGAACGGCGACACAAGTCTCAGTGAAGTTGCAGAGGCGTATAGAAACCATGCCATGATATCTGGTGGGCCTGATAGAGGCGGGAGAAGAACGCCAAGGGCATATGAGAGAGGTGAAGTTACCTCCGATGTGATCGAGGGGCTTCAGGATGAGATTGAGAGATTGAGAAAACTGCTGGATCAAGAGCAGTCTAAAAGAGAGGAGCTAAAGTCGCAGTTTAGTCGCTGGAAAGATGCGATGTGAGTATCTTTAGGCTTTATTTGCCTGGGGTTGATGATACCTTGCACTTGCAATTGCGGCTGACTTTGAGCTGAAAGAGCGCACAACACAAAAGCGTATATCAAGAATTCGCAAGTCAATCTTCACAAGAATCATATGCGAATTTACCCATTACTTAACGATGAGGGCGACTATCCAGATATGGTTGTTTTCCCGACGACCGTAGGAGCAATGATGAAAATGAACGGTTGGTAGATGTCATTTCTTTCTCTTCTTAGCACTTGCTGACTATTGTCTATAGAGGCGCACTTAACCCGGCTCGTTGTATTCTACGGGTTACAATCCGACCCAGGCATGGATTATTATGCGAAATATTGCGCTCTACGAGACCACCTTGGAATTGAGCCGTAGTATAGTTAACCAAATCGAGTTTGGTCGTCTATTGTCTAAACCCGTTTCCGATTTGTCTTCATTCCAGCGCGCGGCTCTGAATTTAACCTAGCATGCTTGTAGATACTCTATTCCCGTTATTAGTAAATTACAGGTTTGTATAACGTTCTATTACATTCGCTCCATTCCGTTCTATAATACTTTATTCAAAACAAAATCCGTATATCCCGCTTGCAGTTCGAAACGCCTACCCTGGGTATCAGCGAAGTCTCAAATCCATTCACCAATATACGACGCAAATTCCACCACCAACTACCTCACCGGGTTCCTAGCGACACGTGATGATACACAACCGATATCGAAATCCATGTTTGGCCGTGGGGCAAAGAGCCTAAGTGGAATTGTCAGTTTCTCCGGTTGGTCTTGGTCCATCTCAACTGAGACCGAGACCGATATCTCTCCGGTTGTATTCTTGAAGCAATTCTCTATGAAGTAGTTGCAAAGAATCCATCTTGTCGGTTGTCGCTCGTAGTTGATTCTATACTCTCGGTCCCCACTCCTCCATTCTCGCATCATATCGAGGAACTTCATTACAGATATCTTCTGGCCGGCGACGAGCCTCTGTGGCATAAAAAAGGTGCCATTAGAGCCCCGATATCTGGATGTGAATAGACTAATGACTATTGGCGTTCCGGATTCGGAGCATTGGAAAGCGGGATGGTTTCCAAGTCCCTTGATTTGAGGAAATTCCTTGCGAATCCGTGAAGACGTATCTACCGATGCTGGTTGTTCGTCATGTTTGATATCGAGATGTGCCCAAGTTAATCTGCTGAGATTTTCATCCCAGAGCAGAGTGTTCTGGTAGACTAGCGCTTTGTGGATCAGGGGGTTCTTATGTTTGTCATCCCAGCTGATTGTTGCAGACCTGCTCTTGTGGATTGGTTGGTAGAGCTTGCGACGATGGCATGGCCTCGATAACTCATTTCTCCAAGCCTTGCAAACTTGTGAAAGGAGGCCATGCTGAAACCATTCGCTGTCCTCGAGGATTTTGAATTGGAGCTCTAGGGGAAGTGTTGAAGTTAAGTGGCCATATGCTGGAGCTAAAGATTCGCTCATTTTTGCTTCGTACTTCAAGGCGCGAGCTAAGAATTGTTGAATTGGATTTCTTGGGGATGATCTTGAGAGCTAAGTAAGCAGCGAAGGTCGAAAAAACGAGGAATTGAAAAACATGGCAAAGAAAGAACGGGCGGCCGGATCGTCCGGACAAATGCCCACGCCGGGCCGGCGTACAGTTGGCGCTTTGGCCCAGCGATTTGAACAAGCTGGCACGTCTCAAAAACATAGGGGTTATCGGACATGTCCAGACCTGTCTAAACAGCTGCTAACTGGTAGCTCGCTAACCTTATCACTTTCGCATGGGGGGCTACATAATCATGGCGCCATTTGGCCCCACTATTTGTTGTATTCTCAAGATCCTTTGTGTTGTCTACAACGCCACAGACGTGTGGCTTTCTTCTGTGTGACAGGGAATATTTCCAGAATCAGACAATATAGCGCCGGGTTGCCAGAGACAATGCAGGCCCGCCAGCTTTACCATGGTTACCAGGTGGTACCATGTATTCGATATGACATTACCTTAACACAAGCTTTGGCCTAAATCATTTACTACGTACCTAGTACCTGTATATTGTTTATATCTGTGCTGAAGCTTAAGCTTTATCAGCAGGCACCAATTACATATTATGAGTCTATATATTTGAATTCACGTCCGAATTTAGACCTTCAAATGAAAATATTATCTTAATATAAAGCCATGCATAGAATTCGGGCCTCTAATTGACACTTAAGTTCGAAGTACATGAAGTATCGTGCAGGATTGGGATATATCGATATAATATGTATAGCGAAACATTATTTAAATGCAAATGCAATGAAATGCTACCCGCATCCCCAAACTCATATGATATTGGAAGCAAAGAAACCATATGCAGAATATAAATTAACGAGACCACATACGTATATACGCGTGTATAGGTGCACAGATGGCACAGGCCTGCAGGACTTGGCCAGGTTTGCTAGATGTGTTCGATCCACCCTAAGCTAAGGAGATCAATTTTGGGTTGCTGGATAATCAATGGTTCCTGATTTACATGTGCTTCAGGCGGAATAAGGTAACTTTATGAGACCCTTAGCGGACTAGTGGTTACATGTATACAGTAGCAGGGACCTGATCATACTTCTATATATAGTCAGTATTCTAGCTAGGAAGAAGTACCTAGGTGTAGATATATATATAGAGCCTCTGTTATCTTAAAAAAGAGAGAGCCGTTGAACTGAAAAAGGAGAATATATCATCTTGATATCTAGATACCTGGGCAATCGCTAAAGGAAATTCTGTTGACAGCCTCGATATGCCAACAGAATGATTTTGAAGAATACTAACAATATTAGTATGATAGTAGAAGAAAAACAAAAGTGCTTATAACCAACGTAGTTTGGTTACAGAAATGAGAAGTTAAGTACCTATATGTAGATACAAAAACAATTAACTTCTTTATTGTCATGATCTTAGTTATATCATGGACAAGTCCGGAGCCCCTGGACTAGTGAGTTGATAGACAGGACTATGGTTCAAAATACAACCATATCAACTCCACCTTGCATATGAAACGGGGACATACGTCCAAAGGAAAAAAAGAGAAAATAAATTTCTGAATGAAGGGGTATAACCAATATGTACCAGCCTTTTACCTTCAACCCTAGGTCTCATCGAACGTAAATCCAGTGGGAGAGCTAGACCGGGCAGCAACCCACTCCCCTTCTTTTTGAAAACGGCATCCAAGAATGCAAACGTTAGTCAGAATCTCCAAACAGTACCCGCCAGAACTCTTCCCTTCTTCTCCTCCTTCTTTTGTTTCGACCTTCTTCCAGCATCCCGTAAAAGGAACAGTAACTCGAGCCGCGATTTCCATGGATGAAGTATAAAGCCCGTAGTCAGTTTGGTTGGACTTTTTAAGAGTCTCGTCAAAGTCCGCCCAGTCGTAGCGATCCAAGAATAGTTCCATCCAATGGCGGACCGTTGGACATGGTTGAGCATCAAGGTCGAGCGATATGGGGCCTGGTGTGAACTTCCAATCCTGCAAGATCTCCACGAGTCCTTGGTACTTCTTGGATTCTGGATGCCTTGGATTAACAATGTAGACAGGTTGAGAGAGATAATGCGAGATGTCTCTTCTGCCGCATAAGAGTCCCGGAGAGGATGGAGAAATTGGCCTTGGCTCAATGTGTTTGACGACCCCGGCTAGAGCAGTATCAACGACCTCGCCGCTAGCTTCGAGCTTCTGGATTCTGTTTCTGACTCGAGCATTCACGAAATCGAGGCCGACGGTGATTCTATCCATCTTGATGACTTTCGGATCTATCCTGAATCTTGAGAAGATGAATATAGCCCGGTGGGTAAGCCAAAGAGATGGGTCCATGCATAGTCCGGGAGGTGGAGATTCCTTAGACTCCTCCTTCGGCTCGTTTTTGGGCTCTATCTTGGCTGGGACATATCTGCCGAGTGGAAGAGTGTTCTCGATGAAACCATACCATCTCTTGCAGACAAGCCGGAGAGTTGAGTATTGGCAAACATCGGCACACTCCAACAGATTGAGGTGTATCTCCGGTGGGAAATCCATGACAAAGAGCGGTTGCCCTTCACCTACGATTGGCGAGCTAGTGGGAAGATTTGCCTCCATCGGACACGAGATCTTGGAGCGTGCTTTAGTTAGCCACACTACTCTGTCAGCTATAGTTAAAAGCCATTCAGTTGCACGGACCTTAAGTATATTTTAGATCTAATTGGAGGAAGACAGAATTAATGTGAGGTTGTCACGGGAGCAGATATATAAATCTGATTTGAGTTCAATATTATTGAAGAATAGACAAATTGAAATAGATAAAAATAAGAAAGTGGTGAAGAGCGTGAAGGTTGGAGAGTTAGATAGAGTTAGAGGCGCTGCAGTGCGTGCGATGAACTAGTCACGGATAGATGAATTGGTTTAAGAAGAGGAACCCTACAGAAACCGTTTACATAGTAGTTTCTTTTGCTTGCAATTACTAAGCATGCCGAGGGAAAATTAGAATACACACTTGCCTTGCACGCTCGACATATACCCAGAGCGGGCGGCCTCAGGTCACGGGAGCTGATACTGCACGCAACAAGGAGTCCTAGTCCAATACCTCCCGTCACTCTCAAGGCCCTCCTTCGAAACCTCTAAATCCCCTCATTGGTTCGGGTCTCAGCCTTCTTGTCCACCTTTGTCCCTCCTCCTAACCCCCTATTATATTAGTCACATGCTATTGATTAGTATACTACTCTAACAGGAAATTACAATCGTAAAAACCGAATAGCTAGGTCCCATTCCACTAAATTCTCCTTTTGCAGCGGTCTCTATCTCATCAGACAGACGAATCAATGGAAAAGTGATTGTATATATATCCCAAATTATGTTAAAATGAACATCACTCCAACACAACTTTACTGCAGCCGTGTGGTATTTCTGTGCTCGTGTAACAGTTGCAGGACCTGCGTGGTTTCAAGGCCAAGCTTAGGGTGACACGATTTGATTTGCACGTTGCAATATTTGATTGAACTTAAATTCTTTAAAAGGGTGATATAGATATAGACGTATAGACATTATGATATAATAATATTACAATAGCTAGTCTTGTCTTAATATGGACTCGACTATATTTACGGTTCAAAGATTTTTTTAGATACGAGCCAAAGCTGCAAAGTCAACAAAAACACCTCATCCATACCTTTCCGTATTCCTTACCACCCATTTGCAATCAACACCGCCGCTCTTTCAGCAATACCATAAACGGCTGTCTGGATGTGCGCAGAAATCTGCACAGGGATAACAGACGCATCAACAATCCTCAGGTTAGTGGTTCCATAAACCTTGAGGTTGCAGTCCACAACTCCATTTTGTGCCTTTGGTAACATAGCACAGCTACCAACAGGATGCCACAGTGTTGATACCGTATCTTTAGCATAGGCGAGGATTTGGGCATCGGTAAAGACAGAGCTGCCCGGCTCGTATTCTTTAACAAGGATATCTTTGAGAGGTGCGGTGTTTGCAACCCTTCGAAGGTATTTTACGATTTGCTTGATTGCTTCGGTGTCGTAGGAATTTGAGAAGTAGTTTGGATCAATCACTGGTGGATTGGACGGGTTTGTGGTATCAATATGGACACTACCCTTAGAGAAGGAATGCTGGAGGATACCTAATAAGGTGACGTATTGATTTCCATACTCGGCAGAGCCCGCAGCGGGGTAGCCTTTGGTACCGGTGTACCCATCAGCGAAGAGGACTTCAAGCTGAGGGATCCCAGCTTTAACAGCTTCGGAAGTGAGGTGGTACAATTTAGTTTGATCAACAACGTTGCCTGGGGTTGCAGAATTGGAAGCATGGTAATTCATGATGTTGTCTGAGCCGAGTATTTGTTTCCAATTGAGAAAAGCGAAGTTGCTGCCATTGTAGTCGAAAGCAGAAGGTTGGTTTGATTGATAACGAGCCATCTGTTCGGCAGCGTATGTAGAGTTTGTGTTTAGGGAGTCGAAGGAGGTGAAGCCCGGCTTCAATTGGTAGGCGACACTGACGTAGACGTGATCTTGAAGATTTTCACCTACGCCCGGAAGGTTGATGATGGTTTTTATCCCTGCTTTAGCGAGAAGGGAGCTTTGACCGATGCCCGAGGTTTCGAGAATCTGGGGCGATTGGAAAGCTCCAGCAGATAGAATGACCTCCTTGGTTGCGGTGTATACAGTACCGTCCTCAAGTGTGACACTAGTTGCCTGTTGTCCCTTGCTGGTAGACTTCAAATTGACCTTCCGCACAGTTGCATCTGTAACGATATGGATATTGGAACCAGCAATCGACAAGTATTCTGGGGCCCACGATCTTGTGTAGTTTGAGTCCCGAATATTGCTTGGATGATAGACCGCACCGATTGGGTTTCCATTCAGGGATTCCAAGTTCGTAGGGACCCCAAGACTGTTCATAGTCGGAATGAACGGGAGCTGCTGAGGTGGTTGTATCCGATCTACGGTTGTTTGAATTGGGCCACCCTTTCCAACTCCGGTATTCAAGCCAAAAATATTGCTTGTTTTAACGTAGTTCTCGGCCTTCAACATGTATTTAATCATACTGCCCCATCCCCACCCGTGGTTTCCGAGGTCTCCCCAGGCGTCATATTCGGCTTTTGCAGCACGATCCCAGACCATGAAGTTTAGAGCAGATGTGCCACCGAGCACACGCCCCCTACTCTGGCCAATGACCCGGTTACCTATATTTTCTTGCGGGGTTGTGAGGAATTTCCAGTCGTAAGGTCCAAAAAGAGTAGAGCCTTTAAGCCCAGGAATGCTGATTCCTGGCTCATTGGTGGGGGGCGCCGGACCGGCTTCGAGAATTAGGATTCTGGTATCTGGAAGTTTTTGTCCTAGTCTTGTCGCCAATGCCAGGCCAGCTGTGCCGCCACCTATAACTATCTAAGACATAAATACGGTAAGTTAGACTGTGCGCATGGTAGAACGAAGCCACATATCAGTATGAGTTGACTGAAAGGAAGACTTACAAAGTCGTAAGAGGTGGTAGATGCATCTTGTCGAGAACGGATTGTCGCCGCGGCCGAGTCTCCTGGCAGCAGCGACAATACCAGTACAAAAACAGAAGTGAAGAGCATATCTTATTAGTCTCTTCCCTCAGGTGTGGGGAATCGACAACTATAAATCCCCTAGTGGAACCCGTACGTCAAGGCGACACTAAAAATGCTCTCTTGAAACTAGTACTTTCGAAATGGCGACCGAAACGAACCGTAATATAGTTAACAGGATAGAGAGCGACGCTCTCAAATTGCGAAAAAAAAGATGTAAATAAATATACAGCTCCTGCCTTTCCACGTTTCCGGTAGGCCGGCTGTTCGAGGGTTTTATAATCAAAAAGGAACAACGACACGGCAGGAGACAAGAAGGCGGGTTCGTCTCCTTGCTTTATGTGTGTTCCTTCTGAATGAGTTCATTCTATTCCGGTTCCTCGCATGGCCATGGGTAACCTACCCATTGGTTGCGCCAATCTCCCAAGGCACGTATAAAAAGAACCAAGTCCTGGCATTTTAGGCCGAATTCAAAGCGACTCCTTACTATGTACCTACACCTACGCCCAAACGCGAGGGTATTAATAAAGGATGCCTGTTGGTCGGACTCCTGCGTGGATTATATCATGCATGTCGGCATAAGGTTTTCGAAAGTTCTTTCGCCTGGAAGATATCAACATCGAACGCCTTTGAATTTAACCGGTAATATTCCCTAAAATTGAGGGCTGCAACTGGGATCGGCGTGGTTAGAGATGCACTACCTGTCTAAGGCACGGGCGTCTTTTAAAGCTTTTCACCAATAGGCGCATCAAGTTGTTCCGCTGCATGCAGGTCGTGAAATCCAGGTCCTTGGCCGCGAAGCCACATGGTTTTGGAAGAAGCTGCCCTTGCTTCGATTGGTAAGATATCATGCTATCGGAACGTGATCTAGATCACACTTTTGGGGTATTGTTCAATAGTATCGGCTCATGTTATCGGCGATATCGACGGAATAGCTATAGTGGTAAATTGAATTGAATACAAAGCGGCCTGGTGTTTCTGTCGGGGTGTACAAGATTGGCGAGCCACCGAGCTTTCTTTTCCGACTTCCCCGCAGATTTTACGGGATTTTAAAGCGGGTGCACATCGATCGCGCGATCCACTTCGGGACCACCAGGATAAATCTCACTCTGGCCGCAATACGTACCATTCGAGAGATTAATATCGCCCTTTAGATTTAGCCAGGCCGTGAAGCCGGATAAAAGGTGGCCCAAGAGTGCTATGTATAACCACGGCCTAACAGGCACCTAGTGTAAGTCCTAGACACTTTTTTCCATCTCCATTCGCATTGCAAATAGACAGCAGTCGTCCCCACCCCTAAAACGTGTGTCCGTGTAGACCCCAAATCATGAGGCTCTAGGCCAAAGTTGTGGATATAACTTTCAAAGCTTAGTTGAGTCGAGGCGCTATGTGGCAGCCGGTTGGGTGGTCACCGTGCCATCCCGTGGCTCTGACCTAGGGCCTACGGTGATAGGGCGGCTTGGCCAATGGCATGGCAGGCCATATGCAAGGAACGCGCCAAACAGCGCAAACCCTGTTGTTCGCCAGTCGGCCTCCATCTGCAAATCATCCTCATCCGAGCCGCTAGAACTTGCTCCATCCCATCAACCTCCTGCTCCTCATCCTCCTCCTCCTCCTCCTCACCAACATCATCATCATTATAACTTCCCTATCATCATCTCGACCACTTCGATCACCTTTGCCATCCATACGGCAGCAGACACCAGGTTACCACGAGTATTTCTACCCCTGGTACCTGAGAACACGTCCTCTCAAGGACAAATCGGCGGCCCCATCCTGTGGTGGGTGCCGTAAAACGGATATATATCGCATCCATAACCGAAGGCGCGATGGGAGGAGCAACTAGGCCTCGCCGCTCTACGCGGCAGGAAGAGAGGGAGAAGGAGAAGGAGAAGGAGAAGCAACCAAGTATGTCTCAACTTCCTGTCGTTTAATTCTCTTTGACATCAGCATTTCAATAGTGATGAAAGGAAGGACCCAAGATGAAAAGACCTCGACCAGTCGCGTTTGAGGTACTTCAGCGTCAATTCGGGGATCGGATTTAGAGGGGAAGGAGAAGGATGAAGACGAGGAAGGGAAGAAGGGAGAACAAAAAAGGAAGATAGCTGGCAGTGGAGAGTCCCCATCGAACGAATCCGGATAGTTGGATGAATGAACGGTGATGGGACGGAGGGTTGGGTTGGCAGACCGATGGGAAGAAGTCTTTGTTCACTGGGAGAACTACCAGACTGCGCAACAACCCAGAGGCATCAACCCGACTGACCTCACACGCCTGCTCTCTTTCTTTCTCTTGCTTGCTTCCTTCCTCCATCTCTTTTTATCCTCACACCTACTTCCACCTCCCCATTGACACGTCCTATCTTCACCAACTTCACCATCACTATCCCATCACCCCCACCACCACCTCCATACCCCCCTTACCCTTGCTCCCCCTCTTTCATCACACCGTCAGGTAAACTCTCTTTCAGTTGTCAATCTAACCTCCCACTCATCGGATAGCTCCTCTCCCTGAAGCTCTAAGCAACGACGAAGAAGACGAGGAAGAGGACCCTGCTGAGCAATCGGACGTCTCCGAGGAACCAGTGGTAGAACAACCCACAAGACGTCGAGGCAGACCTCCGAGGAAAGCTACAGCCATCGAGCCTCCTCCCATCGACGACTTCGACGAGGCAGATACTCCAGGCCCAGGTTCCCCCACTGCATCAGACTCGCCGTCAAACATGCCACAAAAACGACGAGGAAGAGGCAGACCCTCGAGCTCCGGCCTTGGTGGCAGGAGCCGAGGTGCCCGTGGTGGGCCATCTCACACAACAAGCGTTCCCAGCGACAAATTTGGGAACGAACAGCAGGTCAAAAACAACGAAATTGACCTTCCTGAGGACCCTGCCGGGGAACTCAAGGTCGATAAGGATGGAAACCTTCTCGGCGGCCGCCAATACCGTTGCCGCACCTTCACAATGATGGACCGTGGAGATCAACTCTACATGTTGTCCACCGAGCCCGCCCGTTGCTCCGGGTTCCGAGATTCCTACCTGTTCTTCCAGAGACATAAGCAGCTTTACAAAATCATTTGTAACGACGAAGAGAAGTTTGATCTCATCAGGAGGAATATTATTCCTCATTCGTATAAAGGTCGAGCTATCGGCGTCTGCACAGCCCGCTCCGTCTTCCGCGAGTTCGGGGCTCGTATGATTGTTGGGGGCAGGAGGGTCACGGATGACTACTACGAAAACGCCGCGAGATTACGTGGAGACAAGGAAGGTGAAATCGCTGATCCAGATGACCGACTACCTCCACCAGGCGTCCCATACAACCAGAACCAATATGTCGCCTGGCATGGAGCTAGCTCTGTTTATCATCAAACCGCTCCTGCTGTGATTGAAACCAAGACCTCAAGCGCCGGAGGCCTCCTCACAGTGAACAACAAGAAGAAGAAGCTCACTGAACACAATTGGATGACTGAGGTCGCCCAGAATACAGCGTGAGTGCTTCACCAGCACGATCCAATGTCCGACCTAGTTGCTAACCTAAGTATCATAGTGACTACAACAAGCTTCTCACAGAGCATCGTATTGCTCGTACTCACCCTTCCATTTACGAACCACATACTAACCAAAATCACCTCCCGAGCATCTTTCAACCCACCGCTGCTAAATTTGAGAAGGCTTCAGACTCCATGATGCCACCCGATCAATTTTACAGCCCATCTGTTCCTCCTGAAAAGCGGAAGTACCCTCGTGGTGCGTCCGCCACTAGTGAACTCTTCACGGTTGCTCCCCCCGTCTCCATGCCTCTCTCAACCCGTGACTACGCGCAGGGCAGGGGGATCATGTTCATCGACCCGTCTATCTACGCGGATCAACCCCCTGAGATCAAGAATGCTATTCTTGCGCAAGTCGAGGCCGAAAAAGCACATCTCGCTCAATTAGGGATCACGCCGCTCCTTTCCAACTAGTCTCAGGATGGAACGCGCCCGCGCCCTTCGTCCCACGGACCTCACTCTATCAAAGACTCATTCGCCCAATCGTCAGTCTTGTTTCCAAAAATTACGCAACATAATAAATCCCTGGATAGCAACGAAAGCGACCTGGAATTCGAATATGAATACGAATATGTATATGAATGGGAATCGGAATCGGAATCGGAATCGGGATCGGAATCAACAGAGCTTGAATCTGGTATCACGGTCGAAGGGCAAGGGAGCGAGGGGAGCGAGGGGAGCGAAGATTCAGACGATGCTGGGGTTACTTCCGACCTCATCTAGTCTTCTGCGACCCGAACTACTTCACCTTCCCCCTTTACTTTCTAGGGGCTATCTTCTTACAATTCTTTTCAAGCACATGCTTCCCAAACCCATCACGATATTTTTTAATTAATTCATGTATTCCTAAACGATGACATGAGCAACGATTCATGAAAAATTCTTTTCGTTTGTTCACCTTTCCAAGCGGGTTATCCACAACCCCAACGATACAAGGCCCTATATCCATCCAACCGCTCGTCGCCCCCTAAAGCACGAACTTTTCATTTTCATTTGAATCTGGCCTTGTCTCTCTAGTTAGTATTTAGCTAACCCCGAAACATCATCCTTTAAAACAAAACCAAAAAAAAAAAAAAAGTTTACCAAAATCACGTACTCCATACATGCCATAAATCGTGAACCCACTGTGCCACAGTAATTGATACCTTGACAGAATCGCCTTCTAGGAGTATATGGTTGTCTCGTAAACCAGCCTGCCCGGTCCCTGGTGGGGCAATAGTATATGGTCACGCACATATACAAATGCTTCAAGGGCAAATATCATTGTAAGCACTTGGATAAATCCTGTATGGTCTCCATAATCATTTAAACTAGTAGCTGTGGGAACTTTATTTTAGGATCAACTGAACTTGCGCGACATCATGTGCAGTTGCTCGTGAGTGCGCCGAGAAAGTAACTACAAAGTCACCACCTTCGAACTCGATGCTATATGCCGACCGTGTCCATTCTATCGTTCTGTGAAACCCCGGGGTATCCTGCATTGCTAATATCACCAATTGACGACTAATGGGCCCGGCAGAGACGTAAAACCAAGTATCCTATATGCCCCAATTTCATTAGTGAGTTTTCATATATATATCATTGAACTGCTGAAAGCACACTGAAATGACCGAACCTTGTCTATTTCGTAGAGCCCCCATAAGAAGGAAAGCTCCAGCGTCCCAGGCTGTAAGCCCGTGACCACTTGTGTAAGATTACAACTCTTCCCACCACTCAGATCATCAGCCGTATTTCGAGCAATACTATTATTCCCATTGTTCAACTTTTCTAACGGAGAGAAACCAACTGTTGAGGGATCCTTCTGCACCCGCCAGCAACCGTCGTCATTGGTCCAGCCATCGAAGTTACCGGACTTAAAGTCTCCGTTTTTGAGTAAAGAGGACGAGGAGATTGGTTCGTCGAATCCTGGGAAGGGAGTTGGAGAGATATCGGATATTCCACTGGCATTGATTATAGAATATGTTGCGGTTGTGGGATAGGCATCTTCGGAACCATCTGTGCCCCGTAAGGTATCGATTTCTGAGATAGTACTAGTGCCAGTGGAAGTTGGACGATTCCCATCAGTGGTCGTGGCATCCGGTCCACGAGTCGGAGTAGAAGTATCACCAGAACTCGACGATGTTCGAACAGGAGTAAATGCTCCAGTATTACTCAAGTCTGAGCTCGAGGTTTGCGACGACGTTTCTGGAGAACTATTCCCACTATTTTTGCTTCTCAACCCGCCCACCAATCCACCCACGAGTGCGCCGATGATAACCACCACTACAACCACAATTATTATTATTGTTTTTCGAGTAAACGTGAATGTCTTCTTGGATTTTTCGTCCGGATAACTTATATTCGGCGGCTGGTAGTGTTGTTGTGTCGGATCCAACATCCCTGCTCCCATGGGCGTCTCATCTTGAATGCCACCGATGGGAGGTGGCGGCGGGCCGGCTGCATAGCTGCGAGGGGAGAGTGTCATTTTTGGAAAATGTTATAACACTATTTTGTTCCTGATGAATATATACAGATCCCCTAAGGAGAGGAGAGGAAAGAAAAGAAAGACAGATCAAACCCTCCGGAGTAGAAGGGGACTGGGGGAAGTGACAATGGGGCTTTTAAACTTCATAACCCTGGGACGGGTAAATATCGCCATCTCGGACGAGCATGTTAGTAGCCAGCATGTTTAGGAAGAAGGACACCGGCAACTTGGCAATCCGGGAAGCCATGCGCATGCGTGTGGACGTCGCAATTATCGGTACTGGGCATAACACGCATATTATTAGCCTTACACTCCCCGTATGTAAATGTATCCTCTGATTTGCGTAGGAGTAACGCGGCGGGTCAATGCGGAGACGATGTCAGGCGACCCGTTGTTTGCTCATGAATTGTAGGAGATCGAGCGGTTTAAATTCGATTTGGGGGAAGGTGGGTCGTCGCTGGTCTGTTAATTTGTCAACGTTTTCTTCTCGTATCCTGGGTGCCAAGGTGGTGGTGCGAACAGCGGGATTTGAAGCTTTAGCCAAGATTGAAGCATGCATGGTATGATTGATTCATGATTGCGGGCATGATATCGCGATAGTTATGTAGTAGCCATGACCAAGTTATAATCCTGCATCTCATATCTACCTAGGTATTGACCATAGCTAGGAGAGGAAGAGATTGAACATCAGCATGCATATGCATATTTTCGAAGGTCTCGAGATAGAAGCCGCTCTGCAATTGCAACCAAGACGATCCAACACAAAACATTGTGGTATTTTGCAGCTGCACCCAAATAGTCTGACGAGGTAAGCTCTTATCGATCTCATAAGTCTCAACTTTAGGCGTAAGACTCTAACTTACCTAAAGTTGGTTCAAAAGTTAGTTCAAACACCGAATTCTTTCAGTTATTAATTTATCATTTTCTGACTTGCCTTTTTAATGGTTTGTTCTGATCACTCGTTCTCTCGTTTGTACAGTTATTCTAGAATTCTTCTACTCGAATCCTACAATCTAAAGTTCTATTTGGTTTGTATATAGAATTAATCGAATTAATAGAATTAAACCATCGAGAAAAAATCAATAATATATGTTTTACCCCTACTTCAAACTTCTAGGATCAAGAAGTACCAAATTCGAGCAATGAGACCCTGATTTGTAGCCATCCCTAAGTTATAGTCAATTCAGTAAATTCAAACAAAGAAATTAACCTTCGAGATTTTCGTTTCTAGTCTACAACTTCACATTCTTAAATCAAATGTTGTCAAAGGAAGCCGTCTTGAATATCCTTGCATTCGATTCACCTCGACATTGATCCGTGAGAGTGTATATATATTTCGAGGATTCTTTCGTAGAGCTCAATTTTCCTCTCACTACAATTATATTCATATCAGACTATATATCAACCCTATGATTACTAGATCGTATATCTCAGCACGCTTCCTTAAATACGCTTACGATCTAGAACCTTAAGCTTTTAGTCTAAACCCCTATCCTCGACCTTTTAATATGGTGAGAGCGAGTGCAATCACCAAATGCAAACGAAGGGCTCCAATCCAAATACCCTATGGCTCGGGGTATATAATCGAATCCGCCCAATATGGCAAGCCCGATATCTTCAAGAAAATTGTATACAAATCCATGCTGCCGGAAAACCCATCGGTAACAGCTTACTACATAGATTACCCATCGCTCCAAGAGCACCGGCTCGGCGAACCGTCCCGCTCAACGGCCATGCGTTGGAGGTTTCAGGAACTCACTTTCAGAATATACACTAGTGTAAATGGGGAATATGAGGTCGCGATGCCGAATGTTACAGCCAATGATGATGATACACTGGATGCTTTGGTTAACGACATTATAGGTATGTTTTAATAGTCTGATAAACCCCTTATAGATACTGGGCCCCATGCTAATTTTGTGGCATCTCCCGTGTACGTGTGCCTGCACGGATAGTTGAATTCCACGGCTTGGAGGACGCTGGTAACGGCGAGAATTCTTGGGGATCCCTCCCCCGTGAAGAAGGATTTTCATTCGACTTACAATACGAAGGATCCTCACTTTTTCAAATGATAAATACTGATAATAGGCAGTTCGGGCAAAGAATACAGCTCAGGTCAGTTTTTCGTCGAAACCCCCATAATGTATATGAATTACTTTGGAAGGTAAGTGGTTTCCCTTATGCATACTTGGAGTTTTGGACAATCCATGAGACTAGACTTGGCAATTGGGTTTTTGCTAATCAATTGCAATTGTGTATCGGCTTCAGGAGTATGATGCTCGAGGCAGAGAATGTAAAAATACGTTCTTTGGGGACAAATTGTATCATATAATCGACCTTACAAGCGAAACAGATGAAGATGAAAGTGAATGTGAAAATGAAGATGAAGATGAAGATGAAGATGAAGCAGATACAAATGATCCCCCACAAACTCCAGGCCCGCCTGCCGCTGGCGATAATATTATCTCGCTCCTATCGTCGCCCCCAAACCCAAGCGCTTATCCCACGGCCCTCGACCAACAGTAATCCTCCCGCCAAAAGAATAGGGTTTCCATGCTTTCAAAACGCCAACCATTTCATGAAAACGAAACAGCGAAACAAAGATTGATCAAACTTTGGTAAACCGCCACCAAACATCCGACGTCCCGACCATAGCTAGCGCGCCAGAACTATCCCTCCCTACTGGCTTTAATGCGTTTCCATCCTTCATTTTCAACCGGAATCCATGCTCCTCTAGCTTTGTCACCATAAACATCTCGCTATATTGTAGAGTCCGGGCCGAGCAGCGTAAAGTGGCCGGGGAGGGCCAAGGACTATACCCAAGGAAGAGAGTCGTTTGGCCTGTCTCAACCGTGAACCCGAGCCACCCATCTGCTTCATGGCAACCCCATCGCTGAGTCATGAGACCTTTCTGGTAGTCGGACATCATGACTCCTTCATCGCCATTGTGGGTAAGTGCCTTGGAGGAATTTGCTTCTGAAATGATGTATGTTGACCCAGCTAGCGGAACACCATCGCCACTTAGACCGGCTCTCCGATAGGGTGGCTCTGGAGGAGGTGCCACGGTCGGTACCACGGGCGGCGGTTTAGTGAACGTAAGAGTGGACGTAAGAGTGATAGTGGGAACAGGAAGTGGTGGAACGGCTACAGCATGCAGCCGAGTTAGTCGTTACATATATAATCTACTATTGTTTTTGAATGCCGGGCGTCGCAGCATCAAACCACAAGAACCCTAACGGCGCAAAGCCAAGGCAAAGGATATACTTACTAGTCGGAAGCTGTGACTTACCGGGCGTGTTTTTCACAGCTGAGATTATACCAGGTAGAAAAAACAGAGTCGAAAAAATCATTATAGTCACAGCCCAGCATGCTGTTCCGAGGAAAGAGTAGCGCGCGCATCTACAACATTCGCCGGGCCTTGCTTCCGATCTAGCCTCGAGACTAGCTTGAGAGGGAAGGGATGAATTTGAAGAAGGAGGGGTCCAGACACTTGTGTATGAAGGAGGGCGTTCTAGTAACGGGTCATATTCCGTACCCATCGAGCTCGATGCAGATGCTCTGACTGGCCCTCTGGTCCTGTTCGGCTGCCCATATCTATTGTCACGAGCCATTTTCGAAGTGAACAATGAATGAAACCCGTGGTATAAGGTTTCGCTATGGTTTTTTCTGACGGTATAAAAGGCCTGGAAGGTCGTATATATGAAGCCCCGCCGCGTGGTCGAACGGTCGGCTGTGGTATTTGCAAGACCGATGGGTAAAACAATGGCACGCCATGTTAACCGCCTGTCCTATGTGGCGCCACACACAAGCGAGAAAATGCAACAAGTTGACTTCAGGCACGATTTGATTCGATTCTACACCATATAAGATGTTCTTTTACACAGGGAAAGGGTCGGAAATCCTTTGCCAATAATTATAGATATCTCGAAAAGTACCCAAGGCATATCTATATGCCGGTTTATCATCGTTATGAAGGTGCAGATACCTCAAAACATATTGAGCAGCGTTTTTAGGACGAATCCTAGTACAAGAAGAAAGAGCCGCCAGCACTCCTCAAGTACTCTCAGCGATACAGTACGCACCACCAGTGATATATCACCTAGCGCTGGAAGTACACTAAGAAGCGGATTCGGATGCTGTACTTTTGTAAACCTCCACCAGACCTCAGGGCTCCCGCGTCTAACTCTTGACAACGTTCCTCCTCCACTCTAACTGAGCGGTTCTAATCCATACCCATTCCTCAGTCGCAACTGAAACCCACCCTTGGGTCGACTCCTTGCCTCAAACTGCTCATTGAAGCGTGCGGATGGGGCATTGCAATATAAGTTGGCATCTAACGGCCATGGTTTGTAACCTAGGTAGACCGGTGACCCGTATGTTGCGGTATGGCCGAATGAGAGCCAACCGTCCGCCTCATAACAAGTCCATATTTGGTTCACGTCACCGAGCCAATACCTAGTTAATTTGACATTTCCGTTCTCGGTGAACGTCAAGGCTTTTGTTGAATCCCCTTCGGTGATAATGTACATCGAGCCCGGCCAAGGTGAATCGAGGCCGGATAATATGCCTTGCCTAGACTTACTCCAATTGCAGCTATCTTGGAGAAGGGATACGAAGGTGGGGGCACCAATGATGCAAAGGATGCAAAAGACAACGGGTATCAGCCTCCAACAAAGACGATAACGCCTACAAGAAGAGCATTCAGAAGGCTGACGGGTTGGGCGACGACTATGACTGGAACTGGAACTGGAACTGGAACTGGAGCTAGAATGACGACGGTCTCGGCGAGAATCAGGACTTCTAGCCGATGCTCCCGTTTCGAAATGCAAGCTAGTCGGTGTATTAATTGCGGTGTCCGAGTCTCCGAGCGCTGTCCCCGCCGGGAAGGATGAGCTAGTCGGTGTGTTAATTGTAGTATCCGTTGTAGTCGAGTAGGAGGCCGATCCCGACCGGCGTCGTGCACGTGCCCAGACGTCATGAAGCCGATATAAGTTGTCGCTTTGACCTTCGGAAGTCGAATCCATATATAATTAATTTAATCAATGGTAATAACACAATAGACTCGAAAATTCTAGAAGTTTATAGCCGAATAAAAGTTGAAGATGTCAATATTCCAAGTTGACGTCTGTGGTTGCTTATGGGGATGCTCGAGTATTTGGATTCAAATCATGCCTGAAGTTGAAAACGGCTGGTGGGACGTTCAGATAATTCGACAGTGCAGCCGACGCGATAGCGCCCTGTGGAACCACATGTCACGGCACATACCAATACCTCAGTACTTGGCCAGCTCCATGGGTCTATACTGGGTGATTTACGGTCTAGCTCTTGATAATTAATTATGGCTCGTAGAGGACAGTGTATCATATACGCGTAAAAATACGTATGATATGATCCTCTGAAATATTCTAGGCCAATTGCAAAGTATTCCAGTCTACGTATACACACCTATAATTGGGCCCAGCTCAGATCAGGGAGCAGCTATGTGTGTAAAATATATTATCGAATCCATCCAATTCAGTCTCGTAACAAACATCCAATAGTTGCAATTGCAAAGATGTCAACGTTACCTGGCCTAGTCGAGATCTCGATCGGCATCTGTTCTCTTAATTTAAGAGCCTTGTGTTACCATTTACAAATCCAACAGGCAACACATTTAATGTTGTAGCCCGGCACACCGACAGGGTAACGGTGACTTTGTTACAAAAACTTCACTCACATCGTAAGGACTATTCTATAGATCACCGGAGGGATATATGATATTCCTGCTAACAGTGATGGTTCCACCTTTACCATGAGTAGCGAGTGAAAACCCCATACCGTCTCATGCGCCTGGAGTCAAATACTTAAGTAGCTTGTAGATTTGCCGTATATACCTCTTAAATATTGTTTATAGCATAAACTGTTCGTATAATCCTTCTAAAATATCGTCATTGTTTAGTTCCATTATATAAAACTCTCCGGCGGTCACTTCTATTCGAACGTTCGGCAGAATAACGGAGAAAATACTGAATGATAATCTGCAATAGAGGTATGCATACCAAGAGACCTAGACCCTTAAGATCATATGGTGTATCTGCATTATACTGGCTACGGCCTTGTATCTTTCGACCCCGCACTCAAGCGCCCAAAGGTGGATCTATCAGAGATCGATATATATTTTGTTTTTTGAAAAAGATTAAGTCTTTAATTACCTATTCGGGAACGAGACTATTGTTACATATTTCATAACCGGACTCCGCCTTCGGAACACGATTAGGTCCTACCTAAATTATATATTATGGGTTCTCTATTTTAATATACCCACCACAGCACATACTCGTATTCACTAACTCACGAAATCTAAACTAATAGTCATAGTTAAGGCAGACGAGCCCTTAAATACTCGGGAAGGGGTTTCAAGCCTGGGGCGTTGTTAGCGACGTTTGGCGTGGTGGTTTGTTTGACAACGTCCGTCGGCGTGTTGAAGACTCATAATGCCAAGCCAGATTTAGACGGAGCAGTTCGAACCTTCATTCAACCACACTTCTACTTTCTCCTTCAGCATCAGCCACTCATCGCATCGACCTCACAGTAACATCACCAACAACCAACCATCGCTACAAACCGTCAATCAATAGCATAAAGTGCTCTTCTTTCTACTGATTCTGCCTCTGCGATACCATTAGATCCCCAGAGAATCAACTTGTGGCCCCTCATAGCCCCTCCGAACAACCGCCATGGCGGGTCCGTCCTGCCCCAATCCTTCCTGCTCGAATCCATCCGTCGAGGACATCGATGACAAAAGAATATGTACAAGCTGTGGTACCGTCGTCACCGAGTCTTTCATAGTCTCGGAAATCACATTCGGTGAAACCTCATCCGGTGCTGCCGTCGTCCAAGGTTCCTATGTTGGAGCCGACCAGAAGCATGCTCGATCCTCAGGTCCATTCCGTCGTCATGGTGCTGCTGAAACACGAGAGCAGGTCATCTCAAATGGTAGGTAACAGTTGAACCCTTTTATATTCTGCGCGAAAAACTTTTTTTCGTTTTGTGCCGTTTTTGGTGTTTTTGCAACCGCGGTCACTAACTAATCGCGATTCGGATGTTACTAGGTCGTCGGAAACTGAATCAGCTAGCGTCGGCCTTAAGCGTCCATGACCGATTTGTTGAAACCGCTGCAAGATATTTTACTCTCGCCGTCACCCATAACTTTATCCAAGGACGAAAGACCCAACACGTCGTCGCATGTTGTTTATACATTGCCTGTCGTTTAGACAAAAGTGCACACATGCTTATCGACTTTTCGGACATCCTGCAGCTCAATGTTTTCTCCTTGGGAAGCACGTACCTTAAATTAGTCAAAACACTCAATCTTAACATCCCTCAACTAGACCCGGAGTTGTGGATTCGTCGTTTCGCCAGACACCTTGAGTTCGGCGATAAAACCCAGCAGGTATGCCGAGACGCTATCAAAATCGTCCAGCGTATGGACCGAGATTGGATCATGGAAGGCCGTAGACCAGCTGGTGTCTGCGGAGCCGCCATCATTATCGCCGCTCGTATGAACAACTTTCGAAGAACAGTTACCGAAGTCGTCTACATTGTCAAAGTTGCCGGCATGACCATCAACAAACGTTTAGAAGAGTTCAAAAACACAAAGAGCAGTGAATTAACCGTCAGCGAGTTCCGTAATATGTGGTTAGAACAGTACCATGACCCCCCGAGTTTTGGAGAGAATAAGACAAAGAAGAGAAGGAGAAGATGGGTAAAGAGTGTCAACGAAGACGGTGAAGTCATTGAAAACGAGGTGGACGAGTCCGCTAGTGCACCTATTGTCGACCTTACAGCGGGCAATTTTCTGGGTCCAGATGGTCGACTTATTGGACCAGGCACAGCGGCCAATGCTGCAAATGAAAAGGCACAGAAAGCCTTTGGCGACGGGTCGGCTCGTAAACGCCCTCGTGTTGACGCCGATGGCTTCGCCATACCCGCTATTCCGACTACATCTAGTCCTTCTCCATACCAAGAAGTCACCACGGTTCCTGCCCCACCACGCCCGACATCTCCTCCTTCCGCGCCAACCATCTCACCTGGAAGCACACCCCACGGCGAATCTCCAGGCTCGCCGGTGGACAAAGAACCGAATGAAGGGCCCAAGAGCCCACTTGAGGCCGAGATTCTAGCGTTGATCAACAATCCGGAAACGCAAACGGCAGTCGAAGATATTCGACGTGAACGATTACGCCAACAAGCATTACTCCCACCTTCCACCGTCTCCGCCGACCCCGATAACCTTGAAGATGTTGATGATGATGAAATCGAATCAGTCATGATGAGCCCAGAGGAGGTAGCCCTAAAGACCAAAATTTGGTATGAATACAACAGGGAATATCTTCTCACTCAAGAGGCAAAGAGGCTCAAAGCCGAGGCGGATGAAAAGGCAGGCATTGGAAAGAAGGCACGAAAGAAGCGAGGGAAAGCGAAACCAAGAGATAGCAGTTTTCCAGATATGCCTGCGAGTCCAGCGGAGGCAGCGAGGGAAATGATGAAAAAGAAAACATTTTCCAGGAAAATCAATTATGCGGCGCTGGATAGTTTGTTTGAGGACATCAAGACACCATAGGCCATTGGTCACCCCTTTTTCTTTTCCCTGTTATGTTTTCTCTTTTACGCATTTAGCGATGGAGTCAAAGGTACGCTTTTTTACCTTTTTTTTTTATAAAGAGGATAGCACTGCTTCTTCGTTTACTGTTTCTTATCATCTCACTATTACTATTACAGGACTGAGCATAGATTAGTCCAGGGAACTTGATATATAGAGCTCTGTTTTATTCCAGCCTTTTGCTAAATACCTATATCATCCTCCTTCATTCCGATATCAATACATGTGGGGCCTTTTTCTTTAGTCTTCTGTGTCACTTTATAAAGGTGTATATGGGAATTTAGACGGAGGCACTCTCTATTATGCATTTCCCACTTATAACTACTCCAAGTTTTCGCCGCTGGCAACGGGGGATCCTTGTGAGTTTCATGATCACGTAGGTAACGGTTACACGACATCGTAATAATTCAAGCCATAGGACCCATATCCTTGGTAACGAGAATCAAGGCATCATCTTAGAGAAAAGAACCTGGAGATTATAAATACAATAATACGGATAGATATCGATATCCAGCAAACGAGCGAGTAATATAATACTATGATCCCTAACTCCTTCAATTGATGGTATCTCAAGCAAGGCATACAGCACCCAAAGGGGGAATAGACTATGTCATCGAACGAAAATCAAACAAAAAATTTTTCTTCATTCTTCAAAAAAAAAAAAGTATATAATTATAAAAGTACTGGACTGCCTGAGTCATATGTACCGTCCACGATAATATGCAATACCAGGTTCACATTCTGGTAATCGAATCCTTCCCTAGCACCTATGGTATGCAATGCAATGCAGGTACGGTCGTCTCTAGTTTCGGTAACGACTACATTGTTGGCAATATATGCGATTGGGAGTTAAAATACAACAAAGCCGCATATATATACATTGGCGGAACATATATATTTTGCGTCAGATTTTATCCAAGTACTTTATAAAAAATAATCATCGCGATATCGAATATTGATCACATAAAAACGAAATCTACTAAATTGGAAAGCGGTAATGGTAAAAGTAGCGGTTTAATCTAATCCTGTAGAATCAGAATTGCTTCTGAATCAAAGGCTTTTTTTTCGATTTGTATTTATTATTTGCTGCTATAGCTAATCTCTCCTGACCTGAGGGCATGTTACTCCCGTAGTAGTATTTTTGCTTCCTCCTAAAAAAAAAAAAAAAAAAGGGAAGAAAGAACGAGGCTCCAAAAAAACTTCCAACTTTTTTTTGTCCGCCCTCAGCCGACTGCGCTTGGAGAAAGCACAGCAACGATGTATGCAAGAGATATATAACCGTTCCAAAGT